ATTCAATCTTCATCTTCACCACTGGCCTAACCATTCAATCTTTCCATTGGGACTGCTGGTGACCATACAATGGCTTGCCCGCTCCAAGTCCGGTCTCTCTTCCTTCTTCCTTCCACTACTGAACTCAATCCAAGGCTTCGTTACGAAAGCTTAAGATCCAGTATCCCGTATCAAACTCTCGAGACCCAGTTCCAGGTAAGAATACCCAAAAACATTTCCCTTGCCTGTTTGAAATCCCCTTGCCTGGTTATCGAGAAGTCAAAAGCACTTACTTGAAGCTTCCATCCATACTTGCAAACATGGGTCCATTGACAACAGAGTTGTGTGTAAGCTACCAATATCATGATACACCTCACTTGTAATCAACCAAGTCATTCCTTACACAAAAGCCAACTTCAGGACCCCAATCCCTCTACCTCAACATACTTCTGCAGTCTCTGTATGGGTTCTCTACATCACCCAAGGCCCGAACTTCACGCCTTGTATCAGATAATTCAATCAGATACACCCGTCATTCTCCGTCCTATTGCCCAATTCTATAAAAATTACATACTGAATATTATCCTTTTAGCAGCCCAAACGAGCTCCCAGAAGCTACGCCACAATGTGGTTCTTGCTTCTGTTTGCCTTGCTGCTTGCAAGCCCCATCTATGGGAACCCAAACTATGGTAAGTGTCTTAGCACCATCGCTCCACCACTCTCGATTAACAAAGTCATAGCAGATCCGGAAACCTGCTGCCTTACTTTCGTGTGCACCTGTACGGAAGTTGTAGCTATCTCAACCGTCGACATCACAGGTCTTCTTCCCAGTACTTGCACTTCATCTCGAGGCTCTGTAGTCACAGCACCATTCACTCTCACGGTGCCAGATGGCATAAGCTCTCCGGCCGACACTACATCTACTGCGACAGCCTCTGATGTTACAAACAACCCTCTCGGAAGCAAATACACTTATTTCGAGACCACCTACAAGCTGAAGACAATTGTGAAATGTGGCAGTTCAAGTACCACTTTGACAATATTATCGACCTCTGGGAGCCAGCTCAGCCAAGCTTCAATCGTGGAGTCCATGACTGGATCGCACCAAACTTCATCCGTGGGAATTGGAATTTCCCGCACGACAAACGCGACTTTTTGGCCTGATACCACTCAACAGATGCCACCCAGTGTAGTCATTGGTTCTTCCGCGCCTTCGGTGTCCCCAACCTCTTCTCTGTCGGCCACTGGGCGAAATTTATCAAGCTGCGGCCCTGTTGGAAGCTCAACTGCATCAACAGGCTTTGAAATCAGTGATCAGTCTACCTATGAACAATCTTCGACCTCGAGGTCTGTTTCAATTGATTTGAGCACCGTGTTTGCCGGATCATCAATGGCGTCGCCCTCAGCCTCATGGACTGGGAACCTGAGCTCATCGTGGAACTTCACCTTGACGCCCACACCTTTTATTTCGATGTCCAGCGTCCAGGTTTCACAGACGAGTACTCAGGTATCAACTTCGATGGGGGTCTTGACTTCGATAGCTTCCTGGACGTCGGTATCAGCTTTGTGGTCCGCCAACTTGAGCTCGTCATGGAACCTCACGATGATCCCTGCACCATCGACTTCGGACTCTACTCTCCCAGCCTCTCGAACGAGAACGATTCCAACAGCTTCTTCAAATTCGAAGTCCGTATCTGTGACAAAGGCATCCCTGACGAGTCTCTCAAGTACCTCTCTGACAGGCTCAAAATCCAGTGAAATGCTCACTCCGACAACTATCATGGGAACTATGACCACGTCTAGCTCAAGCCTTTCAACTCGTGCTTCCAGCAGTAGCAGTTCCAGTAGCACAGAGATACCGATTCCAATTCCAGTCGGTGGTTCACCAGATCCAGAGGACCCGGATCCAAACCCACCATTTCCGCCCCCGATTCCGCCCCCCGGCGGCAATCCGCCGTTTCCACCTGGTGGGAGTCCACCAGATCCAGAGGATCCGGATCCGAATCCACCAAACCCGTCTCCAAGACCTCCTCCATGGGATGACCCACCAGATCCTCCTCCAGGCGGCAATCCACCAGATCCTCCACCCGGTGGTAATCCACCAGATCCACCTGGCGGTAATCCAGACCCAGACCCTGTGCCACCAGTACCGCCCCCGAGTGGTGATCCACCAGACTCTTCTGGCGATAGTCCCGATCCAGATGATGACCCAGACGATCCTGACAACTCTGGCAGCACTCCTGACCCAGATCCAGGTGATGACCCAGACGACCCTGATGATTCCGGTAGCACTCCTGATCCAGACCCGGACGACCCTGATAACACTGGCAGTAATCCTGATCCAGATCCGGGTGATGATTCGGATGATCCAGGCGATTCCGGCACAGACCCAGACCCAGTGCCACCAGTCCCGCCAGGTCCGCCGCCAGGTCCGCCACCAGGCGTCAATCCAACCCCGACCCCGTCCGGTGTCACCACTCCCAAGCCATCTCCAACGACAGCCCCCAATCCAACCGGATCTGGAGATGGAGAGTGTACTACGAGTGCCATAGCCTCCTGTATGGAAGAGGTTCATATCTTGACAGAGTACTTTACACTGAGCAATGGTGTATCTACCTCGACTGTTGAGTCTGTCACCGAGACAGAATGTGTAACTCTGCTGACTTGTGACGGTAGTGGGACTACAATCACCACGACAACATCTTCTTCAAATTCAGAATCGCCAACTGCTACGTGTACTGCCCGGCTGATTGTCCCCCAGTATGAAGCCAAGCTGGGCGATGCTTCCTACTTCGTGCCTCTCTGCAAGAGTGGAAGCCAGACACTTTGGAGGAATGATGGAACTAATTTCAAGATGGATTGTGAAGGCGTTACCTTCTCCACTGGTGAGACCTTCAAGATTCCCACTACTCTCTCAAATGCTACCGATTCGAATTGTCATGACGTCGCAACCAACGGCATATCCATCTGCTTCTCAAAGCGCTTCCCGGGCTGGAACGCCACCGAAGACGCGGTAGTCATACCCATCGGTGATGAGAACCCCTATCCCAACATCACCGTCATTGCCAAGGCTCTTGAGACAGTTGGGGACTCTGGGGGGATCTCTACAGCAGGTTGTGGAGAGTCTGACGGCTACTCTCGAGTTGCGGCGTACTACTTCAGCAGCATACAGAGCCCACTTGAAGTTATCACTTCCAGTGATCAGAACGTCACCCAGTTCTCCAAAGACATCTCGTCGTACAGCCACAAAGTCATAAGTTCCAGTGACAACTGGCTCCCACAAGCGGACGAAATGCTACAGAACCTCGCTTGTCATATCACGAGCACTGATGGGAACTCTAGTCGGGTTGTGCGAGCTCTCAACAAACAGTCCGCCCTCCATACCGGTATCAACACTCTATTGTCCATCACTAGCGTTGAGGAGTCACAAACGGCTCTTCGCAACTTGACCAGGGATCTTTTTGACGACTATGTCTCTTACATTGGCCGCGAATCTTCAATAATTGAAGGCTGGACACAGGCATACAGGCTGTGTCATACGAAGTGGGATAAAGCCAGCCTTCTACTCCCCCAGACTCAGAAGCCCATACTTGACGACATTGATGGCTGGTATGCCAAGTACTTCATCCTTGCTAGTCCAGGCACGACAATGGATCAGCTCAGGGGGTTGGAGCACGCTTTGGGCGTGGAAGGCTCAGAAACGGCACCCGTTGATGGCAATCCGAGGTTATGGAAGGCATACTGGGCAAATTTGAACCTGGTTCAATCGACCTTACCAGATTACGCAAAGTTCATCAATTCGACACAGAGGCTTGTCTGGGATGGAAAGCCTGCAGACGAAGATGATCCATTTGCGTTTATCACTGCGAAGAATGCAAGAAAGAGTGTGAGCAGCCGTATGCCAAGCACTACAGCCAATCTGGATACGGTGTTAAGCAGGAACTTGAGAAGGCAGGATTCCCACAGCGAAGGCTCTGAAGGCGATAGCTCTGAAGGGGGCGATTCTGATGGTGATAGGTCTGGTGAAGGAGATTGGGAACCAAGGGTATACCCAGCCCCTTCAGCCAATGCGGAAACAGTCACCGACTTGGAAGAAGAGACCCACCTGAATGTGATCTCACAGCAAAAGGGGCAGGCTGACTCCAATACCGACTCTTACACGTTTGCGCCACCTGCTGGAGAGGGCTCTTGGGTGTTCATCGTCGACTCTGGCTTCGATCTCAACCACGAGGTAGTTCCGTCCATTTACATGCTTCATTGTGATTTAGCCGCTGACAGATTTTTCCAGTTCCTATTTGATGAGACGCGGGATCCTGTGGTCAAGAGAAAGGTCTTGACTTATGTCGTTCCAAATGAGAAAGTCGGCGCGCTCACCCCGGATCAAATTCAAGAAGGATGGAAAGAAGTACCTGCGACGATCAAAGACGAAGACTCGAACGGACACGGAACAGCCGTGGCGTGTGTAGCTGGTGGAACTTCTGACAAGATAGGGGTTGCCCCAAGGACTAACCTTTATCTTATCAAGTGGAAGAAATTCTACAACCGGGAGAAAGATGGGAAGACCGAGAAGATGGCAGTGTCGACCAATATGTGCCATATCGATGCGTACATGAGGATATATAACGCCTGGAAATCGAAAGACAAGAAGGGTGAAGGCATCGATCCCCAGTGAAGTGTCGTCAGTTTCAGTAGCGGTGAGTCTGCAAAATCTGATTTTGAAGAATTTCTTTTGCTCATGATCACAGGTATGACGAAGGATGATGCTTGCCTGGGAATCATGTAAGTACAACTCGTTCAGCCAGTACCTCCTGCGCAAAGCAGAACAAACGGCCACCGATCGTTTGCTGATGGAAAAGCTGGTTAGGACCAACTTTTTCGCCGAATATGACAAGATGGGAGCGACGGTGGTCTTTGCTACGTCGAACAATGGGTATAACCCAAAAACCAAGAAGCCATTTCACTACCAAGCGGATCTCCTTCCTACATCACTTGCAACGGACAATAGTCCATACATCAGCGTTGGAGGAGTAGTAAGTAACCACTTTCAGAAATTTCCCGTTATTCTGCTATGTCCTGTGGCGTATCTCTTTCCTCTTCTTTCCTTCCTTTTACCCATCCCTCTTTTTTCTCTTGAGAGAGAGAAAGAGAGACATTCAAGGTCATCCTACAAGTCAGAAGTCTCAGAAGAAGTATTGAAACACTATCAACATTGTCAGCACTTTATGAGCACGTAATAACTAAAGCTTGTTAACAGTATCACGACGGCTCCCTTTGGGAAAAGACCACCCCTCCTGGCGCTGCGCCCGGAACCGATAACTCAGATGCGACAATTTCCTTGTACGCGCAAGCTGTAGAAGTAGAAACCTGTCAAGCGAATGGAGAGCCCAGGGAGACACGATTCATATCGGGTTGTAGCATTGCCGCACCACAAGTGGTAAGTCAATTCGTCTACTATCAGCTTCATTCTAAGGGACACACCTGTGGGAACAAATCATAACTATTAGCTCCCTTACAGGCAGGCCTTGCAGCAGCACTGTTGAGTTACCCATGGCCAAAAGACGAGAACCCTTTCGATCCAGAACGTAGGCATCCTAGCATCGGGTTCCGGATGAAGACAATGCTTGCTAATGTCTACGCCTACCAACGCTTGGATCATAGCGAGATCGTAGACGAGGCTCTCGGGAACATTCCAGCATTCCCTTGGGACATTCCAAGCTATGTTCCTGTGATTTACAACAACGTCTTTGGAGACCAGAGATGCAAGGACGTCGATGGCTTCCCTAATCCCCCGCATGGAGTAGGTGTTGCCTGTCCAGGACAAGACGACAGCGGCAGCGACGGCGACGACGGCGGCGATGACGATAGCGGCGACGAAGCCGGTAGCCATGATGGAAGCGGCGACGGACCTGGCAACGGCAGCGGTGGAGGCGAGAGTGTGGGTCCTGGCGGTGACAGCACCGGTAAGTAGCCCTCAATCAATCCTCAGCCCATGGCATCGAATAGGTACCGAGAATTCCCAAAGCCTTACTGATTAAACTTTAGATACTGTGTTCTTTACGTCTGCTCCCACGTGGCTATCAAGTGGGTGGTCGAGCTTCTCGACAGTGACCCTTAGTGCCAACGAATCGAGAATTCCCACTAACGCCCCTGGGGAGTCGACGAACTCAGGGTCATCCAGCTCAACTACAGTCTTTCTGAATATCACGAGCTCCGCTTCGAGTTCGAGCACAGCTGATTCGACTGCCAAGTCGGTCTCGATTAGCCCATCTTCAACGGTCACGCAGGCCGTAACGGAATCCTCCACTTCCACCTCGACCGGGTCCTTGCCGACAGCTTCTTCTGACTCAATTTGGACTCTTTCACTGTACACACAGCCTGGATGCAGAGGGGATCGTTTCCAGTTCACTGGACTTGCCACGGGCAACCTCAGTCCTTGCATGAGCTCACCCGGCACGCTCTCGACCGACGACCCCAGCAGCATGAGCTGCACGTATGTGTCCCATGGTCATCATGGGAACGCACACGAGCAGAACTGCTCTGTGGGAGCTTGGCCGTTCCAGCCAAAGTCTTGGGCCATGACAGATGCCTTCTGCTCAGTGTTTCATGATGACACCTGCAAGCTTGACATCAAGGAACAAACTAAATACAACAGCTCTCAGAGCTGTATCAACGCTCAATCTGGTATGAAATTCAACTCAATCGGCTCCCTGAGATGCAGCGCCAACACGCCAAGCTGCAGAACCTGCATCAAGTGCCGCACCGCTTGCTTGGATCTGGTTGGGCAGGATGAAGCATATTTCCAGTAAGTTTGCTCAGGCATCCCTTTGCCAGTTTACGTCTGCACAACCGTGTGAGCTCTATCTAATCTATTTCAGGTGCGTTGATGGTTGCTGTCGGAACCGACATTGTGAGAATTGCCCCGGATACGAGTGCTGAGGACTCAGTGAGCTAATGGAGCTGGGCGAAGAACTAAGCACGCTGGCTGGAGTATGCCTGGTTGCGCACATTTAACTCTCATGAAACGATCGTTACCATAGTCTATGAATTCAGCCGCCTGATGTTTTAGCTGAGAAAAAGTTGAAGGCGATAATCCTGTAGGCATGATCGGAGCTTGAGCCCTAGAAATCCGCTTCCAGCATCACGATGATTATCTCTCAGGAAGTCTGAACGCCACAGAAGTATATTCCGGAAAAAAGAGACTCAATATATTTGAGGATAATAAGAAGTCTGTGTTATGAAAGCAGACAGCTCTCATGGTTTGCAGGCCTCCCAAATTACCATTGCTTTTCACCCCACCCGAAACCGACCACAAGCGCGCACAAGCGCCTTTGTGCACAAAGCCGATTGTGAATGGCCTACATGGCATTGAGATTATTTCAGAGGTCTTCAATTCAACAACTTCTTTTCTTCCAAGTCACGGCGAAACAGAGGCATACACACCTACATCCAGTTGTAGTGCGAACGTCGAGGTCCACCGACCGATCTCTCGGGTCTTCCCTAGCTCAAAACGGGGACACACCATGTAAGATGATTGGCTGTGAGTCCCCAACGACAGACCGTCACACATCTGATTGGGTATGTGTCTGAAGCCCACCAATGCAATGCACAATGACAGTAATTTTGCTTCGACCCGCTTCCTCCTCTCTTCTTTGCAAACCCCACATGGAAGTGGCTACCAGGATTGAGGTTCTCAGGGGATTTTAAAATACCACCGCAAAGCCCAGAGCGCATGCCACAAGGCTGTGGGCAGGGGCGACGAGCAGGAAGATACCATGCATGGAAACAAGGCTTTGATACCTTCTGCCCCTGCTGGGACCTGTCTCTGAATAAAACATCGATATAATTCATGGGTCCATATGTCAATGAATTTGCTCAATGTCCAGTGTTGCGGTCTCTGCTCAGAAATGTTTAGTCAATCCATGCATTCGCTCCCTCCCCGGCAGCATAAACGCAGAACATGTTCGGAATTGATCCTGCTCCCACCTCTGAGCGAACTTGCCGGTGAAGAATTACCTGAAGATGAAGCCCAGGATGAAGCAAGCAGAAGTCAGTCAACTCTGACTACAGAAAATAGAGAAAAGGCCACATCAGACTTCATGTCTTAATGAATCATCACGCAAAGATCGCAACAATTAGCTAAAGAAAAGAAAGAATTAGATTGGTGGAAAGGATTAATACGCCTTGCATCAGCCAAAACGATTCACAAGTGTCTTCGGAACCGGATCTGAACGTCTCCGTTGATCGGAAAGGAAAAAGGAGCAGTCACGGGAGGCAATAGAACAGTTCTTTGATCTCTCAACAGAGTTTGCTCAGCCAATCGGGCCGGCACAGGACGTTAATTCATGCAGTAATGCTCATTTATCCAAGACCTCCAAACATGCCATGATCAATTTACCGAGACGCCATCGCTCTCTGCGCCGAAAGACCTCTTTCGCCCATGCCATAGCTCCTGTGGCATCACCGTCGAGAACCCCAACGATCTGCATCGCTCCCGGCACTGCCTTCCGCACAAGTTGCCAGGCTATCAAAAACGCCTTGAACGCATAGAGAGCGACCCACGGCGGCTCAGACTCTGGCGTTAATGTTGTTTCGAGGTAGTGCAGGAACCAATCTATGTGAGGCTGTGTGGCGTGGGCAGTCTCAGCCCCGAAGAGAATCTCGCTAGAAGACGCCAAGAAGGTCGACTCCTTCAACACCGCATCCACGCTGCCCCCTACTATACCACAGGTATGTGATGGAGACCAGATCTGCAGCTCGATCATGGCCATCTCCCAAGTTGCCTCGCGTGACGCAGCAAGTAAGGAGCTAGGAGTGCCGGCCGGCGTCCGGATGCAAGGCCCAAGAGCGACCAGCGAGGACCTCAAGGGCTCTAATCTCTCTAAGCTGAGCCTCCCGGTCATCGTGGACCAGCCTGACACCTCACGGGCGCTGGATAGCAGGAACTGCGCGATGTTGATGGCTCCGTACGGGTCGAAGGATGGGAGCGATTTGATGTCTGGCTCGGGCGAGAGGATGCGACGGACTGCCTCTGCATATTGCACCGGTGGCGTGGACTGCTTCGTCACCAACTGTTGGTATGCCCACTCAGCAGCGGAGGGTGCGGCCCAGCAGTCTTCTGGGCAGGGAAGCTCGTGCTTGATCTCCAGATGCGAGAGCGAGCGAGGTATGGATAGGAACTGGTACAACATGGCATCTATCTGGTGAATGGCAAAGAGCGTCCGTTTATGTGACTCTGCCTTGATGAATTCCCCCCATAATGCTTCCAGATCTTTGGTCGCTGCAACCTCTAGTGGTGTGGGTTGCGTTAGTCCGCTGAAGCGCGCGAGGGATATTATTCGAGAGTGCATCTTGAGACCGTATGCGGAGTCTTTGCCGCAGAGATACATGATGGCACAGATCTCGAGCAGAAGGTTTGCTTGCACCATTGCGAGGTTGTGTGCAAAATCGTTGTCACTCTCCTCCTGAGTGGCAAGTAGGACGCGAGCTCGGTGGAAGCAACGCAGCGAGATGTTGCTGCCTGAACCCGCTTGGTCGCTGTGGTCAGGATCCTCGCCGTGTTGATATGCAAGACATAGCATACTGAGCACCAAGTAGGGTGTGGTCTGAGTGACATCGAAGGTCGGCCGGTGAAGAAACGGGACGAAGTGTGACACGTGTATGAAATACAAATCTAGCCCTCGTACAATCTGAGAACCTGAAGGATACCAGTCGTCTTGGATATGGGCCAGATCCCTGGGTGACAGACCATCAGGAATGTTTGTATTGCACATAACGGTGTCTGGACTGGCATCTGGTGAGGTAGTCTGCATGCGTTCCGCTGCGGGCGAAGGCATCTGAGCATGATCATAGTCAAGGACGGATGTGCCAAGTGGCATGGCAAGATCCAAGTCCGTCGTGCCGTGTGGAAAGGATGCAGTTGGTGTCGAACTGGATGCCAATAACCGCCGGCCATGGACGACATCGTCGCACACATCGTCCCCCTCAGCGCTCGTTGACAGACTGCTGGACAGAGCTATGCTTCCCGATGAGTGGCGGTATTGAAAGTTATGCTCGAGCTGACCGTGCTCATCCATGCAAGGCAGCTCAATGTTCCAAGCCGCATCGCTCAAGTCCAAGTGCATCTCCTTGTCCCATTGCTGGGAGAGCAAACCATACTGTCTCTCTGAAAGTGACGCCGAGGGTGTCTTGGCATCTTCAGATGCCTCACTACTGGAGCAGTCAAGGTCTGTGGGCGCGGCGGCTGGTGGGGTGCGGCGGGTTCTCTTTGGAGGCCATCCATCTTCTTGTTCGGGATGCTTCCTCTTCACGTGGCGAAGGCGGAGGTCCCTCCGAGAGAAGGTAGTACGACAGAAGCCGCAGGGGAAAGAGACCTTCTCGTGTGAGCGTGTGTGAAGTGCAGCATGGCGCTTGAGATTCTCCTGCCGGGTGAAACGGGTCCGACAGTCTGGGCACTGGAAAGGCTGCTGCGACTGCTCCCCTGCTACAGGCGCAACAAGAGACATGGTAGCAGCGAGATCGGTTAAGCGGTGGAATGATGGCTCATCTGGTATGGAGAATGTCGATTGAGCAGACGAAGCAAGCCGCAGCCCCGATGATTGTTTTCGTCAGGGGCTGGACATCTTTGCCGCTATGCCTCTGCTTATCTCTCATCTTACCCACATGCCAGCCCTGTCCCTGCTTTCTTCCCCGCATTCTGCATTGCTATCAATGGAGATCAACTTGCTTGCCCAGTGGGTGCCGATAGGAGGGTCTAAGGGCCGTATCAGGAGGTGTTTTCTGGGGGTGGGCACGTGTCGGATTTCCGGGGCTGTGCCGGGACTCTGGATGCGGTATCTAAGTGGGGTGGAGGCGGGCGAACGAGGGTCTCACGACCAATGACATGCTGCCCGTTACAATCTAGTCAGTCTGCCTATGGGACCCTAGCTCGGACATGCGCGCAAATATCTTTGTAGACGTCCTACGTGTCTTTGACATCCCGCCGAGAATCCCGAGATCGGGTGTCGGGCTGGGAGCACCAAGGAGCCTTCCGAGGATGTTCGTCGGAACCAATGTCGTGGAATTACGAAATTCAGTCACACCCATGCATGCAATTGTACATTGACACTGACTGATTGGTTGCTTGAAACTTCAAAATGCAGCTTTATCTTTATATACTATTTTTAGGCTGAGAAATTGACCCTTGATAATTGCAACGCTCATGTACAGTACTACACCGGCAAGACAACCTTAACACCCATGTATTCTCGTTGCATCATGAGCTTGCCGTCGACGACAACTTGGTCAGCGCCGACGCGGTTGCGCTCTGTATCCGTTGGATCTGTGGCTGTGGCAATCTGAATCTCGCGCCACTGGCTGTTTGTGGGCACAAGTTGTCCTTGCTCAGTGAGCCTCTTGAATTCCTTATAAACACCTTGTTCCTCGACACAGCCTTCTCGTTGGATGAGGGGTGAAGCTGCAAAAGGTTCATCGTGGTTAGCATATGGTCCACGTCACTTGTTCTCAAGTTCCGACAAAGATACTCACAAGCTGCAGGCGCCATGCGCAGATCACCAACGGAGCTGTTGAAGAGCACTAGAGAAAGGCGCTCTGAGTTCAGCTGATCAGCCGGTGGTGTGAAGACTCGGTGGCGAGTGGCCTTGAAGTGTCCTCCCGAGACAATCTCCAGTGTGTCACCGATGTTGATGACAAGCGCACCAGGCTTGTAGGGCACGTAGTACCATTTCTCGTCCTTTCCCCAGATCTGCAGACATGAGATAGGCACAGAGAATAGCAGGGTTGTCAGTCCGAAGTCGGTGTGGCCGTGCATTCGAAGCCCTTTGGACTTCTCGCGGGTTGACTGCTCCACAGGGCGGAAGAGTGCATGACGGAAGTAGCCTTCGCCAGTTGGGCTGCCGTGGGACTGGACGTTGTCCCAGAGGTAGTCGTCAGGCAGCTCTAGGACGCGAGAGAAAAGTGTGAGGATTCGGCGGTTGACGGACTTTGTCAAGTAGTTGCAGAAGGCCTCGATCTCGTCCATGAAGGGGTGCAGACACTTAGGAATGCGGTTAATGTCTTGCCATTCGCGGTTGTACCAGTTGAACTGCTCAATTCCATCGGGGACTGCTCGATGACGCTAGAACGATCCGGTCAGTAGGATGTTCTATAGCCGCCGGTGAAAGGATGCTATCTTCCTACCTTGAAACCATATGGATGCTTGTAGCCGGACCATCGTCCAGTATCGGGGTCGAATAGGAGGTTCTCCTTGTCTTCTTCGGTGATATTGTTGTACAGATACTGAGCCAGGGCAAACTGGCGGTGGAGCTGGGAAATGGATACTCATCAGCAACGGCGGCCTAATTTTTGAGTGGTAGTTCTGAGGTTGGATGTTCTCACCTGCTCAATAGAAATTCCATAATTTTCAAGGAACAGGAAACCATCCTCACGAATGGCTGTCTTGACCTGGTCCACTAGTCTGTTGACAACTGCTGGGTCGTCCGAGTCAAGCAAAGACAAGTCGATTGACTTCAGCTCGGCAAAATCATGCTTTTCTTGAGTGATCGGAGGAGGGTTCCATGCTGGCACGAATGCCTTGCCAGGCAGGTCAGCAGCGGGCGGGTTGAAAGGTGCGGTGGGTGCCATGGTTCGGTTTATTAAAATGATCTGTGGGAGGATGTCTGCGGGTTTGATACTGATGAAGCAATCGATGCTGCCACTTCCGGAGCAGCGTAGCCGCGTCTTATATCTTTTCACAAACTGGGCACGACTTTACTGCGATATTCCGTGTAACGACTCCAGTATCAGACGTTAAGACCACTCATGTGGGCTTCTCAGTTCGACAAGCACAATGAAACTGCGCAACCGGTTGCTGAGTGCAATCAAAACCTGTCCAGAATGGCCTGATGCCCTCGATGCTGGGTTCGCACCAGGAACAACAGCGCTCCTTGCTCTGCCTCCCATGCTCACCTGACCTCGTTCCCTGCGCGTCCTCCACGTACTGAGTGTCCTCCCTGTCCTCCATGCTGTAATCTAATCTATGGGGGTCGCCTCCTGCTCCTCCCTGTCCTCCTCCGCCTTCAAGCCGCTGCAGATCTGCTTACGCCCCAAGTGCTCCTCTGCCTTATCTGATTCATGCAGCTATACTACAGTGGAACTACTGGTTACTCAACCAATTTTGGTTGTTACGCGGTCTTCCGGAACATGGCAGACGTGGTGCTAGGTTTCGCATTACACGTAGGGTGGGAGGAGCTCCTCCCAGCCGGCCACGAACGGTTAGGCTTGGCATCGCATGTGGGTCCCAGCGTGAATCGCTTTGTAGATAGAGCTCCTCTGCCCTATCCATAATGACTATACTGACTGTTTCTGTGTTGATACTTAAAATGAATAGGATGAGGGGAAGACCAATGTATTTTTGACAAGCAAACCAAGTTACTCACATTGCACCGTTCTAACCTGCCTCCTATCTCTACCACATACCACATACCACATACCACATACCACCTCCACACATTCTTCCTTGTCAGACGCCAAAATGTCGCGCCAGCTTATTTCGAGCGAGAAGTTCCCACCCAAGCCGCACAACTGTGAGTGATTGCAAGAAAGCACAAATTTCATATGCCTCGGACATAGATAACTGATCAGCTTCAAAGGCCCTGCGGTCAAAGTGCCCGGTCTTGTGTTCCTCGCCGGCCAAACAGCGACGGGTGAGATTAAGCAAGCAACAGTGAGTTCTGTCATTATTTCAAACCTTTATTACTATTTGCTGATGATTGTCCGCCACTTCCCTCAGAGGACCGTCTTGCAAAATCTGAAGGAGGTTCTGGAGCTCTCGGGGTCATCTCTCGAACAGGTGGTCAAGTACAATGTCTACCTTGCAGACATGAAGGATTTCGCAGCTATGAACGAGGTCTACATTGACTTCCTCCCAAAGCCTATGCCATCACGCTCGTGCCTCCAAGCACTTCCTCCTGGTGACGGCACAGTCATCGAGATTGAGTGCATAGCACAGGTTTAAATTGCCAGAACTGCTTGCAAGTACAATGTGTGTTCTCTCTTCTTGAGAACTAGGTAAATAGATGGATTGGACCTTTAGCAAGAAGAAAGACTACATATCTTGTTCATAGGAATTTGATCCGCTATTCACAATTTGAAATGTGCGAGACACTATCATGATACCCATGAAATATATTTTCTCTCACTATCCTGGCCCCTTGTATCATTGTCTCATGCCTCAATTTCATATACCCATCTCATATACCCATCCTCCAAGTCGAAATCAAGAGAAGCTGGCCCAGTGACACTAGGCAAGGCAGCCCAAAAAGAGCCAAGGGACAGGGTACTCGGCCACACGAGGTACTCGACTGCTGAAGCAAGTCAGAGGTACATGGTCAGCTCAGCCCGCAAGTACACTTCTGGATGCGGTAGAGCTGATTGTCAATCAGGGACGCCTCACTTGTGCGTCCACCGCTCAGTCATTCACCGTCTGATGAGCCTGTCTGCAATACGGGGACGCTTGCCAGTTCAGGTAAGATACTCCTGCCTTGCTCGGAGCATACTAGGTTTGAAGGCTGGGCTTCTAATCACTCAATCGCCATTCGTCCCTTTCATTTCAACTGCTTGGAGCACCTGGGCAAGGGATTATTTCGCGTATTAGTGGCACTCTAGACACACTTTACATTGTGGTGGAGAATAGATACTAAGTACTTGTACAATTTTATGTAATTCTATTGCTTGGATGAGCTACAACGCTAACAAGGCAGGGAATAACGACCCCCGCGCAGTACTATCGAGGTAATTCAATTTGTCATGACCGAGCAACATCAAGCTCGGCCGTGTACCAGTTCTGTATCGCCTTCGTGTCACCTGTCATGGCGACGGTGTCATACTTTTGCCGTGCCTCCTTCGCCGCTGCACCGTTGTTCACCATGCGTCCAGCCCACTTGCCGTGTTTCCGCGCCGCCGCCACTATCTTGTCAATGGCAGCGACGAACTCTGGCTCGTCTCCGCGTGCAGGTGTGTAGCCAAGCAGGGACTGGGCGAGATCGTTGGGGCCAATGAAGACAAGGTCCACGCCAGGAACGGCGCAGATAGCCTCGACGTTCTCGACACCAGCGCGCGTCTCGATCTGAATCATGGTTATGATCGTCTCATTAGCCGATTTCATGTATTCCGGCGTCGTGAGGCCGTGGCCAATGGCGGGGAAGGCTGAGCCTTGTCCGCGCACGCCCTGCGGTGGGAACTTGGAGGACTGCACGATCTGGTTGGCCTCCTCGGCGTTGTTGATTTGAGGGACCATTATGCCGTGGGCTCCAGTGTCCAGGGCCCTCTTAATAATGTCGTGTGCAGGCCCGCGAATACGGATGATAGGCGATACTCCAAGGGCCGCGATCGCCGAGACGGAGTTGTGCATGGCTTCATCACCAATGTGACCATGCTCACAATCAATTATGACACCATCAAATCCACAGAGAGAGACAATCTGGGCCTGGCGGACTGAAGGAATGGCCATGAACGTCATCAGCGGGTACTTGCCAGCTCGGAGGCCATCAAGTAACTTGAGTCGAGAGTTCTGGATAGTAGTGGTTTGAGCGGTCGGCCAGACCGTTGTTTGTGCCGCCATGTTTCCACAGTTTGTAGGGGTACGATAAAGATTGGATGTGATGAAGTTATTGCAGCAAGGAATGTGATAGAGGTGAGTGTTGGAGTACGTATCAAAGTGTTCTTGTTTTCACCCCCTTTTTCGAAATGGTACGAGGCTGATTGGCAGATATCTCAAGGGATTGTAAATTGTGTTCCGGCTATTTAACTTGGTCTATTAGAGCTTAAACATTGCCTCTTGTCAAGTGTCCTCCATTCTACTGTCAAAAGCGCGCGTCTTGTGGCCCACGCATGGTCTCTGGGAGGAGCATTCAGGAGGAGCGCCGTCGTTTTTACGCGAGGCGAACACGTCCGCCAAAGCTGAGTGAGGAGGACAGGGTTGGCGGCTGCATGTGTCGGGAGGAGCTCCTCCCATATCTTGGGGGCCCACATGCGATTGACTAAACCAATGCTCGTGCCAAGATTTCAAGCGGGCTGCGGAAGATACCCCAGATTTGCTTGACAGATTAGAAGATAACGCCGAAAGCACACACCCCCAAATCCACAACAGCAATACGCTTATCGGCAAACAGCCTCGGGCAGCCCCAGGTTCCTGAGAGCCCGACCCTGGGCAGTATAGACCATGTTGCAGTTAAGACCATGAGAGCTCCTCACGCCATGAACCAGACAATCGCTGAGGAATTCTGTGACAAAGTTTCTTCCGTAGTTCTTCAGGGAAGCACGCAGAGTGTTCTTCTTCACATTTCTATTCACGGTGTCAATTTCTGAGTGCCATGGATGCGGACAAGAAGCTGCCCATCAGCGACGTTGGCGACGGCCAGTCGTGTGCTGAAGGCCAAATCGACGTCCGGGACACTGCATTCGCAGCTGGACGCAAGCCAGAGTCACTCGAAAACCTCGAGGATCATGAAATCGCCAGTCTCAACAAGAAGCTCGTCCGCAAGATCGACTTGCTCATCTTGCCGCCCATCGGTATATTGTATATTCTCAATTACATCGACCGTCAGAACCTCTCGGCGGCCAAGCTGCAAGGCATCACCGAGGACCTCAACATGACCACCGAGCAATTTGCGACGGCAATTTCAATCCTCTTTGTCGGCTACCTACCTTTCCAAATTCCGAGCAACCTCATCATCACAAAGATCTCTCGACCGGGCATGTACATTTGTGTTGCCGTCATCATTTGGGGTGCTATCTCGGCTGCTACGTCGGCGGTACACACTTATGGACAATTACTTGCTGTTCGGGCTATTCTTGGAATGGTCGAAGCGGTCTTCTTCCCTGGTGAGTGAAATCGATTTTCATCTCTGTCATCCTTCGTTATTTCTTTCTATAGCCTTGGTGTGTCCTATGTTGGTTGCCGCGAAGCTCGTCTTGGATAATTATGGATCTTGGGCGAGGCTGCGCCCGAAGGCTGGGTGTTTATGGTCCCTGCTCCACTTGTTTTGTGAAGAACAATACCTTCTAGCATTATTCGGTTTCTAATCCCACTTAGGTGCAATCTACTATTTGTCTGCCTGGTACACAAAGAAAGAGCTTGGAAAGCGACTCGCAGGTCTCTACATTGCACAGCAAGTCGGCAACGCTTTCGGTGGCCTTTTCGCCGCGGCTATCCTCCAACTCGACGGAGCCCACGGTATAGCAGGCTGGAAATGGCTCTTTATCATCGAAGGCAGTGCTACAGTCGGCATTGGTGCTATCTGCGCCTGCATCATGCCCGAGTTCCCTCACAACAGCCGTGTGCTCTCGCAGACCCAGCGTGACCTTGCAGTATGGCGGATTGAGTCTGAGGCTGGAGCAGCCGAGGGCAACGAGGACGAGGGTACGATGAGCGGATTCGTAAAAGCCCTCTCTGACCCTAAGCTGCTGCTCCTTATTTTCTGCAACCTGCTGTCTCAAGGACAGGGCTCTATTGCGAATTACTTTCCAACTCTCGTTGCTGCCCTCGGCTATTCCGGAACCATCAGCTTGCTCCTCACCGCGCCTCCTTACATTCTCGCTGGCTTTGTCTACTACGGGATCACGTTCTACTCCGACCGCAAGAATACGGTGTACCCGATAATTATCGCGTGCATCACAATTGCAACAGGCATGTACATCATCCCAATGGCTACCGAGAACGTTGGGGCGCGGTACTTCTCCATGATGATCTTGCCATTCGCATCTGTGGGCCCTCAGATTCTTCTGTACAAGACGATGAATCTTCACCTTGCAAGACCCGTCTCCAAGCGCGCGGCAGCTTCTGCCCTGATCAACGCCATTGGTGGCACATCGAACATCTGGACTTCATACTTGTATTATGCGCCACCACATTTTTACGCTGCTTTCGGTGCCCTCATGGGTTGTGCCGTGTTATTTGCAGTCACCATTACCGTCTACCGATGGCTGGTGCTTCGCGAGAACAGACGACTGGACTCGGGCGACCCGGCTGAGATTGCCAAAGCTATCAAGGGTGGTGTGACGCAGGAAATGGTCTCTCTCGGTTGGCGATACGAGATGTATTAAATTTGGTGGGAAAGAGAACAGTGTAACTACTGAGCTTCATCATCTTGTACAAATCAAGCCTGAATGCTTTCAATCGAACTCTAGCGTATTTCTGGTTGTTGCAATGTACATTTGCAATATCACTGTGCTGCATGTATCAACAAGAATTCAATCATCCAGTTGCAAAGGGTGGTCTACCTGTTGTAACAGTCTAGAAATGTTTGCGAGACACAGGAGCCTAGTTTTCGTTTTTCTTGTCCGTGAACAAGCTTCCCAGACAATTCAAGACAGCTCGAATCCGGCAATATAGCCGATCAGGCTGGCAAATGTAGTCTCCACGTGTCATTATCTTATGACCAGCACTTCTTACAAAGCAATATTCCACGCTGGCGATTCTCCCAGCCTGGGCGTGCGTGGACAATTCGGAGTCCTGAAAATTTGGAATATTTCGAATATTGATTGCATTGTTAACCACTGCTCTATATCTATTGTAAAGCTTTGTTCCATATTGACAATCCCATTATGTTTAGGACTTGATCAATCCATCCTGCTGGGCTAGTCATTGAAAGTGGGCCCTGACCAGCCAATCCATGATGATTTAGTAATTTATCTCTTGTTCAATATCTATGACTTTTGAGTGATTTTATAGTGAAGTTCTTATCATGAAACCATACGAGTGTGTGTAGATGCGCACACACTCTGAAGTTCTACGTGAGTGAAGTCTACGCCAGAGCAGCTCGTCATTATATTGAATTTGTTCTAATTGGCAGTAAACTCAAGCCAGTTATACATTGAGCCTTTGCACATTTTTGTCTTAGGAGCAGTATATTCGAACGACAATAGAAGATGAGTGTATAATATCACTGCAGCTGTTATGAACTACTCTACTGGGACTAGATCGGACTTTCGATCATTTCATGATAGTAAAGTGTTGTACGGGAGAGACGAGGGGAGGGGGGGCAAATCTCACCGTATCGGAAACATATCGCTTCGGGTCTACCTGGGTATAATTAATGAAAGATGCTATCAGATGCAATTCAAACGAATGTCCAAGTCACTGTTAGTATACTGTGTCGTAATTGTCTTGAGGCACTAAATCTTAGAACTTGGGTCATACTGCAGATACGATTGATTGGCAGCAGTTTGGATGCTCTTTGAGTGTTCTCATGCAAAAGGGTCTTGTGAAGCGACACCACACCGAGGCGCCAGCCAATGCTGCGACTTCGTTCATGGACAATCCCCCAAAAGTCGATGCCAAAGTAAACGTCGATGGCAACGACCTCAATCCCGCCACAAAGGCCCCCACCCCAGCCTGAAACCGTCAATACTACGGTACAACAAGGACGCCAACTCATCACCTGACCTCACTCACCCCCGACCAGAGCAAACAGAAAAACTCAAGACCTGGGGCATCGAGCCAATCCTCGCCAACCCGGCATCGGCATGTCCAGCCTGACCGTTGCGTCCGCCAGATGGGGATGTAATGGCACAGTGGCACAGCAGACCTGGGCGCAGTCAGTCAGTCAGTCCTGCATGGTACGCAGAGTTCAACGGACACGTCGTGTCCAGTGCAGCAGCACACTTGTGGAACTCACGCGCCCCCCAGCCCACCTCCAGACATGCTTGTAGACGTGTTACGGCATTCCTGGGTGGGACGATCAGCACAGTTCGGTCAGCCAGATGAGGGAACGCCATGGTGGATCCTGATGGGCGATTGAAGACATGTTGTAGCGTTACACATATACCGTCACAGTGGAGATGATAGCAAAGGTGTACACCGCGCTACGAGTCGGCAATGCCACGTCTTGCAAACTCGAGGCAGCAACAGGTCAGCCATCAACCAGCCTTTGTGCGAGTCTCGTGCAGTCACGTGCGAAGAATGTCATGATGGTTTTGAGTGGGTAACTTCTGGTATTGTGTGAGTGATGGTGTGGAGATATCTAATACACAGAAAGCGAGTTGGGCAAGATCGTTTTGCCTCTTCTACTCCAGTCTCCCATATAGTATGCTTGCTGGTGTTTTGAGCCGGTCTCTCTCCCGTGATTTCCAAGGTGCCTCGAGTTCGCCGCTGCGCCGCCTTTCCCATAACTGACTTGTTTTTGTGGTGTTTTCCAACCAAAACAGATGTAAAAAGAGATAAAATACCAAAACTCCCAATGCTGAGCAATATTTGAATCCTCAACCCCATACGCGATGCAGTTTACGACGAGCCTTTCCTCCCCAAGAAACGAACTAGAAATGCAACTCCCAGAGCGGCAAACACGAGGCGCGAACCCTTCGGAGATGTAAAAGAGAGAGAGAGAGAGACCCAGCAGCACACTAATCCAACCGTTAAGATGGTGGAAAGATGAGAAAAAGAGACAGTGATAACCCAACTACAAGTGGTGAAGCCGGCTACGCCGGGCTAGCACCAACCCACTCGAGGCGCTTCTCAGAGCGCCAGTTCCAATTGAAGTCTCGCCCTTTGTTCTTGCTCCAAGGACATTCTTTGACCCGTTCCCGGGGCTGATGTTTGTTGTTCATCCCGTGGCTGTGATGGTTGGCGAGCGTGAAATTATTGTGCGTGAAATTGTTGTGATGTGTTGAACCATCAACACCGAAGACCCCTTGGCCAAAGAAGTTTCCGGCCTGGTGACCAGTCTTCAAGGTGAAGTCTGGCTTGGGCATGGATTCGCGAGTGCCCGTGTATGCGCGGCGCTTCTCTCCAAGCTTGGCCCACTTGTCCATAGATCCTTGCTTCTGCTGAGGAGGCGATTGACGATGTAGGTCGTGAGACTTGACCGGACTGACATCTTGGAACAAGAAACTGTCTGGCAGGTCTCCATCCATGTCGATGGCGTCTTCAATAGAGACTCGAGGCTTAGCGTTGATGACGGACGACTTGACGTTCGGCGACAAGCCCTGCCGGGGCGTGTCGTCGTCGTCCTTGCTGTCTTCACTCCAAGTCCTGGAATTCATCCTCTTGAGAGCTCGAAGCTGGCGAGCCCGCTCCTCCTCTTGGTGCTCTTCCTCCTCTTCCTCCCAGAGGTCGCTCCAGCTCTTGGACACGGCACCCTTGTCGCCAAAGACCATGGACATAGCTGGCACATTGCGAGGCTTGGACATGGTGATTGGCAGGGAGCCAGCCATCGGCGACACCTTTGCAGCTGGCTTCAACATCTGTCTGTTGATGTTGAGAGACTGCATGGAAGTGGGAAAGCTCGAGTCCATGATGGAGGAAATGGATGGGGTCTGGGTGGAGAACCAATCGGTCGTAGCCGCAGACTTGGAGAACAAGTCTTCGGTGTAGCTCTCGTCGTCCGGGATGGCGCTCAACTGGCGGATAGGTAGCAAAGAACTGGTCGTGTGTAGTGCCTTGGCCCAAGGGAATGCACCAGTGTCTGCCATGGGACTCTGGATCGACGGCGTGCGCAGCGGCTCCCGGTTTGCCGACGCAATGTTGGCATGGGAGGAGCAGAACTCATCATCATCCTCCTCGAGGGTGGTGAAGCTCACGACACGGTTCAGCGCGCGGCGAGCTCCGACCAGTGACCTCTTGCTTGGATCCATGTTCATACACTCGACAATGACCTCGTAGGTATCCTGAGACATCGCGGGAAAGACGTCAAAAAGGGACTGCTTGTCACGGGAAAAATCCAGGAACAATGGGTCGGACTCAGTCGGGGTGGTGAAGGGGTTGCGGGAGAAGAGGATGTTGAGCAGGCAGACACCGATGGCCCAGATGTCAGCCTGGGCAGGAGAGTACCCAGCACCGGCTGAGTCGTACTGCTCCGGTGACATGTACCGATCGCTGCCCACACCAGTCTCGTACGTCCACTTATCGGTGGTGGCCAGCCCGAAGTCGCCCAGCTTCATTGATCCGTCCTTGGCGAGGAAGATGTTCTCTGGCTTGATGTCCCGGTGGTAGACACCCTTCGAGTGGATGTAGGCAACAGCGTCGACAAGCTCCAACATGAAGCGCCGGACATGTTCGGTCTCAAGGGGTCCTTGATCAACACGGATGGCCTCATAAAGATCACCTTGCTGGCAGAACTCGAGGACCAGGTACATGTGGGCATCTGTCTCGAAGGAGTGGACCAAGTTGACAATGTTGGGGTGGCCGCCGAGGTGCTGGTGGAGAGTGAGCTCCTCCGACTTGTCATCGATTGCGAACTCTAGGCCGGCATCATCGGCAGCCGCCTTCTTCGTCAGGCACTTGATAGCCACGACGTCCCCAGTGACAAGGTCTCTAGCTTTAAAAACCATGCCGAAGGATCCATGGTTGAGTGGTGAGATGGTTTCATATCGACCACCCAGGACAACGCCGCCGGTAAACTCGTCTCGCAAGCATTCCATTGCCGTCAAAAAAAGAGTATCAGAAAATTAGAAGAGATGTAAATTGCAAATTAACAAGGCCGCGTGGTGACAAAAATCTCCGGAATGCTTTTGTCGAGAGCCCTAGGCCAGTCTATGTCGATGAAGAATGATGATGTTGCCTAGCGTTTTTGGATCCACAATGAATAGTTTACCAGTTGTGTACAGCGTAACAGAGTCGAATGGGATTTGCGGCGGAAGGTGCGGTTGCCTGAAGGCGGAAAGTCGTAGGTAGGAAGGTGCAAAGGTGGCAGAAGGCGATGTACAGAACGCGAGGTGGAAAACAAAAGCAACTCCAGATTCGTTCAACTTCGGAGGCTCATCGATGGGTATTTCGGTTGGTCAAAACAAATGGAAAAACAGATAGCTTGAATGGTGCTGATTGTGTCGGTCGACAGTGCCCAGTTGAGCAGAGGCAACAAAAGGAAGGTCGTCAAATGTGCATTGAAAAGATGTATTGTTGGATAAAGAGCGACGTGGTTTGGGTAAAGTCCGTTCAGCGGTGGGGGGTAGTTTGGGCGAGTGAGTCGAGGGATGACAGTGCTGTGTCCTTAAAGATACAGCAAGGTCGTCCCGACGGCGATGAGGTGGTTTCCACGGAGGGAGGTCGTGGAGGGCGGCGGCAAGGGGTGGTGAAGATGACGAGGTCCAGACACGAGGTGTGAGTAATCGTTGAGGCACGGCACTGCCGTCAAGGAAAGCGGACCTCGGGTGCTGGGAGGACCCTGGGATTGAGTGGGTAACGGTTGAGAGAGTTGTTGGCACTTATCCAAGCACCGGTGCCAAAGAAGTCGTTATCATCCGGGGGTGGGTTTTGTACGGAACAGGCAGGCGAAGAGATGACTCTTCAAACCTTCCTCGTTCAACAGCAAACGTCCCGCTATGCTCTCCCGAAAGACGTGCGGATCACGTAGGTCGATTCGCGAGCAACGTTTGAGATGACGTGGTCCGCGGTGGAGAGGTGACCAGATTATCGCCTGGGGGTGTGGTGCACTGCGGAAACAGGCACGAGAGCGTTGGTCGAGTGTCTTCGGAGCTGATGCACAGGCAGTTGCGGTAGGCAACACAGAGCGGGCGTGCAAATGACTTCGAGACAGGTCAAGGTCGGGTCGGTGGTCGTCGAGGTCGGTGGTCCGAGGCCGAGTGTGAGAGCTGATTGCTGAACGAGTCACAGAGGGCACTTGGCGGATGAGACCGACGTCACAGTGTTCCTTGATCAGGGGGGTCGGATGGCTTGATCGATCGAGGTGATGTTTCGATGGCTATCGACTGGAACAATTGGCTTGCAAGGAGGTTGACTGGACTTTGACTTGACGTGGGAAGAGGGGGCTGTGGACGGGAAAGACGAAGGGCTGGTAGAGGGGGAATGGCGATGTGAAGTAGGGAGAGATAGGATAGAGAGAGGAGGTTGGGTGAGTCGAAACGAAGATGGCGGTGGAGGGATCAAGTGACGGGAAGAAGAAGGTAGAAGAAGATTGGTCGACCTAAGTGCTGGGTGCGCAAGTGTGAGTGTGAGTGCGAGTGAGCGAGCCGTGAGCTGCGCAGCGGAACGCCTGGGGGAGGTGTGAGGACAAGAACGAGAACGACAAGGACAAGGAACAGGGACGGGGCCAGGGCCAGGCGCCAAGGAGCAGGAAGTGTATGTATCTATGCAGCAAGAGGGAAGCCAGTGCCAGTGCCAGAGCCCAGAGGAAGAAGGGAGCGTGGGTGGGTTGGAGGGGTGTGTGTGTTGGGGGGGTGTGGGTGTGTGGGTGTACCGGTATCCAGGCGAGACGGAGGGCGTGCGCGTGTGTGTGTGGACGTTCGCCTAGCAATAGAAACCGAAGGAAACGGATGGCTCACTCCAGCAGCTTCTGGGGTGATGAAAGGAAAAGAGTCAGACCTGGAGGTGAGATTAGCAATCTCGTCTGGGGTCCGTCCTGGTAGACGGCGGCAGGGGTGGCTGCAAGCGTCAGGCCTAGGACTTATCGCGTGGTCACAGTGCCCACAGTGCGCCATGCATCCCATCTGCCGCTGTGGGCAGATCGGGCTGTGTTGCTCGGCCACGTCCTGGCCCAGTCTGCCAGTCACTGGCAATGCACAACAGCGACAACACTCCAGCAGGCGGGCTAGTCCAGCCAGTCATCCATAGTGGTTTGGCCAGTCTGCCCGTGTCTGCCAGCCTGGATGTTGACTTGGTCGATGGCACAGTGTCCCTGGGCAAGCTTGGAACACCGCCCAAGACATCGCTACTGTGCCGTGGGAGATCTGCACTGGGTGTGACCGGGCCCAGAGATGACGAGCGAGCTCGCCTTTCTTCTGTCTGGCTGGCTGGCTGGCTGTCTCTCTCTGGCTGTCTCTGGCAGGGGAGCCTGGGGGAGGGCGGTAAATTGAACTGCCATCACCATCGACAGGCGGAATAGCACGTCAGGAGCCCACGCTTGGACTGTGTGAATCCGGTAGATGAGGACCATGCAAGTACCTGGCCGCATGCGCATCGCCCTGTGGCGAGCGTTGGTATTCTTGGAAAAGCGGGCTATCAGGAAACAAGGAATGGGCCTGGGATGCTGGGACGCTGGGGGGCCGTGGGGACAGATCGGGCTAGCTCCCCTCGACGTCCAACTCCGTCCGGGCTGGCCCCTCTAGCCTCGTTGGGAGTCACACCCTTTGAGCCTGTTGACCTTGGCCTGCCTTGTTCGGGGTTGGTCAGGAGGACGCCGCAGTAGGCAGATGCACCGTGTACAAGTTGCAGCTGTCCTGCATTGGCCCTGCGTCTGCTATCGCTTTCACCGCCAGTTACCTGCTGCCCGCGTACTGCTGAGGCCACCAGAAACGGCATCGAGACCACGGCTTGGAGTATCGTCCGGACCAGATTGCGCGAGGCTGGGCCTATCTATGCTCAACCCTCGCGGCATGGCCTCCAGGTATCGCGTGCGCCCCCCGTTCTTGTCCCTGCAGATCAAGGACAGCAAAGAAGCCACGTTATCCGGATCCTCTTTGGCTTGCTCTGGCTCTCGGCTGTCTGGGGGCCTAGGGGACCAAAGATGAGAGGGAGCAATGGGGAGCTCACATCCCCCACCACTTATGCCCCCATGCAATTCCGTTTCACTTCGGTCGGCACGCCCCCCTTATTGGTTGAAGCTCAGGTACTCCTTTTCCACTGCATGCGTTCCAACCGCTTGAACATGACCACTAAGGCGGGAGCTGCTCTGTCAGCCGTCTCAGATAGAGATTGCCGATAGCAACAAGGTTGGAATTCCGTGATGATACGATTTGAGACCGCCGAACTGTCTTTCCATGCGTGTGTGTGCATGGCGGATGGATGGAATGACCATTGACCAGAGACAACAAGGCAGCACGAGTTGGCCAGGCGTTGCAACAACAAACACAGAGGGTAGTTCGCAGTACGTCACCGGCAGTCCGAGAATAATAATAACAGGTGGCTGAATTCAATCTCCATCAATGCACTTCCAGGCGCAGGAACCGCAGAAATCAATCAAACCCGGCCACGTCCCATCGTGACCTATTATGGACCCCACATCAACTCGTAACTCATCGTCAATCTCGTCATGCCAGGGCTAGCGGCAATAATGCGGACTGGGATGGAGCTCCGAAACGCTGGTCCAGGACGACCGCCCCGAAGGCGACGCTCTCAAAACGGGCACCGAGCTGGGCCTGAAGCCCCCGTTCGCTTCCAGGGGCCCAGTTAAGCTCCCGAGAGGCGCGCTTGATGATGAACTCTCCCACCCAGCGCAGAACGTCGAGCCATTCTTCGCGGCCTCGAGGTCACCAGACCCGTCAGTCCGACGAAGCTATGGCGCCACTGCGGAGCTTCACTTTGCAACACTCTGTCCTCTGCTACGTCCAAGGGATGGTGGACGGGCGGGAATTGTGTCCATTGAGCGTGATGCAGTCTTTAATCGATTCCTTTGTCTTCTGGTCGATTGCGCCGTCGTGCCGTCGATGAATCCCGGGCCGCCACATTTGCAAGAGTGAGACTGGCCCAGCGTCTAGACCCCATCCTTCAGGCCGTGTGACAGGCGCCGGAGCCGCTATCGGACGGACGCCTAGGCTCTCGCGTGCAGCTTGGCCCCATGCCATGGCAGCTTGGTTACCTCAGCTCCTGACAGGCAGGAGGCTATAGCGGCGAGCTATCAGAGCGCACCCCCCCACCAATTCACGGTCGTAACCTTTGGGTCGTAGGGGGCAAAGGAATGCAACGGCGTTATCGGTATCGCAAAAACGGATTCGTGGCATTTATCGCGATACATGCGATCTGCCTGCGCTGCGTTACTGCGTTTCAGCCGCCTGCATGTTTGAGCCTTTCTTTATGTTCTTCCGTGATTGCCAGACCACTACCGCGGCCGCTCTTGGGCTGCTCAGGAGGTCAGCCCGGCGGAGAGGTGGCAGAATATCGCAACGTGCAGGAGCTCTGCTAGACGCGTCGGGGGGAGGGAACGGCTTCATTGGCCCTTGGAAGCAGCTGCTGGGTCCTACAATGGGCCGTCTCGGGGCGTGACGAGCGAGGCAAGTCACAGCTGGCCTTGGCTGAGATTGCAACGGGTTTGACGTTCTGGCGGTCAGGGTTTGTGGTCAGGAACCCAACCCGCATTTGTTTACTACTGCTTAATTCCAGCCCATACTTTTATTATGAGACGTATACGCTGATGTATGTGACTGATCATTGGTTGTCTCGGCCGCAGGTTGACCAAGGGCGCAGGATTGAAGCGCATCGCCTGTCACACCGTACCTTGCAACCTGGGCAAATCTCGCGGGTCTGGCCACGCCCATGACGATTTCTGATGCTGTGTTTCGTACACGTTACGATGCCGAAAAGGCTTGTTGACTCGCCACGCGCTTGTCACTGTCGTGATCGTACTGTACGGCGGACAAACTTGAGTTCCGATTTGAAGTGCTGTCTAGTGCTGTACGATGTACGCTTGGATGTCTTGCCAAAGCATCGAGGTGCCTGGGTTGGCCGGGATTGGCTGACTCTGCAGCAAGCCGGAAGGCTGGTCAGGCTGGTGTTGAACCGTTACCGTGGCAGTGGCAGTGGCAGTGGCCGGGTGCCCGTTCGGTGGTGGGCAGATCTCTGCGTTGCTATCTCGCCATCTCGCCCTCGCTTCGTCTTGCTCTGCTTCAATGTAACTGCCGTGCAACCTGAAGCGGTTGGCTGGACGTGGGACTGCACGAAGCCGGCCTAGCTCCATCGATGGTTAATGCATAGACCCTTTCGCGTAAATAATACTGTACCTAGTCTTGCTCGAGTCGGTCAGTAGGGCAGAACGGTACCAAACTTCTTGACCGTTGATTGACCGTCTGTCTCCCTAGCTTGCCTACTCTGCCTGCTCGAGGTGATGATGGTGGTGGTGGTGCTGCTGTTATTGTCCAGATGCAGTCCGAGCCTGGCGATACCGTAGCGATTGAGCGTCTATACTGTGGAGACACATCTCAGGAGACGGTCAACTACAAACAGCAGTCCCCATCAGTCCCATCGGAAAATTGTCATCATCTGTGCTGTTGACGAAGAGGTTGCATATCCGTGCTCCATTTCTTTCCCTGCCCCCTACTGTACCAGCCCGCCAAGGCGTGATAGTGGGGTTGGTAGATACAGTAGATCGGCACTACCATCCCAAGCTTCCCAGGGGATGGGGTTCTGGGCTGCACTGGCCTCCTGCTGCCCTTACCGCTCGTTGGGGGCCGGCCACTTCCAGTCCGAGAAAACTGCTGTGCTGTACTTGGGAGCTCCCCTTACCCATGATGGCGCCAGGTGCTGGTGCGGCCTACAACGGCAAGGTCTCATCCTAGACACGCCCACGACACCATCACAGTCTGCAAACGTCGCGTCTGCCGCTGCACAACGACGGAAAATTTTTTTCTCTTCAAGCAACCTAGATAGCCTAGGCAATTCTACTCCCATATTTGAGCCTCCTAAGGCCTCTCTAACCAGGGAGCTTGCCTTCTCACCGCTCAGCTTACGCCCTCTCGTCGACCATTTTTTTCGGCCGACAGGCTGCTCACCTGCTGTGTTGCATCCCGTCGACACCTTAAAGGCTTTTTCCACCGCGGAAAGCGCCAGGCCAGAGCATCGACTCGTTAGCGCATCTAAAGCATTGAAACGATACCATGGCGGAACTAGCCTCCGTCAAGGTCGTCTTGCTAGACATCGGTAAGGAACAAAGAAAGAAGGAAAAAAATCAGACGAGGCACCAGCTCCTGCAGGTTCCAACGCCGGCTCCCAGTCCGGCAGTCAGGGAACTTGCATCCTACTCCCGACACCAGAAACCCGCACATCTTTACTCTTCTCGAGCTTCCTGCGGGCTCATGACTTGCTAGATGCAGTATCCCACCTCCCCTCGACCACTTTTCTCATCCAAGCTCCGTCGCCAGTCGTCAGCATCAGCGATGCGTGCCCAAATCCAGATGCAGCAGTGCATTAGCCGGGACAAATGAGCTGATGAGCATCTTTGACAGAGGGTACCGTCTGCCCAATCTCATTCGTAAAGGCTGTTCTGGTGGGCACATTGATCTTCCCTTTCTCGTCCCCAGTCGACTCCGTTTTCCTGCTCCATCTGCATGCACGCGACCTGCCCCCAAAAAACCAGGCCTATGGGATGTCACCCATCCTTTCCGTTCCCGCCTTGACGTTGGAGCAAGTGTCCCTCTTTGGACCGTTGATGGGCGGGTGCTAGTTGGCGTCACATCTTGGAGACGACAGTGCTCGTGCTCAGCAAGTGCTCCATCATCCTCTTTGTTCGCCCCGGCGACGATCTCCAGCTTGGAAGAGTGGCAGCAACGGGCGATCGTCTCACTGACGAGACCACCACTACCTAGTTCCCTTATGCCCTAGAGGCCATCCCTGAAACTTTGAAGTCGAAGTGGGACGACCCAGAATTCGTTCCCTACAGAGATGCCTTTCCAACAGAGCACAAGGCCTCGCCCGAGGCGTTCCAGGCTCATGTGCAGGACCTGATGGCTCGCGACATCAAAGTCTCGTATCTCAAGGCCCTGCAGGGATATTTGTGGGAGAGTGGCTACAAGACTGGCCAACTGAAGGCACCGCTCTTTGACGACGTCCCGCTCAAGCTCAGGGAATGGAAGCAAAGGGGCCTAGAGATCATGATCTACTCCAGCGGGTCTGTGCCAGCCCAGAAACTGCTGTTCAGATATACCAACTCTGAGCCGGCTGACCTGAACCCCCTCATCTCCGATTACTTTGACACGGTCAATGCTGGACTGAAGACGGAAGGGTCAAGTTATGCGAAGATTGCGGCCGCTCATGACCGCTACCCTCCCGGCAGCTGGCTGTTTTTGAGCGACAATGTCAAGGAGGTTGAGGCGGCAAAGGCCGCTGGCATGGGGAGCTTCGTCGTCCAAAGACCAGGGAACTCTGACCTGCCGGCGGATGTTGAGAAGCACCACAGGGTCATCAGCAGCTTCGATGCGATTTCTTGACTGGGAGCTTAGCCTGAATGAAATCTACCGAGCTTGATGGCTCCGATCGTCCTTCAGTATCCGGGACGAGGCGACTTCAACAAAGCCTTCCCTTGCAATGGATGGCACCAACTGTGTCTTTGACAAATGATGAAGGCTGTAGATAATGTCATCAGCTCTACCCTCCCTCTCCGGAATCGAAGATCTTTCCCCAAATACACACCAGTGGCATAACGTATCACTGCCTCCTGAACGCTGTCCCCCCAATACGGTGGGAAAATATGATGTCGTCACTGCACTGCAGCTCTGACAACACATATTCAGATTCTGTCTGCAAGCGCTGTGATGGGACAGTATTAGATCAGGCTTGATGTCTATACCACTAGTAAGTGTTGTGATACCCATGAAGCCAACCCCTGGAGTCTCAGCGGTACGCTGTGACTAAGCAATCGTCAACTATACGGCGTACAAGTATGTACGCCGAGCACTTGAACCTCGGTTGCCAACCATACTCGAACAACACCGATATCCCCAAACCCGTAACCCAAACTGTCAGCATCGTGCCACCGAAACGTGGCCCAGACAGACCTCAATAAATCCGCAAACGGGCGCAGAGATCGCCGACGTGTTCCAAGGCAATATCCGGGGTAAGACAAGGTGAGGTCCCTACGTTTCCAATTCTCCCCCAGCTCCCAGTTCCGGTTTCGATCGCCCGGTCACCTGGACCACCATTACTCGCCGGGCACGTCCCTGATTCGCCAATGCCCCTCATTCTCAACCGCCCCATGGGGGTCGTTCAAAGGTCAGAGCTCCCGGGCGGACCAGGGGGGATGGGATGCGTGCTCATCGTCCCATCATCGTGCGCGGATGAGGCTATCATCGCCTGACTAGGAGACGGGAGCGCTGCACTCCTCGATCACGGGCCTCAATCCCCATAATCAGTGTCGGCGACCGGCGACGGCGCTGGCTAATAGCGGGAACTGGGACCGGCGCTACATAGCACTCGGCCTCGCGCACGCGGTTCGAAAGCTGGAAGCGGACTCTGGTGGCTGCAGGAAGATCGATGCTAGAGGTGCCGGCGTGAGGAGCGGTGTCTCGTCCAGCCCATGGGGCTGCATATCTCTCCCTGCCTCTTGCAGCAGTCTGGAAAGTGTGGCTGTCTCAACTATTGACTTTTCAGACGAAAAGGTCGCGGTCAAAGGGGAATGGCAGCACCAGTTTGAGCATTGCTCTCTAGTTCTATCCTACCCAAGCGGCGTCCGTCCGCTCCGCAAGCAGCGGGAAGTATCCGCCCTGACGGTCCGCCCTGACGTCCTAACCAACCACGCTGGTGTCAGCCCGTCCCTCTGGGCGCATTCCTCCTGATGGCCTCGAGGAAACGTTTGCTAGTTAGTTCATATCGGCCACTTCCAGCTTACAGTCTCCTTGCTGCGCTCTATACTCCAAGTCGATCCTGGTGACTGCATTGTAAGCATCGCCAAATTGCTCATCAAACATCGCACATGCGCTTCACGGACTGACACCTGACGACGGATTAGACTGGCCAAGCATAGCAACTATGGCATTTCCACCCACCAGACGACCTCGCCCCACGAGTTCAGCCCAGTCCCTGGTGACGATTCCTGATGGCTTGCCGGGAACGGTAGCCTACGCGATGTCCGAAAGTTAACGTCTTCTTCACCGTGTCAACGAGGAAACGGCTGACGAGCACTTGATCGATTGCTTCGCCGGGCACCCCAGACGTGTGCCCAATTTCCATTCTGAGTGGTTGGACGTCACATCTGGAATTAGACTTCAAGTCTGTGCTGCAGTCGAGCACGTTATTTTGCCCGTCTCTGCAAAGCCCCAATGACAAGAGCTTGGTGGTCACGTCCCAGGTCTCTGGGACTGGGGGATCCAGGACTCAGTTCTCTTGGAGGCCGGCTACCCCTTTCCCTTTCCCTCGATGACATCTCATCGTACTGTGCGGACTGTACAAGACAGTGCAAAGACGGTATGAAACATTTTGGGCTTGGCCATCCGATGTGACAACTGATCTTGCTGACCGCCACAAGCAAATAACGACAAATCTTGCCAGAGTCCATTTCTCGTCTGAATGCGAAGAAGCCATGGCAGTCATGGCAGCCATGCCCGCTTCGTAAAGAAAGAAGTCTAGTCAAAGCCATGCAACATCACCCGCTGCTGGAATTGGCTCCTGCTTGACAAGTGGGCGTTCCCATCATTCAGAAGTCGAGAATGGTCAATTCCGCCGGCCTGCACGTTGCGAGGACGAGAGGGCGGAAACGCTCTGGCGGCTAGGGCGAAAGCTTCGTAGCCAAGCTTCCCGGACTGTTGGACGCGGAGAGCAAATTATGACCGAAGGTCTATTTGGGAAGGTTTGTCTCGTAATAACTTACGGCGGAGGTCTGGCCAGGGTCCGTGACGTTCCTTCAGCTCCATTCCAGGATGGTAGCGCGAACTCCATTTCATCTTATCAAGACGTAGAGGTTGTTCTACAGCTGACGCGGCTTGCAAGATATCAGAGAAACTGTGAATGCGTAGAGATGATTCCTTCCGTTCATTCCGATGATTGCTTGAGAACGATAGCGAAGTTGTTGCGTGAAGCACCCGAGCGAAGCTCTTTCTTGGTGAAGGCTGCGCCTGTCCGCAGGAGTGGGGGGCTGTCGACATGCCGCGTCCAAAGGTAGTAGACAAGTTTCTGGGTAGTCTTGGATTCCGTCACCTGGTAGCCAAGAGATGACATGATGGCATTGAGTTTGTCCCCATCCAGGTAGCGTGAGTTCGAGACGCAAGGTGCAGGCAGGACGAGAAAAAGACTTGGGAAGTGCGGTTTCAGCCCTGCATTCGTCCCGTCTCTGAAGCGTGACGGCGGGTGAAGGAAGTCGAGAGTGCGGAGAAGCATGTCACCTCTGCCACCGGCCTCAGGGACAAAATTGAGCACCAATGACAGACTGATGATATCGAATCGTTCAGAATCGTTCTTGGGTAAAGGCCGCTCCATGAAGTCCTGTTGTAGGATTCCCTCTGCCTGGCTGTTCAAGTCAATGCGGACAATGTCAAAGAAGCCACTGAGAGAGCACGCATTCGTCGTGCTCAGTGCACCCACTTCCAGCATGCGTAGACGACGTGGTGACTTGGAATTTGCCAGGGCCTGGAGCTCGGGTTCGATGGGCTTCAGCCAGTCCAGCAAGATCTTGGAGCTGTCTCCCCCACGGTCATTCCTTTGGCCTTGAAGGCTTGCCTGCTGGTACTTCTCAATACCGCCGAGCGAAGCAATTTCAGAGGCTATGGAAGCTGCTGTAGCTTCATCACCGTTCTGAGTCGCTTGCTTCCTCCTCTTCTCCAGGGTGTGGATTTGGTTGATGAGCGTCCTGGTTGCCTTCCGTGAGATGGACTTGGGCTTCTGGACAGTTGGCGGCCGGCCAGCAGCCAAGTTGAGTTTTGGCCTTTTCTTCTTATTGATGCCCATTATTGTTTTCGAGACGCTTGCAAAGAAATCAGAAAACGCCTTCCTGTATTGAATGAGACGAAGTGTTGCGGTGAAGTTCTGATGGTTAAGAGTAGAGCCGTAGTGACGAACAAGGATGGCCGCTAGGTGACCAGCCGGCCGCCAGCTGGCGCGCACCTCGGCCCACCATTTGCGTCGGCCAAACTCAAGTCCAAAACTTTTCCCAGACCTTCTCCCAACCTTGACAATCAACGACCCTTCAGATCCCCACGACCCCGAATTCAACGACGCATCCCTCCGCAGAGAATTCGAAATGGCTCCCTCTAAGACAGGTTCGACACCCTGAGATCGATTTTCTCATTCGCTCGAGATGATGTTGCCGGCGCTTCCACCCTGAGGGCGAGGTCTCCGCCGACCGCAGACGCACGACAACCTCGGATCGCACGACCCCTCCCTCAGGCGACGATGCATTCCAGCAGCAGCAGATTTTGCGAGTTCTTTCACCTCGGAAAGGGCGATTGCTGATGCCTCATTCTATTAACAGGCACCTCCAAGGGCAAGACCCAGGCCAAGAACGCCGCTAAGGCCGCCTTGAAGGGCGTAAGTAATCGACTGGCATCTCCGCTGGCAGCGCAGAGGTCAATCATATGGGGAGACACATGCTGATCAACCATCTGTATTTCAGGTTCACGCCCACAAGAAGCTCAAGGTCAGGACTTCGACTACCTTCCGCCAGCCGAAGACCCTGTCTCTGCCCCGGACTCCCAAGTTCCCCCGCAAGGCTATCCACCACGCTCCTCGTCTCGATGAGCACAAGATCATCGTCCACCCTCTCAACACCGAGAGCGCCATGAAGAAGATTGAGGAGAACAACACCCTCGTCTTCATCGTCGACGTCAAGGCCAACAAGGCTCAGATCAAGGATGCCCTGAAGAAGCTCTACGATATTGACACCGTCAAGATCAACACCCTCATCCGGTAAGATTACATCGGCCTTCGCACTCCAGGATAGAATGTAGCACTAACATGCGGTTACAGTCCTGACGGCCAGAAGAAGGCTTACGCCCGTCTGACCCCCGACGTTGATGCTCTCGACATCGCTGCCACCAAGCTGGCCCTTGTCTAATTGACTTCTGGGAAGTGGGCTATTGCAATGATTTGGGAGGGTCTACAGATACCAAAATAAAAAAACGGAGGGGATTATGGCATCTACCGGCGTCAAAGGGTTCTGAAGGGTATACCAATTGAATGAATTGACACGTCCATGTCCTCTCATGATAGTGCGCCTCTACATGCATGCTGCCAGAATGCCTGGCCCATCTAGAGAGATTCTCTACGTGCTCCGCCGTATCTTCTATAAACACAAGGCTCTTGTGGCAACACATGACCTGGATTCAAATTAAGCATCCGTCCGTGGTTCCCCAGCCGTCTCTGTGAGGTTTTCCTTGCACACCCGATATTGTATAGTGTTATTGTGTATTATCGTGGTGACTCAACGGATCTCGTTCTGTCGGTGATGTTTCTAGCCCTGGCGCATACTCTGCAGGTGCCTCACGGCCAGCATGCTGACGTCCATGAATCGATCCACGCAGTTCGTCAGGCATGCCTCCTCGCCCTTGTCCAGCTTGCCGTTCTTGAAGGCCCCAGTGACACACTTCTTGAAGCACGTTTCCGTCAGATCATGTGATTCTGCCCGCGAAGAATCAATTAGCTCGAGAGAACAATTTGCACCGGGATTGGGGCAGGAAGAGCGGTCGCATACGGGCCTGGATCCGGGTTCGCTGCTGCTCGTTCTGGATGAACTGGCGGAGATCCTGCTTGTCCTTGTCGGTGAGCCTGTCGAGATCGGCTTGGTCGATCGTGGAGGAGTCCATGGCTGCTTCGATGGTTGGTGTTGCTGCTGTGGCTTGGTTTTGCTATGTATGGGGGTCAAGGCGCTGTCGCGAAGCTTGGGGTTGGCGAAAATGAGTGACGCTCAGAATCTTTACCTCAGCTTGCGCTATCTAATCGGGTGCTTCCCGCTTAGAAAGCTTGGCCCCCCGGGACTTCACTCACCTAGACTCAGGATCGACCTCTACATTGAACCGCAAACTAAGCACATATCATATGCAAAAGTCCACTGGTTCAATGACAGTTAAGTACACTCGATGGTTTCTTCGTTGAGAGCCTCATCAATTGAGTCTATTGGCCCCGCTGGGAATTTCAGACCAAGACCGCTTCTGCAACAGAGCCCTGCGGTCATGGCCAGTGCCTTGGACCCTCTTCGTCACACTAAATTCATAGCCTGTCGGATCTTGTCTCTGGGAAAAATGTTTCGATCTCATCATCGATGACTGGATTACCCGACTTATGTGTGCTTCTCATTGAAACCACACAAAATATGGCCTGACTTTTTGGGCACGGCTCTGACCGCATCTGGGCGATACCCTCCAGATCCTGGCAGCGTATGGAAACGGTCGTCTTATACGGTAGGACAATAGTGAATTTGAGTCAAGCAAGGTTTTCCTATGTTGACTCTACGTCGCGGAATTCGGACGCTCAATACGCCCCGGTGCTTGACCAAGCATGCTAGGGAAATGCACGCAAGGTCCTCTTGCCCCCGGACCGGAATTATACTCTGAGCGGGACTCGGCCGCCTTGATATCCACCTCTTCTGTCTTGGTCTTAATTCAATTTTTCACGGGTTACTCTTGTTGTCGTGACATGCAGGTCGACTTAAACTCATCGTTAGACTGCGTGTCGGCTGTCCTAAGAAGGCACCAAAGCTGCTGTTTTGATATGACCAGACAGTTTCTCCATTCCCATGGCTTTTTCTTCTTAGAGAGCGAGCTATAGACACCCCTCTGTCATATAATCAAGGCTCATGGATCTTTCCCGTTCCAGATGAATTGAACAGGCTCTTTGAGCTATCCTCCCAGTAATTGTGCGGACTTTGCCTTCCCTCCTCTTCTTTTTAGCCGTTCTATCGCAGCTTCCGTTGATAAGATTCTTGCAATGGTGAAACAGGTTTCGAAATCACTTTTTCAGTACCCTTAATGAGTCAGATAGGCTAATGAAGTAGATACATTGAGACTGCAGCATTGTGGCTGCCCATTACCCAACTCACTTGATATAGTGTTTTCTCTTGCTTTGTCAACAAGCACGTCTATATCTGATACCTGAACTCGGGCGAACGATCTGTATACTTCTCTGGAATTACACCGACTCCTTCGATTGTAGCTTGATCCTTACCCGCCTGACGTCTGAGATAGATCCACCGCACCACCCACCATCCAAGCCATGCAAATGCCAGGCATCCCAAAGACCACGCATGACCCAGCGTAAATTTAGGGGCGGCATTGGTCTGGTAGATCTGCCCTGAAACAACGCCACCGATGTTCGTCAAGGTTAATAAGATGCCCAAGCTCGCAGCTCGTTTTCCGTCAGGAGCGCAGTTACCAGACAACCATGCACTATATTGAATGACTCAAGCTGTCAGCTAAATGTTGTTTATATCTTCTTATGCAACTAAGCGTGTGCTTGAGGGGTATTTCGTACATATTTCCTCCGGTACACAGAAAACAAGCTGTGGCGATGAGATAAGTGGCAAAGTACTGGACGGCAGGTGACACTTCACACAGAAGAATCGCATAGCCTGCAATGCCAAAAGGTGCGCAGATGATCATCGGGAGGAAACGCTTGTTGTACTTGTCTGAACGCACTGCACCCACGGCGTAGACCAGCGCACCCCAAAGGTTGACGGGGATGACTAGATACTGGGCTTGTACCAGAGAGTAGCGGAAACCTTGTCTGATGATGATGGGGAGGAACGTGCCAAAACCTGATTTGCATCGGTCAGCTCTAGTTTCCTGCCTGCTGTGCTTCCAGCGTCGAATCGTTTAGGACGTAGCCACACTACTCACCGTACAGAATAGTTACCACCGCGATCTGTATCACACCATGCACCCAACTCTTTATATCTTTAGCAGCTTCCATGATGTCTTTTTTCCCGTAGTGACCCGATCCTCCACTATAGGACGCCATTTCCTCGGCGCGTTTTCTCATGAGCAGCTTTTCCTCGGCATTCAAGAAATAGGCTGTCTCAGAGTCCCTCGGTACGAGGAAGACACAACATGCAGCCCAAGCGACTGTAATTATGCCTTCGATAATGTAGAGCCTTAGGTCTGAGGTCAGTCCTGAACTGGAGCATGGCTGGCTCTAAATGGCAGAGTAAACAAACCATCGCCACCCTGGCATATTGGCCACACCATTCATACCCAGCATGGCCCAGGCCAGCAAGCCCCCGAAGGCTCCTGAAAGAGCTGACGCGACTGTGAATTCGTCAGACTTCCCCTCACAGATGTGTCGTGCATGTTGGCTTACTAAAGAGGAACGCTATGCGGACAGCCAGCTCCTCGCGCTTGTACCAATTACAAAGAAACAAGGTCATAGCAGGGAAAAGGCAACCTTCGAAAAACCCCAAGAATATACGACACACCACAAGGGAGCCAAACGACTGAACAAAACCTGTAGAGAGGCATACTATTCCCCAGCAGAAGGTGATAGTGGGAATGACTCGGTTGAATTGGAGCTGCTTGACCAAGATGGAGGTAGGAAATTCTGCGAGGATGTAGAAAATGTAGAACACCGAAACTGCGGTCTATTGCGTTGTTAACATGCGGCATTCCGATACAATAAAATCGACCCGGGTGTATAATAAGGTGTATACATACATTCAATTCGGAACCCTTGAGGCGGATGTCCGCCGACATGCCCTGAGTCGCAGCAAATCCAATGTTGCCGCGGTCCAAATAGCTAATGAGCATCAATAACATCATGACAGGCGCGATGAAACAGTCAAGCTTGCGGATAAGTGCTTTCTCGCTCCGCCGTTCCTGGTCTGTTACGTCCTGATCACTATACTCATTGTGGACCGTTTCTGGGACTCGAAGACCAACGGCTTTTTCATCTGCGAGTCGTTCGGCCATGGTGGTTTCCGAATTGCGGTCAGTGCAGTGGTGGGAAAGATAATGAGATGTCACAAGGGAAAGAAGAGCAACCCCACCGTACGACGTCGAGAAACTTGGAACATCAATTGCTCCTACAACTTCAGGCTACCTTTGCCGACGGCTGAGGGCACCTGGGCACCTGGGCACTGCTGACTGTATACATTAGTATTGAAGATCTCCAGAGATCACTGTGATACAGGACCCCTCCTAACCAATGAGCTTCCAGTTCCCTAGTATTGGACACCGACGGGAGCTGGCTACCCCGCTTGCTGTTGTCTAAAACAACTGTGTTGTTATCCGGACACATGTATCTCCGAAGCAGGCCTAGGTATCGAGGTGTTTATGTGTATTAAAGAAAGAATCGACACCTAAAGAGGCAAGCATAGACCGCGTCGCTGGAGAGTCTGGAAAAGAAGCAATTAGAATATGGCAATGGTGGTGGTAGTTTCATGGCTGAGACATCATGACGGTGGAAATTTAATGTGACTATGCGCAGGCAAGTTGCCTATGAGCGAGGATTTGAAAGCAGTACCTTCTCTGGTTCAGAAATCCACAATAAGAGGGGGTATTATTGGGTTGACTTATTCGCTGCCGGTGATGTAATTACGAATATCTAACATCCCATTCATCTCACCGTAGCTTTGGAGCAGATCAATAACCTTTATTAAACTTTGCATTTATGGATGCCTTCATTGCTTGTACGGCGGATATATCTGGCCCACAGAATCTCCTTTCTCTCTACCACGTGCTATGCTGGGAACTCCTCACACACTACATTGCTGCTGTTGTTTTTGGTAACACTTCAGGCCTGTTGTTGGCCACGATGAAGCCCACGCGATATGAAAAATTTCAGAGGTCTTTCTTGAGCCGTCGTGCACATGACTACGCCTCTTGAAACAGGTTTTAAGCCGACGGCTTCAGAACATGGATCGATCTATACGGATCCATTGTAAGGACTCTCGCATCGTGGCTTCTCGGGGCCATCCAAGCTGCCTTTGAAAGACATTGCATAGTCCTTTTATTTTATTTTGAATTCCCATTCCTGTTCTTTTGCGGCGTTTTACAGAGTCCACGCGTTCAACACAGACGACCACAACTTGGGAATGTTCAATTTTGTATCCGCACGGCCATGGAAATCATCCGCTTCTCCCTTCACGTTCCCCGGCGAAGTTGCAGAGAGCCGGGACCTCGTGGTGGATGTCACGCGTCTCTCGCCTCCTCGTCATCGACAACGACGATTACTAAATGCGGCATTGAAGAAAATTCCAGAGAGGGACGGCACTATCGCCAGGAGGCTGAGAGTACTACAGAGGCGCTCCTATACCCACGCCTCCTACCCCTGAATGAAACAGAGTAAGGTATGTGGCGTCCTCGATGACGGTATCGCAACGTGCATGAGGTCTGCGTTCCCACATGGCGGCTGGATGAGAGACCTGGAACTTTAAAAATTTGCTTGTTGATTCAATGATTCCGCGAGCCAAGGGCGTGTCAGCTTGAGACACGGCGGCTTGGGCACAGTGAAGCGGCCCGGGCAAAAGAAATGATCTGACACGGCTGCACGGCAGAAACAAGAAGGCAGACCGTGGCGTGAGGGCCCTGGCATCTCGGCGTGACACGGCATGAACAGAGTCTGGTGAAGAGAATCATTCCCAGGGAAGACCGTGATCCCCTGTGAATCAAACATGTTTGTCTACTTATGTACTCATTGTTTTCATTATTATCCCACCCATGTTTGTCACTCCCAAATATGACACTCCTCCCAATACAGTTGGAGCTTCTGCTTAGCACAAGGCTCAGAACGAAGGCCAGCGAACCCACGAGAGCTGCCTAGGCCCCTCCTAACTGCGCACTCGCTTGCTGTCTTAGACAAAAGTGCGGGTCACGTTGACCGCCTCACACGTCGGGTTGATCGGCTCCCCCGTGGTGGCCCAAGCAAGGGCATTGTAGTAGTAGCCGGTGTATGTGTAGCACGCATACCACTTAGCAGAGTCAGCCAGGTGCCCTCACACACACATGGGAGGTTTTGGGGAAAATGAATCTTGTAACTCACCTGGTACAAAGGTTTCTGTGCTGTCGCGTTAGGGTACTGGCCAGCCACGAAGGTGCTCTCGTCGTATGACCCGGAGTAGATGAAGAGCTTGTTGTCGGCGTCGAACCCGACGTAGTCGTAGCTTACGGACGGCGTGAACCAGGGAACGGCGAGGTTGCTGTAAAGTGTCTGCGAGAACGACAGCCCGGAGCTCAGGTTGAACCCGGAGCCCTGGAGGATCCAGACGAGGGGCCCGGTGCCACTGGACGTGACGTTCAGCGTGAATGTGTTGTAATTGACCGGGGTGCCGTCCGTGCCGTCCAGGCAGAGCTGCTCTATGGCGGCGCCGGCGTGGCAGGCGCCGAGATATTGGCCGTTAATGTCGTCGTTGTCGCTCTCGAGCTTCAGCGTGAAGGGGGCAGAGGTGTTGAAATCCTGCGCCGACACGGCTGAGAGCGTGAAGGCGAGGAGGGCGGAGAGGATCAACTTCATGGTGATACGATGACGTCAAATTTCGACGATGTAAGCTGATTGAGGAGGAGGAGGACGTGGGGATGGAGAGCACAATGGGCAGAAGGGGGCAATGATTAGAGATTAATAGTAGATATGTTCTGGTGATCTGACGATGATCGACACTGCACTGAGTGGAGCGAGATTGAGAAAAGCCCTTAGCGGAGAGGAGAGGGCGGACGTTGCATTTATATGTAGACCGCCTGCGTGCAGGAATCCAGGACGATACCACACAACGTCCAGGAGAGGAAAGAGGAAGTGACGAACCTACAGGTACGATACCTACAATACGAAGCATTGCATACCTTCCGCTCCTCACATGACGAGTTGGGCGTGCGTCGTTAACCGACTCGGGCCTGTTGATTCCATGGCCAGAGGTAAGCTACCGCCAACAAAGATCGTTGACGATGAAGTCGGACAGCCCGTCTCAGACAGGTTGTTGAAAATTTTAGCGAGCCAGGCTGGCTCGCTGCTTGGTGGCGGAGACAGCACTTGTCGTCAAGCGCTCGTCCCGGGCGCGGTTAGTCTACACGACTGCATGCTCCCGTCGGTTCATGACAGAGGTCTGAGGTATGAGGTCTGAGGTCAGACCGGCTGTCTCGGTTTCGATCCCGCAGAAAAGGATGGATACGCCACGGAATAGACTGCCGGTCGGGCTTCGGTACGAGCCCGGGCACGCACACCTGTAGTTCAAAATCGCCATGTGTCAGGCAGACTGCAGAGTGCGGTCAACGCATTAGGATACGAAATGCTGTTTTAGTCCTTGACCAGCTTCTGGGTGCCGGTGAAAAAAGTAGAGCAGAAAAACTCGCGGAGGGATCGGCGAGTCTCGTGACGATCTTCAACAGGGGAAGGAAAAACGGGAGGGGTAATCACTGCTCTTGTCGCTGTGTGGTTGTTTATGGCCACATCCTTAAGTGCAGAGCACACCGCATTGGTGCGTTAAGCCAAGAGGCTTTTGACGTTCGTATTCGACTGTCAGGTGCCGTCTAGCTTGGGTTTTCTGAGCTCCCTTTCTCACTCTGGTCGGCGCTAGCATTGCAGTCGAACGAGCAGGCACCTGCCGGCAATGGAACTGCAAAAAGTACTCAGTCAGCAGTTGTGCATACTAGAGCACTTGAGAGTGGTCGTTGAAAGCCGGTAGATGTGGTGTTTCCCTTTTTGGCAATGTCAACATGACGGTGCATCCCACCCATGAGCACAGAGTGCCTAGTGAGTCGCTAGTCTCAACTCCATTCTGAATGAAGTTCAGACTGTCAGGGGATTGTAAGACTGGGTTCAGCGATGGACGCTTGGATCTCGGAGCGTTGCATACATCACTGGGCTAGGAGCCGAACTTGAGTCTATCTTCTAGACAAAATGCCAGGGCAACCGAATGAGAATCTTGCTCAGAAACCACCGCCTGCAGAGACTGCCTGACGCAGTCACAGCAGATGAAGCCACACTCAGAGTGTCGGCTGTAGTAATAATGTAGTGCGACCAGTGCCGCGCGGGGAAAGCTGGGATTAGAGCCGATATCAGATCGAGCTTCCGACTGGAAGGGAGGCGATTATCAGGACTTCACATGTCGTCCGTCTCGACCTGCCCCTGCTAAACCCTGCTGAAATGGTTCACGCCACTGACAGCGTTTCCCTCAGCTTTGCTTTCAGCCTTACTTCGATCTGCCAAAGCCCAACATGACCGACCCGCCTCCACTTCAGGCCACCTTTGTGGGGGTGAGCACGATCCTCTTCTCGGCCGGCCAGGACGCGATCCTCATCGACGGCTTCTTCACGAGGCCGTCGTACCTGCCCGTGTTCCTGGGCAAGATCCAGCCTGACGAGAAGATAGTCGCGGAAAGCCTCACGCGCCTGGGGGTCGCCGAGGCGGAGATGGAGACAGAGACGAGCCCGAAGTCAGACTCGCGGACGCTGCACGCAGTCCTGGTGGCCCATACACACTTCGACCACGCGCTCGACGCGCCGCTCGTGTGTAAGCGGACGGGGGCGAGGCTGGTGGGCTCCGAGTCGCTGCACAACCTCGGCAGGGGCCAGGGCGTGCCCGAGGGGCAGATAGTGCTCGCCAGGGACGGGGCGGTGCTGGACTACGGGGCGCTGCGGGTGAGGGTGTGGGAGGGGATCCACTCGCCCGGGGACGTGGCGCCGGGGGACATCGAGGGCCCGCTCGCGATGCCGACGCCGTTCAAGGCGCTCAAGACTGGGAGATGCTACAGCTTTCTGGTAGAGCACCGAGGACGCCGAGCATTTGTGCACCCGAGCGCCAACTACGTGAAGGACAAATTCGGCGGGGTAGGAGAGGTGGACTGGTTGTTCCTGGGGGTCGGGGTGTTGGGCAAGCAGTCGGCCGACTTCAGGGACGAGTACTGGAAGGAGGTTGTTGAGGTGCTGGGCCCGAAGCATGTGGTGCCAATCCATTGGGACAACTTCTGGAAGCCCCTGAGCACGCCGTTGTTGCCGCTCCCATGGTTCCTGGACAGGTTCTCTGTCGCAGAAGAGTGGCTTGGCGAAAAGTGCAAGGCTGCGGGCATCACGATCCATATGATGCAGGCTTGGGACGTCATGGACTGTACATAGTCAGCCCCCATGAGATGGGCCCCAATCATGAGTGGAGTATCGTCCTCGTTGGGAAAGAGCCTGAGCTGGAAGATGGACCAGCCAGCACTGAATGGCTGCTCTAACTAAGAGCGACAAAGTAATATCCGAAGACAAAAGGGAAGCTGGTGTGATAATAAGCTTCGGCCGAGTGAGTCGGCCAAAATTGGGACGGAAGACGGGAGACAGGGGTCGTGGGGAGTAGGCAGGATGCTGTTGGAGGAGCAACCAGTAGCAGTGCCGGGCAATGGTAAGTATGCCCAGGTACAAAGGTACCTGGTGCCTAGGTAGGTGCAAGGGTAGGTGTGACGGGCTGTAGTGGTGAGCTGGCCCCGGCTGGTCCCACTCTCCCAGCCTCATGTTTACTCTAGTCTGCCGACAGATGATGCGCCCTCTGCCAGTTCCTGCAGAAATCTCTGAGAATTATCTATACTTTCTTTCTGTTCTTGCTTGTCCAGCAAGACACTTGACCGGGCGACACCATTGCACGCAACACCTGATGCAGGGAACACGCCGTTGCTAAACCGCCGTAGCCCAGAGCTTGTTCCTAGCACCCCGCCGTTAGCTGCCCTGAGCTCACCACTTACACGGCCGAACAGCTTAGTCTACAGCTGCTGATGAGTTGTCTGGCCGACCACCACTACCACTACCGCTACCACTGCCACCACCAGAGCAGAATCCCATCCCGCCTGGACACCCTTCCATGCCAACTTTTCACTTTCCAATGACGAGACTGCATTCTTTGCGTTGATTGTTTCTTTCTTTCCATTCCACGCCTATCGCTTCCCTATCGCTTCTAACCTCCTTCCATTCCAACCTTATCTGGAAATCTCGAGGCGTGCATAGAGCACACACATCACTACCGCTTGCTCTGTTCCTCCACGTGGTCTCGATTCCGTCCTCACCCACGATTGAGATTGTCTCAGCAATCTCCGGCCGCTTTGCTACGCGGTCAGGCAGGCCGGTCGGCGGTCCGCCACCATGGCGCCGCTGAACGAAATGTCGGCGCCCGGCACCGCCTCCTACAACTCCGATACCATGGAGGTCGGTGACGGGACCTGGGATTTCACAAAGAACGACTTTCTCCTCCCAAACCTCGTCGGTCTCAACTTCGAGACCATGCAATACAATGGTGAGTATCGAGCGTCCCAAAACCTGCAAGTGCATCTGCAATCGCAAGTGTGAACCTTGAGAGCCAATCGCTGACACCGTCCTCCTTCCGCACCTTGATAGGCATGGGCAATCGTTTCTCGACACTCGCACAGTACCACACCCTCATCAAGGCCCACGGCATAATAGGAGCCATCGTCTTTCTCTTCATCGTCCCCATAGCCATCCTTTACGCCCGCTTCTACACCAAACGCCCAGGCTACGCGATTCGATATCACGCCTACCTCCAGATCCTTGCCGTTCTCCTGACCACCGTCGTCTTCATCCTCGGCTACTTCTCAGTCGGTCCCGAGAGGAGCCTGACAAACCCCCACCATGGCATCGGCGTCGCCATATACACCCTGATTCTCCTGCAGATCATTGGGGGACGCCTCATCAAGAACATTAGGGGCCGATCGCTGAGGGTCATGTTGCACCAGTGGTTCGGCCGGACCATTGCCTTGCTAGGCATCGCCCAGGTGCCCCTTGGCCTGACACTTTACGGCTCTCCCAAGTTCACCTTTATCCTCTTTGCAGTATGGATGGCTTTCCTGCTGCTCCTGTACTTTATCCTCGAGTACCGGGCCTACGACCGACCAGATTATGTTGTCCGCGACGGGAGGTCCGAAATTGTTCGCACAGAGCGCAAGTCTAGCGGGGGAGGTTGGCTAGGCCCGCTCGCAGCCGGCGGGGCTGCGTGGGCTCTGCTGCGTGGCCGGAAGAGGGAGCGGTCTCGAAGTAGGAGCCGCTCGCGCGCGTCCCGCGCCCACAGCCGGAGCCGAAGCCGTGCCCCAGAGGTCATCCCATCTCGACGGGCCAGCTATATCGAGGATGAGAAGTACACGGATCGGTACAGCGAGAGACCGAGGAAAAGCACCGAAGAGCACGGTGGGGGCTTCATGAACAAGTTCCTCGGCGTCGGCGCTGGATTAGGAGCCGGTGCGCTCATCGGCCGCATGATGGGCAAGAGAAAGCGTGGGGTGGAGGATGACGAGTACTCAGCTGTGGCGACAGACACGCCCAGCAGGAGACGTCATTCGAGATCTGACAGGAGGCATGGCGGCACGGTGTACAGTGATGAGAGTGAGGAGTATCACAGACATGGGCACAGGTCACCTTTACTGCCCGGTCCGGGAGGTCCTTCGGCAATGGCAGCAGCCGTGAGCGCAGCCGAGGCTCGGCCAGGCGCTCGGAGGTCATCGAGACCCATCACCCCGCCACCTTCTCATCGTCGGGGTGACCCAAGAATGGAAAGCGTGGTGGACTCGGACTACTCATCATATGTCAGCCCATCCAGACGTGAACGGGTGGGGAGCCATTCAGGCAGAGGTGCGGCAGAGAAAGGTCTCCTGGCAGGACTAGGTCTCGGCTGGTTCGCTAAGAAGATGAGAGACCGGAGAGAGCAGAAAGAGGAGGATCGTATGAGGATCGAGGAAGACGAGAGGCGCGCAGGGCACTACAGTCCAAGGTATACGGGAGATGGGTACTCGCCGCGCAGGGATTCGCATCGTGCGTCCATCCGGCCAGCTGGGCCACCCAGGAGGACGACGTCACCATCCCGATTGACAGAAGAATCGTCGCTTATCGAGCCGCGACCACTTTCGGGATACGAGTCGCATCCACCCCTGGAGCCTTTGCCCACAGGAGGCTATCGACCACCTCCAACAGCCTCAGGGCCTGCACCTCCACCGGTTGGGCAGTATGCTAATCTGGTATCAGCGCCCGCCCCAGGCGTCGTACCAGTGCCGATGGAAGGTGGGGCGCATTCTGCAACGCACTCTCGTCAGAGCATTGTCGACATGCCCCTTATGCCCTCTGACCCACATGGTGTCTTACACACAGCCAGATCGTCGGAAAGCGAGTCGTACCTGTCTCGGAGAGACAGGCGGTCCGAGAGTCGCCGCAGGGCAGGCGAAGATGCGGCAGCGGCAGCGGCCGCATCGGCTGGAATCCTCGCAGCAGAGCAGGAGGCCCAGCGCCGAGTGGAGTCAGACCGTGAAACGTCGAAAGACAGGACACCGCCAGTGAGCGTCAAGGTCAAAGTGCACGATGACAAGGACCGGAACGTGACGCTGCGCCGCCTCACCGAGCAAGAGCGTCAAGCGGCGCATCGGGCACGGAGACAACGCACAGAATCCATGAGCAGTCTTTCTGGGAGCGAGGCACCAGGGGGTTCTTCCCGCACAAGGTACAGGCGCGACACGTCCCGGCGCCGGGCGGCAGAGGAAGGGGCAGAGAGCGCGGCGGAGTCGTCACTGTCACCGCTGCCGCAGCCGACGCCTGCGTTCGCGGGCGGTAAGAGACCCAAGGACTCAGCGTACTACTCGGGCCAGCCCCTGGGGCAGGTCGGACCAGCAGGCACGACGCCAGCGGCGGGCGCGACGGTCTCAAGCCTGGGAAGCATCCAGAGCCCCGGTAGCCACGGGACCTGGAGTGGTATGAGTCCAGTTGGCCCGTCTGTGGCTGGTGGCCCGCCGCCGGCGGGGCCTAGTGAGGCGAGCGCGACTGCTTCGGCGGCTGACAGGAGAAGGAGGCGGCGGCTGGAGCGGCAGAATGCACGACCGGGGGCGAGCGGTACGGTGGACTTTACATGAGTTGAAGTACACCTTGCAACCCGGCCCAGGTCTCCCCCATTTCTCGTCTTTTGAGGCTCTGTTGTGCTCTTATCTGCATATGACAGTGCATGTGGCAGGTGGAAACGGTCCTGTCTGGCGTTCGAGGTCGCTTAAAGCGTAAGGCGATAAGGCGCAGGATGAAGAAACGATCTGATATGATCTCGTTCGGGTTGGGCCTTATTGGGTTGTTTTCTGTTCATAGTCTTCTCTCATGTCATCTTGGGGGAGTGTAAAAATGCTCGCAGATGTGGCGACAATGGTGAATAAATGTGAGGAAGGAAGAAAGCACATGATGGAATATGTGCATGTCACGAAGACAAAGATGTAATGACAGTAATACGAAGACGCGCACGACGCTACACTTTACTGCCTCTGCTAAACGAGTGCATAACGGGTAACGGATGGATGTTGGGGACTCGATGGTGAAGTTGCAGAATATAGCCTGCCGAGCCGAGAGCCGAGCAACCCTGCAGACCCCAGCACTTGGGCCCAGCAACGTGGCGTGGCGGACTGTTTGGTCCTGGCCAGGGTTGGCGTGGTCTGTCGCCTGCAGGGGCCGGTTCAATGTCGTCGTCGAGAAAGTTTCTACAGTACTCAAATCTCAGCATGTGAGGCGGGTTTCTAACCTCGACAGCAACCACTCACGCCTGTCTGTCCAGGTCTCACTTTCGTTTTCTCGCTTGGTCTCATCCGTAGTGATGCGCATCTTTTCCATTTCTCCTTGTCCCCGAGAATAGTTGTTTAATGCACACAAATCCGGGGCTATGACACGATCCTTGACGGGCCCCACACAAAGCGCGTCGATGAGGATCGGATCGAATTGTTGAGCCCCCATTCCGAATCCAAGCAAAATCCAAGTCTTCTATTGCGACTGCTGCAACCATCCCGCTGCAACTCTGCTCGTCTCTGACCTGAGCCATGGCAGCGATAGCTCATGGCCAGTACCCTCAGCGACGGCCCAATGGGCTGTGGCGTGGGTCCTCAGCCATGATCATGGGCCTCACGGGCACTCTATCCCAGGGTTTTCTCAACGGCCTCAATGATGTCCAAACCACCGGGCTGGACAATTTTGTCAAAATACTGGAGAGCCGTGAGGACCCCTTCCAGAGGCAAAGAGGTCTCATCACAGGTAAGCCAGTTCCGTTCACCCATCCCTCATCATCGTATCTTTCACCCCTACATTATCGTCCCATTCATCAACACTTTACTCACTCCACCTCACAGTCAGCAACCACATCTCAGTGTAAGTGAGATAGTCCTACCCTCACCTGAGCTTTAGCTTGGTTAAGCTTCACAACGTCTCACACGGCTGGACAGAATCGACGACCCAGTAATATGGGGCGTCCTCCCCCTCCGGATGGCATTCCAGCCCTGGAACCTCCGCTGGAGTCTCGGCGCCCACGACATCTGCTTCTCCAACAAGCTGCTGAGTACCTTCTTCACCCTCGGCCAGGTCCTCCCCACCCACCGTACCCTTCACTCCCAGCACGCCGGCCTGTTCCAGCCCACCATGACACAGGCCGTCCGACTGTTGTCCGCATACCCCTTCAAGACCACCGGCGAGCACACAGTCCTTGCGCCCGAGCAGCCAAAGACCGTCACCAGGGAGTCACTACTGCAGGACCTGCGCGACCCATTCTCCGAGGGCAGCCTCACTTTCAGCACCAACGGCCGCGACGTGCACACCGCGCCGTCGGCCTTCCTGTCCAATCGCCACGCCTGGGTGCATATCTTCCCCGAAGGCCTGGTGCACCAGCACGCACAGAGGCAGATGCGCTACTTCAAGTGGGGCGTCGCCCGCCTCATCCTCGAGGCTGAACCCATGCCCGACATGGTGCCCATGTTCATTGACGGCACCTCCGACATCATGAACGAGAATAGGACCTGGCCCAGGCCCCTCCCGCGCCCGTGGAAGAAGGTTCACGTAGCCTTCGGCGACAAGGTGGACATGGAGGCCACGTTCGGCGACCTGAGGAGGCGGTGGAAGGCGCTGGTTAAGAAGTCGATGGACGTCCGGGAAGCAGAGATCGCCGCCGCCGACAGACAGATCGAGGCCGCCGCGGGGCCCGCCAAGACGACGACAGCGTCGCCCGACTCGGGAAGGACGGGAATCGTCGCCGCAACGACGAAGAGGCCGCCGCCCGACGTGCGGCGGCCCGACGTCCTCCGCGTGGGCGAGCTCCCTGACGAGCTCAAGCGCAGCAGGGAGGCGGAGCAGATCCGGGCCGAGGTGGCGCTGCGCGTGCGCAACGAGGTGTTGAAGCTGCGCAAGAGCCTGGGCTACCCGGACGAGGACCCGGCGTGGAAGCTCGGGCTGGCTGAGACGTGGGCCAGGGACCCCCAAGACACGAAGAAGAGCCCTGTGGACGGGAGTGCTGAGAAGCCTAGCACGTAGACATTAGACATACGAAAACGCGCACACCCCCGTCTGAGACGTTCCAGGACGGAGACGGCAGAGCTTGCTTTGCCTTGGGCAGCTATGTTATTGTATACTTGGATCATTCTCCACCGGAACGGCATGAATTATTGGTTGGTTGTGCAGGAGATAGACTTTGTTTGAACATGGCATCTTGACATCGATGACTTGAGACATACATGTTGTCTTCGATCAAGCAGTATTTTACCACGTTCCTGTCAACCCAGAAAACAAGTTGAGTGTCACTGCATGTCCTGAACTGACCAGTCTGTTGTCCTTTGTGTGGTTAATGTTTGACACCTAAGCTACAATGTACAACTCCATGTAGGTGAGCTACATCTCCTCATACGCCTCCAAGTCATCGATGCAGTCTTGAGACTTGAGACTGGGTGTCTGATACCATGTCTGTGGCTTCCACCGCATATTTTCCGGGCGCCACAGCGGTTACATATTGGATCCTGAGTGGACGGCCTCGGATTGCCCGCCATTGTGCATAGGGCTCTGAATGGATTATGTCGTGGCTTACTTTCAGTCTTTCCTTCACGATACAGCTTGATCTCCTATTGGGCTTGGATATACAGAGAATATCAAGCACACGGGCAATCACCTAGTAGTAGGGAAGGGCCAGTTGGATCAAACATGGAATAATTATGGGAATGTTTTGACGGCAGCCCAGACCAATTCGTGGCACTTGGTACCAATATAGGCCAGGTTAACGGCCTGATTCATGGGATTCGAGGTAGTCCTACCATGTTCCATCAACCTATTGAGGATTCTTCAAGGATTTTTGAATCAACGCAACAGTCTCGACACGGGGCCTTTCATTAGGGAGCTTGAAGACCTCCAAGAGCGCGGCTCAAGGAATTGTAGGCTTGTGCTCTTCGACTCGTGATGGTTTCCTTGAACGCCGTTGAAGATGGTTTAACACCCTTGCACTTACACCCCAACTGCATAGCATAATGAACAAGCTGAAGCCGAGTCACAGAGGAACAACAATAGGATCATCAGACACCGTGTGTTCTGTGCGATAAGTCGACGTTGGACGACACCTCACATGGCAAGGATTCACACTAATGCTATCCGGCACTATTGGTGTGATCATGCAGCACCTTCACTCTAACGCAAGACATGCTTTCCTTTTGCTCCGGGAGTCAGCACCTCCTCCGTCAGCCCTGACCTGTTGGCGGTTGATCACCTCCCAAGACATGCATCTCGTGTTGCACGACACGAGGCCGCAAAAGACAGCTTCGTCAAACTTCAGCACTTGCCAAAGAAGCACCTGCAGAATTGACAGAACACAAAAAAATAAAAATTGTGGCGGTAGAAACGTAACGGCCCCCGGAGGGGCGGACCCCGAGAGTTTTGGCTTGCTTCTTCTTGCTGCAGCAACGGTTGAGCGTCGGCCACGCAACTGCCACGATGCCATTCCGACCCTGGTGCGCCCCGTGTAATATGAGACTATCAGGGCACATGACAAAGAAGCAGGCTCAACGTATGGGATTCTTGCGTCCGATCCTGCCCCACGAGGCTTGCGACCCGCATTCGCATAGACACTCACCGGTATGGAGCCGTCTCCGATATTGCTGCAGGAGGATTTGCCGTATCGTGCAGTCAAAGTGCCAGGAGGCACATGTGGGCCTCAGGTTGCTAGAGGGATTTCATGAGATAGAGGGAGGTCGACCACGAATGCACATTGGCGCAGAAATATTGACATAGTTCAGACCTGTGCCCTGTTGATGCTGTCTGGACGCCGGGATCCTCGACCGCGCAAGATTATTGCTGCTCAAATTAACAATGACATGGCAGGCTTCACGTGACACCAAGGCAGGAACACGCGGAGTAGTTTTCCTTACCGAAGGGCGATCTTTCTCATCCTAGGGCAGGCTGGCCCATGAAGAAATGCCCAATAACGCGATACTATGCTGTCGACCATTTACTGTGCTTGGGTTAGACTCGCTTAGAGGGGCTGACGCGCCTATGTTGCAAGGTGACACCATATGCACACGCGTGCCCTCCGATCTCGTGAGGCTTCACCGGTCAGGGAAGCAGAGAGCTGAGATGCAAGATCTGTAGGGGCCATACCATACCGCCTAGATCACACACGAGTCTGGTTTCTCGACCCAGGGAACAGATCTGACCTGTCATATACTGACCGTCAAGATGCCACCAGCGAGTGTTTCACCTACCAGCCGACCCATCGCCTCGTGTGATCAGTATCAGCCAGCACTGCGTTTTGCACATGGGTGGCTGAAGAGGCGTCACATCGTGCCGTACATCGTGGAGTTCCCAGGTCTGGAACTCTCGGGGTTCTGTGATGCCCGATGCGGTGCTCTGCCACTACCGCTTGAAGCGCGAGATATCCACTCTGCGATGGGCTTTGCAACCACGTCTGCCGACGGAGAGGCCCGTCCCCGAATGCCACGTGCTGCTCCGTCTCGCCCTTCCCTACGGCCGAGGCAAAGGGCGAGTCCATCTTAATGCGGCGGAAGGATCAACAAGGCCTCCCCACACGGGAAATGTGACTTGACTCGTCTTGACTCGGAACTGGGAGGTGATCTACAGCTGAGTTGATCGAAGCGGTCGTCTGCGTCGGCGGGAGTGCATGACACAGGTGCTGGTTTGGGAAAACAAAAAGGAAGAGATAAAGGGAAGAAGCCGCCGTTGGTCTCGTTTGCTTGCAGCGCCACATGCCTTATTGGGATTGCATCTTAAATCATGGTGAATAGACTATCGATTGATCCTGGATGCGAGCAATCGACGGGGCGAATGGTAGTATCTGAAAGAAGCAGGTGAGTGCTGCGTAGACTTCAAGTGCATACGTAGATAGGCCGCCGTGGTGATCTGGAGGGTAGCACACTTAGCAATATTCACATATATTTATATATATATTTGTGTACATCGTAGTCTACACAAGTATTGATTAGTATGTAAATGGATAGCTGTCGTACACCAGTAAAACGGTAGTCTGCATCTATGGTGCAGAGGGAAAATAGGGAGGGCCCCAAGCGGGTTGACGGTTCCAGATGTCTGACCCCAGATCCTGGATCTTGCAGTGGCAGAAGTGGGCGCCCCCTGCAGGGCAAATTTGTCGCGACCGTAGCCTTCTACAGGCACGGAATGTTTCCACGAACCCCTGTGCGCGCCGTAGTGGCACTCTGCCCCATCCTCACGCAGCTTTGGGGGGTACCGGAGACCTGGACCCTGCTCGTGCCACCTGATCTGATGGCCGGACAGGCAAGGACAGACAGATAGACGACACTCTTACAGTAAGATCGGTGTCGGTGCTGCTGCGATTTATGCAGCAGGTAGGCACATCTGTGAGTATTGTCCTTACCACACCGCACATACAGGTGCATTCCAGACTAGGCATTTAGCGGAGCATTCGTTAAGATTTGCCCTGATCCGCAGCAGCCGAGGCTGGCTCGGTGTTCCCATCCAGCTCCAATATCGGGATCGACACATGCACTGGATGCACTCTGGTCCGTCTTCAGCCTCGTCCTGCGCCCCCATGCCACCCTCCCTCTCTGATGATACACTCACTATACATGCCATGGTCAACTGGTATCTGCGTACCTCTTCACACCCCCTTACGTGACCCATTGCAACGCTGTGGTCAACGAGGCCGAGAATATTTCGTCCGTGTTCCGACCCCATTTGACTCCCGGACCGGACAGCAACGTCCATTGGCAGCTCGGGCTGGAATTGGAGTTGACGACCCACGAGAGAAGACAAGCCGGCTGTTATTAGCTATTACAAATCCTCCACCCTATTCTCGCCGTCTTGTTCCCGGAAACCCATCACCTGCCTGGACACAGGCACAGGCAGACAGGCACAAAGGGTATCAACACTCGGTCAAGAGGAGAGAGTCCATACGCGGTTTTAGTTCCATCCACCATCTCTCCTCACTGGCTAATTGGATGCATGGTTCTCTGGTACTCTCACTCAAACCACCAACCAGCCTAGTACATACACATTACCCAAGCCTCACTTCACGTGCCCACCCTCTCAGCCCCTGGCACTCTCGGCACATCATTTCACAGGATCGCTGAGTCCAGGAGCCGTACAGTGGGGAGACGAAAAAGAGGGGCCTCGGTTTGTCGCCAACGACGAACAGGTTCCCTATTAGGGCATCTGTTTCGCAGCCCTGCCGCAGGTCTTGTACCTGCGCCGCAATACATACAACACTCAAGAACGGTTTGGCTCGAGAAATTTACACTATGGTCTATTGTGGCAAGGCCTCTTTAGGATGTACCTCTTGTCGCAAGCGACGGATAAAGGTATGTCTACTTCTCATATCGTCTAACCTGGGCACATCTCGACCTGCTGTCGTCTCATACCCGCGAGACAAGCTCTGGACTCCTCGCCATCCAATATGAAAACCTCCAGAAGCCACGGAAGGTATTCCGCGAAAGCACCAGAATCAACAGCCCCTCTTCGATCACACATGCAGTTTTCTCTTTCATCCTCCGTGAATATGGTCAAGACCGTCGCCAACGTCAATGCTCGATGCGGTTCTCGCTCATGCCACGAAAGCAACGCCTAACTTAATCACGGCCTGCGTGCTCTGGCTGGTTGCGAAAGTTCCCATCATGTAGCAGGACCCTCCTTAAGACTCATCAGAGTTCCGGTCCATACCGTCTGGAAAAGCGGTCACGGAGTACCCACTTACTGACTTCGAGGCTTGTAGTGCGACAGACGCCAGCCTGAATGCACACAATGCATCCGGGTCTCCAAAGGATGTCCAGGATACCGAGACCAGCTTTCGCTGATGTTTCGGGATGAGACGGTGAAGGTTGAGAAGAGGGTACGCGCATCCTGGGGGGCCGAGGAAGGAAACCCATCGTCGTCGGCCTCGTCGTCGTCGGAGGTCGCCTCACGCCCCGGGCCGGCCAAGACCAAGAGATCTGCCTCCATAGCGTCGTCAGCAACTTCCGGGTCAATAAATGTACCAACTCCGCCGTCTTCCTTCGCCTCTACATCCCCGACCTCGCTCGACTCGCCGCACGCCAGAAGTGGGAGCTCCTCGCCGCTCGTTGCAACAAGTAGCCCTACGACGGCACTCTCGTATGGCGAGGGCCGGGAGTTGTCGAAACTTCCTCTGGCCATGACTACCGACCCAGCCGAGCTTGGTCTCTCGTTCTACGTCAAGCACTACATAATAGGTTACCCAGATGAAGTCAGGAGGGCCGAAGATCTCAGCAGTCAACAGTGGTTTCGAGGCCCTTGTTCCCAAGCCACCATGGCCGCCCTCGGCCTCGCTGGGATGGGGAACTTGCACAATGACAAGCAACTACAACATCTATCGCGAGTCAAGTATGGCGAGGCTTTGATATTTACAAATGAGGCCCTGCGTGACTCTTTAAAGAACCTAGACACAGCCATCAGAACGACCATCATGCTTGCTTTGTACCAGGTAAATAGCATCGTTTGGCATCTCCCACAGGACTCTGGTGTATGAAACACCTGCTGACAACAGCTGCAGTGTGTCCATAACACACACGAGTCACATGAGAACGTGAGAGTTCATCTCTTGGGTTGCCTGGCCCTGATCAGGTCACACATACCAATCCGTGGCGCGCCTGCGATGGGAATAAGGGGCGTGCTACAATTATGCTACTCCTTGGTCGGTGCCCCCTCGAGACAGGAATTGATATGAATCTCGACCCGGTCCGCGGCACTGACTCTCTTCATAGCTTGTACCATGCATTACAAGCGGCATGAGTATTCCAGACAACTTTTTCGACTGGATCCGGGAGAGCAGAGCCTCAGACCTGCTACCTCAAGACGAGAAGCCAGGGGCCGACCTCATCCCCATGATCGCACGGTTTGCGCAGCTCAACGCCACACTGCGCACCAGAGTATTCACCGACGGGGACGAGTCCACAGCACACATCCTACAGCAGCTTCTGGCAGTGGACGCGGACATGGACGAGTGGGAGTCGTCACAGGCGGGGAAATGGCGGTACGAGGTCCTCAGCTCGCCGGACCTGCCGCGCGAGGCCGTCTTCCGCGGCACGTACCACCGCTACTCGGACGTGTGGGCGTCGCGCATCTGGAGCCACTTCCGCTGGGCGCGGCTGCTGACCAACCAGCGCATCCTCGAGCTGGCAGAGAGCCACCCCCGGACCGCCGCGGGCGCCGTGCCGCCGGGCCCGCGGCAGGAGCGCATCCGCGAGACGGTGCGGCGGCTCGCCGTCGACGTGCTCACCTCGGTGCCCACGCACTACCGGCACCCGCGGCTGACGTGGAAGGATCTTGACCTGGTGCAGACGCACGGCGGGGCCGGCGCCGGCGTCGTTGGGATACCGCACCTCACGTTTAACCTCCGCGTCGCCGCTTGTGCGCCCGGCGTGCCGTACGAGGTTTGGCGGTGGGCGCTGGACGTCCTGGACACGGTGTGGTCCGACCTGGGGATGCTGCACGCCAAGAGCCTCGCGGACGAGCTCAGGAAACACCGGGACAAGCTGGACAGGGCCGATGCGGGAAGGAAGCTGAAGGTCGAGGAGGCCGAGAATGCCCAGGGAGAGTGCCTGTGAGGGGTTCCTGCCCCCCCCCCCTTTCCCGGGGACTGGCTTCCGCCCAGTCTGTGTATTTGTGCGTTCGTGTGTACGGAATCTTGGTTGAGAAGAGGGCTCAGGCGTCTACAAGGCTCTCAGTTATTCCGTGTGGATCTGTATTTATAGCCACGGTTTCCCGGGTAAGGGCCGGTCACACTTCAATGCGGTTTGTTTTGTTTTTTGAGCGGAGGGTACAAAATCGGCGCTTGCTCTTGTTATGGTGGCTGGCTAACTCCAGGACGACTTCTCTGCGCACGTATCGCAAAGATTGTCGTTATGAAGTATGAGCCAGGGTGACACCGAAAGGTAATGAAGGATACCCCTATAATATGTCGGCACAACCTTCCGGTAGTAACGGACTTGGTCTCGGCTGTCTAAGAGGTCGACAATTGCGAGGTGCAGCATGTTGAGGACTTTTAAACCCGATGGCTACGATGTGTTTGCTACTTGACCGACAGCCGCCTGTCTAGGTAAACATCGGAAGGCCGCAGCAGCCAAAGAAGGTCCGTGGTGAAGTAGTCATTGACCGATCTGTTAATTTTGAGAAATTGAAAATTTGGTGACGAGAGACGCATGTTCATACGTATCATAAATGAAGCGATAGTGGTATAAGGTGAGGTCTTTGGAGACAAGTAGACTAATCACTCCCACCCCCAATTCGTCCGAAAACATGATCCTTGACAGCAGACATCAAGGGATTTTCACTACATCAAGTAATCAAGTTCACGCCGGCGTGCGGGCCAGCCCGCAGCCATTGGCCAATCTGAGAGCTGAATTGACATGCCGCCGCCGTGATGGGCTGCTGGACATGTCGCATCTGCTCCGGCCGGTAGACTCGACACCGGATCAACAAGGTCAAGGCGACACGACATTGGACTGAGGGAACTTCTGAGGTCGCCTTCACATCACGGTGTTACTTGTCGAAGTACAGTCGTGTAAAATTTGGGCGCACGTTTATTGTGTGGCTGCGTGCCACGTCGAAGACCCTCGGACATTGTTGCTGGTCTCTGCCGGATCAGTATTCTGCAATGGACGGGTCCCAGCATGGGCCAGTCAGTTTGTCTGCAAGATTACGTCCAAGTCCAACTGAGAGGACAGGGCAGTACCGGAGTCGATATCGGAATGGAACCTCGCTTGTACAAGGTGGAGCTGCCGGTGCCGACGGCGGGTGGTGCATGCCAGGTGCCAGGTCGAGGAGCTCCCAGGCTCACATGAGCCTCCTAGAAAGTCGTGGATGAACCAACCATTCTCGTGAGTGCCAATATAGGACGTCAGAAAGACACAGCTGTGGTTTTCGATAGAGAGTTGGTAAGGGTTTGGGTTTAATCGATGCAGGGCAGAGGCAGATGGGCGTTGGAGTCCTGCAGCTTGTCTCTTGCCACAAGCGGCAAACGCGCCCGATATAGGTTTCACACTGTGGAGCCTCTATGTGAGGAGCGATCGAGTGTTGACTGTCGGGATCTCGGTATTCGAGAGCCACGGCTGTTGACGTAGAGGGCGCTCCAGCAAGTCCAGATGGGGAAGTAAAATAGTGGACGGGCTGGCTGGGCTTACTGTATGATACTGTCAGGACAGTCAAGTTAAGCCTGCACAGGCAGGCAGTCAGTCAGTCAGTCTCATCACTCAATTTGAATTCACTCAGCTGGCGGGTGGAAAACGTGTACTGACTGTGCTGTCGTAGAATTTAGAGTTCAGTCGTCTCATTTGGAGGAGGCCAAGATCTTCAGGTCCGTGCTGGCTGGCAGCTTCCAGGCCCGCGGGCCATCTGTTTGGGGGGGAGGTATCTCTGGCCATTCTTGCCACCAACGTATACTCGAGATGCTATCATCCCCGGATTGGAGCTGCTCTGTGAGGGGCAAACCCTGTCGACAGAGAATTGTGTGCCTGCTCTTGCTGTGTGCAGCTGCTGGGAAGTTCGAGTTCTGGGCGCTTGGGTCGTCGGATCGTCAACCTCCTCCCCGTGATTGAATAGCATTGATTTTTTTGCACCCAACTCCTCACCTCGACAAAACCATCAACGCCACTACACAACCCACATCACCACGCTGGTCACCACCTCTTCCACCCTCAAAAGGCATCCAACAGGCTCGCTCTCCGTCATCCAAACTTCTTCTCACGACCCAGATTCCCCCTTGGAACCCGACTCTGGACCCCTCCACCTCCACCCGTGTCCACCATCTCCAACCCTAATCGGCCCAAATTGTTTTGTCATCATTTCCGAAGCTAGATCAAAGGTCCAGCGCCAGCGACGAATTCACTGTTGCCGTTGCGACTGGCACTCAGCAAGCCATCAAAACACCTCCTCCTCCCCCCTCTACTCTCATAGACAGGTATGTCTACAGACCTTTGACTTCCTGCCCACCGCGCAGACCGGCCCTAAGCTAAACTCCACCTGTCCGCCCCAGTTTCTGCAGCACGGTTTCTCCCTGCCTACGCCGACATCCAGGTTTTTAGCGGCGCAGTACACACCAAGAACCAAGGGATCTCTACACACTTCTCCCAAGCGACGCATATATCCTCCTTCACACAGTCGTACCAACCAGAGCATCATGGCAACAAACGGCAACACAAACCACCAGGAGCAATGGCGGGAGTCCGGTGGCGCCCCTTCCGACGCCCCCTCCACTTCTAACGCTGACAGCACCCCATCGAAGGATGAAGTTGGCTGGTACTTTGTCCAACAATACTACACCACCCTGAGCAAGAACCCCGACAAGCTTCACGTGAGTGCCAGCACAGAGATGCCGACATCCTGATGCCATAGTGCTAACTGTCGCGCAGCTCTTCTACAACAAGCGATCCCAGTTTGTCCAAGGTCTGGAGGCTGAGCTCTCTCCCGTCGCAGTTGGCCGACAGGTAAGTACCAGCCGTTCCTGGCTTGTTATTGCTGGAATCAAGGAGGCGACGGCACACTAACTTTATTTGCTTTACCAGGCTATCTCGGAGCGCATCAAGGAGCTTGACTTCCACGACTGCAAGGTCCGAGTCTCCAACGTTGACTCCCAAGCCTCATACGACAACATCGTCATTCAGGTCATCGGTGAGATCTGCAACAAGTCGGGCGAGCCGAAGAAGTTCGTCCAGACCTTTGTGCTCGCTCAGCAACCCGCCGGATATTTCCTGCTCAACGACATCCTTCGATATGTGAACGAGGGAGAGGAGGAGGCCACCGAAGGTGCTGTCTCTGAGTCCGCCCCCGCCGTCGAGATGGAGGCTCCCCAGGAGCCCGCTGCTGTCGCCGCTGCTGCTGCTCCAACGACCGAAGCCGCACCAGAGCCCGAGAAGGCTCAGGAAGAAGAGCCTGTCCAGGCCAGTTCCACCACCCTCGACCCGGAGGTTGTTGACAAGAAGCTTGAAGAAGCCAGCTCCACGGCCAAGGATACTCCTTCTACCACCGCGGCCGAGACCCCCGTCGAGGCTGCTCCGGCCGTCGAGGAGGCTCCTAGCAAGGCTGAGGAAGCCGAGAAGAGCGCAGACCCGGAGAAGGCTGCGCAAGAGATTGCCGAAGAGGAGGCCAAGAAGCCAGAGCTTCCCAAGGACCCAAGCCCCACCCCAGCCCCGTCGCGAGCCCCGGCTCCGGAGCCAGAGAAGCCCAAGGGACCTCCCAAGCCGATGTCCTGGGCCAGCCGTGCTGCCGCCGCCGTCGGAGTCCCCGTCAAGCCCGTCGTCCCGCTCCCCAAGGCAGCACCTGCAGCGGCAGCTCCCGCCCAGCAGCGCTCTGCTGCTCCTGCTCAGCCGAAGCCCACTGCTGCTGCCCCTGCCCAAACTAGCGAGACCGCCGCTCAGTCTGCCGACAAGGATGCTAGCGAGTGGCGGACCGCTGGCGCCGACTCCAAGAGACAGAGCCGACAGCAATCTACCTCTACCCCTCCCGCTGAGAAGGAAGGCACGCTGGCGTACGTCAAGTTTGTGACAGAGAAGGTGAAGGAGGACGACCTGAGGACCGCTCTTGGCAGTTACGGCGAGATGGTCTACTTCGATATTAACCGCTCCAAGGTATGTAATACTGAGTCCGCAACGCTAATCGAAGCCTTCTGACCGTCTTCAAGAACTGTGCTTTCGTCGAGTACTCGTCCGCAGGTGGCTATCAAGCTGCCATTGGCGCCAGCCCGATCACCGTGAACGGCGAGAACATTGTTGTCGAGCCACGTCGTCCCAAGGCCGGTGCCTACGGTGGCGCCAACTACAACCAGAACCGAGGTAGTATTTCCGGACGCGGACGCGGCTTTGACGGCCAGCGATCTGGAAGCCAGGGAGGCGGACGTGGTGGCTACGCTTCCCGGGGCCGAGGCGGCGCTCCCCGAGGGCGTGGTGGCCCTCAAGCCACCAACGCGTGAAGCATTTAGACCGGCAGACGCCGTGAACCCATCGATGCCAGCATGGCGTAAGTGGGGAAGCGGCGCCAGGCCTTGTCGACAATTTCATAGAGTATTCTAGGGAGTCTTGGGAGTTCCTTTCTCGGTCGGACGGTGTACCGGTGGTTCGTGACGTCTTGCTTGCTGAACCGGCGCATTGCGATATCTGCATCCCAAGAAAAAAGTTTCTACGTGGTTTTTTTCTTGTACAGTTGACCGGGCCACAAGCGACAGGGGAATCTGGCGGACGTGGAGGAAGCAATCGCGGCTCAGATTCCTCATTCCACATTTTGCATGATCATCAGGGTGAATGGCTGTATATGTAACAAGGTGGGGACAAATATACATGATCAATGATGGGGTTGTTGAAGGCGGTAACAGGCAGGCAGGCAGGAAGGAAGGAAGGAAGGAAAATGAAGGGCGAAGCATGGCGATGGAGGCAGGAGGTGAGACTGTAATGATAAAACCGTGAGGACGTGTATACCATTTGACGGAGGAACAGACAGAGAGTCATAGCAAGCCATCAATGCCTTGGACTTGACCCCTTGAGCGGCACAATTCACGTATGGCATGTGGTCTTTCTCGAATGAAGTCTTGACCCACAGTGTGTCGGATGCTCACCGGCTCATTACGAGTGATGCATCTCGACTCAGTCTGACTCTGCGTTCCGAGCCAGGCTAAATAGTCACGTACGGGGTGTTTAGTTTTGGGCGATCCTCTTTCCTTGATCTTCACGGAGTTGTGGCAGAAATGGGCGTCTCGGATGGCAGCTCGAGAGCAATGGCAGGCATCGTTGGTCCGCTGAGAAAAACAAGTCTGAAGTTCAGGCTTACTTGCATCAAGTTACATCTGGGGGTATCGAAGACACAAAGATCTACACATTCCCAAGAATACAAGCTTAGATGCCAAGGGCATCTATTGACTCGGCGAAGGTTCTGTGATCTACGATCCATGAGCTTGATATTCTTGACAGATGAACTGTGCCTGATAATGGTGTAGGAAAGCTGGATATCTTGGTACAGCGTCAGCCCACCTCGCCAGCGGCTCAACCTGCAATAGCGCATCCAATCCTTTGACAGCCTTACCTCCCGCTGTTGTGCCGCGAGAGGCTATTATCGGCTAACGAAGAATATATTGGAAACATTTCGACATAATCGGTGCAGCGTCCGTTCACCGCTCCACTTCGAGAACACCCTCCCTGCAGAAATGCAAGTACAGTGAGCAGTTCGACGCAGCCTGAATTAGAATTAGACCAGCAGGCGGCACGGAAAAATTAGGGTACGCATGTCTCATCGACGATGTCCGTGGATCCATTTTGTTGGAACGCGTATCGTATTACGGGGCAAGGCACGGCTCAGGGCGGATCGGGCAGCCAATGCGGGCACGATAAGCCCGTCCTCCACCTTGCTCGTTCATCTTCCAGACCCGCGCCCGCCAGCTGACCATAAACTCCTTCCTAAAAAGTGTTAAAACGCCGACTCAGCGAGGTAACATGAATTTTCCAAGGAGATGTTGATTCCCATGACGATTGGACTCGCTGATCGGGCCGGCTGTAATAAAATCTGACAACCTCGCACCCTGCCTCGAAGAGCATTAGCCGGGCGGGACCCCTTGAGCGGTGCAACCCTCTGGCCGTTGTCGAAGAAACGTGGAAGAGATTATAGGCAAGCAGCCGATGGGTTCCCTGCGCGTGCTTCTTTTTTTCTTTTCTATTCCAGGCCGGGAAAAAGAAGCATTTGCCAAGGGGTCACGTCGGCGCGGCGCGGCTCACAGCTGTGCGGGCCTCGCAACCTGTTGCCCGGTTTAGCTCTAGTACAGGAGGTAGTCTCTGCATGGTTTTGGATACAGTAAGCAGGAGGCTGCCGGTCTCCTTCTTCCAGATGACTTCCAGAAGCATACGAGAATTGTTCTTTCGCCACCATGCTGACGATCTCGGGAGGGCAAGCCACCCTCGTTGAAATTGCTCGTGTGCCCAGCCAGTCAGGCAGCGGGCTTACACGGCAGTGCCCCATGAAGCACGGCTGGTCGATCAGTGATCGTCGCGGCCGCGCGAGCGTGTGAGACCTGGGATTTCTGATGATCGTTCACAATTGGTGGAGGGGAGGGGGCCACGGGGAAGGGAAGAAGCAGGACCAAAAGACGAGACAGAAGCCGGTTGGCCGCTCCGGGACAAGATCACGCAATCCCCAAACCCCGTCCCCAATACCGCGGCGCTGATATAGCTTGCGAAAGGCAGAGGGCAGCGCCGACAGGCTCCCCGCGACATTTGCCCGCCGTTAACCACCTACCGTTCCTGGCTAGGCTGCAGGTGGTCAGGAGGAGGGGGGGGCCACCAATATGGACGGGTGCTAGGCCAGAGAAGGAGGGTCGCGTCTCCATGGACCTTTATGTCTGCTGCGCTGTTGCTTCTGGTTCGTGTCGCGGCCGCTGTGATTCGGCTCTGGTCCCCGTGGGTAATTCCGTCCTTGCCGGCTTGCTCATCTCGAGGTCCAATTCTGGTCTGCTAATCAGCTTGGAGCCTCGAGACCTTGGAGTCTTGTCCCGCCCCGGGTTAATGCTCGACTTGCTGGTGCCAGAGACAGGCTATCTCGCGATAATGAAACGTAGATCATAATATAATATAGAAGAAAAGAAGAAACACCGGCCTATTGGGGTTTCTGCAGATGGTCTGCAATTTGTAATCGGGGAGGTGCCGCCCCGGGTACTCCCCCAATGTAACGTGTTAGTGAGACTATTCCCAGGTTCCTGTTTCCCAGCGGAACAGATGGACCTTGGCCCAATAGGCTAACAGTTCCAGAACTATGCACACAAGCAGCGCCCGAAAGAAAAGATCCTAGACTCAGAAAGGTGCCCTGGCAGCTAAGTAACGACAGGGGTTACAACGGACATGGGCCCGGGATTGTCACTCGCCCGCCTCCAGGCCGTCCATCCATGCATGGCATGCTTCCACACACTTTCACGCTCTCACTCACTCACACACCTCTTGAGCCCTTCTTTTCTTCCCAGTCTCCGCCTCTTCCACGTCGCCTCCCAACTCTGCCTCTTGTCTTGTCTTGTCCTGCCCTCTACTGCACCTCGCATATTCTTGGCTTCCAGCCGTTCCCCTGGAGCTAGTCGGTGACTTTCTCCCACGATCTCTTGTCCTTGTTGCAGCCAAATCTCGTGGGACTTGACCCGCATCACTTGGCTCTCGTCCATGCCATTGCCATTGCAGATTGCATTTGATTCTCATTTCTGACATATACTTTCGGAACATTCCTGGTCTTGAAGGCAGGTATCACCATAGCGCAACCCTGGCTCACTAAACAAAACATTTTGAAAGTTGGGAGACCCCAAGGCAGAAGGGGGCTCGTTCTGAGAATTATACACGTGGAGTGGCAACTTGCGGGAACAAAGGAAAGGGTAGCCTCCCCGGGTCTGATCCTCTCGAGTCAGAGGCGAACATGTAGGGTTGGAAACCGAAGAGAAGGAGTAGGAAGACCAGCCAGGCGAGCGCCATTTTGACGTTTTCGCGGCCAAGACGGAGGGAGGGAAGCGGAAGCGGCTCTGCGTCCACGTTACGGACCCAACACAGGCGACATCAACCCGGCAATGGACCCAAGTGGTCCAGACGAGGATGTCTCAGCCACATTCTTCAACCATGCGGTGGATTTGGCACCCATCGACAACCGCCCGGCAAAGGTCCGGCGGCTGTCGATGGAGGAGGACTATCTGTACGAGCAGGTCATGACCTTTGCCCAGCCGCCCAGCCCGCCGGCATATCACGTCGCCACGCATGGCACGTACGAAGGGCCGTCGCGCAAGGGCAGGGAGACCATTCTGGACGCGGGGCATTCGGCCGAGGACGAGGACGTGCTGCCGCGGTACTACTGCGACGTGCACATGGAGAACGTTTTCCAGATGAAGATGGAGATCGAGGACGCCGTCAAGAGGGCCGAGTACAGGAATTGGCGAACCATGTTCGTCGTTCTGCACGGCACGGCGCTGCACATCTACGGCTCCAAGGACAGGGGCTGGAGCTGGAGCAAGAGCAGGATGCATGGCCCGGACGTCCAGCCGGACAACCCTCCGTGGCTGAGGAAGGGCTCTCTGGAGCGCAGTTACAGCTTGCAACACGCCGACGTGGGGATTGCGGCTGATTATCACAAGTACGTTGCGTCCGACCCATTTGGCTCCAACGGACAGTAATCTGCCGGTTGGGCTGCCCAATCAGTAGTTGGCTACATTGGCCAACGTGGTAGTCCCCTGATACCAGTGAACTAACGCGTGGAACCCAGACGGCGCTATGTCATCCGTATAAGGGCAGAGACTGACCAGTTCCTCATCTCCTGCGTGGAGCTCGAGACATTTGTCAAATGGCTCGAGTGTCTCTTCGCCGCCATAGACGTGGCCGCCCCGATCGACGAGAGAGACTTCCCAAGAGACCAGAGCATACCCCGAATCCAGCGATTACGATGGCTGCGCGGACAATACTCGGCGCAGGCAACCAGCAATGGCGGCACGTTCCAACAACTGACCGAGTCACTAGTCTCGATGCCGGGGTCTGACTTCGATTCTGCCATGCCGGTAGACCCGCCCACCGACGTCGAGATGTCACCAGACGGCCCCGGGATAGACCTCACCAACGGCGCAGCAGCCATAGCCCCCTGGGACAACGCCGCCGCGCCAAACCCCCGGCAGAGTCTTGTCCCTGTGCGGCGCCTGTCGACGTCATCGTACCACAACGAGAACGTCGAGCCCGAGACGGGCAAGTGGCGGCCCCGGCACATCTGGACGTCGACGCACGACATGGTCTACGCCAAGCTCTGCTACGCCGTGCTGCTCTTCAAGAGCCCGCGCAAGTCCAACTTTGTCATCTTCAAGGGCCAGAGGTGGCACATCGACTGGTCCACGGGCCAAATGTCCAGGGTCCAGCCGCCGTCGTACGGCGAGCCCGAGTTCTGGGGCCCGTGGCAGGTCATTCATGCGGAGAACCCGCGCCTATAATACTTGCTTGCTTGCGCATTCATGCCATGGTGGCCCATGCATACTCGACCGACCAACCTCCTCCTCCGCGAGTGAGGTTATTATTTTGTCATGGTGAGAGCGAAAACGTTTGCATCTGTTGCACTTCCTGCATTGAGAGGCCATCTTTGGCCAGGCGTTCAGAAACGACCAGATGCGTTGTTATTATACCACAATATACCTCCTGTCTTGCATTTGGGGAAAATAGGGACGGCATCGGAGAGAAGAGAGAGAGAAGGGGGAAGGGAGGGTGGAGGGAGAAAGTATCATACGTTTTGAAGCGAGCATTATAGCCACACCTCAGGAAGCTTCACTCACCCAGCATTGCTGCTTCTAATAAGGAATGTTGACGTTCTGTATATAGGCTTGGTAGTCTGAAATTGGTATCATATTGCATCCTGCTATTCCTGGTGTTTTTCCACAATACGAGAAACGCCTCCCAACGCCTGGTATCTCCGTCGTAATCGTGACGCTCGTTAGAAGATGGAACTCCACAAGCAACCTGCCACGCCATGCCAATTCACGAGCCTAAGGGTCCGTGCAGTACAAACGAAACCGGCTGCCCTGCGATCATGATCGTTGCATGGGTCATAGTGCCTCACACATCCATCATCTCGGCCTCCACAGCTCGAGACTCCCTAGCTAGCTCCTCGGCCGGCACCTCGTCCAGCAGCGCCGCAGCGCCATCCACATCGGCCAGCGCCCGCTCCAGCGCGCTGAGTAGCTCATCCACCTCGGCCCGCTGCCTCTGGACCTCGCCCCAAAGGGCGACGTTCGCGGCCTGCGTGTTCTGCAGCTTGGCGTTCATCTGGCTCTGCTGGCTCGCGAGGTGCGGCGCGAGGTGCGCGGCGAGGATGGCGTCCGCAGGCAGCATGTGCGGCGGCGTAGGCTTGTTGGCGCTGTCCTTGTCGTTGTCCCCGTCGTCTCCTCCCGCCCCGGCCTTCTCCTTCCCCTTCCCCTTCCCCTTGCCCTTCCTCTTCGCCGCCGAGGCGTGCGCCCGCCGCCGCCGCTCCGCGTCCGACACCAGACCCTCCAGCTCGTTCAGCTTGGGCACCACGTTGTACCGCGCCTGCACGCGGCCGAACTCCTGGTTGCACAGGTCTGCGAACCGGTCGACCATGGCGCGCTGGACCTGGCCCAGCACGCTCGGGGCCTGCGCCGCGATCGTCGGGTAGCAGGACGCGAAGTTGTCGGGCGAGATCTTGGTCAGGGTGTGGTTCAGCGCCAGGTCGAACATCTCTTGGAAGCGCTGGGCGCGCGGCCCCGGCGTCACGGCTGTGTGGCGGGCTGGTAGGGGCGGTGAGGCCGGGGCGCCCGGTTCTGCGCCATCTGAGGATGATTGTGGTGGCGGTTGAGAGGATGGCTGCTGGGGCTGTGTGTTTTCGCTGTTCTCGTCGGCCGGTGTAGAGGTGTTCTCCTCGGCAGGAGGTTGTGACGCCTGGTCTTCCGTGGCCATGGTGTATGCAAGTGGTTGACTCTAGGCAATGGACCCTCTGCTATTACATTGCCATTGGGATGTGACCTACTGCAAGTCGCAAGATACAGTCTGGTGCGGCCTGCTTTCCGACATGCAAGAATTGAAGTGAGAGGAAATGCGATATAGAGACAGAGCGACGCGTTGACGCGTTCCATACTAAAACCGGCATTACGTAATATGCGAGTGCATGCACAGCGTCCAGGTCCTCCTGCGAAAGCCTCGAGTACCATTCTGGAGCTCCAGCTAGAATAAAGTCCAAGCACATCAATTGGTGGCGCTCATTCCACTACTCAAAAAAGAACCCATTGAATCCTTCTGGAGATTCGTTGTGCTTCTTCTCGGTGATCGCCCAGCCATCATGTCGCACAGTACGTCCACTCCCACCACCCCAGTGTCTATGTCCAACACTCTGATCTAACAACGCAGGCAAAAGGAACACTTCTCGGCCCGTCTTCACCGCGCATGAGCGGGCGATGGCCAAATCGGCCTGGAGCTCCTCATCCGCCCGCTTGAACAGGGACTCGTTCCTCCCATTCGGCTCATGCTCGCTATGCCTCGAGTCCGCCGTCGACCCCGTGGCCTGTTCCGACGGTGACATATTCTGCCGCGAATGCGCGCTGAACAACATTCTCGCACAGAAAAAGGAGATCAAGAGACTGGAGAAGGCTCGGGAACTCGAGGACAGAGAGGCTGCGGAGTCAAAGGCACGGCAGGACGAGGAGGCGCAAGCAAGAGCCGTCAAGGAGTTTGAACTGACCCAAGCCGGGTTCGACGTCGCTGGAAGCAAGGCCGGAAGTGGCTCAGAAGCCGGCTCGTCCAGAGAGACGAAGAGCGGAGAGAAGCGCAAGTTCTCGCTAGACGAGGACGAAGTGCTGCGCAACGCCGAGAATGACCGGGCGAAGGCGCGGAAAGCCATCGAGGATGAAAAGAGCGCCAAACCGTCACTCCCATCGTTCTGGGTCCCTTCAGTAACACCGACTTCAAATTCAAAAGATAAGCTACATGAAGTCAAGAAGAAGGCGAAGACAACACCCACATGCCCGTCGTCTCAGGAGAAGAGTCCCCACCCCTACTCTCTGCACACGCTCGTGACAATCAATTTCACTGAGGAAGAGTCCAAAGAGTCCAAGACCAAGACAAGGATCTGCCCGTCGTGCAAGAAGGGGCTCACGAACTCGTCGAAAGCGATGCTCGCCAAGCCATGTGGACATGTGCTTTGCAAGGCATGCGCGAATCAGTTTATGAAGCCGTCAGGCCATGATCCGCATGCTGACCCGGCAGATGCGAAGCATGCAAATGCGGTCAGGTGTTATGTTTGTGATGAAGATGTCACGGAAAAGCCGGCCAAGAAGGGGGGTGACAAGAAGGAGAAGGACAGAATACGGCCGGGAGTGGTTGAGCTCAAGAGTGACGGAACCGGGTTCTCGGCTGGTGGCACGAATGAGGTCAAGAGGAGCGGAAATGCCTTTCAATGTTAAAAAATGACAGGATCTTGTCCCTGATGAACCGGCTGTCGAGTGATTTACCGAACAAGACTTTGTAAGACTTGGCTGGCGGCATGGAGACAACTTGAACGTGGTCCTAGCATCTGTACCACCCGGTCTCAAAGCCCTGAATCGATTACTCGAGCTTTGTTTTGCTGAAAATAATTCTCAACAGCCTAGCGGAGCTATTTCGTCACAATCAATTTCTGCGTCCGCTCCAACAAGCCCGTTACAAGAGGTCCATCTTTGATCCTTGCAAACCTCTCGGCAATCTGGATATCTCCCAGCTTCTTCAGATCTTCCCTGGACCGCCGCCGAATCAGCGCCTGAGCGGTAGGCGACGCGCGAATCCTGGCAAGTATAAAGAAATATAGCTGAACAATCAACTTGTGCACAATCTCCTTCGATAACATCGTCGTCCCGTGGTTAAAGAAAGCCTTGAGCAACTCCCCACTGATACCGTCGTACAGCGCCGGCACGCCCTCGGTCCTTCCTATGTGCAGGACGGTACCAAAAATGGTGTCCTCGGCCAACCTGTGGATACGGCCCTTGAGCGCTTGGGCTCTGGTTTCCACCTTGCCGACATTCTGCTCAACCACGAGCGTATCCTCCTCTCCCGACCGGGTAGAGACCTCCTTCTCCTCCTCGAGCTCCGGCTTCGGGCTCTCCGGCGCAGAAACCTGCACTCTGGCCTTTGCAATCTGGAACGGATATGTCGCCGCAGTCGCGATGGCCTTGCTCAGCGCAGCGACCAGGAACGTGGCGCCGTTGGACTCGCCCTCACGGCCCCTATCGGCCAGCGCCTTCTTGAGCGCGTGCTGCAGGTAGAAGGTAATGCTGGGATTCAGCGTCAGCACGAGGGTGGCGCTGTATCCGGCCCAGAGCCCCAGGATCCCCCTCTCCGCCCGGATAACGTGCAGGATCTCCGCGAACGACAGGTTACGAGAGGCCTGGCTAGCGGCTTCGTCGTCTTCGGCGATCAGTGACGCGGTCTGCTTCCGCGTCACTACGTTGCCGATCGGTGTCGTGAACAGCCTCGCGCACGCGCCTGCCGCCGCGCCCACCGCCAGCTCCTCCCAGGCCAGTAGGCGCCTGCTGTTTCCTTGTGACCTCTTTGTGCGGAACCAGTTGTACTACAGCGTTCAGAATGAGCTATCAAAGTGTCGAGGAAGAAAGTTCATGTGAAAGTGATACTATCTGCCCCTGACATGTCTCATGAGTCGCGGCTTAAGAGATCTTCAAAGGTCACCTTACTTCGACATAGGCTTCAAAGGTGGCAGATGAACATCCTCGGGTGGATGAGAACTTACAAAAAGAAAGAAGAGAAAACTATCCGCCACACCCTTGAACACGTCAGACCCCAGTCCCGCGTAGAAGGCGCCCAGCCCGCCCTCGCGCTCGTAGATCCGAGATACTGCGTCCAAGATACCCGCGTACTGCTCCGAGGGCGAGATGGTGCCGTCCTTGCGCAGCTGTCGCTGGACCTTGAGCCGGGTGTTGACGAGGTCCAGCGGGTATGTGGCGGTTGTGGAGATTGCGGTGCCGGTCGCGCCGGAGATGGCGTGGCCGATGGCCGGCAGGAACTGGTCTGCTGGCATCTTGGGGCTCTTGTGTCTCAAGGAGCGTGTGTGTGTTCAATGTGTGGCCTGAGGATATTGTCAAGTCGGATCAGTGGAGCCACAGCCACGGGAAGAGCCCGGGTCAGTGAGGAAGAGGAACAGAAAGGTTACAATAAGTGTAGGGTTACTCCGCGCCTTTGAATATATAATCTGTCCAGGCGCATGCGCATGAACACCCTTGACTTTATTTCCAATTATATATGTGCAGATGGTTCTGTCAAGAAAAAGGTACCCAGGTGGACGGGCAGGTGCTCGAACGAGCACATGCAACGCGTTAGCCGTCCTATTGCCGACGTCATCCCCCGTAACTAGCCCACTGCCCCGGATTTGCACGACCACCACAGGACCACCCCTGCTTTACCCCACAGTCTCGAGAGGCTCGGGGTGCCGAATCCACTGGCTCGGGAGCCCACTGGCACCCTTGGCCCAAGAGACGGGCCCCCCTTCTGTCCTGGAGAAGCTCAGCTAGTTCGGATGCTCATGAATCTCGAATTTGAGAGCTGATCGCGACGGAGGTCTCTCGGCAATTGCGACGAGAACTCCTCCTCCCCAATCTGACGAGCTTGTGCCACGCAGGAATAAGGTTTGTCAGGGGGAGTCAGATGGAGCACGTCTAGGCCAATTCTGACAGCTGCCATATTTTTGTCATTTCGGGTCGAACCCGTATTTCATGCCATGCTGCTTCTAGCTTTGACGTAAGCTCGGGCTCCCTCCAGTATCATTCAAACATGTCCTCCAGCCCGAGGGGAGCATCCGTCTCCCCAGCTCGTCACAATGTCCTGTCGTGGGCAATAACAAGACAAAATCGAAACCTCCAACGCCTTGCGAAGTCTTTGTGTTATAGACAATATTTCTGTCTCCACCAGTTGGCAAGACCACTCATTCCAACTCCAACCGAAAATGCAATGATTATGTGCAAAGCCCAACCGTATCCTCCCTTTCCTAGAGCCCCGTCGAATCAAAGTGCCCGGCAGACAACAGATATAAAAGTATCTCTCACGTGCCTGGTGGAGAAACATACCGCAGTAGAGCACAAGTCACACCCCGAGGCTCCCGTGCCAAGCTGCCTCCACGCGAAGTGTGATGCCTTTCTCGTGCTTGTCAAGGCTCCTAGGGTGTTTTCATACATGGAGAAGTCTGAGCTCTTGCTTCTCCAACATTTCATCCTGCTGGTCCTGTGTCGCTGAACCCATGTGGAAAGCCGACAGTTATCGTCGCGTAAGTCGCAAGGGACTCGTCATCGGCAGTCTTGACGACATTAGCGCTGGGGCAGTGACGCAACATATGCTGTCTCGCGTTGTCCCTGCGTGTATACTTCTTGCCGCAGCCGGTGCACATGAATGGCCTCTTCCCTAGATGTTCGCCATCTAGATGGCGCTGTAAATGTTTTTCTTTCCTAAAGGCCTCTTGGCAGAAGTCGCAAGTGAAGTGCTCCACGGTCTTTCGGGGAGACCCAGCGACCTTACCGCCCCTTAGCCCTGGACCGTGCTCCTCCGGAGATTCCTCAGCCTTCTAAGCCGGACCACCGACGGACACTTGTCTCTGGGCCTGCATCGGCGCGAAGGTTGCACTGCCTGGCATATTTGGGACATCGTCCTCTTCCTCACCAGGAGCATCCTCTTGGTCCAAAACAGGCATAACAGGGACAGGCGGGCGATGGCCAGCGTGACCAGGCGGTAGGCGTTGAGCTCCGTAGCCACTGACTTTGAAAATATTCTTGCGCCCATTATCCGTGGCGGCTGCCAGCTGTTGTTGTAGCCGGTTCATTTGATATTCGCGCCGAATATTATTGAACACCGGTTGGGGCACAACAGGTTGCGGATTCCACTTGGCGAGAGCAGCCATGACAGCGGCCGTCTCTTCGTCACTGTCGACAGGGCCAGCGTTGGGATCATCATCTTCCTCAATCGGGGCGTTGGCATCGAGAGCAGCCTCTGGGGACGATTGTCAGCATCGAATCTTGTGGGGCAACATTCCTGGGGAAGGGCACTTACTCTGTTGACGAGCTTGATTCTTTTTCTGATATGCTGCCAAGAGCATGTCGTATGGCAAAGACCGCCCGGCAACAGCTCTTTTCGCTCCCATGCTGTGTGATTTGCATGTAAGAGATCTAGCACAAGGCTGTCCGTTTGGCAGAATCACACCACATTGACGCTCAACATCGACCGGACCTAAACAAAAGTACGTCTGGTCAGTGACTCTCTCGGGCTTGTGACGCTTATGTGAAACGGTCCTGTCGGGAGTACCATGGACGGATATGTTGGATCCATCGTTCAAGATATTGAAAGGGGAAGGGACATCATTGCCAACAGTAAGGGTAGGCTCTGCTAGCCACCCCTCTGCAGGCGAGGATGGATGCATGGTCCGCAGACTCACCTTTGGGTTTCGTCTTGGGCTTCGGCTCATCCTTCTTTTTCTTTTGTTTCGGGCCCTTGTCTGCCTCACCCTCAGCCTTCCTTTTCTTGCCCGAAGGGCCGCCTTCTCCCGTCTTCTTGCCGGCGACCTTCTTCGTTGTTTTTCCAGGAACTTTCTCTCCGTCGTCGTCATCATCGCCGCTGTCGCCGTCTGCTCCAAGCGTGATGCCTTCTTCTTCTGCCCGGCGCTCGCGCTCCTCTCTCAGCGCAGCCTCTTTTGCGCGCTCCCTGGCTTCTCGTGCGGCCTTTTTCCGGTTCGCCTTCTCCTTTTTGATCTTCAGACAGCCGTTGATGTGTTCAACAGCAGTGGTCATAAGAATGCTTTTCTTGCACCACTTGCACGATGTCAGGGCAGGGGCATCAACCATGGGATAGCCCTTGATGAAGGTCTCCCGAGGGAGTTCATCGAGTTCGTGGAACGGTTCGCTCGGTGATGGCACGGGGTTGGCCGCCGCGTTGGCGCTCGACTTGCTCTTCTTGTCTGTATGCAGACCGCAGTTAGAGAATGCGTAATGGACCGGATGATGCCTCTCATCAATCGCGGCGCCTGTGGGGTATGCTTACCTTCAAGGACATTTCCATCCTGGCTGCCGGCCTCCTTCAGCTTGGGAATCTTTTCTTTCAGCTTGAACCCTCCTAGCTTGCCCTTGCCTGTGTTCTTCTTGGATGCGACCTTGATCGTGGCCTCATCGTCTGTTCAAGTGACACGGATTAGTCGTGTCGTTGGATTCGCGACGCGGCCGCGTTGGCTCACCTTTTCGATCCTCAGCCATGGCGACTGTCTGGGGCTGCCCCCTTTACGCTCGACGAGCGCGTATCCCAGCTTCCGCCAGCGTCGCGTGCTGAATTTCGATAGACAGGGGCGGGTTTTGCCACAGCTCCGACGTCCAACGGATGCGTGGTTCGATGGCGTCTTCGAGGGATCTCCGGCTTGGACGACGTCTGCTGCCTTTGGTAACGGATATGCCTGAATCGGGGGTTCCTCAGGATGCAAGTTCAAACGAAAGGTTACCAATATCGGACTCGCAGGTTCCAAAAAGGAAGGGCCTGGACTGGCCGAAGTGGACAGCGATGAAATGTCGCGAGTCGTCCTTTCAACGATGAATCGCATGTGGTCGCGATGTTCCAAGAGTGGTTAGGATGATGTAGGTGGACCTGGGGAGAAGACCCATGCATCGGAGCCTGGACCGAGGCCCCACTACTGGGATAGCCGCATACGCACCGGTAACCGCGCATCTTATGCAACAAAAAGGAGTATTCCATTCGAAAGTATATCAGAGTGTGCTATGTAAGCCACCTTCCGTTACGGCCAAATACTACATATAAATACTAAGTCCCGTCGGAAATTCTGGGCCACTTCCTGAGTAACTGATCAGGCACTTGCTTGTTGATTCATCCAGTTGACCTGGAAGTTTCTCATTGATTTTTTGAAACTGCGCCAAACACTATGCCCTTCTTGCCCTCCACCCGCCAGGACACTCCTCCACATTCCTGCCCAAGAAATGCGTCCATGCCTGCGCTCGATAAAACACCAGGCCATCTCTCTCGGACACCCGCATCAACTGCTAGCGATTTGTCGAGCACAATCGACCAGGCATTGTGTAGGCGTCGAAGTTTGAGGGCGTGGCTTTATGGATTTTGGAAGGCCACATGGTGCACGAATGAACCAGAATCTTGCTCCGTATGCCTTTGAGGCTGATGAGGCTATTAGATGCTGAAAATTGGAGCAAAACCAGGACAGGAGTGTGAGGCAGCTGTTGCCGCCCACCGGAAGTGATCCTGCTAGAGAGCTGCGCTGCAACGGTCACTTCAGCACTTTCAAGCGCCGGATGACTCGATAATGATTACAGGGCTCAACTCGACCCTGAACCTGCGCTTATTCCCGGTTCTGAGGCCAGCACCTCAGCGATTGTGGTATTTGAACCCTTCGGACAGCTGCCACAATGACATAAATGAAAGTCTTGGTTTCGGCGGCGAGGATCGTCAAACCCTTCACCTGTTTATGGTTCGTCACGAAGGGCAAAGACCAGATCGCTGCTGATCACTTGCAACTTGCCTCCGTAGACGCCGTAAGATTTGGGTGAACTTCAAGGATATCACGATGACTTGACCCATCCTAGTAATTTTCATAGCCTTGCGATGGAACGCCCTGCGATGGCACCTGCGTATAGGCCCTAGCTTGCGCCTGTGCCTGCATCGCCCGCTGTTGTTGTTGCTGGTGCTGCTGGACGATTAGGTCGCTGAACCAGTGGTGCTGGAGGGCGTCCGCGGCACTGATCCGGAGCTCTGGCCGTAGCTGGAGCATCTTCTGCAGCAGGTCGATGCCCGCTGCGTCGATCATTGGCAGGATCTGGCGGAGATCCTGAGTAGCGTACATCTGGAAGTTTGGCTTGTATTCAGGGAACTGAGTAATTCCGGGCCATGTTCGCTCCGTCGGGGTGCCCATGATCCTGAAAATCCTGGTGATCTGATCCTCGTTGGTCGTGCCTGGGAACAAGGGTCGGCCTGTGTACATCTCTGCCATGATGCACCCAGCAGACCAGATGTCGATGCTGGTGTTGTATGTTCTGCTTCCCAAGAGAACATCGGGAGCTCGGTACCACAGCGTGACGACCTCGTTGCTGAAGGTGTTGACCGGGATTCCGAACGCTCTTGCCAGACCGAAGTCGCCCAGCTTCAGCTGTCCTTTGCTGTTGATCAGAAGGTTCTGGGGCTTGAGATCCCTGTGAAGGACCCTGTTCTTGTGGCAGAAGTCGATGCCCTTCAGCAGCTGGTACATGAAGGACTTGATGAGCATAGGCTGAAGGGCTCCCCTGTCGCCCTTGGTATCCATGTACTTCTTCAAATCGCCGTCCATATAGTCGAATACCAACATAAGCTTGTTCTCCGTGTGGATCACGTCATGTAGCCCAACAATGTTCTCGTGTTTGAGCTCCTTCATAAGCGAGATCTCGCGGATAGCCGTACTGGGTGTTCCTTCCTCGGAATCAAGGTGGATCTCCTTAAGTGCAACGAACTCGCCGGTTTGTCGGTTGCGCCCTTTGAAGACCTGTGGAAGACCATGTCAGGACATCACCTAGAAGTCGGTCGTGGCTGGCCGTCTTGTTGATGGACTTACAGTAGCATATGTTCCCTCTCCAAGCTTCTCCAACTGTTGGAAGGACGAGAGATGGCGTTTGCCGTCCATATTAGCTGTCGTTGATGACGCTCGGTCGATAGCGAGATGGGTTGCTGGCTCGGGCTGGCGTCGAGAGGTGTATCTTGGGTCGAACAGGACGCTGCCGACTGTCTCTGTCCTACGCGTGCGAGTCGGAAATACAGTCACAGGGTGCGAGCTGTCTGACGCCGTGATTGCAGCGTGGAGCGGAATCGGCAGGATCTGCTTGACCAATAGCCGATGTGACCGTTGAGATTTTGTGAGCTGTATTGATTGCAAGGTGTGTAGAAGAAACAGTGACTGAGATAGAAGGATGTGGCGGCTGTCGAAGAAGCGGGAGGGAGCTTGCTGAAGTGCGGCCTGAAGTGAGGTACATAGGCTAAGTGGGCTGAGGCTGTTGTACTCTCTCTGATACTATTCTTGGGCAGGCATCCCGGCCCAGCCCATCCCGCCCACCAGTTCCAAGCCCACCCATTTCGGGGGCCTGGCCAGCAAAGCTCTGGCCCACTTGCCGATCCCCTGCACTCCAAACAAATGTCCAACATACCTGTATTGTACCAGGTTATGAGAATCACGGTATCTCTACCTTTCACCTTTTCTGGTGAGCACGTGTTAGTGTGGCAAATATCCATACAAGTTTGTCCATGGTGACACTGGATTTTAACAACCATGACGAAATACCGCTGACGCAGGCTCCTCTCTCAAATGTCGACAAGTACTTGCCTCGAAGGCAAACCGTAGAGGGGACCAAGTGGGCGTGAGAAAGAAGTGCCCAAGAGGGTTGTCAGCTACGTCGGTGCCCGACATCATTTGCGAGAACATTTCAACATCAGGCATCACAGAAGACACAGAGGACAAACACAATCGTTGCAAATGGACTTGATCTCAGTCAATTCTGGGTATCGCATATGATGATGCCGAAGTGCCCCTTTTCCCTATGAGTCCCGAACGCCATTTCCCCAATTGCAGCCATTTTCAAGGGCTTTCCCGAGTATGCAGGATCCACTCGATGCTGAATGCTCACCAGTTACGCTCAGAGAAGGCGAAGGTGCTCACTCTTTCTTCTGATTCTCGTCGTCCTCCTTGTCGCTGGCGTACTTGGTACCCTCCTCCTTCTCCCGCATCCACCGCTCCATGAACGTGCCAGGGCCGCTTCTAGCGGGACTAGGCAGACTGGCCCGGTAGCTCTTAGCGTTGGAGGGATCGGGTCCGCTTCGTCCATTGACACTACCAACGAAGAAGGGGTGAGCGTCCTCAGACTTTGCGATCTTCTCCATCAGCTCCTGGTTCTTGACCGGCGCCATGGTGATGGGCTTGCCTCCATAGGAGCCGATGGACATCTTGTGGATGCTTCCCTGCGGCATGAGGGGCACCTTGGGAGGGACGTTGGTGGTCTTCTTGATAGCCATGCCGATGGGAGGCGAGGCCTGGATGGGAGCATTGGGCTTGAACTGGGCCTCGCGCTCATCCACTTCGTCACCGGACTCCTCGTCCGCCTTCTCGTCCTTCTCGGGCTCCTCTTCGGCCGGCTCAGGGAGATGCTTCTCTGGGGAACCGCGAGCCGAGATCGCCTTCCTGAGGGCCTCGTCGTCTTCACCAGCCTCCAGATTGAACATGTCATCCTCCTCATCCTCAGTGGGCTCGGCCCGCTTGGCAGAGACAGCCTTGGCAGAGCTGCCCTCAGGAGCACCGAGCTCCTTGTTGGTGGTTGGGGTGAACTTGCGTCCAGAACCTAGGGGTTCAGATGAGTCGCGCTGAGCAGAGACAGAGCCGGTGGCCTTGGATTCCTGTGAGTCAGTTGCCCGAAGTTTCTTCTTAAAATCCTTCTTTGAAATTATCATCAAGGGATCTTCGTCGTCCGAGGACTCGTCATCCGGGGCCTGAACGCTCTCAACCATGGTCTCAGGCTCCGCGGGACCAACGGCGTCCTCCACCTCGCTCTGGCCTCGTCCTCCGCCATCCTCGGCCTTGATATGCATGGGAAGCTGCTTTGGAGCCATGGTGTCACGCTCCTCTGCTTTCAACGATGGAGCTGTAGCTGTCTTTGTGCTGGTCTTATCTGCATGAGAAGCTGAATCTTCAGATCCAGGGTTTACGACGGTCCACGTTGTCGGGTCATCCAAGGGCGCTTTTGAGAGTGCGCGCAAAGCTTGAGACGAAGAGACCTTTCTCGGTGGGGGATCGTCCTCACCGTCAATGTCGCCTAATGTCGTGAGAGGGAGTGAGGCATCCGCGAGGGCTGCTGAGCTTTCTGAGCTGGCACTGACAGCCTCTGCGAGGGCTGCGGTGGATGCCTGAGGCGATGAAGACGGTAAGACCTCCTGACCTTGCACTTCGAATCGCACGCGACGAGTTTCTCGTGGGCTGTCGGCCACCCTAGATGAGCTAGCGGAGGAGCGTCGCAGAGCGCTTTTACGAATCCTTGTGCTGCTGGAGTCGCTTGCTACTGAGTCGATGGATGCGTCAGTCGCGCGACGCAGTGGGCTTGGCCTGGGGCGGTGATGAGGGCTGTCCGAAGTTTGAGTGCCTGCTGAGGTCGGGGCGGGTGCTGAAAGCTCAGTTTCTTCTGGGGTCTGAGAAACGTCTGAGGTCTGGGTGCCTTCTGAGGTCTGGGTGTTCCTGACGGCGAGCCTGTCGTCGATGTTGGGCGGTGGGCCCGCGCCTGGTGAGGTAGGTGGGGAGTGGATTGGGCGATCAGTGCTGTCAAGAAGTGGGAGGTATGTGGGGGTAAAAAGGCCTTGGAATTCCAATTCGCGCTCGTGAGAGCTTCGAAGAGGGTCCTTGGGCGTCCCCGAGGTGTGTGGAAGAATTGGTGGTGGGGAGCCTTTGTTGCGCCAGGGAGAATCGTGACTTTCTGTGGGTGTTTCTAAAGGCAATGTGTGGCGATGGTGGCTCGCAGGAGGGAACAGGTAAGGGTAGTTGACCAGAGACTCGGCGACGGCCTGGGAGACTCGGTAGGCAGCATCTTCCGGAACATTCTGGAGCAGGTCCCCCGAGAACCGATTGAACTCGGCAGCCATCTCGAGCCTGTATGCAGCAACGCGACCGTCCAGCTCGGCAAGCTTGGCCTGCGCGTCTGCGATGAGTTTTGCAGTATCGTCAAGCTCCATTGTGACGTGACAGCGGCGCACGCAGTGTCTTTTGAATTGGCGCCGGAAGTTGACAGCATTGACGCGCAGGTGCTCTGTAGATCACACCGGAGACTGTAAGGGCTGCCGGCTAGAGGTATATGGTGGTGGCCATGTTCGGCGGTGGTGGTGGTGGTAAGTGGTTGTCACACGGCGTCTCGGTCTGATAAGGTGAGAGGCTGGTGAAAAGTGAGGTTTTGAGCAAGGCTTAGCTCCTGGGGGTGACGGCGTCACAACGCAACTCAACGGGACTCTGCAAGTAATTTACCAGGGGGGTGTGGTCAAGCTCCGGGGCCTGGGCCTGGGCCTGACTACCTTGGAAGTGGGGAGTGCGCCGGAAACCCAATGGCACGCCACCCACCACCTCCTCCCACCACCACCACAACCCACAGCGTGCCACAGCAAGCCCAAGGAGCACAAGGAGCACAAGGGAGCCCGAGGAGAGACAACCCAAACCAAGCCCCAGCACAAGCCCAGCACAAGCTCAGCACGAGGCCAATGTGGGGGAGGCTCAAAGCTCAGAGGGCGCCTCTTGTCTCACTCACCCTTGGGCCGCTTGCAGCATGAACTAACCCCCATGGTGCTAATCTCTGGACGAGGACAAAGAAGACATCCTTGACCTGGACATGCACCTCATCTCACCCATCTCACTCGTTATCTCATCTCATCTCCTAGCACGGGCGCTCTCTGTTTTCTTATTATGTCATCTGGGCTCACGAGAACCACCTCGAGCTTAATAAAGCTGAGCCAGCGATACGGCCCAGGACACCCCGCCCCCAACTTGATTGATCATGGGCATGATACGAACCCTGGAAAAACGGAGCATCATCGGAGGCTCGGGCGATAAGGAGGCTGCTTCCGAGTCAGGAGTCAGCAATCCTCCGGCGCCGACCCTTCTGCCAGCACGTGCCCCGGGAGGCCATGGGATGAACCAAGCTGATACTGGTCATTTGACCTCGCCTGTGTCGCCGCATTCAATGCGCATTGCCCTTACACCTTACACCGACTTTCCTCATCTCGTTAGGCCCTTGCTGTCAAGCATCGTCACTTCCAGCCCCAATCAGCCAGTCTTCTGACCAGGCAGGAACTGCCGGATATGGGCGAGCAAGTGCAGCCGTGCCTAAGCGCCCGCTGCCAAGGCTGTAAGGGCGGCCCTTCTTGGATGTCGACTCAGCACCTCCTGCTTGTGGCTGATGTCCTCGACGGGCCAGTGACCACCCTGAAGGGAAACACAAGGCAGCAAGCAAGTAGTGAATAAGCTGTGTAAGGAGGTCTATCACCCTTGAGGGTATCTCCTTCAGTTGTGCACAAATTCCAAGTGGAATGCGACGGAGATGACAGCATTGCAGGATGCAGCAGCAATACTTGCTTTCCACCCCGGCCTACCTGTTAGACCAGATGTCTATTTTCCTCTGGGGCGTGTTAGCCTGGGTTTAGATGTCCTTTTTCTCCAACGCGGACGAGTCAAATCTTTCTCAAGGCATATCAGGTCAGATGTCCATTTTCTTGTTGGACTAGATGTCCATTTTCCTATTAGACTAGAAGTCCATTCTCTTCCGAGGCAACGGAATTCCTCCCATTAGGCATCAGAAGTTTCCCAGTTCAACAATCCAATAATTCTCTTGGGGCGGTCGATGTTGCGTTCCATGCGTGCAGAATGCCTGCGAATATCGCAGGAACTTTGTGCTTCAGGTCTGGAATAATGACCCGGTGTGTTGCTGCTTGTCAGAGAGCCGAGGGCAATCGGGCGTGCCATGAAGCCTTAGATGTCAAGTCACTAGACAAAGAGATATGCTGGCAATTGAGCCTCAAATGATGGCATGTTTTGGCAGGGTTTGATCGATATGTGACCATGCTTGTCGTACCTCCTATGGAATACCTCCTATGGAACAACCTCCTGTGGGATAATCCTCCTATGGGATAACCTCTGTGGGATAATTCCCTCCAGTTCGTTGTCTTTGAGCATCGTCTCCTACCTGCTAAAGATATGAAAAAAGCCACCACTGAGGCGAAGCAGAAGCAGATTTACTAGAGCAGTGGTCATATATAGATTACAAGAGCTACTGACTTGACAGGTGCCCATATGAAATATAGCTATTAATGCTTGTCTCTCAAGATCCACGCTCAGAAGCACTTGGATTCTCCACCTCTGCGCCTATATGATCTATCCAGACGAGGTCGGTCAGTAGGTAGCTTGTGCCAGGAGCAGTTTGTTTGCTTCGACAGCCTTGAAAGTCTTAGGCCTTACATCCCATTCGTGCCCTCGTCCTTACTTTGCTGCTGGTGCCTTTGACCTCGTACTCACCATCCTCTCCGTACACAGGTTTCTACGATAAGAGCCACACTTTCTACTTTTCGCAAGCTAGAAGTACCCTTCTTCTAAGTAGCCCCATTCCTCCTACTGACAACCCCCTTCCTCCTGTTGACAACCTCCTTCCTCCTGTGGACATCACCCTCCTCTCTACCAACCTTTCATCACCATTTTCACAACATATTCCTTGATATTACGCACAGCTTGAAGACAAGAGATTCTACCTGAGCTGTGGTATGATCACCAGGCTTTACATCTTGACTGTTTTCTTTCCTTCATTGCCTCTGAGGATGCACCTATCTCCCTACCTTGCGCCAAGCCATCTCACTCTACCTCTCGCACCTCACACCTCACACTCCAACTGATCAAAGCCTGGGCTCTACAAGTTGAGTACAAATTCTTCTCACACGTATCATCTGCCCATCGTTTCATCAAATTACAGTCCTCCCGGCCTTTTTTGATTTTGCGCCAAGTTTTAGGGATCCTTCACCGCAAACAGTGAGCTTCTACCAAGTGGTGATACCCAAGCCTTTCCCTTTCACAATAACTTTTCGTCCCAGTTTCAGATCCACTCCGAAGCTTTCCAAACGCTTGCCCCTTGCTCAAAGACTGACATCTTCCTCGAAAAGTCCTAAAGCCAGCTTTTGCACTTCCCCATACCAAAAACCTGCTTTCCAATTTCTGTTGCGTTCTGCCTCCTTCCTCAAAGCCTCCGTTCTTTCCAAAACCTTCATCTCTTGCTCCCATCGTCAGCTTCTCTCCAAGCCTACAGCAAAGCAAGATTTAATTTCGGACTTAGTACGCCATGAGATCCGAAGAGCCACCGTCTCTTCGAGGCACGCCGCCGGCGACTGATACTCGGCCAAAGTCTGTTCCTGCGGACACCCTCGCCACTGCGGCTGCTGAGATACCCAAAATCAAAATTCGCCTTACAATGAACGACCTTTTGACTACCACAGGCTCTAGTGCAATTCCAGGTCCTAACTCTCAAGCCAACGAACAGCAGCCGATCACAGCAAATGAAGGTTCAACTGACATTGCTGGATCAAGCGGCGAGTACACCACTGACACGACTGATGCACAAGTTGCGAAAGTTTCGACCCTGGTCAATGTAAAAGCTGAGCCAGACTTCGAAGCAACCATCTCTCAGACCATTCCTGCCGTTTCTTCGGACTCGTTTGTCAGGCAGCCTATGGACACTCCAGCCAAGAAGGAGGAAAAGACAGTCATTGATACACCTTGGTCTGATCTCCCAACAGCGCCACAACAAATCACCTTGGACAATGTGAGAAAGGCTTCAGAGACTACGGATTTGGCCAAATTGAAGTCTTGCATCGAGAGAGCCCGCCAGGTACTGGGCTTGATTCGACAGCCTTTGGCTGATTCAAAGCAGAAGGAGCAGCTGGATTGGCTCAACCGCATAGACAAGCTCAGGGCAGAGCAAAAGCTTCGCACAGTTGTGGCAGTGGCAGGTGCGACAGGTGCTGGGAAAAGCTCACTTATCAATGCTTTGCTCGACGAGGAGAAGCTTCTTCCAACTTCTGGCTTCAGGGCATGTACTGCCGTGATAACGGAAATATCCTACAACGACTCACAGGATCCCGAGAAAGCGTACAGAGCTGAAGTCGAATTCATATCTCAAGATGATTGGGATTCGGAGTTGGAGCTTCTCTATGGCGACCTCGTGGAGGACAAGAAACTCTCTGCCGCATACCTGGATACGAACGCAGAAGCCGGCATTGCCTACGCCAAAATCAGAGCCGTGTATCCAGAATTGACGCATGAACTCATCTTGAAGAGCAAGGTCGATGAGCTGGCTAAGAGGAATGCGGTGACTAACGTCTTGGGAAAAACAAAAGAGATAATTTGCAGCAATGCTCGCGACCTTTACATATCGCTTCAAAAATACCTTGACAGCAAGGACAAGAACACCAAGGGCGGCCCTCGTAAGGAGAAAGACATGGCTTTCTGGCCATTGATCAAAGTCGTGAGGGTATTCACGCGGGCCGCAGCACTCGAAACAGGAGTATGCATTGTTGATTTACCGGGAATACACGACGCAAACGCCGCCAGGTCCGCCGTTGCCAAAAAGTACATGGCTGAGTGCTCCGCTGTGTGGGTAGCTGCCCCCATCAAGAGGGCTGTCGATGACGAGGCTGCTCGAAAGCTTTTGGGAATGAGTAGTCGTCTACAGATGAAATTAGATGGCATATATTCCAGTGTCACTTTCATCTGCACTATGACAGACTCGGTGCAGCTGTCAGAGAGCGTGGAGGCTTTCGACGGGGATGGCCAAATCCAAGCCGCTTTGGCGAGAGAAGATGATCTCGAGAAGATGATCCACGCTAAGAAGGACTCCATCGAGAAACTGGAAGGGCAGCTCAATGCAAGCGACGAAGCATGGCAGGGGCTCGAAAAGGAGTTCAAGTCCTGGAAAGCTCTTCAGCGAAATCAAAAGAAGGGCCGGCAGGTATATGCGCCTCGGGTTCCTGCAAAGCGCAAGCGTACTACGAAACCTGCGACGCGCGGGCGCCGGCGAGGCGTTGTGGTGGAGGATGATTCTGACGAAGACGACACTCCGGACCAGGAGCCCCTCACAGCCGACGAGATCTCATCAAAAGTCACTGAACTCAAGGCAAAGCTTGCATCCAAAGGTGCCGAGTACGATGATATGTGTGAGAGGCTTGAAACCATGAAAAATGATCTCAAGGCTCTTGAACACGAGAAGAAGGATAATTCTGTGGAGGCAGTGCGTCTGTGCATACAGAAACGGAATTCACACGTGAAAAAGTGTGTCAGAGTTGACTTTTCCAACGGAATCAGAGAGTACGTTTCCTTTCCTCAGTCCACAAGTTCGAGCTATAGCTGACGTATGAATAGGATCGATGAAGCCGACGCTCAGGCCGATGATGAGAACTTTGATCCCTCCATCAAGCAGCGCGACTATGAAGAAGTCGGCCGTTCGTTGCCCGTTTTCTGTGTCTCGAGCAAGGCGGTATGTCCATTCCTCGACACTACCATTAAAAACTGACCTCTCGTGTACTAACTTTAGAGCAGTATCAACAACTTCGTCTACAAACGAAACGCGAGACCCGCGTTGAGGGCTTTCGAGACCTAAAGGACAGCGAGGTCCCGTCTCTACAACAGCATGCCATGAAACTACCCGAGCAAGGCCGAATTCATGTCTACCGAACGTTCCTCAACGAATTCTATGGACTTTTGGGCTCTCTTACAATTTGGGTGAACAGTAGCTTGCTTGAGCGCAATGCCCCGGTGATGAGCAAGCAAGATCAGAGCTATGAAGAGAAGTATCTTCACATGGCTGCCGAAAACCTTAAGAAAGACGTGGATGTCCTCATTTGGGCCAAGAAAGGCGAGCTTGACGATATCATACAGAGCAACTTTCTCTCCAGGTCAAATGCTGCCATCGTCAACGCAGCAAAAGAAGTGACCGATGTGGTGTCAAGGTGGACGGCAAAGAAGGACGACGGTGGTTGGGGCATTGTTTTCCAAACTTATAAGGCGATCTGCCGCCGTGATGGAGACAAGACCAAGTCCGAAAAGTCCCGTGACTTCAACGAAGATATCCTCGAGCCGTACTTGAAGAAGATTGTAGCTGGTTGGGAGCAGGCATTCGACCACTCGGTCCCGGGAACCCTCGACAATATGGTGGCGGAATTCGCAAAGAAGCTGATAGAGTTCCACAGAACTATGTCGAACCGCCCGGAGCTCGAAAAATGCAAACCGGCATCAATACGCATGCTAGGACAGAAAATTTCCCATTACGAGGCGGCCATGGAGAATGAAGTCACCAGCCTAAAGGTAGAAATCCAGAAGAAGCAACGCGCGGCTCATCGTGCCTTCCAGCCCGAGATGCAAAAGGAAATGCTTAAGGCATATAGGTTGGCTTATCAAGAACGAGGTGAAATATATTCTTTTAGACGCGATTGGTGCTTTACTGATAGATTCCAGGCACGGGATGCTTTTTGCGCATGAAAGAACACATGTCTACTCATGTCCGCAAGAATAAGAACGCAATTTATCGCAAGGCAACCAAGCGGGTCATGGACGAATTGAAGAAGATCTTCGTGGCGAGCGCCAAGGATCTGAAGAAGGCAGCTCACGACATCGTCGACAAATTTGAGTCAGACTTTCGCTTCATCATCTCCAGCTCCGAAATAGTCGAAGCTGAGGAGGTGGCCCGGGAGCACATCTGCAGTGTCTTGCACAAGGTTGATACGCAGTTCGAGGCCGTCTTGTGCAGTGAGCCGATGGAAGTCGATTCTATACAGCCTATTGAGTCAGTGCCTCAGCAGTCCTCCATCGAGAGTGAGACTGGTGTCGGCGTTGCCATGAACGAGGCAGCCGATGCTGGTTCGACGATTGAGGCTGGAGCTATGGGTACTGCGCTGTGATTCTTGCCGATCTACTAGGGAGTTCAGGGTTTCGTTCTTTTATTTTTCGTACGGTGATCACTCTTGGCTCTGGTGTTTGGCGTGAGCGGCTCATTCTGATGCCGTGAGATATGCATCCCGGAGAAAACAGAACTGGTTGGGTATTCAGGAGTGACGATTGAGACTGGGCGCATGGCCTTACACTCGAAAAACTCATGTCCTGGGCTCAAATTCGGACATTCGGTGGGTCTGTGATGGTAATGGGACCTTTGAGTTAGACTCAGCACAGCAAGAAATCGATGACTTTTTGGCACACATACCCTCATGGCGACCAGTGAAACCTGTCTTAGGTCAAACATCGTAAGAGCAGATATTGTGCTCCGTGTTGAAACGCGCTGCCTGAATTGAGGCCGTTAACTGGTGTCAAAACAGTAAATCGTATTTGTATATGCACTTGCCTGTTGTACAGCCCAATGATGTCTTCGTGCATCCATGTGGTGATTCATTTGCCTGCGCGCTCTAGCACCGCCTCGAACATGTCTTCATCTTGATCTTCCTGAACTCTAAGGCCCAGAGTCAATCAACTTATTTTTTTAATTGGTACTTCTGCCGATAGCTCGCTCATCTAATCCACCGAGCGAGGCTTGTTCTTTTCAAAATGGCATTGATGATCGGACACATACTACCCTACCCACGGCAAACATAATGCGGGATCCATAAACTTTCCAAAATCTCAGTACTTGACAACACTCGACCAGCAAGTATGGTGGTTATATGCGCCCTTCCACTTGATTGCGTCCTTCTTGTGGGTGTCAGCCTTGATGGACTACTCGAATTCAGACTTTAGAGATTGGAGCAATGGCTCAAAGTAAGTTATGACCGGACTGCCGGCCTGCCCGTGAGAGTTGGTTTGTTGTCCGGGGTGGACTTGGAGCACTGCGTGATGAACTCTGGTAAAGAACAGCCCCCTGTGGGATAACCTCCTGGTTTTATGGACTAACCCTCTATGAGATTACTTTCTACGGGATACGCTCCTATCTCCAACGAAAAGCTGCTGGGTCAAGTACTCGGTAAATCGGTGTTGAGATATGTATTATGAGGGTTCTCAGATTTGATATTTCTTCACATCAGGTAGCTCCCGATTGAGGGTCAAGGGACTTGCAGTCCTACCAGGACAAGTTTTGCATTGATAAGTGTGCGCCCAAGTGTTGATCGAGACGTAAGAAGAATTTCCTTCCGAATAAATTTCTCATTTCAGGCTCTAAGGTGAAGTAACAGTGAAAATCTCCATTATCAAATCCGGTGGGATCATTGCGCTGACGAACTGCTGCTTGAGGACCCACTACCTGAGGATAGGAATCCCTTATTTGTGACAGGTTCCTGCTCAAGCTCGTCGACTTCCAAATGGGCATCAATACCAGCCTTACTTGATTCAACTCGTGGGGTTCAATTCAGCCTCGCACCGCTTACGTGCTGGACCTGCCCGAGTGACTGCCTGACTGAAAATGATCCAAAGGGCAAAAAAGAAAGGTCAACGACCCTCCTCACGCCCTGCCACCCCTATAAGGTGCTACAGCGCGTCCCTCCTTTCGGTATTTCCTTTTTAGGAGCCTCGGGATATTTGTTGCAGTGTCTTTTCCTCACCTGCCTGTGTGTTTATTGGCGTTGCGGTGGGCACTGTGTCTGAACGTGTGGCTTATGTGTGTGGACTTACTGGGGATTGCAAGTTGCTCGCTTTGCCACCATGCCAGCTCGCCTGTCGTTGTGGAATGTGGTTTTCACTGGGATATAGCATTGGGACGAAGGTGAACCGACGCGTGAAATATGGTTGAATGTAGGGTACAGTACCTCATCCGTGTCGGCCGCCATTTCCCCCCAGCTTCTCACCGTCCACCTTTCTCGTCGGAGCTCTTGCGCAGCATGCCATGCGACTGCTGCAAGCATGATATAGTTCTCATCTCTGTAACTTACTACCTTGGCCTTGCCATATTGCCGTTAACGGCCATGTCACGCAGATTTGCTTAAAGTCTAAGACTTGATCTCGTGAGGATCAGTCGTCCTGAGCTGATCATGTCAACATCTTAATTTAAAAAGGGACCAAAGGAATCGTTGTAGGTGGGAGAAATGAGATATTGGTTTTTCGTCGCCTATGCTCCATGCAATCGAGATGTCCTCGCATCTGTGATCACATCGGAGGCAGTGCGTGAGACACTGGGTTTTCTAGTAGGCGTGGGTTGCTCCTTTCCTATGCTTTCCCTTCAAGCCACATAAACGCCGCGCTGTGATCAATGCCGTGCTACAAGCTCCTCAAAATGCTCGCCAAATCGCTCCAGCCCTGGGGGTATCATTCTCATCATCATCTCGGTTCATCCTCCTGATCCAAGCAGTCTCCTGCGCAATGGTGTCCCGCTCGATCTGCTCCATCATATCCAGCTCAGCCAGCATGCCGTGCACTTGGCTCCGGCAACCGGAAAGCAGTCTTTCCAGGCTAGAAGGCTGCTGATCCTTGTCCTGATTGTCATCAAATGCGCTGTTCTCAAGCTGTCCCAGCTGCCTACGCCACGAGTCCAGCTTCCTCGCCATCGACGACACCTCGTCCTTCCATGCTGGATCCAGCTCACTGATGAATCCGACCTCGTCGTCCTCCATGAGGGCACCAAGCCCGCCAGCGAGCCTTCGTGCCTCCACAGCTTGTCTCGTCTGGTCGACCCACTTCTCGAATTTCCTCACGACACGTGTGTACCGCCCACTCGGCTCACCAAGGCTCCAGACACCAGATAGGATAGAGTCTAGCGTCTGGATCTTGTCATCCAGCCCCTTGCTACCACTCCAGGCCTTCAGGGCAGCCAGGTTTCTCGTCTCTTCGACCTCGGCCTCCTCCCTGCTGACCTCGGCGTCCCTCCCAGCCAACTCAGCGAACCTCTGCCCCAGCCTTTGCTTCGCGCTCGCGTTCCATGAGGCAGTCACAGAATCTGCGTCGCGATGAAGCAGATGTAGCTGCAGCAGCTCAGTCTGCAGCTTGGCCGTCTCGGAGGAGATGGCAATGTTGGCCGGCAGTTTCGACGGCGAGGGAGGAGCGAGGTAGGTCGACGTCAGCGGCTTGGGCGCAAGGTTGCGGGCGGGGCTGTAGTGCTGTTGGAGGGTGTTGAAGGCGGGCTTGAGGCGGGGCGCATCGCCTGGCGCGGTGGGCTTGACGGACCTGGCCGCATTTGTGGATGAGGCCCTGCTCAGGGCCGACGCGTTGGACGATGGTGCCGATTCTTGGCGCAGATGGCTCGATCGCGCTGCCGTCGTGTTGGCACGGCCTACTGGTCTCTTGCTCGCAGCCGTCGCCGTAGTCGTGGCTGTATTGGTTGTGGAAGTCGAAGTCACCGACCCTGCTGATGGCGGTCGCGGTGGGCGCAGGACAGTCGCGGAGTTTAGGGCGGTCGCGGATGACTTTGCGCGTATATGTGTGGTTGTGCGCGGTGATTGTGTTCTTGCCGGAGAAGTTGTCGCTGCTGCCGTCGTCGGTGGTATCGTCCTCAAGGGAGAGGGCCGGTTTGGGGTGGTGGGCGAGGGCTCTGAAGAAGTTGGCCCCGATTTCGAGGTGGTGGATATCGATTTCGTTGGTGGACGGATCAACCTGCTCGTTGTTATGGGAGCCGGCCTGGTACTCTTCGAAGGTTCTGCTTGATCGACAGAAGTAGCCTGCGTCGTTGGCTTCCTGGTAGCGATGCTATCTGCCCGACCAAATATGCCTGAGGTTGGTCTGCTCTTGGTCCCTGCGGCAGCAGCTGGGATGCTGCTCGCTTTCCCCGCGGTGCCAGCGCGCGTTCGAGTCGCTATTGGAGGGCCGCCGGGGGGCTTTGGAAGCCTGCTAGGGGACGTGTTCCTTGCTGCGCCAAGCGAGGAGGTTGAGGCCGCGGCGGCAGCACCTTTGCTGATGGCGGCGCCGTTGTTGGTGTTGATGACGCTGCCCGTTTCATCCTTCTTCTGGGCCCTGTTGAGGCCGGCAGTAGGCTGCCTCAGGGACCGCGAGCGGTTGAGTGGTGCAGCCGAGGAAGAGGAAGACGACATGTCTCCTTCACAAAAAAGCCAAATGCCAAAGAGGAATGTCCGTGTCCCACCTTAGCAGCGTCCCTTGACCAGGCTCACACGTTTTGTTTTGATTTGATTCGGTCAAGTCGCACAGACGTGGTCGGCTCTGGAACAGCAACCGGGGATCGCCCCCGGGAATGCGCCGGGCTCGATTGGCCAGCCGACAGGGTACAGGGGTCCATCTCTGGTATTAGTCGCCCTCGCCCATCGCCGCATAACCAACCTTCTCACCGATGACGATATACGTGGATCTCGACGATATCTCCCACCTGTCGTCATGTTTGAATGATGCCTGGCTGGCCGGCTGGCTGACTGATAAGCATTTATGCCCGCCTCAAGCCAAACCTGCCTTGTACACGCCTTCCCAAGCTGAGGTTCATCAGTGGTCTTGAGAGTCGCGGGCTTGAACTCCAGCTTCCACAGTGACGATGCAACACATCCCAACGCCTGCTCTAATTTCGTGCTTTAATAGCTACAGGATCCTTCCTGCCTTGAAATCATAATTGCTTATCTTATCCAGCCCAAGTATGAGCCTGAACTTGTAAATAGCCTGCAATGTCAAGCACGATGGCGATATCGCTGACCTGAACTGTGTGAGTCCACTGAGGACCGCTTTCAATGGCGGACATGCATATGAAAGGACTGTTCCTTTGCAACATAAGCTGATACTGCACTTGTTTGAGCCACTCATTAGATTACTGTTTGTGGGGCAGGCTTTGGGCAGATCCTGCCCCGTCCCTTTGCGAAAGGGAAACACTGCTCGGGGTTACGATATTCAGCCGCGAACACTTCATTCGCTTTTGGTGGCGCCAGGATGTAATTGACAGTGAGCAGATGGTGGACTTGTGAAATGGCAGCTCCAAAGCTGGCACATTGTTCTGCATCATCATCTCAACAGCGCGGTCCGCACGACTGCTGTGGATAATCTACACTTCTCTCGGGCGTGCGCTTTGGAAGAAAAGTCGACTAGCCACAGAAGCTTGCTCAAAGCCTCGTCGTAATCCCACCAGAACGGTACGGTATGGCTCTAGGTCTGACGCGACATAGAGCTGACCCTGGTGCCTTCTCAGAGACACGCCGTGTCAGTGGGAACCCCCTTCTGAACATGGCGGCTTTGGAACAGATGACGCGCCACGCTTCCGTTGACAGAAGACAGGCCATGGTAAGTCGCCGGCTTCATCAGGCGATTGCTTGATGGGATTGTTTTTGTGAATGTTGACAAAATTTCGCCTATCCAAGTCGCCTTGCTTTCCCTGCATCCTTTCTGGATACTTTCAGGATCCTAGAGATCTTCTAGTGCAGCCGCTTGAGGATCTTCTGAGCGCCATCCGCTGGTGGGACTGAGTGTGGCGGTAAGCAGTAATTTTGGTAGCGAACCGCTGAGGAGGACCCGCTCACCGCGTTGTATGGACATGCATGGTCTATATCCAGGTCAGTCATTCTTGACCCTTGAAAGGGATAGGCAAGGTACATTTCGAGGAGACAAAGACAGAGAGTATATACAACATCGTTTCCGACGAATGGTCGGGCCAGGCACCAGAAAGCGGATTGTCCAGCTCCAAGTAGACCAGCGGTCTTGGATGTATCCAAAAACGGTCCTGCTTCGATTGAATCGGCTTGCGCAATAATTGATGGATCGTCGATGCTGTGGCTCAATTGGAAGCCCAAGGTTCACCGAGCCATCACCCGGTCGAGGTCGTTCTTCAGGGGGCTTGTTTTATTGGGCTCATAGAATCCACAGACTTATGCCCATATCCAGAAAACAATACGCAAATATGTATAGACTGAATATTTGCGGCTCCAATCTTGCTTCAGAATCCAATCCTTTTCGCCTTTTTTTAAGCTCCTAGGATCTTGTGGGGTGTGTGGCCCGAAACCACATGGCGGTCGATCCCCCAACCAGTTTATCGTCAGCTTGATGTCCCAGCATCGAGAAAACCCCCATCGCTTGGGGATACCTCGACTCCCCTATGCGTATTCATTGTCTTCGCACAAATAGGCTTGCGGCGTGGACTGGTATCATACTCTGCTGAAGCAGTCGAGTCGCGGACACGATGATCAATGGGAGGGCACACAGGGGCAGTGTTGATACTACGGTGTGATCCCCTGGGTCCCTCCCACGCCAGTGCCTGCACTGCTTCTAGTAGGCAGAATTTTCAGCTAGCTTAGCCTACACCTCACCTCCGCTCGGCAGAGATGACTTCACTCTTCAGCCCGGCGTCAGCTCACAAGTGCAAAACAACGTCATGGACCATAGCGACTTTTCTCGTCCTAGAAGCTGTTCGGGCGGACGAATCCAGAGAAATGACTGGCAGTCCACCCAATGCATGATGCTTTATGTGATAGCAACCTTTCGTAAGGCGTGCAAGCAACGTTGTCGACCATGTGGCAAGCTCTTGACGGGTCTGGGCTCCGTTTCAACCATCCGCAATCATGCGGTGTGTGGCTGGGAAAGGCAGCTGGACATCGGAGCCCATTTCGCTCCCACGTGCATGTGAGAACGTTAGCCCTCCTGTGTGATGCATTGCCCCAACAAAGTAGCTTGGTTGCACGGCCCGGGGCCTAATGTCTCCAAGGGTTCGTCAATTGGGACTCAACGTCGATCAGGCCATTTTCATGAGTCTGATAACGGACGAGGCCAGGTGAACCTAGGATAGGCAGGACTTGTTCCGAGCGCGGATCATGCCGCATGATCTGTGCAATCACTTAGCAAACACCGAGGTTCTTGTCACATATCGATTCTTCATGCTTGTGCAGGTGCAGTAGCCAGAACCAGTCGTGCCTCTTCTGTCTGCACAAGATCCATGGCTCGAGCGACCACTAGATCGTGTAGATCACGATGCCGGTCGGTGGAGACGCGAACAGAAAAGCGAGGACGGACTGGAAAAGGTAGCCGTATAGCTGACTGGTTGTGGTGTTCAAGCCTGTCTGGAGCCCGTGCCTCGCTTTGGGTGGAGCTAGGTGACTGCAGCCTGGGAAATCAGTAAACTAGACGGCACCCAGGGCAGAGTGAGGGAGGTGAAGGAAACAACACTTCCAGGACAAGCTACAGCTCGCAGGGATCGTTGAGACTCGCCATAGGTTGGGGGAAAGACAAGGGAAAACACATCTAGATACGGGCTTGACCTAAAGCACCTTACAGGCTTATCCCGCAATATGTGAAGTCGTCCTACATGAGGAATCCACACGGGAAGTTATCTCAAAGGAAGAGATTATGGTCAAGATGCAGGCGAGCCTCTGGAAACCCTGTGAAGCGGAGGTCAACCAAGCTCGTTATGTGCAGGTGGGAGGGACTGAGGTGCCCAATGCCTCCTGGAAACGCCTGGGCCAGCCCCTGGCGTGAACATGCGCAGCGCACGAACTATTGACGCAATTGTCACCCAGCACACATAATAGATACCAAAGGTGTCCTCGTCGTAAATGTTCGTGATTAGCCACGGAAACATCCTGAGCACCCTAAAAGGCCCCAGAGGAACATAGGCTAGCCTTGAGTGCCGCATAATAATGAGCCAGCATTGGACAGCTCTGACCTGAGGGCCAACCTTGTAATAGCTTCGGGGCAAAACTTCTTTCTGAAAGCTTTCTGTTCCGGGCCTTATTATTCTATCTTCTGAGGCTGGAATGCTGATCTCGTTTAGAGGACCAGTGGCTTCACCTTCATCACTAATGGCTGAAATTAGTGAGAAGTCATGCTGTGTGGCTTGATGGCTACACGGAGTGCTCACAACCGCGCCTTGATCTCAAACCACAGGCAGTATGTAGATGAAGCAGATCGTTGCGTTCATCTGATGCATCAGAGCCGGCTAGATTAGCGTCATTGTGTCGATCACGGTCTCGAACCAAACAATGCATAGAAGATCGTCAACTTGTAGCGCCGAAGAATGTTCTCAGAACGATGAACATCGTTTGAGACAGCGATGAGAAGGCTGAAGACCAGCTTGAGTAGCAGTTGCAACCCCAAGTACCCCTTAGACTTCCGGAAGCCGGTTCCAGAAGCAGAAATATACCCGTTCGCCATGTATCCGGTCGATGATAGGCCTAAAAGGATGAGACCTTCCACAGGTCATTGAAGTCTTGATGATGCAGTCGTGAAACTAGCTCGATAGTCTCTCAGAGGGCTCAGCGGCTCAGTTTCTGTCCATAGCTTCGTGCTCGGCCAGGCCTGGCTGGAGTATTTGCCAAGACGGCCTGGAAAGCAACATGGGTAGGAGTGGACAGCCGGGCGAGCATCGTTTTAGCCGAATTATCCTGGGCAATCCACTCTATTGCCGTCGTATTGCAAGAAAATTGTCTAGCGGAGATCGAGCGAGTTTGAAAGAGTAGAAGGTGCACGAGATATGGAGATCCGTGTTGCCTGAGTACTACTCAAAGCCAGCGACCTGGTCTGCTCGCGAGAGTCATCAGCATCTGGACATATGGAAGCTCGCATCCTTGACACTAGCTTTCCCCAGAAAGCCGCGGTCATCGTAAGCCGAAGGTGGGTGATCCGTCTAGGGAGCCAAAACCTTTCAAATCTTGGGCCAACGAGTAAACCAGATCGTGTCTTGGTATTCCGAACCAGGGGAGCGGCCTAGTGGAGACTGAAGCTCGAGGGTTGAAAGTGCCGTTTCGATTTGCCAATGATTCCTTGGGAATTTGGACGACTGGCTTGCGGAAGATCCGAACGTTTCTACATGTAAGATTCAGGAGTCCCCAGATGAACCAGGTTTCCATGCAGTCCTAGCGTTTCCAAAGAGATTGCGGCTTTTGAAAGCTTTCACAAAGATTGGTACGCATTAAGTTTCACCCACGGGCACAGCGTTGGTCGACCTGGCAGCGTGGTACGGTAATGTTTGCCCGGGCTTGGTGACCACATTGGCAACGGTTAACCCCGGCGAACTGCGTCGGCTTATGATTGGGGAAGTGTCGTCTCGGGATTCAGCTGGGACAAGGCTGGGATCCAGGAATCCGGTCGAGTGTTGTGGGTAGACCACGACTCGCAATTCTTGATGGATCTCTTCATGAGTATCGTGTGGGGAGAGGCTGGAGTGATGGTATGTCAACGGCCGTCGACAATGAGGACTGCAGTAAGTAACCTGCCAGCTGGAGAGGCCTCGTGTTGGCAAATAGGATTGGAACTGGCTTGATGAGCTGCATTCTGCAGGCGTGATGCCTCATGCAAGCCATGCAAGCATGCTTGCTCAGTGGCGGCCACAGCGGTCAGTGGATTCGAGGTACTGTCGAGGGGCGTGCCATAGTGCGTGAGTGCCACAGTAGATGGCAGTGGTAGCGAATCTCAGATCGGCCCCCTCCTACCGACCGATGTTGCGTGGGCCTGCGAGACACTGGCGACTGCAACGGTGGCTTTTGCCACCTTCTTGTCACAGTCTCGTCGAAACTGGGTTCCAAGGCTAGTAGCCATCAGATCTGGTCCTGGGCTGAAGCAGAGCCGATCGTGGTCTGAGCAGGGTGCGGGCGTTGCTGTGAGCCCGATCGATGGTGGGTAGGTGAATGCAGTAGACCTACAGCATACACATCCTGGGCTGGTGGCAGGGTGGACGGGAATCGGCCGAAGGTGGGAGGGAGGGCAAGTTGGTGGATGGCCATATGGAGTAATTCGGCCAAGTGTAAGCCGGTGGGTCCCCTCCCCCATGGCACAGCTGCTGTGGCCCAAGCTCAGGCTGGGACCCACCCCCTCCATGGTCTGCAAGCCCATGGTACAGTACGTACTGCGTTGTTGACCTGTCACTCCAGACGTCACGTCTGATTTGATACACGATTGTTCAAAACTTCAGACGGCAGACACACCCATGCGGTTAATCCTCACCTTGTCGCCCACCCTTTCCTAGGTGCAATACCCACCTCTGTCTCGCTCATATGTTATTTGGTTATAGTCATGTCTACCAGCTGTTCTGGCAGAGTATACCGGTACCGCGCGAACAGATCCACTGCATAGATCACCCCCCAGATCTGCACCGCAATGTCCTCTCAGCAAATCGCATCACTATACCTATCAAGACAAGCCCGCATGTCTGGGGCCGAATAACATTTCCTGCACCGGATGCGCTCAGCCTGCCACTTCCCTCTGTCATTTGGCCATCAGACATCTGCGTGTGTCAGCTAGACCGTCTCGAGGACCAGCGCCTGCGGCCACCCTTGCGCTTCCAGGTGCAGACGCAACCACACTGCTGCAACGCTGACAGGCCGGGCTCAGACCCAAAATTCCGGGTAACCTGAACACAACGTCCCTGGCCCTGCGCCTTGTGCGCTTCTATGGGTGACAGCGGTGTTTGCTTCCCAGTGAAGTCTCTGTCCTCCTGCCGCTTCTACCTTCCCTTCACGTCTTTCGCTCTCGACTCTCCACGGGGTTTGCAGTTTTGCCAACAGTGGTTACCGGGATGTCGACACTCATTCCACAGTCAAGGCCTGCCCACGAGTATACGGGAGCCTGCAGGCCGACCGGTCGTCCCGCATCCGCTTGTGTCCCGTGATATGCTCTGCGGTCAGGCCATCCGCGACTCGGAGGGCGAGCTGGAAGCGCTCGAAGTCTGATACGTGCAAGTTTGCCAGTGCGCAGACCGGAATGGGCCGAGGGTTGTCGCCAGCTTGTTCGCCCTGAACACTTGCCCGAAACCTGGTATCTGGGACACATTCATCCGGATGGCCGGCACATGTCATTGCCATCGCCATCGGCGAATAGACGTGACAGAAGGTGACAGCTCCATGCCACTCAGAGAGAGTCAGGTAACCAGCCGACACGTTGATCTTGTGCCCAGCACAAACCATTACATCGGATGGGATCATGAAGTCGCGCGCGCCCTATCTTCAACAGCACTGCATTTATAGCTCGACCTTACCACAATGAATATCTCATGCCAAAGGTGTATCAGCGTGCAGAAGATCTTTATGCCAAAACCTGACATTGGCAAAGGCAACCTCTCGAACGCATGCGCCATCACAGCAGTGCGTGCTGCACATTCATCACTCCCTTGGCTCTTTGTGTCAACCGGTTGTGTTCCGTGTCCGCAGACCCACGGCCGTCGAGCCCCGTGCGGACCTCGTACATGCGGATTCACAAATCAGATTCCGATGGCATCGGTGTTATTGGAGGAGACATTCGAGCCTCTACTGGCCGCTAACGAAGCTTTCTACTGGAAAGAATGGATCCCGGCCCAAGACTGGACTCTTGGCTCGAAACAGAAGCAGGACAGTATAGCAGGGATGCCCTCTGCAGCCGGACTGGCCATACTGGAATTTCCAATGAGGTATTTACGTAGGACAGCACTTCGTGAACAAGCTCAGAGCGGCGAGGGATGCAACTTGACAGCCGAGCCCCTGAGAAAGGTGGTGGGACCCGGACCGTGTGGCTTGCTTGCCTCTCGCCAACGACAGGCATGTCGCTACGACCTCACTGGTGGGTCGAAACCGATATGCTTCAAACGGCTTCGGATACTTAATGCTCTCGAAATTGCGCTGTGGCAGACAAGGAGTACTTCGAAACGTGCCGACGTGATACTAGAACTACCATCAACTACAACATTAGGAAGCAGCGAGAGACCGCAGATGCTCACGCCACGTGGCCGCAGAGCAGAAGAAGTGTTTGTCGATATGTCCCGTTGAACCAGGAGTTGTACTCGCTATAAAAAAAATCACGTGCTGGCCTTGTAAGCTGGTGGGCTAAAGAACAAAAAGTAAAGTGGTCTCCTTGACCAAGCGGGCCAGAATTTGGCCTCGCGCGGAGAGCTGCCCTCAGGATATCTTGGGGTGCTACCTGGAACCGCAGTATTCGATTTTCACTTGGCTTGGATGCAAGTCGCCGAGCTTGCTCAATCTGTCCATCAGAGAAGCGTTGGCCACTTCACACAAGCACATCCTAGTTGCCCGGTACATGGAACGCATGGAAGCTGCAGCTCTCTCTGCATGACATCCTGGTTCAGCCGATGGTACAGCGAGGAACCGGCAGACCCCCGAGGACCAACACTCCACATCAACCAGCTAACATACATACGGACAATTGACAAGAGAAAATGGGTGCAGAACGATGAGCACTGCCTTTGCGTTGTGTATGTTCAATTATATCGGGTGGTATATATCCATACACGGCACTTCATCGACTGCATCACTTATTGTATCTTCACGAATCTTCCTGCGTTCACGAGTACGCGTGGATGGGTGACCGATCGTCTATCGGCCAGCGTGACTGAGTGGTGAAGGGAGAATGTTCCTGAAAGTCCATCCAACCCAAACTTTGTTCTTGGTTGCTTCCTATAGCACACACACGGTAAGTACCGTTCCATGAAGAAACCCTCACCCTTGTATACCCGAGGTGGCCATGTCCTGCAGTCTTAGCAAACATGCATGTCAATCTTTCCCTAAAGTCGAGCCTGCAGGTCGCCAGATATCAAGGCCCTCCCCACTACTGCGCGCCTTTGCCTCGAGGCCGCCGCTTCTCCCCTTCATTCTTTCCAACGACAGCACGCCGATGTCGAACAGCTCCTGCCTAACTGGCCTTGTCTGTATCTCGTTCCACCGGTCGCACCTTACAAAGACCACTCGACCCGAAGCAACAACACGCATTGGCTCGTGATGTCTGCTCAGCTCCACCGCTCCTGCGCCTAACCGTTTGTTCTGTACTACTGTAACCACCGATCGCAGCTCGGGCTTCTCCTCGGTCAGGGCCAGGGCGGTCGTTTACGATCTGACATTTCTTCTGCTCTCCGATCTCCGAGGCTCTGCCTTGAACAGAATCCCATCGGCTGGTCGCTGCAGATTTTGAGACCGATTGTTGGAGCATTCTCGTTCAGGTCTCGTGCGAAAGCCGACAGGAGCGAAACAGAGTAGCACACTCCTGATCCCGCACGCTTCGTGTGCTACGACTGATCCAACAAGTGAGTGCACACGCATGTCTGTCTTCTGCACTCGGCTCCAATTGCTGATCTATCAGCCATTAGCTCCCCCATAAAGCCCCCTTCAAGCCCCTGAGGCCCCATGTCTTCGGTTGCCGGTACTCGGATTACACCACATGATCTCAACATCAGTATGGTGGAAACGATGACCAGCCCTTGGAACCAATGGCCTGCGTCTGGCACGCCTAAGCCAGGCTTCTATTCTGATTTCCAATCAACAAATCCTAGTGACCGACGCCTTGCTCGAATAGCAACTTCACCCAGCTTTTCTCTGGGACATCCACCACCCCAATATCCTCCTCCACCGCTCGTGCCCAGAAGGGAGTCTATGCAAAGCAGCCAGGCGAGCACCCCATCACCTCTGGAGTGGCCTTCGCCGACATTTTTACCGAGCTTCAGTTTCTCCCGTACACCCGGCACAGCACCAAGGGCTCCCCATCATGACGTCCACTGCTCCCCAACGCAGAACAATTCCTCAGGTGGTGAGAGGTCTGATCCGGTCTTTCCTAGAGGCACGAGAATACAAGAAGTGTCACATATTCCGGGAATCAGTGGGAACTATGTTCCAGCGAGTGTCCCCCGACCGATTAATCATAGCGTGCCGGTCAGCCAGGCAGAAAGCCTGCCACCAAACACGAGGCAGGCTTGGCCAACGCAAGGTTCTCAACCGCCGGGTCATTCATCCAGCGAGGCGCAGACCCCTCGGCAGCACTCGAAGAGTAGCATGACGGTGCGTTCGCTGCTGAATGACGACAGAGTGTCTTCAGACCTGAAATTCGACCTGTGTCTACGGCAGCAGCCCGCGAATGCGCGGTCATGTGGATTGGGCGACAGGGATAGACGGGTCGTGGACCCGCCGCCGATTCTACAGCTGAAGATTGATGCTCCCTGGCTTTCAAGACAAGAAATCAGCCGCAAATTGAGACAACCTTCTTATGTTGTCCACTGCTCTATATGGAGCCCGGACGGCGAGGAGGACATGTCAGGGATGCCCGACGACTATACGAGGCAGAAACGATTAATGGGCAACCTCGTCGCATCCCCCTTTGTTGGGTTTGACGAGCGTGGGGAGGAAGGCTGCTTCTTCTGCTTCCCTGACATCTCATGTCGCACCCCTGGGAGGTACAGGCTCAAATTTGTACTTGTCGTCCTGGAGTGGCCCCTGCGACCGAACGCCAAATCGATGATCAGAGCCGAGCTGCTCTCCGACGTCTTCCAAACCTTTAGCGCTAAGGAGTTCCCTGGCATGCTCGAGTCGTCCGCGCTCGCCAAGGCCTTGAAGCATCAAGGGTGCAATATACCCACCAAGAAGGGCAACGATAAGACCAGCAAGAGGGACGAAAGCGACGAGAACTCGGGCGGAGAAGACTCCCCTCGCAAGCGAGCAAGGAACGGCAGCCTGTGAGAACGCTCTGTCCTCTTCTCGCCAGCTTGAGTTGTCACTCATAGGCGGATTTTGTAGGATACGGTGCCGGCTGTGAGTGTGTTCCTGGTGGACATACTCACTGGACCTCGGCTTATTCGTTATACCTTCTGATAATCACTTCTCGAATTTTCTCGATATAATACTGGTTTCCTGGCTACTATCTGGACTGCGGCTCCGATGTGGGAGGCCAACTGAAGCCTACGAGCGCAAAGCCCCTCCCCGGGGGGGATGTGGCTTTCTGCGTGTGGATGGCGATGATTGGATGAACCGCTTGGGTCTGCCTGGGTCTGCTTGGGTCTGCTTGCGCACATGCATAAAAAGGAAGGGAAAAGAAGGCCAATGGCGTTTTCTGCATTCTGGGTACGTTGTGACTGCGAGCAGGGCGTGGTCACACGGTGAGAACGGAACAAGCTTGGTCTTGTTGCAACATTTGTCGGATAGGTCTATCCGTTATGGGCGTTGGGACTGGACTCGGGGTTGGGCGAAGGTCTAGACAATCGCATATACGTCAGGGGCGCTGGACTAGATTTTTCCCACCAGCACAAAACACGCGGGCGTTGCACGATGATGAACAGGGAAGTTTTGGACGATTCACGACCGGAGGTGCTCCACTGGGAGGTCAGCGTGTTGGTTTAGGTTCACCTAGCTATTTGGCTTCAAGGCCGAGGGTCTCTCCAAGGCCCAAAGACAATATAATACGAGGCACAGCAACCCCCTCCTATCGTTGGGTTGAAAACATTTGCCCGACTTCGTGGCCACCGAAGCCCCTTTCGGAAGTGATGGCAGGTATCACCGCAAGTGGTATTCCTTGTGCTACCATCAAGAGCACCATGAAAGCTTGAAAGGCCGGCCAAGCTCGCCCTTGAACAGTAACGCAGGCAAGGCAGAAACGCACAGGTAGGATAGGATAAAACCTTCAAGAGCCATCGACAAGGTTTAGGCTCGCTGGAAGATCTGGACGGAGATGGCCACCGCCAAGACTTATCATGAAGAGACGTCACACTTGACGGGCGATCAGACGAGACTTATTCCTCTTCGCCAGCCAAACGCCAGAACGACGCGAAAATAAATCTGACAGAAGCATCACATCCGAATTTCCCGTGAATGATAACGCGTAGTCCAGAGTCTTGTTTGTTTTGTGTGGTCGATTGTTCCCGGGGCCTGGGAACATCCAGGCCAGCGTGTGATGGGGAGTTTCGTTGAGGGATCAAGGGCCAAGTGTGGTTGTGAAACGGCCCGGCACCTTGCCGAATGACACTCCCCAGGTTCGGCCAGCCCTCTCTACTGCCATCACATGGGAAATATTCTCCGGCAAATCTGACTTTTCAGTGTCACCCCAGCCGCGTCCTTGGTTGGCGCGATATTTGGGTTACCACCCCTGGCCGCCTCGGCCTGGAGCTTCTGTTGATGCTTCTGGCCTGCACGTCACCGCCGGACCGGGTTTCCGCTGGGAGGGGCTGCAGGGAACTTGCAGAGCTTAATCCGCGCGGCTTGGACGAGATCGGACGACACCTGTGAGGGCGGGTTTTATTCCCGCGTCCATGGATGGGAAAAGGGGGGGGGGATACGAGCACGTCGAATCCCAGCCCGTTCCTTGAACTGGACCTTAAGATGGGCGCGGATGGATGTCTTCCCGCACGTGCAAGCTGCGGGTTCACCAATATGTGACCGGTTCCTACGAACGGCATGAAGCTTGGTGATGAGAAACATTTCTCTGTGGTGGAAAAGAACTATAACATGAACCTTTGGGACGAGGGACCCTGAGCTATGAGCTACCACACCATATTGAACCACGGTCGACGCGAACAACCCGCGTGCCACCCGTTCAACCGATCGACAGGCCACACACCACATCCTGGAAGAAACCGGGACTGTGCCTATCCTGCCCCAAGGACCTGTTTCTAGGTTTGTTTTTGTTACGACCCAGTAGCTCAAGCCCGGGGAGGCGGGCTTTGAATGGTTCTCTAGGTTTGCTCTGCCCTGCCCTCGTCCAGTAATCCCCGAGTGAATCAGCCTTACATCAGATGGTTTTCGGCACTGCATCGGTATGTCTGCCTTGTCTGAACTTTGTCAACTATATCGAAGCCGGTTTCCGTAGCTGTACCAGCATTGCCGCCTGTGAGAGGTGACGTGTGGGCGATATCAGCCTCGACTTTGAAGTAGGCGCCCAGAACGGGGAAGTATACGGTTGGTTCACCAGAACCACCTCAGAAAACCTTGACACCCTCTCTGCTCGATGTAGTCTAGTATCAGCAGCAGGAAGTTCCCATGGCCATTCCTCTGCGGAACAGTTTTGAGTCGGAAAATGACGGGTTAGTGACACAGAAGCGGCACCGCCGTGGAGCAGAGCCAGCTGTTACTGTACGGCATAACTAATATGGGAATATTCCAAGGAGTCATCCTCGTAGAAGAACATACGAGACTCAAGGCATATGTTGCAAGAATCCATGAATAGCTGGTTCGAGAGTTGATACTAGATGTACAGAGGTCTTGTACCTACAGCTCCCATGCTCCCAGACATCGGCTGACTGAACTGGCACCCGATCAGTGAAGTACATCCCGTGAGATTATCTTATGATATAGATGATCTGTACGACAGTGTCGATGATGGTTTCCTTTTGACGTTTCATATTTACTCCTGATTACCTGTAGGGGGGTTTGGGGTCCCCGCAATCAGTGTATCTGGACAATCGTCCATCGCACCAAACCTGATGCGCGCTTTTATCCCGTATCATGGAGGATGGCCCTGAGCACCCGCTATGCTTCTTCCTCGTCCTGAATCAACTTGAGATCTTCGCCGTCCGCGAGTCGAAACCACTCCCGGCTCATCATCTCCCGGTCCGTTCTGTCCTTCTCCCCCAGCCCTGTCTTCTCTGCCGCCATCTTCTCGAGCAACCCCAACTCGCGGCACGCCTCCTGTACACCTGATATAGCTGCCTTGAGCAGATACGTCCTTCGTTCAGGCGAGTCTTGCGGCACATCCATGAGGCATGCGAGTTGCCAGAAGCCCTGCGGGTTGTCTAGCTCAAGCGCCGCCACACGGAATAAGGCCCTGGCTTCCTTGTGGCGGTCCTGCCTCTGGAGTATTTTGCCTTGCTCCAGCGCCCAGCTGACCTCCCAGTCCCACCTCGGTGTTCGCGGCTCTGGGAGGCTCACATAATCTGGAATGGCCCCTTTCTTGATGTTGAAGCTTTGAGTATCACTGGTATGCGAAGTTGCGCCAGCTTGAGCCCCATGATCACCTTGTGCGCTGGACTTGGCCTTCAATTCCCACGCCTTTTCTGCTCTGCGAAATAAGTCCAAAGCCTGCTTTTCTTGGCTCTTAACTCCTGATTTTGCAAGAATGATACCCTGAAGAGTAAGCGCGTCGGGATCTGTGCCCTGTCGCAGAATCTTCTGAAAGCGAGCGTTTGCGTCAATGTATATTTTGGAAGAGGCCACCTTCTTCTGCATACCTAAAGGTACGCTGGAGAAGATGCGGACAAGCGATAATGTTGAAGGGTCATATCCCAGCTCCGACGCTGACCGTAGCATATGTGTGCCGAGCCTCCATCGCACGGCAGAGCTATCAGAGATGAGGAGGATTCCGATCCAGTGGAGGAGAGAGACAGGCAGATCGAAATCTAGACTTGGTCAGCCGCGTTCAGCGTATGAGAAAAGCATGCATTCGCGGCATATTTTTCAGGAAGGCCACCATAATGAAAGAAGAAAAAAGAAATGTTACTGAGCCTCATTCGGACCGTGCCTACCTTTCTCGAGTCTGGGTCGCCAGGAGCTCTCATGTTGTGTGGCTGCAGATACGTAGCGCTGAGCGGCGTCCACACACTGCAAGGGAGTAAGGTGCTGGGCACCCAGGCCTTCAATGCTTTGTGTCCAGTCCTTGATTGGTGGTACGTCAGATTGTGAGAAGATCAACCTTGGAGCCTCAGAACCTTTCGCAGATAACCTTGCTGATGCCGTTGATGAAGGAGATGGGCGGGCTGGAGGGCGGGCTGGATGGGAATTTTGTGCGAATTGCCGATTCCTTGGACTATGTACAGACTGAGGCAACAGCATATGTGGCGGATGAATGGGATTCTGATATGAAATCGTAGAACGAAAGTTGAGCAAGAGCAACAATCTCCTGGCCGGTTGGCCGGGAGTGATGAGTGAGCTCATGGGCTCATAGACTCGAATTTCGATGCGACTCGGATGTCTTCGGCGTGTTTATCGTAATTACGTACGCGACCTGTGAAAAGGATAGAGTAGGCAAAATATTTTATTTTCTGCCTCACGCGGACTTTCGGGGGCTTAGGTGTTTATGTCCACCTCAGTCTGTTCAAATCATTGAGATCCTCTCACACATGTATGAGGACTGGTAGTGGTCAGATTTGGCTGGCCGTGGACCAGACCGAGCCAGACGGATAAGGTGGGTCCAACAGGGCAGCTCTTGAGCCAATCACATATGCAGCAGCTCCACTGTTATCGATAAGGACCCTGGTAGAAAAGTTGGATGGATTTCAATCTCATCTCACCTTAACCACCCCCTCTGAAGTGAAGCACATCGACAGACCTGACAAAGGTTCACTACATGCAATCTAGCAAGACTTCAGATCGTACATATTATACATCACCTGGTGGATCAGGAGTTCTCATTTGAAGCACAAGATGGCCCCCAAGAAGGCCACAGCCAAGTCCCCAAAATCGAAATCCACTCCATCACGCCAGTCGAAGCCAGAGGTCGTCGAGCTCTCATCAGATGAGAATTCAAGTTACGACGACATACCGGACCTAGATGCGGAGGCAGCGCAGGATGAAGAGGCTGGGGATGATTCCGAGCCACAACCAGAGGCGGTGACGCCAGCAAGGAAGGGCGGCAAGCGGAAGGCAGCTGAGGAGGACGAGGATGAGAGCCCCAACGCAAAGAAGGCTAAGGTTTCTTCCGTTAAAATCTCCAAGTCCGAGTCGGGGTCGAGCGGCAAGAAGCACACCCACAGGAACGTCAAGGTCGAGATCCCCGTGTCGACGCCGGTGACGAAACCGGCCGGGAAGCACATCGTTTTCAACGACGACGACGGGCCCGCCGAGTTCTTCACGCCGCAGGAAGCCCCGGCACAAAATCTGCTGGACGTGCAACTTTCCAAGGGTGATGCTGAAGGTGATGCCAAGGTGGCCGAGGACGATGAGGAGAGTGACAGTGACGACGAGGCCCCGGAGGCCGTCTCATCGCACACAGCAGCAGCACAGGCTGCGAAGTCCGCCCAAGCGGCCACAAGAGCCGCAGAGAAGTAAGCCGAAAACATGACGGGTGGACGAGACCAGGCGGGCAATGTTTGCTAACTCAGGAGCACCAGACAATCAGAGCTTCAGAGGCGCAAGCGACAAGAGCGTGACGCGCGGCTCAAGCAGCAGGCTGAGACCCGCAAGAAGAAGCAGGGCGTCCCCGATAAGAAAGCAGCAGCAGAGGCAGCGGAGGTCTCTCCAGAGCCAGCACAAAAGACCGATGCGCCGACGCGCAAGCGACTCGACAGGCGTGCCCTCCCCGACATGCTGCCGGACGACTTCCTCGAGGCCGCCTCTGAGGATGAAGAGGACGACGAGGAAGGAGACTCAGACGACGGCAACCGGAAACCGAGGAAGGCAAAGTTCAACACTGTCGCGAAGCAGGTGGCCAAGGCCGAGTCCCGTCGGCCGCAGGACCAACGCGTGGGATCAACCGTGTACCGCGTCGTGAGGAAGCAGGATGACACGAGCCTGGCGCCGAAGCTGGGCAAGTACTCACGGCACGACAAGGAGCTGCTGCTGAGGAGGGGGAGGCCGGTGGCGAGGAAGGGTGGCTTCTTGGTGAAGCGGAGGTAAACCGGAGGTGGGGTAAAGAGAGGCCATCTTCAACCTGTTGGACTTAGGTAGCTTCGCAAAAAAAGCAAAGACATGATCTAGCCCCCAAAACAGTTTTCACTGACGCGCCATGGAGATCGCCTTTCAGGAAGATATGCGGGCCCTGGGTGGCGATGGGCCAGGAGTAAAAGCTGGATTCCTGTGAGAAGATGTAAAAGGCAGGCATGACCTCTCCGGGATTGCCGTGATACATCGACTTAATTGCGCAATTTCGTACCTAAGCAAAGTCTGGGCAGTAAGTACATTTGGAGGGAACTCCAAGGACGGCTACGATGAACTGGTGGACATGACGGAACGCAAATCAACAGCTCCAATATCTCTCACAAGGAGCCTTGACAGCGGGAAACTCCAGTCCGGAATGCCGTGGGGCCTGCAACTCCTAGGAACTAGAGCATTAATCATAAGCAGAACAGAAGGGCGGTAGACAGAAATGAGCCACAAACAGCTTTTGAGAAAACGTGTTGAAAGGAAACAGTCAAAATGTTGTGATCATGTCCAAGTTAGGTATGGCTAAGTCTGATTATCAATAAAGCATAAAGTATACATAACAATGTGACATGTCCCAGAGAACATCAATATGTCCAGAAAGAACCATCCCCAGCAACCCAGCTGGGGACGTGATGAGCAGAGCTCAGGGGTCCATTTTCCAAAACGCCGTCTCGTGACCAAGAGCCATGGTCTCCCCGAAATATATATGTCGGCCCGTCCGGTAAGCCCCATCAGACCGTCTGAAAGTTGCTAACACAAGCCCATACCCAGAGCGCAAGATTTTCTTCTTGCCCCGCGAAGCAGAGAGCCGACCCAGAATTGAAACGCCACCCAAGAAGTCGGTCATCGGCTCCACCGCCGGAGACCGAATCTGAAAGAGAATAAAATATAAACAATAACCGGCGTAGTATGAGGGGTATCAAAGCGCTTGTATATCCAATTGTAGTCGTCGAGTAAATTCCAATGTCGGGCAAATATGCCAAAATAAATGAAGTAAACGGCCGCAGCGGCCGAACTGTAGCTCCGTGATCACAGGAGCCAACTTATTGCCATGATCAAGATGGACGAGGAAAGTACCCATGACGGTCCCCGGACCAAAGCCGAAAACCCGGCGCTGGACACTATAGCCTCGGGCATTGTCGTGTTTGCGAAATTTGGCCCGCATAGGGTGTTGACCTGCTCGGCGGCCGAGTCGTACGTATTGGCAATAGGCTGCCTTCGATTTGCTGTGGCAACCTGATAAATGTCCATCGTGTCTTGGAGACACGAGGCACAAATAGGTACAGTGCCGCCCGGGAGAGTCGAGTTCAAAGGTAGGTAATAGAAATATGTCTCCGTTGGGTTTGTCTGGTTCGTTACTGCGTTCCCAAAACAGTACACGGCTGTTTTTGGATCTTTGAGGCAGGTGGCACTGTATACGACCTGGTAAGAGGTGAGACCCAGGTAGGCTTCCGTGACTGTCGGATTGCCCGCTTGGTAGTCAGCACCACAATTGCTCGAGTCAGTCAAGTTCCTAGCCACTCTTGCTAGGTAGTCGGTGCAGCGAGTAACGTTTGCCTCGCATGCATGATCGAGCACTGTCGATATGCTAACAAGCGACTTCTCAGCCTCAAAGAAGGATTGTGAGCTCTGCGTACCAAATCGTCAGCATAAAGTAGGGAGCTTGAAGGAGCAGTGGCTTGAGCGAGCAAGTGCAGCCTTACCTGAAGCATCATGGACACTGGATAACATGCTTGCAATTCGGGATCAGCAAGCATGCTTTCGAAGAAGGTCGGACAGCTGGTGGAAGTGAAGTTGCTTGATATGCCACCATCGAAGGGGCTCGGCAATGGGCTTGACGAAGTTGTAGATGTGGCAGTTGCTGACGGCGAAATTGTAATCTCAAATGTGGTGGTCACAGAGCCTCCAGCCGTAGCCCTTCGTCGAAGCTCATTCTCTGCTGGTTCCATCATTGTCCACTTTCCTTGGTCCAAGACTGGTATATGCGTGTCCAGCAGAAGAGCTTGTGCCAGATCTGGGGCCCGTGTTGGTTCCGGCAGCTCATCAATGGTAGTACGAGTCGCCAACGCGCTCGAGGCGAGCGACAACACAAGGCACAGTGCCGTGGACCATTGTATCCGTGGTCTGTAGTGAAGAGCTGTGTTTGAAGTCGACGAGTGGGCGAGAGCATCACCGCCAAAGAGAGAAATGTTGAAGGTAGCCATTGTCATATCGTGGCTGCACAACACATTTGATTCAAGTGAAACATAGTCCAGTGACACAGGTGAATCCCAGGTTTCCTCAACGAGTGACTGGTGACCAACGGAGTGGTCACGAAGGGAAGTGGGTGAAGGATCGTCGCCGGAATGCTGATCTTGGTGGTGACAAAGTGGACGATCGTCGCGCGGATTGCCGGATCAGCTCCTTTTTACCTCGTGGCGCGGGTTCGGCCCATGCCCTTTTAACGTAGCCGCAATGTAGCGATAGCACCAGAGTAGGGCCGGGAACAAAGACGGCTAGCAGGGCTGGCCAAGGTAGGAGAAAAGCGAAGGGAGGGAAGGGCTAATCTTAAGAGGCGCGGATGGTAGGGCGAGGTGGCAGTGGGACAGTATTTTATCAAGTTGACCTGCGCGGCGGGCTTGCTCCAAGGCCAGAACAGCTTAGGCGCGGACGGGTAAAATTAAGTCGGTTCCCGTAGAGCGGGAGGCCAAGCCAATGGAATGCGCCAGGGCACAAAGTCTACTTGTAGACAAAGAGAACTATGCCGCAGTGTAATCTGCACACGTAGCTGGCGTGAGAAGGTGCTGAAAAGCTAATAGTAATGACGCCGAGAAGAAGCGAGTGGTTTTCCAGCGAAGGGAAGGGCGAGGCGAGGCGAGGCGAGGTGCGGATAAACCATGCGGGGGCGTGAGAGGGCGCTTGGGAGAAGGGGCTACCCAGGTCTGACTGTGGTCTTGTCTGTGGTCTGAGATCTGACTGAGCAAAGTTTGGAATGGTGGGCAGCAGCAGCGTCGTTATCGACTTTGGACCGTTGAAAGGTCGGGAGAACCTTGACAGTAGGATCTCAGTGAGAGATAATTTTGGAGCGGCGCTGGAGGGTCGGCTACCAAAACGGGACGGCGAGCACACGACGAGGCTCGAAGAGGAAGAGGAAGACTCCTAGCCTGGCCTGGACTAGTAAGAGACACGACAAATACGGTCGGGGTCGGACCTTGCTGTTACGCGACCCAGAGCAAGTCGTATGAAAGTGGTTGACGGCCGGTGGTGGGGATGGGAGATGGGCAATCCAGAGACAAGAGGGAAACAAAACAAAAAAGAGCCAAACAAGCTCGAAGACACGAAGAGACAAGGCAGGGGAGGCAGGCGAGGCAATTAGCAAAATGACAGGAAGGGCCCTGGAAGGGAAGGTGCGTGCAGGACAGGGAAGGTAGGCAAGGTAGGCAAGGTAGGCAAGGTAGGCAAGGTAGGGAAGGTACAGGCTTCGGTTGGAATGGGCAGGCTCGTTTCTGTGATGGTGGGTGGACCTGCCCGTGTTGGAGGGACGAGTTATTGAGTGAGCGAGTGAGCGCGTGTGTATGTACACCTGGGCAGTACCACATGGTGCCCCTGGAAGAGGTGGGGGTTGATGTGACCGCCTGACCCTGGCCCTTGGCCCTGGCACTCGCCCTTCCCACACCCCCGGCCGAGCTTGGCCCTGGATGAACTACCAACAATCCGAGCCTCGAGGCCTGGGCGACCTTGGAAAGGTGGGGCCAGCAGGCCCGCAGGCCAGAGAGAGAGCTGGGATGAGATGGGATGAGAGTGCATCACAGAATTCAATAATTCGGTAAGCCATTCCCCTTCCAGAGCGCTGGTATGGGCCGGTGGGCTGAGATCCACGCAGACCGCCACATACTGTATCTAGGTACGCACTATTGTATTACATTATGTACCTGGGTAGACAGTTGAACAGTTGACCAGTTCCCAAGACGTTGCAGGAAAAAGAAACGGCCTGAGTAACGCCGTCGGCGGATGGGTGAATGGACCATGGATGGATGGCTTGAGCTGATCAGCATCAGCATCGACCGGGCGAACGACCGCCGATCTCTGCAAGAAATATGCACAGAACAAAGACTGTCGATCGTTGCTTCTAGACCTCCAAAGCCACTCCATTCCTCTGCCGAACGCTGGACCGGATGTCTGGGAAGCGAGGAAGCCCACAGCCTCCAATCCAGTGGGTGTGTGGTCTGTCTCTGGTGCGTGTTGGCTGCCCAGGCGGCCCGTCTCAAGGGCCAAGCCCACTCGCTGGCCTTCTCTTGTTTATGACAGGTGCGGTGCAGCCAGCCCATGGATAATTATAATATTAGAATAATCTCACCGCAGGATCCAGGAACCAACCCGTCACCGTCACCCACAAGGTCACCCACAAGCACTGACAGGCCCGGTCGATCGCCAGTTGACACCAACCTCATTTCGGCATGGCGAACAAACTCGGCCCCGTGTCCGGATTTTCCATTCCACTTCTCCACAGGAGAACCCTCCGGATCGACGTGCCGAGATCGTCGACCGAGGCCGGTCCATGCGAGCTTGCGTGAGCCCTGGGCCTGAGCCTGAGCCAGACCCACACGAGCTCATGTCTGGCTGGTCTGCCAGACTTGCAGTTCCTGCTGCTGCTTGCTCAGCCACATGGGTTGGGTGGGAGTGGGGTCCCCAATTACCGGGCCTGGAAATTGCTTTCTCAAGCTCTCCAGCTGTCCGAAGCTTCGCATACCCGTCGAAAAACTGACTCATCACAGCTCTGGTTTCCAGAAGAGTTTTAGACGGTGAAATAACAATGTATGTGGCCCCCTGAGCACTGCAGGCCCAGGTAATAACGGCAGGGAAGGTCGCACAGCAACTGTCTTTCTCCTCTGTGAATCTTCCAAGGCCGTCCACCCGCAGGCGCCCCCGGGCTGAGGATCATTAACAGAGGATCCAGGAAGCTCAGGAACCGCCGCCGCCCATCCTTACACCACCTCGACATTGTGCCACCGGGGCTTATGCAGCCTCAACCGGAAGTGGGCGCTTGTGCCTGGGCCTGTGCCTGGGCCTGAGCCTTTCGCTGTTTCGGTCCATGTTGCTGCTGCTTATTATTATATGGCTTGCCCTGTCAGGATTGCTCCCATCGTGCAAGCCACTTCACGCCGCCCTATTGCAGCCCTGTCTCACTTGAAGGAACACACCACGGCCTCTGGGGACATCCTTCAGATCGATAGTTCTTCCCCGGGTCTGGGCCTTGGGGGCTTTTGACAAAGCTGCTTACGTACCTATGTCTGTGAAGGTTGCAAGTCATGCGATGGGGTCGAGAGGCGTCACCACCACGAGATCAAGCCTCGCTTGTAAGTCTGGCAAACGCGACCCAACTCGTTCCAGAACGGGTGTCCTAATCTCGAGCACGAAGTCCACACGTGGTGGCTTGTGTATGCGAATCACAGGGACATCAGGCCCACGTCTGCCCAGGTGTCACTCGTCTACGAGATATTCTGATTTGCTGCCGAGCCGTCTCCGCAGGCAAGGGAGTCGATAAACACAAAAACCAACCGTGCAGCCGGACCTGCCCACCAGAGCACAATCGAGTGCTCGGGAGGAGCAATTGCCCGTCTTAAACACGAATCTCAGGCCGTCCCCCCAGAGCACCACATGCGCGTCCCGTCTCACTCTGATGCGAGACATTTGTGTACTGTTTCCTCGGAATGGACCGAGGCGCGCTCACATTCCACACGTACAAATCTTCAATAACATGACGCCGATTGCGGACGGTGAATACCTCGTTGGTAGATGGGCACTTTTCTTTTACTTACTTGTCTTCAGGCACTGCTCAAGGTTTCGTAGCAAAGGCTAAGTGCTGTGATAGTTTCACTCAGAAAGCCTCCATGGTATGAACTCCCATGATGCAAAATTTATTCGGACGACGTTTCTCTTCTCTCTTGGGAGATGGATAACCTTTCGTGAGATGACCTGCGGAACAAACTTCTTGCCCTGGGATAACTATATATAGAAGAACCTTGAGTCTTATAAGATAGACTTCAATCGGATAACCTTTCATGGGATGAACTCACAAGCTTAGAATAACTTTCTGCCAAGCTACCTCCCATGAACAACCTTTCGTGGAACGACATACGGGAAAAGCTTTTCTCCGTCTGTGATATGAACAAAGCTTCACGTACTTCTCTTGATGTGTCTTCCACCAAGTATTGGAAGAGACCTGCAATACCAGTCATGGGATAACCTCCTGTAGAGAAACCTCTTATGGGATAACCTCTTATGGGATAATATCCCATGGGACAGCCTCTTGTGGAGAAGTCTCCCTGCGGGACAAGCTCCGAATGGCTTCGGTCTTGTAGAATAACCAATAAACAGAACCATGAAGAATCTCAAAAACGGCTAGGCATCGTCATGACGAAATGCATTAAGCTATTGAATCGGGTCGACTATCTATCATCGATGTCGTCCTCTACCAAAATGAGATGAGAAATGCAATCGCTGCATATCATTCCCCAACGCCAATGTCTATGCAGATCTTTTCTGACCTGTAGCCAACCATGCCATGCAAAAATAGACAATATGCCACCGCTACAAAACCCAGCACAAACTCCCTGTTTTTGATGAGGTATGCATAAAGGCCCTGATGCAGGGCCCTGCAACACACAAACGTAAATCACATCATGCACATCGTCTTCAGAAATGCTGGAAGGCATGTCGGGAGAAGCAAAAACAACAATCCTGAGGGACGTGGATTGCTTAATGCTTAGCTCTTCTCCAAGCTCTGCAGCCGCACCAGCTCGGCGTACCTCCCGTTGGCGCGCATGAGGTCCTGGTGGTTGCCCTCCTCGACGACGACGCCCTTCTCGAACACATAGATGCAATCGGCCTTGGCGATCGTCGACAGCCTGTGGGCGACGGCGATGGTGGTGCGGCCCTTGGCGGCGCGGTCGAGCGCGGCCTGCACGACGTGCTCCGACTCCGAGTCGAGCGCCGACGTGGCCTCGTCGAGCAGCAGGATCTTGGGGTCGCGGATGAGCGCGCGCGCGATGGCCAGGCGCTGCTTCTGACCGCCCGACAGCAGCGTGCCCTTGGACCCGACCAGCGTGTTGAAGCCGTCGGGCAGCGACATGACGAACTCGTAGATGTTGGCCTCGCGGCACACCGCCTCGACCTGCGCGTCCGTGATCGTGTCCGGGTCCGTCGCGCCCAGCAGGATGTTCTCGCGGATCGTGCCCGCGTACAGCGTCGGCTCCTGGCTGACCAGCGCGATGAAGCTCCGGTAGTCGTTGACGTTCAGGGACGAGATCTCGCGCCCGTCGACGAAGATGCCGCCCGCGAGGGGGTTGTAGAAGCGCTCCAGGAGGGCGATGGTGGTGCTCTTGCCACACCCGCTGGGACCCACGAGCGCGATGTACTGACCTGGCTGGACCTGGAGGTTCAGACCCCTGAGGACAGGCACGTCGGACCGGGTGGGATACCTGAAGTGGACGTCACGGAACTCGATGGTGCCCTGAATGCTGTCCTTCTCCGTTCGGGACACCCTGTCGCCATCGTTGGACCAAGTATCGATCTGGGGCTTCCGGTCCGCGAGCTTCTTCAGCTCGCCAGTAGCGTGCTGAGCCTTGCCCATGTCCGGAGCGAATGAGAAGATGGTACCTGCAGATTGCGCACCGAAGATGACCTGTGAGAAGACTAGGAAGAACGTGAAGAGGCCGTACTCGCGCTTAGCGATGAGGGTTCCACCGTACCAGAACCCAAGAGCGAAACACAGGAACATGAACGACTGGCTGGCAGCGTACAGGGATGATGACCTCAGCACCGACTTCGTGCTGACCTTCAGCTGGCTAGCGATACTCTCGCGATACTTGGCAAGCACATCTTCCTCACGGGTCAGCGACGCGACAGTTCGAATGGCCGTGACAGCCTCGGAGGCGTAGCTGGCGGACGAGGCGTAGGCCTGTTTGGATCGAGTCTGGAACCTTGACAGCATCCAAACACGGAGGAAACCGCAGGCAAGCAGAACGGGAACCGTTGAGATACAAACGAGGGCCAGCTTCCAGCCAATGGCGAGTGCGACAACGATGCAGGTGACAAGTGTCGAGACGGTCATGAGGATGGTGCCGAGGGTAGCGCCGCTGAGCCCTGCCATGTGTGTCGTCTCCGTACTAAGGAACGAAGTGAGGGCACCAGCAGTGTTCTCGTCGCGGTCAAAGAACTCGACGTCCTGGCGAAGCATTGTTCGGAAAGCCCTGTCGCGAGCCCTGTGGATCATCCTCTCGGACCCAATGGCAAAAATGACGCCCTGAACCGCGAAACAGATGAGCATGGCCAAGCCCAGCATTAGGTACATCAAGCACCAGAAACTAGCATCCGACCTTATTCCCGGGATGGTTTGGGGTGTGACGGGCACGCTCAAGTCGGTGATGACATTAGCAAAGATGAAAGACATCGTCGGGTTACCACCGCCAGAGAGCGCGGCGAAAATGAGGCCGACAACCATGAGTTTCCACTCTTCCTTGTTGAAGGACGCAATCGTCTTGATGAGTGTCCACACGGAGTATTGTTTGTGCTCTTCGGGCTTGCGTCCTTGGAGAGCAATGCTCGAGAGAGACTTGGATGTAGCCTGACGGTTCAATCTCTGAGCGATGTTTGCATCTTCGGGATCAGCTTCAAAACCTTCACCCTCGACGGCGGTGACGGTCTCTCCATTCGATTCCTTCTTGTGAATACCATTCTCCTGCTCCGAGGATCCGTCTTCATCATCGGTCTCGTCGACCTTTGCGATTTCCTGTGCGGTAACCAGATTATAATATGCACCCTGCCTTGCAAGTAGCTCATTGTGGTTACCCTGCTCGACTATGCGCCCCTGGCTCATAACGACGATGTTATGAGCATCCCTGATAGTGGACAGACGGTGAGCAATGGCAATGGTGGTTCGTCCCTCGGCAGCCTGTTCCAGTGCCGCTTGCACAACACCCTCACTGCGAGAATCCACTGTGTGTAAAAGGTTAGCATTATTCTGAGACGAATCTAAAGGTAGGTGTTCTCAATGTCTATGAATAAATAGACAACTTACAAGCTGATGTTGCCTCATCCAGAAGCAATATCTTGGGGTCTGATACAATAGCTCGTGAGATCGCGATCCTTTGTTTTTGCCCACCCGAAAGCAGGAAGCCACGCTCGCCAACGTTCGTCTGGTATCCCTCCGGCAGGGCGGTGATAAAGTCATGAGCGTACGCCTTAACAGCAGCAGCCTCGATGAGCTCCTTCTGCTTCTCAGGGCTTTCGTGCTCATGCTTGGTGCCGACTAAGCCATGGCGAATATTCTCGTAGATGGTAGTGCCAAACAGCGTCGGCTCTTGGGACACCAAAGCGATCTGTTGACGCAGCCAACGCAGGTTGAGGGTCGATGTGTCGTGGCCATCCAGAAACACCTTTCCCTGGACCGGGGTGTAAAAGCGTTCGATCAGACCTACAATTGTTGATTTACCAGAGCCTGATGCTCCCACGAGGGCAGTCGTCTTGCCAGCGGGTATCTCGAGGGTCACGTCGTCCATGACCACGACATCGGGCCGGGATGGATAAATCATCTTGACGTTCTCGAGCCTGATGCTGCCATCCACCTTCTCGAGCTTCTCTCCCTCGGTGGAGGAGCTGTCCAGAGCGGAAGCACGGTCAATGGTATTGAAAATCTTTGCTGCGGCACCAAGGGCGGTCGTGAAAGCTTGTACATTAGGCGTGACGTTGCCCAAGGCAAATGAGCCAATCATGACGGCCATGGCGATCGTCAGGACTTTCTGCAGGGGAATGACGCCGTCAACCAAAAACCTGGAGCCCATCCAGAAGGCCAGACCATAGCTCCAGTTCATCACGAGCATGAGGAAACCAATCATGATAGCGATGGCGCTCTTGAGCCTAACACCGAAGAATTCGGCTTTGATCAGATGACCGTCATAAAGCTTGGCCAGCCTGTCTTGTGTCCCAAAGGCCACGGCGTTGCGGACGGAGCTGAGAGTCTCTTCAGCCACGGTACCCCCGAGTGCGTATGAGTTGATGTTCTTCTTGCTGTACTTGACGATGAACTGCGCGCCAGCACCCATAATACAAACAATTGCCACAACAACGGAAAAGAGGATCAGTGTCAGTTTCCAGTACATGACGAATCCGATGATGAAGGCCGCGAAGAAGGAAGCCAGGGCGGCAAGGGTCAGGGAGATCTTCTCGCTAATACCGTCCTGGATCAGGTTTGTGTCGGCTGTGATGCGGGTAACGACCTCACCAGACCCAAGATTGTCGAAGAAGCCGATGTTCTGCTTCAGGCAGCTCTCGAGATAGTGCTCACGGATCTTGCCAGCGATGTGCTCACCGGTATAGATGTATACAACGGTGGCTACGTAGGTGGTGACGAACTCGCCGATGCCCAGGTAGACGAAGATGAGGACCAGGTCTGTCATGCCACTCATGAACTCGTCGTAGGTCTTGGTGCCGTTGAAGAAGCCGGCAAAGGTCCCTTGCAAGCTACCGAAGATGACGGTCATGACGGGGAGGATGGCACCGGAGGCGATTGCGCAGATGGAGCCGATGACGAGAAGAATGAGGTCGACTCTTGTTGCGTACCGATACAGCGTGCGCAGGCCGACCTTCACATCTGGGGTCTCGACTTGTCGCCTCAGAATGGCGGCCTGCTCTGGGGCCATGCCCACGTATGGGTCGGCCTTCTTCTCATCCTGGGGTTTGATGACCTTGGAATCCAGCTTCTGGAGGTCGACACGTTCTTCACTGTCGTTCTCTAATGTCTTGTCAGATATCTTTTCCGGGTCTGATTTTGCTGTATTGCCCCTGGTCTCCGTGTCGCTCGCTGGTGTTTGGCTGCGACTGGAGGATTCATCGTTCCCAGCATTGGCATTGGGTTGATTATTGGGAGTTTTCTCAGCCATAATGGCTTGGCGTCGTGCTGAGAACCCAGCACGTAAGCTCCAGAAGCCGCAAAGTTTTTGGGTTGCGTCAAGAAAACCTCAGGTGTGTTTCGTGAGAGTAGTAGTGAAGTTGATGCGCCCGCGACAACTAGTCTGCGCCGCTGTGATTATGGAATATGCTCTACCCTGGGTCCCCTTTTCTTGAGCTAGAAACCAGTTTGGCGTACAGGGAAGGGAAGAATAGAAGTTGAGAATGAAGACGATTGACACTTGAGGCGAAGATGGAGGTTGCGCTCAATGTATTAAGAAGGAGGATGGGTACCAGGTGGGAAGCGGCAGGGAGGCGACTGGGGCGACGAAATATGTACAAGTCTCGCCCGGGAGAGGTAGCTACCGAATTGTAGCTGCACAATTTTGACTCGGGCTGGATTCAAGGACTCTTTTACTGACTTACCTGCTTGCATTGACCTGCACACGAATAAGAGAGCGACTTGGGTGGAGGTGGCAGGCTGGTCGCATCAGACTATTCACCAAACGAGTGCGGAATTCGCACTTGTTCTGTCCGAAATGTAGGCGTGCGGGATCCACCGCCCCCTGTCCCAGTCCCAGTCCCCTGCTCGCTGCCCTTCTAGAATTACTGCGGCACCTTCTGACTCCACTGCCCGACCTGGTTTCTCTCCTTAGTGCACACGTATCTCGCACTCGTATCTTAGTAGTCGAGGCCGATGACTCTTTGCCGGTCCCATCAGTCAGCAGCTGAGGCCTGAGGGAGTAAGAGACTGTCCGCATGTATTCATAATGAATACTTCCTGTGAGATCGCCTCGCAGATCGGTGTATATTTCCCTCCTACAACCTCCTCCTTCTACAGGATAAGCTCATATGGGATGGCATCCCGTGGGTTAGCCCGATTGGGCAATCTACTTCCGAATAGCCTCTGTTGACTGTACCAGTAGAATGACCTCCTTCCCATTGGGTATCGCAGGATGATCTCCCAAGCCGTTGTCCTACTGAATGGCTTCTCACGCAAGTTGTTTCTCCTCCTTCTCTCGTAAGTTGGCCTGGCCACTGGTGTGCAAGTCTGAGATCGCTCGGTCTCCACTTGTCGTCTTCCTTTTCTCGCATTCGCGATGGCGGGGTAGTAACTTTATCCCCTCGTTATCGCAAAATTCAAGGAGGGATCTACGGTGTGGCCGTGAATAGTCGGTGGACGGAATGGGGAGGATTAGTGTCTTGACTGCAGAATACGCTAATCGTCACCCGGGGGACTCAGCGGCAGGACGGCGGCCGTTTCTGGCTCGCCGTTGGCTGTCCATGGTCACGGCTTTCGGATGTCGCGTGGCGGGTCCCGGAAGCCAAACGGATTCAATCTCATCTCCGATGCTGCTGGTACGGATAAGAATATCGACTGCTGCGTGTCAAGATACCGTGGCTGGAATGAATCAGGATGATTACGATCGCTGCCCCCGGCACGATGACTGCGTTATAGTAATCAGATACTCTCCATTGGACACACGGCAATGTTGTGTACGGTCGTCTTCATGTTCGTCGTCGTCGTGGCACCAAGGCTAGCCCTCAGAGTCAGGTCATCATCCCTTTACGCGTACTACAGTACAGTGACTCTGCACTGACCGTGTGTTTGGACAGGCAAAGGTCCCCACGTTGACGCCCGTGAAAAGCCCCACAAGCCTGCAGCATCCTGGCCAGCAGCCCACGCAATAGTACATAGCCTAACGTAATATCTCGAGCCGGGGCAGCAAAAGTCCAATAGGGCATGGGGCGTAGTCGGAATTCGGACGCCCCCTAGCTCGCCCAACTCCGTAGGCCCCAACCTTGAAATTGCCTCCTTAAAACACTGGCGAGTACTTTCTCGGGGTGTCGATAGAGACCGACAATGCTTACGAGCAGCACTAGACATGTTTCAACAATGGACGGTGAATGACTTACTGCCGGGACTGCGCAGGATGGGCTATGCTTACAACTTGGTCGCGGAAGTCCAAGCCTCGACCGACAGTTCGGATATCAGAGACATAAGATGATTCATATGTGCGTACTAAGATGGTAAGACGGGCATCGCCAGCTCCGGTCCTGGGGTTTGCTGTTTGACAGCCACCTTTGAGAGAGGCAGTGTGTTCGCTAGTTACCTGATGACCAGTCCAAGGAGACCACTAGCAATCCAGAAGAGGGCTGTTGAGTTGTGCACTCAGCCGTCGGGAGAGTCGTCGTCGTTGATGAATCTTATTGTCACAAAGCGAAAGTTTGAACATGAGGCTCATGACACAGCTGTCCAACGGGCGCTTCTTAATTGGCACAAGATTCTGCCTGAACTTTGTCAGAACCATCCTTACTTTATCCCTGCACGTGCCGTTTAGGCGTATTGGGACATATGACAACCATGCCTCCGGTGCCAGAACATACGGGACTAATATTCAGAGTGTAGGCACGGAGGTAGATAAATTTTGCTACAGTCTGGAAGACGTTCTCTGTGATTCCAACCTGAGTGTACTCAGTCCCTCTTAGTTCGAAGCGAAAATAGCGTCAAACTATCACCATGTAGTGTCCTAGGTTCTGTGACTTCGCAAGGAGCTGTCCAGGTTCCGCCAAGAGGTGAATGGTTCGGATGGAAATAAGTCGGGTGGCGGAAGGGAATATTTGCGCCTCAGAAAAGAGCTGTCCTTACATAAACGTGCTTGCTATTCACTGGCGAGCTGTGAAAGTGGCGCGCTGCAGCCAAGCAAGGGTCCCCCACATACGTCACACTCACACGCCTGGAGCTTTTTCAGCCTCGTCACTGCTCAGGAGGCGTTCGTCCGGATTCCAGCCTGCGCAGAAGAGCGAAAAGAAACGAAATCTGTCCTTTTCGGTCCAAGTGATTCTTGAATTTAGCCAGGACAGATGGGTCCAGTGTTGTGTCTTTGAATATTCCCCTGTTTTCGACGACAGAACTGTACGAGTGAACTTGGGGGAGTCATTGGATCGAGCATACCTTCAGCTCAACCCTCAATCACGACAACGCGGCTTAAGTATCCCGCCATGAACGCTCCTCTCAGCACCCTCTTGGCGGGCCTCGCCCTACTGGCTGTCTCGGCAGAGGCCAAAGGCAAGCCTCGCGATGCCATTCTGCTCTCTCAGGTAAGTTGTCCAGGTCCAGCTTCCCTGCTCTGCTACACCCACACGCATGTTGGCCAGACAGCACATTTTCACCATGACCAACTACTCACACCTCCCCTCCAGGTCGAATCTCTCACCCTCCGCGCCGACAGGGAGACCACCCACCGCCGCGCCCCCGCCGTCCCGCAGCTCAAGTGCGTGTCCTCCCGCGCCATCTGCTCAAAGTACAAGATCGACACGATGCGCTGCGAGAACAAGGGCTCCGGCTACGACAGCGAGGACATCCAGTGGAGCTGTTCCGCCTCGCTCCCAACCGAGCTAAAGCTCGGTTCCACCGACGTGGTGCGTGCGACCTCTAACCTCCTGGGGGCACAGGCTCCTATCGGGAAGCCTAACCCATGATCCAAGGATCCGTGAACTGACTAAGGAGACAGATCTGCGAAGGGTACTCCTCGCCAGACGACCCGTACGTCCTAAAGGGCAGCTGTGGCGTGGAGTACCGCATGGCCCTGACGCGCGAGGGCGAGGAGAAGTGGCCCGATCTGGGCGGCGGCGGGTCGGACTGGCGAGGAGACGGCAGCGGGGCCGGCCTGACGGGCTACATTTTTTGGGTCATATTCTTTGCCGTCCTGGCGTTCATCATCTACAACGGCTTCATCAACGCCAGGGGCAACAACGGAGACGGGCGCCGACCAATACGGAACAACGGTGGCAACTTCTGGGGAGGAGGGGGAGGAGGGGGAGGAGGAGGTGGCGGCGGCGGTGGCGATTTTGGGAACGACGACCCACCGCCGCCTTACCCGGGCACGAACAACAATAACTACAGGAGCAAGCCCAGGTCCTCGGGAGGAAGCAGTACACAGCGTGGAAGTACTGCACAGCAGGGTTGGCGGCCGGATTTCTGGAGCGCAGCCGGAGGTGCTGCAGCGGGTGCAGCAGCGGCGTACGGCGCGGGAAGGATGGGTAGGAACAACGACACTCGCCGGAATGGAGCGGGTTACGGGGGAAGCAATTATGGAAGCACTTGGGGCAGTGGAGGAGCGGGCCCGTCGAGGTCCGGCTCGTCAGGGTCGAGTAGCGGTTCCGGCGTGAGCAGTTCTCGTCACGAAAGCACGGGTTTCGGCTCGACCAGTCGACGTTAGGTCACTCATGCATGTCGTCAATGAGCTTCACAAGTTGTCATTACCAGAGCTGGGCATCCTGACCGTCGGTGCCTGGATGCGTAATGTCACGGGCTCAAAATCGAGACACAGATCTACAGCGACCATGTTTAAGAGTGCCGACGTGAGGTGACCTTATCAATTAGTCTATGTGCAAATGCATGGCGACATGCAAACCGCGAGGGCCTGAGAGCATCTAGCAGGATCTCGCCGTCCGATATCCATCTACGTACCCTGAACAGTAGGTTTCCGACTCAGAACGCCTCGTCGTTCCTGCTCCGCCTGATTCCTCCTGGATTCCTCCTGGGTATTGTCTCCTTCTGTACAACAGGGCCCCTCAATCCAAACAACGCGCGTTACTCGAGCTGGTCTCAAATGTACAGCGAAACCTCGAATCAGAAAGCCACAGCAAAGTCCGTGGAGTATCCATGCGAACGCCATTCTCTTCTTGCTCAGGTCAGGTAGATAGGCACGATATCTGGCCGGTCATATGGCTTGCTGCAGTTCGGGCATTTTCTCATCCGATTAGTGAGACGTGCCTCCGCACATTCTTTGCAGAAGATGTGGTTGCAGGTCCTGAGCATGGAGTTCTTGGGGTTCAGTTGGCAGATTGAACATAGAGCAATTTGCTTGAACACAGGTTAGTTATTGATCCAGTAAAACATTAAACGGCGTTCACTTACTCTGAGATCGTTAAGCTCGCTCGAGGACTTGCCGAAGGCCTTCTTTTTCCATGTCTCTAGGTCCTTCTCAGCATGCTCCAGTCGCACCTTGAGCCTCTCAGCCTCGGTCTCGTGGCTGTTCGCCTTTTCTTTCTCCGCGACTGCCACCACATCCTTGGCTTTGACCAAATTCTGTAGCTCTGTGATTTGCGACTTAACGCTGTCGGACCGTCGGATGGCATCGGCGCTCGAAATCTTGAGACCACGACTCTCCTCAAGAATGGCCACATTAGACTGCTTCAGATCCGTGAGTTGCTTCTCCAGATTGCTGATCAGTGTGCGCGCCTGTGTATCGTGTTCCTTGAGTGCCGCAATGATTTCGGAGCTCTTGCCGTTCTGCTGCCGAAGGGTCCTGATCTCGTTGTTGCGTATATCCGCATCTTTGCGAGCCGCAAAATATTTTTGATCGGCCTTGCTCTTCTCCTGTATGAGAACCGCCATCCGCTCCTCCACCAAATGCTGGTCCATGACCTTCTTTTTGGAAATGCCCATGGAACGCTTGTATGCCTTCTCCATAGATGGCAGTTCCTGATTGATCGACTGGAAATCCTTCTCCAACTTCAAAAATCTCTCTCGCAGCTCCTCCGCGGTGATCGAATCGAGGTCGGGGCGAGTATCGGACGCGGGCGCATCCGAGCTCGGGCGAAGTCGTTCAAGCTCCATTTCCAGTGCTGCAATCCGGTCCTCCTTGGCGCCAACTAATTCCTTGATATTCTCTAGGGATGTTCGTTCCTGCTCCTGCTGGGCCTGACGGATGCCCTTGTCAGCCAGAAGTTCGTCTCTCTGCGATCGAACACGAGTGAGATCTGTTTCCCTGATCTGAATCTGCTCCTCAAGATCTGCCGTAACGTTCTGTGCCTCGCGTTCTAGCTGACTTCGGAAAGACGTCCTTTCAGCCTGCAATTTCTCAGCCTCAAGGCGAAGCTGCTTGTTGGTGGCCTCCAGATCGTTGACTCGTTTGATGAGATCCTCGTTCTGAGATTTGAAAGCTTTGAAGACGTCCGTTCGCACGAACTCTTCATCCGTAACGCTCTCGCGTTTAATTTTCAATGTTGAGTTCTCATCCTTCAGGGCCTTGATCTCGGAAATTGCTGATTCCAACTGCTCCTTTTGCTTAGCCAACGCAGCGACAGCCTCCTGGTATTTCATGTGCAAGTTTTCGTCATGACCGTTGCTGTCACCATTGTCGTCGCCGTTTTCTGCCGCGGCGGGGGCGCTCCGACTTGTCGAAGAAGCAAGAGCCTGCTGCTCCAGCTTCTGAACTTGTGCACTCTTGGCGCGATCTAATTTCTTCTCGGCTTTGACAACGCGCAGCATGGCCGCATCAAGGTTTGCTGAAAGCTCTTCCTTCTTATGGGCGAGGCTTTCCAACTGCACCTTGTACTCCTTCTGCTCGGCCAAAAGAGACTTGATCTTGGACTCCATTTCAGCAATCTCGGGCTTAACGTCGCCCCGATGTGTGGCCAGCCGATTGAAAAGAGTTTCGAGTATTGACTTGATTGCCTTGCCGTTCTCAGCCAGGTGTTTCTGGAAAAGCTGGCCATCTTGGGAGCCCAATCCGATCGACGGTGACAAATCTGCGAGACATTCCAGTTACGAGGGCCGTGGAGGATGGAGTGAAGTATGTAAGCTTACCGTGAGTTTCGAATTTGTCCGTAAATGTGCCTTCGGCGACCAGCTCAACCTCTTGCAACAGCTTCAATATGTCAGCTAAGCCCAAAACATGCGGGGCTCGAACGCGCATCTTACCTGAAGCCACCACGCATCGATGGTTCTCAAATGTGCGTCATAGTATTCATACTGCTTCCCAAGCTCCTCGAGACGGGCCTCTAGTTGTGTTTTCTCTCTCTTGTACTCGAGCATCTGGCGATATATTGCATCTTTTTGAAATGCCTGAGAACCCAACAGTCAGCATGTATCCCTTCGAAAACGTCGAGCGGATGGGTAGTGTAACGACCATTCAGGATGGAGTGGGAGAGGATGCCAGCGGATGGTTGAAGGGCATTTGAGAACCTGAGCGCTCGGCATGCTGCAGCCAGCAAGCCATGCATTAGCACTGAACGAGTGGGCAATTCCTCACGGTATGTTGAACCCTGAGAGACAGACACCGAGATATCAGAGCCTCCGACCCTGTTTGTGGTGTTGTGCTGTGTGTTTGAAGAGGGTTTGCTTTGACCACGATGATGCGGGGAGGGCGTTGGTGTTGTTGTGATGGATGAACAGAGACCAACATCACTCACCTCAATCCAAGCCTCGTCCTTCATGTCGAGGGCGTCATCACGAGACTTGCTGCTGCCATTGACCTGATGGCGTTTGCTGGGAGGAGCAAGGTCATCGGCAGTGCTGATGGCAGGTCTCTTCCTGTCCTCCATCTTGACGAGGGGAGAAGGGAGAATGGCCGAGGGAGAAGTGGCAACAGGCATGAGAGACGTCGGTGAGCAGGCTGCAGGCTAAAGAAGGGCGCGCTGCTGAAAATCAGGTGTTTAGTGATGATGAAGAAGGCATGGACTCCAGATGGATCCTAGAGCCAGGTATTGCCCTGGGTCGAGCAGTGGTTGTGATGGTCATCAAAGGGAGCGTGGATGAGCAGGTGGTGGTAGTGCAAGGGTGGAAGTTGAGGACATTGATTAAAGATGGAGTTTTCACGAGTCACCAAGCGCCAGTAGTCCCATCTGTTGCAGGTGCAGAGCCGTGTCGGAATGGCGCTAGGGGAAGAGGGGGGCTAGTACCAATCGAGGGCGAGCTTACCGCATCCCACTAAAAGTTACTGTCAGTCTATCACCGCCGTCCACTTGCATTTCTCGATCTCAATCTGCACTGCCGACTTCGAGACTTCCGCGACCTCTGCCGACTTGGCTTCCACGGTGCTCTACCTCTTCGAGTACCTGTCTGACTGCAATGACGAGGCAGCCACCCGGAACAAGCGCACAGAGAAGCCTGCACGACGGAGGCTAAAAACAGGATCGCGGGATGAGTTCGATGCTGAAGAAAGGCGCGGGTGCCTTCAAGCCCAAGGCACCGATCGCGAGGAGACGACCTGCCCCTGCCACGACCGCACCGGCCGTAAATGCTGTTGCTGCTACGGACACACCGACGGGAACGTCACCTGCTCAGGAAACTGGTCCTGATGCCCTTCGCGACGCTGCCAGTTCACCTACTATCGTCGAGTCAAGACTTGAGCCGCCGAGCCAACCCACTTTGTCGAACACATTGTCCGAGATACCCTCACCATCTAGCGAGCCGCCTGCTAGTACGACGCGCACCCGAAGAACTAGGAGCCCTGAAGCCAGACGCGACGCAGCCGCGACGAAGGGTCCTCTTGTAGCCGAGGCCCGGGCTTCTGCTATCCCCACCACCGGCGACAATACGCACCCCGCTGCCAGCGACACGTCCCATCCGGAGCCTTTGACTCGGCCGGGCACGATCTCTTCGGCCACCCCCAGACAGCCGGATGACGACACTGCTCCTACACAAGAGTCGGTGGAAGCCTCAAGGCCCACTACTGCGCAAGGAGACACAGCGACGGCGACGAAGCCCAAGACCACCCCCCGCAAAGGAGGCCCTTCCGCGCTCAAGCCAGCTCGATCCACACCCGCAAAGAAGGCCAAATCTGCCGCCGAGCTCACCGTGCCATCTCCTGTACCCACTCCAGACGTCGGTTTGACACCATCTGCAAGCACATCGGCGGCACCATCCGTTGACAACGGCGAAGGGTCCTCGACGACCTCCACGGCCAAGACCAGAAAACCAGCGGCAAGGCAATCTAGGAAACGAAAAGCAACTGCTGCAACAGCAGAGAGCGAGGCAGATACTGGCACAGAGACCGTGGGTCCGCCCAAAAAGAAGAGAGCGCCACGGAAAAAGAAAGCTGTTACAAATGGCGAGGAAAGTGCAACCCAAGCGAGCGATGCCGAGAACGGCGAAGCTGTGGCACCCAAGAAGAGGGCGCCAAGGAAAAAGAAGATAGCAGGCCCGGTTGGCAACGCTGAGGATGGGGATGGAGAAAATGGACCGACTCCTACCGAGACTGAAGGAGAAGAGACGGAGAGGACCAAAAAGGCCCGACGGCAGCGATCCGTGACGCCCGAGGATGCTGAGCAGCAAAAGGTCGACCATGAGCAGATGGTCATGAGCGAGCTGACCAGAGACCTGAGGATAGGCGCCAAGTTCAGCAAGTACGACGAGCTGCGCGAGAGGATCCGGAAGAAGCGCGCCCACCAGCGGCTCATCAAGCTGGGCAAGCTACCGCCAGGCGAGGAGATGCCGGACGAGACCACATCAGAGTCTGGGACGCCAGCTTCCGACAGCGCCAAGAAGCCCGCGCCGGCGCTGCCACGGCTGATAGTAGAGGAGGCGCCCGGTGACTCGGTCCCACAGCTCGAAATAGTGGATGGGCACATCCGGATCAACGAGGCTTCTATGCAGTATGATAGGCACGCGGCCGCAGACCAGGCGCGTGGCGTGGTGCTCGAGCAGGAGGAAGACGACTTCACAACACCAGTGACGCAGCGGACGTACATGAGGCGGCAGCCGCAAGGCAACTTCTGGACGGACGCCGAGACGATCAAGTTCTACCACGGGCTGCGCATGTTCGGCACGGACTTCAACATGATCTCCAAGATGTTCGGCGGCGCCAAGAACCGCCGGCAAGTCAAGCTCAAGTTCAACCGCGAGGAGAGGGCCAACCCCGTCGCCGTCAACAGGTGCATCATCGGAGAGAAGGACGTCCCGATGGACCTTGAGGCCGTCGATGGCGCCGACGCGCTTGAGGACTCCAAGGCCATCACCGACGAGCTGGCCCGCCTCAAGGCGGAGCAGGAGGCCGAGACGCGGAGGCAGGAGGAGGAGGAGGCCGCCTCGAACCGCAGGAAGAAGGACGAGCTCTTCGGCAGGAAGAAGGGCGACAAGGCCTCCCGCGGACTCGACGAGCAGCAGCAGCACATCGACAACGTCGGCAACGACCCTTTCGGCGGTGCGAACAACCCCGCGGGCGGTGCGGACCTGCACGCTGGCGCCCAGTACGGGGTCGGCACCGACCCAGACGTCATCGACGAGACGGACCTGCCCTCTGCCGCGCCCACTCGGGGCAGGACGCGCGGAGCGGGCAGAGGCCGCAAGGCGACGCAGGTGTTTGCGGGCGGCATCGGTGGCTGAGTGGACAAGCCTCGTTTGGCCTTGGATTCTTTTTCCTTTGTTTCATGGCGTACATGCGTGCATACAACGCGGACTGTTTGATACCCCGCTTTCTCGTCACTTCTCTTTGGTTGGCGTCGATCAAAAAGGCTTGCGTTTGTTTGTTGTTGAGACATGGGGTCGGCGCGGATGGTTGGCACACGTCAATGTTTATTACTATGCAAGAACGGGCTTAGAGCCTCAGGGCGTGGGAAAAGGTGACCGATAGTCATCAAGTATCGTACTTTTACATCTGTATTAAGGCTTGCTAAGCCTTTAGACATAAGGGATTAACTGCCCCGGAATTCAAATGATCTGAGTCTTCCGTTATTTTATTTCCGCCGACTACCAAAAATTCCTTGATCATAGCTTCCCTCATCCGTGCCGCATGTCTGTCGACTGCTTCATGCGTGCGGGACTGTCCCACATGGTGTACTAACGATTCGAGGGCGTTGAGCAAATCATCGAAGACTTGCATTCTGTAGTGGTCACTGCAAACAAGCAGTCGCGTCGGTGGCAACATGTATTGGGGTCGTTCCCATCATCACCAGACTGCTTCTCCCGTCTTCTAGAGAGTTCTGTCTCCCAAACGGCAACTTGGGGGCCCAGTTGCTGATCCTCTCCTACCAGCTCGCAAAGCTTCCAAAGTCATAGGCACCCAGATAACCCCAGCTTATTGCCTCATTCAAAGAGCCGATCCCGGGTCGTGCAGTTCGCCAAACCATTTTGGCCGCTTACTGAGCATTAGGGGGCTCCTCATCGTCAGGCTGGTCAAACAGAAAGTTGGCAGCGAGCTCCTCGTTCTTGTCACAGGCGAAGTAGGCCTGGATGGCCTGGTCGCGGTCGAAGCCCAGGCGGCAAAGCTGTCTCCTGTTAGCACGGACTGTAAAGATAGAGGGAAATACGCAGAATACGCACTCGCTCAATGGCGTCCCGCTCCTCCTCAGTCACGGCAATAGCCTGAGCTCCAGGAGGCAAGGGAGCATCGTCATCACCGTCCTCACCCAACAAGCTGAGGAATTGATCGGGGTGCTGGGAGATCAAGTGGGCGAGCTGGGGGTTGCTAGCGCCCAGTTGTTGCAGGATAGGCTCTAGCATCTGAGGTTGCTGTTGGACAACTTGGCGAAGCTGCTGGAACTGAGGGTTGTGTCGCAAGAAATCCAAGTTGCCGAGTCCTTGCCCGCCAGCGGCAGCGGCGGCGGCAGCAGCGGCGGCTCCCACTCCAGCACCCGCACCAGCCCCGCGAGCACCAGCTCCACCAGGACCACCACGTCCCTGTTGTGCGGCTAGGTCGAACAAATTCACGCTGTCATCACCACCTCCAGCAGCCGGTGCTGCGGCAGGGGCAGAGGGCGCGGCAGGCTGTGCGGGTTGTGCGGGCTGCTGCTCTTGCTGTAGGTTCTCCGGAATTCCCTGATATCACGTCAGCCACATGTATTTACTACTTGGTCGCCGCAATTGTTATGCTCACCGTCAAAAGGTACTCGACAGCGCGATCTGGGTTGTTAAAAGCGGCGCGCATGGCGGCATCGATTTGGGATCGCTCAAAGCCCATCGCCTCCATGTTCGCAATGGCTTCGGCACGCTGACCGCCCAAAGCCAAGGCGTTGGGATCGTTGTAGGAGGCCTCAGAGCTCCGTGCCGCAGGAGTGGGCGTCGCGGGAGCGGCTGCAGCGGGGGCTGAACTCGTGGCGGCCGGGGCGGCCGGTGGCGCTGGTGTGGAAGATTGAGCAGCCGGAGCGGGAGTCGCGGGGACGTTGGAAGAAGAAGAAGAAGCTGCGGCAGCGGGCTTGGGCTCAGCTTTGGGCTGTGGTTTATTAGCGACCCGGCATGGCAAGAGTGTGTGGCAAAAGTTGACGATTGGTGGATTTTACCTTGTTCACAACGCAGACGACAAACCCCTTCTCCTCGATCTTGTAAGACTCAACGGTATCCTCATCCTTCAATATCTTGCCTAGCGCTTGGTCAGCTAGGTCCTTGCGCCAGAGATGCTGAATCAGATTTCACAAACCGGCGTGGATCAACTTCTGCAGCTTGGGCTCCCATCCCTTCTCCTCCGAGATCTTTTGCTTGACAGAAGAGATCTAGACAATTCAAAAGTCAGTTTCGCTCGAGCTCGTCCGTATCGACATGAGGGTAGCCATGGCCGCAGAGGCGGAGGAGGCGACCCGGAGGAAGAGGGCGGGCATACCAGGTCAGAGGGCTCGCATTCGATGACGAACTTCTGCTGCTTCAAGTCCTAATGTGGAGGCAACGGTATTAGCGCAAATTGCCTGCAGAAACTCTGTAATTGGATCGAGACGAGGAGATGGTTGAGGTTGCGGCGTGCCGATTCGCAAGGCAAGGCACAGCAAAGCAAAGCGCAAAGCTAGAGCTCCCAGCGCTTGGGATCTGACGCACCTTGAAAGTGACCTTCATGGTGGGCAAGAGTAGTGCAGGTGTAGACTGCTCTCTCTGGAGGGTGTGCGGTGATGTCTGGTGATGAAAGAAGGCCCAGAAATGCAGGTCGTACTGGGCGGGCGAGAGTTCAAGGTTGGGAAGGGGAGGTGGATGGACGGATGATGTCGAGGTCAAGGTTGAGGTCGAGTTGGGGTCCGTCCAAGTCGACAGCCGTCAGTCACTGATATGCTGTGGGTGGGGCTTGGCTGAGCAATGTGAGTGAGGGAGGCAGCGCCGGCGGCTGGCAGCAAAGGTTAGCCAGTGTGGGGCAGGCTAGCGCGGCTCATGGATGCCTTGAGGTCTGCCTAAGGTATGGGATCTAGGTTACCAGGTATCCGCCACCCTACAAGCTCTACCTGGCCACTGAGGGGAGTACAATTAGACATAGACCAGCTATCAAAACCAAAAGTGTCTGGCCATGCTCTGCTGTTTCCAAAGCTGCTGGTCCCAAGTTTTCGTCCCAATATAGTCTTTTATTCAAGCTTGCCAAAGTCCTACCCCTGCTGTTGCCTTGCCCCGCCTTGGAGAGCAGCTTTTGCCGGTGTTATTAGCAATATTAGCAGGGTCGCATGATATGGGTGTGTACACCAAACGTTCCTATCTTCAATTGTTGATAATTGTTTGTTTTTTGCTCTTCTAGCTTGTCACAGCAGCTGAGCCTCAAGCTCCTGACTGCTTCAATCGCCAGGGATAGTGATCACATCTACTCGTCACACTCCTCTCCCACCCTCTCTCTCCTCTCCCCTTCCACCCACCCACACACACTCTCCCTGTCCTCTCTCCCCCTTCTCTCCCCTGCCTCCTCTGCGCCGCCCAAGCTCCTCCAGACATTGTCTCGTCTGAAAGGTGTATAAACGCCTCGCTAAAAGAAGTTGAAAGGAAATATGGTATCAAGATGTTTTGTATATCCCACCACCTCCCAAGGTTCCCCAGCCAGGCAGACCCTTCAGCCTGCCCCAAAAACCCATATGTACTCTTTTTTGCTTTCCCACTCCCCTGTCGGTGGGCCCAAAACTACACCGGGGCCGTCTAAAGAGCCAGCCCATTGAAACATTATGTTAAGGAAAGTTGTGTCAGTAAGACACGTAATGATAGGTGCCGGAAATTACAGCAGTCAGGGCGGGTGGGTTTACCACCCGACACCTTCAAGAGCTGCCAGCCCCGGTCCGGACGGGCCCTCCCTGCTCTGCGTCTTCCGAGTCTGGTACGTGTGCAGGCTCGTACTTGATCCGGCGTTGAGGATGTAATCAGGGATAGGCGGCGTGACGTTCCTCTCTGGCGCCTCGCCCGCGTCTCCGGAGTCCTCTGACTTGCTTCCATCGCTGGCCATGCTGAAGCTCTTGTTCGCCTCGCCGAAGGTGTCAAACGAGCCCGTTCTCGTCAGCGGGCTTGAGGCCACAGGCAAGCTGTCGCTTCGCATTCGGCTCAAGCTTCGGATAGATTGCCGGTCGGAAATGAGGAAGCCGGCTTGTGGTGCTGCTATTACCACCGTGCCAGGACTCGCCAGGGGTGGCGGAGTTGGTGAGTCCGAGCGGAATAGCGGGTGAATGTGCGACTCGCTAGCCGAAGCCTGTTGAGTAAAGGCACGCTGTGGCGGCTGCGGGGGTTGAGTACGCGTGGATGCTGGGCTGAAGCTGCGGCTGCGTCTCCTGAGGCGAGGAGGCTCGAGATCCAGTGGGGTCCCGGGGCTCGGGCTCCGACTGGTGGTGGGACTGGCCGGAATAGTCTCCAGGAATCGGCCAGGTGTGGCAGGCGACGACGATTCAAGCACCGTCTGTCTGTTCTGTGGGTCCACAGACGAAGTATCCCACGAGTCGAAACTCTCTCCAAGCCCTCGTTCCCCGGAGCCGATGGATGTAATTGATTCAAGGGATGGAGCTCGGCGGCTGCGTTGGCTGCGTTGGCTTCTTTGACTGCGGAGGCTCCGGCTGCTAGACAACAAGCGGGTCTTTGACGAGATCGGGCGCACGACGTTTGTTAACGACGAGGCCACTGACGAGATTGTTCCGGTGGCGGAGAACCCGCCGCTGGACGATGGAGGGCTCTTGGAATCGATGGACACATTTCGGGTGGCGGGCTCGGCCGGGCTCGTGCTGCTATATGGCACGGTCTTCACCCGGGTCGTAGGTGAACGCCGGCCAATTTCCAACATGCTGGGCGAGTCTGAGGGATGGTCCTCTTGCGAGCGATCGTTGACAAAGCGAACTACCAGGAAAAGTAGCTGCGCGACGAAAGATAACACCAGCAGTGCGGCGGCTCCACCGAGGAATCCCAGTGTGTTGTTTCCGAGTACTTTACTGCCGGACAGGCAGATGAGTGTTGCGACTGTCAGAGCAGCTGCGACAACGCAAAGAACGACACAGGAACCAAACCACAACCCGTTGACTGTTCTTGAGGTGTTCTTCTTGTTAGAGATGATGAGAATCCACGACAATAGGGCCAGCACCGCCGACTCTAGTACGGACGATATTATTGCCGTGATTCGGGTTGACGATGTGGGGTTCGAACGAGGCAATGCGAGGATGATCTGGAGGATCAACAAGATCAACGAGGCTGTCACAGCGACAGCCCCAAGCACGGCTGAGGCTAATGGGCGAGACATGCTCATAACGTTGATCTTGGTTCTGAATTCATACGTCAGAAATGACGAATTTTTGTGCGTACCAGGGTCTGAGACAGTCTGGTGGTGCCCGGGCTGTGAGACACACGCGACGGGCCGAGGTGGCGAGTTGGCGAGAACGAGTGTGGTGATCCGTAGATCCTGCCGCAAAATAGGTAAACGAGTGGACGAAGGTCGATCGGCCTCACAGAAGCCAAAACCAAACAAAGCCAGGCGGAGCCCCGAGAACAAGAGCCCAGCTTGTTCTTATTATTCCGTCAGCGAGAGCTGCGCCCCTAAGTTCCAGAATAGGACCAAGATCGTCCCCCTGAAGATCGTCCCCTCGGCGCCGGTGGGTAAGGGTGCGCCGTGGGTGCCGAAGGAAACAGGTCGGAAATGAATTTGGTGGAGCCGGCGAGCCGGGATGCCAAAGGGCAGGCGCGAGACCAACGCACGCCGACCAGGTTCTAGAAACTGACCAGGCAGTTCAGTGGACCTGCTATTGTGGGACGTCGAGATTGGCGATGACGGCACCGAAGCGAAGAAGCGGGAGGATGTTGGCAGGTGTGTGTAATATTTTTCCGGCGTTTGATCAACGTGACGAGATGGTGTGGATATGGCAGCCGAGCCGAGTTCATCACCGGTTTCTCGGACTAACAGTGAATAAAACCTCTCCAGAGCGTAAGAAATAGGTCGAGGTCGACTCCGTTCAAAGATGTTCCCTCAACTGGGTGGGGTGAGGCCACCAAGGAGTGAGTGAGGATCGAATCAAACTCAACAAAGAGACGGGTACTGGTGCAAAGAAGTAGCACAGGCCCAAGATGAAAGATATGTATGGGATGAGTAGGAAACAAGGTTCTCGCCTCAGGGTGAACCGGGTCTCGACAATGGGCCGCGTGAGAGTCCGCGTCTCTGAGGTCGCAGGACCAGACCAAAAGTTCGGGACGGAAGGGGTTTTGGTAGAACCGCACACTATTTGCAAGGAATCCAAAGAGGAGAGGAGCCAAAACAAAGTTGTGAGGAGATGACGAGGGGGTGAGATGGGGACTGTATATGGGTCTTCGCGGGAGCTGGGCTCTGGATGCCGGGTTGGCCCAGTGCAACGGCAGCACCGGGGAAGGACGCGTTCTGTCGCGTGTGGATCAGGGATCCAGCTGAAAATGTCCGTTCTTTGTTGTGCAGCAACGACAAGGGTCCCGGTGGGGCAGCCGAGCCTTCCAGGGCTAGGCAAGTCGGGTGGGCCTGGGTTTCGCGTGGTGGCTGTCGCCAAGCATGTGGGAATTCTCCGTATTGGCCCGTTGCTGCTCGCTCTCATCAGAGTCAGACAGAGACTTGCTTCTCCTTTGCCTGACCAATCTCGCCCTCCTTCGCGTCGAGAATTTATAAAACCCCGCCTGAGGCCCAATATAGATGATGATATAGTGTCCCTGAGCAGGCCTGCGGTGCCGACTCCGTCGACGTTGGTGCTCCAGAATATGGTGGATATCAAAAGTCCTGCGTTGGAAGCGATATTGTTGGTTGCACAATGATCCTCCTGAGGGAGGGGGGCAGCAAAGTACAATAGCAGCGACCGAGTGTGGACGTCCCGGCCCTTGAAAATGGATGGAGGTGGCCGAGAGCCAAAGAGCTTTCACCAGCTTTATTGCTGAGCCTGTCTGTCAATCTTGTCTTCCTTGATTGTTCTTGACGCATGGTGACCCTTGACCTGGGAAGAGGTACCCTGACAAGCCATCGCGTGCGACCCTCGCATGTGGTGCGATATTAGGAGCACAGGAGCAGTGGAACTGTGCATCGCCTGCCAGTGAACGATGGCAACTGAGAAGATTTGAGGAGGCTCCAGGGCAGGCGAGCAGACCGCTCGTCCCCTGCACAACAAGGTACGGTGCTGCAAAGTGGACTGACTTGGATGACCGCGCGGTATGTGACCTTGGAGTTTAGCTTTACGGCAACCTTTTTCTTGTGCAGTTCGCACATTCTGGTTCACCTCGGTGTCTGGGAGACCCATGTGACAGTAGCGTGTTAAGACCCGATGTTATTGACGATGCCGTTGTTTTCAGGTCGCTAAACAGGAGAGGGAAGCTGTTCGCCCCCGGGGTTTAGTAAACAAATGCATTGACGCAAACGACGGCCAGCCCAATCAGCGATGCTGTTGTTGTGTCTTAGCACGGCCGGCAAACCGAAAACGACACTGGTCGAAGCGAATTGCTCTTTGAGACTGCCGTATGCTATGCGAGGCATGTCTCTGTGCATGCGCAGACCGGCGTTGTGGTGACAAGTTACAAGCACGGCATCTTGCTCGAGGCAGATTGCTCGGTTGTCTGGCATCGTGATCTATCTCGATGCATGGCACCTAGCCATATGCAGGTACAGCCGCCCTCTGTGCGTGCCCGCTTCACTTCACCTCACTGTTGTTGGGCCAGTTGGGCTGGGTTGCTGTGGGCGGGAAAAAGTCTTCCAACCTCAATCCATGCTCGAGGTAGCACTCCACCCTGGCTGGCCTTGTTTCAACGCTTCTCGACTAGGAGCGTCAACCAGGTGCGGATCTGTCCCCGGCGGCCAAAGCTCTGGGGCACGCTGGAGAGCACTGACGAGAGCCAGTGGACACAGAGCTTCTGGCAATTTTTGCGTCGTCGGGCGCAATCAGCAGCGCAATTGACTCTGTGTTGTCTGGCCCTGGGGCTCGCAAGCCTTGTCCGGCCAGGAGATTCGTCTGCACAGGCCCGAGATTTCACTATAAGGGCTCGTCCGGCCAGGGGGCCCCAGCATGGTCATTCATGCAAGCCGGACACGCGAGATTTGTTGCAGGCACTCAATTTAGTGATGTTGAACGATCGATGACTAAAGAGAAGGTGACCGATTTGGATTGGTGCCCCCACCTGTCATTTGTCAAGTCGTTGGATCTGTGGGAGTGCTTCGGTAATCTTGACCTCCCCCCACGGGATCCGGGAGACGAGGATCCTTTCTCGTTACAGCCTCTCAGTGCCGTCCGTCGCGTGCACAGGCGGAAAGACAATTACCGCGTCAAAACGTGGTTTCTGGGGCTCGGCATCCTTCAATGGCCCAGGCGAAGTCATGGTAATGTCGGTCGCCGCGGGTCCATGACAATTGTGCCTGAGCCTGCGCCTGAGAGGAGCGAGGGGTTACAACATATTTCGGCCGGGCCTGCCCGAGGAAACATCGTGTAGATACAAGACAGGCGATCTACCACCTCGGGCTGAACCTCAGGAGCTCGAGAAATTGTAGGAGGTAGGGTTATCTGCTCGAGTCCTCAGAGCTGTCATTTCGACGGCTCTTGGCTGGTCACTGGCCGTTCCTTTGTGAAGCGAGTGAACCTTGTCCCTGAGCGTGCCATGAGGCTAAGAAAGTTTCCCCGTTCTAGGCCCAAACGGCTGGCAGGGAACAATCAATTGACAACTGAACCGGTTTATGGTTAAGTCAGTGCTAATATATGTCATTTCCACACCCTGTGGGTGGTTGTGAGGGTTTCGCCAGCCCCTGACACCGGTTTCCCAGGCACACCAGCTCCGTCATCAGGGAACGCAGGCAGGCACACATTGGCACCAGGGACAGCGCTGCGCGACGTGTTGTGCCCATTGGCTGCCTGAGCGGTGCTCTCGCTTGGGAAGACTGCACTGGCCAAGTTGGGCCTGGTGCCGGACTGCCAGTGCTCTTTAGGTTCAACTCCTGCTCTTGCGAGGCGGGGCAGCTTCTGCACTGGGCCGGGATCAAGGACTTGCGGCGATTGGAATGTCGTCAGCAATGGAGCTGCCGGGCCGGAAGGCAGTCGGAACTGACTCTGGATCGTGAGGCGGGCTGGCGGGACGCAACGGCTCCCTCGTGGGACCCAGTTGTGCCAGCACGGTATCCATCCCCAGTGTGCCTGTGAGCGTGCTGGCGTGCCAACCACGGCGTGCACACACAGATTGATTAGAATACGAAGAGCTGTGACTGCTGTGCTGTACAGGCTCCACTCCCGCCTGGCGTGGCCTCGCCGTCTGCACCGTCGTAGAGAATCTGAAGGGTTGGGCAAGAGTACTGCGCTCTACCGAATGGAGATTTGATGTCATAGTGACAAGAGTGGACTGTCAAGGCGGGTGAGGTGAACCTTGATAGATGAGCCAGCCGGATGGCCCCCTCGATCTCAGCGAGTCAGCGAACCGTTTTCGTTCTCGTACCTGCATGACAGGGCGGAGGGAGGGGGGAGGCGGAGAGGTGGAGAGACAAGCTGCAGGTACACCACGATGCGGTACGGTATATGCATGTGTACCGTGGTACCAGAATGCATACATGCACATATCTGCATGTGCTGCGTAATGTATGTGCGCATCTTCTGTGCAGTCCGTTGCACCGCAGGATTGTGGTGAGGCGACATGGAGGGACGAAAGCTGGGGCTGACTCAACAAAGTTGTCGGCTCGATCAAGTAGTGGCAACATCGCCGGTCGCCATCTCAACCGCCTGCCTCTGACACGATCCACAGCCGGTTCTCCGGGTAGACGCTGTAGTGAGCTGCCGTTGAGATGCGGGAATTAAGTCCGGCATATACCGAACGAACAATGCCTTGTTTTTAGCGGTTCGTATACATACATAGTACACTGTCTGTGGGCTCTATACTGTGAGGCCTGACACTGTAAATACATCATAATATCTGAATTGTGTCATTTTACTGGCGGGGCTGGCTGCATGCAGGTCAACTTTTTTTTTTCCTCTTCCCCTCACAATGCACCTTCTGCGGGAATTTTCTTTGCTTGTCTTGATTTCCAGGACCTGTTCTCATCTCAACTTCAGGCTTCGAGTAAAAAGCTGATGACGCGGGGCCTGCTGCAGATGCACTGCACTGCATATGCAGAATCACTGCAGAATGTGTCAAAAGTATGGTTGGGAAAAGGCTCAGTCTTGTCCGGCACCCCGCTCCAATCAACCATGACAGGATTGGCCCACACCATGATTAGCAGTCCAGTATTGAATGATGTACTCGAGCCTATCCGACTTTCCCAAAACTCAATGCTTCAAGCTGGACGGGATGTACCCAGCCAAGTCACGCAGCAGCTGCATTGATTGGCAACCATAACAGCCATCCATGCCCTGCTGGTCTGCTTGCTCTTCTTAGCTGACACTCCTCTCTCTGATACTGGGCACTTGCTGTGTGATAAGCCGTGGATTATCTCGTGGGCAGTCGGGTGAGACGTTCTCCTTCAGGAGACTCTGTGGGATAACCTGCTATGCGATGACCTGCTATGGGACAACCTGTCATGGATTGACTTGTTGGGGAATAATTTCCTATGGGATAACCTCCTTGGAATAACCTGTGGGATAGCCTCATCCCGTGGAATAACCTACTGTGGGATAACCTCCTCCTACTGTGGGATAACCTACTGTGGGATAACCTCCTGTGGATCAACCTACTATGGATTAACCTCCTGTGGATTAACCTCCTGTAGAATAAGCTTCAATAGTAGTAGGATAACCTCCTGTGGGAGTCGCGCCGATTGTCGGTTTCTTACTGATATTCCGACCCCAATGTATGGTACATCGTATAATACTGTGACTGATTGATTGGCTTTCGCACTTTTGCAGCAATTCCAAGTACCAGATTATGTGTATTTTCCAAGCCCCAAAGGCTGTTTGTTATATACAGTGCCTCATGTGTTACTCATACATACTCACTCCTGTCCGCCCACCCGGGCTGCAACGCACTCCAATCCCTCGAGAACCCATAGTCTGTCTGGTACAGACCGTAGTTGACGAGCTTGACTTCATCGAGGCGCGCGCCATCGTCTGTCTGTGCCCAGATGCTGACCGCGATGGTGTTGGACCCCTGGTTGTTGATGATGCCAGGCGGCACGGGGAACACAGTCTGTGGGCCGATATGAGGCTCATATTTGCCGTATTGGTATCCGTTTATCCAGAACATAACCCTCGCGACAGTCCCGGCAGGCGAGGAGAAAGACAAGCCGAGGGGTGCGTCAAGGTCGTCCTCGATGTCCAATGTGAAGTTAGAGATGTAGAAGCGAATACCTGAGGTGCTTAGCCCATCGAACGGCGTCGAGGCATCCCACCCGCCGAGTGAGGGGGGGTATGACGACACAGGCGAGAAGCCTGGCAGATGCCAGCCTAGTCGCTCGCCGTATAGGCCGCCTTCATTCATCGGCCCACGGACGGCATCAATGTTTGCGCTGCCACCAGCGTTGCCCTGGATCTTCCAGAGTGTGAAACCGGTGTCGGTAGTCGTCGTGCCTGGCAGCAGCTGCGCGCCGAGGATGCCTCTTGGATTTTCGACACCCTTGGCGGTCGATGTCTGGTCGTGTCCGTGGTAGTCTACAACGACTGTCAAGACGTTGGTACCGTTGCTCTTCTGGAGCGCGGACAGCGGAAGGTCGAGGACTTGAGTCGTGGTTGTGAGCGAGGCATTGCCCGGGTCGCCGCCGATAAGGATGCCGTTCAGCCAGGCGTTCCAGCCAAAAGCTAGGCCACCACTCGCACTAATGTTTACGGATGTGAAGTTGGACCCTAAGAAGTAGCCACGGTATAGCTTCGCGCCGGGATAATACCCGTAGTCAGATGAGAAGAGGACGGGAAGCGTGTACGGCTTGATGGGGGATTGGGTGGAGGTCTTGTTGCAGATGGCCCAGGCGGAATCATCAAAGTCGGCTTGCGCTTCTGGAAGAGAGTCCGCCGAGGTCCACGAGTCCAGAGAAGGCAGTGATACTGAGCGTGCTTCTGTGCCTGGGATATCTGCAGTATATGTACCATAGGCCGTCTGGCTTGTGCTAAGCTCTTGACCGTTCCAAACGATACTCGTGATAGGGGTTGCACCGACAAAAGCCTCCAACGTCGTTGCCACATCGTTGTCGCCCGATATGTGAAGGGCGCCATCGCTAATCGATGCGCTTCTGACGAGGTATGGTCCTAGGACGAACGCCTTCTGGCCGGGGGAGCGGTATACCTCGGGGATTGTTGATGGTGCCCAGAACGTCCATGCGGTTGGTTGGTCCAGGAGATATACCAGTACGTTGTTAGAGAACTTAACAAAGGTTGCCCCTGAACCTTGGACGTACGTGAAAGTCTGACCGCCTGTTGTGCTGTTGGAAGAGCTGAGAGCAGAGCTCCCGTGCACATCGTAAGTGAGGCCTGGCTCGCCCTTGAAGGCGAATTGGCCAGTCTGTCCCTCCTTGAGGTAGAATACTATAGCGTCGGCGTCTTCAAATGTGGCCCAGGTTGCGACATCAGCCGAGGAATATAGCAGGGTATGGCCACCGAAGGCATAATCTGTGACAAAGATACGGCTCTGTCTGCCAAGCAACGAGAGATTTGGCACAGTGACTGCTCCGGAGCTCGTGTTCAATGTAGCCGAAAACGTCACATTCGCAGTAGATTGTGTACTGCTCTGCTGAGCAACAGTGAAAGTGGCACCAGTGTCTGGATTCCCCAGAACCCAAGTAAAAATAGAGCTTGATGATACCTGTTTCGGATCAGTCCCGTGTCGAGTGCTTAGAGACCAAACTGCACTTACTTGATATCCAGTTCCATTGCCCACCATTTCCGTCTTAAGAAGATCTGGAGAGGAGCTTGCGAAAAGGTTCACCAGCTTCGTCTGGAACAGCTTGTCCCATTGTTGGCGAGTCTCCCGGAGCGGAGCACTGTGGTATTTGGATTAATACGCAGTATACCAATATAGAAAGTGGATATACTGACCTGTAGTCGTAACTAGTATATACGACTGGTGCCGCTGAATGCCCCCAATTCGTGCCACCATATGTCATGTAGAAGTTCTGTAGCGTAACCCTTTGGCCAATGTTATTCTTATAGCTACAAAAGGCTGTTAGCGACATAAATTGCCTTGGACAGGCCTGATTGAGCAGACGTGAGGGTCTACAGGTTGCTTCGAACATACTAGACATCTGGGAAGGCTGGGTCGTGCTCAGAAGTACATGTGTCGTAGAAGGAGCCACTCCCCCAAGCGCTGAACCATCCTCCTTGGAATTCTGGCATATACTCGGGCTGGGTATAGCTGTAATTCTGGAACCCTGACGAAACAGTTAGCCTTAACCCTCTGGTGGTAAAGAAGAAGGCCGTTATCTTTCAGCTTACATTGGTAGTATGTCCGCACGACCTTGAATCCGGTTAAGGGATTTGTGCAAGATTGACCTCCGGGATAACTGTCGAGGCCATAGACATTGACAGCCCCTCCAACATCCTGATAGTCCGTGCTCCATGATTGGCCCCTCATACCCTTCTCATTATGTGTGAAAGGGACGACAATGCCGGCGTCGCGGAAAGCTGTCTTGAGCTGTTCCATGTATATGACCAAGGTATTATCCGCCGAATGGACTGACTCCGTGAGTTCATTCTCGACCTGGTTGAGGATCACGGGACCACCGTTGGTGATTTGGTTGGCCGCGATTATTGACCCAATCTTCTGCAGCCAGGGAGTCCAAGCCTGATGGTAGGCCTCATCGCTTGTCCTTAGGTTACCCATACTGCCGTCAGAGCCCCACAGAGCCAAACCGCCTCCATTTGTCTCAGCATTACAGTAAGGTCTTCTGCATGTTAGTTACATATTATGGGGCTCGGCTTGAAGGTTTCTGGGAGGCTCTTGGAGGTATGGAGATGGTGGCATCGCAGCAGGTGCAGTATCGTACTTACCCGGCACGGGCAATGACCCAGAGGCCTGCTTCCTTTGCGTAATCAAATAGCTGTTGGATATCCTTCCCTGGGCTTTCGAAGTCGAAGACTCCCTTGGAAGGAGAGTGGTAAGACCAGAAGAAGTATATGCTCACGGTGTTGAAACCGTTTGCCTTGAATCGGTGAAAGATGTCCAGCCAGAGCTCCGGCACGGGCAACCGCTGGTAATGGAACTCCGCAGAGTTGATAAATGCTCTTGTACCGTTGACTGAGAGACTGTAGGAGTCCCAGGACACAAGATCCGTCAGACCATCGTCGGTGGAAACAACGCTAGATACCCAACCCAAAAGGGTGGTGATGAAGAGGAGCGGCCGCATCATGCCCACCAGACTCCGCGATCAAAGCGGTTGTTGGCGTAGACGACAGATGGATATGCCTGGACGGTAGGCACTCTGAGCTGGTCGCAACCTCAAGAAGAGGCGCACCATTGTATATAACCATAAAGACATGGCCAAATGGTGCAATCTTTAATTACCATGACAGAGTCTGATGATCAGCATGATGGTTCCTCAGTTACATCGCCTCTCGGAGGAGTTACCGAGGACGCGGTATTCCCAGCAATCAAGAGCCAAGCATGCTCGCTTTTTTGTGGCCCTGGCATGTCTAACATGAGCCCAGCAGCCTTTTCGGGGTTGGGTCAACTAGGCTCCTGGAAGAAAATGGGGAAATAACGATTAAGCGAGCCAAATTACACTCTTGATGGAGGCGTCTCGATGCATTGTTACGCCGAATGCGCGGATGGTCAGGCGTGGAAACGGTCGGTCGCCGCTGGGCCGAGCCGTCGAGGAGGGGACGTTGCAGGGATCCCGAAGCTTCGTCACGGCGCTTATTCAATGCCTATGAAAGTGAGGAATCAAAGCTTATTCACGCAAAGGCGCTCGCCCATCCTGTGGCGTCTGAGGAGTGTTTTGGAATATTTGAAAACTCGTTCCTGAAAGCTACTACCCAATAGAACATTGAAGGTCATTCCGTAGGTTATCCCAAGAGGTTCTTCACCCGCAGAAACTGCACATGAAGCGTCCCTGCAAGAAGTTATCCCACAAAAGGGTATCCCATAGAAGAGTGTCCTGCAGATGAGGATCCCACAGGAGGTTATCTTATACAAAGCTATCCCACATGAGATTATCTCATAAAAAAATCCCCCATAGGAAGTTACCATAAACGAGTTTATCCCAAAACAGATTACCTTGAGGAGGTTATCCCATAGGAGGTTATCCCATAGCAGGTTATCCCGTGTGGGGTTATCCCACAGCAGCTTGTTCCACAGGAGATTGTCCCACAGCGGGTTATCCTATAAGAGGCTATCCAACAGGAGGTCATCTATACGGAAACGGTCTAGGGCCGAAGGGAGCGTTTGTAAATATCCTGCGACAGCTATCTCCGTCGAAGATGCCAACGGGCGGGAGTTGGGGAGGAAGCAGGGCCGGGACAGACACGTCCCAGTTTGCGATAAAGCGGACTCGTCTATGAGTCTTTTTAACTCATGCCTTTTGGGAGCAGGCAGCATTTACGTACTGTTCCTTAATCCAGCATGAGGGCTAGACATTGCCGATGGTGCCATGCACTTGCACAGAACACCCTCCTCAGATCCTAGTGCAGCCAAAGACACATGTAATGCCCGAGTATTGCAAAGTTCGCAAGCGAACAACAACTCGAAAATCAAAGGAATTTTCATACGAGTACTGCACATGTGACACTACTAGTATGGAATGAGCCGTCCTTGAGTCCCATTCGCTGCATGCGACCACACCATCCTTATGCCCGACAACGAACGGCTGGCGAATCGCCTCACTGGAAGTGCTGCTGACCGCGAAACAAGGCCTTTTTAGTCTCCGGGCCTATCACGACACTTCCTGACAGGCCACAAAAGGGTCCTTCTCACTAAAGTCAACACTTGATGGGTATACTTTGTCTCGGCTTGAGAATTAGCAGAGCAAGCGCCGGCGAACATTGGACTCATCGTGACATGTCTGTGCAGGCGAGGACTGGATTCCCGCTCTGCCATATTCTCCAGTTCACACACTCTTGTCGGTGGACACACATACGTAGGAGCTGGTCGGCCATTTCCGTGAGGTTCTGTCATTCTTGTGCAAGTCTTGAGAAGCCCGACCGTAATTCCCGTTCTTATCGAAACAACAGCTTTGCGTGGCCCTGAGTCCTGCCCCTGGCAAGCCTGGATACCAGAAAGACCGGTGCTGCCTGTAGGTCCCGTCCCATTCCTCGGAATGTTCTGTGTTGCAGAAACGCACAAAATCATACAAGTGCCCACCCGCCGAGTCCATGCGCCAAAATGGAAACAACACCCGTTCAACACCTCCAACCCATGTTCAGATACAGAAACTCCACTTTGCCCATGTTGAATCCCCGTCCCCGCCCTGAAATGACAACTGCAAATGCGACAACGATTGTCTGCCTCCAAGTGACCTATCTTGCTCCAATAGTCATGACTCCAAGAATGCAAATAATTGCTGCACACTAGTACAGCCTTTCGTATGTCCCCCCCTCCCCTTCAAACACACTAGATTGAAGCCGACCCGGCGGCTCAATGAAAGCACGCCCACTCTCAGGTGGTGAGTGGAGAAAGACTGAAGCCGTTTCCAGAATTGAAGGAGTCCAAAGAGACAGAGCAACTCCAAGGGTATATAGTCTAAGTCGATAGGAAGAGTGAAGACAGTACGATATGAGGACCTCGGAGATATGTGCTGGCAATTCCAGCCACAAAGCTGTGGGGACAAGGTAGGCGGTCGATCGCGGGAAGTCGAGAAGGAACCTTCCAAGTTCTGAGGATGATCTCAAGGAAGAACCGTACGCAGTCCTTTGCCAACCTGGCAACAGTCGGTCACGGCCTCTTCGTATTCCTGTGTCATATCCCTGCCAACAGTGCCCGAGTGGCGCTGCAATCGGAATCCATGTCGGGACCACAGCCACATATCCCACGGACTATGCTGAGTTCGTCACTGGCGGCGGGTCGCGTACTGCAGGTCCCACCACGGATGTGGAAGGCCCATCGTGTGGCTCTCTCGTCGGGTCTGGGGTGACAAGGTTGCCGATTGACGGTGATTTCTCCGATTTCGCTTGTTCTATGTAGGGTCTGGGAAGGACGCGTGCCATCTCTCCAGCAGCCCCGATGCTTCCTCCACCTGTAGACCTCGAATCTGCGGGCCGCGTGGCAGTGTGATATGCTGTCCTCGAACTTGCATGACCAGCGACTGGTGTGCCTGTAGCTGGCGATATTGCTGGCTTCGGGCTGATGGGAACTGGCGTGCTCGTCGGGTAATTAACGGAATTTGCTCGGGCTTGCGCTTCTTTCTCCGCCTTGGAGGGTCTGCCTCGCTTCCGCACGGTGGGATTCGACTGAAAGACACCGTAGCCATTAGAAGGAGATTTAGACTGAAAAACACCGTATCCCTCCACTGCCGGCTGTTTGGGATCCGAGGAAGGTCGCGGCTGAATAGCGCGCGAGGTTGCGACGGGCTGGTGAAGCTGGGGCAACTGCGGCTGAGTCTGAGCTGGAGGCTGCGGCTGAGGAAGGGGAGGAGGCTGTCGCGGTTGATATTGTATGGGAGTCATTGAAGCCACTCGTTTGGGTACGTGTTCGCTGAAGTCGCTCACAGACTTTCTCTTCAGATTTGGCAGACTGGGTAGTTGTAATTCTCTATCCAGCAGTTGCGATGCCGCGCGCATGCACTGGTGCATGTTTCGACCTGTGGCAGAGATGGTCAGGGTCAAATACCACGACTAGGATTCAAAACCGACCTGCTCACCTCCAGGTAGTTGCATTGCAAACCAGTCAGCTTGCAGGTTGTACGTTTCTGGCGGTCGACGTTATTAGCATTGTCGCACATCAAGAACAAAGCTGAGAGCTAGATCAGGAGGGGCGGACTCACTGATAAACTCGACAAGCTGACCAGTCTCAACCTGGCTGGCCTTGATGTATTCTGCGAGCACAAAGCGCTGCTCAAAACAATATTAGACACGGCGGCAGGGCAGGGGACCGGGACTCAGGAGGGTGTACCTTCTCGTCCTCAGTGAAGGCATCCATCATGCAAAACCTATGTGTGAACACAACGAACGAGCGACATTTCAGGTGAAAGGAGAGACGGTGGGGTTGAGGCCCGCAGTGGGAGAAGGGTGTCGATATCACAGGCAGAAGTGCAAGGCAGCTCCCTCAGAGAAGGCGAAAGACGTTGGCCGGCAGGCGAAGGGGCACAGAGAGAAGAAGGAACCGGCACGACATGTAATTGCCGTAATGCCCCCAAAACGAGGCCGCCGAATAAGAACGAGTGATTGGCGAGGGGCTTGAGAAACGAAGTCGACTAGAGAGAATGCGCCCCCTGGGTCAGTGGGACAGGTAGGCGCGAGCAGGCGAGCAAGCGCGCGTCTGATGAGGGTGCTGTCGGAGGAGAGTTGAGAGGCCTAGAGAAACGGCTGCAGTGACCTGGGCAAATGCAGAAGCATGAGCCGAGATTTGGTTACACAGAGTTGCGGTTGGACCCCTGCTTGCTACCTGCGCCTGGCTGGCCCCAGGTCGTAGAAAAAAAGCTTTCCTAGGTCTTCCTGGCGCTGTGGTCCGTCCGCCTCCGGGAGCAAAGTAGTGCTGTCCTGGTCGGTTCTGTGCCGTACGATGCCGTGCCGTGTCCCGTGGTCCGCGGGGCCGTGGTCTGTGGTCGAGGTCCAGTCGTCGATGTCGAAGATATGGCGGCCGGACAAGGTTAGAGAGACACGGGCGAGGCTGACCTGATATGTCTCTTTTGCTGGGTACCTGGCTCTTATGGCTGGCCGGAAAGGCAAAAGGCAGCAGCAGAAGCAGCGAGGCGTAGGCAATCACCCTGCAATGCAGGGGGGAGACACAGCATGCGCCCTGCCTGAGCACCGTGACTACCCAGGGTAGTAGAGAAAGTCCAGTGCAGATGGAATGAATGTCTACTTGCGAGCCTAGGCCCAGGCCAGTCGGGTGGGATCCAGTCGGTCGCTCGCTCGCTCGCTTGGTTGATGGTTCACTGAAGTGACTCAGTTCCACGGGGTGGTTGGGAGGCCGCTCAGGAGCAGCTGTGATTGATTGATTGATTGCCTGCTCGTAAATCGAAGGAGTGAGAAATATGCCCACGGGCCGTGTGAAATGAGATGTGGGCTGGGGGTGGATGTTCCAATATTTGGTCGGTGCAAGGATCGCGAGTGATTATCCTCGACTTCGACTTCGCCGGTGTGAATCTCGAATGTTGCACAATTTGTCCAACGAAGATATGAGCTGGGGTGTTCATAATTCGAGGACGCCCAATTCCAGTTTGGGCAATTTCCCCAAATCCAGAAGGAAGGAAACGAAACGAGACGAGCCACGACGCTCGGTCCAGCCTTTTCCTTGCTTCGCGTGACGGAGATAAAAAACAGCGGCCAGGGTGTGTCGGTGGTCGAGGCTGAGATCGTCGCCCCAGTTTCCAGTCCCTTCTTCTCTCGTCCCTCCCTCGCCATCCACATCAGCACAATATGCGCCGCCTCTGCCTGTCATCTTTTTCCCCAGAATCTCACTCATGCCATGACACGATATCCACTCGCATCGGAACTGAGATCGAAACCGAAATCGGGACCAGGCATGCAGCTAGCACCCGGCCCTGCTGCAGGAGATCTAATGCGGTATCAGGGCTCGAGATGCTAGACAGGTCTCTCTCTGTGTGTGTCTCTGCTTTGGCTGCACGCACGTCGCATCCGTGCTGGCATCGCATCACTGACTGCAGATTGTTGCGCCCCGCAGGCCAATGGGCTCTGTCCCAGCCCACCCGCGGGGGCACCTGATACCCCCTTCACCAGCACTCACCGTCTGTCTGGCTGGCCTTTGCGGTGCCCCGTGTTAGCTGAAAGTCATCACACATTCAGTGCTCACCAGCGGCACTAAAAGTCTCCAGAATGACGAACCAAGCTGGGCGTCATCTTGGACGTTGCCCTCCCTGGGAATGGCAACTCACGAGATAGGCGTGCGGCCGACGCCTTACAAGCGACTTGCGGTCCAATCAGACTTTCGTCCTCAGACAAGGCCGTCTTTCGTAAGCCAGGCCCGGTGGGACAGGATTTCTCTCTGCCACCGCGCTGCAGCATCTCAGTGGTTGTCCGTCACAGACGGCGCACACCAATGAGAGCCGTCAGGCTGGCCGTCGATGATCATGGCTGCTTGAGCACAAGCCAGCAGTTCTTGTGGTAGGACTGAGCCGCATGCATGGCTCGACTGCGAACAAAGAAGTTGACTCTGCACTCTGCACTCTGCAAATGAACTGCTGCTTGCCTGGGCCCGGTCGATGTGGGAACACACCAGGTTGATATCTTTTATCCTTGATGCTCACCGCTCCGTGCTCCCGACCAAGGTTCTCCACCCTATATCCGACCGGTCAACCTGTCTGCACAATGCGTTGGCATTGTAGCCGGCCACGACAGAAGCTTCCGTTCTACTATCTCATCCGGCGCTTCAGCCGACCTACCGTCTCTGCGTGCAGTTGCGTGTGGCCATCCTCCAGCCGCCACGTCAGTAGACTTGCTTTTCCCCGCCAGGAAGCTGGCAAACACTATCTCTCAGCAGACACTCTCGATGGTAACAAACACGGCACGCTATGTTCTTGCTGCTACCATCACTGGTCACGAGCACCGCTAGTCTGCATCATTGCGCAGACTTCTCCACGATGGATGAATGAACGACTTCACTGAATCATCAGGTCAGTCTCCAAGGTATTTCCATTGTTAAGCCTGTGGCCATGCCTCTGCCACCAGCAGATCCCTCGAGGGCAGGGTGGATGTCTGTCTGCGAAGCAAACAACCCACAGTAATACCATGCACAATCATAACATCATAGTGGCCTGAAAATTGCTATACTACACGTATCTGCTGCTACAGCAAGCCTTCGGACTGAGCTATGTGCGATTGAGAGGGGACGGTCTTGGTCTAATGTGATTCTAGTGTTCCTTTGAATGGAGACACTCAAGGAAGGCCACCAGTCACCTCGCAAGTGCTCCTTGACTGACAGCCAACAAGGTACGAAGGTCTGATATACTAGACCTGGGTCATGCTATTATTATGCTCTGTGTACTCCGGATTTCAAAACAAAAACAGAGCTTCACCACTCTGGTGCCCTATCCATTTGCTGTCGATGACTGATTCTAATTCAGCCAGGTCGGGGTGTTGCGCTGGAGTTGTGTGATTGATAAGCTTTGTCCCTGGCGACAAGGGACACTGCTTGAATCTTCATTTGGTATAAGAACTTGATGTTTGTGTGAAGCTATTCACAACACATTCAATACAAGAATACAAGCATCATGAGGCCATCAACCAAGAGCAAATTGAGATGCGCTCCTGGATTGCGGGCTACCCCAATCTCCTGGTACTGACCCCCCCTCCCCGCTCATCCACGCCCCTCCGCACTTTTTTCCGCGCTATCGGGCAGTCGGGGCGGCACACTTAAGTCCGGCAGGCACTGATTGGGGCCCTGCTGCAACATCGACGAGTGAATGCAGGGATCCGTCAATGCTTTAGGACTGGTGATCTTCTGCGACTTGCGCCAGTAAGAGCCGACCTGAACCTTTCCACCATCCAGACCCGCACTCTTTGCGACCAACAGACCAAAACCCAGGTTGCGATTGTAATCATCCGCCACGGCATACACACAGAGAATTGAATTTCAGAACTCGGAAACAGTCGCAGACAACGGGTTCTGAAGCCAGGACCTGCCATGTCGAAGATACTGGGCCACCAAGTCCGATAGCGAACCCTGCCGTCTCGTCTCTGGTCTCTCTGGTCTCTGCTTAGCCTCGACCATTCCCTTTCCTCTCCCACTTCCCCGTCTGCGGTTCGCCTTTGCAATTCGCCTTCGGCCTCCGGTCCTGCTCCTGCTCCAGCATTCTTTTCTCTGCATCGCACGTACGCGTACACGTCTATGGACCGCGCCAGCATTCACCGACTCGCCCTTGCACCCTCGCGCCCGTCCCCTTGCCACATTAATCCACGTCTGAGTCGCAACCACGTACTGCCACTGTAGGACTCTTAGAGCTCGCCCGAGCAGACAGGATGGACGCGGAGGATCGCAAGGCAGATGCGTCTCCAGCCGTCAAGATGGAGGACGGTCTGAGGGAGAACATGTCGGCTTTCAAGACGAGGCGCAGTGCTTCTACCTCCCCCAACGAGTCGAAGCCCTCGAGATCCTCGAGTCTGTCGCCAGGAGCAAAGGCAGACAACGAGAGCACCTCGACACCCGAAAACGATCCTGCGCCCAAACTCTCGAGAAAACATTCCTCCAAAGCCGTCACTCGTACACCGCCCCTGTTCAGCCACCTTCCAGATGTCACAGAAGAGTCCATGGCGGCCTTTCAGGTCATCCCCGACTGCCTGTACGGGGCGAAACACATGGGGTCGTCAGAACATGATGCGTTGGATTGTGATTGCGCCGAAGAATGGCGTAAGTTCCCCCTCATCAAGCCTGCACTGTCGTCGACCTCATTCATTAGGCCTTTGTTTTTGACCTCTGTGAACAGACAATGGCCAGAACCACGCCTGTGGTGAAGACTCTGACTGCATCAATCGAGCGACCAAGATGGAGTGTGTTGATGGCGACTGCAACTGCGGCTCCGGCTGCCAGAATCAGCGCTTCCAGCGCAAACAATTTGCACGTGTTTCTGTCATCAAGACTGAGAAGAAGGGCTTCGGCCTCAGGGCCGATGTCGACCTGCAGCCCAATGATTTCGTGTTCGAGTACATTGGTGAAGTCATCAACGAGCCTACTTTCCGACGAAGAATGATGCAGTATGATCAAGAAGGTATCAAGCATTTCTATTTCATGTCGCTGACGAGGACTGAATTTGTCGACGCCACCAAAAAGGGCAACCTGGGGCGGTTCTGCAATCACTCCTGCAACCCAAACTGCTACGTGGACAAGTGGGTGGTTGGTGAAAAATTGCGCATGGGCATTTTCACCGGCCGTGCAGTCAAGGCCGGCGAAGAACTGGTCTTCAACTACAACGTGGACCGCTACGGCGCTGACCCGCAGCCCTGCTACTGTGGTGAGCCAAATTGCACAGGGTTCATTGGCGGCAAGACCCAGACAGAGCGTGCCACCAAATTGCCCCTTGCGACCATTGAGGCGCTGGGTATCGACGATGGCGACAGCTGGGATACCACTGTCGCGAAGAAACCCCGCAAAAAGAAGCCCACCGAGGACGAGGAAGAGTACGTCAATAGCGTGCAGCTTCGTGGCCTCGATGAGAGCGGTGTCACTAAGGTCATGGCCGCCCTGATGCAGTGCAAGGAAAAATGGATTGCCGTCAAATTGCTACAGCGCATTCAGAACGCCGACGATGACCGGGTTCGCAACAGGGTTGTGCAGATGCACGGCTACCAGATCCTCAAAACGACGCTCAACGCCTTCAGAGATGACAACAACATTGTTCTACAGATTCTCGACATACTTTACAAGTTTCCACGGTTGACGAGGAATAAGATTGCCGATTCCAACATTGAGGCAGTGGTTGAGAGTCTCACCCCATCGGAACATGAGGAGGTGGCGGCCGAATCGAAGCGCCTACTGGAAGAGTGGAGCAAATTGGAGACGGCTTACCGGATTCCTCGAAGGAAATTTGACCCCGCCGCCCAGCCCGCCAACTCTTTCGAGGAACGCCGAAAGCACGACCACAAGGAAGAGACACAGTCGAAGCCGGTCATCGCGCCTGGAGTAGTAATTCCAAAGGGCCCGAAGAGCAACATCCCACAGCGAAATGCAGCATACTTTGCTCCGCGGCCGCGACGGGTATTCCCAACCGGCAATGCTCTGCCACAAGGTTGGTTTATGGCCAAAGACGCGGAGGGGAAGGTGTATTACTACTCCCAAGGCGGGACCGTGACCTGGCAACGCCCAACTGTGCCGGCCCAGGCGGCCAAGGTGCCTTCGAAGAAGCAACAACACGATCAGGCGGTCATGGATATCATTGAGAACCTCAGCAAGGAGCCTACGCCTAAGCCCTCTGCCTCACTAACCCCACAGCGACAGAGCACTCCCGTCCCAGATGTCAAGAAGGAAAAGTGGCGTTCTCTGCCGGTCGAAAAGCAGATGAAGATCTATGAGAACACGGTACGTCTATCACTTCGCCGCCCTGACCCTGTCAACTGACATGCAGTCAAGCTCTTCCCACACATCAAGCCTGTCGTGGATAGGTTCCGCCACAAGTTACCCAAAGAGGAACTTAAGAGGTTCGCCAAAGACGTCAGCAAGAAGCTGGTGGCTTCAGACTACAAGAACAAACGCGTAGAAGACCCTACCAGTATCACTGAGAAACAGGAGAAGAAGATCCGCAAATTCGTGAAAGAATTCTTCGACCGTGCAGTACAAAAGTACCACGAGCTCGAAAAGCGGAAGAAGGCAGAACGTGCAGCGGGACCGAGCCACGAAAAGACGAAGGAGCCGAATAGCGAAGCCATCGCATCTGTGGAAACGCCAGGCACCACCGAGCCTGCTGGTGACGAACTCCCTGTCCTTAGTGACGCCGAAGACGGCGCAACAGGTTCTCCGGAGCGCAAGCGAAAGCGAGACGAAGATGATCTCCTAGATGCTAGTCTCACTCCTGATGAGCCACCGTCGGTGAAGCGTCTGAAGGACGATGACACGATGGAGGATTCAAGCCCGCCGCCGCCGCCGCCACCCCCAGAGGAGGCGATGGATGTTGACATGACCCCGACTCAGGTAGCAGAACTCTCATGCGAGCAGGAACAAGCTCAACGGCTTGCCGACGAAGCTGAGCAGGATAGGCTCCGCCAGGAACAGGACCTGCAGCGTGAAAATGAGGAAGCAGAGAAGTGGTTTGAGATGGAACAGAAGAGCCAGCAAGTGGCCGCGACTAACGGAGTCTTGTCTGAGGGCGCCAGCGTGAATGGGACATCGCCAACCGCAGAGTGAGGCGATGGCTCCCATGAGGAGGCCATGAAGCGTGAAAATGAGGGGTTGAAGCAACAGGTTTTGGAGCAGTAATGACAGCTGGTGGGTCCACCCGTGGTGAGGGTTGGACAACAAGGAGGATAGCACACGTGCAAACAAAAGAGAGAGAGCTGCCCACTTGCTTTCCCCCCGGTTGGTGCTAGATACGTCTATCCTGAGATATTCAGGGACACCAGTCAAGAGGGGCTGTACGATCGCAATCTCATTTCTTGCAGCAGCATTATTAGGCTCGCTTGGTGTTTATCACGGAAGGGCTGTTCGGATCCGACGCTATTGTATATACGCCGGTGTCATTGTGCAAGAAGAAACGCGGATGGTCAGTGTTCACGGACCAGGGCAGGGCTGGCAGGGCGGCCAAGGTGTGGACAAATTCTCGAGGGTTGAGGGAGCAGCCGCCTGTTCTACGGAGTTATAATGGAAAGTCATGATACCAGCGCATCTGCATTTGGAGACGGCGTGCCTCAAGGGGATTTTGCACTTTTGGAACCGGCGTTTTCGGGGGGTTGTGAAGGTCACCACCCCCCTTTTGGACTCGGGGCGGGATCAACAGCACTGGGCGGGCGCCAGGGTCGCGTGGAAACAGAAGGCCGATCGAGGATGCTGGCGCACAGGCACTGCACACTGCGCGGCACATACAGCCAGGCTTTCGAAGGGTGCATCGGGGAGGCTCTCAAGCAGCTCCGCTCCTGCTAATGACTGCATCAACCTGCTGTACCCCGAGGGGGCCAGCCCAGCTTGCAGTCGGGATGAAGATGAGGGCGAAGGGACTGGGAGGGGGGGTCTGGGAAAGGAGTCTGCGCGACGCCTCCTGGCCTTGCAGGGGGACCCCCCCCTTCCATCTTCCCCGAGGCAATCATGCCTCTTTCAAGCTCTTGGGGAAAGCCCAACAAAATAGATCAATTACAGATCACATTCTACATGTTGATTCCCACCTGCCTTCATGGAGATTATTGGGCAGTATGTCTGACCCTTGACAGCCTTTGAGAGCATTGTGTACGCAGATTGTAGATGCCAGAATTAGTGTGACTGCCCACATTTACTTCCTATACTAGATAGAACATCTGTGTGAAGAGCGTCCGATGGGATAGTCTGCAAGGCATTGCAGAAGCAACAACAATATCTGACGAGGTCTCCCATTGTCCTCTTCTGCAATCTTCAATTACCCACGCGAGCTTAGAGGTCCCAGCTCAATTAGACATGACCTATTTTATGTGAGGTTCTTATTTCATGAGTGTCCTGTCCGGATGGGATAAGAACCCATCCAGCTGCTGCCCACCCTCTTACCAGAGTGGGTTGGTCCCCAACAGCACAACTCGGTCGTATAGCGACATGATCTCCGAATTGCTCCTTCAGTTTTCAGTCTCTTCCGAGGCTCCTTTTTTTATTGCAATGAAAGGGATGTCAGCTACGGTGTGAGACGGGTATCGTCGGCGGCTCGGACAACCTCAATCCCAGAATGTCCACCCCCACCGGGAGGGTCCGGGCTCCACGGACTATCTCTCAACTCACCTCGTCCATTCACCTTTATGAACCCCCATCTTACCTCGCCTGCTATCCTCCTCTTCCACCACCTGGTGCCCTATTCAGTCTAGGTCTCCAGACTCCGGCATGACAGACTCCCCAAACGAATATGTAGATCCGGAGGGGGGTGCTCCCATTCTGTGGAAACACCCCAGCCCCTTCGACACACAGCTCGCCCGGTTCATGCGCCATGTCAGCCGCAAGTATGAGATCAAGCTGGAGACATACCCCATGCTGTACCAGTGGTCGATCGACAACACCGCCGAGTTCTGGGGGGAGGCGTGGGAGTTCTGCGGCGTCACCTGCTCTCACCCGTACGATGCCGTGCTGCCGGGCGGCGGTGGGGCGGCCATGTTCCCCCGGCCGGACTTCTTCTCGGGCGCGCGCCTCAACTTTGCCGAGAACTTGCTCTTCCCGGCCAACGTGGACGTGGACGCCTCCGGGGTTGCCGTCATCACCGCTACGGAGAGATCCGGCGACGTCGTCGAGACCTCGTGGGCGGAGCTGAGGGAAGCCGTTCGCCGCTGCGCCAACGCGCTACGGGCCGCGGGGCTGAAGCAGGGCGATGTCGTGGCGGGCTACGTGTCCAACCATGTTCAGGCATTAGTTGCTATGCTGGCCGCTGCATCAATCGGGGCCGTCTGGTCGGGAATCAGCCCCGACAACGGCGTCTCGGCCGTGCTTGACCGGCTGGCGCAGCTCGGGCCGAAGGTGCTGTTCGCGGACGACGGGATGGTCTACAACGGCAAGGAGTGGTCGAGCACGGCAAAGACGTCGGAGATAGTGTCGGAGCTCACCAAGAAGGGGCTCGAGCTGGTCATAGTTATCAGAAATCTCCCGGACGGGGACCTCGGGCTCGAGGACCTGAGGGGCAAGGTCGCGAGGGTGGAGGAGTACGAGAGCTTCCTCGGCAGCTCATCAGACGATCAACTCCGTTTCGAGCAGCTGCCGCCCTCACACCCTCTGTATATCCTCTTCTCCTCGGGAACGACCGGCTTGCCCAAGGCTATCATTCATACCGCCGCTGGGACACTCATACAGCACAAGAAGGAGCACTTCCTTCACTGCTCCGTTTCGCCGGCGTCCCGGATGCTCTACTACACCACCACGAGCTGGATGATGTGGCACTGGAGTGTCTCCGCCCTGGCGGTTGGTGCCTCCCTCGTCCTGTACTCGGGCTCGCCCTTCAGGCCCCACGGGTACTCCTCAATACCAAAGCTCCTCTCTGAGCTGCGGGTCACACACTTTGGCACAAGCGCCGCATACCTGGTAGCCCTGGAGGCCAACAACGTCCGCCCCGTCGACGACCCATCTCTGGACCTCAGCCACCTCGAGGCCATCTACTCGACCGCGTCGCCCCTGCCCCCCTCGACCTTCAGCTTCGTCTACGAGGCCTTCCCCAAGACGATCAACCTGGGCTCCATCACCGGCGGCACCGACATCATCTCGCTGTTCGGCGCCCCTTGCCCGCTGGTGCCCGTCCGCGTGGGCGAGATCCAGTGCGCCGGGCTGGGGATGGCCATCAAGGTTGTGGACAGCACCTCCGCGGCCGACGATCCCAGGCCTGTGGACCCTCCCGATGCGCCTGGGGATCTGGTCTGCGTGAAGCCGTTCCCGTGCCAGCCGTTGACGTTTTACGGGGAGAATGGTAACGAGAAGTACCGTTCTGCCTAGTAAGTCTTCTCCTGGCTGTTTTCGCACCCAGATACCACTTTGCCTGTCCACATCAAACCTATACTCACAAGCTAACAATTCCCAGCTTTGAACGCTTTCCAGGAATATGGCATCACGGTGATTTTATCCAAATCACCTCAACCGGCGGCCGTGAGTACATCAATCTTCTCAGCACCGTGCCATTTTACTATCATGCCCCTTGTACCACCTAAACCTATCACTCCGTATCCCGTCGCCAAAACTCTAACACACTTCGCCTCCCAAAGTGAAAATGCTCGGAAGGAGCGACGGCGTCCTCAAGCCCGCAGGCGTCCGCTTCGGCTCGGCCGAGATCTACAACATCCTGACCAAGTTCTTCGCGGCCGAGGTCGAGGACTCGGTGTGCGTGGGCCGGCGGCGGCCGGACGTCGACAAGGACGAGACGGTCTGCCTCTTCGTCGTGATGGCGCCGGGCAAGGCCTTCGCGAAGGGCGACACGGACGCGCGGATCCGCGCCGTCATCAAGGCCCAGCTCAGCCCGCGCCACGTCCCCGCCGTCGTCGAGGAGTGCGGCCCCGCGGGTGTCCCCAAGACGGGCAATGGCAAGAAGATCGAGGTCGCTGTCAAGCAGATCCTCTCCGGTATGGAGGTTAAGACGAATGCCAGTGTTGCGAATCCGGAGGCGTTGGAGTGGTTCAGGAGGTGGGCCGAGGAGCACCCTTGATCAACGTACCTCTGTTTCCGTTGGGCGAGGAAAAACAAAGAAATAAAGGGGAGAGGCGTTGGTCACTCACATTGCAAAAACGAGGTGCGGTAAAATCGGAAGCAGGGTCATCGGTGGCTTAGATTCTGTTGATATTCACTGTCTAGATGCTAGATGCCTTGGGGTCTATTATGCCCAAGCATACAGTACATCGCGTCGCACCTACAACCAGGGCATTGCGCGCGCACCTACACATGCCAGTTCCCTCCCAAAACCATCCCAAATTGGACACCTGAACGCCGCAGATGCTCTAATATAACATTTACTCAAGAAGTTTGAAAAGTCTACTCAATGTCTAGCCGCTCGGCCCCGCGCCTCCATTGCCACTCCCTCTTCCTCGGCTGTCGTCGAGCAACAGATGCGGCTTGATGTAGTCCTCATCCAGCTGCCTGAAGAGAGCCGAGGGATCTTCCGAGGTAAGTAGCTGCTTAATAGCGCCTGCTGCTGATTTGGCCCCTTCGGTCAAGGTGGCGGCTCTCTCCCGTGTCCCCGAGAGCACCGGCTGAGAGGCTGCTGAGCTCTCACCAGGTGGAACGCTGGTCGGTGGTACAGGGCTCGCCCGTCGTTTCGGAGCGGCAGGCGGCAGGTCGGAGATATCGACGTCGCTGCCCAAGTCAGAGTCTGTGACGCTGGCAGAGTTACTGCCGAGCAGGTCAGACTGTTCAGGGTCGGGGAAGTTGGCTCTAGAGCCCTTCCGGCTTATACTCGCTGGCCGGTCGAATCCATGCGGGCTTCGGTGGCCTGACGACCAGCTGTGAGGATCACTGCTACCGTTGCGCCTCCCGTTAGAGTTGCCATCCACCCGACCTAAAGACAAGGTCGAATTCGTCCGTCGCGGTATATATCCAATCCCTGTGCCCGAGCGCTTATAGTAGCTGCCTCCACCGATAGCTTCGATATCGAACTCATCATCCGAGTCGATCTCTTCCACCACACCCGTGCGGATATTCAAGATTTCCAGCATTCGAGCCGTTGTGCCTCCGAAGATGATCACCGTCAACACCACCACCACCAAGACTGTTGCCTTCAGTGCAAATCTGTCATTTCCAGTGATGAGCGCCGCCAAAGCCACACCTACGGCACCTCGAAGTCCAGCCCAAAATAGCATTGCCTGATAGTTGTAGGGCAATTCATCTGGCTGGTCCATGATTCCTCGGCGCTGGGCCTTGTAGCGGATGAACCAATTGATGGCTCGTGATAAGGGAAATACCGCAACCCATCTCGCAGCGCACACAGCCAAGACGGTGACAATGGTGAGCAAAGGCTTGTACTCAAGATCCTCTCCGGTGAAAAGTGAGAGGCCTAGGTAAATAAAAATAAAGTTTTCTGACAACTGCGCAAGGACCTGGAACAGGTACTTGGTTGTAAGCTGGGTTCTCCGGGACATGTTGAAGTAGGCATAGTGCTTGAGAGTGATGCCGCAGAAGAGCAAAGAGACGATGCCTGACATCTTGATGGCCTGAGAGAAGAAATAGGTCGAATAGGCGATCAAGACTATCAGACAGCTCTCAATCTTGGGGAATCTCCGGACATATGTGTATTTCAGACACAGCGCAGCACCGATTCCGACAGCAACGCCGATAGCCAAGCTGCCGAAGAAGTCGAACAGGAAAGTGCCGATACCATAAAAGAGGCTTGCCAGCCCGGACATCTCCTTGTCACCGTTCTTTGCCTTTTGAGCGGCCTCGAAGATGACGATCGCAATGGCGTCGTTGAGAATGGCCTCGCCAAATATGATGGTGTATAGCTTGGGATCGACCTTGTAGGAGGTGAAGATGGCGAGAATGGTGACAGGGTCCGTAGCAGATAGTGTTGCGCCGACCGCGATTGCATCCGTCCAACCCATGTTTAGGCCATCGAGGGGGACCCGTGTGTACAGCCATAGAATAACGCCGATGGTGAAGGCGGAGAGGAAGGTGCCGGCGAACGCAAATGTCAGGATCGTACCAATGTTCCGGAAGAAGTTGGCTTGGTGTAGTTCGTAACCTGACGAGAGGATGATGGGGGGCAGCAGCAGGTTGAAGAAGATCTGGTAGTCGAAGCTGACGAGGTTCTGTAGGTTCTCACCACCGGCGACCCGAAGTGTCAACCCAACAACCATGCCTGGCGGGTGTCAGTAACAGCTCTAAGGTGTATGGAAGGCCAGGGAGTGGGGGAGGCCGAGGACGAACCAGCAAAGATGGAGGCGACAGTCTCGTGGATGGCAGTGACCTTCCTCTGCTGGAGGAAGTAGCTGGTGAACAGAGCTACTATGAGCAGCACGATGAGGATGAAGAGGGCCCACGAGGCGTAGATCTCCTTCTGGGATGCGTCCTCGCCGTCCGGGTCGGCATCTTCAGAGGCGCGCCGAGCAATGTCGGCGGCGTGGCCGAGGACGTCGGCCAGCATGGTCGCGATCCAGCCGGCGCCGGCGGGGTCAGATCAGAGAGAGGGGGTGTCGACGGAGTGAGTGGGAATGGGTGTGACCAAGAAGTATCTCATGGGTGGCGGCACAAGGGTGGCGGGCGCCGCATTCGATGCTGTTGTCGTGAGGTTGAAGACGAGGGAGGGGTGGGAGCTGAAGCTTTGGTTAGGCTGAAGCTGTGCGTGGTTGAGGTCGAGCTCTCGCGAAGGGATCGGATACTGCAGGCTAGGCGTTCACCAGGAAGTGCCAAGACGTGTATCGCAGTATCGCAGTATCGCACTTGTTAGTGTCGTGGGGCCCGATGTGATGCGATGGACGCCCAGATGGTCTAGAAGGGTTGGCAGTACATGTATATCAAGCTGCCTATTCTGGGACGGAATTAGGCCAATGCCACTTGTACTTCTGGCCTCTCTCGGTCCTATCCGAAGTTTAGAGGAAGGGAGACCAAGGACAGGCCCAGATCCAGGTTGATTCGTTGGTGCTACGCAGCAGGTTACGTCGATAGTGTCCAAGTGGGGGCTCGGTGACCAGGTTAACAAGGGATACGTAATGCTTCACGTGATGTTATATGGGCCAGTTTTAATAAGATCTGGAGCTTGCTGTTGCTGTTTAACATTGCGCAGTACCGTCAAATACCTGGGTACTTGCTGTACACAGTATTGAAACTGATGGAGAGTCTTCATTCAAGAGGATCGTTCGTGTTCACCTGCGGCTCACAGACATTGCGTTCACAAATGGAGCGACTGTTTTGACTGACTGAGAAGTGCTTCAGCAAGATCTTGCACAGATGATACCAGTCACATTCAACTCGACACCTGACCAAATGATGGTATCACCCATGCATCCTGTCAGCCTGTTTACGATATGCTATTCTGGACTGCAAAGACGGAGTGCCTGTTGTTGAGCACAGACTATTACGTACAAAGTATGCGGTGCAACAACTGAGTGAACATTTGAGGAAGGGTTTGTGGAGACCTGTCGAGATAGGTATGTAGATAGGTAGGGAATGCAGAAGATAGAATCCTGGGGTAAACAGGGACGATTCTGGAATGGACTGCCGACTGCTTAGAGCTCTGGCCGGCCCGTTTTGAGTGGGGAATGGAGGACGGCGGACGGAGTATGGAGCATGGAGCATGGAGTATGGAGTACTTTGGTACACGACGAAAGACACTACCCGGAGTACCTGCAGGCTGGGTGCAGCATCGCGTGGCCGCTCCCAGGTGGGCTGTGACGTCTGCCGCTTGGTGTCAGCCAGCCAGAACACGCCTCACCAGCTTCTAATTATGTCCGTCTGCTGAACGTCTCTCACCTCCCTACTGGCCATCCCATCTGTCGTGCCTGACACCTCGCAGCATTGGACCCTTGAAGTCTCGTGGCATCCTCTGACTTGGCCTGCTTGGTCGCATGATGGCCCGCCATCCCGAACTGAACCTAATCCGCAGCGCAACCTTAACCTCGAGCAGTCAGTTCCGTCTTGCCCTTCTACATTGAACCTCATCTCGTCCTTGGACAACCACCTATACTCCAATCCCCCCTTTCATGGATATCATATAGTACCTACCCTGAACTTGATCTTCCTTCTTCCATTGCCTCGCGGTAGCACATCCAGTTGGCGTGCCGATATTGTCGTCCATTCATTTTCACTCGTTCGGCGGCACAACCGGAAACGCGCATTCGCAAACCGCGAGCACTCCGGTACTCCAGCCACAGTTGAGCCCGACAACCCGGACTGTTCCACACTCCTTGTCACGCATGACTTCGCCATTTGCCGAGTCTTCGACTAAAGGTCGCCCCTCCGCCGAGGTCGACGGTCCTAACACCTCATCCACGAGCAGTCAAGGGCCCACAACCCCCACCCGTAGTAGCTCCTCCCTCGACGGCCCCGACCGCGAAGACAATCCCGGCGGTGTCAACGAACAATCGCCCCTCCTTTCCCCGGAGCCCGACGGGAGCGATCGGGGCAGTGAACGGCATGGCTTTCTTGAGCGACACGCCTCGGCGCAGGAGCCCGACGAGTTTCAGTCTACAAAGAGCCTCTGGTACTTGCTGGTCCTGACCATCAGTATAGGCGGACTGCAGATTGCGTGGTCTGTTGAGCTCTCAAATGGCTCTCCCTACCTGATGTCGCTTGGCCTGAGCAAGTCGCTCATGGCACTGGTCTGGATCGCTGGGCCGCTTTCCGGCACCCTGGTACAACCGTACGTAGGCATGCTGAGCGACAACTGCAGGGTGCCCTGGGGGAAGCGGAAGCCCTTTATGCTCGGCGGGGCTGCCGCCACAATCGTCTCTCTCATGATCCTGTCCTGGACCAAGGATATTGTCGGCGGTTTCTTGAGCCTCTTTGGGGCTGATCCGACGTCTCAGGGCGTCAAGGTAACCACCATAGTAGTTGCGGTGATATGGGTCTACATCCTTGACTTTGCTATCAACACAGGTGGGTGGGAACCTTATGTGCTACTGCTACTGTCGACGACCTGTCAGTGTCACTAATTCGATACTCGTTAGTCCAAGCTGCAATCAGGGCCTTCATCGTGGACTGCTGCCCGGCTCACCAGCAGGAAGCTGCCAACTCAATGGCAAGTAGGTTGACGGGGATTGGAAATATTATTGGCTACATCGCGGGATACGTCAATTTGCCCCAGATCACATGGTGGCTGGGCAACACCCAGTTCAAGGACCTCTGTGCCATAGCGAGCATCGCTCTAGGATCAACAGTGTTGATGAGCTGTTTGCTCATCAAAGAGAGGAATCCGCAGCTCGAAGAACCTAAGACAGCGAACCGCAAGCAAACTGGTGTGTTCTCGTTCTTCATCAGCCTCTTCGCATCCATGAAGAGGCTGCCGCCGCAGATCAAGAAGGTCTGTGTTGTCCAGTTTTGCGCATGGATCGGCTTCTTCCCCATGCTATTCTACACATCGTCCTACATTGGCGAGATATATGTCCAGCCATTTCTCGAAGAAAACCCGAACATGACGCCCGAAGAGATTGACGAGCTGTATGAGAAGGCAACAAGAGTTGGGACGTTTGCGCTGCTGATTTTCTCAATCACCAGCTTGCTCACAAATGTCTTTCTACCTTTCTTCATCGCACCAACATATGACAGCCAGCCCATAGGAGAAGCCCCGGGCGAGGGCCCGGTCACCTCTTTCCGGGATCGCGGTGAAGAGAAGAAGGCTTGGACAGATCGCTTAATTATCCCTGGCTTGACGCTCCGCCGCGCTTGGCTGCTCTCACAGCTGCTCTTCATGGGCAGCATGCTCTGCGCGGTCCTTGTCCGGACAGTACCGGCAGCTACAGTGCTCGTTGGCCTGGTTGGCATCACCTGGGCACTGACGCTCTGGGCACCGTGGGCAATCATCAGTGCAGAGATCAGCCGAAGGGATGCGCTCCTCCGCCAGAAAAGAAGAGCTTTCTCGCCACCGGGAGCCGCGGGCTCATCCTCCAATGCGGCTTCCGGCTTTGACGGTTACACTTCCGACCAAGACCACAAACTAGACGGGTCCGAAGGCGAGCCCGACCAGGCAGGCGTTATACTAGGCATCCACAACATGGCCATTGCTGCGCCGCAGATCATCGCCACGGTCGGCTCGAGCCTCATCTTCAAAATATTCCAGAAGCCTAGAGGGACACCCGGCGACCACTCGATCGCCATCGTGATGGCTATAGGCGGTGTCGCGGTGGGGGCCTCGGCGTGGTTCATTCATCTGATTAAGGACGAGCCAGCCAGTCTACCTGCAGATGACGCGGCATCGGACGCGGAAGAGGGCAGTATGTCTTCGCCGGGTTCACCAAGCGCCGATCGCGCGCCTTACGACAGGGTGCGCAGTACCGAGCAGCTGCCAAGGGCTAGCCTGGAAAGAGCGACGTTGATGAGGAACAAGAGCTTCTCCGGGATGGATTATGCTTAGGTTGCTGGTCAAGGCTGTTTCTCTACCAAGAGCAAGCGCGGTGGCGTGGCTGGAGCGACTGATTTCGGCGTTTTACTTCAAAGTGTATCATCATATGGCCATAGAGTTCACTGAATTTTCTGGGGGTTGGTCGGTGCTCGTAGAAGAAGCCGCTTTTGGATTGTCATACGGTGTTTGGATAGGTTTTCTGTTTCGATTATCAATACTGATACTGCAGAATTAGATGCATTCTATAGTCTCTTCGAAAGACAAAGAATGGACAGAGCAGAGGCGCGCAATTTGTGTACCACAAGAGCAAGTTCTACCCAGTGATACAAAAGCTACACAAGAACACCAAACACTAGTTATACCCGGCTTACAGAAGACAACAACCGCATGCAGCGACGTGTTGATGACAGCACCGCCTAGGTGCTACTGAGTCTCGTGCTTGTCTGTTACACCGCTGCAAGCATCGCCACATTAACGTCTGATTGCTTGGTGTCTATCCATCTAACCATGTGCCATCCACATCTTGCTCCGCTGCCTCACGGGTCGTTGTGTGAAGCGCCTCTTACTCCGCTACACCCGCGCACAGAGTTCGGCCTCTCCACAGGTTGCGGACGGCGTCAATGTTGCGCTACGAGACCATTGCCTGCCAGCCAGCTGCGTCTCCCAGAAAAGCTCCAAGCTGCTGCGCAATACAGATCTACACTGTCGTCATCCCTGGGCTTGCGTGTTTCTATCTATTCTTCGGAAGCTGCGCAGTTTGCGCCGACCCCTGACGGCTACAAACCGGTGTATTTATCCTTTGCACTTCACATCACGTACTGCCCTGGTGTGGATTTTTGTTACACGACTTTCGTTCTGGCCAAATTTGAGGAGCAATTGAGTTTCGTCTTCGAATACAGCTTGTAGAGGTCCTCAAGATTTTGACAAATGCCCACAAGGTTAAAGGAATGCTCAAGATATCTACACAGGCACGGGAGCTCACCGTCTTTCACTTTGCATGTTACCTCATAGAATTTGAGACCCACCAACTGGTTAGCTCAAAAGATGGTAAGCGGAATTACGCGAGACGCATACTTCTGTCATACACCGTCTGGGTTGTGTGCTTGTTCATGGGTGGAAATTACGGGTGCCAGGCGTAAGCACGCCAGCAGGCGTCGAATATAGAATGTTTTCTTGGCTGGAAACTTTGTTTCACATTTAGACATAACACCGTAGAAGAGCTGATTCAGGATAATTGCTTTCCAAGTCCCGGTGCCGAAGTCGTAGCGGGAACGGTACTTCGGCCCCCTGGCCTGAGGCTAAAAGACCACACCCGCCGGTGAGGTCCGACTTACACCAGGGGTGTCCCACTTTGAAGATCCCTATGCAGATCCCTACACAACGGAACGTCCACTCCGCAGGACATTCTGCATTCTGGTTCGGAGCTGGGGTGTCGAATTACGAAGCTCTTGAGGGCCAAATTGAGAAGTGCTGCTTCAGGTTCCGCATCGTCACGTCGCTGACCAGCACGCTTTCCGGGCAGTTATTTTGGGTCATGCCCCCTATTCGATCCGGCGCGGCGGAACGGGCAGCCAGTCCAATCCTAGAACAATCATCTGAGGTGATGTTGACTCGCTGATCATGCTCAAATAAATTGCTGAGCGTCCCTCAAAGCATACGATCTTTCCTTAGACGCTGTTAGACAACATTGATTCTCGCCAACCGTCAAGATGCAACTCACCAGCTTCCTCCTCGCTAGTCTTGTTTCCGTCTCCCAGGCCGCGGTCATCTGGTAAGTTTCTCTTGTGGCATTGTCCGATATAGTATATTTCAATGTACCCCAAGCATGGTATGAATGTATTGGTCTATACGATTAAAGCGTATGGACCTTTATATAGCACAGTTCTCGGATAAGCTGAGATATGCCACAAGACATGATGATATACTGACATTATAGACAGGGACGGCAGATTTAACGACTTTACGAGTGCTAGCGACCTGAACAACTGTGAGCTACCTTCAATAACTCCAATACCCTGACCTGGGCACGTTCAGTGCTGGAACACGACTATACAGATCATTGCTTGTACTAATCTCAAACAGGGTCATGGAGCAACCAGGTCGGGCCATACCAGTACTACATCCACGGCTCCGAAACCGTGGATAAGTACATAGAACTCTCACCCGACTACGTCAACCCGGCCGACACCTCGTCCAAGCAAGGGGCCAAGTTCACGCTCGACAGCACGGCGTACTGGAACGGCCAGACCATGCGGCGCATCGAGCTCATCCCCCAGACCAGCGCAGCCATAAATCAGGGCAAGGTGTGGTATCACTTTACCATCTCGCGCAAGGACACGAACGCGCCCAGTGTGTACAGGGAACACCAGATCAACTTCTTTGAGAGCCACTTCACCGAGCTCAAGTCGGGCTGGATCAGCGGCGAGAGCGGCACCAGCAACCCCAAGCTGCAGTGGATGGTCAGCCAGCAGAGCAAGTGGAGCGTGGACGAGTGGCAGCCTGATGTCTTCTACAACTTTGCCTACGAGATCGTGAGTCGCCAAATTTTCCTGATATAGTGATTGTCTCCTGGACTGACACTGCCGCTATAGGATTTCTCGGCCAATACGGTTGGGCTCTGGCATTCTACCGGGGCGGCTGACCTGACCCAGGTGGTCGCACCAGTGTCGGCTTCGACTTCATCGAACGGGGCTGACTGGCACCTTGGCGTTCTTGAGCTGCCTCGTGATGGATACTCTGACGCCAATGAGGACTTTTACTTCTCTGGCGTCTACATAGAGTCTGGCTCTATCACCAAGACCGTTGCAGGCCCAGCTTAGAAGATGTGAGGAGGCTTTGACGATCTAAGACCCCTGCGGTCGAGACCTCAGGGGATTCGGAACATATTGTACATATCACACTCCCGAATGTATTTAACAAAATAGGGTTTGAGTATTTGAACACTTGCATGACTATCCCAATCCACATTATTGCGATGTCGTAGCCGATCAACTTAGGACATTACCGCACTAATGACTGCCCGTCAAAACATTGAAATAATCCAGCGCCTTGGCAAGCATGAATTACACCCTCTTCGTCACCCCTCTAGGACGCTGTGCCCAGTTGTTCTCGAGGTCAAAGAGTGAGCCCAGCTTAGGCAAGTCGCATCCGTCGACCATCTGGTCGAAGGGGAGTCACAGCTGGGCCGGTAGTAAATGCAGGAATGGTCGACACCTGCACATGGCGCTCTATAGTCTTGGTACACGGGCCTATGGTCGTGAAAACCTCGCCTGGTGTACCGAGGCCGGCCGAATTGGTACCCGAAATGCCATCCCAGCGCATACAGCTACAAGCAAATATCAGCACAGTTGCTCCCCGACATCTTATTCGACCGGGGAGGATGCGGGTGAAACGAGGGTTGGTAAGTAGGGACACTCACTATGAGGTGCCATCGCTGGAGCACCAGGAATCGTCGCAATGGACACTGCTTGTACCCGAGGGCTCGATCAATGTCAACGTAAATGGTGCTGTTATCGACGGCGTGAAGTCGACGCGCGTGAATGGCGGGAAGCCAGTTGTAGGCTCCCAGGTAGCCTCCTCGGAGCTCGAGGGGACGGGCACTGACAGGTGTGTGCCTGAGTGGGGTGGGATAATCTGCGTATTCTCAAGTTAAGAAGTGTATCGAACCCCAGAAATATAATATGACAGCGCTGAGGCAAGCGGGAGCGTGTATCAGTGCCTCTCCCAAGAATACACCGCCCAGGAAGATGTCGTCCACAACTGGGGTCAGGCATACGTACGAAGGTAACAGTACTCGATTCTGGTGCGCTGAATCCAGGTGTGAGCGTCCAAACGGTTGAGGGACGCGGAAAATGCTCAGTAGTCCAGGCCCAGGTAGGGGAAAACTCAGAAAAGGACGAACTGGGGACTGGCTCGGAAGAGGATGGAGGAGGGAGTGGCTCAGAAGATGATGCCGAAGAAAGTGGCTTGGAAGACGTGACAGGTGCTGGTGGTGCTTCAGAGGATGAGGGAGAAATTGAAGCAGACTCGGCGGATGTGGCAGGAGAAGTTAGTGCTGGTTCTGAAGAAGCAGTCGAGTTGATCGGCGGAGCTCCTGACACCGTTGAGGAGGCCGAGGGAGACTGAGAGGCTGATGTGCTTGAGTTGCCTAGCGGCGGGGCCTCTAGAGAGCTCGTTGGGGAACTTGTAGCGGGAGCTGAGGACGGCGGCGTCTGTGGTGAGCCCATCGGGGGATTGGTGAGGGTGGCTGAAGAAGACGATGCCTCCGTCGTCCCTTCTGGATTATCAGGATCCCTGGTGACTGTGACCCAGTCTGTTTCGGATACGGTACTCCTCTTCGCTAAAGCCAATGGGACACCTGGTATGGTAGTTGTCGTATAGACGACGTGAGGGATGTGGGTGACGGTTGTGGTGGTGAATGTCGTGCTTGTAGTGCTGAACAGATCTGTCTTGACAATGTCCCAGGTCGAGTACCCGGGGGTGGTGTAGATATTCGCGACCAATACGATGGTACTGATGGCGTACATCTCCCACGGATAGAGCGATAATGTTTCCCAAACAGTGGTGGTTTGCTTCCTGTCGACAGGATCAAAGTCATCATCATCACCGCCTCTTCCGCCCCATAATCTAGCCAATGCTGCTGGAGCTATCGCTATCGCGGCAAGGAGGAAATTGAGCTTCATGGTGGTTAAAAGGTGCTGGACAGGCTGTGCTATTTGTGAGATGAAATTAGCATCGCGATGAGACGTAAGCTGGGTTACTTCACATTAGTGCTGAAAGGAAAGGAGAGCTCAGACAGAATTTTGGTATTCGAAGGGATGATGCTATTTCTGCCTGCTCTGGAATAAGACGAGGCCAGTTGAAGTAATGAATCTCGACGCAGGGACTACCAGTCAGGTAAAGAGCCAAGATAACAGGACATAAAGGGTTTTGAAGTGCCTTCGGATTGCCTTTTTAATCTCCCAAGCTGGAAGTCCGTTCTTGCTGCTCCATCTGTCTATATTGTTCCTCCCAACCGAAGGCTGAATTCACTTCATCCCGTACATGTGCCGACTGTTGTGAACTTCAGGCCCACGAATTCGGATGATCTGGCTCGTGGTGGGTGTTGTTTGATAGCACACAGCGGGAATATGCAAGTTCCCTTTCCCAGGGCACACAAAAGCCTTCACTTTGAGATCGGGGAACACATCCACCGCAGATTGACATATGCAGGGCCTTATTTTCCGGAGGTGGAGCTTATCCCGGAGTGCCATAATTCTCCGATGACATGAGCAGTCGGGGGCCTCTCTATAAGTATCCTTATCATGCCATATCGATTTCCCACCTTACTTCAGACAGGTCGCGGTTGAAGACCGTCAACAACGAGTTCATGAGGACAGCAAGTGCCACCAGCAATGTCTCGGACTGGAGGCTGTTCTTCCAGATTTACATCAGATCCATCCCTCGAGTCTGACGCGGAAGACCAAGACATACACAAGATAACATTTATCTCCGTATGTGACCATCTTGGTGTGATGAGATGGCTGATCGGTAGTTCCTGTAAGAGGTCTCGTTCGTAGCTTCATGGCGACACCATCTTCCAAATAATATCACTCGTGACTCGCGGCCAATAATTCAGAACTGATCGCAGTGATGACAGGTTGTCCGTTCGCGAAGCCGACGTATGCCATGTACCAGGTCCAACGTATACTCGAGCTGGGAACACTCGTGTAAGGTGATGAACGTTGAACATCAATCATGTAAGTGACAGAAAGACCATTCAGGCTCGTCTTTCGATGACAACATTGGTTTGACCACCAGTCACCAGATTGGTCTGATCGCGACCGCGCTGGATCGATCCCGCTGGCCCGCGGACGGAGATGAGAATCACAGATGTGGCCGTACTTCGGGAGAGTTGTGGCCTACCTAGGGTGGTTCCACATGACCAGAATGAAAGACTGACTGTGCATGTAGACGGGCCAAATAAGTACTGCATAGCTAGCTTCCTGCAGACTCTACACTGGCGTCCCACCCCCTGGATCGTCATCGTCAGCCTCCATGAAGGAGTGAACGCCGGTAATTGCGTTAGGCCTCGGGTACGTTTCGGTAGATGCCGCAGCGTATTGTTGGCTGTATCTTCCAGCCGCCGAGAGAACCCACATTTTCAGCGGCAGGTCAACGAAATCATATGCGATTCGGAGGGCGTACGCAATCCTGTATGGACCCATTATGCCCCGTCCAACGTGTTCGGTCGCCCGAAGTATGTTCCTGGCGAGCTCCTGATTGTCCTCATCGTATGGCCGTTCTTCTTCAACTTCGTAACATTGGTTCAAAGCCTCCTGGAGGATCAGCATTGTTGCCCAGTAGCCGACTTCCACCGACCCAATCCACGGGCTCGAGAACATGAGGACGGTCATGAAAGGGGAAGTTGGGTCCGCAGAAGGCACCTCCACGGGCTGTGTTATTCCGCCCCCAGAGACTGCTCTCTCGTGCCAGACACGGTACTCGGAACGCAGCGAGCCCGCCTGTTCCAAGAGCAGTTTGACTCGAGCGGGATCTGGCGTGATACCGTGTCGCCTCTCTTCTCGAATGCTGTAACCCCAGCTTAATATCAGTGGGATCTTGGCCAGCAAGATATAGTAACCATCCTGGAATCTAACAAAAGGCGGCTTCGGGACACGCGTAGTGTCCCAAATATCCTGAGAACCCTCTTCTTTATTCATGGCGAAGTCAGACAGCCTTGACGAGAGGTTCTGCCACTTGGGTTGGTTGAGAAAGCAGTCCTCGCCGGCAAAGAGACATCGCACGATGATGATGGGGCGGAAACAGCTCAGCGAAGCCCTCTCAAAGGGCGTAGAGAAGGACTTGGGCCCGCGTGCCTGGATGAGCTTGGACACGCCGACGGCGTGCATCATCCAGCTCAGGGGGTTTGAGGTGCCTGCGAACAGCTCGAATAGGCAGCATAACATCGTAGCAGCCAGGGTCTCGGCCGACTTCCAGGCGACGGGGTGGTTGAGAGCTTTTTGGAGGCCGGCCAGGGACCGGCCGTAGACGTCGCGGCTCCTGCTGAGCTGAGCCTGGTCCCCCTTGGCCTTGCCTATCATCTGTAGCAGGTATGCGGACATGGCCGTGTCAAGCGTCTGGAACCTTCCCAGGTAGCTGATGAGCGAGGAGAACCAAGGGGCACTGTACACGATCTCCTCACGTGAGCAGACGTGGAAGAGCTCGCCGATTACACTGTGTATGAAAGGTACAGTTGATACACGCAGTGACTCGGGGATCTGGTTGTTCAGAGATCCAGCACTCCCAGCAGCTTGACCCCAGGCTTGTAATGGTGACTCTTGGGCCGTCGAAGGTACATTGGTGACAATCGAGCTCGAAGCTGAGCTTGAAGAGAAGTCTAGCTGAGTCTCATTGCCCTTGTGCTGGTCCTGGCCTCTTGGACGGATAGCGTGCTTTACAGACACGAACTTGTGACCTTTGCCATACCCTGGGCATTCTGCACGATATTTGATGCAATTCCCACAAGCTATCGACAACGGTCAGCATCGAGAATGTCTCCACGCTGCAGAAAGGGGTATATGGATTGCAGGGACCCTACATGGGCGGTTCTGATCGCATTTCACTCTCCTCTTGACGCAGAGCGCGCACCCCTTGCTGCGAGGCACACCGACCATCGCTGTTGATCTACCGACGAGTGTCTACACCCAGAAGACAACATGTCGTATGTTCCAACTTTTGTTTGTGTTCTTGATTAATCACGGCCCCATCCTGTGTCAGCAAGAGCGGGTAACACGTCACAAGGCTGAAGTGCTGAGCCACCCAAAGGAGATAGCCAGCGCCTTTCCCATTGGGTCTCGCCGTGGAGAGGGCTGAACTAGCTAGTGCTTGACACTCTGCCATGCCCCCCAATTGTGGTTTGAAGGATGCAAATTACGAAGGAATCCAACGGCTCTCATCATTTCCGCTCCCGCAGCATCCGGAAAGTCGAAGAGGTCGGTCTCGAAGCTGGGGTGCAGAACCCGAGCCGGGCCGACACTACGAACACACACAATAAAGCGAGAAGACAGCCCGCCAATTTAGGTTGGATGGCATATAATCATCATATGCAGTACCTGTCCGGACATGTGCATGACGTGCCGTCTTCTTGTGGCCGAAACATGCCTACAGCGTAGATAACCCGTCCCGATGACCTGCAGGCTGAAACGCTCATGTGGATGGAAACAACAGATCAAGATGCGGATGTTTTTTTCGCTTTTCTGATACGATAACGAAATCCTCGTATTCCAACCCGTTGGCCCGGGATAGTGTCCCCCATTCAACAACGGGCGCCTCCAGGGCTGGCTGCGGATTGGACGGCGTCGGAAGCTCGGCCGCACCTCGAGGGGAGTAGCTGCATTCCACATACGCAAGCCGCTCGTTGCATCCTACCATACATGCAGCTTTAGTCGTGGCTAGGGCATCAAGAGGGTTTGGTGTGTGCGTCTACCCGGTAACCAGCCTCCAGGACCGTCGGTCGGTCTGGCCCTCTCTGGTCCCAAGCGTACGGTACGGCGGAGATATGGTGAATACTAAGTGGACTACAGCCAGTTGCGTGGACCTTGCTGAAGCGCTTTGGCAAGAAGCCGTGTCTCGGTATAGAGCGCCGGCAGACTTTTTTTTCTGGCCGCTGCTGGCTGCGCGGTGCTCATCACAGGTGTCACTGCGCCAGGCAGGATAAACACTCGCTGGTAAATGACATTACGACGGCACATCTCCACCGTATGCAGCACCGGCAGACATCCACTGCATGTGTCCTGCGACAGTCACGGATCGACGTCAGCCGCGCATTTCACGCTGGGCGACACAGAGGACAGTACCAATCGGACAGGCCTGGCTGTGCGACCGGCGATGTCGGCGCAACTACCGAGCAACACACGTCGAGACACACAGCCACCGCCCTTTGGTTGCAACGTTTTCATGGGCGTGGTCGCGGTCTCAGATCGGTTGTTGACTCCTGTCAGCCACTCCTGTGGCGGTCAACCACTGGCATCGTCGCGTGTGGTGACACAGATCTCGCGTAGCTCCGCGAAGAAGGAAAGCAGTTGAGAGGAAATGGGGGGAAGGGTGATTGTTCCGGACCTGGCGATCCTCAGGCTGAGTGGTGATCGCCGCCAGGGCCAAAAAAAAAAGGGCTGCACGGGTGCGTAAGCTAGTGAGACGGACCTGAAGATCATCTGAGCGAGAGCCACTGCTGGGACAGCAAAGCTGACGACGAGGGCTGTTAAACCTTCCCTTCTGGCACACGCCTACACGCTTGTCGCTGAGGCGGTAGGACAACGATACCCCCCCTCGACGCTGGTCCAATACACGTGTCGATGGTGCGACGGTGCGGACGTGGGGTGACGACGCCCAAATATGCCCGACTGGCTGCAGGGTGGTGATCTCTCATCCCTCGTCAGACGTCCAAGTCTCAGTCGTGCATCGAGAACTTGCAGACCGGAGGAGGGGTGGCTGGCTGGTTGTGATGGTGGGGTCGAGGCTTAATGGGCAGGTAGGGGGCCCAACTGCGGAAGCGAGCAGTCGTGTAACCCCTCAGGTGCAGCTGGTTGCCCTGGGCCATGTTCCGAGTGTTCGCGTCGGATGGCAGCATTATAGGGCAGAGGGTTCCGTTGGACAGGCACAATTACTCGGCCAAGAACCAGCTGCAACTGTCGTGTCTCTGGGGGTGGGGATGTCCATTTGTATAACAAGGGGACTGACTGTACACAGTAGTGTGAGATTGCAATTGGCCCTTGTTGAGAAGTTGCCTACTTCCACGGGAGTATGTGCAGGATGAAGGGTGAGAAAGTGTAGGCCCGGTAAGCCGTCGCCGACTGTTCGGGATAGGAGGACCCGATAGCGCAGAGACGACTGGGGCTTTTCCTCCGTCCGATGTCCGGCAGAGCACGGCCGAGCCGGCACCCTGCTAAGGCTTCGTGCCAGAGAAGACGTGCAGCTCCTTGGACCCGCTAGACCACCTGGACTTGCAGGCTGCGACCGGATATGCAATGCAGATGAAGCTCTGACCGAGCGTCACGACCAGATGCCGCGGCCTATCAGGCGGCGGCAACATCTTGGAACAAATCTGTGTCCGTGTGTGGCCCTCGACAAGAGTCGGTGACAGATGCAATGTCAAAGAGGCTCGTTGATAGGCCGCCATGTGCCGACATTACAACATGATGTTGCTGTGTCGTCGGCGACCTCGTCAGGAGCAAGGGAGGCTGGCCGCCTCGAGGGATCCGAGGTCGACCCCGCGCTGCGAATTCCCAATCTCGGCTCCTCATTGCTCAATTAATGACACCTCTAGGGTTGCATGCAGGTGATGAGTATGACGCGAAGGAAGTTGGCCGCGGCTCAGTCCAACGGCGCTTCAGCCTGGGCATGAGACGAGATGACAGACAGCAGAGCTGCGGCCGATTTCATTTTCGTCCTCATTTTAAACCTTCCCTTGGGGGTCGGTCTCGGCTCGGGGCACACCCTCTCCGGCCAGAGCCAGACCTTGCTGCTTCCTGAACCTGGGGAAGATTCTGGCTTGGATTAGACTTTGGTCCAACGCCGTGGACGTGGACCACTTGCCCATCTCAGCCAAGTGCTTGAGAGTTGTGTGAGCAGGCTGATATGTGCGGTGTGGAAGCATGCCTCCGTGGTCTTGGGAGGCATCGTTTGAGACTGAAATTTGGGTATCCCAGGCCATATTGGCACTGCTGTATAGCACTATAAATTAAACAATGGCGTTTTAGCAGGCCAGCAGCGATAGCCTTGCCGGTCTGGCTCGCAGCTTGTGCACGGAGGACTGAGATCTCAGATCGACCCGCTCCCCCTTCCCTCAGGTCCCTTAGCCGGGGCGGGAAGCGGAATGATCGGGGGGTTTCGGCTCCATTCCAGGCGAGATTGATGGCGAAGGATACGTTTGAAATGCAATTGTGCCCGCCCTGCTCGCCTTGGTCCTTGGACGGGCCGTGTGCCAGGCAAGCGAGCAACGGGGCCACAGGGACGCTGGAACAATAAAGAGACGGCAATGGCGGTTGTGGTCGCAAAAACAAGCAGCAGCAACCCTGATGGCCGAAAGTTAATTTGATACTGATTGGCATTTCCAGTATCGTGATTGTCATTTCTCCATCCCAACATAGTCTGTTTGAGGTCTTGGTCCTTTCATATGTACAACGTGTCGGCTCGCAATTTCGTGCGATAACAAGCATTCAAGCGTTGTGTGATAAAGCGATGGGAAGCCATGTGCTGTCAGGGCTGTGTGCCTGGTGTGTAGGTGTATGCAGTCAAAGTAGCCTGTCTGGCTGTCTGGGTAGACCCAGATAGGTACTCTACTAATTAATGCCCCCTTCCAAAAGGGCCGTGGGTGATAAAGGCGGGTATACTGTGCCCATTACCACTCTACCTAGTTCTACCATAGTACGCATGTATCTATTGCCTGGCACGCCTGGCTGCCTGTTTGGAAAATCTTACGATGGCGAGGGGGACCCCTGGCTGCTAAATCCAGACCATTTGCCTAGGTAGATTTGGTTTGATTGACTTGACGCGGCGCGCGACGCGGGAGGACTGATGGACTGGGTCTGTGGGGATGAACAGGCGGCGGGTAGACAGTGAACAGTGAACAGTGGACAGTGGGAGGAACTTGGAAGAGGGAGGCAAGACTCCTCTATTGCGAGGCTGCGGGCAATATTCAAAACATGCCGTAAACTGTGGTACCAGCCCGGCGGTGCTCGCATACGATCGATCATCGATGTGTGTGGCCCTCCCAGTCTCTAGCCTGGTCTCCAGTCTCGAAGGGTCCAGTTGTCTATTGTCAGGTGTCGAGTGTCGTCATGTAGCCCCGGACCCAGGCCAGAACTTGGAGGCCAGCCTCGTTTCCTCGTGTGCTCTTGACCTCGAAATAGACCCATCACATCCAGGCTTGTTTTTCTTCTTTTTGATTTTGCTGCTCACCGACTGCCACCTGCCACCTGCACGTCTGGCAAAATAGGGGCGGCTCAACTCAGATGACAGGACAGAGGGCCACTTTACTCCATACCACCAGGCTGTGGGGAATTATTTGCCTGCGATAATGATCAGATTGCTAGATTGCCTACCAATACGAGCCTCCCTGCCCGCACCCTGACGGCGCGGGCCCCCTTTCCATAGCCAGGATCCCTGCACAGATCACCGGAATGCAAACAGGAAGTTGGCAGACGGGCAAGATACCGCCGCTCGTCGAGTTTTGACGTGCGCGCATTGTCACAAGCCCGCAAGCCTCACCACCTCTCATTTGCCACCCCGCCCGCACTGGACTGCTGCGAGGCTCACGACTTGCGGGTCTCCGGAGCGATGATCTGAGGGGTGGAGAGGAGTCATGAGGGTGCAGGTCGCAGGTTGCTTTGGCCCGTCTTGTCACCCCCGTTTGGGGAGCGGTAAGTGGATGAGGCCGAGGGAGAACCGCCCGGAGACGAGGCGCCGCCGAGGTCAGGGTCTCATCAGTACTGTCGATAGCGGCGGGCAGGGACACGAAGGGGGGAGGGACTCATTACGCAGACCATCAATTCAGGCAGGTGAATCTCCGGCTCCGCGTCCGCTGCCGGAAAGCGGTCAGATCGCTGTGCCGTAGACCTAGTGCTAGAGGGTGGTGTGTATGTGTGTGTGTGCGTACGTAGATACTGGCTACTGCTGGTGAGGGTTTTATCGCCAGCGACTGAGAAGGTGGATTGAGGACGATCAAGCGGGGTCACCAGAAGAGAGGCTGTCGCCAACCTCGCCTCGCCTCGCCTCGTTTCGTCTGCCCGGGCGGCCATCCTCTTTCACACTGGGCAGAAAGTGTAGACCACAGTCACAACCCGACGGAACAGAGGCGAGGCCAAGCTCGCAGGCTCGTCAAGGAAGGCTTGAGACCGTGGACGAGCCTGGCCTGGTCACGGCCGCGTCAAACAGAGACAAAAGGGCAGCGAAGCGTGCTGTCTTGTACTCTGCTGGGTTGCGTACGCGGTGGTATGGTGCTCAGTACTAATTACTTGCTGCTGGGTATTGTACTGTGGTAACGGAGGAGTGCATGTCGAGCTTGCAGGGACAGCCTTGCTTAGCGCGGACGGATTCAATGCCACCAGGCAGAGTACCCAATGACAGCGGGCGTTCAATCTCCCATTTGCCCCCCCATGCCCCCATACCCCCATCCCATCCGTCTTGGATCGCATCCATCAACACCCGCGAACTTGTTGTCGCAGGCCGGCGTGTGTGTGTGTGTGTGAGTGTGCGTGGGTGTTAGTGTTGCGGTCCCTTTGGGAAAGGAACCCTTGGTGGGTGTGTTGCCCCTTTTTGGACTGTGTTGCATTCTGGACACACAATGTTGTCTTGTCTGGTCGTGCTGCCCCGTGATGGAGACGAGAGAGAAAGATGGATGTGTTCGTGCGTACGTGCGTCCAGACACGAATTACATAGGCAGATACGTAGATAGATGTGTACCAATTGGCCTCAATTGGGTAGACGACGTAAAATACTGTAGATACAGTATTCGAGTCAACCATCCCTGGGCAGACAAGATCGCGGCAAAGCACAAAAAAAAAGGGACAGACCACGCAATGCAATGCACAACATGCTCCAAGAAACATGCCACGGTCGGCCGGATTCCCACTGTCACAAATTGGGGTTGCTCATCAATTTACAGTTGCTTTAGCTGATTTTGGAGTAGCATCTGCCTCGCAGGCGTGAGCGCTAGGCCCCCCTGGGGCCCCTGGAAGGGGAAAAAAAGACTGGACGATGGGCTTTGGACTGGACGCGAGAAACGGAGGGAAGGAAAAGAGGTGCAGGAGTGCAGAGTGCAGAGTGCAAATGTGGAGCAGGGTCCCTGGGCCCCTGGGCCCCTTCCCAAGTCCAGTCCAGTCCTGGGTTACGGCTGCTGGTAGTAGGTACGGGGTTGCTGTGCTGCTGTGGGCAGGAATCCGTACTGTTACCCCCATCCCAGACGCTCCCAGACTGAGATGACAGAGCATCTCTCGGTTTGGTTGGCTCAACGAAAAGGGTTGCTCTGCGTCGGGCCCCAGTTTGCCCATGCACGCGTTCCTGCTGTTGCCCCTGTTCCTTGCACCTGCTCGTCTTTTCCATGCAGATTTGTTGCTGCTGCTACTGCTTGTAGCTTGTAGCTTTCCTGGGGGGGCGCTCTTTCTCGTTCTGGTCCTGGTCTTGGTCTTCCCTCTCAGGGCGCCTGGCCTTCTTTTCTCCCCTCGCCGACCTCCTTCCACCCATTCCACCTCGTCCTGTACAACACGATACGGCACGACACGACAGGACACTGTCAAGACACCACCCTCGTCCCGTCTTCTTCCTTGTTGTACTCCCTTCTCTTCATCACCGCCTCTTTTGTCTTTAGCCCTTCTCTATCTACTCCTTGTTTTTCTTTTCTTGTGTCTTTCTCCGGTCCAACCTCCGCTCGGCCCATTATTGTTTCTAGAGACCCGAGTCGTCCAAAGCTGTCGCTCCTCCTCACCACCACCCCTTGCTTGGCTCCGACTGGCAACACCAACACAGCATCACGACCGCGAACCACCACGGCCGCCTACAACACAACAAAGCCACAATCGGCTCTACTACCGATTCCAATCCAGCCCGCCTGCTACCTCCAGCTCCTGGCACTGTCCCGGCTGCAATCCAGTACGATTCGCTCAGGAGGCAACTTCCTTTTTGTCTGAGTCGTCTTTGTGTGTTTTACAGCATCGCTTGCATTGTCTTCACCACGCCCGCCGCGAGCCCGTCACGTCCATCTGCCTGGCCCGTTTGTGTCCCGCCTCGCATATCTTCCAACCAAGCGTGCATATCGCTCCAGTGTGCCCCCTCAAACCGCCCGAGCGGAACAACGAAAACTACAGCCAATCCCACAGCCACGACCCGTTTCCTTCGTGTACAGCCTTGTCAAGCCCACGACGCTTCTGATCCCAAAAGCGGCTCCTCATGTCCCTGCTCTAGCAGCCAACCACCACCGGGTACAGCCTGGGACTCTTGATCCGACATTCAATTGTCCAGCCTTACCTGTGTAGAGAGGTCCTCTTCTGATCTCGTAACCTTCCAGCGAGTTCACGGTGACAGTGAGCTTCAGTCGAAGGTCATCTACCTCCTTGTGCCCAATCGGCCGCAGGCGTCCATCACCACCGCTGCCCCCGACTGTCGTTTGCAATTTCCTATCCTCGCGCTATTTGCTTCCCGTTTTACCCATCTTGGGGGACACCTCCACTCTCGGCGTCAACGAATTGGCAAGTCCCCGGCCCTTGAATCGAACACATCAGCCCACTGCTCGCCTCCACGTGTCCCTCGATTTGACGATACGCATGCTCTGTTTAGGCCTGTCAGGAACTTTGAGGCTAACAAACCGGGTTGCAGAAAGTTTGCTTTCGAGCCTGCTTCGGGCGGGAAAAGGTCTCCCCCTGATAGACCTTCTCTACCTTGATCGAAAGCTTTCGATACGAATCTCAGAATCGAATTTTCGACAAGACAATGGCCGCGTTGGTTCAAGCATACCCTCAGCAAACTAGTACCGTTTCAATGCTTCAGACAAGGACCGGATCGAATTCGAGCATGATGCCCCCTCAATCTCAGACGAACCAGCAATACGCCGGTGCTCAACAACAGAGGAACAATTACCACGGAGTGGCTGGAGGTGTCACTGGTCCGGTGGCCTATAGAGGAGCTTCTGCCCCCATCCAACCATACTCCTTCACGGCTACCCCGAGCCTCAGCCCAAACGGACAGTGGCAGCACTATTCGGCCTATCGGGCATCGTCTTCTCCTTCCATCCCGACAATGCAGAGCTTCGATCCAGCTAATGGCACGGCGCGGTCACGGCACGGCGCGAACGCCTCTATGCCCAACTTGCCCAACTCGGCGTTGAACATCGCCTCGGTTGGGTCTCGTGACGACTCCGTGCTGTCTGTCCCGGGCACGAGAAGAGTCAGTCCTGGCCCTCGGCCACAGTCTGCTTTTCTCCCCAACTCCACAAACCAGTTACCGTCGGTGTCAACGACACCCGCAAAAAGCCAACCCGACCGATATCGACGAAACGCGGCTCAACGAGCGCCGGAATCAGGGGCGTCACAGGGCTCAGCAACTCCATCAGGCTCGGGTATGGCAGCTGTGAGCCATCTGTACAGCCAGCCAAGCCCCAACAAGGAACGGCGGCCTAGCCCATCAAGTTTGACCAGGCCGAGCAGTTTCTACGCGAAGGTACCAGGCTCCGTGGATGATATGCAACTCGGAAGACATCAAGAGGATTCCAGAAGGTTTCGCCGGCGCAGCATGCCCGCTTTGGATACTACTGATCTGCCCATGCCCAAATCCCTGCAACCAACGGATCTCAAGCGATCAGAAGACACATCTGCGGACCGCTCAGCAGCCAAAGGTGGCAACGATAAAGATCAAATTAAGACTGCCAGGCTGGTGACCATCAGCAGCCCGGTGGCGGGCGCGAAGAACGGTAGCTCTGATAGTCTCGTCTCGAGCCGGAGCAGTAATTCTCGACCATCTTCGGTGAGTGTCTCCATCTGATCCCACCCCCTGAAACACACGATCCAATCACAGTGCCTATGCAGGGCCAGACCCTTTAAGTTTCCACATGCTGACGACTTATGTATCCAGTCTGCCCACCGTAACAACGTTCCAACCCCAACCGGGAACCCCGCCCAGCTTTCTGAGCCCACAGATCAAACGTCTACCAATCCAGACTCTCCTAGGCTTGTCAACATCCCACCCAGGAGCTCATCTTCCGATGCCGCCAAACGGCTTGCCAATCCATCGCCGCTATCAAAGCCGGTGACGATGGACACTGAGAAGGGGTCCAAGGGATCGAAGGAACCTGCGGCTGCCACCGCCAGGCCCGAGTCTAAGACTGGTTCTGCCGAGCCTTCGTCAAGCACTGGTTATGACAGTCCTGCCGTCAAGCAATTGGCTGCCATTAACCAGAAAGGAGGCAAGTTGAAGAGCAAGACCTCAAGACTTCGCCGGGCCTTGTCTTTTGGAAGTGCTGCCGAGCTCAGGCGAGCTGGGGCTGCGGATGGGAGCAAGGAGAATGGCGGATCCTCGGAGGCGACGACTTCGCAACAGAACCAACCTGCTGGGGAGCTCGATGCAGAGCAGGCCCGTATCGCTGAACTGCAAGAGGCCGCGGGAATTGGCAACAATATCTACGCTGGCTCAAGGCTGTTCTCAGGCTCCACTGATAACCTTTCTATCTCCTCCACGGCCTCCTCGGCCTCGATTATGATCCGAAAGATGGGTCGTGGGATGAAGAAAGGCGGACGCTCCCTGGCTGGCTTGTTCCGGCCGAAGTCCATCGTCGGTGTACCCACTGCGGAGGTCCCAGAAGCGAGCCAGGCTGCCGTGTCCATGGTGACAGTTGAGGCGGAGAGGGAACGCGTCAACGTCAACCCCGACCCAAATCCAAATAACGGTGGCGGCACCGGTTTTCCGCGACTGGAACGGAACTCCATGGATGTTAGCAACGCAGCCGACGGGTTGACGCCGGAGCGAGCTGGAAGTTCGGGAACAGACAACTCCAACTCGCGAAAGAGCATCGTTGGTGGTGACAGGGAGCGAGCTGAGGTGCTGGCGGCAGTACGAAAAGGCATCCTGAAACGTAGGTCTCTCCCCGTGCCCGCCTGTATGGTTGCAACCAATGCTAATGAGAAATTAGACTCCAACGGCTCTTCTAGCCCTTCGCCCCGAGTCGAGAGAGGTCCCCTCTTCGATTTGCCCGCGGTCCCTCACGTCGCTGACTCTCCAAACTCGAGTGCTCCTAGCACCCCCAACGACGAAGCGAACCACAATCGGAGCGGGTCTGTCACAATTGGCAGCGAGGACTATTTCATGACAGCCCTGCGGCTCCGTCATGAGACCCGAAGCGCCCCCGGCACACCGCAAGGTGGGCAGAGTAAACGCAACGCGACGTTCAGCCCTCGGATCGTCTTCCATGACACGTGGCCAAGCCAGGAGTACGACCGTCGCTCCGAGATTGCAACGTGCAACCGCCTCACACCCATGCTGGCGCAGCAGATCAAAGAGGAGCTCAACAACTTTAAGATGGTAGGTTGCGGCCGCTCTAGTAACATCGGGTGTCATGTGACCACGCACTAACGCGAGATGCAGGAGATGGAAGTGCATGAGAGCTCCAAGATCTACACGCATTTCTTCTGACAATGATAGTTTCCGATGGAATGTTTACCTGCTGGTCATTCGTGGCGAGCAGGCACCCAAACTCCATCGTGTATTGGCAATTTTTTTCAACGGCGTTTCGGGACAAGCATCCAAGTAAGGTGTCAAGGCGTTAATCTTGGAACCAAGGTCTGCGACAACCCGCAGACGATTCGACACACAAGGACAGCACACTTAATCTCGAAAGGGCCACATGTCGGCCATATACCGCCCCACCTCTCCGACGGGTTGGTTGCATGAGGGAGGCAAAGCGAGACCGGCAATGGAGGCGAAACCCGTTTGGCTTCAGGTCTACAAAGCCGATGGACGAGGAGGAAGGAAGTTGGGGGGGGGGGCCATCAAGGGCCACGGAGGCATCAGACATATTAATTACTGGGAGGGCCTCTGAGAGGTGACTACTACTGCTTCTTGATTCGGGCCATATTGCATCATCTGTTTTGTTTTGTTTTGTTTTCCCCCTGTCTATCTTTTGCGCGCACATGGACCGAAATGTGGGAGAAGAGCGATTCGTGCGAAAAAGTCACAAGCATTAAAGGAAAGGTTGTGTTAGCAGACGAAGGCAAGCGGGATTTTCGGTTGAGGTCTCATTACATTTCCTACCACTCAGCGGAGCCTAGATAGACCGAAGCAAATCAGGGAGCACCATCTCAAGCCAGGCACTTCTCTCTGTACAGTACGAGACGGTGAGGAATCATTCAAGACATGGCGGCGTGAGATTGAAAGGCCAGCTGGACGACGATAATAACAGTAGATTGATGGCTGACCACCTCGCATACTTGGCAGCATGATGACCAACGAATTTCACATGTAAAGCAGAGTGAGCGAGCTAATCTGAGAGATAGTTTGCCTTGGGATGTTTAACATGCATGACATGAGTTTCAAAGTAATTGAGTGCAGACATGGGGAAACTTTGGGCTTATGCAGGATGTTGTGGTTTGTGATGCAGCAACATGGACGAGGCTGTGGTCGAGGAAACATTGTTTTTCAACCGAGTTACAGAGTCAAGCCTGCTTGGTTCCGAGGTAACAATGTGTGTGGTAGGAAGGGTGTTGGGGGAACATGCATAAGATACGATGTAGACTACATAGTCTATCTACCATTTGTGTGGTTCTCAACGGCTGCTAGGTAGTCTGCGCTTTGAATTTGGTAGCCTACCAGAGTGCCAGAGTCCGAGGGACATCGAGGTACTTGCTTGCTTGACCTTTATCCCTGTCGATCCGAACGGTCCCCGCCGGGCAGGCACTCGCAAGGCTGAAGAGGCGCCGGACTAACAAAAAAAAAAAAGTTGGTCATTTTTTCTGGAACTGTCTTGAGTCGGCTCAGCTTCATACTGACAATCTTTAACGTTATATTTACGAGCACAAGTGCACGCCTTCCAAGTCCACCGCTCTCCTACCCAGTCTGGCGGTCTTCGCTGGGCAACTTGGGCCGCGGGTGCCTGCGTTCCCAAGACCCTTCTTCAGATCCTTTGCGACTGCGTTTGCGACGACAAAGGCGGCGACGATGGCTGAGGCGATAGCTGCCGCCGTAGACCCGGCGGCACGGCCGGCCAAGCTGCATGGCCGCGCATTCTACGATAGTATTGGGAGCCCCAAGTACATCGTGGCCCCGATGGTGGACCAGTCCGAGTTTGCCTGGAGGATGCTGTCGCGATCCTTCCTCCCCGAGTCCGAAAGGCCCAACATCCTCGCCTACTCTCCCATGCTCCACGCCCGCCTCTTCACCGACGGCCAGAAGTACCGCCTCTCTCACTTCCAGCCCACGCGTTCGTCAAAGTCGCACATCACCTCCCAGCCACCGGCAGACGCCACCGCCGGCAGCGACCTCTCCGACGACCAGCCGTACCTCGACGGGAACCCGGCCATCGATCGGCCCCTCTTCGTACAATTCTGCGCCAACGACCCTCAGGCCCTCCTCAGCGCAGCGAAGCTCGTCGCCCCACACTGCGACGCCGTGGACCTCAACCTCGGCTGCCCTCAGGGCATCGCACGCAAGGGCCACTACGGCGCGTTCCTGCAGGAGGACCAGGAGCTCATCCACAACATGGTCAAGACGCTACATGAGAACCTGCCCATACCCGTGACCGCAAAGATACGCATCCTGGAGACCAAAGAGGCGACGCTGGCGTACGCGAAGAACGTCCTGAGCGCGGGGGCCAGCATCCTGACGGTGCACGGCCGGAGGAGGGAGCAGAAGGGCCACTTGACGGGCATCGCGGACTGGGAATATATCAGGTACCTGAGGGAGAACCTGCCGCCCGAGACGGTCATCTTCGCCAACGGCAACGTCCTGCAGCACGGCGACCTCCAGCGGTGCCTGGACGCCACGGGCGCCGACGGCGTCATGTCCGCCGAGGGCAACCTGAGCGACCCGGCCCTGTTCGCGCCGCCGCCAGGGCCGGGGGCGGAGACGAGGGAGTACTGGCGCGGCAGGGACGGGAGCGGCGGGTGGCGGGTCGACGCGATCATGCGGCGGTACCTGGACATCATGCACCAGTACGTGCTGGAGCAGGAGCCGCCGGCGAGGCGGCCGCTGTTCGTGCCCGGGGACGACGAGGCCTGGCTCAGGGAGCAGCGGGAGGCGGGCGACGGCGAGGATGCGCAGGAGCCCGCGAGGAAGAAGCGGAGGAAGGACGGGGGCGGCAAGCCCGGCGCCAAGATCACGTCCATCACCGCCGGGCCCAACTTCGTCGGCATGCAGCCGCACCTGTTCCACCTGCTCCGGCACTTTGTTACGCGCCACCACGACGTGCGGGACGCGCTGGCCAAGTCAAGGCTCGGCGACATCTCGGTCCACGAGGGCATCCTGGCCATGGTCGAGAGGAAGGTCGCCGAGGGACTGCTCGAGTACGAGAGAACAGGCGGCAAGAGCGTCGAGGACGACGGGCGGAATGGCGCCTACGAGAAGGGCTCGCGGGCCGAGGCCGGGGCGGACGGAAAAAACGAGACTGAGGCAGACGCTGAGGTCGTCGACGACCCGGACAGCTCGATAGCCACGGTTAAGAGGTGCAAGCGGCCGTGGTGGATCGCCCAGCCCATCGTGCGGCCCCTGCCGGCCGAGGCCCTGGCGAAGGGCGCGATATCTCTGGGTAAAAAGGACAAGCGCAACCTCGGCGAGGACGCCAGGAAGAAAGCGGACGCGGAGGTGCACACTGCTGCTGCTGCTGCCGCCCCTGCCATCAAGATGGGCGAGAATGGCACTGCCGCCCAGGCGGCAGAGTCCCTGGCGAAGACTACGGACTACCCCGACAGCACTTTGGTTTCTGGATAAGTACATTCGGAATTTGATACCCTGGATCGAGATCGGACGTCGCGAGGCTTCAATCGGCAGGACGTCCAGAAACGGATCGGCCTCCTGCTTCGATACGGAATGTGCCAGCAAAAGACAGTCGGGGACCACAATGCTCAGTGCTGAAACTACAGCCGCACGTGGGCATCCATTGAACCTGCTGCAGCTCACAATCCGAGTCGCTCATGATGCGATCAATACATGGATCGACATTGGGATTGTTTACCGAATAAATGCTGATATGGCCTCTAAACCTGTGAGACGAGGCGAGGGCGGACGAGTCGGGCTGCGATCATGTAAGAAATGGTCCTAGCAGGACAATAATGTTCCAAGTCGACTCCAAGATCCATCTATTCAAGCGCCTATCCTCCTATTGGCGGCAAAAGACGAGACTTGATGAGCTACACCGTTGGCAGCTCAGTGATGGATACATTGGCCGCCTAGAATAAATACATCAGCACAGAGCGGCTAGGTCGGAGACAATCTATGCATCATGTTGATGATGGGTATTATACATCTCAAGAGGCCCCATTTTTGCAACAAGCAACAATACAATGTTCAACGGTCATAACTTCGTGAATCATTCTCTGGTGCTCATGATAGTCATCACCTCGTTCAGCCCAAGTATTTGTATATGAACCTTGAGTGCTCTTAAATATCCGCTGAAGACAGGCATGCTTTTGCTTGCAGTCAAATCAACAATTTTCCCCAAAAAGGAAATCTTTCCTTTTCCTGTTTGCGGGCCGGTGAAGTTGTGAGTGTCCCTGCCTCACCCCGCTTCACTCGGCTCATTCCACCTTCTCGGGCGCGTGCGTCCACGTCCGGACCTTGCTCATGGTCCGCTGGCGCATCGTCTTCATGATGTTCTTCTCCATGTGCTCGATGTTGGCCTCGAGGTCGTCGTCCTCCTTGGCGTAGCGCGCCTCGCGCGACCGGTCCCAGATCCACCATATGATCACGATGAAGAGCGTGATGGGGATCGCCACCGCCCAGTATATCCAGAACGTCGGCGCCACCACGGGCCCGTTGTCGTTGCCGTCCGTGAGGCCTGTTGTTTACTCCACGTGTCAGGGTTTTCCCTCGCTCCCTAGGAATCTACATGGTGGATGGGTGGGGGAGTGAGTGTTTGTTGTCGGACTCACCGTTTTGGAAGTTGAAGAATGTCATGCTGAATATGGAGGCGAGCAGCGTCGCGGGCAGGAAGATGGATCCCAGCAAGGAGATGGTCTTCATCGACGTGCTGTCCCGCTTGCTCGCGTATGCCAGCCGCCGCTGGTCACCTGCCATCTGCAGGTTAAGTTTGGACTCCTTCTGGGCGATAATGTTGTAAAGCTGCCCAAATGGTAGCTGTTAGTCTCCCTTTTCGCAACCTGGGGGCTGAATCTGTCTGATTGCTCAAAGAAAAGGGAGTGCTTACCGCGCTCCGCTGGATAGCCAGCCTCTCAAGCGTAGTGTGGACATAGTGTTCTGTGCCTTTTAACTTGTTGTAATAAAATTCCAGCCTGCTGAGCATGCTCATCTGCTGTTTCTTCAGGCTTCTGAAGCCGTAAATGTCCTCGGCCCCGGATCCAGGCAGCACCTTTGCGGTCCGCTCCTCGGGCAGCGTCTTCAGGAACTTGTCCATGCCGTCCTTCATGGCGTTGATGATCTCCTGGTAGGCCTGAGGCCGCTTCCACAGGACCTGGGAGTGGCACTCGACGAGGTCGCGGTTGATCTGGTCGAGGTCCATGACGTCGGCCTTGACGTAGCCCTCCTCCTCCTGGATCTCGTTGCGCATGCTGACGGCGTGCTCGAGGCGGCGCAGCCAGTCGCGGGCGTCGCGCTGCTTCGAGTCGGTCTTGGGGCTCAGGTCGTGCGACAGGATGACGACGGGCAGCAGGAAGGGGTGCGCCACGTGCGCGGCGCACTCCTTGAGGTGCTCGATGCTCTCGGTCATGTCGCTCGAGTCGGTGCCCTTGACGTAGCCCGTGGTGACCCCCGTGCGGAAGTGGTGCGACAGCATCAGCTCCCACCCGCGCGTCTTGCCCTTCTTGCGCACGTCCGACTTGCGCATGATGATCTGCAGGTACGGGTCCTCGTCGTCCTCGCTGTCGCAGGAGCACCAGAAGAACGGCCCCACCACGGCGGTGCCCTCGATGGCGCGGTACGGCAGGTGGAGCGACCGGACCATGTTCTCGTACTCGGACCCCGTGAAGGATATCACATGTGGCGCAAAGGTCTCGGGGTGTTTGACTTTGAGCTGGAGGCTAGAGGCGGTGGCGCGTGTGAGTGAGTGAGTGAGTGAGGTAAGAGACATATTTGTCTTGGGCAGGGGGTTCTTTGCGCCCGGAAGACTGATATGAGAGGAATGGTGCAGACATACACTATTCTGCAGCCATTGATAAGCTTCACTCCCTCCTTGACCTTGGGCGGCGCGAATGCGCCCTATTCGAGTGAGATAGCATGTCAGCACTGAATTGTGTGAGATGAGAGTTTCGGGACGAGGAAGACAAGAGTGCGCCGTCTCGTGGGCCTTCCCCAATGGAGCAGAAGAATAGACGCTGACGCCATGTCATGTGTACCTTTCGTTTTAAAAAGTTGTCAAACTCATCCATCGTCAATGGGTGTTGCTCGACGGTGTTATAAGATGGGTCCTGAATATGGTCAGCCGAGACTCTCGAGAAAGCCCCCCTGTGAGTGTGCCAAGTTTGTTTGTGAGACAGAGACATACCGAGTAGTTGAAGATCTCCAGGTAGCTCGTGTCCTCGCTGACATTCCTGCACGCCCTGACATGGTTCTTGAAGAAGTAGTCGTCCATCTTGACGAGGTTTAATCATTCCAGGGTGTCCCCGTGAGTTCCTCCCGACGTTGGTGTCTCTATGCGAGCCGTTCCGCCTGCTAGTCCCGCCGCTCTTGATTCTATCTCACATAGGCCGTTGAGTCGAGGGGGCTGTTCATGCATGGTAGATGCTCGAAGTTGACCCTGGCCCCTAGCGTCGCATGCTGTATGTATATGTATGTAGAGTCAAGAAAATGAAGTATGCTAGGCTTGAACCTTTATCCCATCAATTCTTTTGGTATAAAACTAGCTAGAGGGAGGCAAATGCAAAATGGGTAAGGTGAGGGAAAAACAGAAAATGTCGGTCAAGGAAGTCTGCGACCAGAGACCGGCCATGCACGTTCGTTTTCTCACACGGCCAAAGTATCTGCGGCCGTCTGCATGTCAGTCCTGTCCGCACATGAATGTGTGTGTGTGTGAGTGAGAAGGGGAAAGCAAGGAAAAAATTAAGCCGCAAGGCTGCATGTACCGTGCGTGTAACAGGTCTAGATCTGGGAAAAAGAGAGGCAGCCAGACAAGAGTCGTCTGTTCTCCAATTTCCAGCCAGGTGTCAAATCTCCCATTCGCTGGATCCCGTCATCAAACCAAGCCGCGATGTATCGATTCATGAGGAGCCCGAAAATCAATCAATCCCGGTGGCGGGGATCTCCTATTGGGGTCGGAACGGGGGTGGCATCGGGGCATCTACGTATCTGTGCGGGGCTTTGCATCGTCCCCTTACCTTACGAGAGAGAGACAGAGAGAGAGCCTCCAAATCCTCGGGGCACACTCATACCTCCACTCACCCACCCAATGCTGTCCCGTAGCTGGAGAGAAGAGAGAGAGGAGCAACAAAGCTCTCCTCTTGCCCCAGCTAGCTCTTGGGCCTGGCCGGCCGTTGGGCCAATGCCCACACCTCACCCTTGCTGGCCCTTGCTGGTGAGCTGTATAGCTCCCGACAGAGAACGAGCTAGACCGTCCACAGTGGGGCCTACACACCTAGGTACTGGACCCCTGTTCCCCCTAAGGGTGCTTTGGGTGCTCTGATGCTCTGATGCTCTGGTACACTTGAAGTGCTTGCATATTCCCCAATTCGAATAGTATACACAGTGCACACCTAGAATACATGTACAAATCCAAATGCTGCCCATCATCGCAGTCATAAGTCCAGGGTCCAGAATGATCAGGTCGTGGCATGACTGAGGTGACATTGTTCTGCTACGCATTATCACCTGGCATGCTCTCGAGAACCAACTATTCTTCATCGTTTCCTCTCTCTCTCTTTCTCTTCTCACCATCGCCCCTTGTCTTCGTACTGATGCTTGTAGGTCTGTTGCTTCATGGTTCATCATAGGTAGTGATACTTGTAGCCATGCTTCTCTCTCGTCCCCTCTTGTTGTTTGTCCTACCACCCCCCCCCCCCGTCTTGACAGCGTCTTCCAGAACGTGTCCATGCTTGAACCCAAAAGCAACCAGGGCAGGACCTGCTTTTCCGTTTCCAAATTACACGACACTCGATACACCCAGCGGCGCGGTTGCGAACACACACACATCCCGCGCCTTCAAAATTGACATGGACCACCCCAAAGCCATGTGTTTGCCAGCTGCGCCGCACAACGCCGGGTTTTCTTTTGCACAGGCGCGACTATTAGTGAAAATTGACACTCATGACGCAGCCTGCAGTAGCTCGCCATCAATCCGACTTTTCTCGATCGTGGGTCTCGGCATGTTCTGTGCTCGCTACCGACGCATATTCTCGAGTTCTAAAAGTCGCCGAACATATGCCCGTAACTGCATTCACCGTCAGCACGCCTGTCACATCCTTGCACCGACCGCCTGAGAAAGAAAGTGGAAAGGTGGAGGGGAAACTCACTCATCATGACCTCCTTGGCCATAACGCTCAGGGTCCTCGGGGTACCTGTCGAATTGGCTGGCATCGCCCGCGCCCGCTTTGACAGGAGGCGTATATGGTGCATCGATATCCTTCCTCGCGAGCCGGTCCCATGTGACTTCGGCGAACCACGCGTGTTGTTTTACATCCTTGGGCCCACCGTACAGGTTGCCCAGCCTCTTCGTCAGGTCGGCTGTGATAAGTCTCTCTAGCAGATCCTGGGCGTCCGGGTTGATATAGGCCGGGTACTTTACTTTCCCGCGAAGGATGTTCTCGTAGATCTTCATTGGTGAGCCGCTATCCCAAAACGGCGTGTATCCACACAGCATTTCGTATATCAGAATTCCTAATGACCACCTGGATCCACCTGTTAGCACCAATCGACCTTTAAAAGAGAAGAGACGGGCCACGCACCAGTCCACCGACTTGTTGTAGCCTTTGTTGGACACCACTTCAGGCGCGAGGTAGTCAGGGGTACCGCATAGCGTCCACGTCTTGTCCGGAACCCGTTTGGCAAAGCCAAAGTCCGTGATCTTGAGGTGGCCATGCCGGTCAAGCAGCAGGTTCTCTGGTTTCAGATCGCGGTAGATGATATGTTTCTCGTGTAGGTATTCGAGCGCAAGGGTGACTTCGGCGGCATAGAATTTGGCGACAGGGTTGGGGAAGCGCTAATGAGCAGGGTGTCAGCGGAAAAGTATCCCCAGTCCGTTCATTATTCCCTGGGCGTGGGCCCTGGCTAGTTAAAGAGACAGACGTACGCCGGATTTCCTCAGCAACGAGAACAGCTCACCACCCTCGACGAAGTCCATCACCATGTACAGATTCTTCGAGTCCTGGAACGTGCCCCAGAGTGTGATCAGGAATGGATGCTTGACCTCGCCCAGCATCTTCCGCTCGTCGTTCGTGTGTTCGACCTGCTTCATCTTGACAACCTGTGCCTTCTTCAGCACCTTGACGGCGTAGAAGCGCGAGTTGTGCTTCGACTGTACGAGGTGTACCCTGCCGAAACTACCGGTTCCAAGGGTCCGTAGTATGTCGAAGTCGACGAGCGAGTATTTCCCTTTGGTCTGTCTCGACTGCTGCTGCTGTTGCTGCTGCGCCGCCGCGGCCTGTTGCGCCTGCAGTGCTTGGGCCGGGTTTTGCTGTTGTTGAGACATGGCGCCTGATGCTTGCGCGCCGGTTGCAGATTGGCCGTTCGCGGGCGGCTGGGGAAACCGGCCGTGGTTCAGCGACTGCGATTGCCCTTGCCCCGGGAGTGCTTGAGGTGCTTGTTGGGTGCCGTCATGCTGCGGGGGGTTGATGAGGTTGGCGATACTCGGTAGGTTCTGCGGGTCGGTTCCCGGCGACGGGGAATGGGCCGGAGGTGTGACACTGTACGGGGCAGCAAGGTGAGCAGTGGCGGGATTCATGGCCACCTTCGCGCCCTCAGATAACGGCCTGGGCGCCGGTGCGACCTTCTGCTGCGGTTCGGCGGACTGTGCTGACGGCGAGGTAGGAAGGGTAGAGTTGTCGAAGCTTCTTGCCGTGGTGGTGGGGGTGATTGGACTCGTGGGCTGACTGGCTGTGGAAGAAGGATCGGCCTCCCTTGTCCGCTTCTTCTTGAGGAAACCGAGGCTAGGCATGAAGGCGAATGCGATTCGGAAGCACAGGAGGTGCAGACGGCCCCAAGAATGGGCAGGAAAAGGGGTGGGCACGGAGGCACGGCGGGGTGCAGGGACGAGCAGGCTCGGGAAGCGGAAGCAACAGCGTCCCCTGGTCGTGCCCAGGTCGGCCGCAGGTGGGAGGGAGGTGGTGGCTTGTGATGAACCTTGAAAGGCAGGAGGAGGGTGTGGACCCCAGCTGATCTGAGGCTGCTTGGAGCGGCTCGTTGGTTGACTGATTGATGCAAAGCCAAATCACAGACAAGGAATCTCTAGGATGGCTGATTTGAGCCCTTGAAAGTCAGCAATCTGGGCTGTCTGATCTTGTCTTTCTCCCTCCTGCCAGCGCCGGCCACCCGAGTACAGGCTTGGCAGAAAGCGGCAAAGGAAAGTTTGGCAGCGGATGCCAGAAGCAGGGAATGTCTAGGCTGGGCCTTCTGTCTTGCCTGCTTCCTGTCTGAAGCAAGGAGAAGTAGCGATGCTGTGCCAGGGTTGGACAGATGCTGCCAGGTGCACAAGGTTAATCCAATACACAGGCAGAGCTTGCCACTGCTTCAGGTGCTGCAGGCCTGTGCCACAAAGAAAGCGAGCCAGTTTCTAAGGTCCGTACCTGTGTAGGATAATAAAGGTTGGCCGGAACGACTACCCGCAGGTCATTGAGGGTTTTGGAGGTGAGGGTGGATGGGTTTCCGGGTTGCTTGCTTTCCTCTCTCTCCTCAGGCAAGTCTGGCGCTCCTCGAGGCCGGAAGGGATGCAGACAGATTGCCCCTCCCTTGCTGACCAAGGTGGGTTGACCAAGGTAGGTGGATTCGCTGCTGGCCGGCTGGGTTGGCTGGCCGGCGGGTGGGCTTTTGGGCACGAACCTGGCGCGGCTTTCTGTGAGAAGGCTGAGGCCGTGTTGAGGCTGGGTACGGTACGCTGGTGCTGCTGGCGGTTGTGGTGGTGCTGGATCTGGGGGATCGCTGAGGCTGCTCGAGTCAATTGTCGCTAAATCAGGACATCCCAACGGATGCTCGAGTCGAGGCTTGGGCAGTCAGGAGTCAATTCGAAAACGCCGCGCAGGTCTGACCGACGAGACTGGACGAGCTGGTGAGCCAGGGTCCCAGGTGCCGTGGGGATGCTGAGCTCGAGCTGTGGAGAGTGGGAGTGGAGCGCACACGTCTAGGAGGGGTTTGTAGCGCTGCGCATGGGCAGGGGGACCTCAAATCTCGCAAGAGTAGAATTGCGCACAGCAGAAGAGGGTGGGATAGAAAAGCTTGGATTGGTGCAACAGCCGTCGCGAGCTGGATTGGCGCCCACAAACAGGGTGGTTGACACTCAGGGTAGCGACCGATTGACTTCTGGGGTATCGTATAATCCGTGTAGTATAGTTCAGCACGGTGTGGTGCAGTACGATGCTGTGTAGTTATAATATGGCACCGTATAGTATAGTGTAGTATAATGCAGCAGGGTGTTTTGATGATGCTGCAAGGAAGCTGTAGGATCGGGCGAGCCAAATGAACCGGGGGAGCTGTTTTACGGCGCAAGAAGAGGTTGAAGCTGGAGCTGGGGCTGGAGCTGGGAGGGGAGGAGGAAGGAAGGGATGATGAGAGAAGCAAGGGCCAGAGTCAAAGGGTTAGCCGCGGGGCTGCTCAAAGAAGAGCGACGGACGGATGGACGACCTCGACAGCACAACAGGCACAGCTCAACAGAGCTCAGCACAACCCAGGAACTGGACTGGACTGGACTGGACTTTGACTTGACTTGACTTGAACTGGGGCTGGGCCGGGCTGGGCTAGAGACAGGGCTGGAATGGGGGATCTGGACGACGACCACTGTGTCTCTCTGGCCTCTCTGGGCCAACTGGTCACCGTCCCGTCGCGGATCCTAGACATTCTCTTCATCCCTTGTTTGGCAGTGGCGCCAGCGGGCAGTAGTAGGTAAAGCCTGTGTGCCTGAGCCCGACCATGTCACCCCAGCCGCAGCTGTTAGCAACCATGCTCTAACCTCTCGAGCCTCAAGTGGCCAGGAGATCTCGAGCTATCTCTGGCCTCACGGCTCGATGGGGTCAGGAGGCAGCGGTCGATTGGCGGGCAGGGGTCGTTTGATCAACAGGTGTGGACAAAAAGAACTTCCGAGCCCACAAAAGCTAGCAATCGCCGCCGTCTGCCCGTACACGGCGAGACCAGTCGGCGCAGCTGCGGGTTGGCGCGCACGGTGCGATTGTGGGAGTGTGGGAGCTGAAGAGACAGGTTTGAAGCTGTGGACAGGACCAACAGTCCTTCCTGCCCAAGGCCTGTCCCGCCAGCTCGTCCTCATAGGATTGGAATGCAGATGTAATAAAAAAGCAAAAGTCTGGGGATCGCTAAGAATGGGCTCCATAGACCTGTCTCTCACTCCAACTAATCTGAGATCTACCCGTTCTGCCGTCCCGCCGCACCCGAAATGCAAACGCTGCGCTGCCGAGGCCGCTTATCTTATCGCCCGACGAGAGCAACTAGACTACCTCGACTAGCCAGTCCCGAGGTCTGCCGTACCGTGGCTGAGATATGGCACATGCATAATAATGTACAAACGGGCAGCCAGGCCTGCACAGGCTAGGTCATGGCTTCACTCCAGCACATGCTTGTCTGTCTGTTCCAATACACCGGCAACATGGGCCAGCAACAATGGAGTGTTATATACTTTTCGCTTTCAGATACCTCCTGAACTCCCAGGAACCGAGCAAATGACCAAATCTGCCTACTTCTTCTCATGGACACGTACGTAGGTAATGCCAACATCAGTGACTGCAACCCGTCACCTCAACCCCTCTCCAGCTGCCATCCCCTTAGAATCTGCTCTTCCGCAGGCTGTTGGCCCTCCATGCAGTATAACCAACATATGCTCCGCCAGCCACCAGTCCAAATATGATGATCTTCATGAAGAACCATGTCCAGCTGCTCCCCTGCTTCCTCTTCGGCCCGCCACCCTTGCCCTTCCTGCGGTTGCTCCCGGGAGTAGACGACGGGTTCGAAGCATACAGGTTCTTGGCGCTAATCGACACAATGTCGTGGTTGTCGCTCAGCTCGCCCGTCTCAGAACTAAAGCCCAGGTACGCGACATTGGGCAGGGACGGTGGCTCGTTGGTCTCGAAGCACAGCACCCAGTCATCCTCGTTCTTGTACTGCAGTTCCAGCTTCAGCTGCTTGTCCTGGAAGTAGACGAGGCGGAACTTGGTCGGAACGTTGGCGTGTCTAATGCCCCTGGCTGAGCACCCTGCAAACTCCTGGAGCTTTCCGTCCGTGTTCTTGTCATACGAAGTCTTGCCGTCGCCCACCATTGCCATCACGTACGGGAAAACGGTGCCGGGCCTGTTGTTCTTGTACGTGTCGAAGAAGATGCCGAGGCCCTCAAAGTTGTCGACGCTGCCGAACACGGGGCCCATTTGCGCCCGCTGTTTCGTGAGCCACATAGCAAATCCATCGCCGAAGAGCTGGTTCTTGCCGTGAATCTTGAATTCGACCTCGATCTCCCAGTTTGTTGCTGTCAAGGGTACTTTGGACCACAGGTGGCCCATCTGGGAGGGACGGTCGGAGGTCAGGCGGATATACCTAGGCTGGTCGTCAGAAGCAAGTTCAAGCCTTCGCTTGGCAGTATGTGGCGCAATACTCACGCATCGGTCCTCACAACTGCATCACCGCCAAAGTCGTACCAACGACTTTGCATGTCGGAGTCTAGATAGGGCTGAGGGATCGACCAAGTTAGTCCACTGGTTGTCGCGTGATACTGCGGCGTATGGGATCTCGCACCTGTTGCAGAGTATGTGTCCGCAGCTATATGAAGCATTATCAGCATTTAGATTCTAGAATTCCCAGTGCACAAGGGTGGGAGAACCGTACCGCGATGCTCTTGATGGTGTTCCCGTCATCATCTGTCCTGACTGCTCCCCAAGCGAGTGTCGCCAGCCCCAAGGCTGACAAGCACGCGCTGAACCACATGGTAGAAGAAAGGCACTGCCAGAAGAGATGGAAGAGAAACTGGGGAAAGAGAGCACAGAATTGGGTTGTCGCGCAAGGAAATGCGGGCAGTGGCCGCTCGCTTGGTGGTTATGTGGTCGGCTGGTAAAGTCCAGGTCAGACGTGAATCCGACGTTGGTGCGCTCGCTCCTCCAATGTTGCAGCTTGAATCGCTAGCTGGCCTCTTTTTCTGCAGGCATGGGCTATCGAATCTGGGGTCCGGGAACAGCTGCCTGCCGTTTGAGCGGCGCCCAGCTGCCCAGGTGGGAGCGAGAGCTATACCCCTGCAGTAAAGTTAAAGACAGGGGCCCCCAGAGATAGCCGAAGCCGAGACGAACGGCGCCGCACCGCCACAGCTCTAATGGATTTTCTCGAAGGCCGATGCCATCATTGATCTCCTGCGACAGCCTTGCAAATAATCAACACTTTCTCTCTTTGCGCTTTGCCAATTGAAGCCCATAAGACCCACCATGGACTCCAGTACGATCAAGGAGACAGTCATGCGCCAGGTCCAGCTCGAGTCCAACACCTCGAACGCCAGAATGCTCATCGAGGTGCGCCTCTGCCCCACGGAACTCTCAACTTCACCTTGCGCCGCTAACACCACAGGCAGAAAATGAACGAGACCTGCTTCGAGAAGTGCCTCCCAAAGCCTGGATCATCTGTTTCGAGCGGCGAGCAAACATGCTTCACGTCATGCATGGAGGTGAGAAGCGAACTCCCGGGCACCGACCTGATGCTCCCACCAAGGGGCTGGCAGGTTGGATCACACAATTCCACGCACACTTATTGACGGGCGGCCATAGAAATACATGAGTGCATGGAACAGAGTAAATGCTGCGTACATTCAAAGGATACGACAAGAACAGTCGGGATTATAGGAGAGATGCCAGAATCGAATTGGAACCGGTTGGGAGGAGGGGGAAGGGAGGGCGAGGCTCGGAATCATAAGCAGACACGACAGCTCGCAGGGTTTCCAGAAATCCGCGAATCGATTGCTGTAGGCCCCTGAAGGCCTGATGGGAGTGGGTGGCTATATACTAGGTTGGATCGATTCAAAAGCCCAGGAGAGGTATCGTCTCTCGAGAGAATACGGGAGTGTACCATATAAGCACCAAGAGGACTCAGCGCGGCTTGTAAAGTGGCATGCTGCGTGATATAGACATTAAATAAGATCTCAACACTTCAAACTCCTTTCTTTATTTCGGGGTATCATTCTCGTTCATCTATGGTCCGTCCTGCTGGCCATTCTTCTTGGCCTCCTCCGCAGCCCTCTTACGGGCAAGGTATCTCTCTTTGGCACTCGATATATCTGCGTTAGTCTTCCTGGACTTTGTCTCCTGTTCAACCTTCTTCCTCTCCTCTTCTTCCTCCTCGCGGGCCCTCTTGAGTGATTCCTCCAACTGCGCCTCGAGCATGCGGGTCTGCCTGTCGCGCATGGCCTGCTTGCCCCCGGAGGCAAAGTGCCCCTTCGAGTGATCGCGGGATCTTGAGTCTGATGACGAGCGGCCCTGGTCCTTGGGCGCCTCTGTCTTCTTCTTTGCGCCGAGATTGAGACCACCCTGGAGCAGTTGGCGCTTGTCGACGACTTCTCCGTCCTCGTTGACCATAACCGCGCCCCCTTTCTCGTTGATCTCGCGCGCCACGTCTTTCTCTGTCCTGTCCTCCTCATTCCCTTCGTCTTCTACTTTGGGAATCCCACCCGGTACCGCCGATTTAGAAACCATCTTTTCCATGTCCGCTCTGAGTTGATCCTCGCGTTCGAGAAGCTCCTTGTGGAAACCCGTCATACCGCCAAACTTGTTTTTCTTTCTCTCTTCCTCTTCCCTCCTCTTCTCCTCCTCCTGGGCTATCCTGTCTTCCTCCTGCTTCCGCTTGTACGCCTCTGTGACGAACTTCTCCTTGTCTGCGAATTCATCGCCCTCGGCCTCCCTCTCCCTCTGAATCTTTTTGAGCTCTGCGATTGAACGATCCCTTTCTCGTTGCTCGGCCGCCTTGGTTACGTCTGACATGTACCGCGATTTGCGTTGCGCAGTCTCTTTCTTGATCTCAGCCTCGCGCTGCTTCTTCGCGGCTTGGATGACATCGTGTGCAGCATCGTAGTCGTAAACTGAGGGATCGAGAGCCTCGGCCGCTTCAGCATATTTCTTGGAGGTCAGCGCAGAGGAGAGATCGCCAAACTGCCGGCTGGAATCGACTTTCGATTTGAGCTTCGGCGGCTCCTGTGGTATTCTGCCTTTCTTGTGTTTGGATGATGCTGCATCATCTGCGGTACTTGTCGTCGCCGGTGCGAAGCCGTCGAGCTCTGTGATGGTCTCTTCATTCTTTGACGCATTTTGGGCTTCGTCGTCGGAGTCGTCGCCGCCGCCGAACGCTGCCTTTCGCGGAGGAGGGCGGGACTTGGCTGGCCCTGTCTTTTTGCCCAAATTGAGCCCGAAGGATAAACCGGGCTTGCTCATGGCGACTTTGTGGAAATAGTGTAAATTTGAAGACTGAGAGCTTGCAGGTGGAAAAGCGATGCGCACGCCTGCGTTTTGGAGAAGCAATGAGCGCACCAGCCACGATTTCCCCACACACGAGGCCCATGTCAATCCATCCCATGCTTGCCCCCTTGTGCAGCTTGCAGCTGCCCCACACAATCGGGTAGACTATGAGTTGACCAGCACGTATTTTCCTACTGGCTGACCTGCTATGGCATGTCTTCGTGTGGGATAATCTCCCATGAGATGGCCTCCTATGGAATGACCTCCTACGGGATAATCACCTGCGGGATGGTATACTCTCTGGGATGAGTTCCTATCTCAGGGGATGATTTGCTGTAAAACAAATCTCTACATGATAGTGTTGTTTTATATGGTGCGAAATAATCTGTACAATAAACTAAGTATGGGTCTTTGGATCGCTTCCTACACAGTACATACCTAGGTAGCTGTAAGTATTGGGGTGTGTGCAGCCTCCTCCGCTTACACCTGGCATTCGCAATTGTCAATTCTGAGATGACAAGTGAATTTCCGCCGTCCGATTTAATTTCACTAAAACCTGGCTACAGACTTGCACTTTCTTCTTATAATTCATCTCGGAACAGTATTCAAATATACTTTAGCAAGAACTCAGCGACCTGCTTATAACCCCTCTCATACTCCCTCGCGTTCTTCTCGTCAGACAAATTGGCACGAGCTCCCATCCAGCCGTGGAACATGGGACGAGCATATGTCTCGACGTGGCCCTCCTTACCAGGCTTCGAAAGGATCTCCCTCAGCTCAGCAACTGCCTCGGCCGGCTCATCAGGAGAGGCAAGGCAGATGTGAGGGACAGTCAAAGCCGCGCCGTCGGCAGGGTCGAGAGCGCTGTAAGAAGGAGTCCATGTCAGCATCATCCCTCACAAAGAGAAGAGTATATGCCCAAGCAGAGACTCACCCAGGATGCGCCGTCCAACTGGCATTGAACTTCCTGCCCGCGCCCTCGTTGCCGGGACCACACGCCAGCACAGAGATCTTGCCTCCCCAACACAGTCCGCCGACAACCACGTGGGGCTCTACGCTGGGATACTTCTCCCCGATCTCCTTGCGCACCTCCAGGAGCTTCCCGACCGCAATCCCGGCGTTCCCATGGCCGGCCCTGAAGTCGGCGAACAGCTTCTGCTTCTCCGGGGTGTCTGGGGGCATCCACTCGGGCTTGACATAGTATCCCTCGAGGAGGTCCGGGAGGAACACCAGGCAGTCCCCGATGTGCTCCGCCAGGCGGTCGGCGCCCTGGATGGTCTGGTTGGCGAATCCAAAGACATCGTAAATGTCGATGACAGCTCTGGTGGCGTTCGCCGGGCCAGTCACGTCTGTCGAGCTTGTGAGACTTCTGTGTTGCGGGTTTGGGGCGAGGAAGCCATGACTTACAGGTCTTCAACCCGGCGATTGTCTCATACTTTCCCTTCTCGGTATATTCCGCGGAGACAGGGGGTAGTTCCATGCACGCCTTGCAAGACATCTTGAAATTTGTGCTGCTCTTTGTAGATTCTGTGAAAGAGAAGAAAGACAATTTGAGTCAATGAGATTCTTGCAAGTCAACAAAGCTGGCAATTGCTCCAATGCGCCAAATGAGGGTGATACTCGAACTATATCTATGAGACCCAGGGCATAAGCCTAACCGTTGCAACTGCCGAAGAAGGCACCGGTGCGCCGGTGCAGGTCGGACTTTATCACCCGCCTCCTTAAATCCGGGCCCGTCTCCCGATGTTGGCAGAGTATCGGAGCCGAAAACGCCTAGGTTCACGATGGTGGAAGTGTTCATCGAGCAGCGAGTCCGAATACGGGACAGAAACCGACTCTTACATTCCGTTGGCCCAACCGTCGCGACCCAGAGAAGAGATAGGAAAACCCGGACTAATCAACGCCGCCACGCCAATACAATGCTGTGCCGTATATTCCATCGTACATCCTCGCGGTAAGTATGTCTACAATAACGCCTGACCCATGAACATACTCTCCTTGACCTCCGCAACCACATCCCTTCTGTCGTCCTTGCCGACAATCACAATACCCCTGCCGCCGCGCGTGCCCTTCCTGCCCACTCTGCCCAGCCGGTGAATAAAATCAATAGTTGTGTGCGGCACATCATACAAGACCACGTGCCTCACGCCCAGGGTGTCGATACCCCTGGACGCCAAGTCCGTCGCCACAATGACCTTGGTGTTCTGCAGATGCCTCTTGCCCTTCACGGGGCTGGACTTCTCAACGTCGTCTAGCTGCCTCTTGATGGGCACCGGCGACGTGAACGTGGCCAGCATCTCGCTTTGGCGCTGCTCGGGGGTGTCGCGGTGCAGGGCGACGGCGTCGACGCCCTTTGAGACGAGGAAGTCGGCCACCTCCTGCGTCTTCTCCCGCTCGTTGACAAAAACCATGATGCGCTTCACGTCCACCTCACCCGGTACCAAGCCCTCATGCATCGAGGCGCCCTTGCCGATCGACCAGATCGCATCCGCGCATGCGAGATTCTTGTTGTTGCGGTAAGGGTCCTTGCTCGCGTCAATCACGCCCAGTTGCACACGCCTCGGGATGGCGTGGAGATTCGGCGTCGCGATGCGGTTCATCTTGGGAAACGTCTTGGCAAGGTAGTGGTCCAGCCTCTTTGGGATCGTAGCGGAGCACATGATCAGCTGCTTGAGAGACGGCATGGCTCGATCCATAATGCTCGTCGTTACGGAGCTGAAACTCCGGTCGAGCAGGGAGTCGGCCTCGTCGACGACCAGATGCGATACCCGCGACAGGACGTTGGGGTCCGACTCTGCGATAGATGCTAGGAGGTGAGGTGTGGCGACAACCACATCTAACCCCTCGTGCCTGTAGATCCGGCGCTCAATAACCTTGGCGTCGAAGTTGGCTGATATCTTTTCCACCTTGAATTTGACCGAGTGTGACAGCTTCTTGGCCACCGCGCCCACCTGATCAACGAGTTCGGCGGTGGGCACCAATATTATGATGCGCGGCCGGGCTGTAGTAGGATGCGGCTCCATTAAGGACTTGCCCTTGTACCTCGGATCAGCCCGCAGGGCCTTCTCTTCCTCGAATCGCTTGTTGTATGCCGCAATATCCTGGTCCTCCGCCTCAGCGATCTTCATAGCATTGACAGAGGGAAGCAGATAAGCCAGCGTCTTGCCCGACCCCGTCTCAGCGGCCAGCAAGAATTCCTGTCTTGCTTCGCTAACGATAGGCTTTGTCTTCGTACGCCTAGGCGCACCAATGCGTTGACCCAGAAGAGCCGGAATCGCGAGCCTCTGTACCGGCGTGGGCTGTATCTCGGCCTTTTCACTGAACATGTCCTTCAGGACCCCCTCCTTGATCGCCGGCAGCAGGTCAAACTGGTCGAAGCTTTCCACCTCTTTCATCCGGTCTTTCAGATTCATTCTCTGTCCGTAGCTGAAGGATGTCAGCGCCCGCTGCATCCGCAACGCCTTGAATCTGGGCTTGTCTTCTTTGCCGCCTCGTTCTTTGCCATCTTTTTCGTCCTTGTCTCGGTTGCGCGCCTGCGCTATCCGCCGCATGGGGTCGATGTTTGCGACTGTCCTGTTCATGCCCGAGAAGGGGCCATCGACTGCTCTCCGCCGGGGTTTTCTGTCTCCGTCGTCAGTTTTGCGGCGCGTGACGCTGTCGGAAAGCACCATTCGTGAGGGCGTGGAGCGCTTTTGCCTGTAGCTCGAGGCGAATCGGAAGCTGGCCCACGGCTGGGGGAATGCATTTCGAATCGCTGGCCTCCTCGATTCGAGGGCACACCGACAAAGCGGACATAACGTGTCCGATAGAGTCTTCCCAAACATGACTGACAATATTGGCTACGAGCTCTGGGCGCAGCAATCGAAAAGATGGAGGACGAGCTCGAACTAGATCTACTTTCTGGAAATTTTTGGTCAGGGAAGCATCCCTGCTGCAGATCCAACGGCATGGAATCAGGGTTCCCCATGCGGGAGTGTGGACCAGGCTAGGTCAACACCATTAACATCCATCACCATCACATTCAATGCAACAATTTGGGCACCGAGAGGCAGGCCTTTCTTGCATCTCAAAAAGGAAAGGAAAAAACATCGTATTCACCGCTATCATCATACATGCCAAAATGTTCATACTACCATGCTTGACGCCCACAACTGCAGACACGTATGCATCCGAGCGCATGAGAAAACGCAACCGGTCCTTCCAATATGGGGCAGCTCCCTTCCTCACTCCAAAGTATTTGTTAAAAAGTGAGATGTGAATTACCAGACTCATTCTTCTCTTCGCAACAATCGCCATGCATCATCTCTGAGATCTACACCCTTCACATTCAATATCCAAGCGGCTCCAATTGCAACCAGGGCCACGCCGGTTGCGATGAGTCTAAGACGAACAACATCAATGGGAGTGTCTTGTCTGGCTGTCAGGGGGTGGCTTCTTACGTAGTCTTGCGCCTGCCTCCACACAGCCTACTGACGAAACCACCAACCCAATCGACAAAGATCAGCCTGAAAAAGGCCGAGAACCAGTTCCCATTCTTGGCCGCCTCCCATTCATTGTCCGGGATAGGAGCTGGCGTGCCGGACCTATCTCTGGAGGGGGACTGATGGGCAGATCGCTTCTTCAACGAGGAAGGCTGGTTACCCTCAATCGCAGAAGATGTGGCAGCCGGCTCGCTTCGAGAACCAGTCTCATCCTGACTGTCGCTTGGAGCGGGAGTCTCAATATCTTTGTGCCCGTTCTCAGTGGATGACGCGGCTGTCTCAATGTCTTTGTGCCCATTCTCGGTGGACGACGGGGCTGTCTCAACATCCTCATGGCCGCTCTCGGTGGATGATGGCACTGGTTCAATATCCTTGTGCCCATTTTCAGTAGATGACGGACCTTGATCAAGCTCTTCTTGAGGCGCTATGTCCTCAGCTTTGGACACAACGATCTTCGGGCTTGGTGGTACGGGCAAAGTCGGCTCCGGCTCCGCCACTGGAGCTGAGTCTTCAACCGGTATGGCGGTGTTTGGAGCAGGTTCATTCGGACTTCCCGGCTCCTGGAGCTTCGGGGTCGCCGCTCTCTCCGGCGTCAAATAACCGGACTGTCCATTTTCCATGCTCTTATCCTTTTCCTTATCATCTCTCATCACGACAGCCTCATCCTCGACACTAACTGGAGAGATGAGCTCATTGCTGGCTTTGGCCGATGGACTTGGAACCGTCACCACCGGCCGTGAGGTAGGAACTTCCAGAGGAACATCACCCTCGGCGTTTCTCGCCACCTTGATGGCCTCATCGGCAGTTTGGGCTTGCTCGACGATCGGCGCGATTTCTTCGGCTGTTGTAGCCTCATCGGCAGTTTGGGTTTGCTCGACGATCGGCGCGATTTCTTCGGCTGTTGTAGCCTCGGCCTCATCATCTTCAGCTATAGAACCGAGAGACACAACCGAGAGAGAACGCTCGCTCTTAGCCTCTTGGGGTTGTGACAACGGCAGAGACAAGTGCTGTGATCCCTTAGAGGACACTGGACTCGATTCTGGAGAGTGGTGTTCTCCATCGCCCGTGCTTGCACTCTTTGATCGGAAGACAGGAGATGGCGGAACGCCCGCGTTCAACGTTTCATTCGCGTTGAGGCCGGTTTCCACCTTTCTGACAGCAGCCATTATCTCGCTTCTTGACGAAGGGAACTGCTCGAGTGTCGGATCTTCAAAGTCATCCTTGTCTTGGCCACGGATGTTTCCATTCACAATCTCGGCTCGTCCGTCGTCGTCTGGTACTCCAGGGATCTCATCTTCTTCATAAAGACCCGCACACTCGTCTACAATGTGTTAGTGTCCCATCGTGAGGCTATAACCAGACTCCAGGAGAAATCCTCAAAGTCAAGTACTTATCGGGGTAAGCAACAAAGCTTAGCTTATACGTACGGGCAAATAAGGGCGCTGGCTCCGGCTCGTGCTCCGGCTCGTTACTATACCCAGCGACATCAAGGTTCTCGTTCCGAAGGTCCTCTTTGACGTCCGCAATTGTCTCGTGTGCGGGTATGGCTGTCTCGGTGTGCTCTTCGGCCTGACGAGATTATTAGCTCCAAGGTCCGGAGGCTAGGAAGAACAAATCTCACTGGTTGATCAGGTTGAAGGTCGCTTACCAAGTCATTATCGAGATCTTTGGCGGTGTCAGCGACCTCGGCGGCCGTATTAGCAGCCTCTTGAGCCGCAGCAGGGGCAGTCGCATCTATGGCTTCGGGCTCCGGTGTGGGCGGGTCGACCAAGGCAGCTGACTCCGCTACTTCTGCGGCAGTTCTCGCATACTCGGGAGTGCTAGTTCCCGATCGATCGACCTTCTCGGCCTCCTTGAGAGCCTCGAGTCTTGCAACAGGCTGCGGATGTTGGATATGGTTGGCACCGGACTCTTCGGTTTTCTCCGTAGCTTGAACTGGCTCCTCCAACTTAGTCTCTTCCGCAGACGGAGCTTCGATGAAGTTGTTTCTGTTGCCCGCATCGTCGGTCACTGTGTGCCGTTAGCCAAGGGTAAGAAGACAGTGGTGTCGAGTAAAATACCAGTAGGTGCGCTCTCATCAAGAACCCACCAGTCCCCAGGGCCGACACGGAACTTGTATTGAATCTTTGAGTCGGGCTCGACGTCGAACTTCTTGGAGAAGGTAATTTTTCCATCCTCATCGGTGGTATAATCCATCTCCTGAGGCACCCATTGTGGGTTGGAGAAAGAGCCGGCAACGAAGAGTGGAGGCTGGGTTTGAGGTGCTTGGTAAACGATAGTGATAGGAACTTTCTTTTCCGCCATGATGCAGACGCTCAATTGAATGGCAGTGCGGTTCTCGAGGTCATACAACGGGGAGAAGCTCTTGCGTTGATGGCGTGGTTCGTGGTGGTGCTTCAAAGGACAAGGTCGGGCGGAGGGCTAATACCACACAGCATGGGCAACAGGGGGCTGGTTGATAGCTTGGAGTCTGCCAATATTCACTGTCAATCGACCTGAGGGACAATGCAGAGATGAATGACGAGTGTTTTGATGGAAGACAAATGATGGCAGGGCAAGAAAGATGTTTCTGGGAAGTTTTTGCGCGTTGGGAGTGCTAGAATTCTAGGGGAGGGAGGTGGGTGTGGGCAGTGGCTTGATCAGCTTGTTTGGCAGACGCATGAGCTACGCCCCGAGCTTGTTTCCCACCTTGGACTTGGTTTGCGGGGCAGCTTTCTGGGGACTGCATGGGGTCGAAAAGTGGCTTTCGACTTTTGATTTATGGAGCTGCGTGACAAGTACTGCGTGGTACTCGGTACTCAGTAAGCTCGACCCGGGTGTAACTTGCCAGAGAACGCCTGGCGGCTAGAGATGACAATGGAGATGGTTGAAGGATAGAGAGAGCTCGAGCTCGAGCTTGACTACCAATGGAGCTTTTGTTCACACCCACCGGTCCAATGACGGGGGAAACGGTTGAGACCAATGTGGGCTGAGGCCTGCAGTCTGTTGGAATCGAATCCTGCGGCTAGTGCTGCGTGCATGTAATGTGTTCGGCCAGCGGCAGGATTCTTTCGTTGTACCTATTTAGGGATCCAATTTCCAGCCAGCCAGCATAGCAATTGAGCCACTGGAATCTTGGTCGTGCGTAGGCCCTGCTTGTCTGTCACACTCACGCTCATCGACATCGCAAGGTTCCATGTCACAATTACATCGTATGGCGGCGGCTGGCGCTGCGTACGCTGCCGCTACTGGTCAGCCGTTTGCGGGCAACTCAATGGCTAAGATGCAGCTACTCAGATGCACGCCCCCCGCCTCACCAACCCAGGTTTCATGAAGTTGTTGAGACATTGCATTGATGTCACTGTCAGAAATAGCTTGTGAGCTCCCTAGTAGGTGACTATAAAACAAGCGTCGCTCAGTTGGAATTTCGCACAGAAGATAATCTATTGTCAATTGTTGCAAACACGCTTTTATGGACCAGCACCTGAGAATCACATGTTAGAGAGAGGCCCAAGCTCCACGTCCCGTCGTGGTCAGCACATGAGCGTTCGTGCCTTTATTATGGAGCGAACATCACCCTGCTCTAAGAGCGAGGTTCAGAACACAGCTCTTCTGAGGGCATCGTGATTCCCATTCCAGAAATCACTGAACATTTTTCAATGTAACTTTGCAACCAGGTACAGAGGTACCTGAGCAGGTACGCAGATGGGGACGAAATGTGTTGTTCGGTGGAGTCAACATGGCTACGTCACCTCGCGAGCAGGGGTGTCGATAACGATAAGACAGGGGTCTTGTTGACTTTCCCTCCCAGAGACTGGAGTGGACCACTTTTTTTTTCAACCTTGTGCTGTAAGCAAGCCACGCTCCAAATCGACATTCCCTCAGCCTCGTCGCATTCCCCCCACCATTCCAACACGAGTCTCCTGCCCGTCTTGTTGACTCCTGCCCCAGACCCTCAATTCTAATTCCGAGCGCTGCAGACTCTCGAAATGTCGCTTCCGCCTGAAATCATCCAGGTCAAGCGCTTGGTAAAGAAGCGCAAGGCCACCGATGACGACGATGACGGCGTTGTTGATTTCCTTCGTTCGTAATATCCATCGCATCTTCTGCATTGCTGTCAGCTTCATCGTACTGACTGTCGCAAAAGGTGTCGATGGCGACAGGAAGCGTGCACGTGGCAACGACTACATTTACCAGAGAAGGACCGACGGTCCGCCCGATATTGAGAGCAGCACCGGTCGCAAGCCACCCAGTGGTCTCCTACCCGTGATCCACGCGTCCAAGCCCGGCGACGAGAATCATAATGTCAAAAAGTCCAACCATGCACAAGAATCCAAACCCGTCGCAACGCCGAGACCCCTTCCAACATCACAAGACGAAGCACCCGCAGCGCCTTCAACCCAAACAGGGGCACACAGCGTGTCCAAACTTAAGGCCGCTACTGAGCCTCGCAAATTTCATATGTCTCGGGCATCACTTGTCCCCTCACCCCTCTTCAGCCCAGGCGTGACCACGGGAAAGAGATCCCGGTATAAGACCCCGACAACTGTCTTCGTGGAGCGCGGTCACAAGAGGACGAGGACGGAGGATGTACAGATGCACGATGCGGACAACTTCCAGACAGCCAAGAGCCATGGGAATGATGACACGCATGCGAGAAAACAAAAGCTACCCGGCGCCGACCGAAAGGGAGCAGAAGGCAAGCATGCCCAAACGGTAAAGAGACAGGTTCCAGAGTCGCTCCGGAAGGAACAGGATTCCGATATGGACGAGATCACGCGAAGCATGAATGAATTTGTCCTGCAACAGATTGGTGAAAATCTGGCAAAGATTGAGGAACGCGACCGGAAGGTAAAAGCAGCAGCGGCGAAGAGGGCGTCGTCAGTCACGTCACCACAGTCGTCCAAGTTCAGGCCCAAGGCACCCTCGAAGCGTTACGCAGAGCGCCATCCGGAGGTCGCAACTGCGCAAACGAACACTACGTCAGCTATGCCACACCAAGATGAGTACGAGAGCCTCAGTGAAGATGAATATGTCATCGAGACCTACGTACGTGTTGCAGCCGAAAGTTTGGGCAAAGACCTAGCCGCAGAGAAAGTCGGCTTGCTTGTCTTCGACAATGAGCCTGATGTGGATTTCTTTTACGGAGAGGAGGGTGACAGCGACGATGAATGGCCTGAGGACGACGAAGATGAAAATGGTAAGCCCGCGACACGCTCTTGACCTAGCTCGCATCGTAGACGATTCACCTTTACTAACAATCGTGCAGCGGAGGACTACTACGCTGCCGACTATCCCGATGAGGAGGTCGACTCAGAGGACGAGTACAACCGTGCTGCGTACCAGTATCGCACCGGTAATGCGTCTGACCTGGAAGAGTTTGACGAGCGAGAGGATGGCATCATTCTTGACTACGGCGTAGAGAGAGATGGGGAGCCCGACTCTTCCCTTGCGCGCTTCGGTGCTCGACCGCCTGGCGCATTTAGGGGCTCTTGATTGAAAGAGGCGTCGAAGAAGGCTAGGCCACAAATTTTGCTCAACTGCCCTCGGCCAGAAAGGCTACAGCGCTCTTGACATGCAGGGGCCTCCTGCGAACATATCCATTGGTTCAAGTTCGGTTGATTTGTACATACATGTACACTTACAGCTAATTTGCTGACCGGCTCTGACCGCAGAGCCATTATGAATACTTAGAATACCCATGCCGCCGTTGTTTGAATTCGACTTTTAAAACCAATTGTCACCATCCTCCGCGTCAAACTTGGCAGTGCCCCACCCTTCCCATTATGCGCACGAACATACCAGCCTTTCTATAGCAATAGCGAAGTGAAAGGGTTCGAAACAGCCCAGCCGTCTTCGTACCGAACAGGATTTGCAGGCAGATTGCCTACAGGGGGAAACGTATCAGTCCTTCTCCGCAGAAAGCAGCGCGCAAGCGTTCATCAGCTCCGGCAGCGCCTCATCTTCCTCGCCCTTCACCTTCGAGGTCTTGCTCTTGGCGTTGGGCGGGTTTGTGTGCTTGACCCTCTCCTCCTCGTTGTCGGGCGTCCATTGTGGCACGCCCCTTTCCCTTCTCTGCTCAGCGCGGATCTCGCCTGTTTGCACAATGATGTTAGCCATGAATTGCTTTTCTAGGTGCGCGCTATGGGTTGTTCCTCGAGTGAGGAGGGAGCCGCGTGGCTCGGATGTCCGATACTGGCTAAGTCCCTGACTCAAAATTGAGGGTGAGGGGAGGGTATAAGAAAAAAGCAGCACTTACAATATCTCTTGGCGCGCGCGTACACCTCGGCCTGTCTGCCTTGCGGCACGAAGTGCTTGACAAACTCGTCCCAGTGGTAGATGACCTCCTCGGGGTACCGGTCGACCATGCCCCTGGGCCTCGCCTCGCCGTCCGCCTTCGCCTTGCCCCTGCCGCCGCACCCTTTCCTCCTGTCCTCCCTCCCCTCGCGGCACTTGGACGGCTCCGTCAGCTCCCAGGACCGGCCGCCGTGCTCCACGAAGCGCAGGCCGCTCCCGTCGGGCGTCAGCGCCGGCATGACGTCGTTGAGCCGGTAGTAGAAGCCGTTGATGCCCGCCACCTCGCGGTTCTCCTCGATCTCGGGCTTGTAGCCCTCGCGGTACAGCACCGGCAGCAGGTCCACGCGCTTCCGGTTGATCGCCTTCCACCCCCACCCGCAGTCCTCCTTGTGCCACAGGATGAAGAGCTTCACCGATCTGGAGTACCGAAGATTGAAGTGGGGCTTCTTCTGCTGCTTGCCCTTGTGTATTGGGCTGGGGTCGCCGCCGGAAATGCCGCCGCAACGGCGTCCTCTGTCAGGCGCGGCGGTCGAGTATGGTGACTGGCGGGAGGATGGCCTCCGTGATCGAACTGGCTCCAATTGCCTCTTATGTGTTGCTTCCATGCATTTGAGCTGGTCCTGAAGATCTCTCAGGCTAAGCTCGATTTTGAGGTGGCCTTGTGGTGCAATGCTGTGGTGGGCCTCGGGAGTTCTTGGGACAAACCCGGGAGGCGGACTGGCCGTCGACGGACGTGACAGCTCTGGCACACTGGTGAAGCTTCCCTCCCATGAGGCCTCGGAGCCAGTGCTTGGCCTCCTGAAGCTAGGCTGAGCTCTGGGGGCGTCAAACCCATAGCTACGTGGCAAGTCCCCGTCCGCAATGGCGAACAGAGTTTGTATGGACGGAATGCCGTATGGTTTCGGTTCACTGGAAACCGAGTGGGAGTGCCCTGGAGTTGGGTCAGTACAAGACTGCGAGTACACATGAGAGGCGCTTGATGCACTGTACATACCGAATATGTGCTCCTGGAAATTAGGAGTTGAGGGAGAACCAGTAGGAGTGTAGACTCCCGGCTCTTTAAGGCAGACAGCGGCGTCTGCAAGCCCCTCAAGTCGATGACGGTCCTGCTGGATCTGGCTGAGGGAAGGTAACATCCTGTCCGGCTCGTGCCGCAAGAAGGGACTGGCTTGCAGTTGGATCATGGTGGAGAAAATTCAAGAGGAATACTCTGAAAATCACCCAGACAATAGAGACAGATTTTGAGGAACAAGGGATAAGTGGAAACTGAGATGTGACCGGGAACGAGATCTTCAGAGTGTCGCTATCTATATGTATTAAGATCTGGGGAACCGAGCTTCGCGTATCTCCAGTGTTGATCTGGAGATCCTGTCACATCTGATAGATCTGGGATATTCCACCAGGCCGCAGAACAGAGCGATCGCCCAGTGGCTCTGTGAGCTGCAAGATGAGGTGCTCCATCCCTGCGTAACTGGCCGCCATGGGTCCTTGCGTAATGGGCCATGGAGCTGTGCTAAGATGCACTTTACGTCTGAGTGCGAGTACATCTCGCGTAACAGCGGTGGTACATAAAGCCATGGCAAGCGGTTGAGGGACTTCGCGGTGCTGGTTTGTGCACCAGTGTCGCTTATGACATGACCGGAGGAAAATAAACGTCCCCTAAGCTAGTATGGAACCAGCTAATGCTGCCAGACAATCTGCTAGCCCTCAACGGTCTGGAACTGTTTGGCGAATCGAGGCAGAAGTATCTCGTTCATCAAATCTGCAGGCAAGGGGTACACTTCGCCGACGTTGGTCTTGGGGTCATGGTGCGTCGCACCAAATCTTCACGGAGAGTTCCAGTCTGTAGCGATCCTCCTCTGCCGTGTCGTCCTCATGACGAGATTTCAATCTTCGCCTTCTGTAGGGCTTCCCCGATTAGGAAAGGTATAATGTCCCATCTGAATAAATCACCAGGGTTCAAGCCTCCTCGACGAGCACAGGACTGCTCAACTCTATGGTTGAGGGACCACTGGGCACTTGGTTACACAAAGTTTCGCGGCACAGATATTGCTTCGAGAGGCTCGCATCACTGACTGAAGATCAAAGAGCCAGTATTCGGCCCGTGGGAATCTTCGCTGCGCCACACTAGTTCACGCTTCCCATGTCTGATGCTCCTGGCAAGGACAGGAAAGCACAGCTTCATGTCAAGGATACTGGTCTTTGCTCGCCGCGAAACCGGTTGATAAAATACTTCCAGGCCGCTATTTAGCTTGTTGGCTAAGACCAAGGTTAGCTCTCCGTGTCGGGGCCGTGTTCTTTAGAACCCGAACAAAAAGGCAAAAAGGAAGCTCAAGCTAATTTTGGCTGGCATCTGCCAACGCCATGACAGCTCTGACAGCCCCTGACAGCCGCCAGGTTGGCTGTGATTGGCCCGCTAGAACGTCTCTTTTCTCTGAGGTCTGGACCGCGAGATCGTGGGGGTGGGTTCCCAGTTTGACACAACAGCACTCATCTCCTCATATGGCTAGGCCAGTACTGTGTTGGGGTAGTGTCATTGGTTGCCCTCGTCTTCAACAGCGAGTAATCGAGGATCTCTGCCAAATACTTTTGTTGGCGCGACTCCAACATCGCAGGTGATCCGACCCTGAGAATTTCTGCATTTCCGGAGTTGACTACTGTCCAGGTAATTTCTGAAGGAGGGTCAGTGATGCGCATCTCGCCCGCCTTTCCCATTCATTGTAAGTGAGGGTTGTTGTCGCGCGTGAGGCAAACCTTCTTGAACCAGATGTTGCTTATCTCTTGTACCACGGTTCGCACCGGGGGCAGGAAATCGTCTCCTAACAGTGCCGATCGTCTCATGCCCCGAATTTTCTCCCATAATTGATTGCCATGATCGGTCCAATACGCAGATGATGTTACGGGCCGATCTGTCATCCCGAGGCAAATCATCCTCTGGGGCAGATTCCGTGCTTCTGTGGTGCTGCTGAGTTGTCCTGATTGCTTTTCCTTTTTTCCCCCTTGTCTCTCAGACGCAGATCAACAAGCCTAATCTACGGTACGTAGCGAAGAGCGGCCGGCAATTAGAGAAATTCTAGGGTACAAGAGCGCCACTGATGCCTCCGGACAGATTTCCGAGAGACGTACAATTGCTTTATTTAACCGCAAGGGAGCAGGCCATGTGCAATTCCGAAGGCTCACAGCTACTCGTCTGGTGGTCGACAGGTCTGCGGCCTGCGGAAAAAGAGGCCGGTGTCTCAGTGCTTATGGTAACCTGCATGTTGTCCTGGTGATCCTTACAGACATCCTGGCAGAGGCGTTCTCACTGCCCCACATCGCAACGGCAGGCTTGTGGCCAAAACGTCGTGCCGATCTCAAGGTTGATTCCGTCGGCCAAGCACTGAGATGCACAATTTGCGTTGCACAGCCGGCCAGCCCAGCAAGATGCGGGAGCCTCATCTCTCGACGCCGGCCCAAACACCGGGACCGACACAGCGTGCAGTGGTCTCCAGACCAGGCCCAAAGACGTGTCTCAGCATTTGCATGGGACTAGTGAAATGTCGAATGATGCGCCCTGTGCCTGTGCGTATGCTCCTGTAACGAGAAGAAGCAAGTCTGTCCTGGAGCTGCCTGCCAGACACGCCAGAGTGCCTGGTGACGGCTTTCAGACACGGCTTGTCTTCACAATCTTGGGTCCCGTCTTTGCCCCTCGACAACGACCCCCAGTTCCACTCCTGCATCTTTCTGGCTAGTGCTGGTGAAAGATTCATCTCCAGAAAAGCGCCTGGGGTCGTCAGCAGATGAATCAACACACGGCATCCTGTGTGAGGACGAAGGCATGCAATGGTCACTTACCATCCCCTCTCCTCACCTCCCGAGAGAAAGCTGCAGTCGCCATTCACTTCGCAAAGCCACCCGCCCCCGACTCCTTTCCCGTCCTTCCAATCCACGATTGCTGGAGAAGGATCGGCCAGGAAGTTACTACAATCATCAGGGCTTGCAGTAGTTTGCGGAGCTGGTGTGTGAACAGTTCCAAGCGTGCCGACAGGAGGCATGGTAGAGACTTTGCTCGTGGCGTTGGCTGTTGCATCTGGACGTCTCCTGAACACAGATAAGCCACAGGTAAAGGCCCGGAAGTCCTCGACCTCAACGTCTTCCGGCATGCTCCCGGTGAGGACTCGGCCCAGAGCAATGACAGTTGCCGCGTGCGAGCAGAGCAGGACAGCCCGCACGCCTGCCTCGTCACATTGCTTGATGAGTGCGTCCATGGTCAAAGCAACACGGTCGTGTAGCTGGGCAATGGACTCGCCCGTCCTCGAGGGTGCCACAGCCGGTTCGTAGGATCGATCAAAGGCCGGGAACAGCTCCGCAAGTCTGTCACGGCTAGCAGAGGTGGGGTGCTCGAACGATGCAGAGCCATACCACTCAGCTAGGCCGGCCTCGCCTAGAATGGCGGGCTTCGTCGCAGCATCAGAACTGGCAGACTGTGCCCATAACCCGACGAAGGGCTCGACCGTCTGTAGACAGCGGTAGTATGGACTGGAGTATACCCGCTCGACAGGCGGTTCGACGCTCATCAGATGGGCAGCCAGCTCATGGGCCTGCTCAACGCCATGTGATGTCAAGGCTGGGTCCGTGGCGATGCCGGTTGGTGACTTGAGGTAGGACGAGTAGTTCCCGGAACCGTCCACAAGCCAATTGGACCTGAACTGCAGGATCGTTGCAGCGAGGTCAGCCGGGTCCCGCTACGGTTGGAGCAGAAGCATCTGCGTATGACAACCACCGGCTGGCGCTGTTGGAGGCGTATGGAGATATCTCACTTACGCCATGTCGAGTCACGTAGATTACCTCGAGTGACATTTTCGGGCAGAGGTGCCTATGCTATGCGAGTTTGGGAACACTGGCGGTGTGGTGGTTTGCAAGATGGATACGGCCTGGACTTTGAGATCTCAATTCGAGCCAGCAAAAAGGGTGTATCTTGGTGAGTATCACCGTATCCAGAAGAGATGTTCCAAGTTAACGATTGCGAAAGTGTCAGGGAGGAGTGAGGAAGAGGTCGAGTTACCTAGGCTCCGATAACCGAGCCGAGGAAAGTCAGGTAGACTACCGTACCTGTGGGGTAACCAATCGCCCGCATCAACATCATGTGGTGCACCATTGCTGTGGCTGAATGGGGAGTGTTCGCATGCACCCTGCCCTGCTCCTGCCCTGCAGGCATGCGCGGAACAAGCTCCCTTTGGCTTCGACGCCCCCAGGCCTATCCGGAAGGATTCCGCCCATGTATCAAACAACAACAACATATCTCGTGCAGCGAGTGCTGTGCATGCTGCCCGCTCCAGCATCACCTTTGCACCTGCAGGCCGACAGGTTTGGCAATGTTCCAGCCCGTAACATGCTTTTCCCCAGGCAGCCTCTCCCAGACTTTCTGCTATGCCTCCAAGACTCGTCTCCTCGTTCGCCAGGACAGATTCTCACCGAGTTCATCGAGTGTCACGGGCACGACGCCCTCCGAACACGCCGACAAGGGTCACTTCGTCTGTTCATTCTTGCGAGTCTTTGTGATCGATTGAGACATCCTGTGGCTGCAGCTCCGATCGTGCAAGGTGTATTGCTTGACCGGTCACTCCGCCATCGACCAACCGCTACGTGCGAAGCACCCTCGTTTCTGCAGCTCAACACGCCCGGTTTCCTGCTGCCAAGAGAGAAGAGTGGCGCAGGCGGCGGTCTTTGAAGACTTGCCCATCCACGATCCAGATCATGCGCATCAAGACTCTTCTGGTATGAATTAATATCGGGGCCAATGCTCGCCGACATCGTGAGGCCGATGGAGATTCCTGCATGTTCGGGCGGTTTGCATTTGCCACCGGTAAGCTGCCGCAATGGTGCTTCCGGGCTTTCAGACCGAGTCCACGGGCACAAGCACACGGACTCCGCAAAAGAAATTATGCTTCATCGTGGAAATCACAAGTCGGCGCCACTGCAAGTGATCAGTAGTCTGCAGAGCTTACTAAGGCCACCTCAAGTATCACCATGCAAAAGCCACCACAAGACTAACTTACGATTTCAATGCGAGAGGAGTATGTCTGCCAGATGGAAGAGACGAGTCAGGTTATTTTGAACGGTTCTAATCCAGCAGGTATGCTAGAGCGTCTAGCCCAGGTTTCGCACACCCGTTCCGCGACTCCACCCACGATAATCCGGCCTCCACACCCACACAAACGCCCCATATAATAACACAACGCCGCCTCGATTCTTCATCAAGCAATCAAATCAACAGCGCCAGTGGTTTAGCGGTAAAATCCATCGTTGCCATCGATGGGCCCCCGGTTCGACTCCGGGCTGGCGCAGTAACTGATCACGACAGCCTCCAGAGCCTCTTCTGGAGGACGTCGCTTTTTGCGCGGCTTGGCTCAAGGCGAGAGATGTCATGGAGCATCTTCTATGCCACTCAGGTCTGTATTGGCAGAGCTTTTGCGGCTTGCGCGGCCGTTGGAAGTCGATGACTCTAGTTCTATCCATATTGCTGCCCCTGATCTTTACACAAGACCAGATAAATATACGTAGCACCAGGTCCTTAAAGTAATTTCTTATAGACGTAGCAACTTCTTATTGGGCGAGCAGAAGCAAAACCATCACAATTTCACCACCTCGTTGAGATGTGAGGGAACCGTAGAGTATGAGCAATAGAATAACCTTATAGCACACTTGTTGTGTGGCAGCCATTGCTAATATCAGACGCGAATAGAGATTTATGGCTCACCATGGGACGAGTAGAGTGATCAAATCCCTTGAACAAGGTCCCACGAGCGGCAATACTACCTAGGTAGAGGAGTCCATGTTGTGGTGCCAGTTCCAAGTAAAAAATGTAAGCCAGATTCGTCAAAAGAGGCCGGCCAGCAAGACTTTCTTCGCGTCCAGGCCACATGGTCATCACCACCCCATAGCAGTTCAAGACAAAAGAGACATGGCTGCGACGGCAGGATGCGAGACCAAGGCGGCCTGAATCTTAGGTTTTGGGCCAGGGAAGTCAAGATTATGATCGGGAGTTGCGACAAAATCCAGCCGTGCTTTCCAGTAATTAGAAGAAAGATAACCTCACCTCCCCGTGCTATTCTGCCACTCAGTCAGGCGGCGGGTTTCGAGCACGCCACAAGGTACTCACCTGGACGCCGCAAACCAGAGCGGCTCAGTTGCCTCGCTGCTGTTCGAAGCCACCTGCCTTCAGAATCACACCGCAGGTAGCATCATAAGACATGTAGTACGTTTGAGAACTCCACCCTCACGGAGCACGGAGAACTGCGAAATGCGAACTCATAGCAGAAGCCACTGCTCATGTTTTGTATTTGTCAAATGTATAGATGTGTTCGAGCCGCTCACGTCGCAGATCAGGCTGTCTTCCACGCGGTCATCCGGCCCTTTCTCCCCAGTGAGCCCGCGTGCGCCCCTTCCCCCCACCCCAGGTATCAATCATTCCCTCCCAATTCATCGGTCTTCGTAAGGATCATAATCGCTGTCGAAGTGCTGTTCTCGTCTTGTCTACTTCCCGGCAGCCCATTGTGTGATCCGTTGCAAGGCTTCGGCAACATATGCCCCACCCAATCTTCACTGTTTGTTCGGATGCTGTTCTGATAAACCTTCTTTTCATTCGCGTCTGCACAAAAGGCGCCCGTTTCTGAAGTACGTGAGGCACAGCTCTCCTGAGGAAACCAGACCTTGCCTCGAAGCCAGTTCCCGCAGGGCCCTTTATATCTTTTTTTTTGATAGTTGTTTGTACGACACCGCCCTCAGGTAGTTGTCATGGTAGGCTCTTGAGAAACTTCTTCTCTGCGCGCGTCAGCTGTCGAGCTTCAGTCATCCCCGACTTGGCACCACGGGTGCTCCAGAACCTGGTTGATATCGTATCTTTGCTCGACATCACGATCTAGCATGTGGCGGATGAGGTCGATACTCTCATCGCTGATGGTGTACGGCACACGCAGGTCGCGATCCATGATCTCGTCGATACTGTAGAACGGATTTTCCTTATAGATGATGGTGTAGAGCAAGATGCCGAGCGCCCATACGTCCTGCTCCTTGCCATTGTAAGGTTTGCCGGCAAGGACTTCCGGTGCGGCGTAGTCTATTGAAGGTTGGTTAGGTGCGCTTAGAAGCTGTACGAGGCGTAAACATACCTATTGTCCCCACGAACACGTCGAAGGGGCCACTCTTGATGTACGCCGCACTGCCAAAGTCAATGAGCTTGATGTGGCCTTCTCCGTCCAGCACGACGTTCTCGTCCTTGATGTCACGGTGAACAACTTTCGCTTTGATGTGTAGGTGGTGAACCGCCCGCGCGACCTGGACGAAGATGCTTCGGCACTCGTCTTCCTCCATGTTTGTTCGAAGCTCGATGTAGTCAAATAGGTCCATCCCAGGCAGCCCGTGAGGCCCCATTTCAATGTAGTAATTGACTTCATCCTCGAAGAAATCCTCCATCTCAACAATATTGGGATGTCGGAGGCCCTCTTTTCGCAAGTAATTCAGAACATGTATCTCCAAGGGCACGGTGCCAAGCTTCCGGTCCCGGGTCCACGTGTCGACGAGGATCCGCTTCTTTGTGACGTACTTGAGCACTACCTTCTTTCCGCTGTCTTTGTATCTGGCTAGTTTAACCTGGCCATAGGCGCCCTGACCCATCTCTTCAAGTATAGCAAAGTCATCAATGGACTTCTTGTGGGATGACTCTACGGCCTTGGGTGCCGGTGGTTTCTCTTGCTTCCCCTCATCCTCTGCCTTGTCTGGTGCTTTTGTACCGGTGAGCTTTGCGGCGGCGTTTAGTGCAGCCTCTTTGATCGACTTTGTGAACATCGATGCTGGTCTCGACTCTTTCTTGGGCTCATCAGAGTCAGAAAGTTGCAGCTCCGCAGGTGTCGGGGCAGGAGTTTGGCCTGGGCTGGGCTGTCGGAGTGGAGTTGCCGTTCCTGAAAGCAGAGGAGACCCGGCGCCCAAATTTGACCTGGTGGCATGAATGTGCCGGGAGTAGGTGATCCACAAGGCGAACACCATTTCGGTTTGCGTGACGGGGAATTCGTCCTCAGTGATCGCGGATTCCTCGTCGCTTGTTTCCGTCAGAGTTCCCTCGTGCAACATGGTCTGTTTCTCGCTCTTGACAACCCTCATCTGAACATCAACCTTCAGCTCTGTACCATCGCGATGCTTGGCGGGGAGGCCTTCCGGCCGCAGGAAGCTGTTTGTAGCGTCCGCCCGACCTTCCCGCAGCCCGAGAAAGGCATATGCTTTTCGGAAACTATGCTCAGGAACAACGATACCATCAACAAGATGGAGACCGTCTTGCTCAGTCAAGATTCGCAAGACCTTGTCAAAACCTGGCAGGAGAGACTTGATGTCCATGCCGTTTGGTTGCTCATGGCCAAAAAGTGCGCTACAGAAGACCGAGTTGGTACTTTTAACCGTCAGAGACCCTGGGTCCACAACGATGATGCCTGCGATGTGGGGGAAGCTCGAGATGCGCAACTCCGTCTTTCCTGGCACTTGATTTATCGTTGCCGGAATGTTTATCCTGTCACAGTTGCGACAGGTGTAGTACTTCCGTCTTGCGATCTGCGCGTAGTCGATCGCCCCGTATCTAGGGTCAATTCCTTGACGCGGAATACGAGGGACCAGCTTGCCGATATCTAGGCCTGGCTGTAGGCTGTCATCACCCCAAATAGAAAGCAGCTCTCCTGTGAGGTTGGTAACGACGCCTTCCTCGTCCAGCGTGACGTAAGCGACATCTTCGTGGATTTCTTCGAGGACCCATATCAGCCCCATTCTCTTTTCCTTGACCCAGAGACTTGCCGATCCGGTGGCCCCGTTGCGTTTCTGGATAGGCACAACGTCTCCACAGAGAAGCACTCCTCTAGACTTGTTGCTCTTGTGTTTCGAATGGCCCCCACCACTCACCTTGGGAGGGCGCCAGTCGCCACTGTGAAAGGTCTCGGGTCTTTTCACAGGGCTCAGTCGCGGTGTCTGTGATCTTGAGCTTGGCTTGCTCAGTAACCTGGCTGTTATGCCACCACCTCGCGCTCCTAGCAGATTGGACGACACCTTCGGCTTCGGTGCTGGCTGTGCGATCTCAGTCTCCGACTCAGCTCCAGCGTCGCTCTCGAATTCGCCATGTTTTAATTTGTTCTCAAGCCAGCCCCTGCGCTCTTTCTGTACAATCTCCAGTATGCTGGTGGTTTTAAAATCAGACTTTCGAAATCCGTAGACCAAGCAAGCCAGGTCATTTGCGGCAAGTATCGTCCATGGAGGCTTAGCTTCAGTGGTAAATATCGCTTGTGCGGCAGGGACCCATCTGCTGGAATGGCCATGCACCGAAGAGCCCCTCGTGCCGGGTGTATGTAGTGATGGGCCGAAGGACTGGGACGATCTTGGAGAAAGAACAGTGTCAGGATTCCCTGGCTGCCCTGCGGAGAATGGCTGGGCCATGGCATCCATAAGCTTTTGCTGCATCGACGCGTGAACGGTGTCAGTGAATGTTCGCTTTAGGACGCTTGGCCTCCTGGACTCTGGGGGCGAAGTCTTCTGAGTCGTTCCGCTCTCGTTTGTTGGCGTTCGGGATGAGTTTTCAGAAGAGTCTCCGTCCCCCGGTGCTGGCGACAGTGAAGCTTTGCGAGATATCTGACGTACGTCTGAGGCTGTAGTCTTCTCTGTGTCCTCCTGCACACGGGTAGGAAGGCTGGAAGGCTGGCTTTCCGCTGGAGGCACTGCAAGGTCCTCGACAGGCTCTGGGCTTTCGGTCCTGGGGATGAAGTTCTTTTCAAACATATTTTCACCTGACAAGTCTGCCGGTCCTGTGAGAGGGCCTAGAGGGTGAGATGGGTCGTTGACGCCCATCAGCTGTGCCTTTGCCAAAAGTTCCAACATATTTTGTGTTTCAACGTCCCCAGTCACCCGTGCCTGCACGCTGGCCAGAGCTGAGTTGGAGGTGGCGGAACGGCCAATTCGATCCTTCATGAATTCGATAGAACGTCTCAATACATTTTGGCGGTTATGTATAAACTCCTCAGACTGGTGGGCGAAGGAGAAGGAATGGAGGGACTCGCTAGGGAAGCGTTCCAAGTCGTCGATGAAGGCGGGCGACGACGGCCCAGAGGCCAGAGGCTGCAACATAGTCATCGAGGTAGATCGCGAGAGACTCAAAGACGGGCTTCGCGAGGTAGGATTGGAAGGCCCGATTGTGCCGTTTCTACTGGGTTGGGACTGACGTATTCGGCGGAGCCCTGATAGTCCCAGTCCATGGTCGTGGTCTGTCATAATGGGTGATCTAGAGACCTCGACAGATTAGCTGATGAGGAATGGATGCCCCAGAAAAAGTAACGGTAATGACAGTATGTGGGGAGAACTGTGAGGCGAAGTCATAGTGAATGCATGGCGGAGTTGACAGAGACAGAGCACATGGTTATGGGGTGGGTCAGCAAGCGAGTTGCAGGATCCAGATTGTCCCAGTCTTACGAACTGGTACAGAATGAACAGCGTGACAACGCCTTTCTAGGTGCCTACTTGGCCGTGGCAGTAAGCGGTGTTAAGGAGGTTGGGGCGACCTGACCCTTCTACCACTTGACCAAGGCACGCGCACATGTCACTTTGCCGCGAGGCTTGGTGTTTAGGGTCGGGGGAGGAGGCGGAAGCCCCGAGGGGCCCAGGAACTGGGACAGCTTGAGCTCACCTTGCGAGAATGTCATATTCAGAAGCAGCTGGGCCAGCATCGAACGACATGCGTACTCGAGCTTTTTCGGAATTGTCTGGGACCGCGAGGGCCAGATTCGAGAGGCTCCTGTTCTTTTGCATCTGCAAGGGCGGTGAGAGCTGGTCCTTATTTCTGCCTCGATCTTCCCCGCTGAGACCTTGGATGTCGGCGCCTGGGAAGAAGGCCACTGGCGTCAGCGTCCACATCTCACAAGAATGCAGTGTCCCGGCAGCGTCGCATCAATCACTACTGGACCGAACCCACCTTGATCATGCCTCTGCTCTTGTATTCTAGGCATCGTAGGTACGCGGCACAGTCGAAGCTGGAGGAGGGACTCGGAAGTGGCTTCGGTTCGAGGAAAAGGCCGTGGTTGTCGCAATGTCTGTCAAATGGAGCCTCGGCGGATCGACTGAGCAAGACCCGCGAAAGAAGGCCCGGGAGAACAAGTGCTACCAGGGTGAATGCGTCCGCGTAAGTCCTGAGGAAGCTGGCATCTGGGGCCAATTCAAGGCTCGGGGTGACAGTCAAGCGCGAAAAGGGTCGAATTCATAAGAGGCCAGCAGACTGGACACGGGTGGGCTCGTCGTTCAAGATGGGTCGCAAATGCGGGCTTCCGGCTCTGGGAGAAAGGCGTCTGGCGTGTGGTTGGAGGAGGTAGTGACGATTCTTGACTCCTTCACGATGGCAACACCGTAAAACTGAACACTCGCGAAAAGGAAACAAGTCAATGCCAGTCTAATGGGTATCTCGATTGCTGCATTGAGGCAGGCATGCAAGCAAAGGAAGGTCGTTCGGACAATCCTGTAACAAATCTGCTCTATCTCTAGATCGGTCTGGGCTGGGGTGAGGATGGGTGCGAGGGAGTGTTGGCGTGGTGTTGCGGCACTCGGGGCGTTGAACAGCCGATGTCTAGTGTCGAGGCCGTGTACAGATAGGTCTAAGCCGTGGGGGAGGCGCCGGGTTGAAATTCGCGGGAGGCCGTGGAAAAGGGAGAAGACAGGTGATGGGCGAACTGGGGGGGCGGTCACGGCAGTTTGGAGTCGTATGTGAGGTATGAGCGAGGGTTTTGGGGAGGCTCGGTCCTTGGACGAACCTTCGCACCTTGGGAGGATGTAGACTAGAGCCTACCTAGGTAGATGCGTGCGTACACGTACAGTGCAACAAACCTTGGAGCAAATGCAGGTGGGAAACTTTATTTTAAGTCGCCAACAATCAGCCGTGGAATCCTCGGCCGCCAGTACTTTTAGTCTATGAGCAGCTTGTTGAGGAGACACACTAAAAGCTTTGCAGTCCCGCGTCGCCTGGTCGCATACCGTACTGTCCGCCTAGGTAGTGTGTATTGTGGCAGGTAGTCTAGCAGGAGCTCGAGTCCTTACCTGGGCAGGTCCTTTGGAGCTTCTGGAACTTTGCCCTCCGACGAATACAGTATGAGGACGGTGCCGTTACTGGGACGGGGGCCCAGCAGACGGACAGCGAGCCCGTCATCCCCCAGGCCCCCGGGGCCAGCAACTCGGAAACCAGGCAACCCAACGGCTGTCCTTCTTCAGACATCCAGACCGTTTCAGGGAGGGCCTTGGGAGCAGGAGACCACCCATCCGATACTATATCTGTTGGACATGCTCTCCATACTCACGAGGATAATAAAATCAAGAAATGAGGGACAGATCAAGGCTCTCGTCGCCCTTCCTCCTTACTCGCGACCAGAGTTACAACAGCGGTACGCACAGTGCCATTTGCACGTGAAAAAACGAGACAGACCGACAGGTGCAGTGCGTCCGATGTCAGGCAAAGGGCCCCTCGACAGGTGCCAAGACCCTGGACTTGTTTCCCTGCCGCAGCCACTTGACCTTGCAGGACAACGTCGATCTTATCGCCGTCGGTTCCTACCTAGCTCCGTTCTGCTGAAGATCAAGCTGCGCCGGCTGGTCTGAGCAGGCAGCCCGGGCCTATCAGTCATCCAGCACTGTCGCCATTGCTCAGAACGTCCTTCTCGACGTGGAAATTGCTCAGTCACCGCGTCTGTATCTGTCTGGATTTTCCACACCACGTGCGAGCCTGGGCATTTGGGTATTTGACTGCATATGCTCGAAGCATCAAACGCCAATGGCCCGACGGCGAGTGTACTCTTGACGTCCGCTCGCCACACACTCCAGAACTCTGTCAATCAATCAACCACCCTCGTCGTGGCGATTTGTGAGCCGGAGTGCCTGTACATGATCTCCCACGAGCTCATGATCTTCTGTGATCATCCCACGAGCTGCCTCGTGATCGAGGTCGAGTGCTGCATCTCCGGCGCCGGAAAGAGTATGAAGTAAAACAGACGCCTGCTAGGTGCGTGTCCGGTGCTGTCTCTTGCTTGCACAAGCTCAAGAGATAGTAGGAGTGTGTGCTTTGCCGAGATTTAACGATCTAAGACATGCTGTCAAGGGGCCAGACCAATCTAAAGCGTTGCCTTTGTAGCTCAGCACTGGGCGTTGAGCAAAGCGCGTACCTAGATAGTGAGGTCTCGATAGATAAGAACTGAGACAGCATGCTCTATCATGGAGGGGAGCGACGGTCATGAGAGACAATCTCTGCCTGTGCGCAGCTCCCTCTGCAGATCCTGACACCTGGATGCGTAATCCTGTCAGCAGATGCTGCTCTACGGAAGCAATCAAGCCTTACACCAGGCAAGATCTTCGAGGTAAATGCGTATTGGTGCTGACGGCTGACTAGGGGATGTAGAACAGAAGGGGCGTACACGGGTCAGCCACCCTGCGGCCGATGCTGGACATCCGGGGAGGAGATCTGCCGGCGGATGCGGAGGCCATTCTCGTCGCAGCTCGGCTCCGTGTCGGAAGCAGGTCAGAAAATGTCCTATTTATCCTCATAACGTATTCTCGGAAACAGGCACGACTGGCTGTCTTCTCATACAATGACATTATGCTGGCAAGGAGCATCAGTGTTTCTCAGGGCCTCACAGAGGAACAACACGGCATCGATCCCCACGGGCTTAAGAGTAGTATTTATGAAAGCATATTGACAACTACTGTACAGCTTTGTTAAAAATAGGTAGTATTGATGGTTCACTGAGATCATTTAGTATTTCCAGATATTAAAGGAACGAAAGTTCGAAAGAGCCTTTCGATATCCAGGAATTTACAGTATTATTGCCTACGGCCAGTATCCCCCGTCTCATTACCCCACCACACACACAACACTCCTCCAGCAACTGACCCCACCTATGTGTTGAATGGCGGCGGATCGCGGCCCCTCCAAGACCCCACTGTACCCCGCAGTGTGGCAGCGGGCCAGTTTCTCTCTTTGAGCCGGATTCCCCGACGTCCTTGGCCCAGAGCCTCGGGTAGGATGTAGTCTGGCCGTTAGCCAGTCTGCCCCCCAAGGAAGACGCAACCAACGGCCCGAATCGAGCAATGTGCTATGCAGCATAGCTGGGCTTGGCCAGCAGACTACATGGTCTAGTAGCGCCTGGTGCAATTGCATGGAGCAGGCGTTACCACGAGTCAGAGCCTCTGCTACAATCCTATGCGATAGAACTCTTCTGTCATGTTCCCGAGGCTCACGATCAATCATGCCCGGGCACCAAGGGTTGTCAGAGTATGCACGGGCTGATGTGCACAATAGTCCAGAGTGAGGCGAGACATATGCCTGGGAAGGCGGATCGTCCCGGCCACGCTGGCGTTGCTCTACCCAGGAGCTGCCGTCCAGAAAATGCCTCTCCGTCTATGCCCTGACACCCGCTCGGGCTAGATGCAGGGAAGCTCCAGGGCATTGTGCGAGTGTTCGTGCTCGGGCACGCGATCTTTCTGTGCGTCTGCTCGGGGCTCCCCAGCTCACAGGGCCAGCCGAACCGCCCCGCCTATGCAGCGCTGCATGATGCTCGAGTTGGCCATGAATGTCTGCATACACAGCTCTCTTCATGCCGCTGGATCAGATAAGGGAGATACCCTGATCAGGGCTGTACAGGTGGCAGCCGTCTTGGGTTCGCGATATGCAGCGGCCAATGAGACGGCAGCAGAGGGTCTCCCCTTTGTGGTCACGGACGACGTCTTGCAAGGCCACGGTGCCACACGAGGTGATCATCTGCAGCTGCGCATGAGATGCATTCGTGCGGGAAGAGGCATGCAGACCTTTGGGTAGAGTGAGACCGGTGGGCTGGATACGGCGGCAGCAGCCCCTCCCGCAAGGTTGTCCACCCTCTTGTCTGCCCTGCTCCTGGCCTTCTTGCTCCTGCTCCTCGTGCCCGCGTGCTCAAGTCGGGCCAGGCGATCGAAATAGCCGTAGATAGGTGGAGGGTGACTACGCCAACCCGCGCTACTGCACGGGCAGCTCTGGCGTCTCCCGGCCACTGCGAGAATGGGCTAGAGAAAGGAGAGCCCGGACGCTATCGTTACTGGCAACAGACATGATAGAGGAGGCAGTTGGAGGACAGCCTGGGTACCTAGGCACTAGGTAAGCTGGTGTGCTGGTATGCTTCTGGTGTGCCGCTGGTGTGCTGCTGGTGTGCTGGCTGGGCCAGGGAAGCATGCAGGGGTGGACAGACTAAGACACCCAGGAGGATGGGGGCCATCCATGGATGCCATGCAGCCAGCAACTTTGGCGCAGGACCCTTCTTTTTTAAACTTGTCGGGCGTCTCCTGTTAACTTTTCCCACCCTGCCCTCGAGCTGACTCGATTCCACATCTTGATCACTACCTCGTCATCATTGACTTTATCGAATCGTCGTGACCGTCTACTCCAGATCCCAATACAACCAACTGCTTGACAAGAGCCAGACAGAGGCAGACCAGGCCGGGGCAAGCTTCCAGCCGCAGTACAACGAGGTAAGAAGCGGACTGTCAAGTGCTCACTGATGACCCCGGTGTAACCCCACCCTCCTTACACCAGAATGCCATGTCTTATCAGCCCGAAATCCCATGCGTGGAACCCAGACTCGGCCGCGCGATTTGTATATCTATTCCTCGCTGACACCCCTTCAACAGCCTTGCAATTTCTTGCGTCTTTTCTGTCCAAAATTTTCGGGCTTTTCAACTGCCTCGATCTTCCTGCGAGTAACTGGCAGCTTGGGCAAACAAACTCAAGAGGAGAATCAGCACGCACGGGTCCAGCCAGTCGCCTACTTAGTCCCCTCCACCACCCCCGCCTTTTGATCGGCAACGAGCAAGCTGGTCGAGCTCTCTCCAAACTCCTTTGTTCCCAAAGATCAAGGGCAACACTGCCTGCAGAATCAGGTCTTCGCAGCAAGCGACCCGTTTGGTAGCTTCAGCTCTTATCTCTAGAGTCTCCGTCCCACGAGTACCAGACCCACGCCGACTCCGGCTAATCCGCCTGGCAATGGCAGATTAATTCGAGCAACGAGTTCACTCGCCAAGCGCTGTCTGGGCCGCTCTGCATTTTGTCGCCTCACCCCATTTGATCCCATCTTGTCTCTGAATGAGACCACGCAGTGGCGGTGTTGAGCTTACAGTGACCCCACCCCGCGTATCCGGGTCAGCTCTCGGCCCTGGCAGACTGGGCCTCCAGACGAAATAGGAGAAACTCGCCACTTGCTGGTGATTTCTCTGAGGCTCCGCCAATCAAGTCCATAGATTCAAGGGTCTTTTTTCAACCTCGCCAAACCACGTCCCCGGATTGTGTGCGATAGTTCGACGGCAGAATGGGTGAATCACTGGCTGCCGCGGCCATGGCGGTCCAGTCGATCGATGCCGAGGAAATAGACGTATTCACCAACGACCCGGCCGTTTTGGATGCGCCCGCTATTATTGAGCCGGAGTCTGTGCCCAAGAAGAAGGGAAATCGCCAAAGGCTGCTTCGAGGACTTCAGCGCATGTCCTCGTCGCCGTCCCTAGCCCGCCCCGGCCGCGCGCGAGCCTCCACGAGCCCATATCATGGCCCAGGAAGCTTTTCATGTGTGAGCCTGGCGACGAATCCCTCGCCATTCGGCCAGCCGAGCTCTGGATATTTTTCTGCGTCTTCGCATGGCGGGCTATCGACTGCCCCTACGTCTACGCCCGGCACCCCGGCTCATGATTGCCAACGTGACGGTGTTGAGCATGTCCTCGCGACGCGAAGAGTCACAACTCTCGATATGGCTGCCTCCTCGACCCTGACTGTTCCGCTACCAGCGGATTTGAGACCGAAGCGGGCCGTCTTCAATATATGGCAGCATCTCCCCCGTGAGATCAAGATTCAGGTACTGGCTTTCTTACAGCCTAGAGACCTCGTCCTCGCCTCGGCTGTAAACAGGGAGTTCCATGATCTTTGCCATGACGGCCAGCTGTGGACTTCATTTGACGCTTCCGAGTTCTACCAGGACATACCAGCCGAGTCTCTGGCCAAAATTATTGTTGCTGCTGGACCTTTTATTAAGGACCTCAATTTGAGAGGATGTGTCCAGGTGGAGCACTATAAGAGAGCAGAGACTATTGTCAAAGCTTGCAGAAACCTCATCAATGCAACCCTGGAAGGATGCCGGAATCTGCAGCGGACGACCCTTCACAGCTTGGTGAGAAGCAACGACAAATTGGCCCATCTCAATCTCACTGGGCTCACTGCCGTGACGAACACGACTTGCAAGCTCATTGCTCAGTCCTGCCCGTCTCTAGAACTCCTTAACGTCTCTTGGTGCAAACACATGGACGCTGAGGGCATCAAGATAGTGGTGGAAGCCTGTCCTAAGCTGAAGGACTTGCGAGCCGGTGAGGTAAAGGGTTTCGACGACTCGAGTGTTGCATCGGCCATCTTCAAGACGAACAGATTGGAGCGACTGATCCTGAGTGGATGCAACGATCTTGACGATGTGAGCCTTCAAATCATGGTCCATGGAGCCAACCCCCCAATCGACATCTTGACAGATCGACCTATTGTGCCTCCTCGCAAGCTTCGTCACCTCGACCTCAGCCGATGCAAAGCCTTAACCTCGCGTGGTGTGCAGGCGCTCGGCCACTACGTCCCAGACCTTGAGGGACTGTCAGTCGCCCATTGCACCAGTCTTACTGACGCGGCTCTTGAGCCAATCCTGGCTACTACCCCTCGACTGACACACTTGGATCTGGAAGACTGCCGAGGTATCTCCAATCACCTGCTGTCCGAGCATCTGGCCAAGTCTCCCTGTGCGGCAAACCTCGAGCATCTCTGCATCAGCTCCTGCGAGAACCTTGGCGACACCGGCATGCTTCCCGTAGTCCGCAACTGCAAGAGCTTACAGTCGGCGTACCTTGATAACACCCGTGTCTCCGACCTCGTCCTCGCCGAGGCCGCAGCCATGGTCCGCCGGCGCTCAAAGAGAACCAACGACCGTACGCATCGGCCGCAGATTGGCCTCAGCATGGTCGTCTACGACTGCCAGCACGTCACCTGGACTGGAGTAAGGGAGGTCTTATGCCGCAATGCAGAGATTAAGAACCCGCTCAACGAGAATGGCGAGAGGCACCAGACCTACCCGACCGAGATCATCGCCCTCAAGGCATTTTACGGATGGCAGATGACCATCGATGAGCAGACGAAGCGAGTCCTACGTGGTGACCTGGCGGCTGCGAACAGGCTCGAGCGCAAGTGGGCGGAATACATGCAGGCAAACGAAGAGGCGGGCGTCGTGGGTGCCGGTGGCAGGAGGAGGCGGAGACGGGCCAGAGAGGCCCAGATGGCGCATGATGAAGAGGAGGGTGGTGTGGGCGGAGGACCCGGTGGAGGAAGGAGGAGGGCCAGGACGGCGGCTTGCGTCGTGATGTAAGCCGGCTTTCGATGGAATTGGAAGCCCAGAACATTTTATCTCAGCTTCAAGCGGACGCAAGACGCAGGAGATCGTCTTGGCTGTAACCCGTGTGCTAGACTCGGGGATGGCTGGTACATAAACGACATCATTTCCTTATCAATCACAATACGCATCTGGGCGGGGAGTATTTGGAACGGCACAGGATGGGACAGTAGCTTATGGGCATTGCTTTTGGCCATCTCATTATTTTTTTTTCAGACTCACGTGTCAACGTCTCTCATCGAAAGTTCATACGCCACAGGCGCGGAACCCCAAGCTAGACTCCCCAGACTTAAGACTGATTTCGTAGCAATGTTCTTATGTGCATCTATTCATATCACACTCTAATTCTACCGGAAAGTATATGACTAGTTAAGTGAACATAGCTGCCGTGACGCGACGCAAGTGATGTCCTGAAAACCCGGCATGGTGCTCAACGAGCCATGCATTACACCTCCGTTGCCGCTACCGTTTCCCAGGCCGCAAGGGCGGCTGGAAGTCACGGTGGCCGTCTCGCTGAGGGAAATGACATATGAGAAAAGGGGGAAAAAAGAAACGGTAGTGAACCAAGAAACCATCTAAACATCCCTCACTTTCTAGCTTTCAGCCCTCCGTCAAAGCCCCCCCGAACAGGTCCTCGTACTTGCCCCTGGCCTTGCTGGGCCTGCGCAGCGGCTCCAGACCAAAGATGTCCTCGGAGGTGAAGGCCTTGGTGGCGGCGGCGGCGCCGGACTGGTCGGTGACCTCGCCGAAGAGGAAGGCGTTGCGGTCGCGGCTGACGCTGACGCGCGGGCTCTTGCGGCTGCTGTGGGGGTGCTGTGCGGCGGTGGCGCTCGACGGCAGCGACGAGGGCGAGTACGAGGAGGAGGCGGCCGAGGGGCTCTGGTCCGGCTCGAGCATCAAGGCGAAGGATGACTGCGCCATCGTCGACCTCGTCGGCACGGCGGTCGGCCGGAGGAGGGCTGGCGGCGGCGCCGGCTGCGTGGGTGACAGAGGTGACGAGTGCTCCACGCCTTCCATCGTTGCCTCTGTCTTGGGTGTGCCTGGTACCTCGGGGTCGACCATCATCTCGTCGGCTGCGACCATCAGGCTTGGCGAGGCCTCGTTGTTGATGTTGCCCGCTGCTGGGCTGAGATCTTCTGCTACTGCGGGAACGGGCAGGGGGTCATCTACCACTATTTGTGGAGGTGCCCTGTCGTCCTCCCGAGGCTCATCTTGTGGTAGCTCGAGCGATGGGTTTTCCAAATAGACCTTGACGAGCTGTGCCTTAGCCGCAGCCAGTTCAACGCCTTCAAGAGTCTTCTCCCTGTCGCTCTCGAGTTTTGATGCGGACACTTCTTTGAGTCCCGTGATTGCTTCGTCCAACAAAAGAGCCAACTGCTTATTCCTCTGCTCTAGCTCTGCTATCGTCCTTCTCAAATCATCTACCGGTGAGATTAAGGTACCATTCGCCAAATTATTGTGCCTTGGCGTATTCGAACGGGAGCGGCTGTGATCTGCAGTTTTGCTTCTTGCCTCCTGGAAGTCTTGCATGTTCTTCCGGATTTCTCCCATAGCGTCGCGTACGGCTTGGTTGATACCTAGCTTCTCGCCACGCTCTATAACGTTCTTGGCGGCGCCTTGAAATAGGGCTTCCACGCCTCGCTGCTGGATGAAGCGTGCAGGGGATCTGAGAGGGGATCGGGTGCTGCGAGTTCGGTCCCTGAGCGACAAGCCCTGGAATTGCGCCTCGGGTGTTGAGGGGCTTTGCTCAGATATTGGCGTGGGCGTCTTGCCTGTGTACTTCATGATGATAGAAGAGCCTCCAGCAGCGTTGTAATGGTCTTGTAGGTATAGGGCATCGTCGACAAATGTATGAGGGCCGTGGGGTGGCTCAGGGGCGGGATACTTCAGTAGCAGCTGAAGTGCAACTGTATAGTCCGCCTCGAGCACTGGTGTATTTTAGTATGTAATGCATAATGAGATTTGGAGCATTGGTGACTTACATGTCCATCTTATCCTCAAAAGAACGGCAACACATATGAGGTCTATAAGGTCTAGAGTCGGATCGAAGGCAAAGATGGTATCCCAGAGCACGAGGAGTTGCTCGAACGGGAACTCTCTTCCAAACAAAAGCCGGATCCATCGTCTGCACGAATGGAAGATCAGTCCTCAAATTCAGCATCAGAGGTAGATGAGACTCACATTAGAAAGATCTGAGGCAGAATCTCAATATTCTGCAGATGCTTGGCGAGTTCAGGGTCGATTCTCATGAGCGCAACTTCGTGGATCATCCTGCTCTTCTCAACGATTGCACTTTGTTCACCAGACACTGAACTGCCGGCGTCCACGCTGACTTCGTAGAATGGCTTCGTGTGCTTCATGAGGTTGGAGAATAGAGCGAAGGTGTCGTGCTCAATGAAGTAGGAATCCAGCATCTCGACCATGTTGGGGTCTGCTATGGCATCACCGATGTTCTTACGATCGATTGCATCTCCATCCACCACATAGAGGAGAGGGGCCAAGAGCTCATGCATTCCCTGACGGTAGCCGCCCTGGTCTGAGTTCAGCTTGACCCAGATGAACAGAATGTCCAATATAAGCGTTTGCGTGCTCTCTTGGTGGTAGAAGGGCTCGTCTGGTAGACGCTGAACATCTTGCAATATCTCGGCACGGATGGCCTCATCGTGCCGAACGGCAGTCCATGGTGACTATGGCTCGAGTTAGTAAGACCATGACCATTTGTAGGTTATGGGAGGAAAAAGATGGCCTGAAGGGGCCTCTGGAGGGGGCACCTACGTCAGGATCATCTGCAAGGGGGTCCAAAGACAGCTCGTTGAGGAGCTCTGGATGCTTGATGTACTTCAGGTGGTGTTCCCGGAGGGAGCTATATGAGTTTCTGTTTTCAAGCAGGACATGGGACCAGTTGGCGGGATCCACGTCCTGGAAGAGCAGAAAAGCCTAGGCGGCTGTCAGTAACACTGTGTCTCTGATGAGAATATATTGACCAACTCGCTCAGCTCACCTTCCAACAGACGGATCGGCAGCCAGACACGCATGGGCTACCAGGTCCGTTGAACTTGACGGCTCTCTGCAAGTCAGCGAAACTGGAGCACTGTTTAAGCGTCTCGTCCCATCTCGTCCTACAGCGGTCGTTGTTAGCGCCGATGTGGTTGTGGGTTTGGGTTGATCTCGCCCGGTGCAGACGTACTTGGATTCATCCAGGGGTCTCATTGCGATGACGATGTTTGGTCAGGCGGCAGAGGGGGTGTAGATAGTTAAGAAGACGGCTTGCACATGTGGAAAGGGCTCTGGACGGATATGGCAACTTATGAAGTATCAAGTCCCCAAAGCTATCTCGTCGAGAGCCGTGCCATCTGCCAGTGCATGGATTCCAGGTCGAGCGAGTGTTTTCTTCATGACCAGAATTCTCCAGTAATCAAGCAACGCATGGCGTCGACAGCGATGCGGCTGCAGATCGACACACCAGCCGCAGCCAGTGGGACAAATGCTGGCACGGGCTGCAGGTGTCAGGTTTTGGGCCACTGGGTGGGCTGACCAGGCCCAATCAAGGGCCAAGGGCGGAGGGATGCTCTCACTGACCCCGGTCGGTCGGTTCCCCCACCGTAGGCCAGACTCCAGCCAGACTCCAGGAGGCTGTGATCCTGGTTGCGCACCAGCACCGACTCGGCATGGCCCAGCTGCCCAGTCACTGCTGACCCTTTTTCGCGAGCTGCACACCAGTGTTCCTGCGTCCAACATCCACAACCACTCCTTCGCTCGCCTCCTACACGAACCTCTAACCCGCATAAATTGTTGGCGTCCGCTGCCAGGGGGAATATGACTCTTTGTGCTACCCTGCCTCTCTTCTCCCTCGACCCACGGTAGCCTTCTCTTCTTCGGCCCAGCCTGCCCAGCTCCCTCCCTTCCTTGGTGCAACTTCCTCGAGACGCATCGCACCACCCCCTGACGCCGCACTCGACATCAGTCGCCGAGCTTGCAACACCGAAGCTCATGCCTCCACCGACTCCCACTGTACAGGGTGCGACCTTTAATCATGTCTGCCGACCTCTTTGCTGAGTTTGGCAGCTTCAACTCGGGGACTCCGCAACAGTCCACCCAGAAGCCAGCCTTGTCCACACCCGCCGATCCCTTCGCCTTCTTGTCGAGCCCTACGTCGCATACCGCCTCACCCCAATCCTTCCAGCCACCGTCACAACCATGGTCCACGGTACAGAATCGCCAGAGCGCCAACGCCGGCTGGGCGAGCTTCGGCACGTCCAGCCCAGCACAGATAGCAACCCAACCTCCCAAGCCGGAGGCTGCGGACGACGATGAGGGATGGGGTGATTTTGAGGAGGCGCCCTCAGCGACAGCTACGCAACCGCCGGTCTCGATACCTTTCAGCGCTCCGCCCGTCACCACTGCCGGACATGCGACTGCCTCGAACCTGCCGCCGATGAGGGCTCGAATCACTCGGGTCGATACATTTGACCTGATGGCAAACAAACTGGTACCTACAGCGGGCGGGAAGGAGAAGTCTGAGTCGCAGCAAGCTCGCCCATCATTCGGTGCGACAGCCACAAGTTCGTCGAGCTTGTGGTCATCGCCCCAAACAACGTATCAAGCAGCAGAGCCGGCTTCGAAGCCCCCGGTAAACAAGGTCAAGCCGAAAGACAATAACGCGGACGTCCTCTTCGATGCTGACGATTTCGACGGAGAAGCACCGGACGACGACGACGACGATGATTTTGGCGATTTCGAGACTGGCTTTGAGGAGAGCAGAACAACGGTCAAAGTGCCGACCCCTGCCCAACCAGCAATAGCAGATCTCATGTCTCTCGATTTTGGGCCACCTTCTTCCCAGCCAGCACCCGCGCTCAAATCAGGACCTACACACAGTCGGAAAGAACCACCAACACAGCTTCTGTCTACACTGAATATTGGTGGCCCACCGCACTCCCCCACATCGCTGTACCCACAGCCCCCCAAATCTCCGGCTTTCTCGGATAGGAACCCCTTCCCAGGTCTCTCTGTCACTACGCCGGTATCTGGCTCGTTCCCTCCGGAATTGAAGGACGACGTGAAGAAGTCACCAGACCCCATGACTGCGTGGCCAGATGGTGAGTCCGCCACGGAAAAGGATGACTGGGACGCATTCGCCGACTTCCCACCTGATGCTTCTAGTGCCACGCCAGGAGGCGAAGGACCTTCGGCTGTCTCCTCCAGCTGGGACTGGAATGCCGTGGAGCCGTCCCAGGTGAATCGCAAACCGTCTGCGCCAAAAGTCACTCCGCGCAAGTCCTCGGCTTCGGAAAGCATCGGCCCACCGCCGACAAACATCCCTCCCCCGTCCATCCTCCTGTCAATTTTTACTGAGCTGCTGGAAGAAGCGGAGACCAAGCTTTACAAGCCTACCGCCAACCAACCGGCAGTCGTAAAAACGCGGATATATGCGGACCCTGGGACTCTGGCGTTCCTCAGGGGCTACATCGTTCTCGCCACTGTTGCCGCACGTATCCTGGTCGGTCGCAGACTGCGGTGGAATCGTGACAAATTTCTCTCACAGGGCATGTCCATCTCTGCTGCTGGGTCCAAGGGCGGCATGAAACTGGCTGGCGTAGACAAGGCCCAAACCACTCGAGAGAATCGTGAAGCCGCGGATGTAATTGGCCTGTGGCGCGACTACGTGGGAAAACTCAAGACTGCAGTAGCACAGGCCAATATCGGCATGCAAAAACAACCTGTGAAGATGGAGCCGCTCAAGGTTCCTGAGATCAATGATCACATGGCCGTCACCACCGCAAAGATGGTGCCCACGGCGCCGAAAGCGTGTGTTATATGCGGGCTCAAACGAGAGGAGCGAGTCAAGGGCGTGGACACTGAGGTGGAAGATAGCTTTGGCGAGTGGTGGGTCGAGCACTGGGGCCATAGGACGTGCCGAAACTTTTGGCTGGGTAACGAGGAGAAACTACGGTCTCGATGAGCTCAAGTAGTGCTGTGGCTCGAGCCGAGTTGACCCTCTTGAAGAAGGGCTGTCGGCTCATGAGCATAGCATGGCGTTCAGGGGTTGTTGAACAACATATAACACGATTTGCTCTGGCTTATTGTACAATACTTGACCACATCTGTATATAGATAAACATGTGGTGTTTTCACAGGAACTGAATTCAAAAAGATTCGTCCGCTTCTAGTCCTTTGACACAACAGCCCATCTCGAGGTCAAAGTATATAGTTATCATTCCATGTAGCTTTCCGCGCCTGGCTGTCTGAGCGGGGCCGAAGGCTTAATATCAATAGTGTTGTACCTCGGTAGCTACGATGCTACGCCGTTACAAATCCCACGCGTGCTCGCAAGCCTGGGCATCTCGTCTTTGGCTGGGCGCCTTGGTGGCTGCATGAGGCGTGCAGCCGCCATGTGAACGAGCCTGTTCACCCCCACATTGACGCTGGAGAAGATCAACAAAATGGGGGAAGTTGGCAATGGTAGCAAGCTACTAGAGCAATGGGTTGGAATGTGTGCACAGTTTCGCTCTTCACAGGTAACCCTGCCTGGCGACTGCCTCGGTCGCCCTCCTGCGAGGAGGCTGAGAATGATCTACACGGCGCCAAGTACCGGACTGGGGTGATGTAATCCCTTGGCTGGCCGTTTAACATGCAACCGTGCAGATCCGGATGAACGGAGTGTTGTGGGTTGTTATGCTCACTACATAGTCGATCACAGATCTACGACGGCAGTATTACATACTAGAACGAATTCACATTGACAATGAAGCTTCCGAGTAATACATTGGATAGTTACTAAAGCTTTGTCTCACCACACTACAACGCTATAAAGATTCAGTAACGCACTCACTACTGGACATGAACGTACATTACGTTTTCTATAAAGGTCACTAGAAGAGGGAGCGGGGTTCTACAATTGTCTTGTGGATCAAAATATTATGTGAAGCTTATACTGTTGCTGTAGTTGGAGAAGGCCCTGAAGATCTTGAAAGCCTGGAGCGGAAGTCATCGTGTACACCTCGAAGATATAATACAGGCTGTTGCTTTGATTGAGTTCTGAGGGCTAATCCAATGTGATCATTCTCGCCTGAACCCTGGTATTGGGGTTCGTGGCCGTCCAGAGATTTCTCGGAGTCAATGACCTACCAAGGTACTCCAGCACAAAAATCTTGCTGAAATGGAGATTCTGACTTGTTTCTTGAGTCAGCTCTAGCTCAATGCTTCCTCAAGTACATGTATGTGGCTTTCGGTGACTAGAGTATGTTCTGTCAGGTCCAATGTGCATGTTGAGACCTGGTTGAGACTTGAACCTGATAGATTTACCTGAGTCTTAGATTTCAGTCATAACGAATTTACTCCGAGGCGCCCTGGGGCGATTACTCCTTACTCGTGCCCTCCTCATTTTAGAGCGGCTATGTTTCGACGTTACACTCACTGCGAATTTTGGGCGTGAACTGTTGTGGAGAGCCACCGTATGCCTAGGTAGATACTGTCTTCATCCACGCCTATCATGCTCCACACCACACCTTCACCTTACCTGATTGATCAATCTGTAGCAAAAGTAGCCTTCGTGAGGAATGCGTGCACAGAATAGGCATATAACAGGTACTTGGGGGATTGCAAAAACACCTCTAGGAGCACTTGACTACATTCCCTCTACTCACTACGATGGCACAAAGATATCGCAGTATCTTGATAGACCTGTCGTTATTGTTGTTATTATTTTTAGTGTGCCATGTGCTTTGCGTCTCGGTGTGCCCTGATATGACAGTGCTTAACGAGACTCGGGGGGGTCCTGGAAAGTTTGGCCCCCAAGCGGGGCTCATCAGATCAGGGTTCCAAGCTGTGTAAGATGATTGGCGAGGACCCATATGAAGTGCCGGGCAGGCCTGGTTCCTCTTGCCCTCGTCGCTCTCCCATCCAAGCTCCGTGCATATTATCATGCGACCATCAATGCAGCCCTGGATCTTGACGGACGACGCGTCTATCTAAACGCACAGCTTTTCACGACCACTTTGAAGATGCCTGTGCTTGTGCTTGTGCTTGTGCCTGGGCCTATGCCTAGGAGCCGAGGCCTCCGGACTTGGCGTTGACCATGGCACTGTCGTATTAATGTTCGTTGTTCTTGTATGCTCTGGCGAATGCGTTATTGGGCAGATGCTTTGGAGTCTTCAACAAGCCATTTTCGCCATCTCAACTGCTTGGGCGTAGTAGAGAGTCTCCCAGGACAGAGGGGAACCACCGGTCAAGCTTGCCCAGCCTAGCTGGTCGCTTCTCCCTGACGAAAACCATCCAATCGACAGCTTGAGGGTGAGAGGAACTGCCTCGAATAAAGAAGGCACGCAAGATTACAAGAACCGAAGGCGCGCGGTAGTCCACAGCAGCAATGGTCGGTCCCGTCGTTTCCTTGATGGGACACAAAGGTGTAAAACGGTGGTTGGCAGAGTTGAGAACTGTGGATCCCATGAGCCTTTTATACGAGCTGCGGTCCTGTGCAGCAGAGTCAGACAGCCAGTGACGCCGTCAAAGAAGCAACTGCTACGAAGTAACCCTAGCCGGGCACGTAAATCAGTGGCTTGCAGAGAACGTTGGCAGAAGCTTGGAAAGTCTGACAGTCGCATTGCTACGGTCGGAGTATTGAGCTATCGTCGATCAGAGGGTTCGCATCTCGTTGACCCCTTCCCAATCAAGGTGATGGGCCCAGGTCGGGAGCAGCAGCCGACGGACGGTTTTTTTGTGCGCAAAGTCCAAGATACTCGGCATCCCAGGCGATCTGCTGGCACGCTCAAGTAGAGGGTACACTTTTCCTTTGTGCCCCACCGCAACTGCCATCCCACATCCCTACCGTTCCATGCCCATACAGACCACACCACAGTCCGCACCTGCATAACGTGCACGCATAGGTCTGTCTCTTTTTTTGCACTTACCCTGACCTCCCCTCCTCTTTCTCTCCCGTCTTCTTGTCGCGTCGAAGCAATCCTCATCCCAGCCTGCTTTTGTCTCTCTCCTCCTCTCCTCCTCTCTACTTCTCCCTTCCCCCAGCTCAGCTTCCATCACCCTCTCCCGCCACGTTCACCCCGAAATCCACCCCGTCGTCTCTTCTCGTCTCGACGACCGCCGCTCTCCATCACCCCCCTCCCTTCGCCTTAATACGCGATCGCCGTCCCCACCTAAACCTCGGATTCACCCTCCTCTCCTTCGACCGCCGCATTCACCACTGTCCAGGCCTCCACTTTTGCCATCGCCTCGACCCTTGTCGTGCCCGGATCCAGGACCTCTGAGCATCCTCCCAACCTCTGCTCTCCGACCCTTAGTAGCAACAGCAGCGCAGCGGCAGCAAGCAGCAAAGCAGTGTGACAGTGCCTTATCGCTGCTATCTTCCCCGCTCAGTAGGGACCATCGCCGTGTGTTCACTCGCGCCCGCGAAAACCACCACCACCACCCCAAACGATTTTGCCCCGCCGCAAATCCTTACTTGCACGTTACGTACCTTAACGTAGGTCACCCTGCCCCGCCAATCACCATCATAGCTCCAGTCCCTGTCCCTGGAGGGAAGCTTTCTCTGCAAATGCACCCACCCACACTCACTGCCTCCCCAATCTCCTCCAAGCGCACAGATGACCAAGACTCGACTCGAGCTTTCCCTTTGACCACCAACCTTGATTTCTCCCTTGCGCCAGTTCAATCAGGCACTTTCTGTTTCTTCCCAAGCAACCCCCACGACTTTGTTTTCCGAGCGCAAGGCTCAAAAGCTAACACGATCTGCACCACCAGCTCTGAGCCGTGCTAGACTCTCCATCGTGCGACCGCCACTTGAATCCAGTCACCACTGAATTGGTTCGCGCCCAGCCCCACCTACACCACACCACCAAACACATCGACCAAACCAACCCTACCATGTCTGCCAACCAAGACTCCCTCTCTCCCAATGGAGATGACCTTGCTGTCGGCCTGGACCGCGTCAAGCTCGACGACGGCGAGCCGAGACTCGGACCTGACGGAGAACCCGCACCTCGGACCGACGAGGAGTATGCTCAAGCTCAACTAACCCTGCGCGCTATCGTGTCCTCCAAAGAGGCGGGTGTCATCATCGGAAAGGGTGGCAAGAACGTCGCAGAGCTTCGTGACGAGACTGGAGTCAAGGCTGGAGTAAGCAAGGTCGTGCAAGGCGTTCACGACCGTGTCCTCACCATCACTGGTGGATGCGACGCCATCTCTAAGGCATACATGGTTGTCGCCCGCGCACTGTTGGAAGGAGCACCTTCCATGGGCATGGGCGGCGTCCTCTCGGGCAACGGAACGCATCGTATGCAACCCCCTCCTCGTTTCGACTTTGCGCCAGGCGTGACTAACATTCCGGTCGCGCAGCTATCAAGCTCCTGATCTCCCACAACCAGATGGGCACCATCATCGGCCGCCAAGGGCTCAAGATCAAGCACATTCAGGACGTTTCAGGCGTGCGCATGGTCGCACAGAAAGAAATGCTGCCACAGTCGACTGAGAGAATCGTGGAGGTGCAGGGAACACCTGAAGGCATCCAGAGGGCTACCTGGGAGATCTGCAAGTGCCTGGTGGATGATTGGGAACGCGGTGCGGGTACCGTGCTGTACAACCCCGCTGTGCGAACCGCCCCGGCGAGCGCCATCGGCGGCCCAAGTGCCTATGCCAGTGGGCGAGGAGAATATGCTACCCCGTCCCGCGCCATCCGAACCGGCAACGGCGCCGACTTCAGCAATGGCGCGTCACCCCGCAGCTTCAATCGCCCCAACGCTGAGCTCGGTCGAGGTCCACCGACGCATGATGAGAACGGCGAGGAGATCCAGACTCAGAACATCAGCATTCCAGCTGACATGGTTGGCTGTATCATTGGCCGTGCTGGTAGCAAGATCAGCGAGATTCGCAAGACCTCTGGTGCGCGCATCTCAATCGCAAAAGTGAGTGGACTGCAGAACATACGACGCGTGACCCTTTTGTAGGTTGTATAACTAACAGAACAAAGGCACCTCATGATGACACTGGCGAGCGCATGTTCACCATCATGGGAAGCGCCAAGGCCAATGAGACAGCTCTGTTCCTGCTCTACGAGAACTTGGAGGCTGAGAAGGTGCGCCGTAGCCAAGCTCCTCCTCTAGAGTAGGGGCGTCGGCTGGCTGGCGCTCGGGAGGGTCCTTGACGGAGGTTAATGTTGAGGTACTCGTACACTTCACTCCTAGGGATCTCATAATTATGGTCGGGTTTGGCCACCTCACGCTCAAAATGATTGGGGCTTCTCCAGATCTGACTTGCCGCAAGGCTGAAATTTTGGGCGGGGAGTGAGGAGCCAGGGCAAAATGATGTTACGACAATTGGTCTTTTTTTTTCCCACCGAAAAGCATTTGGCTTTTTTTCTTTCAAATTCTTGGAACTGGTTTCACTCCTTACCTATGCTACGTATTGTTTTAGGACGGGGCTGGAGGAGGCTACGACGGCAAACCTGGGTCCTGGCTGAGAGCGGCCGCAGGAGACATTCGCATGAATGGACCAAGACGGACTACTCCCTCCCACAGACCACACACCCCTTGACACCCACTCACCCAGGCCCGATCGCACTGGAGTTATTTCCTAGCATGGCCTACATCACATCCAGAATCGATGTCTCCATGGACCGACGAGAAGCGCCATAATCTCGTTTTTGACGACACGACACGACAGGACGGCCCTCCAGGATTCGACTTGTGTCGAGATGTGCAGTTTTGGCCGTCAGAGCAGATCAGATACCCCTTTCTCCCTAGGACTCGAGCCATTTTTCGGGTCTTTATGTTATTCTTCCCCCGTTTCTCTCGACACATGAACTGTCGCCTCGGCACCTATCATCAAAGAATCCAGGCCTTTGGCCAGGCTCAATCACTATCCCAACGACATAATCTCGCAGCAACCCGAAATTTCCGCTCTTCCCCAGTTTTACTCGCTGCTCTCAAGGCTTTTGACCTTTTTCTACGACAACCGATGAAGCAGTCCCACGACTCGTTACACTGATGGCTCTCACGGAGCGAGGAAAAATGGATGAGAATATCTAGCGCAGATGACAGAACCATAATGACAAGGCTCGCGAACCAAACAGAGGTATTGCCTGTTCAAAGTGATCTGACATGGTGGCGCACCGTGATGAAGCCTCAAAATATAGTGCAGCACAGTACAGTACATGCATATGCCACCTGGAGAGACTGGGCGACATGTTACCTTGCACCCCACGTGGTGTGCCTGGAGCTTGCTGGTCGCGGGCCCGGGAGGACCCTGAGGAGCACCGCGGTGGGGAGAGGCCCCACCTGAGCTCAACGTGCATGCTTATCGATAAGTTAATCTCGGGAACTCGTCTCGTTGTCGCATATGAATGAGCCTTGAATCTCCAAGTCAATTGAAGCCAGCTTGTCAGCTTCGTAAACTCGTCGTGTCTTCTTCTCTTTGCGACCGGGCCAACCCCCCGTCCAGTATCTTTCCTTTCCTTAGCTCTCCAAACCCACGCTCACTATTGCCACCTACACATTTCTAAATCAGCAACATTCGTTCCCTTGGAGGGCTGTTGAGTGGCTGTCTTGCTTGCGCTCGCAGTCCCGTTTCTCGGGCCGAGTATCGAAGTGCTCACTCACCAATTACTATTTCACCAAGTCGCCGAAGAACTTGGCGCATACTGCTGCAAACATGGCCAGGTCCAAGCAAGCGATGCCAGTGCAAAGGGCGACGTCCTCCGAATACATCAGCAAACATGACAGATTTCCCAAGGACACTGCAGACGTGGCTGCCAGGGCCAAAACAGGCATTGCGAAGGTTGTGGCAGCGGCGCCCCGAGAAGACTCGGGCTCCGGGATGTTTCAGTTACTGATCTGTGTAGGAGGCATCTACGCTTCTTTGTGAGTTGTGCGACACCAGGATTGTCTTGATATCGGTTGTTGTAGATGAGAAACGACTCAGTACTGACCTGGCCCTGCTCCCGAATTGTAGTATCAGCTGGGCATGGCTCCAAGAGGGCGTCACAACGACGCCCTACACCAACAACGATGGCTCGACCGAGATGTGGAAGTTCCCCGTCTTCCTCCTAACCGTCCAGTCGATCCTTTCCTCCATCACCGGATCGCTGTACCTCTGGTGGTCCACACCTCGCGGCCAGCCCGTCCCGCCCATCATCCCCACGAACCGTATGCTCCCAGCGCTGATCCTGGTCGCCTTCACGCAGGCGCTGGCCGCGCCCTTCGGCATGGCCTCGCTCGCGCACGTCAACTACATCACCTTCACGCTCGCCAAGTCGTGCAAGCTGCTGCCCGTCATGTTCCTCCACGTCACGCTGTTCCGGCGGCGCTACCCGCTGCAGAAGTACCTGATCGTGGCGGCCGTGACGGCCGGCGTGGCCGTCTTCACGCTGCACTCGGGGAGCAAGAAGCACAAGTCCGGCGGCGCCGGCCCGACGCACAGCGGGCAGACGGCCTGGGGCATGCTGCTGCTCAGCATCAACCTGCTCTTCGACGGGCTCACCAACAGCACCCAGGACTACATCGTCTCCGAGTTCAAGCCCTACCGCGGCCCGCAGATGATGTGCGCCAACAACATGATGAGCTCCGCCCTGTCGGGCGCGTACCTCCTGCTCAGCCCGTACCTCGTCCGCACGGCCCTGGGCGAGTGGTTCGGCATGGCCGACGTGGCCGGCGGCGGCGAGCTGTACGCCGCGCTGGGCTTCCTGGCGCGGCACCCGGGGGCCTGGTGGCATGTGCTGGGCTTTGGCCTCTGCGGCGCCGTCGGGCAGGTCTTCATCTGTAGGTTTTCCGGCTCCCCTTTTTTGATCTGCAAATTACCGCTCCCCGGTCTCCTGCTGACCCATTCTTCTTCCTCACGAAATAGTCTACACCGTCGCCAACTTTGGCTCCGTCACCCTCGTCACCGTGACCGTCACCCGCAAGATGCTCACCATGATCCTGTCTGTCGTGTACTACGGCCACAGCTTGAACCACAAGCAGTGGATGGGCGTCGCGCTCGTGTTTGGGGGCATCGGCTTCGAGGCGTACCTGAAGAGGTCGGCCGAGTCGAAGAAGGCCGCTGAGAGGGCCGCGAAGGCAAGGGAGGAGAAGGCGCAATGAACAATGACACCTGGGGTTTCTGGGAAATGAAACAGGGATCGGTGGCGGCGGCAGCTGTTCAAAGTAGAATTCGTAGAAACCATAGAATTCATCCCACAATACAACACATCCAGAACAATTTACGTTTAATGCATCACTGTGTCTGACGCTTATCACGCCGTTTGGTAAATCACTGGATCGCACACATGAAGTCTTTTGGAATGTTCATAATATTTTTGTGCACACCGTAGTATGACTTTCGTTTCTTAGACTACCCTCAGAGTGTCCTTCACTCTTGGGCTGACCCTCCACAGCTTTCCGAGGTATCTCCTCCATACTTTGCTTCCTCATCATGTGGTTCGTAAGTCTCGCGTCTCGTCCTTCCCTTTCCATCATAAGTAAACCGAGCAGCGCTCAGTCTCATGATATCTTCCCCCTTTTCCCCGTCCTGATCCATCTTATGCTTGGGGAATCATGATTTGAACAAAGCAAGATACAGAACAGGTAGGAAACCAGAATGATGAAAGCTTTTCCTCATCATACGCCCTTCACACCCTTGAAACCGGACAGCCCTACCGCCTATAACAAAAAAACAACCCCTCGAGCGAGCTGTATTGTGATGATAGCTTTGGCCTCCCCAAATGTTGCCCAAAAGCATTCGGTACGTCTTTCAGAAGTGAACTCATGATGGCTCCCTTCTAGATTATACATTTCCATTTAAGAAATAAGGTGACCTTTCTGGCCACTGAGCGATCGGTATCCTCAAAAAGGAAGAGGAACATTCGACAAAGGAAAGTAGATTTGATTCAATGAAAGCTCCTTGGGGATGCTTGGAAAATTCGACTCCGGGGGTTGACAGTAAATTTCATGTGCCCAAACTCCGATTTGATGCGTGCGGTTTGTGACGAGCTATTATCAACGCGTTTTGCAAGTCATGTCGAGCAATATTGCGCATTCGGAAGTCGATGCTTTTTGTATGTGGTCGAACGGATCATCGGGTCTATATGTAATCGTCAATGGACCTGATAATTGGGGCCTCGCCTTTGGTAGGTGGGCTTCTAGGATCCGAGACTTGTCGAGGTCGTCCAAAGTGATTGAACGTATCTCGTGGGAAAGTAGACTCCCGTGGCGAAAATAAGGCGTCCTCTGGCGCTGGGCGTGCGGAGAAAAGTTGCTCGTTGGGGGTTGGAGGCACTTCCACGAAACGCATGCCGGTGAACTCAGCGAAGGAATTGTGAACCGGGTTGTTTGTTATGATCTCAGCTCGCGGTGACATTAGAGCCGCGCTCTCGGGCAGTGTGTTCACTACCTGGACTTCCCGTTCCGCCTTGGCGGGAGGGTCAGCACTTCCGGGTCTCGAAGGTGAACCAAAGTTCAGGGGAGTGAATCCAAGGCTACGGTTCTCGCCGAACCGGTGAGCCCCAAATCCAGGTGATAGTGGGGCCTTCGGAAGTACATCTGGCTGGAACGATCCAAACCCTGGGGACGGTGGGGGTTTCGGGAAATATCCCGAGTGATTCGACGATTTGTTTCCGCACACGGTTTCTTCTCGAATCGCCGGAGGCGTTTGAAACATTTGCGAGGGACTGAAGCGCCCAAATCTACCAGGATCAGCCTCATCCTCCTTCTCCATCCATGAGAAACTCGACGGTGCTGATGACGGACCGGGCGAGATTGTGAGTTGGTCCGGTGTAGAATTCCCGCGGGCGCGCAATGGCGAATTGCCCGGACTTGCGCTCTTTGCTGCGCTATCATCGTCTGGCAGAGGTGCTGTTCTCGGTTCCTTTGGCACATCGATGGCGTCCACGGATAGCGTCAAACGGTGCTTAGATGGGCTCCGACCACTTCTTGGCTTGTAGGCCGAATTCGGTGACAGCTTCCTCTTCGAGACCTCCTTCTGGAAATCCTGTAGGCAGTACATTAACCGCATATTGGGGCTGATCCACTTGCTCTTGGTCTGCGCCGCGTAATAAGCATCGTTCACACTCATTTCCGGGTTCTGGTAGATACCGTAGGCAATGATCAGACTGGCCGAGCGACTGGCTCCCTGTTGACAGTGCACCAAGACCTTCTTGCCGGCAAGTGTCTTTCTCTCGATTGTCTCGCAAAGAAACATCAAATCTGATCCAATGTCCGTGTTGTGGTCCCACGGTATGTGTATGTATTCCGGTTCCTTGGGAGTGAACTGCGCCTTTGGCGTGGTCGGGGTCATGTCGTCAGGTATGAACTCAAATGCAGTCGCAAAACTCGAGCTGGTCACAGCAGTGTCCGGAATTGGCGATGTATCCCCCATGGACTCATCTGTGTCAGTGGCCTTGAAGGTGAAAGGATTGGGAACTTCGCGAGCGACATTAATGATAACGTCGAATTTGGAAGCCTCCTCGGCAGTTGGCTCCATGTAGAGGTAAACTTCGCTTCCATAAATGGCAACGGGCCCATCGGGGTACCCTGGCGACTTCTGGTCCTCGTTGCTCTCCTTCTCATGATAAGGCTCAAAATCAAACGCAGTGCGGTTGGCCATTTGGCTCCTGATAGGCGAGTCCTCCTCCAAAATCGCGTCGTCCACATCGTTGGGTGAGGGTAGTTTACCAGGTCTGAGGAAGGATGAAAGACCAGACTCGTTGCGTTCAAAGACGGTCGGAAACGTCATGCCACCGGCAGGACCAAAAGTAGACGACTTGAGCCCACTCAGCATGTGTGGGGATGATGTAGAATGTTTCAGCGCTCTTCTCTGTGCGAGCGCAGGTATCGAGGGGCTTTGTGGAACTTCGAGGGTCGAGCGGCCAGCCAAGTCATCTGAGTTTGTTTTTAAGCTGAGCTGGCTTGGCTTTCTCTTCATGGCCGGGATTGTAGGCTTTATGAAAGACGGGGAAGATGGCTCAGACATCAGCGACGATGAGGCAGCCGAGGCCGCAAAAGGCGGCTGTATGGAGAGACCCTTCATGTTCCTTGGTCGACGCGGCGCAGGTGAGGTCATGGGGCGTATCAGATGATTCCTAGGTTCGGAAACAGCCAGGGTCGCCATGGACGGCAAGCCCCCAAAGTTGGTCGACGGGAATGCATTCAAGGGGACCAAGTTGACAGGAGAATCCGGCGACGAAGAAGGAGACGGGTCGGAGAGCGACGAGGAATCTGTGCATGACACAGTCGTCGTCGGAGACGAGTCCGCAGACTCAGATGTTTGAGTCGACGTACTGTCCCGATGCTGATGATTCGGTGGGATAGCTGGTGGTTGGAGTAGTTGTGAAGGGTCGGAAGGCAATTGTGGATTGCATTTTGATTCGATCCCCATCATTTTGGGATCGACGACCGTGACGGTGTCCTGATCTTGCATGGCCTGGTCTAGGTCGAACACTGACATGAAGGATGGTATCTGATCCTCGTATAATCGACGAGCCGACGTTGTATACATGGTCGTCTGACAGGCTGCAATGCTTGCTTGGGCAGTAGAGATGGGCGATGCTCGTTGACGAAGTGGGTTGTTTTTGTTTGGTTGCTTCAGGCAGACCTCCTCTTGACCCCTTGGAACAACCCAATACCGTTCGTGTCGCGCAGTCGCGGGTTACCACCGAGTGGTTGTCGCTGTGCAGCCGGGCCGCCTGTTGGAAAGGGCAACAGGCCGGGGGAAATTAGTGAAAGTTGTCGACGGAACAGGTCGGTAAACGGGACAGCGCTGCTGTATCCTGTGTTACACGACACCTGAGAAGCCCTCCTCTTTAGATGAACGAGTTGGCCTTGACCTTCGTTACGACCAGGCTTTCTCCACCGGATTGGTCTTGGAAAGGATGGGGGAGGGGCCCAGGTACCGGATGTCGGGAACCGGTGAAGGCGCAGTAGGGGAGAAGGATTCGTTGAAGTGGGCGTTGTTTGTTTTATTTATGGGATGCGCTGGGAACAATAGGGCTAAGCGGCGGAAAGGAATGGGAAGAAAATGTTGGAGATGCAGAAAAAGATGGAGCAAGAGACAAAGATGTCACCACATGTTTGGATCTATTTAGACCGCAACTCCAAAAGAACAATGATGATGGTAGGTGGTGAAGAGTGTGGTGTCGAAGGAGGAGATGAGACGAGAGACAGGTTGGTGGGCCGGGTCGGGACGAAATATCGTGAGGTCGAAGGCCTGGTAGGCTGTCTTTGTTGTCCTTGATGGCGATTCCCTCTATTCTTGGCCGCTCTTGACTCGACTCGACTCAGCTCAGCTCAACTCGACTCTTCTGCACAGCACCGCGCGGGAAAAGGGAGGCAGTCTGTTTTTGTGTTGCTGGCAGCGCTGAATCGCCGGGAGGATTAATTGGGATGGGGGAAATGGAGAGAAGAGAACGAGGTGACGAGGTCGAAAAGAGGCGTAGAATTGGCTCGACTGGGGGCCCTGGGAGGGGAAGCCAGCGACAACCAGGATGCGGAGGAAAAGGGTAAAAAGAGTCGCAGCAGGGGGGTCACCGGATTCACAGTATACAGTATGAATTCCAAGGTTGCCTGGGGATTGGATTGGGAATGGGACTGGGCACTGGGCAGAGGGCGAGGGAGAGAAAGAGGACCCTTGTTGTGTGCCTTGCTCGGCTTCCAGGCTTGGGTCCAAGGATCTGGCCTAGTCGCTCTGATTGCAGCGGCGGCGTTATTGTCGAGGACTGGACTGGGCTAAAGGCAAAGGCTGAACCGACGGCGAGACCCCAGGGCTCGTACTTGGTGGCATACACGGGCGCCAGATGCTCGAGTCGAGACGGGGAACGAGCGAGAAGAGGAAAGTTGGAAGAGGGTATAGTGCCGGTCGGTCTCAGGCGGGCTCCCAAGTTTAGCTGCCGTTGTGGTGCGTTGCTTGGTGCGGTGCGGTTCGTTCGTTGGTTCGTTCGTCGAGAGCGAGCGAGCAAGCAGAGGCAGAGCGTGGACACACACACGGAGGAGGGGGGTGGGAGGGAGCAACGCAGGCGCCCAAGTCCACTTTCAAGCGCGGAGTCCAGTAGCCCTCCAGCCACTGATGTGCGAGACGGCAGGAGGGGGCAGGGGTCGCTGGGCAGGGCAGGGGCCCAGAGGTGCCCTTTTCTCGGAGAACAATGGGGACGGCCAGGGAAGCTGCGTCTGGTAGCATGGTGGGTCCCTCCCTCCCAGCCAATGACCAGTGCCGCGACTGCAGGCGTTAGCCGCTACGGTGCATCTAAAAATAGGCGGGCGTTTCAGTCAACGAGCCAATGGGGAAGGGGTGACTTTGTCGGCCAAATCCAGCAACATGTACGAAGTACTCATGTATCCTTGTACCCATGTACCAATCCTCCTCTGCGCTGCTGCACACGCGCTCACATATACATACATACGCACACAGTACTCCGAATTAGTCTACGGTCCTCGGGAGTAATGAGCTGTGGTACTTGGTAATTTTAGACTCGCAGTGATCTTCACCTGTCCCAGGACAAGAGAACAAGAAGAGGGAGCAAAAAAAGAAAAGAAAGGGCCCGAACACGCTCTCCACAATCCACCGCCTGCGAGTCAATGGGAATGATTCCCTCCTCGACGGTAGCGAAGGGCCTACTGTGTGTTGTCCTGTCGCCTGTGTTGTGTTGTGTGCTGATCGCCTCCGGGCGAGTTTCAACTTCCGCCCTTGGTTAGCATCGTCACAGCACAGTACTTCACTGTACATACAGTGCCAGTCTACTACTGCACCGCATTCTGCCCCAACACACCCCCCCAGGCATACCAGCCAGTCAGCCACCCAGCCCTGCAAATCCCCAGCTGTCCAGTCCCACTTTGTTGTTGCAACCCGAGCATGCGGCACATGCAGCTTGCATCGCCTCAACCAAAGACGCCAGTGGCCAATGGTCAGCCGAGGGCCGCTGGCTTTGTATCGCAATCCTCCATCTCATCAGCCTGCCAGCCTGCCTGCTAGGCCTACTCTGCTCGGTACGAAAAGGAATGTTGGCCTTGATCAATAGAGCAGAGCAGTTCAAAGGCCCGGCTGTCCCGTGGGAATGGAACCTCGCCGCTCAGCTTGGGCAGCCTGCCCTTCACCGCTCCCGCACTCACCTCGGTCCAGGCCCCATTGTATCCCACGGCTGTGCTCCCCATCTCAGGCTCGTCTAACCTTCAGCCTCATCCTCCGTCGGGCGTCTAACACGGAGAGCGTAACCGAGCAACAGGGGAAACGAAACACGGCGGGCGGCGGGCGGGAAAACAACAGCAGACAAGCTGTGGCCGTGTTTGCCCACTCGGTGTGTCTGGACGAATCGAGCCTGGATGGCCCTGCTGACTGCTGACTTGCCGTCACGGGTGACTCTCTAACAACCGAGATCTTCAGACGACATCTTTTCCTGGACCCACCAACTCCCAAACATTCACCGACAGAGGGATCAAAGCTCGGCTTCGGAGTTGTGCATAGCTTTCCAGCTTGCTCGTTCGTTGTCGTCTGTCGCGCCGTCTTATTACTCCCAGACACGGGCACCCAAACAGCCAGACCCGACGGCAAGAGCCAGCGCCCTCACGGACTCTCAGGGTTATTTCGATCAGCTGTCGCTATATTTGCTCAGTGGGCACTGTGAAATGCTAGTCGATTGCCGAGCACAGTCCGATCATGGGGACATTGCCACTGTCCTGACTGCTTGTTTTCTGATACGACAACTTGAAACGAAGGGGCTTGGAGGGACCACAACGGAAAAGAAACTCCCAATTTGGCACCGCAAAAATCTTGCTGGGGTCTTCAAATCTTTGACTCGCAATTCATGAGCCGAGGTTTTCGCGTCTGATTGATGACGACAGGAAGTTCACAACACCACGAACGCTTGGATTGCCAAATATTTACTTTCTTTTCGAGACCTTATGGCCAGGCTTACTCCTTGCTGCAAGAATGAGGCCGCGCCTCAACCGCGCTTGTTGGACCAATTTTGTTCACGGTGGCGGCTACGGGAACCCCGACATGTGATGAGGCTGAGGTGTCTGCTGCGTACCCAATGACGGGGCTCTGTGGGGACGGAGTAGTATTTGGATATTTTGAGCCTCATCGTTCATGCCAACGACGAGGTCGCGTGCCCGCTCATTTTGAGCTCGCGATAGTTACTCTTCCTTTATCGTATCTAAGAATAGTCGGCATTGAGTCTTGATCACAAGCGGCTCAAAAACGCGGCCTCTGTCCGGATGATTGCCACCTCGTCAGCCAGAAAAGGTCCGACGGTATGGCCAGTAATCATCTGTCGGACGACTCAGGAGTTGAGTTGAAAGCTGGCGGCCAGAGGCTGGGTGGTAGCTTACGCAGTTAGCGCAGGGTTGCTAGAACGCCAAGGTCGCTTGTTTGTTTAGGTGCAGGCTTGGTAGAGCATCGTGACGATGATGCGACAGTAATTGCACCATACTTGTGCTGGGCGTGCCGAGGTGGTTGATGTTTGCTCAACTGGATACATCGCGTGGTCTATGGCCTGACAGAAGCATTTCGCATTCACAGCACTGTATACCGCTCTTGGATTCCCCGAGGCGGAATCTGAAGTGACAGAAAGCCTCCTCGGTCACATTTCTATCCTTCTAGATGCGCCGGACAGAGCTGATCTCCAGACTACCGGGACAACTCTCGGCGCATTTGCATTTTAAGCTCTTACCTGACCCATCCGCACAGCTGATCCGTAAGGTCGACAAACATACGCAATATTACCGGCATGTTGCAGTTTTGAATATGCAGAAGGCTCCACGACGAGACCTCGCGACAACAGGTCGGTCTGATCACACAAGGTTCGTCGATCTCACATGGGCAGGCCCGCGGACTCTTGCATAGAGAGCGCACAGTCCATCCTGCGTCCATACCTGGTTTCTTTGGGGATTGAGATGTTTCGAGCTAAGGCAGCGACGAACCTTAAAGGGACGTCGAAGCAAGATCGGGATTCCGGGGCCCGAGGGGGACAGGAAGAAGGTTGCAGGAAAGCTATATTGACCGTTCTCAACCCTCCCAAGGTTCATCTGAAGTTGCGGGGAGTAGGCTGCACGGCCAGTGTCACTATCGCCGACTCCAGGCTGACACGGCGGGGAAAGGCAAGCGAGCGAAGCTAAGCTGGCGAACACCCCTTGCTGGAACCATTGACGCCGTCCACGAGCCGGCAGTTAGGGCCCGGCACTGGTGCCGCGGAAACGTCGAGTAGGCCCGAGTTCGGCGCCTTGAAATCGGGTCCGGTAGGATGCCCTCGACTGGCCCATGGCTGATAGGAAGGCTTGGGAGAGGGACGCAGGAGCTCGATTGGGCAAGCCATGGTGTGGGTCTCTTCACATGGGAATTTGCCTGGTTCAGTTCACAAGAACTGCCAGGTTCTTGGCCTGGAGAACAAAGGAAACCCAGGGAGAACTAACCCTGAATCTAAACGGTCAGAGCGGAAAGGGAACGACAGCCTGGGCATGAGGGGTGCGGATGTTCCTAATCAAACCAAGCCAAATCAAGCTCGTTGGGTCGTTGAGGCCTGTCCGAGCTGCGCTATGTTCGCTCTGGTCACCGCAATATCTGGTCGCTTTGGATAATCAAATACCAAAGCAGCAGTGACTGTCACTGTCCTGACGTACAGGAGGATCCACAACCTGTCGCGACATGTCGTGCCCACCCACCATGCTCCAGCCGTCCGTCCAGTCAGGGCCGGTGGAGGCAGGCCTTTCAGAGCGGCCACCCTGCCCTGCCGCCTGCCCATCACACCTCATCATGCGCGTAATTTAGCCAGATGACCATCCCCGATGCAACTCAAAAGGGGGAGGTGCCGGGAGGGGGCCCTAGCGTCTACTTCGATGCACAAAGCCGACAAGAGGTCAGCGTCCTAAGCCCGTTGCGGCGACAGAGGCTGCTGGAGGTTCTGGCCGTTGGGGGTCGACAGTTGGCAGCATCCTGCCAACCAGCCAGTCAGGCGCCGTCGATGAAGATCTAATGCTGGGCGGGCACGCTCACGCTCACGCTCACGCTCACGCCACCGTCTGCCGGGTTTCAGGTTCCTCCTCTGATGGGGGGCCACCCGCTCGAATTGCGTCTGAGAGCTCGGAGACTTCTTTTTTGATTTGCGGGACTAAACAAGTGACCCGTGTGATGACCGGCCTTGTTGATGGTTGATCCCAGCTGTTGGTGAAGTTTGATTACAGGGACGGAGGTCAATCTTTTTCCAGCCAAAGTCTTCTCTCACTGAAAATGAAAATTCCCCTTCGAGATTGCGTATGACAAAATGAGAGACGTGCTCGGCTCCGCAACGAGCCAAGACATGCAAATTCGTCTTCCAGAAGACAAAAAGATCAGAAGAATCAGGCCCAATCTACAGACCCATAGCAGAATGCGTATGCGAGGCTCTGGGGCAGTTTTGATGGGGTCCTGCATCTTGCTTGCGACATCGAGACGTGGAACCTTATAATCAGGGTTACCCTTCGCCGATCCGGTGTAGCATCCCAGATCACGACGTCTGTCAGCCTTTTGCCATGGACGGTACAGAGTTTCTGGGTTTGCTATAGGCCTGTGTACTGCACTGTGATTGGGATTGACGGCCCACAGTCAAGTCAGCGCGGGTTACCATCGTCACGTCCCAAAGGAATTGATTGTCCCCGGGCTCGTGGAAGTCTGCAAATTGCAGTCTGGAAATTTCCCGTGGCACGGGCACGCATTGCTCGTGGTCGGATAGGCCCGCAGCCAGTCAGGATGCAGATGGTGGCACACTTGTTCTCCGCTTCCTGTCCGGTCCAGGGCTCTTGCTGGCACCGGTCGGCGGGATCCTGGCCAGATTTGCTCGTGAACAGACTCTGCAGGTTCTGGCGAGGCGTGTGATGAAGCTTCCACCCTGCCGGCGGCGGTGGCGGCAGGGACAGCAGCAGCAGCAGCCGGATGAGCAGGAGGAGGAGCAAGAGCAAGAGCAAGAGTAAAGCACATCGACAGTTTCGTGCAGCTTGCACCGTACATGTGCATTGCGCTCCATCAAGGTCCAAGTCAAGTCCATGTCCCAGGTCGCCGTCGACCGTCTCGGATCGCACAATCTCTTACCTTTTCCTGTTTGTCCCTTCTCGTTGCTCCCTCGTGTACTAGGTGTGTTAATCACCGTGCAAACGTATTCACAATTTCTCCTGCCGACCCATCTGTCGCGCAAAGACCTCCAGCAATCTGCTCCCGTCAAAACCTTGCTGCGAATCTACAGCGTTTCCTAATCTAAAGTGTGGTCTGCGGGGCACATACGCGCACACATACAAGCTTCAGACACACATGCACACCACATACAAACACCCAGTAGTACCCCTACCGTTCCTGCCCAAGGAACTGTCAAATTTAACCCAGATCGTCTCGACGGCGATTGCGACTTCGACCACTGTCTTCCCTCACCCCCTATTCGACCAATTGATCGGACGACCCGAGTCACCAGTAACGGGAGTCGCTGCTGCTGCTGCTTCGAGTGGCTTTCACGAAAGCTTGATGTAGCACCGCATAGTGACTGACAGACTGACATTGACATTGACACTGTCTTAATCCCTCCCCCCCCCCCCCGGCAGGGACATCAGACATCGGACATCAGACTCAGACACAGTCAGACCCAGGCTCAAAGACCCCAGACTCGCCCAACAGCTACGACAGGGTCTCGGGAACTATCGTCGCTCTTCTGGAATTAATCAATGCTACCAGCGAGAATCGAGCCACCGCCGCCAGGGTAGACTGGGGAAGACGCAAGGGACCAGCCGATGGGACCCTGATCATAATAAGGAGACGGGACAGGCATTCTGGAACAAAGAAAAGCAGAGGGCAGTTCGTGTGCAGGCCATGGCTTCCTCGTCAACGACCGTGGAGGTGTTTGAAGACGTTGGGTCCAGCGACAGGACCGACCAGGAGCTCGAGCTTGAGCTCCAACTCGAAACCGAAACTGCGGCCCCAGCCGCACCAAGTGCTGACCTCCACAGCGCCGCCAATCCTGTCGCTCCTGCGCCCGCGCCCGCGCCCGCGCCCGCGCCCGCGCAGCCCAGCGACAGCGACAGCGACAGCGACAGCGACGGCCACGGCCACGGCGACAACGAGGACGAGCACGAGGGCGAGCACGACGAGCAGCCTCACGACAGCCCCCGCCAGGGTGAGCAATCAACCGTAGACACTCACAAGCAGCCACCACCATCCGGGTCTTCTGCAGTGCATGCACACCGCGTCAATCACAATTCGTCCAAATTGCCTGCTTTCCGTCTCAGCGACCGCACCAGGGCCTCGCTGCCTCTTCCCGGTTTGCTACAGCGGGACAGCAAGCAACATCCCCCCTCATCTGCAGGGTTGTTACAGTCCCCACAGCACCAAGACGACCGCCGCAAGACCACAAATCCAGCGCTAGAAGCAGAAAATAGGCCTACTAGCAGTGCTACTGCTGACGATACTACCGATGCACAACATCACCACCACCACCACCACCACAACAACAACCACCTGCATCAACCCGTGCCCGTGTCTGCGTCCGAACCCTATCCTCCTTCTGACCAGCAATCCTCACCCGGCACGCCCCATTCACCCGCGACCTCGAGACAAAAACACAGCCCGGCACGATCACGGGCTAGCACCTACCAGACTGCCTCACCCTCCACCCCTTTCACCCCAACTGCCGCCAAGCGACCCGCTTCATTTCCAGTTGACAAGAGTCCTGGTGACGCCCTCGCTTCTCAATCGCCCACCGACGAATCCCCCTCCTTTTGGACGCCAGCAACGCGACCGCGCTCGCAGTCCATTAACGTCACTCCCATATCCAACAACGCCACCTCCCCGCCCACAAAACAACAGTCACAAGGCGTGCACACACCCGAGACTCCGTCAAAGGAGTGGGCTCACGATCAGCGAGCCCTCTTATCGCCTGCGGTAGTCAACGGCGACAATCTCCATGACAGCCAAGCTGAACGGCGGAGAACATCTACTTCACGACCACCAGTGTCATACAAACCACCGCAATCCTCATCAACCCCCGGTCGCCCTGTCATCCCTCCTATCCGCTCATTTCGCTCGTCAGGCTCGCGCAAGAGCCTCCAGCTCGACATGAATCATTCTTACCACCGCTCCTATGATGGTGGCCACGACTTTAGAGACTCCAACCATAGGGACCAGTCGCTGCGGGCGCTCGAAGGACGCAATAGCGGCGACTGGCCACGAGAGTCGGCCCCAGATGCGGACGATGAAGTCACGGCGACCATCGAAAGCGAGAACACTGCCGACATCTTCATGAGAATCGCACATGAAGACCCCTCATCATCCTCCCGACCAAAGAATGACGGTCGCGACGAGGATGATCGCGGCAGCACAGTGGTGAGTACTCATTTTTTTTCTCTCTCTGTGTTCATTGCCTCGACAATTCCAAGCTCGTGACGCTCCCAGTGTTGAACCTCCGTATCCACAAGTGGCCCAATTGTGGGATGAAGGGCGATGCCCGGGCCCCTGAATGAGGAGTACCTGCATGTTACGAGTCGTTGTGGAGACGGCCATCCTCAACATACCAATCGTGCTGCGGATCCATCCTTACCCATCCCGACGGTCATCACCCTTTATCTTTCTCCTGGGCAACGTGTTGCACAATCGGTTCAACATTCAGTGGCGCATGTCTCGAATTCTGCATGGAGGCTAACCAGTCCCAGTCTCGGGTCGCGCGAAACGGGCGACAACGGCCGCTTTCTACTGTAATCCCTTCATCATTCCAGAACACTACGTCCCCACCTCGGGTTTCACGGCGCCTCTCGGACCAGCAAGACAGGGCGTCCCGCATGAGGCGAACGACGGAGGATCAGTCGGTACAGCGCACCGAGAGGGAAGCGCCCTACCGAGGCAACACCACCGAGAGGCCTTCTCTAAGTCTCGATTCCACCCGAGCTCGGTCTACAGTATCGTCCCTGAGACCGTCGCCGATAACCCCTCGGACATACGGTGGCCTCGACAATACCGTTGAAGGCAGCTCCATATTTGCTCGGCGACCGGCGACTTCTGAGCATTCTCGGACGTCCTCTCACAGGCAGCCCAGCGGTCTCTCCAAATCATTCCAATCCTCTCCTCTTGTCCCAAAGAGTAGCGAGTCTCAACATCCAGGGGCGCCCCACCATGATGCGTCCGAGTCATCAAACTCAACCGCTGCGCCTTCGACAGTCTGGGATGAGCTCGATGAGCTAAAGTCCCGTATTCACCGGCTAGAGTTGACCGGAAAGCTGCCGAGGACATCAGGCGCCGCCATGTCGAGAGCTTCTGAAGAAAGGCCTCCTACGGCGGGGACTGGCGCGACTACGGTGTCTGGCTCGCCAAAGCGCGCCGAGGCGACCGGGGTTGCAAAGACGGAAATTCTGAGCATCACCTCCTCGCACCGGGATTCGCAGCCAATCTTGAAATCAGCCCTCTCCAAGACAAAGCCATTCGTGACTTCTGACGTTTATAGCGCTGTTGAGGCGGCCACTAACGATGCGATGTCACTGTCCCAGATGATGGGCATTGTCGGGCAGCCAGGGCCAATTTCAAGTGGTGCAAGCACTATCGGGGGAAGCGGCCAAGCTACTGTTACAGACAGGCTATTACGGAAGAAGGTAGACAGCATGTGTCGGAATCTTACCGAGTTGTGCCTTGCCTTGACAGAAGAGGGCAGCCAGCGCAAGGCCGCACCCCAGCAATCAAAGCCGGAAACTCGAGAAAAAGCACGGCCAAAGGAGCAGCAACAGCAACAGGAGCAGCTTATTAGTCCACCGCCCATCAAGGTCTTTACTGGTGCACCGCGGCGGGACACTTCTCAACCCGATGAGCCTGTTCCGAGTGTTGAGAATAGCATCAGCCCTCGCGCAACTAGGTTGGAGAAGCGGGCCACTTTCAATTTCACTACGCCATCTGTCCCAAGCCCTAGGTACGCACCGAGTGCTTTGGGTGGGGAAGCCACAACACCTGGACGGAAGTCCTCTCTTGTTGTGGCCCGAACACGCCGGGGTGTCACAGAGGATCCCGATGACCAAGGCAGGAAGACGTCGCTCCTTCGGACCAGGCGGGCGGGCACTGATGAGCCCGAAGAAGGACGCAAGACCTCTTTGCTCCTGCCTCCGCGTCGTGTAACCACGATCGCCCGCGGCAGCAATATTGATGATGAGCCAGAATCCCGGTTCAGAGCGCCATCTAGGGCTATCACGGAAGTTTCCGGCCTGAGGGTCGATGTACCTCCACGAGATCAAGACCTAACGCGAGGCTCTTTTCAGATGCAAGAACCGACATCCGCCAGCTCGGCCTTGCCTCGGCGCCGTTTGATCACATCGAACCTGCCGTCTGCAAGTGTTGCATCATCTCGTTACGCGACCCCTACAACACCCAGCTCCCGTCGGTTTTTGGGTGCTGATCGGTTCGCACAGGATAGGGGGGACAGATTCGACAGGGCAGACAGCAACACTGTCGCAGAAAGACTGGCCGAAGAGCGAGGACAGCGACAGTACTCGCTTGGTCAGTCGAATGGTTCAGTGGTTGGCCGCGACACTAGCATCAACCGCAAACGACACAGTGGGATTCCCAGCATCTCTGGGACTGCCTCCAATTTTGGTGGTTACAGATAATTGCGACAGACGTTGCACATGTACGACGGCTGGCATGATGATTCACGACACAGTAACGTGTTCAACTGTACAAAAGCGTCTTTTACTGCATTGAGAAGCATTTCTGCAAGAAGCCGAGATTCACGCATGCATCGCTGGTGTTTATCGATTTCCATTTCTTATTTGTTGTTCTCGAGGTGGTTTTCAGCATTTCCAGATGGCGCCCACAAGGCGTCGTCGTGTTCATATTAGGGGCTGGGTGTGGGCTTTTCCTTTCGCGGCGAGCGCACGCTCTGCACATATTGCGGTGCTTCGCTGCAGTTGAAGTTACAGAAACACATGACAAAGAAATTTCCTTTGTCAAGAAATGACGTCTGTACGACTGAGGAAGAACCAACGGAGATTCTGCATGAGATGGACTCCCACCAATTGCAGATATTTGCGAGGAGTTTGGGCGCGCAGAGCGCAATATCGATACCCGCCGGCACTAAAAGGAGAGGACGGCCTTTTAGATGTATATACTAGTCTCTTGCTATCTGTATGAGGCAGTTGCTATTAATGTATTATATGCATGCACATCATGACTTTGCCTGACAATGAGTGAGTGAGTTCGGGAAATGTGGGTGTGCCGTCGCCTCGGACTCGTCTTCGCCAGTGAGACCTCGCAACTCCTCTACATCTGCGTAAAATAGAAAACAGAGTAGGAACTTCATAGAAAGTTGTTCTCACCAAGGGACCTATCTTTTAGGGGACAAAGTGGTCGCGGCGCGACCAACCTGCAGGCAGGCAGTCTAGTTTACAGTGCAGCCTGATCAGACACAGTTGAGTCAGGCCGAGACAGCCTATGCTGTTGTTGGTGGCTGAGGCTTGTAGTAAGCATTTTCCGCGGCAGGAAACTCAACTCTTTCAACCTCCTGAAAATGAAAGAAAACAAAAATATGACAGGGGGTAAAAGACAAGTAAATAAAAACGAGCTGTCAGACACAAATTGACACAGCTTCGGATTCAATCTTAACCTTGATGAGCGTGCTTCCGCCTTGGTGGGTCAGTTCCAAGGTCATCATCGATCCAGCAGCCGCAAGGCTGTCGCGACACCCGTTCTGCGCAGTGTGTCGATACTCAAGACAAGCACCACAACATTCATTTTTGTCGCCTGCCAATTCTTCGCAAGGCCACACCAAGCAGCAAAGAAGCTTCTCTCGGGATCCGCCTGCTGCCAAACGGAGGTACTCGACTGAACCAAAAGCCACAATCCTCAAGACCATGGAGGCGGACGAGCTAGCTGCCAAGTTCGAAGACAAGCCCGCTGCGCGGGCCGGCGGCAAGGGGGGTCGGAAAGGGGCTGGCGGTGGCAGGCCCGGTGATGGGGGCAAGCAGAGGGAGAAGCAGGTCTCGATGGCGCTGTCGAGGCTGCTGCGGCACCAGGCCCTCAACGCGGGGATCAAGCTGGACAAGGAGGGGTATGCGCCTTTGGATCGGGTGGTGAGTGATGCTCTCGCGAGACTTGCCTTGAATTTTTTTATATGTTGGGTGATGGGCCATGGCCTCATATCCCTTGATTCATCAGCAGACATCTTGCTGTGGACTTCGGTCCTCGTCCGCACCCCGTGGCTAACAAGCTCACCACAGCTCCAATGGGGCGCCCTCCGCACCCTCAACGTGACCGTGCAAGAGGTCATCCAGGTGTGCGCCGACAACGAGAAGCAGCGCTTCTCCATGAAGCCGGCAGACGCGGACACGTCCAGCCCAGCCGGCGCCGCCGCGGACACCGACCCGGCGCACTGGGTCATCCGCGCCAACCAGGGCCACAGCATCAAGCTGGAGTCGGAGGCGCTGCTGAAGCCCATCACGCTCGAGGCGGGCAACGTGCCGCCCGCCGTCGTGCACGGCACCTACTTTGCCTTCTGGCCGCGCATCATCGAGTCGGGCGGCCTGCGGCGCATGGGCCGCAACCACGTGCACTGCTCCACGGGCCTGCCCGACGACGAGCAGGGCGTCATCTCCGGCATGCGCAGGGACGCCGAGGTCCTGGTATACGTCGATGTGGCGCGCAGCCTTGCGGATGGGGCCATGACGTGGTGGATCAGCGACAATGGCGTCGTGCTCACCGAGGGTGTTGGGGAGGAGGGGGTGGTGCCGGCGAAATACTTCAAGGAGGTCTCTGGGCGAAAGGAGGACGTTGGTACGTTATGGAAGGACGGTGAATGGGTCGCGGATCTGCCTGAGGACTTGAAGAGCCGGCCGCCTCCTGCTAAGGGTGGTAGGGGCAGAGGAGGCGGACGGGGTGGGAAGGGTGGTGGAAGAGGTCGAGGGAAGGGCGCGTGAAGACGTGATGTGGTGGCATTCCGCACGGCACACAAGGCGTGAGGCTATTGGAGAGAAGTTATGTCTCTTTGTCTGCTTTTGCACTGCTCTGCCTGGTTGGCATTCTGTCTATGCTAGCCACCCGGTCTGCAGTTGTGTATGTGACCCTTTCATAATTCATCATGCACACTGTTGCACCTAGTCGTGCGGCCTGATAAGTCGTGATATAAGACCCTCTTGAGGACTTTTACCGCATCCCAAAAAAACGTAGAATCATATTCCAATGATTATTCACCGAGCAATCAGCCACTGGACCACGGCATGCTGGCTTGTCAAGTAGCCTACAGCCCGTCAAACCCACGCTGCGAGCCAGTCACCTTTGAAAGCATCTCATACTTCTCCGTCCTCTCTCTATGCATAACCAGTAGGTGCTCCAGTACCAGCTCGGCGATTTCCTGCCTCGCGCCGTCCTTCCCAGCCACACCAGTGACTTTCCCCAGGTCTTCGGGGAACTCATCGCTGTCTTCGCCAAAGTCCGGATAGCCGTCAAAGATGTAGTTCGCGCGGGGATCCGAGTTGGTGAGGCGGTAGGTCGGCGCTCTCAGTTTCATGCTGTGACAGAGGGTCGTGACACGCTGCGTGGCGGGCAGGCTGTTGTCGTCCACGTCCACGGCGCCGTTCGTCCCCTTGGTCTTGCGCTTCGGGGGCGGCGAGAGGACGCCGTTAGTGCCGTCATTCGGCCGCTTTGCTGATTGGCTCGCCTGGATTGGGAGAGGACGGGGGAAAGGAAGTTGTTGCTTGGGGGAAGTGACATCTTGGAGGTTAGAAGGCATGAGTGACTGCGTGATCAGCCAGTCAATGGCGCACTTCGCGGCATCTGCAAATGCGTCGAGACATCAGGCACCAGTTCTATCATGTCAGGGGACGGAACCGCATACATTGCTTGGCGTCCTTCTTCTTCCCAAAAGGCGGGCAGCCAGTCTCGTCAAAGCCGAAGCCCGCAGCTGGGAATCTCTTGATGGCGGGCTCGTGGGCAAGAGACTCGCTGAGCTCGACCGTGCAAGTCCACTGGGGAGGCCCCTCTGCGCTTCTCTCACTGTGCATCCCCTCCGCGAACGTGATCTTCTTGCCCGTAGGATTAGCCTGTCGATATCCTTGTCAACATTGTTAGCATGTTCTCGCTTTACGGGAGGGTCAATGGATACTGACGACATAGCAGGCTGACATAGTCCACCTGCCCTATTTCTGGGAGCGGTGATTTTGCGCGGAAGCTGTCGAGGAATACCCGCTGGGCGTCGGTCAGATGGGCGGGTGCCTGATTCGTGAGCTCGTAAGCCTCCTGCTCAGCAACCCAGGCCTTGACCTCCTGGTACAAGGGGTTTGGAAAGGGTGGGTCGTTTCCGTTGGGAAGCGTCATGATCCGTTTTGAGGAGCGTTGCCAGAATCTCAAAGATCTAAGTAAGCCTTTGTATCTTAGAAGCAGGTGTCCGACCATGAACACAACATGGTCGGACAAGTAAGGCCTCCCTGGCGAGGAGCTCGTGGTTTATATTTGGCCAACAAGTTGCTCGGGTGAGGCCATGCACAAGGCTGAAAGGGGGTTGGTCGACCGTGGAGGCGTGGTCGGTAGGCCTCCCGCAGGGCGGACTGCGTTGGGCGGGGTACTGGCTGCAAGACAGCGAGACTTGCATTCAAGCTTGCATTCCTCGCATCTGGATTCTGGCTGTTCCACATGTCAACTCTTCCTTCCAATGAGGACCACTGGGTCGAAGAGAGATTCGGGAGAAGGGGCGTTGAGTGAGGTGGTGGGATCCGGGAGCAACTTTTATGTACTTCGCAAGTAGCATTTCCCTTCAGTCGATCTCTTCCTCAGCCACAAGATAGATCAGCACATATCACTAAATTATTTCCATTCAAGGCCATACATAGAATTCTAGTCTGAATGAAATTTTTGACAGTGCTAGGTTTCTACAAGGAAGGAATTGAAGCCTTCTGAGTGACTACTATGTACATTTTCGGGGGGGGGGGGGTATCATGCCGAACTGCTCTTGGTGCAGGAAGCAAACTCGAACGCCGAAAGATGCTGAATTAAGCAAAGAAACCGAGCCCATTGTCGTCGCTGCCAGAAGGCTCCTTTTTATTGAAGATACCCTTGGCGCGTCTTTGCCGGCGATTGCCCTCCGCGCTGGGTACTCCTCCTGAGCTCTTCTTCGACCCTTCTGCCTTGGGTATGGGGGTAGAATCGACGCCAGAACTGGGTTTCGAGGGCTTCGGCTTCGCTGACCTATCTTTCGTTGGCTTTAATTTGGGTTTCTCCAGCTGGTGCTCCTGCGACTTCTCCGGCCGGCGCTCCTGCAGCTGCTCCAGCGCAGCCTGGCCGTTCCTCATTGCCTCCTCGACGACTTTCCACATGGTTGGCCGCTCAGAGTGCAAGGCTCGCATCGCGGCTGGCTGGCCATCTGCCTCCTCATCCTTTGAATTTTCGTGCGCACTGTATAGACTCTCATATTTTTCCAGGAACGGAAAGTATCTGGTGTAGTGGTAGTCAACATCCGCTATGTGCAGATCAGCCTCGATGCGGGCTCTCTCCTCCGGGTCGGTGGCCTCATCGGCCTGTTTCTTCAGCTTCTTGCGCAGTCTTTCCGCCTTTTTCCTCTCTGAAATGGCGTGTGTGTTAGCTTGTGATATTCTTGTTGAGTTTTGGAGCCACAACAGATACGCACCAAAGAACCGGACCCCGTGATACTTGGAGATCATCTCCTGGCGCTTCTTCTTGTGCGATATTTCGTCGATTTGCCTCTTGCACTGTGCAAGCTCTCGCTCGAGTTTTTGTTTGACATCCGCAGGGAGATCATCGCCCTTGGCAAAGCGCCGCTCGATGTTCCTCGCGCGCCTCTTGACCTCGTGCAGGGAAGCGCCTAGCTGGGTCGTGTTGCCATGAGTGGCCGGCTTGTGACTCTGGAAGTGTTGTTTCGTTCTCTTGTTGGGTGCATTGTGTCGCGATGACGCGCCTTCAACGTCGGAATGGGGACGTTTGGAGCCCATGCTGACGGTGTAACAGAATGTGGTGACGGTGGTGGTGGTGTAGTGAAGGAGTCGGTGCGCCCTCAAGGTCGTGAATAGGATCGTCCGGCTCTGGAAAGTTTTCAATGGAGACGGGATTGACTTGGGGACCTCTGGGGTCCTTATCTTATCAGAATGGGGCATGCATCCGCCCTGTCCTCTAATCCCTGCAATGTGGGTAGGGGTTGTTGGAGTCGACCAGTGCTGGAGCTACTAGACTATGTCTCTTTGCTGCAGACGGGCTCACTCTCTAATTGCAGTGTACTTGCATTTGCACACAAACTTGCTGGCCTTGATTCTCCCCAGTCGAATGCCCTCGGGCTGGTTGCCCTTGGAAAGAACAATGCCCAATGAGCCAGCACACGCACACATGGACAGATCTTGAAGACCAAAGTGGGTGCGCGTCCAATCCCAAGCTCACGTGAGCTACAGTACTCACGGCGGAACGCGTCTCGATCTCGCCGCCGTCCATGGTGAAAGAAGAATATTCATCCACGTTTAAGGCCGTTCGAATTCGCAGTGATGGACCGTCCTGAGCCAGGACTGCTGAAGTGGTCGCCCAATGCGAGCCGTGACTCTTTTCTCCATCTCAATCTGCAACACAGGGTCGTCCAGCTCTATGAGCCCACGGGCCACGCGCACCGCGGGCGCTTCGACTATAGGAAGGTCTCAAAACACGATGATGTGCCGCCCTTGACCACTTATGACTGGTCGCCCTCAACACCCGGCTTGGTTGCCGTTGGCACATCCACCGGTATCGTCAACTTGCTGAGGGTCGACGACAGCTCTAATGCATACATGGAACTGGGCCTTAAGGTAGCCCGAACCTGCTTGGCAGTTGCTTTCAACACCACCGGCTTGCTTGCTGTCGGACTGGACAGAGTACGGAATGACCAGTGCCTGCATATATGGGATGTCAATCGCCTTTCCACCATTCACGCCTCCGGGTCGGGGTTTTCTGCCAGCACAGAGCCCTTCAGGGACCCCTGGAAGCGACTCGAGCACAATGCTTCCATCTCCAGCATCAAATTCTTCGAGGACAACCCCCAAACTTTGGTCGTCGGAATCAAGGGCTCTGGCCTACGACTCCATGATCTTCGAGGTTCTGCATCTCTTGCCTCACATTGCAGGACATTTGCTGATTCATAGCACAGAAGGGAATGAGGCGGTTGTTACTTTCCAGACCAAGAACAATAACAACCTCGCTATCGACTACGCAGACCAGAACTATTTTGCTTCCTCGGCTCTGGACTCACCAGGGGTCATGATATGGGATCGAAGAGCACTCAGCCGCAACGTAGCCACTCCGTCATACCTGGATGCCGTGGACACGGACGATATGCCCTTCGGCGGCGCCCTGAAACTCGATAGGGCCGTGGACATGGAGAGTGATCCCCAGGCCAGGGCCGACAGGAATTCTTTCATTCGAAAACTGGCCTACTGCCGCGATCATAGGGGCATGTTAGCTGTATTGTCTCGTTTAGGCCAGTTAAAAGTATTTTCTACCCGACCGTCAGAGTACCTGTCGACAGATGCGGAATCAGACAGTCCCCAGTTGCTACAAGTTAGAAAGTCAAACGAGATGGACAACTTCTATTCGGAAGTCGACCGGAAGAATGAACGCATCGTCTCGTTCGACTGGCTCACCATGCCATCCGCTGCATTGCGGCCGAGACTCCTGGTGCTCCGGGCAAATGGTGCATTCGAGATACTCGAGGTACCGTCTTTTACTAGGACATACCCATACAAGTTAACCCCGTGGCAGGCACCATATAGGGGTATAGCAGGTATACCGAATTTTACCTACCAGCAGATTCAACGCGAGTTGCTAATCAAGGTAACAGAGGGAAGTTCATATCATAGCATCATGAAGTTCGATACTAGTCAAACCATCGATACATTAGGGCCCTTCTTTGTGGAAAATGCGCTTTCCGAAATCCCTATCTTTGGCAAAGAAAAGGCTGATGTTGGTGCCATAGCTGAGGAAGCCCTGAGGACCTACGCTCCGGAAGATGACCTATTGTTGGATGAAGCAGCAAGCAAAGTCCCTCTTCCCGAGGCTTTTGTCCGCTCCAAAACTATTGCAGAGAAGCTACAGTCATTGAGGGCATATATTCAGAGTATTACCAGCTCAAATGAATCTGACTCTGACAAACAATTGAAGAAGCTGAGCGGGATCTCGTTGGATCCGTCGTCGAGTTCCTCCAATCGTTCGCTTCACGAGAGTCTTCTCAAATCTACGGTGGAGCTCACTGGCTTCCCGAAAGCCGCTCAAGTCATTTTGGATCATGTCATGCTCTTGAGAGCGAAGGAGAAATATCTCTTCGACTGTCGTGTCAATCGTGCTGTCGTCGCCGACGACCCTTGGCTTAAGGGCGTTTGGGGCTGGATTGGAGGTAAAATTGCTTGCGCTGTCTCTTGTCGTCTCTACAATCGCTGACTCCCGCCAGGTGCCGAGGAAGCCTGCGATGACAGTGGGATGATGTCTCATCCCTTAGACCTCAGTTTTCTGGGTGTCAATACAATCTGGACGAATAATCTCGGTGGGTCAATTGTCAGCCTGCAAGTGGCAGCAGCGAACATGACTGACACAACGCAGGTGAAAGACCGAGTTCAAGAATCATCGAGGGCGCACCTCATGTTGGCACAACAGTTTGGCAGCGTTGCATAAATGGAATATGCAAACGACGTGGTTTGCACAGCTACGACGGTGTCGATACCAAGAAACCTTATCACCGTCAATTAATGTTGGACATCTGTCTGTGGGGAGCGTCTGCCGTCTCGGAAGACACTGTGGATATAAGTGGTAAGAGCATTGAGAAAGCGTCCTTCTGGTATACCAGGATGACTGCACACGCTCTTTTCAGGGGTGACTCTGAGGGAGCAGTGCGGATTCTCAAGGACGCCAGCAAGGCACATCCCGAGCTTCTTTTTGTCTCTCTTGCTCTTCAACTTGTTAGCAAGGGAAATCGGGATATGGCAGCTGAGCAATTGGATTTCGACGAGGCCGTCGCTGCGAAGACTGACCCCTACCTTCGCGCAATTTCGTCCTACATTGCAACTGGGGACTGGGCGACCATAGCGAACCAGAGATCTCTTCCCCTGCGCGACCGCACATTCGTGGCTGTGCGCAACTTTGGCGATGATCGACTGACTCAATGGCTCGCCGCCGAGGTCGAGGAGGCCATTAGTGAAGGAGACATCGAGGGTATTGTACTGACGGGTATCACGGAGAAGATGGTCGATATTCTGGCCAAGTACGTCGAGAAATTCCACGACATACAGACGGCCACGCTGATAATGTCGTTCTGCGCGCCCCGCTACATCGATGACCACCGGTGCACGGCATGGCGCAATGCGTACCGCGCATACCTGCAGCGCCACAAGGCCTTTTATCAGCGCACCAAGTTCGAGGTTGAGAGCACCAAGCGCAGCAAGCGAGACGGACGCCCTACGATCAAGGCACCCTCGCGGCAGATCGCGCTACGCTGCGTCTATTGCGACGCCGAGACTTCGCTCCTGCGCGCCTCGCCGGCGGCGCCCCTCACCGGTGGACCGGCATCCGGAACGATCCCGGGGCCGTTCCACAACGGCAGGGGCGTTGTTCCCAACCCGTACACTGAGAAGATGGCGACGCCTGGGATTGCTTGTCCCAACTGCAAGAGGCACCTGCCGCGGTGTGTCGTCTGCCTCGAGGTGGTGGGGATCCCTAGGTCGGACACCCCGGCGGCGGCAGTAGAACCGGAGGTGACCAAGTTGGCCTCACGGTTCCCTACCTTCTGTCTCAAGTGCGAGCATGTCCTCCATTTGGATCACGCGAGGCAATGGTTCGCTCGGCACAATGAGTGTCCTGTCCCTGAGTGCCGGTGTCGGTGTAATTTCAGAGCGAACCCGGAGTTGAATTACCGTTGATATTGCTCATGGTCCGAGATGGCACATTCAAGTAGATCCTAATTCAACTTGCCGAATGTAAGCATACTGGTCCGGGGTGTTGGGTGTTGAAGCCAAGTGCTGGCGCTTCAGGTCAAGACACAGTCTCATAAATGTGGATGGCAATAAACTGCAGTGTTGATAACGTTGCGCTAGTTTTTTGGTGGTTTTCTTTTCAGGGCGACACATACACGGGCGGTATGAGTGAAATTGTTTCGCCGCTGCCATGTCTGAAGGTACTTGAGACTGTCTCGCAAGTCGAACTGTAACTAGAAATATCCGTAAAGTCTGCTCCTCTTGCCGCCCAAGAATGACATGATCTCTGATCTCTTTTGACGTCAACGAAGTTATCTTGCCGGCCTCCGCAGTGGGTTCGTCCTTGAATTACGAAAGCTACTCCCAGTAGTGTAAGACGGGTGAACACCTTTGTCTCTCCTGCTAATGTGATTCAAAATGATGTAGCTTTGACATTCGGATGTAGAGAATCACAGTGCTGGGTGAGACATGGAATCCTGGGGGCTTACCCTATGACTAAATCACGATGTACTCGAACACATATGCACTGGTAAAGATTCGTCTGGGTAACACGAATGACCCACAAGTGGACGGAACTATCCGGTATAGATATCATCGCTTCTCGACTCCACGTCGACTTGTGTTTCAAGAGCCAAGAGTCTACGAGAATTCATTCGCTGTGGAGCACCGCTGAGGCTCACCAGCATCCCACCCCCGGCATTACCATAGGACGCGGACTACTGGTGGCGGCGTGATGCCTTGTCAACATAAGACCCTGCAGGAAAGATGAGTGCGTTGCTGACATCTTGCTTGGACGATATTTTGCAAATCTCATAAAGGGATACGACCTTGCCTACGGTACATAAAAAAAAGGGCCGCAAGTCGCCTGCACAAACTCGAAGTCTAATCCTTGAGGCCACCGCTCCAGAATGCTCACTCGAGCATCACCAGCAGCCCGTGCCCAGTACGTCACTGCCAGACATATCGATCGAACCCCGACGCTATGAATAACGTATATTCTAGACGAGCGCCTTGTTTCCACCCAGTGTTCTCGTCGGAGATATCTTTACTAGCGGTACGTGCTGGTCGCGGAAATGTCTGAACTGAGTTCACTTGATAGCAATAATGACAACGCGCAGGCTGAATGTACGTACATTGTATGTTCTTTGCTTACTACGTTTTGGCGTTTCCTAATCCTCATCCTATCTAGGGGGGAAACGGGGTATCTCGATTTTCCCTTTATGACATTTGCCTCCCAGCCCAGCGCGTATAAAATATGTGTAACCGACCACGCCCGGCTGATGCACGCGCACGTATGCGTGCCTTTCAATTACGTCCCAACAGCCGGGCCCCGCCCTCTCTCTGCCTCAGCGGAACGAACGGAACGACTTATGCGCCAGGGGCGACGACGCAGAAGCGGCAGTCATCCCGCCGTCGCTCTGATTCCTGCCGGTGTACCTCATCCTCCCGCCTCGCATGTTCGGCGTGTTGGCACAGAAGGCGCAGATGTAGACGTGAGGGACGTCCTGCGGCGTCGGCATGTCCACGCAGCGGCCGTGCAGCATGTGTTCACACGAGTCACTGCGAAACGAGGCAAGCACGGGCATGTTAGCAGGTTGGAACTTGAATGGTTGCGCGCATGCGGTTGCTCGAGTAATGGTGGGAGATGAAGATCAAGAGAAAAGCAGGAGGGCAAAGCAAGACAAGAAAAAAAATGCAGACGTGAAAGCTTGCCTCTGAATGTGATGGAGAGGGCTGGGCACGAAAAGGAGATGCAGCTGGACGGGGGCATTTAACGTACCACTTGATTAGATGCAGCAGCCCATCGACCTCAGCCTCAGGCCGGTTGCACACACACCGCACTTGTCCCTGGTTCTGATTGTGCGTCGGCGACGGCGTTGCTGAGATAGTCGATGAGCTACTCCGCTGGCCTGGTGTGAACCGCTGCCGATGTCCGCTGCTTCCTCCGCTGCCTGTCGGCGGTGCTTGGGTCGGGATGCTCAGTCGCTTGCCACTATCACCTGCTTGCATTACCTTCCTCAACTCTGCTGCAGCGTCTCCTAGGCTGCCACCAGTAGACGGCCGCGGTGGTGGTGCTTCTTGTTGGTCAACGTCCATCTGGTCCACAAAGCTGGAAGCTAGATCATTTCGAGGGTTTCGGCGGAATGAAGTGGAGAAAGAACTTCGCTCGCTGACAGAGCGCTGTCGCCGATTCTGCGACATGTTGCTTACGGCAGTAGGTGGTCTTGACATCGAGGAACCTGAGCTTCTGGGGGGCTCGGGAAAATTAAAAGACGTGTTGCGACTGGGTATGATTATGGGCTCATCGTCTGATGAAGAGGATATTTCGTCATCATCACCGCCGTCCTTGACCGGGAATCCTGCCCAGGAGTTGCGTTGACTAGTTTGCTGGTTCCTGCTTGGAAGGACAGGCTCGAGAACTGGCTCGAGAACTGGCTCGAGGTCATCCTCGTCATCAGCCACTGTCTCGGTACGTGCGCGCCCGTCCTCGTCGATGACGAACTTGACAGACGCCAATTTGGCACTTCTCTGGCGAGCTCTAACCGTGTTTTCAGGGATCGAAGTGAGGCTGGACAGCCGATGGTGGTGCGACGACTTCACGGGCGATCTTCTCCCGCCGGATCGTACACCTCGCGGTTGCGTCGAGATGTTGGTTTGACTGGCAACTGTAGGCGGCAAGCTAGACTGATGTACAGTCATAGGCGCAGGAGCCAGCGTGGGCAACAGAGGGCGGCCGATACCCAGAGTGCGCTTGCCAGCTCTAGAACTCTCGCTGAAACTACGCGACAAGCCCGGTTTCGCAGCTGAGCCCTTCGCAGGAGAAATGATCGCGGGGACGCGGGCCGCTTGATTGTGCTGACCTTGAGCTCCCGTGCTTTTCGACCGACGAATATCGTTTGCTGGCGCAGGAGCATTTGGCTCATTAGACCCGAAGTTGACGAGCGGTGCTGAGGATGAGGGTCGTTGTGGTGGAGGCTCCATTGACATCGACAAGGACGACTGCTGGCTGAATAGCAGGCCAGGATCAACACCTCCCGGACTAGTGCTGAATGGGTCATCCATAGACATTTGGAAGGAACCGAAAGAGTAATTCTGACCGGGAGAGGCTTGGCCGAGCTTCGGACTTGACATATTCGCGGTCTTCGGCGCAAGAGGGCGCTCACGCCTGGTCGACTGATTTTGCTGGACGGTCTGGACGTTGGACTGCTGCTGCTGCTGCGGCTGCTGCTCAGCTAGGTTGGTTTGCTGGAACACTGAATTGGCCCTCCCCCAATCCAGCGAGTTCACAGGATGATGAGACTGCGATGTCTGAAACATCTCTGCGCTAGCAGCCGAGATGTCTACGTCTATGGCCATCCCGGTTGTGTCCATATCCATCCCCCAGAATGGCCTCGGCCCAGTGATTGGCGGGGCGGTGGCCGGGCCCATGGGGTAGCCAAAGACATCCTCCGGACTCCCTGTCACAAATGCTGTGTTAAGCTGAGGATGCTGGGTTGGGGGCGCATTCGAGAAGTCCGGCTGCGCAAAGTTCTGATGCTGCATGATGTCGGTTTGAAGCTTGGGCGCGATCTTGCGTCCGCCCCGGGAGGACGGAGGAGGGGTGGCAGTCTGGCCCGGCTGGAAAGATGCGTCCCTGCCCGAGGCTCCCGACAAGCTGCTCGTCCGGTACTTCTTGGCCGACCTCTGGCCCTGCTGCTGGGAGGCTGCTGGCGTGGCGCTCGTGTCGGTCGAGGCGTTGTGTGTGAGTGTTAGGGGATCAGGCGAGGAAGGGAGACGCCGCGCAGGGTCGACCGGCGGGAGATTCTGGGGATTATTTGAGAAGTGGTTGGCATGGGTCGCGATCTCGAGGGCCACCCCTTCAGCCGACAGCGGTCGTTTCTTTCCCGTTGATGGGGCCACAGGACTCAGCGGCGCAAATTCCGGATGGAATGCGCTTGAGGACGCTCTCAGGTTTCCAGGCGTGGAATTGAAGACGGAATAATCCTCAGCAAAACGAGGGGTCCAGCCGGTCGCCTCGTCGAAACGACCTGAGTTCTGCTTGGGCGTCTCAAGCAGAGGACTCGAGAAAGCAGCCGTTGTGGCCGAAGTAGGTGTCCGTTGTGGAGTTGGCGGCCGAGCGTTTGGATCACCAAAGCTAGGGGAGAAGTGGTCAGCATCTGCGGGGGTCGCAATGCGTGCCTAGCACGGGAGCGGCGTTGGGCGATAAGATGCGCAACCATACCTGGGTGCCTGATCGTCGCCACTCATAGCAGCTTTGACTCTTGTGTTTAGCTGCCCTGTCCCTTCCGCAGGACATCACCAGATCGTGGTGATAAGACGAGGTGTTCTGTGGTCTTGTGTGCAGGACTTGGTGGTGGCATTCGTTCTGCCTAATGCCCCGATATGCCGACAAACGGCGAGGGTATATGCGGATGGATGCTTTCCGACCCGGCGGTTGAGGTGTGGCTGGTAGCTCGCAGTACCGGTATTGGTGGATGGACGTGGGTGCCAACGTTTCAGACAGAGGATGTGTTGTAGACTTGCGTATCATTCATTGCTCATTAGTGAGATCGTTAAAAGTCGTCGTGAAGGGGGGAGAACCGAGAGGTGGTCATTAGGCGTGGCAGGACATCTAGATGCTTCAGTGAAGCTGGGCCCAGGAGGTCAGGTCAGTTGGTGGAATAAGTCATGGTCTCGGAGGCAGTCATAAAAAAGGGATCAAAAAAGAAAATTGCACAGTAATTGAGATTGAGGGACTAGAATTTTGTCGAGACGGAGAACGCGAGAATAGGTCATACAGTAAGGAAACCGTCGTCATGAGAAAGTCGTTTGTCAGAAGAATCCAAAACCGACCGGTATTGCCCTTCCAACAGGCAGCTCCAGATGCCTACGACCAATCCCGGGGCTGGACGGGCAGGGCAAGCGGGATCGCTAATGGAGTTTTGGCTCAGATTCCGGCAGGTAAATTTTTGGTGGAGTCTGTGAGCCGGATATCTCAAACTGTGCTGTGCCGTGCAGAGCTGTGCGGTTGCTGTGCAGTAGGTGGGTACTCTTGGTCCAGGCCAGCTTCACGCTGATCATAAGCGCCCGTGTCGACGGTTTGTCTCTAGCATGCCAATAAAACTTCGAAGCAGCCCTATCTCCTGGCCTTGAGGCTCTTGACCCGTATGACAATGGTGCACGAGACCTGGCGCAGCGGATGGAAGTGTAACGAGCTGCGTAGGCAGTACGGCGGGTGAGATGGAGAGTGACAACGTTCTGCAAGGTACCTGAGCTGCGCACGATGCACCCTTCCGGGTTGTGGAGGCGGCTAAATCAAACGATCGTGCGGCTGCAGACAAAAAAAGAAAAGGATTAAACAGATGAACACAAAAAAAAAAAACTACGAGCGAACTCGCATAGAGTAACTCCTCACGAGAGATGAGTGTCTAGAGCCAGCAGCCGGTACAGATCCTGAGCAGGGGCAAAGAGACGCAGGCACCACCAGGTAAGGCAGGTCTACTTCAGTTGTCGCAGGCTAGACCAGCATTCGAGCAAGTGGCCGTTCGTCCCTTGACACCGGCGGAATCCTAGGCGGCAATGGAATGGATCTGACGAGCCATGTATTGATTGCATGCCGGACTAAAGCCAGCCACTGCCTGGCATAAAAGGACCGACAAATTGGAGGCCTGGTACTAGCAAGTCTGGACTCGCTACCTTGTCGCAGTAGTCTATAGAATCAATCGTCTTTGGGACTCTCCAACGTCGACAGCTTAGCTACGGTAGCTAACAGCGAGTGGGCCGGTGTCTCGAGCTGTCGTTGCACCGTCCCGTCCTGTGCCTGGCGGGACCCGTTGAAATCCAGGCAGAGCTCGCGTGAGCTGTATGCGTGTGGATCAGCCAGCCTAAAGCGGAGCACTTGATCGCTACCAAGAGCCTACCATGGTAGTCGCAACAGCGGCAATTGCTACCTGTCCAGGACAAACGATTCAGGAGCCTCTGAACAACGCGGGGCCGGTGCAAGCTTGAACTCCTGCCAGTCCAAATCAGCGACCGCGAAAAGCACAGCTTGGTCTTGCAGGCGACAGGGAGTGAGTCAGAATTGAGAACGCTGTACTGTGTAAGCGGTGGTGGGGCTCGCCTATGCCATGGTGTTCCGTCCAACGACGAGGCTGGGCTCTCCACAGCTCTGCCTGCTTGGTATAGCAGCTTGTTTGATCATTTCAGCTGCTGGTCTGCAAGCTGAATGGTGCTGAGAGAGGCTCCATACGGCTACGAAAGAGGCGCGATGGTGATATCCGGTCCGGCGAGCCTCAATCGGTGGTAACCATAGTGTAACCTTGAACCAACAATTGACATGGCAGCACTGCCTCAGCTCCAAGGCTCGCAGACCCTGACTAGAGGCGCTCTTGGGATCTTAAGGTCTCAGCCTACAATAATACTATGGGCCGTAGTTGACGACTTATGCTTCTCAGGTTCCAACGAATCACTGTGGAAAGGACAAGTAGCCGCCGAGGATGCTAATGCCAGGGGCAGGAGCTGGGTCACGGCCAGGATAACTCCGACTCTAGAGCTCCTTGTGAATAAATCGCATGATGCGACAGAAATAGGCGACTTGCTATCGCGTATGGGCTTCCAACATAGAGTCCAACACATCCTGATTAGCTGGCAAGCTCTGCTCAAACTGAGCCAGTAATCCGGATCAGGGGCTCGCATGCAGTGGGCTGGTATGATGTCCAGCAGCAGTTGACGCCGTGCCGTCTCGTCTCGTCCGAGCAGTGTGGCACGGGCCGGTTGAAGCTCGAATGATGGTGGGCGGAGAAGGAAGGCATTGAGTCTGTCAGCTCTGAGATTTGTCTGCATCCTGCGTGCCTGCAGCCTGCAAGCCTCTTCGTAGCTGGGCTGGCTGGACAATGTCGGCGCAGTCCAGTCAGCCAGTAAGCGGCCAAAATGCCTACATAGGGCAGGCGAGACGAAATGAGCGGCTGCATGTTCCTGCGTCACAGTAAGGACGCCAGCGACGCTACGAGATGCACGTCCGGCGGCCGACAGAGGTGCTTTTTGCTCGCGCGACTAGCAGGCTCCGTCTCTCCCTCTGAGCAGCAGATGGAGAGGCCCTCAGGCTCCACTCCCTCGCAGCAGTGCTTAAGTGCTTGCATATGCAGACCAGCGCGATTGGAGGACCATGACGTGTGAGCTGCAGTTGGCTGGAATGGCTCCATCGCGCTCGCTCTCGCCCGGTGGCCCAGGGCGGGCTCGCAACTGGTGCTGGTCGAGATGAAATGGCTTCGGGGTCTCGGAGCAGAGGCTGAGCAGTTCTTAGCGCCAAGTGCAAAGCCATTCATTAATGACCATGGAGTGGACCATGGAGTGGCAGCAGAAGGAGGAGGTTCGAAAGCGTGAACATGAAGTGGGAGAAATAATCTGGCCAAAAGCCGAAGGCCAAAATACAGAGCGGGCGCGTGCCTGGTTGCTGATTGGTCACCAGCTCTTGGGAACGCGCATTGAGTTACCCCTCTGTGCTTTCCTCTGTGCCCTCGCTGCTGTCTAATCCATCAAACAGCATCAACCTCTTTCTTCAACTACTCCGGCAGAAGCCAGTGTGACCTGAGGCGGCTTCTCGATCCCAAATCGCATCGTACCGGACATGCACCTTTTGTGAGTACCGGCTGCGCACAGAATCAGCCAAGGAAAGGAAGGACAGGGAAGATCACAGCCGACCCTCCCCCCTCCCCCCTCCCCCCTCGTCGCTGGAAACTGGCCGCCAGCATGTGCTTCCGAGGATGCACCCTCCATGCCGACGCAACACATTTCCCGAACGAGTTCGTCGAGCAACCTCAAGAGGTGACTCACCCCAAGAACGCGCCAGCTCACCACTAGAACGTGTCTGCTGGGGTCTTGTTTTAAGCCGGATCAGGAACCATCGTCCTTCGCTCTCTGCGGAAACGTCATGAACAAGGCCCCGCATGAATTTGGGAGATGAGATATGAGACGGCCGAGTTGTCTTACTGGGGGCTTCCCGATCCCAGGAATGCCACGTTTCCGACCTCATGTCTGGCAATCAGGAGACGAGTACACCAGCCAGGCGCCAGGCCAGCGCAGCAAGCAAGTAGCAAGCAGTAGTGGCTCGCCCGCCCTTGACCCAGCGCACGCATCGCAAAAGGCAAACGCACAAGCACACCCACACCCACACCCACACAGCAACACGCGCACACACACACACACACACCGAGTAGCAAGTGGCATTTTGTTGGGCAGAGTGTGATTTGACCTCGTGTGCGGCTCGTTTTCGCTGAGGTCGCTCGCTCGCTCCCTCCCCAAGATTTTCGTGATCGGGAATTCCTACCGCCGAACATCCAGCGCGCGCCCTGTTTCCCTCCTGCCGAGCTTCATCCTCAACACCACCCGCAGCGATCAGACCCCCCCGGGCCCAGCTCCTCTTGGGTGCGGCTAGTCCCAACGCCTGTCAAGTTTTAGCACGCCCGCAGAGCTGCGGCGAGCTGTCAGACCCCGAGACATTTCCACCATCGCGTGCAGACGTCACCTCCCGGGCAGATCTGCCCAATCGTCACTGCTCCCATTCTTTCTTGCAAGTTCGCCCTGTGTTCGTCTTGTTCGATCAGCCTCTAGTGAGCTGCGTTGCGATCTATGCCGACGGGCCCTGTCTGCTCATGCACCTCCCGAGATCAGAACCCGGAACATGGGCTCGCTGGTGGGGACATGGGGCTTTTTCTATTTCCCGGATTTCGGTAGATCGACACCGATGCCACATTCATCACCTCGGGGGTCTTGAGCTTGACTGACAGCCCCTTCTGCCCCCTCTGCCCCTCTTCTGACCACGTCTTCTGGTTGCAGCCTCGTCTAGCGGCTGTCAAATGGGCTCCTTGACCCGGCCACTGTGGGTCTTGGGATCACGGAGAATTAGCAAGAATACGATTGGCATTCCGTCTCATCCAGGGTGCCCTTACGTACTCTCATACGTCCCTACAGGGGGCTCCGAAAGACTGGGGTATGCGGACAAGGCACAAGCCTTGCCTGTGCACTTTGGATGGATCGCTCTAGGGCTGAAGATTGGCCCAAGAGGCTCCGTGGAGCAGCCCCTTCCGAGGCACGAACCGGTAATGAGATCTGAGCTGATGTACGGTCGAACATCTTGGTTACGGATCACCCACGCACGGCAGTTTTACAACTGCGCTTCGTAGTGAGATCAGACGGGTGGGAGTGAGAAAGAAGCCAGCTGCCACGGCATTGAGTCAATTCCTATAGTGCTGATTTGTTTGATAAGCCGGAAGGCGAAGCCTGGGGAGCCGGGTCGGGTTTCTCCTTCAGCCTTTCTCGGATCCTCCGACCCCACCTCCTGCCACCGGGCTGGCCTTGCCTCGTTCTCCGCCGAGACAGCCGGAGGGGGGAGGGGGGACGTGCCAGCCTCGCTGGCAAGATCCCATGCTTCAACCCCCCCCATCCCCTCCCTATCCTGTCACCCAAACGCCAAAGATCCGAGATAACCCCAGGCAGGCTCTGGCACACAGGATGAGCCCTGTGGGAGGGATGTTCTAGGTCGCCGGCAGTGGAAGCTAGAAAAGGCTGGTCAGAGTTCCGCCGAACCTTCTTTTGGGTCGCACGCCTGCACTCGTCATCGGGGCACAGGCTCGTCTTCGGTGTCGGTCCGGTATCACATTCACGATGGGTTGGGATCAAAACTTGGCTGGCTGCTGGCGATGATTGTCCGCCTCGGACCGAAGCCCCTCGTGTAGGCGGGGGTTGACGCTCCATTGGCCTTGGGAGCCCTTGCTACACATTCGATAGTAGATAGTCAATATTAACTTGAACTCTCTATGGGTCGTTCTACCGTAGGCACTGCGGAGACGCTGCCATGCGGGCCGTGGCCGATTTGGGCACACCGGTGTCTGGATCAGTAACACGAAGGCGTTGCAAAGTCTTGATCGGCACTTGTTCATTCACTCAAAGTAGTAGTATGTTGCAAACGAATTTTTATCAACTGAGCTCGCCTAACTGATTGAATGTCCATTGGCGCATGATAGACCCTCCCTGCCAGTCCAACCATCAGAGATGGTTGTGGGTATCCTCCTCTTTTTGGGTGATCCAAAGAAAAACAGACCAAACATCGCCGTTTTGCGCCTCGCTTCCTGCCTCCCGTTTCCCTCCTGGGCAGGCAAGACTTGGTTGGGTAACAACTATCTAGTATTAGACTGACTACCTAAGGGGGAAGGAAAGTTGACAGAGAAAATGCGTGAATAAACTGAGAACTGAGAGAATAGTCATGAAAGAGTGAAAGAAGATGAATGAAGAAGATATCAGCATCGGAGAAAAGACGAAGAGGAAGAAAAGAGTGAATGAACGCTGTGAGGCAAGGGATGAGAGGTTTTGTTGCCGTGATATCCTTTCTCCCGTGACCCCCATTTTTCGTCAACCTGAAGCATCATGTCATGCTAAATCATCAACAACCGTAAGAGACAGACTTGAGGACCTCGTGTTTGCGCAAACAATGTTGTGCGGGACAAGGAAAAAGGAGAGAGAACAAGGATGGTATTTCACCCTGATGACTCGAGTGGTGCTTGAGTTGTCCAAAGACATCGAGCAGTAGGTATCCAAGATTGCCTTTGCCGCCGGGTTTTGTTTGTGTGTTGGATAAGAAAATAGAAAACAAGAACCAGAAATCGCAACCCAACCCAACCCGTAATGCCAGTCTATGGTATCCCGTGAATCCCGGTGTCTCCCCATCACTTCGTGAACTATGTGCGATAAAAGAAAAAGATGATTCGATGACTCTAGAAGTGTGTGCGCGTGTGGAAGGGAACGGTCTCATAGCACGTTTCTTTCGTGCAGCTTAATTGTCGCCAGTCTTCCCTCTGATAGTGAGTGACATCAATAAGTGAGGAAAGTGGTTGTCGTGCTTTGAGAAGCGAACCCGTGTTGCTTGATGGTTCAAATCATATTGGTGATGCCATCCATGGGCGAGGCCGAGTTTCGCTGATGGCCAGGGGCGGACACTTGGATCTGCATGTGCGCAGGAACGGGTGGTGGGACCATTGGCTGCTGATACTGATGTTGGTAGCTGTGACGCTGCTCCGCTGGCTGCTGCTGATGGTGTTGTTGTTGATGTTGTTGTTGTTGCTGCTGCTGCTGGTGTTGTTGTTGCGGATGAGAAGTGATTTGCGCATGGTTTGGGGTATTCGAGATTGCCATAGAGACCGCTGTCTGCTGTGGCGTCACCGGCGTATCTTGTTGCATCTTCTGTCCCGGCTCGACTTTGGGCTTAGCCATTGTGGAAGCGGCCAATTTTTGATGGCTGCTCTCTCTGCGGCGTTTGGGAGCATCCTTGATCTTGGGATGGGTGTGGCACTGGGAGAATCAGTAAGTGAACGACGATTAAACTCATTATTTGCATTTGCAGTCTCACCTTGTAAGCGTGTCGGAACCATGTTGTACCCTTCTTCTTGCTGCTGACCAGTGCTATCCAGTCGTTGCAGCTACCGCAGAGACCTTCCCAAACATCAGGGTTGCCGTCCATGCGTCTCGTCTCCTGGGGCTCATTGAAAGGCTGGCCAGTGGCGGCGCTGATTCCGTGAGTGAAGCTCTTGTCGTACCAGAATGCTGAGTTCTTCAGTACTAGCCAACGTCCAGGCTTGCAAATGCCGCACCAGCCCTCGCGCTTGTTGCCGTGGCCGCGCACCCACTTGGGCGTGTACAAATCACCATCAAACCGTAGCTCCTGCTCATGCGGTACCAAATCTGGATCCGACGGGTTCATGTCCTCGGGGGGCGGTGGGATTTGTTCCTCGTGCAGCGACGCGAACAAATCTGGCGGGTCCGAAAGATCCGTGTAGTGGCCGTGGAGCGAGTGAGGGTCAGCATTGCTTTGGAGCATGCGGAAAAGACCGTGAGAGAGCAATGGTGGCGGATTTTCAAAATGGTGCGCATCAGGATGGAAGCCTTGAGAGGGCAGTTGAGAGGGCAACAGCATGCTGTTGCGTTGGAATGCGGCTGGATGAGCTTGGCCCATGAAGAACTGCTGTTGTTGGGTCGCTTGCAGGTTGCCAAAGCTCAAAGGCATCTGGCTGGTCTGAACCGTAGGTGATGAGTGTCTGGACGACATGCGCGGGCCAAACGGTTCTGGACCGTGTTGGTACACGAAGGGCGATGGCCGTCGATTTGGCATTGTTCCGTAGGAACCAGTCGACCAACGCTTATTGCTCCGAGAGTTGTCGACGCTGTATGGCGCGGATCGCATTCCAGGTCGAGGGGATGGCGAGGCGCGGCCTCGGCTCTGTGTCCTCACAAGTTCGGATCGGCTCTGAGGTGTCATGCGCGGCGAGGCCACTGGTGAGAGTTGCGTAGAAGACATCATGGAGTTCCTGTTCGAAGGTGGAGGGTATTCAGAGCTAAATGAGGGAGCATCGGAAAGAGCTGCTGAGAAGTCCTCGTAAGATGTCATGTCTGACAGCCCACCGGACGTGGACATGGTGAACGACGAGCCTGACATACGTCGAGGATTCAAACCGTTATCGAAGTTCATGGCGTCACCTTCTAGAGGCTGTCCGGGGTAGCGCAGGTCGAGGATTGGGACAGCTTCGTCAGTGGTGTAAGCTTGACCGATGCTCATGTCGGTGTCGATGCCATGCATCTCCAAGTTGTCCTCCACGGGCTTTTGCATCCAGTGACCTGCCCTTGCGGTCAGCTTCGGTAAATGGCTGACGACAAAAACGTTTCCTGACTTACCGTTCTCTAAAGTCGTTGGCGGGTAGAACTCCTGGTGTACTGAGATTGGTCTCGATGAGACGGTGTCGCTAGGCGTGTTTTGCTGTTGCTGCTGGTGCATTGGCAGAGTCGACGAGTCCCAAGCTGGTAGGCCGTGATAGCTCTCGTCGACGCAATACGAAAAGCCTTCGTGAATAGTTGCTGGTCGCGGTCGCATGCCTGTTGAGCTTGGTGTAGTCCAAACTCCCTGCGGCGTAGTCGCCATGGCCTCAGTCTTCACTGGCATCTCACTTCCGGTCATGTTCATCATGTGGCTAGACCGTGCAGTGGAAGGAATATCTCTCCGGTAGTTGTTGTTTAGGTGAAAGGCGAATGAGGGTGAGGGTATCTGGTGCCTTCTGTGATGAAAGTTGTGTAAGCTAGAAACTCTCTGGACAACTAATATGAGGCGGCGTACAGTTGTGCCTGACTCGAATCCATGGCTGCAGTGTTCCTTGCAAGGGGACGCCAGTATATAAGTGTCTATTAAGAATGGCCAGCAGCTGGGTGAAATCCCATGTCATGTTAGCATGAATGAACAGACGGAAGAGCCAAACTAAGAGAGGGGATGAGTAGCCGGGGGGTTCCACATTGCCAACGTGTCGGCGATTGTATCATCATATATCCTCAGGCGATCTTTGTAACTTACTTGGTAATATAGGCAGGCCAGGGACAGGGCAAGAGAATAATGTCCGATATGGCCCAAAGGTCCGCGTTGGTGCTTGGATGTCGCCTCTGAAGAGCTGTCAGGGTAAGGGGTGCTGGGTGGTTAAAGTAAGGAACGCGTAGATCTTGGGGATCGGATATCGGTCGAGATCTCGAGTCAAGCAACCTCTGTGTGTGAAACAATGGGAAAAGATTGCAGAGTCTCGCGTCGACGGCCGGTGGCTGTTGGCCAGTGTTATTGCTTGCGGGGTGGACAGGGTTAAAGGAGTGTGTTGAATTGTATAAAGTACAACTCGTTGACGACGTGACGGACGGGCACAGGTAGCGCGCGAGGAAGAGGGCCAGCTCTTGCTATATTATAGAGCAGCGGTTGATAGCGGAGAGGGCGCTATAGGTAGGCTGAGAAAGCAGGAAAAGGAGTGACTGGGCGGCGGGCTGGGAAAAAAGTCCTGGAGGGACAGTGGGCACGAACGGGGGGAAGATGGGCAGAGAAAGGCCAGATGGAGGGGCAGTGCACGAGGACCCCAGCAGTATAAAAGAATGTACCGTAGCATCAAGAGGCATCAACCCTGGATAGTCCAATAGTCTGGTAAGGACAGGTTCGGAACGTCGGTAGGTGGTGAGCCGGAATCCCTGATACAAGCCTGCCCTGTCGTCCGTGAAGTCGAGAGAGGGTGGGCAGTAAGAGATCTGCTTGGCCTCGCTCAAATGAGCAAGTCTGGCAAGGATTCAACTTTAAACAGAGTTGACAGGGTTGCATCTGGACCTCGATGATGTGTGGGAACTGGACTCTAGCGTTGCCTCTCAGTGGGGAGCAGAGAGGGCCGACGAGCCAGGGACGGTCCCCGTAGATTCTTATTTTGGACGTAGGGAGCAAGGGTCCACAGGGTACCTCGTCAAGTCTGCCCACGGACTTTGCAACAAGGTCGCGGCTTGCGAGAAGAGCAAGGGCGAGAGCGACCATGGCACACGAGGGACGTGGGGATATTGAACAAGAGAGGAAAGGGAGGCCAGGCCACCAGACAGCGAATACCCAAGACCAAGGCCGTCACTAACGACCTTACAACCGGTTTTTGGTACCATGGGCGGCACCGTGCAGTGCACACCCGTCGGTTGTCCTGAGGAGGAGATAGGGGCGAACATTGATCGGGAGCAGAGCGGAATGACTGTTTATCCTCTGCATCGAGGGTCTAATTATTCATCCTGTCCGTCCGTCTGTCCATCCGTCTATTCAGCCCTGAGCCCTTGGTAGTGGAGCAGCAAGGCTTGTGGTTGTGGAAGGGGGGGTCGATGGATACCGACGAGGGGGGCGCTTGTCTCACTTCTCATACCCACATCAGATGGAAGTTCGGCAACTACCACTGATCGGTGGGAGAAGATTGTGCAAAGTTGCTTAGACTGGGCTAGACTGGGCTGGGGAGATTGAGCAACGGTCAGGTCGGTGGTTTCAGCCGCAACGAGACGCTGGCGAAGCTGTGGCCCACGGAGAACTCCACGATGCCGTCATACTTGGTGACGTGGTGAGGGTGACGAGCGCCAAATCAACCTCGTAAAAGAAAGCTCGATCTAGACAAAGGCTATTTGGCACAATTTGGCATCAGGGCGACGACGGGCTGCACTGGACAGGCAATGGGGGTATGAGTCTTGAGGACCCAGACCCAACCATCGTGCCCTCGCCGCGAATCGTGAAATCTAGCGGTAGCGTCTGAAGTAAAGGGCAATGGTGGTATCAACAGTACATGTAGATGTTGTGGTAGATTCCCTCGGTAGACATGTGCCAGGCGCCTCGAGCAAGGATGAGTCCTGTTGGCCAGGAATCTTGACTCCGATATGATGGACGGGCGGACCAGTAGATCATGGCCGTCATACGCTGGGCCTCTGATGATTTGATATCAAGCTAAAGAGAAGACGAGGCACCAGGAATTTTGCGATTGGGCGACGCCGAATGACACGGAGGCTGTATTGTCAGCCAGCCCTTTCTGGTTCTGGGGCCTATGGAACCTCTTGGGGGGGGGACAAGGAGCCGCAATTGCACAGCAAAAATAGAGAAGCGCCCAGGCAGATACGTAAGCCCACCCGCCGTCTGTGCTGGTCGGGGCGGGCGGTGTTGGGGAGGATTGCGAGTGGACCGGTAGATCTGGGGAGAAATAGACTTAGCCGTCCGAAGCTGGTAAGCTGGTGCGTCGACCACCTGGGAGGTGACGGGCGGTGGTGAGGCTGGGTTTGAGGTCATGTTGAATCCGGCAAGGTGCCGAGAGACATCAGACAGAAGCGATGATTTGAGGACATGGAGTGGAGGGAATCTGGAACACGGCTTTTTAGCGCAGACTTGACAGCCCGATCCAGGGCAGTAATCGATTCGTCCGAGGCCAGCCTGGCTCTTCGGGTGAGTGTTTCGTTGGGCCTTGTTAGTCGAGTAATGTAATTGCAATATATTCAACAGAAGGAGGCATCGCAATTGCACCGCACCGCACCATCCTCAGAGTGCGAGGGGGGTGAGTCTGCACCAGCCAGGACACACCCGACGAGAGCAGAGCACGGGCTGATCGAGTGTTGGAGAGTAGCTGACGTGACCTGGCATTGCCCGACCTGACATGACTTGACAGGAAACAAGACAGAGAGGGTATATGGGAGGAGGGCGGGTATAGTTGGCGGGCGTGCAGCTGGCGATGTTTTGGCGGAGCGGAACATGTGTCGTTGGAAAGGCACCAGAGGGAGGGCAGGCTAGAGTTTGAGGTTCATTCTGAGTGGATGAGGCGGGCTCGTTGGATTGGCCAGATGCGCCCTGCAGACACGGAAGGAAGCAAGGCAAGGGGTCCTTCCTTCCTCTTGGTGCAGTCTGCTGCAGCTGCTGCAGTCTGCTGGGGTCTGGCTGCCTGGGTGGGCAGGTGGGGCGCCTGGGCATCCGATGGGGACATCTGGGCCAGTCAGATCCCGGGGGCAGGTACCTATGTACCTTTGTACCACCGGCAGACCTACATCGTACAGAGTGCCTGGGTAGGGTAGCACCCACGATCACCACCACGACCACCATCAACTCGACCAACGGACGATGCTGCACACCACACCCATATCACATGTACGTCCGTCCTGGACTGAAGTCTATAGTGAGACGGATGGACCGAACAGATCGCATTTCACCTGTGGTTTGGGGCTCTAAGAGCGTTGTTCTGCCGCCCGGGTTTCGTTCCCAACAAGCCACTCGAAACTCGAAACCAGCTCTGGTCGGGATTTGCCCTGAATAATGAAGGGCTACAAAGTACGTGCGGGCAGCAGAGTACTGTACTCTGCCCACTTAGTCTGCTGCACAGTCCTGACCCAGCATGAGGACAACGCGTACTACTGTGGGTGAGTTGTCTGGTTGTCCACTGTAAGTGTGCAGCACTCAGCCAACATGGACTGAGGTACCCGGGTAAAGACCCGTGGTTTACCCCAAGCGGCGTAGCGTGTCTAGATTAGATGGACGCGAGGGAGGCTCACTGGCTCAGTAGACAGTCTCAGGGGTCGAGCTGTTTCAAGTCCTGTGTCAGAGCCTCGGACCCATGCAAATCAGACGCGGCCCACCACCCACATGCAGTACACGCTGCAGTAGCTTGCCCGCACCTGTTTCTGTCTGCAGCCTCTCCCGACTCGTCCCATTCAGTCTGACTACGTATCAGTCATCAGTCATCAGCAACCCACCATCCACCATCACCCTACTCCGGCAGAACTCAAGTCGCTGTCGCTGTCGCCGCGGCTGGGCGCTCGAGCTTGGTGCTTAGACTCGCTCTTGGACCTGGACTGGGACTGGGACCTGGACTGGGACCTGGACTGGGACTTGGGCAGACTCAAGATTGGCACTGCCAACGCGAGCCACCTTTCTGTCAAAGTGCACTCAATCTCAATCCGAATCCACCTGGAACATCAGCTTCGTCGGCTGTCGCCGCCCAATCGCGACCACCCAGCCTTCATAGCCTTCACAGCCATCACGGGCCATCACAGGTCATCACGGCTCGGCTTGACTTGTACTGCTTCTACCCAACCTTTGTCAACCCTGCCTCCTCCCCCCTGCACACCCTGACAGCACTGCACGTCGTCCGCCCAAATAGACTTCTTTAGGGTCCCAGCCTGACTGACATGTACAGCGGTCCTGCCGCACCTTTGCCCGTCTGGGCCTTCCTCCTTCATCGCCAGTTTGGGCCCTGTCACAGTCTGCAAAAGTGATACGATGACAGCGCCTGGTGAATCAGATCCCCTGGAGATCCAATCGGTACCCGGTAACGGCTTCGGGCCTTCACCTCACCTCTGTCCTCCTCCTACTCCTACTGCTCCTGCGCCCGTGCTGTTCTGAGGCTGTCGGACGGTCGGACTGCGGCAGATCAAATCGTCTCGGGATCTGCCTTGTCTACTGGCTCCTCTTGGCACGTTTGACCTCGCCGAGGCCACCTGAGCGGGTTTGAAAAGTCTCGTGAGGCCGGACACGTACATCACCGCCCTCCAGCGCCATGGCAAGCCTTGATTCCAAGCCCTCGCCCATTCGGAGGGTCTCTTGCTATCCACCATCGCTCTTCTCGGTACGAGTAGCAAGAGCACCGCACAACTCTGTGTCAACCCGTCTGCTCGATCGATCCAGCTACTGAGCAGGCTTACGAGCTTATACAGGGGTGTAAGTGCCATCATCCTGACGTGAAATCAAGCCGGCTAGCTCGTTCATCAATACTGAAGCCTGGATTCGATGCCGCGGACAGACTTTTACTTGTCGAGGCGAGCCAGAACCCAACGTGCCGATCTCTCCAGTCCGTTGCCTCCTGACCCAGGCAAAGACCACAGGCGACATTCCTTAACAGCCATGAATATGAGCACTAGGCCGCCAACACCGTAGAATGGTGGTCGCTGTTTGTGAGCCTGTATGTCACTAGGTGCCGACCTCCCCTCGTGCTCCAGCACAGGCGTGCACATGGGTACCCCTTCTTGTCGGCCCTTCAACCGCCGACAACACAGCAATATTGACATGACTTATAGCCCAATATGGGCAGGGGCCCCCTCGATCAGTCCATTCATGCGCTCTTCGTAACTCCACTGAGGGCTGAAAAGTTTCCAAGGCCTCTGGCCAGTCAAGCGTCAACACCAGCGGGTTCAGTACCGAATCCGAACACCTCACCACCACTGATCCCCGAATTAAGACATGCCGTGGCACTCACCACGAACCATAAAGACCCTTTTGTCGGCGCCTCCATGAGACCCGCTGTGCCTGAGGCTATGGGATGTACCTGCATCCAACGCATTCCAGTTCGTCAGTCGACGGCCGCGAAACCGTGTGCCTCGGATGTGTGGGTGTGGGACCTGTGCTGTACTCGAGCCTCTTTGGGTTGCGAGCTCAGGCCGAGTCCATACCGAAGACGTCAACGTTAGTATCAGGTCCTCTTTATCGTGGGGTCATGTTCCGAGCAATGTTTTCGGCCTGTGTAGCCCAGTAATCAGCTACCGCTTGTCCGGGAAGAGCTTGCGGGCGCCCGCTGACGTCTGCAACGTCCGGGCGTTGGGCGCGCCCCCAACCCGTCATCGCATCTTTCGCAAGCCACCCGCGACCTGGACGGCGCCGTCTCCTATTCTGAAGCAGTCGGGCGAAGTTTCCCGCCCAATAGACTAGCAGCCCAGCAGCCCTAGAAACCAGGATCTCTCTGTGAGACTGGGCCGTTGGCGTTTCGATTTGCTCACCTTACCCAACCAGCCGAGAGCCCAGTGCTTCCATGGCACCTTCGAAGATTTGTTCTTTCTGTGGGTCCGCGGACCATCGACACCCATCCACCTTCCTCCGGAGGGTCCGTAACAGGGGCCGGCGTGTTTCCCTCCAAGGGCTGTCTACCAGAGATTGGCGACCTTTCGCATGACAAACCCGGCTGCATTGGGAAGCTGGCCGGGATCGCTCGTTAGCAGCCGTCGGCGCCGCGGTCTATACTTCGACTCTTATGGAGATCACCGGGTGTCCAATAGTGACGCGATGCGGCCCTACGTTGCTAGCTGGGCACATTTCGCAATTCCCCTTGCCCACCACAACCCCTCCCCCACACCTACAATCAAGGTGAGTGAGGCCGCCGGTTTCTTGTCCGCCAGCCTAGCTCCCAGCCCTGCCGCGCCGTGCAAAGTGGCTCACACCACGGCGTGTCAGGCTACGGCCTTCGCGTGTAAGCCGGAGGACTTCATTGGACAGTCTCGCGCATACTGACGAGTCCTATCGATCCACCGCGTAGAGTGACCCTGGCGCAAATGTGAGCCACGGGCTGCTGCAACGGCAGCATTATCTCACCCTTTTTCTCTGCTCCTGCTCTTGTTGTCTGTCGACTGACTTGCAGCCATCTTTACGTTCTTGTACCTCGTATCCAACCGGAGCCCATCCTGGTTGAGCACTGTTTGCGAAGTGCCGTCCTCTCGTCAAGTCTCCCCCCCGAAACTTTTTCTCTCTCGTCCGCTCATCCACTCGTCCGCTTAGGTTCAAACTCTGGGGTGAAAACAAAAACTTTCCAAAGACCCCCTGAAAGTAAATCCACTGCGCCTCTCCCATGGCGACGTTTTTCCAAGATCGACGGGTTGGATCCCCATTATCGGTAACAACTAACAACCCGCACTATCTTGCTCAGGCGGGTCGTTTGATGTGTGGACACAGCCTCACTTCATCCCGCGCTGTGCGCAAAGTAGCCAGCCCTCCCACCCATCATCCGTTTTTGGTTTTATCCCCCCTCCACTGCCCGCCTTGCAAGGCCAGTCCCGTAGTATTGTAGTAGTGACGCCAATTAAATTGGAACCAGACGAAGGGATCGACCTGCATGCACAAGGTCTACACAGTACATTAATCTCCCGCGGGTTTGCTGTAAATAGAATCGCGCCAGAAAAGGCAAGACGGCGGCAGAAACTTTTTTTCCCTCTCCTGTCTATTCGGGTTGCAACCTACTCTATTTACTTGTCAAAACTTACGCATGCCAGGACCGATGACGGAACTGCCGGGCTCATTGCGTGGACTTTCTGTTTAATCCCCGGCTTTGGGCGCCCTCCCCTCCTTCCCCTGGGGGGTGGCTTGGCTCTTTTGTGTATACAGCAACACCTAGACTCCTAGACTGTCCGAGTATACCCTCCAGCCGTCCGAGGGTGCCGAGCCTCTGTTCCACGGGGTTACCGCGACCCAGACAAGAAGGGAAGGTGGCTTGATAATTAACTCGCGGACACCTAGCTCAACAGGTAAAGTCATCGAGATGATTCAGGAGGAGGCTGAGGCCTGATAGAGACGCGCGCGCGCAGCGTGCGATGACAACCCGCTTCTCTGCTGTTACGGGCTACGGTTGGATATGATACACCGGTACACCGGGCAACGTCCTCTTCCGTCATCGATGACCACTCCAAACCCCCCACCCCTTTGCTGAATGTTCACAACCACGCAAAACCGGACCCGGTCTTGCCCCCTTGATGCCCCTGGGGGACAACCTCGTCACCCCTTATTGATCCTCTTCCACACCTCGGTCTCGGCATCAGCCAGCTTCTCCCCGGCCGTCGCCACCATCTTCTTCGCGGAGCTCCAGATGCCCTCCCCGTCCGCCCCGTCGCCGCCGCCGCCGCCGAGGCTCCCAAAGCTGACCCTCCTGTCCCGCTCTTCTGCCTCCAGCGCGTCCTGCCTGGCCCGCTGGAACCTGTCCATCTCGCCCGCGTGCACGTTCTGCTGGTAGCCCGGCGGGTGCTCCAGTGGTGAGGGGTGGATGGTGGGCGGGGCCGCCGCGAAGGTTGTCGACGTGCCGCGCTGCGCCGCTGGAGCTGCCGCTGACGAGGTGGAGGACCCCATAGGCGGGGGGATGGCCATCTGAGGTGGGTAGGGCACAGCTTGCGGCTGCTGCTGCTGCTGCTGCTGTGGGGCCGCGGTTGTCTCCCCGGCCCTAGGCGGGGGTGGGATTGTGGATGTTGCTGTGACTCTGGGTGGTGGGCCGCCTGCTCCCGGCGGCACTGGAACTGCCCCGGGCTGGGGCGGCGGTGGGCCCTGACTTCCTGGGAGTGGTTGAGTTGGAGTCGGCTGGATTGGTGAGTAATGTCTCTGCGCAGCGCCTGTCGGGGCCGGGATGGCTGGAGAAGCTCCTGGCTGCGCTGCTGGGTATCCTGGGATCGCAGCTGGGGGCACAGCATTCGCGGCTGCTGTGGTGGTCGAAGGGCTCGAGTCAGGAGCTGCGTTCTGGGCCTTCTCTGCTGCCGATGTCTGGGGAGAGGCCGCAGCAGCTTTGGCCGCGTTGATGGGGCTGTGGGCGTAGATGGGAATTGGCGGCATTTTCGCTGGAGGACAAGAGGAGGTAAGTTTCGGCAGCTGACTTGTTTGCTGAACGCTGGGTGATTTGGTGAGCTTGTGAGCTAATAGACTGTCTGTCTGTCTGCCCGTCCTGAGCTGCTTGGTGAAGGTGTTCGTGTGGGTGGCTGTTTGTCGTCTTGCAGCTCTTGAAGCTCCTGCAGCCCTCTTTATCCTGAGCACAAGGATGGATGTTCAATCATAAGGCAGAATGGAAAAACACTGTTGGTCACTGGGACTCTGGAGAAGTAATGCTTGCTGAATGGTGGTGCAGAGTGAATATGTGTTCAGTTCCCCAGGCACCGCATTGTTTCTAATCGCCGCAAGCAGAATACGTCATAGTGTCAGGTGACCCCATCCCAAGTCCGTAGGGAGACTGGAACACCATCAGAATCAGGTTGTCTACTTGCAAAAGAAAGAATTATTGACAGGCGATTGGAATCACTAACGTAACCTGATGAGATCTGGGCCTACTGTGGAACTGACATTGTGGGGAAATGTCCAGCAGGAAGTTTATCTCGCTCGAGGCAGCTTGTGTAACTAGAAGTCTTGGTAGTATCCACATTGCTTTGTGCCATGTCACTTGAACTCTGTCTTTATTTGACTTCTTTGACATGCATCTCTGGCATTACTCATTATAGCCTGGCAAGTCTTGTAGGACTGTTTGCAGAATGTTGGCTCAGGGTCTACAGTATGACCTGGTTTGCTCCCTGCTGCTTGCGCAGTTCCCTTGTGCTTCAATATGACTATCTTCAAGTTCATCCACCTTTAGAGCTCAAGACATAGAGGACAGGATAATGATCGTCTCTGGGACTGAAGTCTACTGACATATAGAATCCTAAGATGTAAAACAAATGTATATAAAGCTCTGACACCATTTAAACCTGGAGCCGGGCTCATCTGCCTCTAGGTGATAGAGACAGAGCGGGCAGATCTGGTTGTGAGCTTCTTGATCCTCAAGCCCCAATCATCAATACATGGAGAAATTCCTCTGAAATCATGGTCCTGACTCCGAAATTTTCATTGATACAAGATAGAGGCGCCTCTATGATTTAAAGGAAATCAGAGTAAAAAAATCATGACTGTGCAAGCTGAGGAAGACTCACCGATACTCACAGGTTGATTTCGCCAGTCGCACGGAAAGCGGCACGGGCCAGCTCTGTGAGTTCAACTGGCGCTAAACCGGAAATGGACGAGGCGCTCTGGCTGAACGGCAGCACTGTCTCTACAAGTGAATCTCGACCGGGGGTCTGTCGTTGTGCGCGATGCTGCAGGCGGCGCAATTGGAGCTCTGGGCCGCGGACCGCCAGGGCAACTGGAGTTTTTCGAGATGTAATCAGCCCTTCGTCTCTCCAACCCCCACAACCTCAGCTTCGTTGTCAACTCCATTCCCATCGCCACCCTCATCGGCATCCAACCAGCCATACACAGTCCACGATGGTTGGAAAAGTCAGCGAGCGCGTCCTCGCGCGGGAGGGTAAGCAACTTTGGGCCTGCGCCGCGATGATGGATCATTGCATGCGGGTAGCCCTTTGAAGGGAACATTACGGCCCAGCTGACACAACGCAGGTCTCGAGCGAACCGACAATGGCATGAAGCAGAGCAGCTGGCCGGATGTCGTCCCCATCAATCAAAAGAACTACTACACGTGAGTTCATCCACACCTCCTCACCCATCCACCCGTCTACGGACACATGCTGATGCCATCTTTCCCTTCAGCGAGTATATGAAGCGTGACACACAAATCCTACCACTGCGACTTCAATTCGATGCGAATCTGGACAGAATTGCGCAAAATGCCAAGGACAGAGATCGCGAGCGCGCGTTGAATCCCAAGGGGGAGGTTCCGCTGGGGTTGCCTGAAGAGGACGAATATGAAGCCCAGGCCGAAGACGGCAGTGTACCCGGCAAGAATGCCTCGGATCCCTCACGAATCATCATCATCCACCCTGGCAGTCAAAATCTCCGGATAGGCTTTGCAAGCGACGCATTACCCAAGACGATACCCATGACGCTGGCAACACGGTTTCCCCAGACCGAGGCCGAGCAGTACGAGGCGCTCCCCCGGCGACAATTCGAGGCCAAGACTACCGACGAGCAGTATGGAGAGGAATGGTCAAAGAAGTACAACAAGATGTGCAGCGACTTGAAGATCGATATGCGCGCGAACAAGCGAAAAGTCCTGCCAAACTCTAAAGAGCTGGTGGTTAATTACAACCGGCGGGCCGACCCCGAGGTCATTCCTGTTCACAATGATCCTTTGCAGGTCGAGTGGACTGATGTCAAGTCATTGGAGGATCCCAATTCCGTGGCATCTTGCTTCATTGGTAACGAAGCCCTAAGGGTCCCTGATGATTCCAACCCAAAGTTCAAGTTATGGTGGCCATTACAACAGGGTTGGCTGAACGAGGACGACTACACCGCGGCAGAGCACTTGTACGACGATTTTGAAACTCTCCTTGATAAGGCGATCCGACAAGAGCTTGGCTTGACAAAAAACAGCTCCTGGAAACACTACAGTTGCGTCTTTATTATCCCCGACTTATACGACAAGAAGTACGTCGAACAGGCACTGCGGTCGTGTATGAACTGGTTCGAATTCTCAAAGACATGTTTCATACAAGAGAGCATGGCAGCAACATTCGGGGCTGGTTACACACAGGCATGTGTCGTTGATGTTGGCGCGCAGAAGACCTCGATCACCTGTGTCGAAGACGGGCTTTGTATCGAGGACTCGCGTGTCAACTTGAAGTATGGCGGATATGATGTGACGGAGACGTTCATCAAGATGATGCTCTACGACAACTTTCCTTATGCAGATATCAACCTCCGAAGGCGTTACGACTTCTTGCTGGCAGAGGAACTGAAGATCAAGCACTGCACCATGACCCAAGCGGATATCTCTGTGCAACTCTTCCAATTTCACCTGCGCGCTCCCAACCAGCCAACCCGCAAGTATCAGTTCAAGACATACGATGAGGTAATCCTGGCACCCATGGGTTTCTACGACCCAGAAATGTTTGACAATTCGACGAAGCTTCGTGGACGAAGGAAACTCATCGACCGCTCCTACAACGCCTATGATGTGGAAGTGCCAGATGATCCTTTCTCGGCAGCACAGCTGGCTATTCTGTCTTTGAACAAGCCTTCAATAAACCAATTACCGAGTGCTGCCCCTCCAGGAGCGGAATTCTCCACGCCGATGAAGGAGAAGCCCAATCCATTCAACCACCTCACTCGCGATGGGACCCCGCAGGCTTCCAACGCCCCTTCACCAGCACCCGAGGGTGCAAGCACGCCCGTTCCTCCTCCGTTTGTGTTCGGCAAGGACAACACCAACGGGAACGGTAGCCCATCGCGGAATGGCGGCACACCAGTGCCCCAGACCAACGGCGCCTCTGCTCAGAACAATGTCTCCCAGCCTCCACCCGGCATATTCGTAGAGCGAGAGGAGAACCCGCTCAAGAAAATGGCCGAGGAGCGGGACGAAGTGCTGCCGGTCGTCCCACTTGACATTGCCATCCTGACCTCGATCCAGAACGCGGGCAAGACGGACGACAAGAAGGTCCGCGACCTCCTGGGCTCGATCATGGTTATCGGCGGCGGCGCCAAGGTCCCGCACTTCACCACCTACCTCGAGGAAAAGCTTCGCGCCCGGCGGCCGGATATCGCCGACAGGATCTTGGTGTCGCGCAGCGCGAGAGACATGGACGAGCAGGTGGTGGTGTGGAAGGGCGGCAGCGTCTTCGGCAAACTGTCGATGAACGACTCGTGGATCACGCCATTCGAGTATGAGAGGCTCGGCCCGAGGGTGCTGCACCACAAGGTCCTCTGGGCTTGGTAGACACTGGGCTTTATGGCCTCATCTCAACATGTGGTGTAGTATTGAGGAATCGGGCACTGCAGAGCGGCACTTTGCGCGCCGTCGATGGGAGTGGAGAGTGTAACGATGTGAAAGCATTTGGAGTTCGGTGTCATTCTGGGAGGATGGTTTTAAGGTAGACGAGGAAACGACGGTAAAGTAAGACACAACATGTTCCTCAAATGGGCTCAGCAAGTCTTTCAGAGAACCACTTCTTGTCAAGTTGCGCTGGTAGTGCGGCCAAGCAGGACAAGACAAAAATACAGATATTGAAAGTTTGACAGCCTTTAAACTCTAGGCCTTGCTAATGTGACAAGAATGCGAGGACCCGTCGATGCCTGACGCCGATCGCTAACGTGAGATAAACTGCTTGAGGGAAAGCACGCAAGATTCGAGGTCACTCAATACACCTTCTTCGTGACTTTCACAAGCAGGACGCCATCCGTCTCCTGGCCGTTTGCATCCAACAGATGCACGAACCGGTAGCCGGTCCTCAGCCGGTCCAGCCTCACGCACGCCCAGGACGCGAGGTCGTCGCGCCGGAAGGACTCGTCGTCCCTGATGATGAAGCGCACGAAGCTCAGCTCCTCCACCACGCCGGGGATGCCCTTGAGCTCGAGGCTCTCGCCCTTGAAGTCGGGCTCGCATGTGCCCTTGATGGTCTTGCTGCGCGCCTTGTACTGGCCCTCCTTTTCCTCGTCGGGCGAGGCGCCCAGCCGCTTGGCGGCCTCCTCGCTGCTCCCGTGGCGCTCGCCGTTCTCCTCGACGTGCAGCTCCAGCTTGACGTAGGGGTTGAAGGACTTCTCGGACGTCTCGTCCAGCGGCAGCGGCAGGTTCTGCCCGGCGAAGAGCTTGACCTCCAGGTCCAGCGTGCGGTGGGTGACGACGGGCTGCGGCTCCTCGGGCTGGCCGGGCTTGGAGCAGCGGTAGCCCTCGGGTTTGAGGACATACCCGCCTGTGCCTGCGAACATCCCCTCGTTTAGCCTGCGAGGCGGAGTCAGTAAATCGCTTGTTCGCACTGCCGAGATGATGGAAATTCACTTACATCATGCCTTCGTCCCAATTTTGCCAGTTCAGCGCCACGATCTGGATACCCTTCCTCCAGAAGCCCGCCGGGTCCAAGTTCGAGGAGCCAATTCTGAGTCCTGATGGGTACGCTCGCATCATATATTTGCGATTGTGTTCAAACAGCTGCTTCGCTTCTTTCTCATGAAGCTCTGCCACCGCCTTCTCAGCCAAGGAGAACACGTGCGTCGGCATGCTCGCCTCGGGCTGCGTGAGGGATTTGAACGACACGCCACGTGTGTAAATGCCCAGATTACTCAGCGGATGGATGATCTTGGAAGGCTTCTTCTTCTTCTTCTTAGCGGCGGCCTCGGGGTCGACGGGACCCGCATCCTCGTCTGATATAGCAGCCGTGTCTGTCCCTGGAGGCGCGTACTTCACCTTGACGAGGATCTTGCGGCGGAAGTCGCCTGGTGGGGGCAGGACGTCGGAGTCCTTGTCTGGAGGCGGGACTAGCAGACCCTCCCAGACCTGTTCCATGATCTGGACCATGATCTCTTGCTGCTGGGCTCCCGCGTGGACCTCAAGTGACACAATGAGAGGGAGATCCGTCACCGCAAAGGCGTGGTCCCTGATCGCCATGCACACATCACGGAACGAGACTTCCTTTGTGAGAGTGTAGCCGTGCAAGACCCGCGGTTCGGTGGCTGCCACTGGTAGGGAGGGCACTTTTTGGAGCGGACCAGATGGTGTTGATTTCTCATCTCCTCCGGCCGCTGGCTTGGCTTCCTTTTCTGCTGGCAGTGACGCCGCGGCACCAGCCTTGTGCTCCGTCTTCTTGTCGACATATTTGTCGAGTTTCTTCCCCAGAGACGTCTTCTCCAACTTTGATAACAATGACTTGGGTAGCTTCTTCTTGGCCTTCTCCACCTTCTCTTTCCGTTTGGCGTAGAGGTCTGCTTTCTTAGGATCGTCGTCCTCAAGGTCGCTGCTTGAGTACTCCGAGTCCGTGTCGTCGCCATCCCAGACATCGATTTCAACGCAACGGCATCCCCTCAGCAGGACATTCTTGAAGGCGTCCGTGCTTGACTCGCTATAGAGTTGGTTTCCAGTGAGATAGGTGTTGTGGCTAGAGCTGATGAAGTAGCTGGATAGGGGGTAGGTGAGATCTTGGTCACTTGTTTTGCATGGCCTGATCATGTTGCTAGCGTCCGAGGTCATGTAGTGCAAGAAGTCGTTGAAGTCTAACTGCTCCTTGGCCGCCAGGTCAGCGGGCAGCCCCTCGTGGCTGGAGTCAGGATCGCCTGCTTGGGTGCAGCGAATGAATGTGGCGGCCTGCGCCGTGTGCCATGATTTGTTCTCGTCGGCATGGCAGTTGAAGACATTGGTGAGGTAGCGTAAGATGGGTCCGCTGACTGTCTTGATGTGACCGTGGTGTTCTTCGCCGCTTATGCCACCGCCGGCCTGGTGCACGGCGTCTTTGGGCGGGGGAGCTTGAGAGGCCTCCTCTGTCATTTTGGATCGTGGAGTTCAAACCGTCCTCTCACAGATGGGGGAATGCGAGAGAGAGCTCTCGAGAAATGACCGCAGAGGCAAGTGTCCACGGGTTGAAAGAGACTCATGTCATTAAAGAACACCTCACCGCTAGAAATAGGCCAGGAGGCTTGGCCGGTCGCTTTGATGAAGTCGAGCCCTGAGAAGTGGGTTCGCTTCGAATGACCGTGTCGTAAGTGACCAGGGAGCTGGTACGAGATGATGAGCTTGCCATACAAAACCCTCTGCGTGTCACTGCTCGTATGCCCGGGTGGGTCTCAGGCCAGCCGGTGACATAGACATGGGCGCACCAGAGAGGACCAGGTGTGTGTCTATTCAGATCGGCTCACGTATCATGGAATCTCGCGGTATTATGCCGGGACAAAGACCACGAGAAACCAGGCAATGCAAGTCCAAGTCAAGGATATGCATGTGGCGTCACTTGAGTGACAAGACGTCAGTCAGACAGACAGAAACATAGACACACACACATGCAGGTGCCAAGGCGTCCAGCTGTGCAGCTGTGTAGCTTGCGCACCGGTTCCACCTGGGCACCCCTGGGGCGGCAGCTGCGAATCGTACATGCAGCCCTGGAGCTACCCCACAGGTGGGAGGGTCCAGGTCCAGCTGGGGGGCCGGTTTCAGGGCCCCTGTCCCGCCAGGCCGGATCGTGTGTTGGTTTCCAAGATTGCCCACTAGGTGGACTTCATCTGCCAGTACTCAGGTCTGCCGTGGAGCTTTCCCCGCACCGTTCCTTGCCTGCGAGGTGCCAAGTTTACTAGACTCCAACTCTTCCAGAACACTTGACTTGACTGCAGCAGCACACCCTCGCAAGCTCATATGCTCCCTCCAGGACTTGAACGCTGATCGATTCTCGACGAGCTGCGCGCGATGTGGTCTAACGTACTGTACATTGGTCGTCGAAATGACCTAGATCAACCCACGGACTTGCTCCATCCTCTTTGCCACCATGTCAAAAAGCCACTCGCCAGTATATTCATCCCACGGCGCAGTAGCTTCATCAGATATCTCCCAGAGTGACGCTTCGTTCATAAACCCATCTAGTGTCTCTTCCACGTGGACCTTGGTGCGCGGCTTCCCATGGACTAGTTCTGCCTTGCCTGTCTCCAGGTCGGCCAAAGCCAGTGGCTTCGACAAGTCGAGCGTATCAGTGTTGCCAAACACGAAGAACAGATGCCGCAGTGCCGTCATCTCGGTAACGAAATATGCCAACATGCCCGCATCCTCGTCCGCGAGAATACGCGAGCTGAAGGCAAGATTCGCGATCTCTCGGCAGAATGCCTTCTTGCCGTCCTGGAGCTTCCCGAGGTACTCGTCGTCCTGGGCTGTCCGGACAGCTGTGACGAAGCTGTCGAAATGCTGGTGCGGCACAAAGAAGATATCCGTCTCTGGTCGGTACGGGCGGCAGGGCACGTTGATGCCTTTGAAGGTGTCCTCCCTGAACGATAGATTGCTTTTGGCGTACTCGCGAGACTCGCGGCACAAGTGCATGATTGTCGGGAAAGCGACGATGACCTCGCGCTCCACCTCCCAGTCTGAGTCGGCGTGATTGCCCTCACCATGTTCATCAAGTCCAAAGTCCTCCGGGTCAAAGAAGTATATGCCCTGCATATCTGCATTAGACAGAGACGCGGCCCAGATTTGGGATCGCATCTCCACAGGCAAGTCTTTGAAGTTGACCATTTCGCAGCTTCCAACTTTTCAGACTTTGTGAGAGGTTCGATTGATGAGATTGGCCAGGGAAAAGTAAGTGGTTTGCTTAGAGATTTGTTCTGAATCGTCGAGGGAAAAAATAACGAGTTGCTCGCGAGACGCGTGATGGGTCAACTTTATCTGTCGCGTCGACTGGGCCTCTGGGAGACAGGGATCGACAGTTCCGACTGCTACTCCACGTTTTATCAATTTGCACATGGGGACGGACATGCACGCAAGCGAGCTCTCTGTAAGGAACGAAGACCCATCACCGTTACGTATCTATTTGTCTCTATTCAGGCTGTTTCACTCTGAATCCGAAATTGAGGCTTCTGAGAATAATGGCAGTCTAATGAATCCGGAGCTGGGGCCCGGCACCGCATTTCAGGTCGGAATCGGAGGGGTTCGGCCTCGGCGGCGCCAATCGTCATACCCGCCCGGCTTACAACGGCCGTTTTGGCGGCCTATCTAGATAGATGAGCGAGAATAAAGGTAAATAGATTTTCAGAATACATCAGTTGTCCCTCAGCTGGTCTTTTCTCAAAGGAACAGAAAGAATCACTTCTTGACCATATTGTCAAGAGAAAAGTGGAAGTGGCCCGACACTGACCTTTTCGGCCCCGATCTCGGAAGGTGGGGCTCCTCTTCAAAGTGCAAAGCACAGAAAGCATCGAGGGGCACACTTTCCTCGTCGATCAACCTCACCAGCAACTCCAACCACTTGATCCTCCCCCCTCCTCTTCGCAACTATCTCACAAACACCTCCCCTCATATTCAATATGGCAACCCATAACATTGTTGTGCTCGGTGGTGACCACTGTGGTCCTGAGGTGAGTGTTCAATGGCTTGCTGCAGTCTGTTCATCGCGGGGTGTTCGGCCTGGCAATAAGCTATTTAAACTCTCGGGTGAGGTCATGAAGATGGGATCATGCTGACAGAACTCTTGAACCACAGGTTGTCGGCGAGGCAGTCAAGGTATGCAATCATACGGAATTTGGGCGGCCTCTGGCTTGCATGCCACCGTCGTCTAGCTTCAACTCGAGCTCCCGCCAAACTGGACTCGATTCAACTAGGTGACCAATCGCACTGACGACTTCACAGGTTCTGAAGACGGTCGAGTCTCTGAGTCCCTCAGCTGGCAAGTTCAACCTCCAAGAGCATTTGTTTGGTGGTGTAAGTGTCTTCCTCGCCCCGGGTACAGCTTGGTGATGCCGTCATGGTCGTCACACCCCAGCGACGGGACAGACCTGCTGGTGTACCGAGCCATGGACTACGGTGAAGTGACACAGCTGACTCACCTTCAGGCCTCCATCAACGCTCACGGCACTCCTCTCACTGAGGAGACCCTCAATGCCGCAAAATCAGCCAACGCTGTCCTCTTGGGCGCCATTGGAGGTCCCGAATGGGGTCCCTCCTCCCCCGTCCGCCCAGAACAGGGTATCCTCCAGCTGCGCAAGGAGCTCGGCACCTATGGCAACCTGCGACCCTGCAGCTTCGCCTCCGACTCTCTGGTTGACAGGTCTCCGCTTAAGGCAGATGTCTGCCGGGGGACCGACTTTGTCGTCGTTCGTGAGCTGACCGGAGGTATCTACTTTGGCGATCGCAAGGAGGACGACGGTTCCGGGTTCGCCATGGACACGGAGCCCTACAGCAAGGCCGAGATCGAGCGGATTGCTCGTCTGTCTGCTCACCTGGCTCTGGCACAGGACCCTCCTGCCAAGGTCTGGAGTCTGGACAAGGCCAACGTCCTGGCCACCAGCCGGCTGTGGAGGAAGACCGTCACGGAGCTGTTCAAGAACGAGTTCCCTCAGCTCCAGCTCGAGCACCAGTTGATCGACTCGGCCGCCATGTTGATGGTGAAGAGCCCGCGTACACTGAACGGTATCGTCATGACGAGCAACCTGTTCGGTGACATCATCAGCGACGAGGCCAGTGTTATCCCCGGCAGCATTGGTCTGCTGCCCAGTGCTAGTCTTGGCGGTCTGCCAGACGGCAAGAGCAAGTGCAACGGAATCTACGAGCCTATTCATGGTAAGAATGCACATTCTCGACACCATGACGAGTGGTTCATCGAATCTTTCAAGACATCCCAAGCTAACACATCATCTTAGGTTCGGCACCCGACATCTCAGGAAAGGGTATTGTCAACCCTGTCGGCACCATCCTGTCGATTGCCATGATGCTCAGGTATTCCCTCGGCCTGCCCAAAGAGGCGAATGCTGTTGAGCAGGCAGTCAAGAACGCCATCGACAATGGCGTTGTGACCAAGGACCTTGGCGGTAGTGCCAGCACCAAGGAAATGGGTGACGCCGTTATTGCGGAGCTGGAGAAAGTCCTGAAGAACTAAGGGACTAAGGAGACCGTCTTCGCAGTCCAAATGGCGTGGAAGTGCCATTTATTCGAGAATAGACAAAAGCCAATGCGTTATTTTCTTGCAAAAGGTCTTGATTTGCCTCGAGGTAGCATGCTATACTGAGTTCGCTTCGCGTTGACCTGGTGGTTCGTGGGGGTATCTGCAGATTTGAACTCGCCAGCTTCATAGGTGAGACATGTTTCGAAAAGCACGAAAAGTCTATGGACAAAGGTTACAAGGTTTGAAAAACTTATGTGTCTGCGTTGCGATGCTGAGCCGGAAACAAGCCTAAATGGCGTTGCAAAGCAAGAGAGAAAAGAAAAGCTCTGAACATGGTATCTTCGGGCATCTCACCACTTGAGACCTGCCGAGATTCTCAGCCACTATACCAAATGGATGAAAAACCATGCCGAGGTGATATGCGTCAAGTCGACCACCAACGTAATGTTCAATTAGCTGAGCAAGACCAAGCAGCAGTGCAGGTGTGGTGATCATCACTATGCTTCTAATGTGACCACAGTGCGGTGGGGTGGAGAGGCGGCCAAGATGTGTACGTCTCATGGGTTCCCACGTGGATGATGCGAAGACCCATCATGCAGAATGCTTACTTTGCAGTAACAGTATTTGGATTGAAGACATCAGTGGGCCATTGTATCTGGAAAACTTACATCTCTACTGAAAACCGAATTTGTCTCGCTCACTCCACTCACATCATGCCGCCTTGTTCTAGAAGGCCAACCGCCTCTCACGATTGTTGTTCAAGTTCTTTCGCGATTGCAGCTGAGAATACCCACTAATAAAGGTCCTCGAATGGACCCAAGGGTTTGCAACCCGTCAACCCTGACTAGACTATGGATTGCATGTCTCTATGAATGATGAGTAAAATCTGTCGTCGAGCCTCACACACCCCATCGGTCTCATCGCTTCCAAGAACATTAGAACGCGGAACCTCGGCTGAAAATTCTCAGTGCCAGATTGCTCACAAACACGAGGCCTTGGTCATCCATGGTCAACTGACCAAGAGGCCCAGGCGCAAACTGGGTACCTGGGACGCGCTCAGTGGAGTTTGTCCACGGGGCGTTCGGCTTGACCTCGGGCCCTCGATCCCCATGCACGGAATCCTGTTCTGTATTTACTTACAGTGGCTAACAATCACAGCATTCTCGGCATATTGCCCCATTCAGATGGCAAGGACGGTGTAGACAGTGTGTTGCGACAATGACCCGGTATGTTCCCTAAGTACGTCCTTTAGAATGTTTTGTTCTGTAATACTAAAGAGTTCGGGATGGCAGATAAGCCCTGAAGGATGCTTGTCCGTGGAAGACCAAGCGACAAATATTTGTTAAGCTTCGAGTAAGCTCCAGTTCCTTGTTCCGCGGACATATTCCGTAAACCTCTGAGAAGTGCTCGATCCCACGGGTCAGTCTAACATATCAAAGCACGCAAACGCCTTTTGACCCATACTGTCGAGGGATTCTGTGGGCACCCACGGCCAAGCATCTTAGTAGGCGACCGGCTGGACTCGGAGGATGCGCCTTTACCCGGTTGCCACAACCTCAGAGGTGATCATGCTTCCCGAACAAGGGCTCAAAGGAGTAACTAGAGTGAGGCATTAGCATTCATCGGTGGTGATGACTGAGTGGGGCAGCAGGATTCGACCAGAAGCGCCATGCTGAGACAGGGGCGACCTCCGGAGTGCGTGGGTTCTGCAGGCAGTCTCGGCTAAACAGTTTGAGTAAGCTGGAATATCGTTGGTGGAGGTGTCAAAAGGCTCGAAGACGTCTCTCCTTCATGTTGCATTAATGGCAGAGTCAAAGTACTTGTTATCCGCAGCAGGGTCTCCGGCTCCGAAACTTGAGGTTTTGTGGTATCGAGCCTTCCGCTCCGAGCAATGAGGAACAGGCATTGTATTGCTGCTGCTCACGATGACTTGGACCAAAAACCTGCCCTCTGTATTCCATGGTACCACGCTCAAAAAACTCGTCCACAGAACGATGGGAATTCCCGGGCGATCGGAACATACACCACACCACGCGGCCGAAAGCACTTGAGCCTGGACTGCAACTCAGTGCTCAATACAAGCCTCGGACGGCAATCTGGACCGCCTTGGCATTGTCAAATTTTTCAAGAGGATAGCGACTTGCGAGTGACTTACATGTGCTGAAACCTAGTAGAACAATGCCATAGATCACAGACCTGGACTGCTGACTGCATGCGTGCCGGGTGAGAAGGGTTCGGAGAGCTTCCCGGCTCCAGCAGGGAGAGCCTAGTCCTCAGAGTCCTCGGCCCATCTGATAAGATTAGATGATCTGATAGCCCGGTCCTTGGCCAATACGTCTTGGCCGCCAAGTCCATCGACGCCGAATTCTTCCTCACACGCCCCCGCTGATCGGAGGACGTGCTCCAGGGTTCTTCGCAATTGCATTACCACATCGATCACTTTCTCGGCCAGAACATGTGCCCATGGTCCACATCGTGCATCCTGCAAAAGAGTCTGCCTAGACTTAGCTGCAGCATGTGGGTTCGATCACATACAGCCCGAGCATGGACTTGCCTTGAAGCAGTCGCCCCACGGAGACCACCGCCCATCGACCGGGTCCCGCACCAGAACCACTCTCTTGGGACTTCTGTTGGACAATCTCTAGTCCAGAGGGGCCTGTTTGCGCGTGGTCTATCATCTTGCCCAACCACAGAGCCTCTCTGGTTGCATGGCTTGAATCCTTCTGTCGGATTTTCTACCTCTAGTTGGAGGTATCTCCTCCCCGAATCGCACCGCAGCTCGGAACTGTGTGTAGTATGGTTGCTTAGCATAGTAAGTTTCGTTGGCAGGTCTGTATAAGAGACCAGTGGTCTTTTCCTTCCTGTCGAGGCGAGTGCTCGACCCTCCTTCCGTATCTTCTCCTTGAATCACACTACCGCTTGTCCGACATCATGAAGTTCCGCGGTGGCATACTTGGATTCAGGTCCAGCGGCAAAACGCCCGTCGTCGAAGAGACTGCTCATAGCACTGGCAAAGATGCCGAAGCTGGCCTCAAGACCACCGCCGCAGCCAACGTGAACAGCCCCGACGCGCCTGTTTCTCCTGACCGTGGCTGGACGCTCGACGAAAAGACCCAAGACCCGGCGGAGCGCGGATCACCCTCCTCGGAAGAAGATGAACCTATCAAGCAACTGCAGTATGGTGTGCAGCTTGCCGAGGCCACACTCAAGGTGTGGACGAGGAAAGACTTGGTCACGGCCTACGCTCTGTAAGTTCCATTCGTACACACATACGCGGACCGACAACAACTAATACGTGCAAAGCATCTGGCTGGTCAACTTTGTATCGGTGTTCACGTCGGGTGTCGCCGGCACTTTTACCGTATACGTAACATCAGACTTTTCGGCTCACTCCCTGACAGCAACAACGACCATTCTCTCCTCTCTAATGGCAGGACTGATCAAACTGCCATATGCCAAGTTCATCGACAACTTCGGCCGGCCACAGGGCTTCTGTCTTGCCGTGGGCTCAATGACGATCGGTCTTGCGATGATGGCTGCATGTCGGAATGTCGAGACGTATTGCGCGGCTCAGGTCTTCTACGCGATGGGCTACAACTGCATCGACTTCACCCTCGTCATCTTTGTCGTCGACACCTCCCAGCTCAAGAACAGGGCTCTGATGATTTCGTACATCGCCACGCCTTGGCTGATTACCACCTGGATCTATGGACCCGCGTCCCAGAAGATGCTGGAGACAATCGGCTTCCGGTGGGGCTTTGGCATCTGGGCTATTATCTTCCCGATCGTGTGCTCGCCGCTCGCCGCCCTCTTCTGGATCAACGCCCGCAAGGCTGAGAAGGCTGGCCTGGTTCAGGTTCCGCCCCACGGCCGTGGGTTTGTCGACAACCTACTCTACTACGGCAAGGAATTTGATTTCATCGGCCTCCTCACGCTGGCCACAGGCCTTGCACTATTCCTGCTTTCCTTTTCTCTGTACGCAAAGCAACCGGACACTTGGCGCTCGCCCTTGATTATTTGTTTCCTGATCTTCGGAGGTCTGCTCGTGATAGCCTTCGTCCTCTGGGAAAAGTACCTCGCACCAGTCACCTTTATCCCATGGACGCTGCTAAAGAATCGGACCGTCATCTTCACCTTCACAATGATGGCAAGTCTGTACTGCGCCTGGTATATTTGGGACTCTTACTTTTATTCGATGAACATTGTCGTCTTCAACCAGAGCATCACAAACGCGACGTATATAAACAACATCTACACCGTTGGCTCAACATTCTGGGCAATCGTGATGGGCATCATCATTCGCTACAACGGACGTCTCAAGTGGCAATCAGTGTACTTTGGCGTCCCGATAACAATCCTCGGAGTGTCTCTCATGATCCACTTCCGCCAGCCCGGCACCAACATCGGCTACATCGTCATGTGCCAGATTTTCGTGGCTCTTGGTGGCGGCACGCTGGTTATGTGCGAACAGTTGACCGTGCAGGCTGTCTCGAAGCACCAGAACATCCCAGCTCTTCTCGCGACAGAGGGTCTGGTCGCCAGTGTAGGTGGCGCCATCGGCCTGTCAATTTCAAGCGCCATGTGGCAGGGCATTTTCCCAAAGAACCTGGCAAAGTACCTGCCGGCAGATGCTCAGGCCAACTTGACTGAGATTTACGGCTCGATTGTCGTGCAGTCTTCGTACCCCCTGGGATCCCCGACCAGGGACGCCATCAACAGGTCCTACGGTGACACGCAGAAGCTTATGTTGATCGCGGCCACTTGCCTATACTCAATCTCCTGGTTTTCGACCTTCTTCTGGGAGAACGTCAATGTGAAGAACATGCCGAAGCTTGAGGGTTTGTTGATCTAGGCCCTGCATCAAATGACCACGATCTACAAACTGATGTGGTGGTTTTGCTCGCGGTTCATCATGTGAGAAGGGGGCCATGTGGTTGTACGGCTGCAGGAAGGGAGGAAAGTACAAACGTAGTAATTGATAATGTTACCTTGATCTGCCTCAAAATCCCCAATCGACAGCTGTGCGCATGCTCATATCTCCCATCGCTCAAGACTCAGACATGTGACTGGGCCTATGACAACAGTCCTTTTGAGTGGAACAACGCGGCGAGGCCCGGAACTTTGAGAAAACTATCTCTCGCTTCATTCGGGATCTGCTGATACGCCTATCGCCAAAATCCAGATGCTCAATGCAGGTCTATATGGAACGCCCTACTCAAATCAAAAGGCTTAACTAAACGACTCGAATCTGGCTCAGCACTACGCTCAGGCTCAACTCCCTTATTCCTAGCTTTTGCATGGCTAGCAAAGAAGAGATCAAGTATTCGCACTTCCTCTGCATCCTCAGGCCTCTCCTCATCAACGACCCGGTCTAATTTACCGTTATCAAATGCAATGCCATGCCAAAGCAAAACACCGAGGGCATGGGCGGCCTCAACCTTCCTCCTGAAATTTCCCAACCCTTGGTTAACTCTCAGCTCGGGTATTTCAGCCTCTAAACATAGCCAGAAAGATTCTCGCAGCTCTTTTGCCTCAGGGTAGTAACTAAAGCGCCCATCTCGATCAAGCTCACCCAACAAGGCCTCAACGCCGTAAAACCCGATACCGAATGGGAGATACTCCGCCTCAGCCCAATCCAGAAAGCCAGTCAAGACTACCTCTCCTAATGACGCAGCTTGTGTGTTCCGGACCATTATGTTAGCCGGGACAACATCTCCATGCGTCAGAACCCATGGGAGGGACTCGATATCGTCCAAGCGCTCCAAGACATTTTCCACGGCTGGCTGAAATCGATGGGGAAGATGGGCCCGCATCTCCTGCACTCGCCAGCTGATGGAACCGCCTATCCGGCCGCTGAGACTCGAGATTGTAGGGTCTGATGCCGAACGTGAGGATTGCCAACCAATGACGATGAAATTGGCGAACTGCCTAATTACATCTTCTCGCTGACATCGCAACTCAGCTAATGGCGGAGAAGACTGCGTCCAAGAGGCTCGCAGCTCGGCCACGGACAGGCCCGGTATCCTCGCCATGGAGTAGACGTGAAGTGATACATGGGAATAGCAGCCATCGTCGATCACGACTGCCTCATCCATAAGCTTATCATACGGCAGCTCCGAAAAGTCGTCGAGTGAACATGATCTGGGAACATCGATAATGCTGAGTAATTTCGTATGCGGTGCAAGGCCCCCGTAAATGCTTTGAGCAGCAGTCGTCAACTTGATGTTGAGTTGGTGGACCGTTGGCCTGAATTGAACAATAATGTCTTGTCCAATACAGAGCGTATAAGAGCAGTAACCCTGAGGATTCGATTCCTGAATGTATTCATTTGGGAACACCCCGCGGGCCAGAGCCCAGCATCTTGACCGAGTGTCTCGGGGCAATCCGCAACGCTCGAAGAATGCGCTCACATCTTTCTCCACAGAAGATTGACATCGGGCCATGTTTACGGAGAGATCATCTGTACAGATTTGTGCAGGAGAGAAAACACACAAAGTCGAATACAGCTGAGATGAACCAAGATGGGGACTGGAAGTGGAGGTCGAGATCAGTCCTTGTGGTCTGCTGCACCAGGTGATCTCATGCAACCCCCACGTTTGGTTGGCACACCCACCATTACGTCCTATCCTGGAGGTTGGAGAGCATCACTCGCGACTCATCCGTCTTACCACATTAGGTGAATCCCGCATCATTCCTTGGCTACGCGGCCAATCAAGTTTTGAAGCACCTCAGTTTGAAAGTTGGCCTCGATTCAGCAGTCACTGCACCTAGGCATTTTGTATGATTATTTTAAAGCCAGTTTTCAAAATTGGAAATGGAATGGTAGAATGCTTGAATGGTAAAATACTCGATTAGTCAGGCCGACAACATTTCCTCCCGTTGAAGAAAAGAGGACGAAGACGATCTCACTTTCGGACAATATGCCAGCTGACATTTGACCACCGTTCCCGCACTATTGAACTTTCCTTCGCACGAACGGAAGCTGAATTATTCTGCGGGATTCAGGAGAAAGCAGTAACCCCACTCTTAAGGCCAATTCATTGCAATCCTCTGGAAGGTGGACTTCTTTTTCCTGATGCAGCTCGAACAACGCAACAATAGCGGCTTGAAGCCAAGGACCCCCTATAGTTGATGCCAAACGTCCTTGACGATTTCAATAATCGACATTCACGTGGAGAGTATGTGTAAGGAACCAGAAAATAGCGGTGGTTGCTCCTGCTTCGAGATAGAACCTTCTCTCAGCCCATAGTTAGTGGCTCTCTGCCCTTCCAACCACACGATTAAGATTGGGGGAATAATGAGACCATGGATCCAAATGTGTCCAAGTAGCTCTGTGGCTCTTCCAACGACTTGTTATGTCTAAACTTTCATTCAAGGAAGAGAACACATCATCGCAACATGTCCGCCTGTTGCGGTGGATAGCAGGGAAATTTCAGGAAGTGAAAACCAGTGAGTCGTGGTTTCGTTGATCAAATCATCAGTGCCTTCTTTCCAATTTGTTTTCTTGGGCTAAGACGACATGTTAGCTCTTGCTGTGGTCGTTCTGGGCTACACAGCAATGTTTTGCGTCGTTTCTCAATTGTTGCTCGTGACAAATACAACCACTAGAGAACAATCAGGACCACGGTATCTTCTGAAGATCCATGTTGCATTAATAGCAGTCCCTATCATCTCTACAATTTCCTAGATATCGTCCATTATTTGCCAACTCAAGCAAGTTTTCCACAATGAGTTCCGGAAGACGCCAGAGCAGTGCGACCGGTGCTCCTCCCCCAGCTAACCAGAAGAAACGACTTATCGTCTGCTGCGATGGCACCTGGATGAACTCGGACAAAGGATGGGAAAAGGGCAAGCCTCAACCTCCATCCAATGTCACTCGTCTGGCCCGGTCCTTCAACCGTGGCTGCTCGGATGGCTCAGTTCAGGTCATCAACTACCAATCTGGCGTTGGAACCGGGAGCACGATGGCGGACGCCTTTTCTGGCGGCGCGTTCGGCAATGGCGTTGCAGAGGTGAGTTTACTTTCCGGCAGCTGATTCTCTTGTTCTCTCTGTCTCGGCTGAAATTAGCACATAGCACATTCGTGAAAGCTACTCATTCATATGCGGCAACTACGTTGATGGCGACGAAATCATCCTTATCGGCTTCTCTCGTGGCGCCTTCACCGCTCGAAGCATCGCTGGCATGATTGGAAGTCTCGGCCTCCTTACCCGCGAAGGCATGGAGTACTTCTTCCCCATTTTCAAAGACATGCAGAATTGGCAGACCAAGAATTACAAGGATCTTTATCCAGGTGTTCCTTTTGACAACAAACCCAGGGGGGAGCACGCGGCGGAAGATTACCGGCACCTGCTTATCGAAAATGGTCTCACACGAGTTTTTGAAGGTGGCGGCACTGGCAAGCTCATCACAATCAAGGCAGTTGCAGTCTTCGATACCGTGGGCAGTCTCGGAGTTCCCTCAATCGCATGGATGAAGAAGCTCGGGATTGATCACACAACCTCTGAGCTTCGGTTCTACGACACAAAATTATCGGATCGCATTGAGAATGCTTTCCATGCATTAGCCCTGGATGAGCCGAGGCCGCCTTTCAGTCCTTCGGTCTGGGAGCGCCCTGCTTCCAACAAGGGTGTCACCAACTTGAAGCAGGTCTGGTTCCCAGGCAATCATGGCAACGTTGGTGGAGGTTGGCCCGACCAGGGTATCGCAAATATGACCATGGCCTGTAAGCAGCTTCCCGTCGTCCCATCTGGCACAAAAGATTCTCCACAGAAAGGGAAATGCCGAGTTATCGACGGCTCCAATGTGTTTTCTTATAGCACTATCTGTTTGACGATTACTGACTGCCTTGCTCAGGGATGATGGATCAGCTCGTCAGTATGGGCGTCGAGTTTGACAACGGTTCTCTCCGTCGGCTTCTACAAGACACGGAGAGATATTACCGCGACCATCCCTCAGCAGCCGCGCTTCCAACCAAAGAACCACCCAAGGCAAAGGGAAAACCCCCGAAAATCATCGCAATGGCCACTAGCGTCGTACCCGATAGCCTCAAGGCAAAAGCCTCACAAGCCACAAAAGTGCTGCCTACAACCTATTTCAAATGGGCTGTTGATCCCATTCTTGAAGGCAATCACCCTGTGCGACCATGGGCCACGGGCGCCATTCTCCGAGCTCATAGTCCAATGTACACACTCGCGGGAACCATCACCCGCTCTCCTGGCATGTACCATAAGCTCAACGCCTACAATGGCAAAGAGTTGCCCGAATATCTAGAGGATACATGCGAGCAGATCCACCCTTCGGCGCGCATCCGCCTTGCTATCAAAGGTCTTGGTTACGACGACAAGAAGCAATGGAATGCGTCCGCCCTCAGCGACTCTGGCTGGGAGCTTGCCAAGAAGACGAACGGGGATTGGGTCTGGGTGTACGAGGGCAAGGAGGACCTACCCAAGAAGGTGCTTGAGGAGTCAGAACTGGGAAATTACGAGAAGAAGATGCTGGAGCTGGCGGGTGGATATCCGCACATTGTGGAGTTTGTTGACAATATGTCATTGGAAGACTTTCAACAGATCACGAGCAGGAAGACCTCTGTGGCGCCGAGATTGATCGAGGCCTGAACGGCTGAAGGACGCAAATTCCTAGGACACTTTTGTTCATGATTACTTAGTTAGATTGCTACCACTTCGGTGAACATTTTACATTGTGTAGACTCTTCTTCGCGCATTGGATACCCGTTCGCTTTACCTATAGAGCTTCCTAGTAAATATACAGATTCTCTACGATGTCTCACTTCTTGCGACTGCGAGTAATTATCACAGACTTCTGGAATAAAGTCTTATAGTACAATCCGTGAGTACTGATGTATCAGGACATGGGAAATGCCTCAACACCATGCGAAAGATATTCGCAATGAGTGACACTATATACTAACTTTTAGGCGGTAGCAAAAGTATATTAACTGTGGGTCTGTCGACAATCGTGAATTAAGCCCCATCCACCATATTTGATTGGCAGCCCTGCACACTCTACCTCATAGCTTAATGCAGTCAGCATGCACTCAAGCGCTGCTCCTGGCGTGTGTCAGCTGGGTTAGGCAAGCAACACATAGCCCGATTGATGCTTGTAGTGAAATATGCAGATGCCACAAAGGAAGATCCGTTTCAAGTGAAATCCTTGCAAGCTTAAAGTCTCGTATTGTTGTATTTTGAGCCTCGGAGTCAAGCAATTGGCCAGTACTCCCCGTCCACTTAATCCCAGAAATGCAACAGTAGGCACTATAGCTGCCTGGCCTTTCAGCTAGAGAAGCAATATTAAGCATATGATTCCCCTAGCATGAAGGTGGCGTCCCTCACCGAATGCGTTTGGATGGTTCCAAGCTGTGCTGGCCAGCTGAAGTCTCGAACGTGGGGGTGGCTTGGGCGCGTGTCACGGAAGGATCCCAACCACCAGCATTGAAATACTGATTCTCGCCCCACTGAGGTAAATCTAGCTCTACATCCATATTCTGACAGCCCGTCACAGCTGGCGCGCAGCATAATTTTCTACTCTCAACACCCTCAAGATGACGGACCGCCAAGGCAATGGTCTTTGTCTCCTCTGCCTCGACGGCGGAGGCGTCCGTGGCCTGTCATCGCTCTACATACTCAAATACCTGATGGAAGCAATTAACCCCGAGCATCCCCCTAGGCCATGCGATGTGTTCGATATGATCGGAGGCACTTCAACTGGAGGACTAATCGCACTGATGCTTGGTCGCCTCGAGATGAGCGTAGATGATTGTATAAAAGTGTACAGTTCCATGTCAACAAATATTTTCCAGAAGACAGGCCATCGTTTCAGTATCAAAGGAAAATCTCGAGGTCGATTTAACCACACTGCCATCGAGATGGCAGTGAAAGACATTTTGCGGCAAAAGGGATTGCCAGATGACACTCTATTATATGATACAGACGTGGCTGCTTGCAAGACGTGAGTAAGACCTGTCTGAAGTTGAGTTTCCAGGAATTATACTGACATGGGATTTGAGGGGCACAGATTTGTATGCGCGACCAGCAAACAGACTGGCAGGACCGTGATTCTTCCCAGCTACCGATCAAAACGTGGTGGAGATCTCCTGGCAGTCACCAAGATTTGGCAGGCTGCACGAGCCACTTCAGCGGCGACCACCTTCTTCGAGCCCATCGAGTTCGGTGACGAAGAGTTCGTGGATGGCGCGACTGGGGCGAACAATCCCATCTCAGAGCTTTGGAGCGAAGCCACCGAATGTTTGGGGAATAAGGATGGGCCTTGCCACTTGGAAGACGAAGTCCGATGCGTGATTTCGATAGGCACAGGCGTCCCTTCCTTGACTCCCTTTGGCGACAACCTGATCCAGCTTGGAAAAAGTCTGATTAAGATATGCACGGATACGGAGGCGAAGGCTGATGATTTCGCACGTCACCATCCTCAGTTACGCAGGCAAGGGCAATACTTTCGATTCAACGTTGATCATGGCTTGGAGGCGGTGGGCTTGGAAGAAACTCAAAAAGTTAAGGAGATCATCAGCGCAACCCGTTTGTATCTTAATTCCACACGGATCGCAGACGCAGTCGAGGATTGTTGCAGGCACCTAGGGCTTAAGCAGCGTCAGTAGTAAGAAGTCCCTAATAGCACTATTATGACCATCGGCTAATGACGATTAGAGCTCGGGGCAAATTATGATACTGCACAGAGCCTCGCTGACGATCGTTGGCTGAGGAACTACATTCGTCAGACTGAACAACTTGACAAAAAGTTCAATGTTTCTCCGTCATCAGAAACCCTAGCTTGGTTCACTAATACGATGCCTTATAAGAAGTGGTTGCTGAATGCAGGATGCATTTATTACCCTTTCTCAGTCGATACTCACACAGGCTATGGCAACTGGCTTGTGAACGCCATGCCTGCCTCTTGGGTGACTTTTCCACCCCCGGAGCTCAATTCCCAAATCATAATGACATACGTCAACTGTCAAGGAATCGTGGACTGCAGCAGCGCGGACGTGATCAGAAGTGTTGTCTCCCAGGTGATGACTTTCACTTATGACTCGAAGACGGAATGGTTTAATGCAATGGCCCAAGTAAGCCGGCGGGAAAGGCGTCTCCTCGCGCGAGACATCAAACAAGCTACCCTGTTGCAACTGCTGGATGTCCTCAACTTCATGGTTGAATTTCACAGATCGTCTGGGTCGGCAGCATTGCTTTGCATAGTGGACAAAGTGCACTGCCTGAAAGGAGACCAAGTTCGAGAGGAATTCGTCCAGCTTCGTGTCAACTTACAGCGTATGGGAACCCATCTCCTTGTCACCGGCGAGCCCAGATTGAGCTCCACGGGGCAGGGATGGGGAGCCAGCGATTTCGCCTGCGTGGATGAGAAAACTGAATACCGAGGTATGTGCAAGCCATTCATTTCAGAGTCTGGAAATCTGAGCCTCATATTATTTTTGACCAACCTCCCTGTCTCACCACCCAATTTTCATCCATCAATCCCTTTTAGAATGTCACTTTGTGAGGGGTGCTTATGCTGACTATCTGCTGTGCAGAGTGCCTTGAGGCTCTGAAGTTCGACAACATGTTCACGCGAAGAAACCATGTCTCTGCGGCCATTACGGGCACAAACAGATGGTTCCTGACACACCAGGAGTTTCTGTCGTGGAGAAAGCTCTCGTCTGGCCTTCTCTGGATTCAGGGCAAGCCAGGTTCAGGAAAATCGGTGCTGGCGAAATCGATACTGGCATCGGAGACGGTGACTGCTCCATCTTCCGACCGACCTCTCGTTGCCAGTTGGTTCTATAGCAAACGCGGTGGTGCAGATGGCATGTCACATTCCTCGATGATGCGGTCCATCGCGTACCAGTTGCTGGATCTCTGTCCACATTTGTTCCCAGCATTCGCGCTGGCATACCGCCAACAAGGGATGTCTTGGGATGCGTTCGCTAGCCTGTTGACGCCCCAAAAAGAAAAAGCTAACCCGAGGATAATCTGTCTCTTGGATGGCCTTGACGAAAGCGAGGGCCGAGATGATGTGATTGGAAAGAGGATCCTACAATCTCTCGCAGATCTATCGGAAAAGCCTGGGTCCCGCCTCAGAGTGCTTGTGTTGAGCCGCCCTTATAGCACCATCCATAACGTTTATGGTACTTACGATATCCTCTTGGAAGCAGAGAACCAAAGTGACATCGAGAAAATAATCGTTGAGGGGGTCAAATCTCTGGCACACGATATGTCGCGATCACACGAAAGCAACTACAGCTCCTTTGCCCTTCGGCGTCGAGCAAAACTCGAGGGCGAGAACCCGAGCGACGTGGCTGCCTTGAGCAACGAGGAAATACATGCCGAGATGGACGCCATCCATGATTACCTAGCCAAGAATGCTCGAGGTGTGACTCTCTGGGTTACCCTTTGCATCAATCAAATTAGTCGCCTCCTAAGCAGAGGGCCTTTCACCTGGGCGTCGATCCGCTACGCGTTGTTGGAACTACCGCTGGAACTGGATCAGATGTACGCGACAATAATTGGAGATTTAAATTCCGAGTGCGAAACAGAACATCGGAAGATGGCCAGGAAGGTGCTTGCCTGGGTGATAACAGCGAGTACCAAGCGTCCTCTTCTCATTCGAGAAATGCTAGATGCGATTTCGATACCAGAAGACACGATTACGACAACCGGAGATTCTGACCCAATCCAATCCAACCGACCCATCTTCACTTCGTGTGAAGTCTTTTGTCGGTCGATCAATGAGATATGCGGGCCACTAATAGAGTTTGTCAACCCCTCAGAGGCAGGGTCGTTTCAATACAATCGACAGAGCAGAGTTACAATGGGCTCGGTTGTTCAGCTTGTCCACCAGACAGCGAAAGACTTTCTGGAGACCGGCCTTGGAACTTCATACAGCTTCGAACCCGGCGAGGCCTCACGGATGGTCAACCACCAAGCAAGCCTTTATCTGAACCTTGCCATTCCACTCAAGTCGGCGGCATATGCCCCATTCCTGACCGACATTACGGACGACTGGAAGCTGTCTGTTCTGAAGACTCTTGAGTACCTCAACGACAAGACCCTGCTCTCATTCGTCCTATCTCACTGTGTCTTCGACAAGCACTACAATATGATAGCAGAATTATCTGATAGGAAGCGATGGCGAATGTCCGCATTCTACCAGCACATGGTCTACGGTGATGTGGAGGGTGAGGGTGTGGTGGATGAAACTGTAGTAGGCCTATTATTCCGATTGGGGTGCAATTTGGGTCTGGACATTGCAGTGGAGAATTTGCTGCACCTCACCTCACTTCGTCCGGGATGGTGGAAGACTCATCTGGATGTAGTCCGGACAGCAACTCGCTTCTCAGCAGAAGGAGTCGCGGATGACCTCAACTACATACTGACTCGGCGGCGAGACGAGCTCAACGGGCCGACAGGAGAGTATGGGATGCTGGGCCCGGTGCGGCATTCGCGTTCAGCCTACAGCCGTGAATACTCCCGTGGATCGTCTGTCATTTCTGATCTTACTTATGCGAGGTCACCAGGGCGTCCAGAGTCAGTGAGAGACTCGCGGCATTCGCTTCCCGGGAACACACAAAGATACAGTCGGAACCATGAAGTGATAGCACTGCCTCGCAACAAGGACTTGGACCAGGTCAGGAGGGCAATTAGCCGTGTCATTCTCTATCTTTCCGGAAACAGTCAGCCGCTGGAGTTGAACCGCGGGAGCGAGACGAGTGCTATATTCCAGCCCCGCCCCTCGCGCATTTCGCAGCTTCACAATCGTTTCACCCGGATTCAATAGACTTGACGAAAGTGGAAGCGGTGTTATATAGTTTGAGACGATTGAAACTCCTTGTACCTATCATCGTAGCAAACCCGAAGTAATTTTCCACGTGTGCGGTGATTTGTGATTGACATCTGGACTATATAGAAATTTGCTACAGACATTTTCAATCGAAAATGTATGATACAAAATCCAATAACTGGTCCTTCGAGCTCGGATTATTTGTTACATGAATGGATGCTTTTTGACTAATAGACATTTCTTACGACAGGCCAAGTCCTGATTCAGCGCAGGCTATCACGAGAAACTCGAGCACTCATAGTAGCACTAGGTTACGTTAGAGAAAACTTGTAGCGAACAGCGCCAGCATTTCTCATCGCGATGATAATCCTCCCAATTAGCCGCTGGCCTCAAAGCACACACAATAGTAATTGTTGGACAGGCAAACGGCGCGTCCTAGCCTCTGGCGGGAACGAGCTTTGGAGGAGCGGGCTGCCGTCAAGGTCCTCTTGGCGCGTTGCGTGAGAACAGACCCGCCGCTCCTCGTGCTCGAGCGGCCTTTGACTTTTTCGTAATGGCGGGCAAGTTTCGCGGTGAAGTGCGACGTCACATCGCGCGAGAGAGAGCGAGAGGCAGACCCGAGTCTCCGGGCCCAGCCCCCGCTTCGCTCGGCCCTGCGGCCCCACATCGCTGCATGGGTGTGGATGGAAGTGTGTGTGCTAGGATGTCAACACCAAGGACGACACCCCTTGGGAATACGAAGAGCGACCTCCTTCCACCCCTCTTCTTCCTTTTCGAAGCCAATTCCTAGCGGTATAAGCTTGTAGCCAGTGTGGTGCCTGAGATGCTGAGGTCTCCATCGACCCAGGTTGTAGCCTGAAGTCGAGAAGCTTCGTTCATCTGACCACTGTTGGGATGAAAACAAGTCCAGGTTCCCAGAGTGACGTGAGATCTGCGGCAGGGATCAGTAAGTGGTGGGTCCCAGCATCGATTGGGCCCGGCGGATCTTGGGGCTCGCTTAGAGGACAAAACCTTGTTCTGCACTCCAGCCAACGTGCCAACCTGCCAACTCACCGTTCCCCTGTCGACAGGCCTTCCCCAGAGTAGATCCACCGCGGCAGCAACGGCACGAGGCCCAGCTCTACCCTGCCTCTTCTCATGCGTCTTCACCGGCGGCATATTCGGCCTGGTGATGTTGCCCAGCCTAGGGCAGACAGGAATACGAGGAGCAGTCACGCGCTTGGGCCGGCCATGATGCCACTCACCTTGCCCACGTCAACTTCCTGGGCTGTCCCCTCCCGCCTACTGTCAGGTACAGGCCCACCAGCGCAACTCTGACAGCTCATCGGCGATGTAGGCCGAGCTTGGTTTCCTCGGCCTGCTGCCCCTACAGCAGACAGCAGATCGACAGCTCCAGCTCCAGCTCCAGCTGCTGGCTTGTACACAGTACCATGGTTCCTTGCTGCTTTCTATTCATAGAATGAGTCAAGGAACTCGAGCGACTCGCCCTTAGCTCGCCCACCGTCTTGGGAGGCTCCAGGCTGGACCATGAAGCTCAGAGTCGGGAAGCCCATTTCTGTCATGGTGTGTTGAATCCTGTTGAGGTACTATTAGTCTGTGCGCTCGTTCGATCTTTCACAGGTTTCTCGTGGCACCGGGATCTCGATGTCTATATCGTTGGTATTAATCAATACTACTGCGTAGTAGAGGTCTAACCAGAGCTCATTCATTACCGCCGAGCGTTTTCCCACGGCGTTGCCCTGCCGCCCCTCCTTTGACCCCTCCTACCTGTTGACCTTTCCACACCGCACCTCTGTGCTGTCAAACAGAAAAAAGAATAAGGTAATTTGCCTTTCCGCCAATGCTTGCATCCCATTAGCTACCTCCCATCCCTTGCCGAAAAAAAAGTCCCAAATTCGCCGCCTTTTTAAAGTCCCAGGGTATACCGCTTCGTGATATCGTGAAGGAATGTGAGAGGCCGTGAACTCATGAATAACCGTCATGGCCGACCTGTATGCTATGCGCCCCTGAAAATCGAAGGAATGTAGAGAATTGTAAAAATTAAAAAGACTTCCACGCCCATGGCCGCGCTTAGACGAGCGCCACAAGACCAACGAAGCCAGCCAACAAGGCCGCGGCCGGGCCGCTCTGCGAGTTCGCACCAGCTGTCACCACCGGTGCAGAGGTGGCCGCCGTTGTTGCTGTCACCACGTTGGAAGTGGTGGCAGTCGTCGGCACCTGGACCGTGGTCGGCTGCAGCGACCTGGTCGAGTAGACTGTGCCATTCTGGGTCACGAGGTACGTGGTATACTGTGAGATGGTCTGCGCAGAACCCACGGTGGTCTCGATGGTCACTTCTTGATGCTTTGTCTCGGTCACGGCGATGACAGCCGTGGTCGTGTGCACCTGGGTCACTGAAATATACTTGGTTCCAGTCTGTGTTACGACGGTGGTGGAACCCTCGATGATAGTCGTGTAAGAGTACTCTGGGTGAGTAGTTGTCACATACACATCCGTAGTCTCGTCTTTTTTGAATGGTCAAGTTAGTTGCGTTTCGTTCTCAAAGGCAAGACCTAGTTCAACGAGTTGCTGGCACCGGCCGGGGGATTGCTTACAAGCAGTAGTCAGAGAAGTAGTATAAGCTGTCTCCTTGATGGTTGTTGGCACTTGTGTGACGATAGTCTGCTGGAATTAGCGGTGGAATTTGATACAGAGTTAGCAGTAGAATCCTACCTGGGTGCTGGTCTTGACAGTTGTGTAGGTACTGCCTCCCTTTGTGACGGTTTCCGTGTAAGGGCAAAGCGAAGTGAGAGTGGTGTAATCAGTAACTTCCGCTGTCTTGGTCTTGTCTGGCAACTGTGTCGTTTCATAGACCTTGGTAGGGACCTGAGTCACGATAGTCTATTTGGAGTCAGCCAATTTCCAAAGCCCGTTGCTTCGCGAAAATCTTACCGAAGTAGAAGTCCATGTGACCTCGTAGGTGCTACCACCCTCCGTCTTGGTCTCTGTGACAGGGCAGTAGGAAGTGATGGTTGTGTAGTCCACGACACTACAAGTTCCGGAGTCAGCTGTGAAATCGCCCTAGATCAAGGACGATCGTAGAGGCTACTTACCCTGTTGTTTCGTAACTGGTGGGTCCTGGTACTGTCTCATAGTAGGTTGTGGGCACAATCGTCTTGACGACCGAGGTAGTCTCATAAGTCTTTGTGTAGGTCGTTCCGGGGCCAGTGACTGTCTCCGTAACAGGGCAAACGGTAGTGTAGGTGCTTCCCAACTGTCAGACAATGCTCCAAATTGACTAAGTCGGGTAGGACACAAGGCTTACATTTCAACATCAGTAGTGGTGGTATATTCGGTTGGACCAGGAACAGTGACCGTGGCGCCGCCGCCGCCGCATTCTCCTCCAGGGCAGCTTGTGATAGTCTGTGTGGAGGTGGTCCAGTATGTGTACTCATGGGTAGTGCCACCAGCAGTAGTTGTTGCTGTGACAGGGCAAACAGTGGCTGCGGCTCCGAGTCAGTATATGGCGTGTCTGAGTAAAACTTCGCTCGAGAATTGGATAGGATTGCCCGAGAATGTGGAGGGATGGTGAGCCCGGCCAGGCCATTGGGCCAAGTAGTAAATAACGAGACAGGCAATGAACAGTTGTGTCACACTTACTCGTAGTGTAAACGACTTCAGTCGTAGAACCACCATGACCCCAGTCACCGCCGCCACCACCACCACCACCCCCTCCGCGGGCAAGTAGTTCTTCGGCGATTGTTGGGGCCACCAAGGCAAGCAGTGTGAAGGCCTTCATGTTTGCGGTTGTTGTGAACAACAGAGCAGGCTGATCCAGTGAACGTATTGTAGTGCGACGAGGCTGTCAACGAAGGGAATCTGGCAACGATGAGCGATTGGGCTGGGTAGTGAAGGTATAAGTAACCTGAGCGAGAGGGTTACAAAATCCTGAGGCAACGAGCAGGCTGATGGACCAAAGGCAGTGTGAGGAGGAGGGGGGAAAAGAGGAGGCTGAAGGACCGGTAACGGGCAACTGGCGACTTATATGGTACTATCATGGGAGGACTGCATGCGCCGTCTCGAGAGAAGGCGTTGATGCGATGACATCGCAGGATCTGGGATCCTGATTTGCCGCAGCGCCTCGGCTGCATGGCCCTACGGCGTTCTCTCGCCATCCCGACAGAACAGGGAATGCACGACTGTGAGTCGAGCACGCGGTGGTACGGCACAGACATCGCAGTGTCGAGCTTCCAAGCTGGCGTGGGCCCCAAAGGAGGTTGGGGTTGGTCGACCGCGGCCACGTCGGCCTGGCAGAGAATAGCTCAAGCCAGATCCTGAGCTCATGCACACTGGCCGATCCTGGGCCGATCTCAGGTAAGCTTGAATTCCATCCTGTCAGTCTCGAGTAGGATCCATGACCAACAGGATCATCCTCCGAGCGCATGGCTCCTGGACCGCTTGAAAGAATGGACCTCTTTCGGTTGCTGCAGTCTGCTGTGAATAATACACATGGCTGGTGCTCAAGTGAAGCTCTCACACCCCGTCAGCCGCCATGCAGCGCGGTGACGAATAGGAGGGTAGCACGCCTGGGTTGCCCAGGTATCCTTGGTTGGAGGGAGGGGTGGACATCCTTGTTTTCGATGGCTTCGAGGCTGAAGCTACTCAGAACCCGAGCGCAGCTATATGACGACAAGCCTGGTGATAGAAGACGACTTAATCTATTTTCTGCCGAACAATCCAGTTATGGTGTCTTACCCGACTCTCACCAAACGCGCTGACATGGATTGTCCCCCCGCCGCTGTCTGTATGGCCCAAGCTCGACTGCTCAGGGAGTCATTGCAGATACGAGAAGCCGCAGGCAGAACGTCTATGGTGGGACCCTTCTTCAACAGCCCGCTAAGGCTATGGCATCGAGCTTGTCTAAGACTACGACCTCGTCCTGTCTTGCAGGCACGTTTCTGCTGGCGCGCTGATCTAACTGCAAGAACAATGTCACTGTGATCTCCGTCCGCAGCGGCGAGATGCTGCGGCGGAAGCGTTGAAATGTCAACATATTAAGTGAGGAATCATGTGTAAACAATGCTGATCCACCGTGGTGCAGGGCCCGTTGCTGTGATTCGCACCTTCGAAACAGCGGAACTAACGCCGACCAACGGATGCGATCTTAGTCTTGGGCCAAGCTGCCGGCTCTTGACAGTTGATAACTTGCAGAGGATTTGCAAAAGCAAGAAGTTGAGTTTTCCCAAGCTCGTGTTGAGCAGGACTAGCTGCAGTTTAGCAAAGCTGCACAGATCCCCCCAGGTACGGATTGTTGAGTTGGGCACCTAGGACCCCAAGAGCTCCAAGTTTTGTTAGAGGATACTTGGGCAGTAACGTCGCTCTATCACCGTCGCACGAGAGCGTTGAAGGCTTGGAAAGACAGCGTAGTCGTTGCCGGCTACACTCGGACAACAATGTCATTTTGCAGCCCGCCGAGCGCTTTGTGTTGTTTCCCGGGGGGCCGTTGTGCCACCACATTGCTCCATTGAGGTGCAGATGCCAAGCCGATGCATGGGTTGTGGAGGCGGGGCTTACAAGTGAGATCCTCGAGGAATCGGGAGACCAGGCGACCAGGCGACCACCTCAGTGAGACCAGATCCGCGACCCAGTCCTCGGTCCTTCCCGGTGTATATAGATTCTCCAGGGCCGTGAAGGTGTCGTCGCACCCCCAAGAATAGCAAGGAAACTGAGCCAAAGGACAAAGCGAGACAAACGGGATCGGTGTGATGTGAGGTGTGGTATCCCACAACGCCAGGCTCCAGCTGCTATCGGTTTGTCTTTGCGAGAAGATACATGGTAGGCTCTGATGTCTGCCTCGTTGCTGAAGGTTGGCTTGGGTAAGGCAAGGCAAAATGTGTCGATCAAATTGGAGACATGATCGACGGGGAAGAAGTTGGCGTCCAGCTGTTGGCCAGGTTCTCAAGCTATACATGCAGGGCGGGTGTTACGGCATATTTTGGGCCGTTTACAAGACGTAAAATCCCCCGAATTCAGAGCTGTTGTGTGTCTGTCATACCGGAAAAGCTGCTGGTCGTGGGTCGGAAAGTCGCGGGGGATGCGTGAACAGCTCACTCGACGCCGCGTGATTCCAAGGTAAACATCGTGGCGGATTACATCCGAAAAACCCTCTCGCCTCGGATGCGGGGAGGCCTTAGTTTGATACGAGGTGTCCATATATTGTGGGCTGGTAGACATCGGTCGCATGTTCGCCTAGAACTGATTTGTTCTCGAGCCTAGTCGTCCAACAATTAGAGCTTTGCAATATGCTTGCTCCACCTCCACTCGGCCATGCCGTCCTCGGTGAAGGACAGCCAAGCGTTGCCCGATGGCCGCGAAGCAACGTTCCACAGCGACCGAACGATACCCCTGTGTGTGTACTACAGAGAGGAATTGCAAGTCAGGCGGGGAGACTTGGGAAGCGAGACACTTCTCAGCGCCTGGTGCGTCTGCTCTGCGGGAAGGTAAGGCGGGCTGACTGTAGCCATGCATCGATCGTCCGATGTGTGAAGAGGTCGCTCGGGAGGCGGGCGACAGGATGGGCCGGCAGACTACCGAATCGAGTAAACAGAGGTGCATACGAGCCCAGGCGCGAGAGAGAGAGAAGACCATGTCCAAAATAGTATGACTGTGTCAGGAACAGGGAAAGAAGGCTCTTGGGGGCCTTCTTGGAAGTGCCGTCAGATTTGGCGTGCCCAGAATGCAGCTGCTGGCTGGCACTGCATGTTTGCCTTGGGTGGCTGGCAAGGCTGTCCCTGTCAGCTCGCCCGCCCCTGCCCCTGCCCCTGTCAGCCCATCTAGGTGCAGCCCCAGATGCACGACAGGGACACCACGAGCCACACCTTATTCCTTCCTGTCCAATTATGGCTCTGGCCGCCACTCCACCAGCCCCGCTGTTTCTGATCTCAGCTCACAGCCCCTCCTCAGCACCTTCCTCGCCATATTCCGTCCCATCAGCTGTCGTCCAACCTCAGCATGCAGGCTTCACCGGTCCAAGTGCACGGCGACCTACCCTCGATGTCGCTGCCAGCCGCGCAGATGCTCGCCGACGCACGAGTATGGTCATCTGCTCTAGCGAACTATCGCCACACGTACGGTCTGGTCTCCCCGTCAACCTCACATCAATGGCCACCATGAATCTTGGCTTGCTGAGTGGCCGTGGTCGCAGAAAGTTCTACTCCACGTCTTCAGGCTGCGAAAATTTGTGCATTTGAAATTTTGCTATCACTGCATGCAATATCTGTCCCGAGTTTCTCTCTACCTCAAACCCTCGCATGTCTCAGATTTTGGAATCCTGAATGTCCCTCCTCATCCTCTGCTGCGTTGATGTATCAACTCCGATCGTGATATACCCTACCACACCATTCTCAATGTTCTCACCATCAAGCGGCACGATCTGGAGGTTGGGATCAAAGCCGTTGGCGATCTCGGCAGCGAAGATACTGTCAATGTCGTTGGTCGTCCGGTTGATCGTTGTGTGGCTTGCGTATGGCTCAAGCGCCATAAGCTGTGCGCTTATTGTCTCGTTGATGAACACCTGGCCTGTGGATACGGTCGTCGACGATGCGACGGTACCGTTGGCTCGGATGGACCAATCTGTGTGCACTTGAACATGGATGTGGATGCTAATCAACCCGTGAATCAGCGACACGTCAAACAAAATGCATCTCAAGTCTGGATGTGGGATCTTCAGGTTTACTCAGGGATTGGGGACTACTAACGTTCGTTCAACATAGAAACCCGGGACTATACCCGTGAACTCGACAATACCATTGCTGTCAGTGGGCCACTAGAGCGCGGAGTTAGCAAAATTGGATGACTGTCGTCGGGGTCAATGCAAGGTAGTGGGACTCTTCGACTTACATGAGCGCGCAGGAAGGTCGTGTCGTCCGTGTGCAGATCATCGCCAATAGTCGCGTTCAACTGCTCCAAGAGCTCCTCGAACGGTGTGTCGGGATTCTGCTTGGTGAACGAGCTGTAGGAACCCGTGGCGTTGCAATACCAAATGTCGACGAGGACGTCGTCAAGTGGCTCACACGTCTCAACGTCCATGACACCAATGTCAAGGAGCAAGGGCACTCCGGGCTGGTCCTCCCGCATGTCCTGTCGCAAGGTCTGCGACTGTGGCCAAATATAAGGGCCAGTGGTAACCTCTTCGGTGAGGATGCATGTTTCGTTTTGGAGGACATCGTAATACGGTGCCTCGGTGGTGATGGAGACTGTGGTGTTTCCGTCCCTTTCAGCAAGATGCTTCTCGTTCCGCTTGGCCCATCGCTTCTTGTTCATCGCAGCGACGGAGGATGCGCATCTCTTGGAAAGATCGAACTTGCGAGCCTGCAGCTCGGGGCTGGTCTCATGGTGAGGGTGAGCCACAGCGAACCCCGAGAGCAGGGCCACGCTGGCGGCGATGGTAGTGAATGTGCGCATGGTGGATATCAGCGAGTGTATAGACTGGTCTTGCCTGGATTTTTAAACGAGTGGCTTCCCGAGACGATGCTGGCATTCAAACTATCATGAATACTTTGGAGAATCCGTCCTCACATTCTTTTATAATCCCCATCACGACAAGATCCAATGCCCCCTTTATCGTCACTTTTCTCCACGACACGGCCTGGAGCTGATCGAAGTACGCGTCAGGACGTCTCATTGCACTGTCACCTTCCCGATAGCCCTGCTGGGCTCGACAAAGATAGGAGAAGTACAGTGGTTTGCCAATAGGGAGCCATGTAATGCAAATGTTTTCTGGATCCATATCAAATTGCCCTATGTGCGTAGTGGGAAAGACCCACAATATCCTATCCCCGGTTCTCAACTGCCCACATCCCGCGTGCGGGAGCCCCAACGCGCCAGGGAGGCTCAAGATCTAACTATCCGCGATTTGACAGGTGAGGCAAGATATCCCGTCGGTGTCCACATATTTTATGGTGGTTATTCGTCCTTTTTCTTCGCAAGCCGGATGTGGCACAGCCCCCCTGAAATCTCTCTCGCCCTCCTTCGAAGGAAACGGGGACCAATTTTTGGACTGGATTGCGCATCGTGTTCCACTGTCGATGGACTGCTTACGGATGTGGTTGAATCCATTGGACGGACCGGAGCCGATACCAAGACTTAAGAGACTGGGATCGCCAACTGCTGACGAGTCCCTCGGGCTGTGTGAATCATGCATGTTTATAACCGTCGTGTCACGGGCATTTTATTCGGGACGAACTGGATCGTCGCCCAGGTTCGGAATCTGTTTATAACTGCCCGTCCCCTGTGGCTACGCAACGCTGGCCGTGTACGATGCACGAACTCGACTCGCTCGCGCACGTCATCGGGCCTCCTGGAAGCCGCCACCCCTGCGAAGATCACGGGTGTCACACAGAGCCGGCAACCTACATAGAACTGCACAGTCCGGGCCGCCATGGGTCGATTCACACTCGGTTGGGATACCGGACGTAGGACGGCAGAAAATGGCGTCGCCTTAATAAGCCTATGCTGGAACACCGGGGGAGATACCTTGGTTGCACTTGATGGATGATTAAGACCTCATAAGCTAGCCCTCAGAATTTGTCTTGATTTTTGCATTTAATAAAGCAGCTACTGATGTAGAGAGGGGGGCAAAGCCATACTACTGACTGGGTAGGACGACTTGCAGGTGGTGCAGGTGGCTCCAGATATAACTATATTTCCAGGTTCGCCTCGAGTTACCCTGCCAGATCCTTGGTTTGGTACGGTTCTCGTGTTATTTGACAAGACGGCTTCTCCGACTTCAGGTTGTCTGCCGTGGGCCCCAAGGCCGTAGTGCTAGAGCAAACACCCCAGGGGCTTGCTTGAGCGTGACTCGACTGATGGGGACGCGTCGGCCGCAGTCATGGAACTTGGAAGACCGGGCGATTTCAGACTGCACAAAGGGACTGCCCGAAAACAAGCCTTGATTGAGCAATGGTGCCAAACCAATAGCGTGTCGCAGATTGATGTGCGAAGAGGTGGGATTCGTAAAGCCTTGGCATTTCAGATCGCTATTCCATGTAGAGATCCTATCCTCAGCAGGTTCACGAGCCAGTTTTTGTCTCCTTTTTCAAACCTGAACGCCTTCGCTAATGCAGAATACAAGCCCTAAGACAGCTGGTCCTCGGTGGGCTTGCTTCGACCGGGGGTTTCACCATGATTAATCTTGCTTAGATATGCTCGCTCACTGCAGCAGCTCCTCGCAGGTCCAGTCCTCGTAGCTACAAAGGTCAGCGAGGAGGGAAAGCCAGTAAGGAGGCGGGGCGACCTACTATCCATCGGGCATGTATCGCCGAACAATCAAGGGAACCTTCTTCTCGCGCAGCTCCTTGATAGCTATCTGCAGAGGATCGGTCTCTCCCTCGAGATCGACGAGAACAGGAGCGTTCATGCTGTGCTAATGTCAACCTTCTCGTCCTTGCAAAATGCGCCGCCCAGGGCCGGTCCACAGCGCACGCCCATACCTGATCTGCAGAGCCCGAGTGCCCAGAATACGAGCCTTCTCGTACTTAGTCATGTAGGGCGTGGTGGTTCGCTGGTCGGTGGGGATCTTCTTGTCCTTGTGCGACCTCAAGTTGTCCTTCGCAGCGGCTGCAGGGTCCCCCGAAGGGACGATGTTGTCGGCATCCTCGTCGGCCGCGCCGTTTGCGCCAGGCTCGGCCTCTTCTTGCGGCTCAGGAGAGTAGTACTCCTCCTGCGGGTCGTCGTCGTCGTAGTAGGGCTCCTCGCTGTGGGAAGAAAAGGACTGGCTTAGTGCTTTGTTCCGCGAAGCGCGCAACAGCGCGACCCAAGTCAAGACTTACCCTCCCCCTGCGCCTCCAACCTCATTGCCGAAGTCGTCTTCACCGCCGCCGTAGTCAGACATGATTCTCGATGTGTACTCGGGGTCTTGGGCGAGTGCCGAGTCGGGGTTGTGTGTGAGTGGATGAGTTGGTGTTGGTCCTTTGTGATGGCTGCGACGGGAGTGAGAAACGGGTGGCTTTGCGACGAAGCAGGCAATCGCAGAAAACTTTAGCTGTAGCGAAAGGCTGAAATTCACAGGGATCCTCTGCGTCCGCCCCACCAATCAAAAGCGAATACTGTCGTTCGAGGGCCCACAACAGCTAGCATCTTATCACCCAAGGCTGCGGAAAAAAAGTTCGAGGAACTGCACTTGACGATCGGCCTTCTCTCAATTCGTCTTGCTCCATCATCTTGTCTCCTGCATGCTGCCCAGCTGCGTCCGTCAAAATGAAGCGCGAGGCGGATGACGAGGCATATGAGGGCCCAGCAAAGAGACAATTGATTGATTTAGGCATCGAAATCAGCACAGGTAAATGAAACCCCTTGATCCCAACCGGCTAACACTTCTTTGCTAACCAAATTGCAGCCGAGGAGAGCGTCTCTCAGATCGGTAACGACGATGCAACTAGTCTTCACACACCATCGGAAGCCCAGACTCCACCGACAGTTGTGAGCGCGACGTCCAGAGCCTCCAAGAGGCGCAACTATCCCTCGGAACAAAAGACAAGCAAATGCACCTGGCCGGGCTGCCCCAAGACCTTCAACCGGCCTGCACGCCTCCTGGCCCATTTCCGCTCTCACACCAATGAGCGTCCCTATAAATGCACGTATGTGGGCTGTGACAAAGACTACACCGAGAGCAAGCACCTGAAGCTGCACCTGCTCTCCCACACCAAGGAGGCCAAATACGTTTGCGAGACGTGCGACAAGGCCTTCGCGACGGGCACCAGGCTTCGCCGCCACCAGGCGGTCCACGAGGGCCAGGAGCGGTTTCGATGCAGGGACTACCCGCCATGCGACCAGTCATTCCGGAAGCACCAGACGCTGCAGCGGCACGTCCTCAAGGAGCACCTGGGCAAGAAGGCGTTCCCGTGCACGCACGAGGGCTGCGGCGCGTCGTACGACACGGCAAACTCGCTGCGGAGCCACCGTGACAGGGACCACGGCGAGATCCGGTTCTGGTGCGGCGAGTGCTGTGAGCAGGCGGCGCAGAACCCGGGCGACGAGACCAAGAAGCCCGTGGGCTTCACGACGCAGTTCCTGCTCGACGCGCACATGCGCCAGGACCACGTCAACTGCATCTTCTGCGACGTCCGGTTCGCCGGCCACTACCTGCTGGAGCAGCACATGGAGATGTACCATTCGGGCCTGTCCGTCGAGGACCGCAAGACTGTCGAGTGCACGTTCCCCGGCTGTGCCAAGAAGTTCACCAAGAAGGCCAACATGAACAGCCACTACCGCACCGCGCACGAGGGCAAGCGCTTCGTCTGCGGCAAGGTCAACACGTTCGACGTGCCCGGGCTCGAGGACTGGAACTGGACCGAGGAGGGCTGCGGCGAGGGCTTCGTCGACAAGGCAAAGATGTCGCAGCACGTCCTCTACGTGCACCTGGGCAGGCCCCGGCCGGCGACCGGCGCGGGCTCGACCCACACGGCCAAGGCCGCGGGCGCCGGGCGGAGCTTCCTTAATGAGATCTCCGGCGTCGCGAACCACGAGCGCCGCCAGATCGTCTGCACCGTGCCCGAGTGCGCTGTCCGCTTCATCCGGTACGCCGACCTCCACAACCACGTCCAGGCCCAGCACCCCGAGCACGCCGACGAGGTCGGGCTGCTGGGGGCTTCCGAGGTTCCGCGTCTGCAGGACGGGGAGGTCATCTGGGGCGGCGACGGTGGTGCTGAGATGGCTGCGCTCGATGAGCCGCAGTTCACAGACTGGGGACTGGTCGATGACGCTGGCCCTGAGGCCGATGCGCAGGAGACGGCCAACTGGGACCGGGAGGAGGCGAACTTGATGCAGCTGATCGATCTGGACGCTGCCGCCATCGACCCCAATCTTCTCCCGGCTTGATGGGTGGGGTGAATGCAGGACGTTGTCGCGGAGGAATGATATTTGCTTTTTGCTTTCTCGATGGATTTGAGCTTATAGAGATACCCATTTTGATTTGACCAAGGCGCAGTACCGGTCCGGAAAACCGATGTTCATCTACACAAGAGGAGAAAAGTACGTCCGATGACCACAGCAGAATAGCTGCGAAAATATCTTGCGAGGTCAATGAGATACTCACTCATGGTGGAAAGAGTAGTAATTGAAATCGAACTCTTTTGAAGGCACCAAAACAATGCTTTGATTCATGTAATGTTGGTGCAAGTCATACGGTGAAGACATACGGCATAACGTCCTAATTCAGCCCTTTCCCCAGCCCAATTTTGGTATCACTTTATGATAGTAGCCGCAATGATGAGTTCGCCTTGACCGATGTGTGTACCCTGCATTTGGACCATCACTGCCAGAGACCAATTGTAAAGAATATTCCATGCCCCGAAACCAGAACGCACCAAAGCACCAAATGATAAGCACGCCATGAACCAGAATCCCACCGCAGTGCCCATTTCCATCTACCTTTTGCACCATGCAAGCGCACTGATGTTCTTCCATGCAGCTGTCTTTAATCAATGCATTGATCTTCCATCGTTAGCCTTCTTTTGTTCTTTGCAATCTCCCCTGTGTTTCAAAAACCATTTTCTTATTTAGATGTATGACATCCGCGAACCAGCACTGCCCATCAGTGATGACCAGCAATGGCATTGCTCACTCCCAAGAGCACCATGCCCAAGAACGCAAACGCAATGCTCAGGTTCCGATTGTGGTTTAGACTCAAGCTCTCGACAAAGAGCTGCAACGCGACGCTCGCCATGATGCCGGCCGTCGCAGCGAACAGGATCGCGTAGGCGGTGTTGTCGATCCCGACCTCCCCACCCGAGCCAAAGAACCTGAATAGCAACCAGGCTATGCCAGCACCTATGGGCTGGCTGAAGCCGCCCAGAAGACTGGACCAAGCTATTGCTTTCAGGCGCGAGCCCAGGGCCATGTACAGGGGCAGGGCCATGGCAAAACCCTCGGCAATGTTGTGCACGAAGAGGGCCATGAAGACATTGAAGCCGAGTTGAGGGTTGGCGTGGTTGGTGGCGTAGGTGATGAAGCCCTCTGGGAACTTGTGCAGCGCGATAGCGATGACCGTCTGCAGGCCGATGGACAGGAACGCATTGGCTGGAACGTGATGGTGATGAGCCGCACCGTCTTGGGCTTCCAAGTCGGTGCTTGCCTCGGACAGCTGATCGTGGTCGTAGTCGTCGTCATCCGGATGTTGATGGTGGTGGCTGTGGTGGTGATGATGATCATGATTCTCGGTCTCGACCGCTGGCTCACGCGACTGGGTACGACTGGCTCGGTGCAATGGACTGAGAGGTGAGGCGGCCCCTGAATCAACCTCGCTGCCCTCCTCAGATACCCTTTCAAACAGTGGTGCTGTAGGTTGGAAGATGCTTGTATTCATCCGTGATGCGGAGCGTGAGTTCTGTCGTGAGATTGCGGACCTCGAGCTGATGTGCTTGAAACACTCCTGTCCGCAGGGATCACTATAGCCAAAGCAAGGGCCATTGACGTCGCATGTTCTCTTGGTGTCCTTGACGAAGGACATGACACGGTCGCGCATATCAATAAAAGATGGACGACGGGCTACGCTGGCCAGGTCTTGTTGGCGCACGCTGTCAGTGACCGCTGACAGACCATTTTGCTGAGGGTCAGCACGAGGTCGCCCGTTAGCCTGCAATTTGTTTGCAGGGGGGAGAAGCGGCGTGGACTCGGAGACGTGTGCATGACCATGGGAATCGCCGTGGGCGTGGGAATGAGAGTGGCCATTTTCGTGCAGCTTGGTGACGGTCGTTATCCGTCTCCCCTGGGACGACAGCCGCGTCCTGGCCCTACCAATCCGTGACGGCTGGCGACTTGCACCGTGGGCATGGTCATGCTTCGCGTGGTCTTCGTCTTCGTCGGCGTCGTCATGGGTGTGATCGCAATCAACCACATGCGAGGGCATAATGCGATGAAGCAGCCTCGACAGGCCCTGTATTCCCAGGAAGCCGGCGACGAAACAACCCATCATGATTAAGCCGGCATCCATGGAGTCGAACTTGTCCTTGCGCAAGTACTCCTCAGACTCAGGTAGCATACTATGCAGGGCCGAGAATATCTGCGCGAGGGGAAGGGTCAGCTAGGCTGGACAGGCCGATAACATTGCTTGAGACGACCATGATAGGCACATGCAGCTCGGTGGGGTGCTTGACATACCATGACGCCAAAACTCAAGCTGAGTGAGCATGCTAAGAATGAATTGCTATCCTGTATGCGGAAGTCTTGCTTGCCCGGCAGGTAGCGAATCACCAAGTCGACGCATATCACACAGGCGCCCATAACGCAGGCTGTTGAGAGAAGCACTGTTAGTCATGACCTGTCTCCATGTTCCAATCTCGTATTGCGTTTCCTGATCACGGCGCCAGACAATGCACAGCGTTGTGCTAGGAGGGCAGTGGTTGAGACAGGAATGTGGTCACTCACCTATGCCGCTCACGATGCACATGATCCACCCGCGGGTGTCATTGCTCACAGCTGCCACCTCCATGATCGGCTGTCAGAGCCCTACGGCCCTCTGGCTGACACCTCCGTCGTGCTAATTAGATCTGGTGCCTGCAGTAGTTGATGGATACGCATGCAGTGGGTGGGTGAGAGGCACAAAGACAAAGGGCCAGTATGGGCGGGTGTGGTGTTTTGATTCCCAACGACTTGGACCGGCTTGGAGAAGAGCGAATGATTATTGACGGTTTGTTTTCCCGTTGGAAATCGGGCAGCAGGGGTGGTGTAGTGCCACTTGCTGTCGAGTTGGATCTTGGAAGGCGCGTTCCTATCTTCTTGTCGTCTTGTCTGTCTCCAGCTTACTGTCCTGTGTCCTGTGTCCTGTGTCCTGTGTCGTTTGGTGTCCAATTTACCCGGATGCGACTGACACAAAGGGCTTGTAGGGGCGGCACAAAGGTGACGCAGATGGATCGGGGAGCTTCCGCAAAGAACCAAAGATACACGGGGCCTGAGGGGAAAGGATACGATATAGCAGGATGGCGCAAAGTGAAGTAGAGATCTTATTGTGGATCAGAAACAGGTCGACGAAGACGGCCTCGGGGGGGGCGGCTGGGTCAGGTACAGAAGGAAGCAGATGTGTATCGTGGGCAGGCCAGCAGGCTAAAGGCCATGGGCCATTCACTGTCCTGGCGATGTCATACTGAGAAAAGCAGAGGGCGTGGGGCGTGCGAGTGCCAGTGCCGGGTGGGCGCGGGTCGGCCGTCACTCTGGGCCCTGCGACCCAAGGTCGCCCCTGACAAATAGCAAGCCGCCTTTTCTCAGCACAGCACTGTCTGCTGCAGGTGCTGAGCGAGAACCTTGATGGCCGTCGCAGCCCACGCAGCCCACGACTGCCAGGTCAGTGCGCGCCCCCAGGAGATCCCTTGCGACAGGGCCCAAGCCAAGTCATGGGCTGGCTGGCTGGCCTACCCCCGCCCTGCCCTTTCCCTCGTGGGCTATGGAACAAGGCGCAACAGCCGCCGCACGAGGCGGACAGCTGACGATATGAGACTACCGTTATCTAATTTCAGTCTTGTTGTCTCGTCGAGTCCTCAGCTGCACAACTGGATTGTAGTCTACATAGACTACATGCACACAGCCTACACTCTACAGTCGCACTCGATGATGGCGGCCACGGTTGACTGCAGACTGCAGACTGCAGCACGGCTGCACGCAAGAGTCAGCCCCGCCCAGACCTGTGTCCCTTTCATCAGGGTTCTCTCTTGGTGACACTGCTTTATGCCCCATCTCCTACTGCCCTCCCTCTTCTGCAGCGAGCATCGGAAAGACAGAAAGACAGAAAGACAAACAGACCGACAGACGTTCTCGGTCGTGGGGTCTTGGGGCCCTTTTGAATACAGTCAGACAGTCACTCGGTCACAGCAACCCTAGGTCAAGCAGTCGGCCAAGCAGGTCGGTCAAGCAGGTCAAGCGACAGTAGTCACCGACCGGCGGCAGCAATCAGATGAGAGGGACGCACTGCTGGGCTCTGCTAGTACACACCTGCCCAGGTGTGAGTCCCCTTCTCACGCGGCAGATTGACCACTATCTGCATGCACTAACCCGGTATGGCAGTAGGCCTTGACTTTCCCCAAGCTGCATCCCTGCCACGACCCCCACGGTCACGACACGGCGCCCGCGACACGACACGACCCGTGCTGGATTCTGCCATGTGCGTAGCACAGCGCGAAAAAAGGTTGACGAAAATTCTCCAGCCCCGTCCCTTTCAACCCGCCTGTCACCGACCCAACCAAAAGCAACACACGCCCTCAGCTCAGCCTGACCCCACGAGGCTACCTAGGCCCCATCGTTCAGCCGCGTGAACGAGGCCTGTTGCTCGCCTCGTCCTCGCCTGACCTAGTCATCTCCCTCCATCGTCTGGGTGCCCGTATAAATCCCATTCAACGCCCGTCGTCCTCAAGCGACGCCAGCCCGCCACCATGTCTAAAGCCACATTCGCAATAATCGCAGCTGTGAGCGCTGGAACTGGCGCCGCCGTCACCGCAGCTATGTTGCGATCAGACAAGAAAGACTCTCCTCCCAGAACCGTCACCACCACAACCACGACCGTATCCACCGCCGCAACACCCGCCAAGCCTCCCGTGCCAGTCTCAGCACAGCAGGTCTTCTCATCACAACCCACTACCCTCGGCGCTCCAGTCAACCCCGCCGGCCTCTTCGAATATGGCTTTCCCGGCCCCATCTCCGACCTCGCCACCCGCTCCGCCCTCATCTCCTCCTACGACCGCCGCCTTCGCAACCCTCACTGGGTCGTCGAGCACATAACCCCGGCCTCCCTCGCCATGCGCGAGGGCGATCGCAAGCACAGCGTCTTCGCCGAGGACGACTCGGTCCCGGACAAGTTCCGCGCCAAGCTCAAGGATTACTTTCGCTCCGGCTTCGACCGCGGCCACCAGGTGCCCGCCGCCGACTGCAAGTGGAGCCAGCGCGCCATGGACGACACCTTCTACCTGTCCAACATGTGCCCCCAGGTCGGTGAGGGCTTCAACCGCGACTACTGGGCCCACTTCGAGGACTTCTGCCGCCGCCTGACCGACCGCTACCCCAGCGTGCGTATCGTCACGGGCCCGCTGTACCTGCCGCGCCGGGACCCGGCCGACGGCAAGTGGTACGTCAAGTACGAGATGATCGGCAACCCGCCCAACGTCGCCGTGCCCACCCACTTCTACAAAGTCATCTTCGCCGAGGACGGCACCCCCTCCGGCAGCGTGGCCCTTGGAGCCTTCGTCCTGCCCAACGCCCCCATCCCCAACCAGAAGCCCATCACCGACTTCGAGGTGCCACTCGAAGCCGTCGAGCGCGCCAGCGGCCTCGAGTTCGCCGCCAAGCTGCCCGCCTCCCGCAGGAAGCGCCTGTGCGCCGAGCAGACCTGTGCCCTCGTCATCCGGGAGTACGCCGAGAGGCAGAAGGCATTTGGCAAGGAGGGGCCCAAGGCTGTCGCGGCCCCAAGGAGCTAATCAAGGAAACACAAACGAACACGGCGTATTTTTTTTATATTCAAGGGCATAGTGTGTCCAGAGGTGTAAGACTAAGGAATGAAGGGAACATGACCCCCCCTGTGGCTGATGACATGGTTGCATTTTCGAGCGAGGCATTCATCATCTCATTTTCATACTCGTGGCGGCATTGCGTGGGCATACATGCATTTTGGGTGCTCGGATCCCGACTTCTGACCTCGGCAACATAATATCTGCCCAGGTCCTCTCATCTTCGACAAATGCTTCAAGCTGGAGGGAAGAAGGCTTCACAGATTGACGTCGCAAGAGCCATGATATTAGCGCAGACATTTTCAAGGAGGCGCCACACGCTTCTCCGTCAGCTAGGAAGCCAGTCACAACCGTAGATAGGCTTAGATAGTCAATGACAGTCTGTGTCAAACCCCATCGTCCGGTCGAATTATGGTCCAGTTCCTCTCCCAAGCCCAACAGAAGGGAGAAGGATCAAGTCACTGAGGGCATATGAATCATTTGAAGTAGTTCTGGAAGAATGGTATCACAAGTGCTCCATTTACTGTACATGATCACATAGCATTCCCGATTGTACACCGGGGCTAACTCGAGCCCCCAGGTGTCCGAGACGCCGCGGAGTGATGACTCGTTCCATGTGCCATGGTGGCTGTACTCATGCTGGTCTTCCGTATCCTGTGCAACCTCATTCTTTGGCCCTACTTCTGGGCTCTACTAGGAGGTGTCAAGACCGCAACTTGCCCATCTGAGCCTGAATGTAAGCGCGTACGAACCGCTCCAGGCATGATATAGCCATTTTGTTGCGGAAGAACCAGTTTCTGCGTGCCTCGTCCTCCAACCAAGGCCCTCCCTCCATCAATTTCCTCTTCTCGGTCGAAATCGTCGCCCATTCTCAAGACGAACTGGCCATAATCCTTTCAAAGGGAACATTCACCGCTCTTTCCTGCTGTCCTTAAGGCAGTAGCTGGGACGGTCTCTTGTCGCATCCATGGAGCTGAAATGGGTGGCCGAAACGCGAGGCTGAGCAAGACCCAAGTGAGTTGAATCATCATGATAGGCATTATCCTTGCATGGACGGTTGAACGCACTCGGTCAACAAGCGCGATGTGAATGACCAAGCAGAACAAATCTGGTTGCCCGACATTCGAAATTGATTCAGAGCCACCGCCCACGGTTGCCACGACGCTCACCGTATGGTAAATTCCGTGTGCTTTCCAGAATTCCTGTCGAGGCAAACAGCCGTTATCTGAGCGACTGTATACGAGGCAGATTAGTCCCCCTGGTGTGCTCTGTTTGCTCGTTCCACGGATGTTGCCGCTGCTTCCTCGTTCTTTTACCTCCTTAGTGCGCACGAGTATAGTTGCCCCTCTTCTGTTCCATCTTCAGACTCTCCTCCTGACTTGGTAATGGTGCTCGTCTTCTAATCGATGCATTTGCGGAATCAAGGCCGGCGCCTGAGTCTCGCTCTATGCTATAGCCATCCATACCGGGAATCGGTGGAGGTACGAATCCAGGAGGGAGTTGCGAGGTAGGTGGAGGAGGAATCAGGCCCGGGGGCAGTAAGCCAGGGGGTGGAGGCGCCATCGCGCTGCCAGGAGGCGGCGGCAGAGGTATTCCGGCCTTTTTCATCATCTCTGCAATCTGCGCAAGATCGGGTGGGTTGTTCGGGTCCATGCCAGGGAGTGGCGGTGGAGGCACGCCGTTCAGGCCAGGGGGAGGTATCGGGAATGGAAGGTTTGGTGGCGGTCCACCGCCAACACCGGGAATAATCGGTGGAGGGGGAACATAAGATCCACTGCCAGGCAATGGCAAACCGGGAATTCCAATGCCAGGGAAAGCGGACGCTGATTTGAGGGGCATCTTCTGGTCTTCCAGCCCGTCCATCTCGTCCTCGGCCTCTTGAGCTTCCTCCTCCTGTCTCTGTCTTCGGTTCTTTGATCCAACGAACGTTCCATGTGCCATAGCCGCCGCTTCACCAACGTGATATTGGTCTTTCAGGTAATCAACATCGCCAGGTCTCGCTCGCGTCCAGAATCGCGTGAGACGGTCGTTAGAGCCCGATGCTAGAATGTGACCCAGAGGGTGCCAATCCAGTGACCAGATAGCCATATCATGCGCAAAAGGAACCTTGTGAGCTGGGTAGATTGTTTGAGCGGGCGCAGTCTCCTTGTCAGGAGCGTCATAGACGGCAACAGAGGTTGATGTCCCCTCTGGAGTATTTGGCTCGTCCAAGAGATAATGGAAAAGGGATCCGTCTCCGCCGCCGGTGCTGAGAAGATTGGGATGGACAGGGTGCCAGGTGAGCGTGGACACATCTTTGTCGTGTCCCCGGATCAGGCAGATGTCTCGCATCATTCGCAAGTCAAAAATACGTGCAGTCTGGTCTCGGCCCGCAGTCGCCAGGCATAAACCGATAACGCGCTCGAACATGACTTTCGTGACTGTGTTCTTGTGACCATGCAGAGTCGTGAGGCAACGACCATTGCGCGGGTCCCACAGCTTGACCAGATGGTCTTTGGAGCCGGAAACGACGAGGCCCTTGTTGGGATGCCAGTCGCAAGTCTTAGCATCCCATCCGTGGCCAGTCAAAGTCGTATCCTCACGGCCAGCAGCGAAGTCAAAAATCTTCAGAGTCGAATCGTCTGAGGCAGTGATGAACTTGGTGTCGGTAGGGGCGATGGCGAGGTCCCTGATAGCGTCATGGTGACCACGAATGCTCTCGACGTTGTTGAAGTTGGGTTGCCAGTACTTGATAACACCATCATGGTCGGCTGAGATCAGCCAGTCGTCGCTGTGGGAGTACTCGAGGGCGCGGATGGCGGAGTCGTGGGCCTGCATGATGGTCTCGAAATTGAAGGCTGTGCCGTTCCACAAGGTGAATTCTCCACTGCTTGAGGCCGTCAAGAGACGGCGACCCTCTGGTGTCCATCGGACCACATTCACGGGGTGCTTAACCTTGTTGAGAGACTGATGAACCCAGCGACCAGGTATGGAATCTGCCGCGTTAGTGGGTCTGGCGGCTGGCGGCAGCATCTGCAGGATCTAGTCAGCGTGGGTTCAAGAAAGATTGAAGGACGACTGACATCAATCAAGTAGCTAGGGCTTGGGCGCTCAACTTCGCCTCGGTATGAGCCCTTGTACTTTGGCTGGCGATGGCGCATCCAGTGGGTGACAGTCGCGCCATAGTCCGTTACGGGCCCTGCGCATGAAGATAATCAGCAACAATTCGATAAGGTAGACGCGGTAAAAACAATACTGGGCCGGTCCTCCTGGAAAAACTCCATGTAGGTCCTCATTGAGGTGGGAGCCATGATCCAGCTTAATTACCGCGAATGGTGGGATGGGCGCATGTGGAAATGGTGGTTGCGAGGCAGTGTTTTGGCACAAAGAGGTTAGATAGCGAGGGGCATTGAGGTGGTTCCCAGGCCAATTCGACGTCGCTTTTGGGCGCTGAACAAACAATTCAAAAGACGCAAACAGGAACTCAACTCAAACTTACGCCTGCCCTTGGCCTTCATGAAGACATCGTAGCCTCCTTCCTCGCCCCCTCTGGCTCCCTTGTCGAAGTCCCTCCGAGGGGCGTAAGCCATACTGGCTCAGAACCCATGCAGTGTCGGACGTAGACAGGATATTCAAACGGCTGAAACGATGCAGTTTCCAACGTAAAAAACGAAATGAGCAGACAGTCAGTTGAAACGATGAGTTGAGAAGGTGAAGTGTGTCGATGTTGATGCTGGGATGTTGAATGAAAGTGGATCGCTAGAGTCTGTACGGCAAGTAGCCTGGCCTAGCTGTGTACAGAGTAGTCTACGAGTACGACGAGCGAGGAAGTGCACGGGCCATCTTTGCAGGTTGTCTCTGTCTGCCTGTCTGCTCACGACGTCGGCCATTTTCGGCCCGATGTCACCCAGTGGGAAGTGGGAGGAGGAGCCTCTTCTTCAGCAGGCTTACGCTGCACCATCCCTGCCCGCTACCGACTGTGTCCATGGATCGACAACTGGAGGCTCTGCTTGCTGCCATGGAGTGGACCACGTCGACTGAGAGCGGATGGACATGGTTGACCGTGGCTGCTCAGGCTGGGGATGAACACGTTACCCCGGAGAGTACAGCAGGTCGCCATCACAATAACAGACAAAGCTTCATCCTGCCACGTAGAAGGACAGTACCGTGGTTGAGGGCATAGACTATATACTATTCGACTTGCTCTGAGCTGTGTTGCTCGTGGCTGCCAGCATCGGGATATGACGGCATTAGACTGCGACTAAAGCCCATGTCCACTGTTAATTCGCCGTTATGTGCAGACTAGTTAGGACCCAGGTAGGCCTATGTACTTGGGTTGAATCTGTCTACAGCCAGCCAACCAGCACACAACCGCTTTGACTTGACAGGCACATGCTGGTGCAATGCAGAAGGCAGATGCAGATGCAGATGATGCAGGCGTAGACGCAGGTTTTAGTGGTCAATCCATCCTTGAATTGTTGAGCTCTGAAGCTGCATTAGCAGGACAACCCCGAGTCTAAATCCACTGGGCTGCTGCTGCTCCGCCTGTCCGCCCGTACTGCCCCCTTCCGATATGATAATACCGCGGGTGGCACCATTCCAAGCCCGAGGTGCTCGAATATCTGCAGCTTGATTGTGTAGATCTCACTTGGCCCAACATTCCCGCTTCCATTTAATCATCTGCACATCACACATTCGCTGAAGACATCAAACCTCTCGACTCTTCTTCTCCAAGGAGTCGCGACCAGATTTGTATACAGTACAGCGCCCCGTATCTTCTCATCTGCCAATTACCCCTTCAGCGCTCAGACCACGAGCCAGCAGATTAATCTCCAGCACATGCGAGGGGGCCACCAACAGCGGTAGCGAGCAGGGTAACAACAAAGGAAATCACTCTCCGTCGCGACTACACTTAAACGCAGTCAGGCCACAATTCGGTGCTGCGTCGTGCCCAATTGACCTCGACTTGCGACCTGTCGCATATATAGCCGTCTTATCTGCCTGTAGTATCGTCAACGGGGCCAATTGAGGCTCTCATGCCATCGCCATGGATGCAGCGATGTCGAGTGGCGTAGAAGCCACCGCCAGAATCGTCCAACGGGCCACCCCCAAACCTCCAACGGCGCCACCAGGGAGCCACACAGACACCAATGGCAGCTCCAACAACTCAAGAGGGGACACCAGGGAGCTTAAGAAGGCCCTTCTCAGGAAGTATCGCCATACGGTAGCCGTGCATAAGGAGACGAGGCCTTCAACCTTGAGCCACGATGCCACTCAGACGCCGAGCTTTATCGGGTTTAGAAACCTCGGGCTCATCGTCCTCAGTAAGTTGGCGTCTCACCGACCAGCCTGCACCCTGCCGTGAACAGCAACACTGACACGTCCAACAGTCGCGGGCAACTTTCGGTTGTTGATCGAGAACATACAGAAGGTTTGTCCCCCAGTCGTCCTACTCATCCCCAGCCGAGATGGATCTGCCGGCAGACGCTGACGCCGACATAGTACGGGGTGCTCATCTGCATCAGGTGTCATGATTTCCGCAGGCAGGACTACCAGGTTGGCCTCGTGCTCTACACCCTGGTGCCCTGCTGCCTCCTGGTCGCGTACCTGATCGAGCTCTTCGCGGCGTACGAGGCACGCACCTCCCGTCTACGGGCCTTCAACCGTGAGAAGAAGGACGGGAGCTCGTCACCGACCCTGGAGGAGCAGGCTCGCTTCCGGACGACCTGGTACATCATCATGGCCCTGCACTTCGCCAACATCTCCGCCGCTCTGGTCGTGACCTCGCTCGTGGTCTACTACTACGTGAACCACCCACTCATTGGAACCCTAGTCGAGATGCATGCCATCATCGTCTGGCTCAAGACGGCCTCCTACGCGCTGACGAATAGGGACTTCAGGCACGCGTACCTGCACCCCCAGACCGGCGAGCTCGAGGCCATCCCCGAGCTGTACAAGTCGTGCACGTATCCAGAGAACATCACTTTTGGTAATCTGTGTTACTTCTGGTGGGCCCCCACGCTCGTTTATCAGCCCGTCTACCCTCGGACGGACAAGATTCGGTGGTTATTTGTGCTTAAGCGTTCGGCAGAGGTGGTAGCCTTGTGTGTTGCGATGTGGTTACTGAGCGCACAGTACGCAGCCCCTACGCTTCAGAACTCACTGAAGGCGCTAGAAGACTGGGATGTGGCTGCAATGTTGGAGAGGACTCTAAAACTGTCGACCATTTCCCTCGTGATATGGCTGGCGGGTTTTTTCGCCTTGTTTCAATCCTTCCTGAATGCGCTGGCAGAAGTCACGAGATTTGGTGATCGATCATTCTATGACGACTGTGAGTTCATCTTTTATCAAGCGAAGAAGAATCCCGTAAAATGAGATCAGGACACTAACTGCCTCTCAAAAGGGTGGAATAGCGACAGCCTGGGAACGTACTGGCGGACCTGGAACAAGCCGGTGACGAGCTACTTCAGGAGGCACGTCTTCCAGCCGCTCATGGGGAGGGGATGGCCGTACAATTTTGCTGCGATAGTGGTCTTTACGATATCGGCCTTTCTGCATGAACTGGCTGTCGGAATCCCCACTCACAATATCATCGGTCAGTCCAAAACAACTACACTCGTCTTCCCTGCCTCTTTCTTCGTCTTTTACTGCCTTATACAATCTTTCGGCCGCTGACTTTTGACCCCATCACAGGCGTTGCCTTCGTGGGAATGCTGTTTCAGCTTCCTCTTATTGCGCTAACCAGGCAATTCGAGAAGGCTGAGTCGCCTACCAAGAAGATGATCGGAAACTGTATATTCTGGGTCACTTTCACGACATTTGGGCAGCCCTTTGCCGCCCTGTGCTATTTCTATGCTTGGCAGATCAAGTACGGGAGCATCAGCGAGAAGTGGAATCATAACAGGGCATAGACCCTACGCGGTTCTGGCTCTTTCACGCCGTCCTGTAAAAAGCGCCCGGATATGTCAACCTGCATTTGAGTTTGACCATATTCTGAACAGCGTGTGCTTTTAGGCTATATGAATTCGAAAAAAAAAACCAATCACAATGTGCAATCGCGCTTTATTCTGTTCTCAAATATCTGTGATAAAGCTTGTAGGACTGCTCTGGATGGTCACAGATTCGAATCGATCCACATAAACTTTTCAAACAACGGCGAAAGCCATACCTGCTACAACCTGAGCGATTAGATGGAAATATTCAGAAAATCTCCGAGGACTGAAGGAGAGCACGTTAAGAGGTCCCTCGTCAGCCGAAAGCGGGCGAGAGCGAAAAACTTCATTAGTCCCTATCAAACGTCCTACTTATCCACCGCCTGCCAATTTACTTACTCCTTGGATCGGCAATGGCAGCAAGTGCATATAACTCCGCTACCTGGTCATCACAACTGTCCCATGTGTCATGCTCGGCGACGGCATCAAATTTGCCTTTTGTTACAATACTCAATTCATAAAGCTCGTGACTAGTATGATTACATATTGACATATGTGCATTGTATACCTGCCCTCCTTCACCGAGAGGAGCAAGCTATTTCCCTCCTCTGCAGATTTGAGCTTGACGCTGTCCATCTTGAACTGAGGTTGCCCGCAGTCAAGCTCTCTAATCAGTTGCTCATCCCAACCGTTGTCACCCACACTCGAGTCTCCCATCTCAGGGCACGAAAGGAATCTTGGTCCCCGTCTTCTTCTTGTAGTCAACGTACTCGTCGCCGAAGAACTTGACCAAGAAGACCTCCTCGTGCCTGATCCTCGTGGAGAAGAACCGCCACAGCACGGCGGCATACGCAAAGAAGCATAAGACGTTGCCCATGGCCAGCTGCGTCCCCAGGCCCCACCAGAAGAAGCCAAAGTAGCTCGGGTGCCGCAGGGTCCCGTAGATGCCGGTGGTGATGAGGATGTGCTCGCGCTTCTGCGTCTGCTGGACAATGTGGTTGAAGCTGGGCCCAGCCTGGACCATGGCCGCGCTGCGGACGACCTGGCCGACGGCGACGAGGGAGATGCCGAGGAGCATGAGCAGGGGGCCGGCGCCGAAGGGCGCCCACGACCGGCCCGGGAAGAAGACGTTGGTGATGAGGCACTCGACGGACGCGGCCGAGTGGGCGATGGCGTAGGCGGGCCAGTTGGCGGTCAGCAGGAACGAGGAGACGTCGGCCTCGCGGGTGTTGTAGGCGGCCGTGGTCCAGAACTCGAGGAAGTGGAACGTCGCCAGCGAGGCCAGGAAGAAGGGCAGGCGCCACAGCGGGCTGGACGTCACGACGACGACGAAGCCGGTGCCGATGACGCCCACGGCCAGCGCGATGCCCAGGCAAAAGGCGCGCAGGGCGATGCCTGCCAGGCTCTTGGGCTGGCCGGGGAAGTAGGGTTTGTCTGGGCTGTATGCCTCAAAGTGTGACTGAGAGGTCGGGCTGAGGATTGGTAGGGTGTCAGTGTCGGGCGGCAGCACTAGAGTCGGGGGTGGAGAGCGTGAGGTGGCCGAGCTGGAAGAGCACGAGGCCTGTGTGTCAAGCAGGGCGATGTGTGCCAGCGATCGGCGCCTGGCACGGCTGGTGCTGTCCCGGCCAGGGGAGCGAGAAGAACTCTTCTCGCCGCCATCCTCGTGTGGTCTTGGGGATCCTTTCGGCGGAGGTGAGAGAGAAATGGTGGATGTGGACGTGGTGTAGGTCATGTTGGGTGGTGGTGAAGACGAGGGTCAGTTCGCGGCCAGGGGCACATGTAATATGTCGCGTGAGTCCCACGAGGAGGGCAAGGGATAGGCAAGGCGAGGAGCGGAAAGCATGCGGATTATGAGACATGAATGTCTTACCTTTGTCGCCCTCTGGAGTCAGGGCTAGCCATACCCTCATCAAAGACTCACAGCCTGTGAGTGAAGGTGATTCAATGAAATAGAGGGCTCCGTGCGGTTGCTAGGTCGGCCTGGTGGACAAAGAGAGCAAACCAAACGGCCGTGTCGTCGGTCCAGCTTCAATCCGATGGCTAGTACAGGCCCTCTCCGCCCTCCGTGCAGCCCTTGCAGCACGTGCCCTATATGCCACCCGATGCTTGGGCACAATCCAATGTGTCAAAGGTGCCAGAATATTGTTCTCCGTACTTTTGCTTGAGATAAATCCAGGGGTGAATATAGACCGCACAGGGGTGAGCACGCGTCAAACCCGTGTGAGTTAAGCAGATCGCGGATGACATCTGGCCGCAACCGGTCCCGAAGCGCCGGGGTGGGCGCGGTACGGCAGGGATGTGGGAGGGCGGGGGTCAGGTAGGCAGCAACTGTATTAATGTACAGTACCTAGGGACCATATATCAACCCAATTAACAAACGTACACCTATTCTTGGAATACGAGGATACAACCTCGATGCGAGTAGTTGTTCTCTAGAAGCGTCCGGCTGACTGACTGACTCTCTTCTACTAAACATACTCAGCTCTATTATCCAGAACCATGGCAGCACCAAAGGTCGACCCGGTGGAGAATCGTCGCCGTATGGAAGCTGGAGAGCTCTACTACTGCTTCACTCCCGAATTGACGGCAGACAGGAAGCGGGCCAGCCTGGCTTACCGCCGATTCAACAAAGCAGAGGATGTCTCCCGGCGAGAGGGGCTTGAGCTTCTCAAAGAGTACATACATCCACCTTTCCACTTCCGAATTCCCTAATGCCTCTTGCATGCTGATTTGGTGGCGACAGCCTTATCGTCGACAAAACCCCCTTGCCGCCCAGGCATCCCAATATGACCGATGAAGAAGATGAAGCCCAGCTCGATGATTATCCTATGGTATTTCCTCCAATAAAAGTGGATTATGGGTACAACGTCAAGTATGTTTTGAACACGGCCTGCTCACACTGGTTAGTTTGTGCTGCGAGTACTTAAATTGTATGCGGCAGGCTGGAAAAGAACGTCATGATCAACTGCAACAGCACCTTCATCGATACTTGCGAGATTTCCTTTGGGGCACGCACCATGACCGGTCCTAACTGCAGCTTCTTCAGTGGAACTCACCCTCTAGATCCGGTCCTGCGGAACGGCACCCGAGGACCGGAGAGCGGCAAACCCATCAGAATCGGCGAGGACTGCTGGTTCGGAGGGAATTGCATCGTTCTCCCCGGGGTGACTATCGGCAATGGAGTGACGGTTGGTGCCGGTAGTGTTGTGACCAAAGATGTCCCGGCGTACCACTGTGTTGCAGGTAACCCGGCAAGGATCATCAGGAAGATCGAGGTCTCTGGTCTAGAGCCTAGCAAGACCGAGGGCACCGAAGTCCTAGTCGGAGAGGAAGCCTCAGTGGTTTAGACTGCAGTACCGAGAGCAAGCGCTCGTAGCCTTCATAGACCTCCGGAGTAGGAGAAAGAAGATACGACCAACACGAAAACGTTGGCCCAGCCCCAGATAAATGGTATCCACGTCGTCATATACCACCCAGCGGCTCTGTAAATGGCACCGACCCTATTTCCCAACATTGATTCGTCAGCATGTAGCCGTGATAGATTGATACACGACAAGAGTAAATCACTGACATCGCACCAGTGACGCTTCCCGCAACCAACGCCTCAACGGCTGCAATGGCCGAGTAAATGATCGGTACCGTCCACAGATACTTCCAATTTGTCTTTTTCTTGCCAATCTGCACGATGAGTGCGATACCGATAGCAGCCCAGTGGAAGCAGGCGTACATCACGAAGGTCCATATCAACGTGAAGCGCCACATGTCGCCGAGATGGTAGAGGACATAGCGGTCCTCAAGGGGCGGCCAGAAGAGAGACGGCCATCGTGGAGTGTGGTAGTCGGCCGGTGGAAACTGCTCGTCCATGTTCGGACCGGGAATGCTGCTTTCGTTTAGCTTTTTGGTGAAGAATTTGAGTATAGGCAGGTCTCTCACGGTCGGTCCGCCATGGGTTGGTGGTGTACAATCAGCTGATGCGTGCCTGTAGTGGTGATGGACAGGGATGGTCTCCTGTGCCGGTCGCGTTGCTGTTGTGGTACAGTAGGTGAGGTCAGAGCTCCCTGGCCGCTGTGCCGAGGTCCAGCAAGGACGCTCCCCAAGACTCAGGCGCAAGCCGGCCGATCAACTTTCCACTTCCACATGCGATGGCACAACCCATTCCTGCCAACACCGACTCTCTTGATTGTACATTGCTGTGCATATCTTGAATCCAACACTCTGATGCTCTAATCAACGCCAGCAAGATCCCGTCCGCGATGCCGGCCGACCGCCTTCTCAACCAGGTCCTTGGCCTATATCAGACCGTCCACGACGACGCCCAAACAGACCGCATCTTTGGCACCACTCTGTCCCTTCTCACCGAGCTGTCAAATCCTCTCAACTTGTCGCTGCTGACTTCCCAATTTCTCACCGCGCCTGCGATATGGTACCAACAACATGGGCCCGATCCACTGCGAACCACTTGTCTGCGCGTCCTAGGCGTGTACAACACCGCGGCCATCCACGTACATCGCAACGAGCTCGAGAATGAAGACAGGAGGCGCGCTGGACTGCCTATCACTGGGGGCGGCCTGAAGAGCGAGGCGTGGGCTAGAGCGGTGGTCAAGGGAGCCGATGAGAAATCGAGCCGGTGGCAGCACTTACTCGTGCTGGCGGGAATACTGATGGGCTTTGAGGGAAACGAGAGGCACGGCTTGTCTAGGAGCATGGTCGGTACACTGGAGCAAGCCGTTGCCACAGCTGCAAATCTTGCGCTGCGAACACTGTCAAGAGAACCTCCGCTGGCTGCTGCGGCCGTCGTACTCGCACTCAATTACGCCTTTCCCCTCATGTCGGATGGCGCAAGGGCATCAGTGGACTGCGATGCGCTGCTTCCTGTGGCAGTACAAGCCCTGGTTGGAGATCACGGGTACCAAGGTGGCATGTTCCTGGACTCCATCGACCATGATGTCGGGCAGGCGGGCCAGAAGCTAGACTGGCCGGAGGCGTCTATGTCCTTCGCAGCCATCCGCCAGCTCTCCTCGAGGCCATTGGTGGAGACCGCAGGACCGCTCTCGAAATTGATAGCCTTCGCTGTTGAGCATGCGAGAGATCATCGCTTGACTCTGCAGGCCCAGGATGAGCTCGTCAATTTTACGGCCAGGCTGCTTGAGCAATGGCGTCGCATCAAGCTGTCTAGCATCGACCAGGCTGACGAAGGTGCATGTCTAAAGGAAAACAGCTTGGAAGTCACCTGGCCGGCTCTATGGCGCCTACTTACTTCTGTTCTCTTTGCGGTCGTAGCCATTCTGCGGGCCGTGACAGCTAGGAGTCTACTCGATCCTCATTTGAGAAACGATGCAATGGCACCTCTTATCGCGGCGAAAACATTACACATATACAGGAATCTGTATTTCGTTTCGTCACGGGGAAACGACAGTTTCCAAGTCTACGCGTTCTGTTATAACACCTGCATCGACATTCTAGCAAGGTACCGGGAGCCGGCCACGGCATTTCTGAGAGACACAATACCGCCAAATACGGGCACCATACCCACGCATGCCTTGGACAAGGTATTGGACCTCTTTTACCTCAATACGGCGGAACACCTGCCACTTAATCTTACACCAGAGGCTTGTGAGGCCCTAATTATCCAGCCGGCGAGCATCTATCTGTCGCATTCGATGCCACTATCCAGGAGAATGGTCGAGCTCTTTGAAGCGGCGCACTCGGCAACTCTTTCTGTCCTGTCATGCCCCCAGAACGGTCCCATAGCTGTGAAAATGGCACCTTTTTACGCAGAGACACTCCTAGTGGCCTTCCCATCCCACATCTCGCCGCGGCAATTCAGGCTGGCTTTCAGTACCCTTATGCAGATATTGTCTCCGCCATTTCCGGTGTCTGCTACAAATCCAGAACTTGCCGAGACGCTGCTGGAAATGGTTCGCTTCAGAATACCCACGGCTGGTCAAAGTTATCTTGCCCCCGCTCCTGGCCAAGACCAGACGGGACAGGAACCGACATCTGAACAAAGCGCCCTGGTACTCACCTTGATAGATGCCCTGCCCTTCCTACCCTTGCCAATCGTGGAGGATTGGATGACAATCGTCGGCACCACTCTGCATGAGATCCCTGACGCCTCAATGAGGGAGTCCACGAAGCAGAGGCTCTGGGAGGTCCTGGGTTCCGGCGAGATGGATGTTGAGAGGGCGGCAATCGGCGTCGCCTGGTGGGGTACAAAGGGAGGCCGTGAATTAGTTCTCTTCGGTCCGACTCAGCAGAGAGGACAAGACAGCTTCTTGATGAGCGGTGCAATTGTTGATGACAAGGGAGCTAGCAGACTATGATATCCGGAGGCAACCGACCGAATGAACTTCGTTGGCAGGAAGCTTTCAAAGACCTGGCTATGTTACATCGAAGTTTATTCATCGGCCAAGTCCCCGAAAGAGCCTCAACCCTCTTAATTAGCTTTCCGGTCCCAAATAGAGGCCTCACATGCCGGGTTGCCATATGTTGGTGGCTCTGCGTCATTGGACAAACCGGGGGGCAAGCGACTCGGTGCAATATCTTAATCGGGTGGCTTCCAGCCAGCTTGGAGCTGAACCGCACCCTATCTCCAATTCAGGTCCAGGTGCGCGGTCGCGTCACAGTCACTCTAGCTCTACATACAAAACCGTCATTCCTAAACAGCAACAAAGGCGCCGTTGACGAAATCAGGTACTGGAGGCGGGGTAAACTGCTAGTAGACGAAATCGTTACACACACGACGCCAACAACGCGCCACTAGCGCTGGTGATGGAGGCCGCTCCAGAGCTGTGACAGAAACTTGGCAAGGCCGTAGCTTGAGCAGGGGTAGCTAGCTCGCCCGGCCTCATCTGAGCTGAGCTGCCCCGCGATGGGAGAGACCCCAAGCCGCTCGCAGAATATGCTCAATGCATCATCTCGATCGGTCATGTTGCGAATGACGCCATGTCTCCTTCCCCCCTTCGTGTGGCTGTTACGAAACATTGTGTCGCGATGAGATGCTCTTAGGTCTTGGGGCCAGGCCAATTGCGTCCCTCCAGCTTGCCAAACGCGATGTGACTTGGAAGAGCTCCAGGGCCACATCAGGTTGACGTCGACTGCCCAGTCCTGTTTTGTCTGATTCTAGACCTGCTTTGTACATGTGTACATGATGGAATGAGCCTGAGATCCAAATCAGGATTCAGACTTGGGAACAATCGGGTGACCGGTCAGCTACCAAATCAAACGGCGGCCTCCTCCTCGTGGCTCTGGTGCCAGACTATTGTCGGCAGGGTAGGTCTAGACATGGACTGGAGCTCCCTCGCCAGCTTTCCCTGGTTTCAGCCGTCACTCGTAGCGCTCTACTTGCTCGGTGACGTAGGGAATTGATATCCATCCTCCCGTGCTCAGTGACATGGAGGAACAAGTCTTTGGCCATCTATATAAGCCCGAACCCCTTCGGCTCAGACCTCGAGGTCTCAAAGCGCCTTGAACTTCAGTTTACATTCAGGTCTTCTACCACTAGCAAAAATACACAAACACAACTCTCATCATGTCTTACAACGACAACGACAACGTGAGGACCTCTTTCACCCTTCATTCGTACATACTTCTGTAGTACGCGTGCTAACCTGTGAAAAAGTCCAACTACGGCGGCAACGACTCGGGCCTCGTAAGAGCTCACCCTCTCCTACTTCTCACCCTCCATTCACATGACATGGTCTGACAAACTGGAGCAGGGCTCTGAGCGCCGAGGACAAGATTCTTACGGCAGCGGCAACAACGACTCCTCCTACGGAGACAGCCAGCGCACCGGTGGCACGTACGGCGGCGACTCCCTCACCTCCGGGGGGAGGAATGACAGCGGCCTCGGCGGTTCCACCGGGTCCGACTCGTACGGAACCGGACGCAACACCGGCTCTGACTCCTACGGCTCAGGTGGAGACGGCCTGGGCAGCTCTGGGCGCACCGGCGGGCTGGGCTCCGACTCGTACGGCTCGGGTGGTAACAACGACACCTTTGGCTCGTCTGGCCGTAACACCGACAGTGGCTTTGGCTCCAGCCGCAGGGACGATGACAACCTAGGCAGCTCCGGTCGCACTGGAGGCATCGGGTCTGACTCTTATGGCTCAGGCGGAGACACCCTTGGCAGCTCCGGCCGTACTGGTGGCCTCGGTTCCGACTCTTACGGTTCGGGCGGTAACACCGACAGCGGTTTCGGCTCCAGCCGCCGGGACGACGACAACCTCGGCAGCTCGGGCCGCACTGGAGGCATCGGGTCTGACTCTTATGGCTCGGGCGGAGATACCCTTGGCAGCTCCGGCCGCACCGGCGGCCTGGGTTCCGACTCTTACGGCTCTGGACGTGATGATACACTCGGCTCATCCGGCCGCAACACCGACAGCGGGTTTGGAGGCAGCTCGGACACCACTGGCCTGGGCTCCTCCGACACATACGGCAGCAGCGGGAACCAGAGCACATCTCACGGGCGCGACAATGACGAGTACGGCAGCGGCGGCAGCAGCGGCAAGAAGGACTCTACATTTGGAAAGATCCTGGAGAAGGCTGGTGATGTCCTGAACAACGAGAAGCTGGAGAACAAGGGACGCGAGAAGCGGGAGGGTGCTTCAAACGATTATTAGATAGTGTTTGCCGCACGGTTGTCTTGACATCAAGCAGGCCGTGAAGCGACGTAATATTTCCTGAATAATTAATGACTCTTATGTAATGTCTGCGATCCGTTTGCTCTAACTTCTTTTATGTCGGGAGGTGAATGCATAAAAATTCTATGCCTCCTTTACTGTCAGCTACCAGTAGACATGTCGGGCAGTTGGTGAGGCGTATGTACGTCATGAGACGTTGATCGGCACGCCAGGTTCCAACTCACTTACTCGGCTTACCCCATTGAGATGGTTACTCTCATTTTAAATAATTCAGGTTAACAGTCGTGTAGATGCATTGGGAAGGAGAATTTTGGCTATAGCTGCTGAAGGGGCGGTGTATCCTAATGCACCAATCTGCTTACTAACAAGATGTATAGGAAAGCATTGGGAACCACATCACAACACATGTAGAGTACCTGTTGATTGTTATAACGGCTTTGATACATGCTCTATTCGCGAATGTTGTTTAGATAAAGTGTTTAGTTACTCAGGACAACATCAAAGGCATAGGCAGAAATAAAGCCGGAGAGGCAACATGCCAGCACCTATAGTGGGGTGGCTGAGGACTAGGAAGACAACATAATACCTGGTTGCATTATTTCTGCTGCAATGGGTTATATGTGAGTCTCTGTAGTAACACTCTCTTAATCCTGTGGCCTATACTATTGCTTAGGTGCCATGTCTGTGGCACCACATATGAGCCACACCACCAAGCTCAGATCATCACACCACAACAACACACTTTCAGCAACCAAAATAGATTCAAAATGAGAATCAAAAGAGTCGACCATGACGCGAGTCGAACGCGCAATCTTCAGAGAGGATGATTTCAACCGAAATCTGACGCCTTAGCCATTAGGCCACACGGCCGATGTTGAAAACAGGGGTTTGTGGGGACATCACATAACTGACTCGGCGACGGGGCTCACTAGCGAAAAGTCTAAGCGAAACGGCTCCGAGATGCGGGCCAGCCGGCACTTACAGCTTCTGGGATGGCCCTGCTACTCAAAAGTAAGTACCGTACTGTATGAAAAGAGATCAGAGAACAGACAATATATATATCACATCACCTATCAGGCTGTCCCATGACAAACAGGGTCTGTTAAAAGGTTATTCCACAGGAAGTTGTTCTACAGGGGGTTGTCCTATAGAAGTCTTTCGCAAGGGACGTTATCCCACAGGAGATGATCCTCAGGTTACCCTGTGAGAAATAATCCCAAAGAACGTGTCCCACAGGAAGTTACTCCACAAAACGTTATCCCACAGGAGGTTATACCACAGGAGGTTATACCATAGGAGGTTATCCCACAGAAGGTTATCCCACAGGACGTTGACCTGAAGGAGAAATATGCGGGTTGGTCAAGTCATACCGGACATTCGACACCTTTTCGAGCCGTAGACAGTCATGCTCCGAATCTGTATTCCCTAATATGGCATCTGTGATGATGCCATCGGGAAGATTCACCTTGGAAGACGAAGGAACAGGTATAATAGGAATGCCAGCGTGCCGGATCCCGGTGGGCGGAGTTCCTCGCATGCAAGCGTCCATCCGGATGACGGGCCGGGCTAACACCTCCTCTAGAGACCACTACGACATGATCTTGCGCGCAGCGTGGTAGCAAAGATTTCTTGCACAGATCATTTGACAGATTTCCGGAAGTGATGAGGTGCTACCGGCGGTACCTGGTCACATACGCAGTCACCAACCGTGCTGCCACCGGCGGTGATCTGATTGGTGGCACTCTTGCATCTCGACCTTCCTTTACTTTTAACGCGGCACGGAATCACAATCGACCACCATTTTGAGACAGTCAACAACAGGCCATCAACGCTGCCGAACATATCGAAGCGCCACGTGCGATCGCCCATTACTAAACACAATCGAGCTTGAAGTCTGCACATGGTTGTTACCCGCGTGGCAAGGCGCAAACGGTCGGCTTGCAGGACGCTTCTTTGGACGACACGTTGTGGCATCCGTGATCCGTCCAAGTGCCGAGCTTTATCCTCCTTGAGTCCATCCAGGGATGATCGACCCGGCCGTCCGTCCTTGGCTCTCGACTTCCACGAACACGGTCCAACGGCGGCGACTTTCCCTGGTCCCTGGGCGATGTGAAATGGGCATCAAGTGATTCGACCAGAAGCGCGCTCAGCACATGACATGTTCCTGATTCATCAAAGTACAACGCTGAAGCTTGGATGACCAATGTGGGCCCTTACCGCGTTTGGCAATATCGCGGACCATATGTCCGCGACAAAAGAAGGTGATGAAGGGGTGACGGGCGGTCTCGGCGGTCGACGACTTCAGCCGGTTGCCAAGCCTCCATCCCTGGCCCTGGCCACCAACCTATCTGCCACAGTAGGCGTATCTCAGTCTATCTCTCTGCATAGTACCTGCGTATGAGCTTCACGACGCCACATCCCCCTGCACCAACCTCATCTATGTCCACGAACCAAAGGTCAGGCCCTCCGCATGCTGGGCACGCGCGTCACAGACCATAATGAGCATTAAAAAAGTAAAATTTGACCAACAGTGGACAGCGGATCCAGGGCCGCCTGCCGGTCTCAACGCATGACAGGTGCGGTGGCTCGACGCGCTTGAGCTGCCACTCATATCAACTCTCGCCTGCCCTCAGCCGTGGCGACAATGAGGGCCCAGAACCACGGAACGAGAGCTTTCAAGCCTCGGCAGGCGGCTGTATGGCTTGTTGCCTCCGTGGGATTTAATATATTTCATGTCCTTTTTCTCCTAGCGCCCTGAGGTTGCCTGTGTCATGCGTTACATCTCATATTGATTTTACGCACAAATTGAGATGCGGACGGGGGCGTCCGTCGTACCAGCCTACCGGGCAAATTCCCATCTCGTAGGCAACCCCCCATCGGTTCATCCGTATGCACCGGATGGGGCCTAGAGGTGCATCTATGAGTGGAATCCATGGTTTACATGCTTCTTGGTCTGGTCAGGGGCCAGATATCCGGGGGTGCTTATCAGAGCAGGGCAATTCATATTAAATCTCCATGCCGGCAGCAAACCACCACAATACGTAGAAGACTCTCTTCAACTCGTGGCGATATTGTCAAAGAGGGCCTGGCGTCCGACTCTTGCATTCACAGGCACCATGGGGATCTTCAGTCGTCTTTCCCTCTTGGCCCTGGCCGCAGTGCCATGTAAGTGATTGTCCCGCAACTGGTGGCTTGCCTTCAGGAAATGCTGATTTCAGACAGTTCTTGAGACAGCATGGGCACAGTCGGCGACTGCGGTTGTATACACGGACCCAGCAACGGGAATAGTCTTCGATACGTGGACGGTCCCTCAGGCGTCCACGAACGGCACATGGACCTTCGGTACCGCCCTCCCTTCTGATGCACTCACGAAGGATGCTACAGAGTTCATTGGTTACCTAGTATGTGCATCCCAGGCGAGACGTTCTGAGTTTGTTTCCTAACGCGAATCGTTCACAGCAATGTGCTTCCCCAAATCCGACCGTCCAAGGATGGTGTGGTGTATCCTTTGGAGGCTCCATGACGAACTCCTTGCTGCTTACCGTGTGGCCCAACAGCGGCCAGATATTGACCTCGTTCCGCTATGCGACAGGCTACGTGATGCCTGATGTCTACACTGGAAATGCTACGTTGACGCAGATATCGTCCACCATCAACTCTACGCACTACACTTTGATCTTCCGCTGCCAGAACTGTCTAGCATGGGATCAAGGTGGTGCGACCGGCAGCGTCTCTACCAGCTCCAAGTTCTGGCTCCTCGGATGGGCGCAGGCCAACCCAGCTCCCGGCAACCCAACGTGCCCCAACCAGATCACGCTCGCACAGCATGACAATGGACAGAGTCTTTTCCCTGCCACCTTGGACACCAACGCTGCCAATCCGTCGTATACCTCCTGGGCTGCTCTAGCCACCAAGACTGTGACTGGCAGCTGTGGAGGCACCACTACTACTGCGACAACCACATCCGTGCCAACGGCGACGACTGTCCCTGGCGTTCCCGTTCCGACGGCAACATACGACTACATCGTTGTTGGAGCCGGAGCCGGCGGCATTCCCATCGCGGACAAGCTCAGCGAATCCGGCAAGAGCGTCCTCCTCATCGAAAAGGGCCCGCCATCCTCAGGCCGGTGGGGTGGTACCATGAAGCCATCGTGGCTCAGCAGCACCAACTTGACGCGCTTCGACGTTCCAGGTCTTTGCAACGAGATCTGGGTCGACTCGGCTGGCATTGCCTGCTCGGACACGGACCAGATGGCCGGCTGCATCCTCGGTGGCGGTACAGCTATCAACGCCGGCCTTTGGTGGAAGCCTAATACGATTGACTGGGACTACAACTTCCCTACTGGTTGGAAGTCAACAGATATGACCGCGGCAACCAACCGAGTCTTCTCGAGGATCCCAGGGACAGACCATCCTTCGATGGACGGGCAACTATACCTGCAGCAGGGCTTCGACGTGATTTCGAGCGGACTGAAGTCGGCAGGGTGGGCTTCTGTCACAGCGAACAACGTGCCGAATCAGAAGAACCGCACCTATGCGCACACACCTTACATGTTCAGCAATGGCGAGCGAGGTGGCCCCATGGCGACATATCTGGTGACCGCCAACGCCAGGAAGAACTTCAAGCTCTGGACAGGGACATCAGTCAAGCGGGTTATCCGTTCCGGCGGTCACATCACCGGCATTGAAGTCGAGCCATTCCTCAGCGGCGGCTATGCTGGTGTCGTCAACATCACGAGCATCACAGGTCGCGTTATCCTGTCCGCAGGCACGTTCGGCAGTGCGAAGCTGCTCATGAGAAGCGGCATCGGCCCTGCCGACCAGCTCGCCGTGGTGCAGGAGTCAGTCGACGGCCCGACCATGGTTGGCAACCAGTCGTGGATCAACCTCCCCGTCGGCTACAACCTCGAGGACCACACCAACACGGACACCGTCGTCGAGCACCCGAACGTGACGTTTTATGACTTCTACGAAGCGTTTGACACGCCGATCGCGAGCGACAAGGACTCGTACCTCAACAAGCGATCAGGCATCCTGGCCCAGGCGGCACCAAACATCGGCCCCATGTTCTGGGACGAGATCGTCGGCGCCGACGGCATCACGCGGCAGCTGCAGTGGACGGCGCGCGTGGAGGGCAGCGACGGCACGCCCAACGGCAAGGCCATGACCATGTCTCAGTACCTGGGCCGGGGCGCGGTGTCGAGGGGCCGGACGACCATCACGTCGGGGCTGAGCATGGTGGTGTCGACGTTGCCGTACCTGAACGACAAGAACGACGTGGCCGCCGTGATCCAGGGCATCAAGAACCTGCAGGCGGCGCTCAAGTCCGTCTCCAACCTGACGTGGACGTACCCGGACCCTAGCACCAGCGTCGAGGACTTTGTCAACAACATGGTCGTGTCGTACAGCAACCGGCGGTCGAACCACTGGATCGGCAGCGCCAAGCTCGGGACTGACGACGGCCGGAACGGCGGCACGGCCGTCGTCGACGTCAACACCAAGGTCTACGGCACCGACAACCTCTTTGTCGTGGACGCGAGTATCTTCCCGGGCCACGTCACCACCAACCCGTCCGCGTACATCGTGACGGCGGCGGAGAAGGCATCGGAGAAGATCATTGCCCTGGCCGCGAACAAGGCACAGGCCAGGTACGCGCAGTGCGGTGGGCAGCAGTGGACGGGCAGCTTTACCTGCGCGGCACCATACACCTGCCAGTGGCAGAATGCTTATTACTCCCAGGTACGTGTCACCTCTCAAAAATCCCTTCCTCGAACTTCAATAGTTGAGCTAACAATTGGACCATAGTGCCTTTGAGACTGAACTGGGGTAAAGCAAGATATCGTGGCCTTTGTTGCGTTCTATCTGTATATATTCATCACCAGAATACATAACTTCGCGTACATACTTTCTAGATACACCCTGAACTCCCAGTTCCCTACATGATTCTCGCTGAACGTGTTTCGTTCTTATGATGGCCCTAAGCCTTCGATTTACTGACGAGATTCGAACCTCTCCTGACCGCGCAGTTCAACCAAGGTATACCATGGAAATCATAGACTTCTGCCAAGGTTACACGTTATTTCTTTCCTTGTTTGGCTCTGTCTGCATATATGTTTAGTAATATGTCAGTGAAAAATATTGGTGACTATTACGGGATGGATCTCAGAGCAGTCATATTACTGTTGTCCTCTAGAATTGGCTGTAGACCTTGTAACTTGCCGTAGCAGCCAATCACATTACACGCTGCCTCAGTTCCCACAGACGAGACCCATCGCGTCCTCATGGAGATCTGACAATGACCATACCATCCTGTGCAGTTTCGGCAGACCGCGGGCCCTCATATTATTTGATCAATGCTATACACTCCTTTTTGGATTTCAGGCGGGCAACACAGGCTCAGGAGCCTGTTGCTCCCAGACCTGTCGGCTCTTTCGCGCCGGACCAGGCCAAAAGGCAGCACCAAAAAAGCTTAGCCTGGGTAGAGCAAGACTTGTGCCATATACATCACCATCATTTGTTCGTAACCATTTGTGTTGTGGTTCTCCCCTGTGAAGAGCTCACTGTGGCGGACAAGATTACGTAGAACTCTGGCACCAGAAGACAAAGACCTCTCGAGCTGCTGTGGAGGCCAACTGAAAATGACACGGTCCACAAATTATACAGTAAGATGACACACAGTGGCAAAGAAATAATTACTATCCAGCCCAAGTTTGGAGTAACGAAGTGTATGCACCGCACTTCTCGCGGAAATACTAAGCAGGTATAGAAGAACATCAATCCCTAAGCCCCCAAACGCCGTCTGCAAAGCATCCTTGCTGAACCATCCTATAAACTCTGGCGTCTTTTCTTGTTGTGACCATTGGGAAGGATATACATTTCAACTACCTAGGATGGTCTTCCTGGGAAGGGAACTGAGGGCAAAGTGCCCAGAATATCGGACTGATGCGAGCCCTCATGTATCTCTAATGCTATGCCTCACTTCTCGTCCTCCGGCTCCGTATCTGTATTAGTCGCGCTTGTGTCGTCCTCCTCTTCCTCCGTACCGCTCTCCTCATCAGAGTCGTCATCTTCAGGCTTCTTCTTCCGAGGTGGCGGTGGTGCGCCGCCCTTGGCCGCGTTCATTATGCCAGCGAGAGAATCTATTCACTTTGTTAGATGTCGTATTTTCAAATGGACACACTGGGTTTCCCCAGATGGGGAAGACTTACCCTCTTCCGGCTCACTGATATCGTCCTCAGCCGCCATGGCCGCAGCCTTGCTCGCCTCTTCCACTACGAGAGTCACCTCCATCTTGGTGTCAAAGCCCACGTAGCTATCACATACCACGTGCATGACGAACGTGTAGTGACCCGCCTGTGGTGGCGCTGCAAACTGTGCCTTGAGAGTGACCATGTTGAACGTGGGCGTCTTTCCGTCCTCCTCGAATACGGGAGCGTCAAATTGCGTGAAAGTGAAGGGAGGCACCGCCATCTTCCCTTGCTTCGAGTCTGAGAGGAAGACATGCCACCGAGGAGAGTGCTCGCGACCAAAGTACGGTGAGAATGCCAGAGATGGCAGAATTGGCTTGTCCTCACCTGCAACAGGCACTGGTTTTCCGTCGGCTCCCTTGATGGTCCTCTTCTTCTTCCCAAGAATAGCATCCAGGTCATCTTCCGCCGGGTCGACATCGATAAGATCAAGCTCATTAACCTCGGGAACATTCTCAGAGCCGGGAGGGATGATGCGGCCCTTCACAACCAGGGTGACAAGAGAAGATGGAATGATGAAGCGCTCGCCGGTGACCTTGAAGAAAGCCTTTGCGACACGTAGATAGGGTAGTTGCTTGGCGACGCCGACTGCAGACTTGTATTGCTCCTCTGTGAGAAGGCCCTTGCCCACCGAAAGTTCTCTTCGCTTCGAATCTGGTTGGTCCATGAACTTTTGCAGGGTTGTAGGCACCTTCGAGTCGCCATCCACGGCCTTGGCGACAGCGGGCGTGAAATAAGGCAGTTGCAGGAGAGGAGAGGCCACAGGCGACAGGGCTTGGATGAGCCGTTGGCTTGCGTGGAAGGAGGCAAGAATTGGGGCAGTGAATCCGAATGCTATCGCGATCGCCGTGTATGACTTGACGAGCGACTCGGCAATGGGCGCAACCTCAAACTTTTGCTTCTCCAAAGTAGCGTCATCCAACTCGATGCGGCCCAGGAAAGCCCACAGCAGTGCCAACGTCTTCCGCCGTACTCCATTGTCAAGGTCCTCCAGCGTCTCCTTCTCCTTGGGTGAGAGGCCGGCCGCAGAGATTTGTCCTTCGCCTGAGGCCAGGATGCGCGATTCAATCTTCGAGAGTCCAGTGTCGGCCTTGTCCCCCTTGAGAACAGTAGTGAATTCCTTTCCAGTGCTCAGCGCAGTGATGACGCCACCAACGTCGACGTCGTTCTTGTACTCCTTGAACAGGCTGTTGGCGCTCTCCATGAGGATACCCTCCTTGGATCGCCGTTGAGTGCCGTACCACCAGGATCCAACGTAGTAAGGAAGCATGACGCCGAACAGTAAGAAGTAGACCAACACGACATACTTGCCGTTGCCTTCCGTCACCATCAGCTTTGGCAGGGCAATACCGATGCTCATGCTCTGCCTTCCGTCCGGGTGGCCATACTGGATATAGTTGTTGCGCACCTCCTCGTCCGTCAGCGCCTGGTATGCCTTGGAGATTTCGACGTAAGCATCGTTCAGTGACTCAATTGTCTCGTTCTTGGCCGGGTCGGGCTTGATCTTGTCGGGGTGGAACTTCAGGGACAGTTTCTTGTAGGTGGACTTGATCATTTTCTCGGTAGCGGACTATAGACGTGGTTAGTTGTCATGGGGGACCCTAAAGGAGCAAATTCATGCCGAGCCAATGCTCACCTCAGAGATTCCCAGAATATCATACGGATTCCAAACTCTCTGCACTGCAGGCGTTTCGACAAAGTGGATGAGGTACAAGGTGTACGCCATTACGGCCCACCCCAAAAGCACAAATACCGTCAGGCCCACGCGCCTGCTTTGCCTCCGATCCTTGGCCCGCTGTGCAGCGACGAGGTCGGCATGTTTGGGCTTGTAGTCTGTTTGGACCCTGGGGAACAGCTTCGAAGGATCATTTATAGATCCCTTGAGGAGAAAATATGTGGCTGGAACAGTTGTGATGGCCGTGACCGTGAACGCAAAGAACGGCCAGAGGGACCCATTTTCGTCGTAACTGTAATCTGAACTCATCGCGACGTCGAGGGCATGTGGTTAAAGAGCTGGTTTTGCGCCGGTGAGGTGAGGACGAAACGAGAGTTCGCGAAAGAGGTCCGGAGCGGCTGGTGGACAGCGGCGGGGGGATGAAAGGAATGGAGTTGTGAACGGCACAAGAAAGACACCACAGACTGGTGAAAGGAACAGACGTAAGATAACAGGTGAAAGGAAAGCGACACGGCGTCTGCGGCCTGATGTGTTGTCGCTGATGAGTGTGGACGAGGTGTAGTAAGAGGGCGGGAGTTCGATGTGAAGCTTGCGAGCGACGAGGAAATGGTGTCCTACAAAAAGAGAGCAGGGATGTTGGCAGTGATGCCGCTTAGAGGCCGCGCTAAAATGCTAAGGCCACCTTGTGCAAAGCGGACCTTTGGCTCAGCTCTGGGGGCAAACAAAGTAGCCCCACCGACTCAAGGAACCCTGACTATATAGTCTAATATGACCCAACTTATAATTTTGATCCAATAAGTAGATATGTATGTTCGAGAATATTCATCGAGAAAGCCATACCCAGACCAAGCTAGGATGGGGATTTTATCCCACCACCACTATTATTTCAACCCATGATTATATTCTAGATTATCAATCACGGAAACCCATGCCTGACCAAGCTAAGGGAAGGTCATCCCAATGTCACGACTCCATGCGCCCGTGGCAGTTTGTCCCACTGTCAAGACTCGATGTGCACACATCAGGTTACCCCGCGGAGCTGCACAAGCGTTTGAACACGATCCGGCATTGCGCCTAGCGAGAACTACCTTGTCTATCTGTATATAGTTTGTCCGTACACACATAGTAAAACAGGTTCATGATTAGATGGGGGCGTTATGGCACAAGGCATGTGTTCGCCTTTATCCATCAGTCCCTCCCACTCCTTTTTCCAACGCCCGGGCACCGTGAGCGATGCGCAAATGGAATTAGCAAGGCCATCTATCCCAGGTTCCGACCCACTGTGCTCAGATTTGTCCGGCAACATGCCTTGGTCTTCGTCTCTCTATCGTCGTGTGAAAATCCCTGTCGTCATAATGCACATGTATGCCATGCCCGCGACTACCACCAGCAATCCCACAACCTGCAGAGGAAGAAGAACGATGGCCGCAAGGAACACGACACCAACCTGGCGCATCTGTTCCAGTCGCTTGTCATGTGCAGCAGCAGAGGCCTCGGCTTCGGCCTGCCACCATGATGCCTTTTCATACCCACTATCCGGCCCTGCCTGCGTGTCGTCCTCGGAGTAGTCTCCATTGCTCAAAGACTCGTTTTCGTCGTCTTCCTCGTCCGATTGTCAGGAGAACTGGAATCCGCCAGGGAAACCACGTGCTCGGCCGCCGCTGCCGCCGTTGGCGAAGTGGAAGCCGCCGCCTCCAGGGAACCCGCCACCCCCGAAGCCTCCGCCGCCACCACCAAAGCCACCTTGCTGGCCCATCATGCTGAAGAGAATGTCCGGGTCGATGCCCATACCGCCGGCGCCGCCACCGCCGCCGAACATATCGGACATGTCCAGGTCGTCACCAGCATCGTACCGAGCTCGCTTTCTGCAGCACTGTTAGCATCAAGTAACCAGCATCGAAGGGTTCCTGTTAATGACTTACTGAGGATCGCTCAAGGTCTCATAGGCTTCGCTGATGTCCTTGAACTTCGCCTCTGCCTCTTCATTGCCTGGGTTCTTGTCTGGGTGGTACTGAATGGCCAGCTTTCGGTAGGCCTTCTTGATTTGGTTGTCGTCAGCATCCTTGGACACACCCAGAATCTTGTAATGATCCTTGCGTTGGCTCTTCTTGAGTTCGATCTCGGCCTTCCGTGCCTCCTTCTGAATGGAAGGGTCTGAGGGATCAGCCTCTGCAAGGGCCTTCCATTCCCGCACCGCGTCCTCCCATTTCTCAGCGCCACCCAAAGCATTTGCTTTGGTCTTACGGGCTTTGGTGTAGCTAGGATCCAGACTCAGAGCCTTGTCACAGTCTGCGATTGCGTCGTCGTACTTCTTGAGCTGCTGGTAACACAGGGCGCGGTTCTGCAGGATTTTGGCGTTGGTCGCCTTGTTCGCAGGGTCCACCTCAAGAGCCATGGTGTACTTGTCAATCGCGGCTTGCCATTGACGACCCTTGTACGCAGCGTTTCCATCCTCTTTCGCCTTGTGCAGATTCCTGACGATCTTGAGCCATTTGATGGCGTCTCGGAAGTCAGGATCGCAGCTGATGGCCATTTGGAGGACTTTGATAGCCTTGTCATTGTCTCCTTGCCCGTACAGCCCACGAGCTCGCAGAACTAGGGCCTCGGGATCTTGGCTGTTGTTCCTCAGCAAGTTAGTAGCAACATTCTGAGCCTCCCCGAGTGAGTTGACACCGCCCATCTTAAGGTAAGCTTCTCCTCGCATCAGCTGCCACTTGCGCGGCTTCCGAGCCCCAGGGCCCAGCAGCCTCTCGGCCATGTCAAGGGCATGGAGTACTAAAGACGGACCCTTGCCCTCTTCTAACCCTTGCTGGGCGGATTGTATATATTGCAGCATCTCCTTTGCCTGCGCCATGTCCTTAGCAGACGGGGGTGGCCGGATGCGCTGGAAGGTAACCATTGCTTCGTCTGGTTGTCCCAAGTTGGTATAGATTCGGGCTAGACGGAGCAAGATCTTGGGGTTGTTGAAGTCCAGGTCAACAGCTCGCTTGCAGTCCTCAAGAGCGGATTCATATCTGCTGTCAGCCATGTACGCGGCAGCCCGATTGCCCAGGTACGTTGGTGAGTCCGGTTGCAGTTCCACGGCTGGATTTTAATTCTTTGTTAGTACACTGAGGCGTCTCAAAATACCCGGAGATGATCCAACGAACCTTTGGAGTACTCCTCAATGGCCCGCCTGTAGTTCCTCTCCTTGAAAAACTTGTTGCCCAAGTTCTTGAAAACTTCAGCCTCATCCGCCGGGGTGGGCGGGGGGCTGTTGGGATCGGTCGTGTGCGGGGGAGGAGCAGGTGCATCCTCTTTCTTGGGAGAAGACGACCCATTGGTAGCAGGAGGAGTCTGCTCGCCGCTCTGCTCGGCTGCAGGCGGTGATTCTTGCCGTGGAGGAGAGGACGGGGTCGGGGCGCTACTAGGAGGATCAATGTCCATCCTGTCGACCGACTCGCGTGCACTCATGGCTGACAGCCTCGAGAGCCTCTTGATCTCCTCTGGTGGGAGATTGAGAGGATGTGTGTTGGTGTCGGCCTTCTTCTTCCGGTTTAAAGAAGAGGACTTGCCCAGGTCGGACGAGGCTCTGGAAAAGTGCCGGGAACTGCTGGGGCGGTGTTTCGCCTCGCCGGAGGGACTGGTAGGCGTCGCCGGCGAAGCGGGTCGGGCGGACCTTTTGGTGGGCGACGACGATGCGGACTTGGAGGGTGACTTTGTGGGCGAGGATGAGTCGGAATGGAAGTAATCTGCGTCCAGGACGTGGTCGTCGTGGTCGTCAGGGTGGGGTTTCTTGGTTGACTTCTTCCCGAAGAACTTCATTGAATGAGCCAAGCAGGAAAGATAAGCCGAGCTCTATGACTTTTTTCTGGCTGACGGCTCCCTAGTTCCTGGTCCTGCGTACTGGGACAGTACTAGTGCAGGTCACAGCGGCGAGGGAAAAAAAAAGTTCTGGATTGGGGTGTCCCGTCCTGTCCTGTCCTGCCGCTGCCGCAAGAGACTATGCCCACAATGCGATTTGCAAGGTCAAGCTGGGTAACCTAGACTTCCGAATGTTGCATAAACAGATATCGGGTGTCCCGACGAAACGTGGGGCTTTCCTTCTTGTTGTCCTCTGGCTGGCCGCCTTGGATGGTGGGCTTGCTGCAGTGGAGTAGCAGCTCCAGTCGTTTATTTTGGATACTGTCGCTCAGGTATGTGCTGTTGCGCGCACAAGTGTGGCAGACAAGACAGCGTTTGCAGCGAGTAGTATTTTCAAGAAGTATGCGTGTATGAGAGTGTGGTTGGAGGGGGAGATTGCAGATTTCGGATTGCACGGCGCTGAACTCTATCGAGGACAAGCAGGGCGCAATCAACTCTGAAGCTGTCTGCCTTCTCTCTTGTCTCTGCTCTAGCTGTGTGGGAACTCGCAATACTAGCCGAGCGTTTATGCAGGTACCTGGGGACTTGGTCGAAGAGGACGGTTCGAGGCGTATCTGTAGGTAGGAAGAGTCGAGGCTCAAAGGCAAGAGTTTTGGCGCAGAGGACGAGGACCGTACAGGAGGAGGCAGAGCATGAATATGAGAGGGTTGTAGGTTTGTGTGAAAGATTTGGACAGGGCTGCCGGGAGATTTATCAGCTTTCTTGCATGTCAACGAACCGAATACAGCTGGCCTTGTGCCTTGCAGTGGAGGAGGGCCAGAAGACGAGACAAGAAGGTCGAGGGCCTCGGGATCGATGAACCAGCCCAGCCCAGTACAGACACAGCACAGTACAGCACAGCAGAGCAGCAGCAGCACACACCAGCAACACAGTCTCGACACGCGCCCCTCTGCCTAACAGCAAGAGCAGGTAGGTACGTTATACGGTATGGTGCTCCGGCCCCTGGCAGAGACAGGCAGCATCCATTGGCCTCTTGACCGCATCCTGCATTCTACGGTTCATATGCCGCCCAATTGAACCAAGTGTGCCCCCTCTGCAGGGCCTCCGCAACCATTCAGGACAGGTCAACACACGTCAATCGCCGGCCGTTCAACCACCTGGATTTCCAGCCGCGCCCAATCGCCGTACATGTCAACAGACACGGACCCGCTATTTGGGGGGAATTTGCCGTTGCTGTAGATATACAAGGGGGCCAGACATGCTCAGACCCGATGCGCCCAGCGCGAGGCCAGAGACAAGCGATCCATCAATCTCCTCTCTCTCTCGCGTGGTGGTCACATCTCCCATCTCCCAAACCCTTGCAAACGGCCGTCCAATATCGCAACCGCGGGCTGGGGAGGCGGGAACAGCCCGTCCGGCACAGGCACCCGAGTCGCAGGGTGGGTGGGGGAGATGGAGGGCCCTGGAGGACCCTGGAACAGAGTGACAGCTGCGTATCCGCATACGACGTACGGGAAATCACCCTAACCGAGGTATCGCCATAAGCGTAACATTGCCTCACGTCACCGGTTGATGGATTCTCGAACCTTCGATGCTGCCGCCGGTCCATGCGAAAACCAGTGGCTGGCTTTCTGCCGGCTCACTTGGGGCCACCCACTGCTCGTAATTTCTACCTGTCAGCAAGGACTAGGCTGGCTCCGACTTGCGGATGCTCCAGGTCGCCGTCCTTATCACACCGTTGATTTATTATTGCTGGCTAAGGTGTAATTAAAAGCTGCGGTGCGATGACGCAACGTCGCCGTTTTCTCCATCCTGCATCAGAGATCATCACTAACGTGGTGCTTGGCAACGTTCAACGCCTTCATGTACACCCTGTGATTATCGCAATTGAGCGACTATTGCCGTCCGAAACGTTATAGATACATCTTCTTAGGCAGATAGCTCATGTCGCGGGTCGTGATAATATGCACCTGCCGCCCGTTCTCAACAGAGGGATCCAGTAGGTCTCCCCTATATGATCGCTACGATGACAGGCGAAAGTTGCCCAAGTCCCCATAAGCCGTGCATCATCAATCATCACACATTATCACTCCTGGGCCTCCTCTTCCTCAGCCGCTCCAGCATTCCCATGTCCTCCACTGGCGATGGAGTTTACAAAGTCCTGGTACCGGAATACTTCTCCCCTCTTCCCAAAGCCTCCTGCCCCTCCACCTTTCACCTTGCCGCCGAACGCTCTCTTTCCAGAGAACCCGCTCAGGACCTGGTCGACTTCCGCGGCCGTCAGTGGCCTTTCTCCTGCCTCCGGTGCGGTATGTAGCAGCGCGTCGCGGAGCTCTGCCAGGTCTATCTGGCCGCTGTCATCATCGTCGAAGGCGGAAAACGCTGAGACAAGCTCGGCGCTGGGAGAAAGGGGTGCAAGGCTGCTAGCCACGTTGTTGAGGAAAGTTGCAAGCGTGATGGTCTGTGGACCGGAAGGGGGAAAGAAGCGGGACACGTCTGTCGCGCTCGACGGGAGGCCTGTGCAGCCGTGTATCCACTCGTCAGTACATCATAATATAGTGTAGCCTTTTCCTTGTGAGCCTTGTGGGTGTTGCTGGTGGACTTACCAAGCTGGTTCAACATATCGGCGACGTCCTCCCTGTTCACGGCGCCGTCACTGTCTCGGTCCAGAATCTGGAAGCCTTCCCTCAAAGTGCGCACCTGTGCAGGTTGCAATTTGGACAAAGCATTGCCATGGCCAGTGATGGATGTAGAAGATGCAGTCGTGACCGGCGCTGGCCGCTGTGCACGCGATGCACGCGGTGATCCAAACATCTCCGGTGATGACTGCTGTGAGGGCGCCTGTCCTCTCGGTGTAAGACTTTCTGTGGTTCCTGTCGGAGTCGACGCGGCGAATCTCGAAGAGCCGTTTAGTTGGCCTGCTTTGGTCGGTGATGCTGACGGTGTTGACTGGCGTAGTGGCGATGGCGACCCAGGAGATTCGGGCCGTCGAAAGGGAGAGCTACGGGGAGAATTGAAGCCTCCGCCCAAAGAGGAAGACTTGAGATGCCCAGCCGGTAGTGCCTAGCCATGCTGTGAGTATACTGTACACACGGGAAAGCCCAAGTGGAGAAGACTCCGTCATGGTCTGCACGCACCATGATGCGGAGCACTGCAGGTAGTGCCGTTGCTGGGTCTGGCGTTGGGTATCGATAACAATCAACAACGTCGGCGTGCGACTCCAGATAGCGATCAGGGAATCAATTGTGGACCAAAACCTGAAAATCCGAGCCCCGTGTTATATTGTCTGGCGATGGCGTCGAAAGAAGTCAATGTGAGCTTGATCGTTCGTTATGCTGTTCGGAAGCAGCATCAGTTGGTGATCACGCCTGGACTCGGAAGCCTAGATGATGGAATCGCCCCAGGCGGCTCAACGCGAAAAAGACAGTCAACAAACTCACCCAGCAACGGCGGGGCTAGCAAGCGCCTCAAGAGCAGGGTATCCCTGTCTGCTGATGGAGATCTCGGGGCAGGGCGTGCAGCGTCTGCAGCGTCTGCAGCGCCCTCCCACACCTCGGCGCAGGATTGGCCCTTCCAAATGCCTCTTCCCTCGGGAGCTGTCTCAAAGAGAACCCGCACGGATCGCTATCCAGACAATGCACTGCCCGACAGGGGCGGTAGGCGTGGAGGCGCTGCCCGGAATGGAAAGGCTTGTTTTGGGGGCCGCTGGATTTATCACCGGAACGGGCAGCTCTTGCAAGACCTACCTGACAGTCATCCCCAACCCCTGTCAGGGGGAAGGACGCCTCGATAGGGGTCCATCAAGCCATCAACGTTCCATCCCCCTGCGAAAGAGAGAAAGAGAGAGAGCGGGGAGAGACAGAGAGCAAGATAAAGAGCGGGTTTTGAAACACAAGGGAAAGCGCCTCCAAATGTGAATGCGCTGAATTGCATCCACATTTAATACCTGTACTGTTGGTTTAAAGACCTGTTTGTGTATGGACTCCTTGGAGTGGGTGAGAGGTACCCAGTGCAGCCAGGTAGGTGTGGTCTCTACCTTGGGTCGCTGTGCTGTGTACAATCAGGAGGAGGAGGTGTGTGGGAATCAGAATCCTCCCAAACCATCTTTTCCTCCCACTTTCCCATCCATCTACTTCTCTCCCGTTATCCGGTTCCTCTAGTAGTCTGCCCTCCTTCTGCTGTAGCAGATCATGTCTCAGTCCGTCCATTCCCTACGCATTGACTCGGCTTGACTTAAAAGGCGAGGCCAGTGCTTGCCCATGCCACGCCGTGCCATACAGCAGTAGTCTACCGACCGGCCTGCACCACCCACCTACCTACCCACCTATCACCACCTCTTTCATCGCAGCCCAATCCGGACCCTGGCTCAACGACTTTGATGTCAACGTCCGGGCCTCATCTTAACTCTAACCAGTGCTCACGGCCTCCATTGTCCAATTGCGTCGGCTCCTCATCCCGTGCGACTCAACTGATCGAAGATCGTCTGAACCCCTCCTGAGGAAGCCATCAACCGACCACAAGACCCCCCCTTTCCTGCCCTTCCTTTCTCGACACCGAATCGCATTCCACGACACATCCGGCAAGCCCCAAATTACCTGGGCAGAATCACAGTATTGCACTTTGGACCGAAACCCGGCGTCCGTGCCGTCCATCTGAAGGGCGTAACGGCGGTACATGACCAGGCCTCTTTTGTCCTCCGAAACACTTTCGGTTACGTTCCGCCAACGTTGTTGCGCAAACCTCCTGCTGTGCGACTCCAACCATATAGCCTTTCCTGTCAAGCCAGCAACACCTCGGGATGCGCATTGCTGGCGCGGTAACCCAAGATCCACTGGCGCCCTCATTCCGAACACATCAGAATACTTTACCCATTCAGCCTGCTGTTTCCGACGCTTCACGGAACCATAAGACGAAACGAAACGACGTCGGCAGTGTAAACCCTCGTGCCAACCGAACTCCACGGCTACGCCGCCAAACTCTGTATTCACAGCCGTTGACACCTTCAACCTAGCTCGGGCACTCACCTCAACATCATCAGGCTACGCCCATGACCGAACGTCCCTACATCAGCCTCGACGGTACTTCGAATACGCGCAACGCCGATTGACCAGGCGCGGGCGGCTGTCACCAAGTCAGGGATCATGGCATCGGCGCAAACAGCACTGCCTTACCAAACGCAGAAGTCAGGCCTCAATAATGGAAGCTCATCGACGGCTGTGCACACGCGAAGAACATCATTATCATCGTTTCCGCCATCGTCGCGTTCCGAGTCGCAGATGTCACATCACTCGAGGCCATCGCGGTCGCCAATCCCCCCAGGGCCTGGCGCCGGAGGCGTGGTTTCAGAGACGGATCGCACCTCGAACCCCAGCTCCAAGTCCAAGACACCATCCACAGGCACCGGTGTGTCGTCTCAGCACTCGTCACTTTCCGGCAACGGCGTCATTCCTATGCCGCGCTACAACTCTGACGCACATCCCAAGCAGAGAATGAAATCCCAATACCCGCGGGGCTCCAGCGAGAACCATGTCGAGTATATATTGGTCGCTTCTTTCGATATAGATAGGGGGCCGATCATGGAGCATCAGTATCCTATGGCTATCACTGGTGACGAACACATGCTGGCAGAGCTGATGTTACCGGATGGCGCCCACATGCGGAACCAGGACTGGACGATATTTTTCCTCCACAAGGACACAAGCCAGGAAGAGGAAGATGAGGAGAGAGAAGCGCGAAGACGGAGAAGGAGAAGGAGAAGAAACAAGGCCGCGGGCATAATTGACGAGGAAACAGACGAGGATGATAATGAAGCTGAGGCAGAAGCAGAGGACGACGACGACGACGACGAATTCGATGATGACGACTCTACCGATAGTGAGCCTGAAGGCGGTGAGGGCCCACCCCTGGTCTACGTACTGAATTTGGTGAACACGAAACAAGACAAATCCGTGAAGAGAGGAGCTATAGTGAAGGCGATGGCCATCTGCACAAGGCATCCTTTCTTGCATATATACAAGGTTCGTCATGCTCTACCCATACAGAAACAGCAGAAACTGACCCATAATCATCGCAGCCGCTATTACTGTTAGCTCTGGAGGAATATTTCAAATCCCCGGTGCCCGAAACTCTGGCCATGCTTTATGACTCTGTTAACGCGATGGACTTGTCGTTGATGCCCAAACTCAGCTTCCTCGAAAGGCAACTACTACAGTCAAGTGAGAACAAGGACCTCTTCGTCGAGAAATTCGAACGTATGGTTCAACAGCGGATCGAGCATGATCGGGAAGGAGACAGCTCAGACCAACCTGTTGACCCTGGCCACGAGCGACCTAAACGGCCGGAGATACAGCGAGCCGGGACCAAAGCTTTCCTCGAGGGGAAGGCCATGTACTCCGTGCCCAGGGATACTCACGAGTTTGAAAGCAAGGTCATGTACAAAGGCATCCCCATTCCGATCAAGGTGCCGGTAGCCGTCATGCCCGAGTCCGTGGGTGACTTCTCTCTGATCAAGTTGATCCAAAACTTCTCTGATCCCCATGGGAAATCACCACAACCATTTCTGCCACATGCGCATCTCACCACGAACGGACCTACCACACATCCAATTATCGTCCTGGCCAATGCCCTTTTGACGCAGAAGAGAATCATTTTCCTTGGCCACAACATGCCGTCAGGCGAAGTTGCCGAGGCCGTGCTGGCGGCCTGTGCCCTTGCCTCGGGTGGTATGCTGAGGGGTTTCACACGCCATGCATTCCCCTATACAGATCTGACGAAAATCGACGACCTTCTTAAGGTTCCTGGCTTTATCGCGGGTGTCACAAATCCAACATTCGAGCACCACCCGGAGTGGTGGGACCTCCTGTGCGATTTGCCAAAGGGTCGCATGACCATCAGCAGCAAGATCGAGCCTGCGGCAGCAACGGAGGGTATGGTGTACTTCCAACAGCAGAATCCTTCCTATGCAGGGCTCGTCAATATTTCCAGCTCCAACTCTTCCTCCAGCACGGACTTGACTGGAGATCAGGCGTTCATGACCGATGTTCTCAAGAGCATAGCCGCCCGCCACGGCGAGAGAGTTGTCAGGGCGAAGTGGAGGGACTGGGTCGTCAAATTTACCCGGGTCGCTGCTGCGTTTGAGGAGAGCGTTTATGGAGCGAGTGCACTGTACATTGGGGGTGACGAAGGCGCAGATGGCGGCGCGGTAATCGCGCCCAGTTCCGGCGCAAATGGCATCCTCAGTGGGCATGGGTACGTCTGGCCGGACGAGCCATCGAAGCACAAGGAGCTGGCGGGAAATGTTACGAGGATCGAGGGGTGGAGGAATACCAGGAGTTATTACAGTTACATCCAGGTGAGTTTCGAGATTGAGGGATGGATCTAGCCTTTCTGGGAGACTTGGGAAACGAAAATGCTGACATCGAATAGGACATGGCCAAGATGTACACCATCAAACCGCTCAAAGGGCTTGACTTACACCACCTCCACGACCGGCTACGGATGCAGCGCATGACACAATCGCAGACTCGCGAGATTTATCTTGGCTTCTCAAAGTACGTTCGCAGCTATGAAGAAATCTGTCTGCTGCTTTCTGTGGCGCCAGAGTCGCATGCAGGCCTGTTCTACCTTGCGTTGGGCCTGTTCCACAAGGAGAGGGATGTTCGAATCAAGGTCGCGGAGTTGCTGGACAGAATCGGCGAGCATGGAGCGGGCCAGCACTGGTGGAAGGGGATGAGCCGATTCGAAAAGCTGGCTTACATGCGAATCAAGAGGGAACTGGAAGTCGAATCGAGGGCAAAGACTGGCGGCGCCAGTCCGGTGGAGCAAAGGTTGAGTTAATGCTTGCTTGCGGATGTTGCCATGATACCCACTGTCGCTTGTGTGGCTCTCGTTACTTGCTTTTGTCATCATCATCACCACACCACCACACCACCACATCACATTACACGATCGATGGGGTCCGAAAAAAGTTGTCAGGTCCGTGGCTAGGACCTTGCGAATTGCATCTACTTGGGAGGCAGTGGCTTTTCTGAGATTTTGCGAGTATCGTATCTAGACCATCTCGGGTGTCTTTCGAACTTTGTCCATATTTCTGATTGTTTATGTATATATACCACGCTCGTTCCCAGCGTTGCATCTCACATAACCTGATTTTATTGCCGCTAGGCATCCAGATATCATGCATTCTCTGACCTGATTCACTGACTTCCCCGGATAACCCATCCCAAATTCCTACGCAAGCCCGAACAACCGACCTATCTCTACGCACCCAAGAACTTAGCCGCATGAGCAACGTGCTCGTCACTGAAGCTCGCCATGAAGAAGTACGAGTGGTCGTAGCCGTCCTGGTACCGCAGCGTCAGGCCGCCGAGGCCGGCGTCCTTGACGGCCTTCTCGAGGTTCTCGGGCAGCAGCTGCTTCTGCTTGTAGAAGTTGTCGCCGGTGCCGACGTCGACGAGCATGTTGAGCGGGGCCTTGGCGTCCCACTTCTTGACGAGCTCGGTGGCGTCGTGCCTCGCCCACTCGGCCTTGCTGTCGGCGCCCAGGTAGCCCGAGAACGCCTTCTGGCCCCAGGGGCACTCGGTCGGGTTCGCGATGGGCGCGAACGCCGACACGGACCTGTACTTGCCCGGGTTCTTGAGGTACAGCGTCAGGGCGCCGTGGCCGCCCATCGAGTGGCCGGCGATGGAGACGCGGGACGCGTCCAGGCGCGGGCCGAACTCGTCGCTGCCGAAGAGCGCGTCGGGGAGCTCCTTGGTCAGGTACGTCTCCATGCGGTAGTTCTTGTCGAAGGGCGCCTGCGTGGCGTCGATGTAGAAGGACGCCGCCTCGCCAAAGTCCCACGAGTCCTTCTCGCCCGGCAGGTCCAGCCCGCGCGGCGACGTGTCAGGGTACAGCACCGCGATGCCGTGCTGGCTGGCGCCGTGCTGGAAGAAGCCCTTCTCGGTGCAGTTGTCCGGCGTGCAGGTCAGGCCCGACAGCCAGATCAGCACGGGCACCTTCTTGTTCTGCTTGACGGCGGCGGGCGGCAGGTAGAGGTTGAGGTTCATGGGCGTGCCGGTGGTGGTGGACTTGTGCGAGAGCTTGAGCAGGGTGCCCCCGAAGGAGGCGATTGTGGCTTTTGTCTCGAATGCCATCTTGGTGCTGTTGTTTGTGGCTGTTGAGGATGATGCAGTGAAGTGTCGTGCGAGCTGTGAGAGTCTAGAGGCAAAAGTTGACGATGTCGGGGAATGCTGGACGTTTAGATATCTCATTAGACTTGGATTGCGATTACGAGATGAGGTTGGCTTGATTATATTGGTATCATGAACGGCCAGACGCTCCAAAACCACTACTTATCTGAGTGGCCCCATGGGTTTTATTTTCCCCTCCCCTCATGTCTCCTCTAGCCAAGCCAAGCAGGACTCCTCTTCGCCGAAGATTACCATTTGGCTCCAAAAATGCGCCTCCACGATGCCGAACAAACTCCATGATGCGCCCCCCAACCCGAGAACCTTGGGCCCCAAAAGACAGCTCCTCTACCCCGCCATTCCATGACAGGACAGTGCACCAGCCCCACCTTTGCTTGTGAAATCGAGACGTCATGCGCGACAAGGGGGAGCTAGCTCTGCCTCTTATCCCTGCGCCCTGTTGCATGTGCTACCCCTGCTCAAAGATAGGTACCCGTGCCGCTACGGGCCAGGTGCCGGCAGAATCCCAAAAGCCTTCCCCATTCCACCGACAAGTCTCGAGTCCATCCAAGCGCGACTGGCTCATGAGGAAGCTCTACCGGCATTGCACTCAAACGACGAGATGAGATGGTCCCATCCGCTCAGCGCAGTCAGGTTGAACTTCTCGGGGGTGTCGTACGAGATCGCGCCGGGCGAGCAACCCGTGGGCGACGTGCAGATTCCGCCGCATGCCATCAGGTAAGGGAAGCAGTGGAAGTCGTCGTCGTCGGGCGCAAACGTCGCCGCGTTGTTGGAGAACTGGCTGGTCATGTTGTGGCAGCTATCGAGCTCGTAGACCTGGTAGGAGCAGTCGCCAGTCGCGTTGGCGCCGTTGCAGATGAGGACCTGAGCCGCGAAGGCAACGTCAGTTAGGCCTGCATTGGTACATCATAGATGCTCTGCCATCAAGAGCCGGAGGTTTACCTACACCACCCATCTGCCGCTTCTCGACCGGCTTGGCCGCCGATATGGCCGCGATGGTGAGGATAATGAGGCAAGCAAAGAACTTCATCCTCACTGTTGGCTAAGAATTTGGTCTTGGAGAGAAGTGCTGATGCTGTTGACTACTGAAATGTAGAATGAAGGAGACGAAGACAGTTTATAACTGCTAGAGTGAGGGCAGAAGAAGATTTGGGTTTCTGTGCGCTGTGTTTGAGACCGCAGTTCTGGAAACCAAGGACAACAACGTCGGTTTTAAACCATGCTCAACCCCAAACTCACGTTTCTTTTTTCACTGCATCACACTGAGTGAATGAGTGACCGAGAGCAGTGACTGTCTGACGATCCCAACTCTACGCAAAACCCCGTCCGTGGGTTCCGCAGTCACCGGACAAGGTGGAACGATTGCCAAATCGGAATGAGCGGGCATCTTCCCAAAGCTTAAAGAAAGACGTAATATACAGCTGTATAGTCTGATCTTTCTAGTACCCACTTGAGTTGTACCTCTCACGGCGACGATCACTTCATATGCTGAATCACCTTATTACGAAGGCTTCAAAAAGCTATGCGACTCATCAACGTTTGAAGAAATACCGATCGTGTGAGAGGCTATCGAGTCAGATTCTACCTAGTAGAAGTACAGGTATGTTTGCATCGCTCCCAGAAAACAACATAATGGTCGCTGTTAGCACTGCAATTACACGGAACCACAACCAGCCACCAGAGGAGCAAACCCGTGGAGACACTGGAGCAGGCAGACGTCATGAAGCAGCGGACGATCATGTCGCTTCCCTATTGAACGTGCCATGCATGCATGCATCCAGATTTGCTGACCGCCCCTGGATTATTACCCATTGGTTCGGCTCCGTGCTCACGGCATGCTAAGTGAAGAGTTCCTGATGGGTGAGCCACTCATGTTACTGTGCGACGGCCGTGAGTGACACCCAGACATTTATGTACAATGTCTGGCTGCAACCCGGAGCGACGTTAGCCTGAGCCTGGGTCTCGGTACGCATTCAGGGACACTGGCGCGGAAGTGGTGCTCGGTCAGATCCACCGAAAATGAATGCTATGTCTTTCTTAGACGACCTCTGCAATTGCCCCCGTCTGTATTGTCAGGGTGGTAGTTTGAGCCGGCCAGTGGGCTGACATCTAGAAATATATGACCTGCTCGCAATCCTGAGCCTGGGCGAGCCAGAACGTAGATCGTATTCTAGGGAGGGGATACATCACGTTGTACACTCGCGCGACTTGTCGGCAGAAAACATAGGCACAAGGGGTAGCCAATTATCTTGAAGGATATCTTGTATACAAACAAGTCTTTCTGAATCTAGGCATGAGCAAGTAGTAGTATAAGGCTTGGAGCCATTCCAGTGTCAACGCGCCGTCTAAGGATGCGTCTATCGCGGGTATCAAATGCCGCCGGCTTGTCTCTCGTCTTCAATTGTTAAGCCTCCTGCGGCAGTGCAAGTCTTGCACATGGAGAACAACGTGCTTGCACAATTCGAACGTTCTCATCGTTTGCTCATCTCCGAAGACCCTTCCTACTCCAGGCTGACTGCCTGGTTCTCCAGCTAGATGACACACTTCAGCAGCGATGTGGCACTGTCTGAGCTGGGGGTCGATGCGCATAATACGGGTTGATCCGCCGCTCATTGCTTCAAGTCAACCCCACTGGCCTTGACAGTTGACGCCGCGATGGGGGCCTCGTGGCCACGAGTCGTGTACGTGAGATTGATGATTTCCTTGAGCATCACTTCCCGAGTCTTGTTGCACAGCTCATCCACGTCCGCCGAAGTAAGACCTGCTGTAGGAATTGGGTCCAGAACTGCCGCTTTTGTTAGTCCTACCCATGCGCGCACATCCGAAGAGGGCCGAACTCACCTTTGCAAGGGATCTTGCCAGACCTGAAGACCATGTCCTTGATGTACAGCAAGTCGCTGTAGTTGGCCGCGACAACGGGCACGATGGGCACTTGGGCCTGGATGGCAAGATGGAAAGCGCCCTTCTTGAAGGGCAGCAGCATGGGCTCCTTGGCATAGCTCCTGGTGCCCTCGGGGAACATGTATACGCTCTGCCTCAAGGTCTTCATCTGCTCTGCCGCGCCACTCATGGCCGCGCGCGCGTCCTTGCTGTTCTTGCGGTCGATAAAGACCGAGCCGCTCAGGGTCATGAACCACCCCAGGAAGGGCAGTTTCTTCAAGCTGGACTTCGCCGTCACGCTGCAGTACTTTGGGAACATGCAGCCCAGCATGAGTACGTCGAGCTCTGTCTGGTGGTTGCCGACGAAAACGGCGGGTCTAGTCTTGTTGAGGTGGCCCTTGGGGTCGATAATTTCGAAGGTGACGCCGGTGGTGGCAGCCATGGTCCACTTGAATAGGCGGCCGGTGGTCCATTGCGCGATCTGGCGGTGGCCGACGCAGCTGAGTGCGATCGATACGATGGCGCCGTAGGCGGCGCTTATGAGCAGGCAGATGTAGGAGGCTAGACAGCGCGCTATAAAGCCAGCTTTGGACGACATGAGCGAGAGTAGGTAGAAGAAGGCCGTCAGAGCGGTATAACCTCCCAGGAAATACCCCAGGTAGGTCGAGAAGGACATGATCGACAGTCGTCTGGGAGGTAGAGTTGGGGGTTGAGGCGACGGGACTGTGTTAAAGAATGGTCAGCAAGCAGAAGATGCTGGGCCACGGGCATTCCTAGTTTTATCTCGGAAGTCGGGGAGCATGTGAGAAGCAGACACAAACATACATAGCTTGGTTCTCAGCTACCTATGACAGTCGGTTCTCGGCGAGGGCATGCGATGCGGTTATAGAGGGAACCCCAAGTTGCGACCATCAACGGGGCGAAGGGACTGGAAGCTGGCGCAACCCAAGAGCAGACGCTCGAGATGGGATTCTTTGGCGGCACGAGGTCTGGCGGCGCTGTCGCAGCAAGTGATCGGAAGGTGGATTGCAGCGTCCAGGATTTAAAAAAGAGGGCGTGCACAGTCTGGGGAAGAAGAAGCTGGAAATTCATATTCGCCAGCCGGCATCAAGTGAGCCTGGGCCTAGAGGGCCGCGGGTGGGCGAGAAAGGCGGTGGGTGGGCAGCGTGACCCCACCAAAATTTGTCCGGCAGGGTGCTGGTCTGCTGGTCCTAAGATGACAGGTTGCCGAGGCGCGCGTGCCTTGCTAAAAGTACCTGCTAGTGCTGCCGGTTTGTTGAGCCACGCCCCTGTAGCCTTCCCGCGTGGCCACTAAACCTTACCGAGGCAGTCCAGTTCTGCCAGTCTGCTGCTAGCGCAGGCCCAACTTCAGGCCAACTGCTGAGCTTCCAGGCCTGGTCGAAACATTATCGTGCTATGCACTCGATGGATGCGCTTTCCAGCCCCAGCCAGCATGGTAAGGGCAAACAGGTCAGATCGTGAGAGAAACTTGAAGTAAATGAATCTATCTTGCGTATTATTCAAGAAAACTAAAGGAACAAGAGCCAGCTTCTCGTGCATAGTGCTCTGGCGTCGCGAGGAGTTGGGACGCATCGGGGCCGGGTCGGCCGCCTCTATAACACGTGATAGGCCAATGCCAGCAGCTGTCTGAACCTTATCTGGACGTCGAGTCGAGTCTGGGTGCCTGCTGCCCGGTTGCGTAACTCGACTGACAACAGGTGGCGCGACGGCAGACCAGTATCCAACATCTCCAGCACGGCGCCCCTTGCTAGATTTGATGGCTGTTCTCATCACGCATCCTTCAAAGATGACCCGTTCGACGTAAGAGCCGCCCACTCTTCGAAGCCTGCGATGCCAACATGGCCAACATGGCCAACCGACGGGGTATGCCGTCACTCCCTGCCGCGCCCTCATCGCGAACCATCCCCGGCTCGCTGCTGCCAGAGCTGCCACCCATCTCTGCCCTGTTCCTCATCGATTTCGACGTCAAAGCCGGATACACGATAATATGGAAGGAGGCTGTTCCGGGCCTGGAGCTGGAAGGCGTCGTCGAGTACAAGAGTCTTCCCTCAGGCTTGCACACCGTACCCGACGACCTGATATATTTTGTCCACGAGGACGGCTACGCAGGACTCAGCGCATTCATCAACGCCCCCACCGATGAGGAGGAGTCCCGCCACGCGCGCATGATCGCTGTCGGCGTGCTGGTGCCCCTGAGCTATGGACGGCTTGGCAGGGCGTGGAGGCACGCCCAGGGACTAAAGGACATGGCCGTCAAGCTTGCCGCCGACCGCAAACAGACGCAAATGCTGGTGGAGTACTGGGAGAAGTGCGGGACGCGGGATACCAGCGGGCAGCCACCAGCACCCTTCACGGACTCGCCCCTGAATTCGCCCGCCCTGAGCTTTGTGAAACGCCCAAGTCCCACCGGAGACCGTCATGCGAGGAACAGGTCGGCGTCAGAGGGAGCTGCATTGCTGCCGCCGGGACACAGGCTTTCACCTTTCCACCCGGCTTGGAGCCTGAACAGGTTGCTGGATACCTTCGGGCCCTTGATCTTCCCCATCCAGAGGGCAGCATTGCTGCGCAAGCGCATATTGATATCGACTCATGCCCCTGTACACGAGGCCTGTAATTTTGGTACGTCTGTGCTCTAGACTCAAGAACCCGACTGTCGATGTGCTGACCATCTTCAAGTATATGACATTTCTATCCTTGCCAACATACCCCATTCTGTATCTGACATTCTTGACCCATCCGCCCCGTCTCAGAGGCTGCGACCGCTGTTCACCATCGGCGTGCACGATATACCATTTCTCGTGGCAGACAGCGCAACCAAACGGCCCGGCCCCGCTCCTGAGCAACAACCGGGTATTTTAGGCGACTCCAGCTCTGGCTGGATCGCATGTACAACCGACAGCATTCTAGCGATGAAGGAGGACCTTTGGGATGTGCTGATCACCATGCCTCCACCGCATACAGTGAATGCCAAGGAGAAAGTCTGGCCGACAGTAGAGCTTCGCAAAGGGGCCGCTATGAAGGCCACTCAGCGTGACTTGAGACGCTTCCGAACCCTGAAGGTAGGGCTCAGGCGCCTCGCAGCGACCTCGACCGCCATTGAGGAGGAGGAAGAGGGTCCAAACAACAGCACCGAACCACAGCGACCGGGTTCTCTGTCTCACAGGCGGTCCCGCATGTCTATTTCTAGTATCAAGACGACCAACTTCATCCCCGACGGCGAGGACGCGCATGTACTCGCCGATGCGTCGGATAAGATTGTCGAGCCGATGACGTGGGCCGCCCTCGCCTACAGCGGCTTCATGTGGTGGGCCAGCGCCGGCGAGCAGCGCCGCTCCGACGAGGCAGAGGAGCAGGCCTACGACAACTCCCTCATAGCAGACCTCCTGCCGGCGCCGTCGATGCACCCGCCGCGGGAGTCATCAGGCCAGCGGAGGCCGAGTGGCAGTTTCAACGTCACCGCGGTCCAGGAAGGAGGAGGCCTGGGTGACTCGGTGACGTCTCTGACGGCGCGAAGGACGCCCACGGCGGACGGGCCATCGTCATTGGGCGCCGAGGACGCCGAGGAGGAGAGGGCCAGGACGGAGCTGGCCATTATCACTTACTTTCACCGGCTGACGAGCGGAATTCTCTCGACACTTGCGGAAGTAGTCGAGGCCACGGAGGAGTACGACGATACGGACATATCGCAGCCGCAAACCGACGACGGTCGAGAAGGGGGCGAGGGCCAGTCAAATCCCTTGCTGCAGGGGGCCACTAGGAGCGACAGCGAGGATGTTTCCAGGCCGCCGGTCCGCGTTGACAGTGATGCCCTGGCCGCCATGGGCTTGGACGTATGGAGCAACGCAGACGCTGAGTTCGTCAGCCAGGTACTCGACAGGTATTTCAGCCGCGAGGCGAGGGTCGAGGGTAAGGGCGTGGAGTTGTGCGGCTTGAGGGTCTGCTAATGCCGTAGGGTGATGGTGCTTTCATATAGTTCTAATCTCGCCACTGTATATTACGGCCAGACACTCAATGCATTCTATACCGAGGATATGACCTACTGAATGTTCCTAAGGTTAGTCGAGATGACGGCGGTGAAAACAGCAGGGAAGCAAGGTTTTGAAGGCTGCGCCACCCGTTCTTGTGTATCTGAGGGCACCCCAACTGATTGTCGGAGACGCTGAAAGTGGTGGTACATGTTGAAGATTCAAAAGTAAGCCAAGCAAACCATCTCGAGGTTGGGCTTGATTATTCACTAGAAGAGTATGACTTGTACCCCTTGCCAAGCAAAATACAGACACAATGTAGACGAAGCAAGCAATATTCCTGCTCATTCATGCAGCTATCTACTCCTAACTATCAGGAATCAGACAGGTGGTCTACCACCATCATTATCTGCCTATTCACAAGTGGGCAACATTCTTGAATAATGTGCCAGTTACTCTTTCCCTTCATTGTACCAGAATTGAAAACTTTTGTGCGTCTTGTTCCATGCCACACCGTCCGCCAGTGGCACGAGCCAAAAGGCTAGGAGCATACCTCAGATCCAAGAGGATGATGTCAATGTGTTGAAATGCGCTTGGCCAACTGACAGAGTTGATCACAAGAGCCAGATCGAAACATACCTCAGAAATTTGGGATGTGTAGAACTTGCCGGCACCATTTTCCAGCAATTCTTTCTTTTTCCCGGACACCGTCCTTTTTTTTGTAATTTCCTCAACAATCATATCAACACACCAATGAGCGTTCCACCATGTTTTCCGTTCCCCTGAATCTAGGCCATTGTCGGTTTCTTGCTTTCACAAGCGCTCGCCTCATTCGTGGTGGCTCCAAAGCACCTCATCGTCAACGCTGAGATGCGTCAAAACCCAGAATCACCAATGCAGTGACTGCAAAGGGTAGTGGTCGCTAATGGAAATACCTTGGTCGAGCCTGAGGTGCTGGTCTGTGTCGTCGGTACATATGGGCAAGCGCCTGTGCCAGAATGGTCCTCTGCAAAACAATATGCTTCTCCTGATGGTAGACAATGTCTTGAGCCAGGCAGCCAGGGTCCGCGTCTCTTCTGCATCAATTGAACTCGCGGATGTCGCCAGGTCCACTACAATCATGCTGCCAGACAGTGTTGTCAAACCATCCTCCCTTCATGCCGTATTTGACCTTGCGAGTAAGGTCCGTTGTGTTGACATAGAGAAAGTTCATTTCCTGAAGCAGCCCCTTGCACCAACTAAAGTCTGGATCGCCTTTGAAAGAGGCCATCTCCACAAAGACGCGCGCATAGTCCCGCATGTTGTAGCCAGCGTCGGCACAGGCTTTGGAGCCATTGAGGTTGTACCACTTGTACCAGTCTACGTTGTGCATAAATTTCGAGCAGCATCGTAAGAGCCTGTGCAGGATGCAGCGGCCGATCCCAAGGCGGCGGCTTGAGTGTTCGACAAAGAAGTGGACTTTTCCGTTGAAACGACCAACGCTGGTGTGAAAGTTGCCCGCCAGTCCTGGCGTCAGCAGTGTGATCAAACCAAAACCCAGAATCTTGACGGAAGATGGCTGATTCAATGGCGCTGCTGTGCCATCTACATGAGGGCTTGTCTGCCCCGATTGTTTGTAGGGGCCGCGGGTACGAACAGGCTTGGACTCTTTTCTGCGGGAGGTGGAGTCTTTTGGCGCTGCCCCTTTCACTGCGACAATAAATGGTGTTCCAGTTGCTTCACAATCCGAGAACATGCGTTGGATGTCTCGAAGAGTCAAAGGTTGGGCATCCAACGCCTGATGGCCGTGCTCCACTTCCCAATTGTATATGTCGAGGATCTGAGGTAGATCATCCCGCTCGACAGGTCGGAGGAAGCAGAGAATGCGAGGCTCTCGTTGGTCCTGACGCTGGGGCTCACCAAATGCAGTGGTTGTCTGGTCAGGTGGCTGTTCGGTTCCAAGAGACGAGCGTCCGAGATGGCTGGGAGGATCCTGCTGCGTGGGTGGGATAGTGACACGCTTATATTTGCCATCCAGGTAACGCTCACTCCGCTTTGCTTCCATCTCTTCCCGATGCGCCATACGCTTTCGCAACTTTTCGGCTTCCATGATCACTTTGACTTCAGCCGTGCCCGACATGCGGCGAGCTAGCTCTTCTGGAGTGCTAGAGTCCTGCGAATTGACTGTAGTCTGCGGGTAGTCAACAGGCGACACCAGAGCGCCGGTCTGTGGGTCGATATCACACTCCCAGTGTGTCTCAACCTCTGGATCCAGGAAGTAAGCCAGAGGTGGAGGAGTGAAACGAAGGCTTTCAACCCAGTCACTGCAATACTGAGGCAGCCAGCCTTTCTTGAAGGAATCCTCAGACCCGTCATCATCGCTTTCGGGGATGCTGTGGTAATCCTTCCAGGCGTGCTTGTTAACCCATCCTGTGCCATCACCCTTGATCACGATGTCCATTTCATCAGCGATGCTTCCGCGGACGTCTTTCAAGACAGGTTTGAGGGAATCAGTATTATCACTGCTATCGAACTTGACAGACATGCTTGAAGACGGGAGTGAGTGAGAGTCGTGATTTGACGGGTTGCTGGGTTGCCACATCTTCTTGTTGATCTTGGGATCGCGATGATCTGTCTGGTATGTCTGTTGGGTTGTCTTCTCTGCTTGAGCTCTGCGGCCGTCTTGGGCAGTGTGGTTGATTGCGAGCCAAGCGTCACGGGGAGACTCAACCCTAGACCTTCTCTTTGCATCAAGATTCATCTTCTGCGACACAACCTTCTGCAGGGCAGGATGCATGTATTTGAGAGATCTGCGGAAAGGTGCATGATGTGCTGAATCTTGGTGAGCTGGAGGAGGGGAAATGGCCTCCTCCGACGCCACGCTCGAGAGAGGCTCGCGATGACCAGCGCTGGAAGAAGAAACATTAGCCACGGTTGAGGGTGGCTCGTAATGGCCAGCGCTGGAGGAAGGCACATTTCGGTCAAATACCACCATCCGCCGGTCACGCAGATCCTCTTCCCAGGTCGGTAGCTGGACAGAGGGCGCAGGAGTAACTTGCGAGGCCACTTGCGAAGCCATCTGCGAAGCCGCGACATTTTGCGAGGACCAACTTCTCTCGTGTGGCTGGCTATCAGAAGCCAGTGCGGAAGGTGGGGTGTTAGGTCCCTGTAAAAAGTTAGTGTTTTCTCGCAACTCAACGATTATGCAAAAGGGGGCAGGAGCAAAGTACTTACAGTAGTTCTGGGGGTACGATCGGGCGTATGCTCACCCGTGCTCTCCTGCTGCTTCAAGAGATGGGGTGGTAGACCGCCTTGGACATGCGGGTGCGTGCTCTTGCTGGTCTTTTGAGACTTCGGTGCAGTGTTCTCTAGGTATTTCTGAAAGAGCTTGGTGCTTTCATCAATGCTGTTGATGGCTTGAGCACGCTGGTGTGCATTGGGAGGACCCCAAGCATGACTGCCAGTATCCACCATCCTGTATGACCGAGAAGTTACACAGTCTGCGATGGATCAAAGGTCAGATACAGGTGCGTTTGGGGCAAGGGCCTCAGTTGCAATGGAGGCGATGATTCGACTCACCTTGGTATGTTTTGTTGCACTTCCTCGCGAGCCCGGAGCGTGACACCTCTGTGTGAAGGCGCGGACCAATCGAGATGATCCCTTTTTACGCTGTTAGCAGGGCGAACAAATGAATGGAGGATACCAAGGTCATGGGAATGATAGTTATGATACAGTGACAATGTCGCATGAAGCCCAGGTGTAGGAAGAGGTTCGGTCTTAGCTGCTTACCTTGAGAAAGAAGTGAGGGCGGAGAGAGAGGTTGCCTGAAAAGCAGAAACCTACAAACGTACAGATCGATGTGTTCAGCGAGGATGAAGGTTGCTTCTGAAAGCAACGAGACGCGATCCACGAAGACCAGACTTGTTCTGGAAGGACAGACGTGATCTGAAAGGGAAAAATTCAGGATTGCAAGGCGACCTTGGATTTCAAGGAAACAGGGAAGCTTATGGCTTTGCAAGCTACCAAAAGAAGGAAGTGTGCAAAGTGCAAGTGGGCGGTAGGTGAGGGAGAGGTGTGCTCAGGAGTAGCTCCTTCCTTGGTCAGGGGACGAAAGTTGAAGGAGTGGCGGGGGAAAAGTGCAGACCTGGATGGGAAGCTTGATCTTGAACCTGCTACCTTGGTTCATATCAAGTCCAGGTGCTTAGACAGATGGCAGCCCTTGAAATTTCAGTACTTGGAAGATTGCAAGTGGTGCAGTGATCCCCAGTATCCGACAAAGCACAAAAAACAGTCTGGCCAAGATGAAGTGCCCTCGTGCCTCAATCGAAATCATCACTAAAGTGCTGCTCCTAACACCTTTCCCCATGCAGACAGACAGATGTGTTCACAGTATTCAAAGATTATGAAGTTTTCCTCAACACATAGTGTAGCGTTTGACTTGAGCAGGAGTGTTCTTCCTACCAAGCAGCCAACAACTCCTAGGAATCTTTAGCCTCGTGAGACCCATTTACATCTTTCCATTTGCCGTCGATAGTCTTGCTTATCAATCCTCATGTGCTGTAATAGCCTTCATCATCGCTCATGAGCCACCTGGCCTAAGGGCTCTGCATCCACCAAGTGCCTTTGTTTGCCTTCAATCATGATACTGACCAATACCCTTTCGTAAACGGACTCGGAAAGATGAGGGAAGAAAAAATGCTTTCTGGTTGGCAATGAAGTCATACATCCAAGCCTATAAGATCCGATACACTCATACCAGCTGGCCTACAAGAACAAAATTCACACGTCGTCGTTTTGTTTTCATCGCAGCCGCTTGAGGTCGGGGAAAAGGGGGCGGCGATTAGGTAATCCTACCGCCGAAGCTCTGTGAACTCATCCACTAGGAAGCTGAAAGTCTCGAAATTCCAAGGTTACGAGAAACGAACCCGTGATGCTGAGGAACACCCTCGCGTCGCGCAACGTCAAGGAAAAATGCTTTCCATACTGAGGAAAGCAAGGTTGAAGGACAAGGAGCTGAGGGTCCTGATGCTGTGAGTACCCGCTCGCAGGGGCAACGTTCAAAGGTTCTAACACTTCAGGCAGAGGACTAGATAATGCGGGCAAGACGACCATAGTCAAGAGGATCATGGGAGAGGACGTGAACACGGTCAGCCCAACTCTAGGCTTCATCATCAAGACCATCGACTACGAGGGGTACAAGTTGAACATATGGGACGTCGGAGGCCAGAAGACGCTCCGATCATACTGGAGAAATTACTTCGAGAAGACAGACGCCCTCATCTGGGTGGTTGATGCGACAGACAGGTTGAGGATCGAGGACTGCAGAGCGGAACTGCATGGGTTGCTGCAGGAGGAGGTGTGTCGCCTTTCCCTTGCAGTCAAGAAAACGGAGCCAAGCTGACTCGAGGGGCACAGAGATTATCTGGAGCGTCTCTGCTGGTGTTTGCCAACAAGACTGACGTTCAGGGGTGCATGACAGGAGAGGAGATGGAGGAGGCCTTGAGGCTGAGGCATATCCAGACGCACCAGTGGAGGATATTGCGGTGTAGCGCCATGACTGGGGAGAACCTCAAGGAGGGCTTAGCGTGGGTCGTCGAGGACGCAAAGGCGAGGCTATTTCTCTATTGATGTGTGGATATGCCGAAGGAAGACTGCCGACGATCACCGCCCCTAAGGACATGGGACGCGATGGCCGTGGGCTGAGAACCTGACAGCAGCAGAATGCATAGCTAGTCTCGTTGGCGCGTGCCGTCCCCATCCTTTGGGAGCAGCACACTATATTTGCAACGTGGCCACTGCTTTTGCAGCTTTCTGCAGCTTTTGCTGTACCACCCGAGAGAGAGAAGGTTTCATCCTACCACAGTATTTTGTGCAGCTGACTCTGCAGGTATCTACCATGCAGATACCTGGGTAGATCGAAACCTTCCGACAGGACTCGCTGGATGGACGGACGAAACAACCGTCCCAATTTGTTTGGAACCGGTTGCAGGCCGTCTTAGCGCGTCATTGGGCGGGCCCTGGGCTGCTGGCTGGTGGGGGGTTGCTCTGGGAAATAGTGGGAATAAGCCCACTTGCATGCTGCCCGACCTGTCGGCCTGCCCAGCGATTGACTGTGCTTTTTTGGTGGTATTGTTGTTGTTGTTGTTGAACCCTGTAGTCGCAGAGGCTTTGCGCAGACTGCTGTAAGTGTGCGCTGCAGTGCCGCAATCCGTCACCTCCAACATCCTGGAAACTGCGCCCAGTCGACGCCTGTTGGGTTCCTGGTTGGCCTGGTTGGGCAGCCTGCAAGAGGAACAGCACGCCACCTCGGCCTCGCTCTGGCACGCTAATGTAGGTCCCGGACCATTCTCTTCTTGCACATAAGACATTTATGACTTGGAATAAACCTTGAAGCCTTCCCTACACAAGCCCACTGCCATGTACATGTGCTAGTCGTCAAGGATACACAACGGTCAACTCCCTTGTTTACAGTTCGTCTGAGCGCAGCCAACGGCAAAGTCCAGCTCGCGTTTTCGTGTCTGTCCGTGTCGTGCCAATGTCGCCGGCAGCCAATCGAGCATTAGCCCTCCAACGAACCCCACGATCCCTTCCCAACAATGTCAGACGAGGTTTCCAACTTTTTGCGATCAGTAGAGGAATTGAACCACGGACGACACGAGGAAGAAGAGGCGCGCTCTAGGGAGCTTGAAGAGAAGCTGCTGCAGCAGAGAAAGGAGCGCCAGGCCCGCCGTGAAGGTAAGCCACGTCGAGCTGACATGACTTGAGCGTTGACTTGCCTCGAGCTGAGCTGAGCTGAGCCGCTGCTGGACCATTGTTGACGTTTGTTCTCGGATGTCTAGAGCGTGCTCGGTCCATCTCCCCGCAAAAGTCATCACCGGCCAACACCCCACCGCCATCTGCGCGACACAGGGACTCGACACCTCAGCCGGTAGAGGTATCATCTCCCATCCCAGATCTCTCTGCGAAACTACAGAATCAAATTGGTGCTGCTCCGCCGTTGTCTGCCGACGCGATGGATCTGCCCTCACCGCGCTCTGTCTCTCCCACGAAGGAGACTGTTCTCGACCTCGAACCCAACCGATCTAGTGCCGCATACAACTCACCGCCATCTAGTGGCGTGCCGGCGAGAACACCTACTTTATCGTGGCAGCGACGACCGCAGTCGCAAGGACCAGATCGCCCTAGGTCTCGTCCACTGTCTATGGTCGCGGCTGAGAATGCCGCTGCCCGATCAAACACACCTCCTGCGGAGGCCGTTTCTCCCAGCCAGACCCCTTCTCGCGACCAGATCTCACAAGCCTTGGCTTCCAAAGACCCTGCCTGGTTCCGTCAGACCGCTGACCGCGGTGCGACTTCTGCTGCATACCGCAGAAATCAGGTCGAGGACGACGACACCGTCGATGTAGCCTCTTCTCGCTCCCAACTGCCTGGCATGTCGCAAACAACTTCTACCGAGACCGAGAAGGACCCAGTCCGAGAGCGCCCACTTTCACAGGCTAGCTTGGGCCGGCTTGGCTCTCCATTGCTCACAACAGATGCGCTGAAGCTGGGCCCGCCTGCGGATATCCAGACAGCCAGGGATGGAAGCTCGTCAGGCCAGACCTCGCCAACGCGACCAGCGTCTCCAACAAAGGGCATGGGTGGCTTCGTCCAGAGTGCCATGATGAAGCGAACGGACAGTGTCAAGAGATGGAGCGTCACAACTCCGGGTCTGCAGCGTGGCAACACCTCTGCGAACCGAAATAGTATGGACGGTAAGAATGGTGCCACTAGCCCAGGGCCAGAGCCTACCTCGCGGCCTGTGAGCAGATCCAGGGACAGCACTTCAAGGCCGACCTCTAGTCATGCCAAGGATTTGGCCGCTGCAGCTGCTGATGCCATTTCCCCTGAGGACAATCCATCCGAGCCTTCCAAGCTTGAGCCTCCAGTTGACGATACACCGCCAACAAGTCCCTCAAAGACTATGGACCCAAGAAGGTGGAGTCCAACAAAAGGTTCCTGGCTCGACGCAGCTTTGAATAAGCCCGAGTCACCAAAGCCGAAGCCTGCAGCGCCCCCAAGCAACCAGCCCGCATGGATGGTGGAATTGAACAGGGCGAAGGCCGAGAGAGCCAAGAATTCTAGTGTTGATCTCGGCCGAGCTGGCTCTACCGTTAAGAAGCACGAGGTCAAGACTGGTGGCCTAGTACGGCCAGCACCGATGGGCACGGCTGTGAAGCCCCCCAGTCTAACAGGTCCTATGTCGCCAAGCCTAGGAGGTGACAAACCGTTGACACCGGGTCTTCGCAGCGGTGTGACGAGGAGTGATAGTATCACAAGGATTAGTCCCGCCAGCGAAAAGCCTGGTATCGGCACTGAAGAGCTAGGCCGGCGGAACTCCGCCATCAGCCCTATTGCCAAGGACAAACCAGAGACGCCCCCTCAGAGTAACTTCCGAGCTGGTTTACGACCTAGGGGTACCACAATCGGCAAAGACAGTGGCGATAGGGAACCAGTGAATGAGCTAGCGAATGTGTTCGGTCAGCTGCGGAAGACGAAGACGCAGAATTACGTTGCTCCAGATGTGTTGAAGGACAACATCACGAAAGGCAAAAGCGCTTTGAACGTGACTGGTGGACCAAGACCCTACGAAAAGAAAGATGAGTTCAAGGATGCAATCTTGAAGAAAAAGGCAGACTTCAAACAAGCCAAAGAGGAAGGCCGTGGTATTGCAACCAACCAAAAGTCACCAGAGGAAAAGGCGATTCCCGAGGGGCTGGCGAGACGAGCTACGATCACCCGTTCCGGCTCTTCTCCACATGGATTTCACTCACGGGATCCTTCGACTGCAAAATCCCCGTCGGAGTCGTCCGCGAGACCTTTCGAGTCGTCAAGATCAAGTGTGATCTCGGTGACCTCGCCTCGGGAAACCAACGTAGACACAGCTCCAGTCAAGGCCGAAAACAAGGAAGCAATGCCGTCACCAAGCAGGCCGGAGGTAAGCACACCTGGTCGACTCCAGAACAAATTCGGTGACAGTGGCAAAACCTTAGCGAATCGATTCAACCCAGCCTTAGCCGGACTGCTAGCTCGTGGACCTCCCGGGATGGGCGGCGCAGGACCAAATGTCCCCGGCGCTTCCTCAGGACCGAGTGCCTCCTCTGGGAGCGAGCCGGGACCAGGACCTAAGCTGGAACACATGACCAAGGGACGCGCCCGCGGCCCACGCAGAAAAGCCCCGACGTCGGCAAGCAAGCCGGTGGGAGCTGATGACCCGGAAACAGCAGCCACACCAGAGACAGTAATCACTCCAAACGTAGCACCCACCCCAGAGACAACAAAGACCCCGGAGGCGACGACCATTCCGGACGCTGCTCCCCAGAGGACAGTGCCTCTGGAGAGAGCAGTCACACCTGCGACCCCGTCTCCACCAACGCTGGTGCAGGAGCCAGAGCCAGAGGCAACCGCATCGCAAAAGTCGTCCATCAAATCCCCTGTTGTTTCGCCGACCAGCACACGGGATAGCGGCGTGATATCGTTGGTGGACTCATCGAAGAGGAAACTTGCGGAGCAGAGACCTGTGTCTGCAGGCACGAGAATTGCATTGGTGGACTCATCGCAGCCACGAGTCACCAGCCCTCCTTCTCCCAGGAAAATCCAGGAGCAGGTTTCTGCTCTTTCATCAAAATCCCAGGTGATTGAGGAGAAGAAGGAAGATGCCCCACCGCCATCTCCACGGAAGCTTGACGTGAAGAGAATGTCCAGGTTCTTGGATGAGGCTGGGCCGCAGTCGCCCAAAAATGAGCCGGAGCCAATCCGTTCGCCCTCCTCGCCGAAGAAGACCTTTGGAAGCCCAGCATCCCCACGAAAATTGCCTTTTGAACCTGAGAAAGGCGACTCGCAATCAGCTTTTCCCGTGAGCAATGGAGCACCTTTGTTTAATGGATCCGCTTCGCCCAAAAAGACTCAGCCCCAAGTCGACAAGCCCGTGCCAGAGCCTTTAACTCTGCGTCCGAGATCGCCCACCAAGACCCACGCAACGCGAGATCTGCCTTCGCGTTCAAGCACACCCGCTCATGCCTCTCCCTTGGCGACACCCACAAGGTCCCCATCGAAGAGTGCGGGTGATGTGTCTTCTATGATCCATGGTTTCTTTGGCAATGAACGGCCGAAACGGAACTACCAGGTCGATGCAGCTGAGATCCTCATGAATCGGCCCAAAGGCGGTTCTAGAGTACAAACACACAAAGCACAACTCTTTCAAGTCACGGAACAGGGCAAGAAAATCCCTGTTCCAAGTCATTATGAGCGCATATTGTTCGAGCGCGAGATGTACATCTGCTCTCACACCTTCACTGATGAGTCACGAAAGAGGATATCCGAAGTGTATTTCTGGGTTGGTGACGAGGTTGCGCCATCTGCGGTCGAGGATGCTCAGATTTTTGTAAACAGGGAAGCAAAGTCAATGGGTGGTACCTTGATCAAGATGCGTCAGGGCAAGGAGACGGCCGAATTTATCCAAGCCCTCGGCGGCATTGTCATCACACGGCGCGGCTCAAGCAACAAGTACGATTCGCTTGCGTCGAACATACTTTGTGGTCGGCAGTACATGGGCCAGATTGTCTTTGACGAGGTGGACTTCAATTCGTCCATTCTCTGCTCCGGTTTCCCCTATCTGATCACTCAGCAAGGAAAATGCTACTTGTGGAAAGGCAAGGGCGCTGGAGTCGACGAGCTGAGCTGCGCAAGGCTGATAGGCATGGACCTCGCGCTGATGGGCGAGTTAATTGAGATGGATGAAGGTCAGGAGCCGGACACATTTTGGGATTTTTTCGGTGGCGACCGGAAGACGGGATTGAACTCTGCGGATCACTGGAGGCTGAAGCCGAGTTATGAGAAATACTGCGGAAGGCTATTCTGCTCGGATTCAGCCGCTCAAAAGCAGGTACGTTACCGCGATCTCGCCGTTGCTTTATGAATACTTTGTGCTGACAAGCCCCAGATCACCGAGATCAATCCTTTCAGCCAACTTGACCTTTCCTCGGACCGAATTTACGTCCTCGACGCGTTCTTCGAGATGTATGTTATAGTCGGACGCGAGTCACAAGCTCAATATGGCTCCTTCCGCAATGCCCTCGACTTTGCTCAAGAATATGCCATCCTCGCCGCTGGTATGGAAGATCGGCCATTCGTACCCGTCTCAACAATCGTCATGGAGGGAATACCACGGGACCTGAGGAGCGTCTTCCGCAAGTGGAGGGATGACTTGAGTCCAACGAAGATGCTGCCGCCGTCGTCTGGCGGTGGAAGTGCAGGCGGACATCGATCGCCTCTGAAGAGGGCCAGAAGTCTGAGGATCCTGCCGCTGACGCAAGCGTTGCAGGTGTTGGGCAACTCGGAGTAGGAGTCTGAGAGTAGTAGTGTGGATGGCAGAGAGCACACGCAGGCGAGAGTCGGTACTATTATTATGGCGAGTCTGCGATCAGCTCGCCCTGTAGATTTCTGTACACATTGTGGTCAGGCCAGAGTTCTCATAGACGGCCGCTCGGACTCATCGCCGTCGGGCCTCCGTGCCCCTGGGTGGAGGCAGCGTGTTCATTGTGGATTTTGAGAGTGCTGCTTATATACCTATTTGTATTTCGGGCTGCGTATGATGTACAAGCAGGGAAAGTAAATGAAGGAGCAAATTACTGTGCTTGCAGAAATTGTGTTTGTTCACCATAACGTGCGGCGTTGGTACCATCGTCCACCATACAGTACAGCCCATCAGGCCCCTCGTTCAGTGTCTCCTTGTAGATGCCACTTGCGGAGTGTCGAGGCGCTACCGTACAGACTTGGGTACCACATCAACTCTATGCGGAAAGAAATCTGGGTATCATTTTTCGGTCAATTGACCGAAGCCACTATAAAACTCCGTAAATGCCATTAGTCCGTCCTGTTCTGATTCTCGTCCAAGTCGAGGTTTCCTACGCCATCATAGTCCCCAGCAAGTTCCGGTTCCGGACCTGATTGGACAACCTCGTGCACCAACGGCTCACATCTTCAAGCCATCCCGAATCAGAAAACCCCTCACTGCCCGGCTTCCTCCTTGAGCGGCCACTCACCGCCCGTCCCCTTGACGACCTGCGCGACGTCGTCCCGCAGCTCGGGCAGGGCCTCGCCCATCTCGCGGGCCAGGACGTCGCGGAAGGAGGCGAAGGCGTGCATCTTGCCGCGCATGAGCTGGTTCTGGCGGCGCACGAGCTCGACGAACTCGCGCGTGTAGATGTCCGGGTTGCGGCCGCCCTCGACGTACTGGATCAGCTCGTAGGGCAGCGAGGGCAGGTTCTCGGGGGCCGCCGGGTGCGTGGCCACCCGGTGGATGGCCTGCAGGGCCGACGACAGCTGCGTCAGCTGGCTGGCGAGCACGTCGCGCGTGGGCGGCGCGTTGCTGGCGGCGCGCAGGGGCGTGCCGTTGCCGTTGGAGCTGGCGGCCGGGGCGGTGTGCGAGTCGTAGTTGGGGACTTGGATCATGATCTCGTACAGGATCTGGATCACGTCCTTGAGCTGGCCTGGGGTAAAGGTTAGCTGGGTGTCTGGAGTTTGCGGTGCAGTATTGAAAGGTCACTCACGCTCGACAGTATTGTGGTCTGGGTATTCCAGTGGCGCCATGGTTTCGACTTTGTGTTGCGACGGACTGCTGTATTCTTGGGAGTCTTGAGAATAGGGACTTTGTGTGAAGCGTCCGCGGGTAGAGGGAGCTTGGAAATGGATTGACAGATGATTTTAAGCGGTCAGAAGGCCACGAGAGCTACAGGAAACGATGCGACCGCGACGTCAGAGCCAGTTTAGGTTAAAGTCGACGTTGAAGTTGACGTTGAAGTCAGAGGAGGCTGAAAGCCAGAATCCGGGGTTGCTTGGCAGGGGTGGGTCATGCAGGGAGCTTGGGCCCGTGCCGTGAAAATGGGCGGCCGTTGTCACTGCTTGCTGACTGCTCAATTTTGTAACGGCAGACACCACATTGCAACTCCTGCGAACTATCGGATAATCATACGAAGATACAATTCATGTAAATCCAAGAGGCCTTTGTCTTTTCTCTGCTCGTGATTACTAGAAATGGAGTAGATACGACGTCTCTGTAATGTTGCCTTCAAAGTGGGCCTGTTTCTTTCCAAGTATTGCTTTCGCCTTTTTTTCTGCAAAGGACTTCTGGAAGAAACTGTTTTGATTCAACAGGGCCACTCCCCTGGGAGTCACTTAATAAGTAACTTTCAAGGGTTTGAGTGTACTTGTCTGGCAATGCTCAGGGTCACATTTGCAGTACGTTTGAATTGACGCGTCGATCTGTGCTTTTGACGCGTCTTTAACTCTTTCTCGCCTCTGTCCCTGACTCAGCGGAGCTTCAGCATGGTCCATACCTGTCCAGAATGTCATACGGCATGAGCGTCTACGGACGCTTTTCGAGCTCTAATATTGGGGAGGGACTGAGCCCCGCCTGTCTTGCCTGGAAGAAAGAGCTCCATCAAGACCTCGAGTCTATCCACGCTGTTGGAGACTTCGCCGTCCACAATATTCATCAGCAATTCGTCAACCCCGGGCTTGAAGTTGCTGGTTGCCCCATTCCGCTGCCTCTGATCCCGTTGCTTGCCGACCAGATCAAAGCTGTCGCGAGCTTAGCTTCCTGCAGAAGCGGTGACGATACGGTGGTGGACAACTTCAGCCGACTCACTTGGGAGCTCAATCATGACCAATTTCGCGCGGCCAACCCTGCGTGGCCGGCATTCTTGGAAACAATTAAGCAGGGTGCATCTCAAAGTCTTGGTTTGGACGCGTCCGATATAAACGTTGAGCTAGACAAACTTCTCCTGTACGAGAAAGGCTATTCTTGCAGGCGCCATGAGGACTCAGACAGGACGCCAGGGGTTGTTGGACGTCTCATCCTATGCCTACCCTCCGAGCACGCAGGAGGGCAGGTTCACCTCACCTACGCCGGAAAGGAGCATGTGTTTGCCACCGCCCTCTTTTCAGAGTTCGATCTCTCGTCCCTTGCTTGGTATTCTGATGCCACACATGAGGTCAAGGAGATTACTGCAGGGCACCGCCTGGAACTCACCTACAAGATAATTCAAATGTCAGGCTTCGAGAAGTCAGCCGAATTCTTTATCAAGCAGCAGGCGCAGCTCAAGGAGAAGATTGCCAGGTGGCCTGGAGACTTGAACAAGCTTGTGCATTTCCTGGAACACAGGTATTCGCAAAGGAGTTTGTCTTCACGCAATTTGAAAGGACGCGATTGGGCGGTCTATGAGGTGTTGTCAACTGTGTGCTCCGCGGCTGGTATTTACGTCCTCTTTGGCAACATCACGAAGAAAGAGTGTGATCAAGATTCTGACTCAGAGTATTATCGCGATGATGGCGAGGGAATGGGCATCTATCTGGACTATTTGTGCACTGCCGAGGGAAAGAAAATTGCCTCGGGCGTCAAGATGTCTGAGCAACACATCCTGGTAGCCGATCCTTACACCAACCGCTCAGCTGACAGCGAAAGTGAGGGCGAGGATCAGACCGAAGAGGATGGCACTCCAGGCACACTGAAATACCACAATTCCGTAAGTTTCAGTGGCCATGTTTCGGTTACTTTGTTATGTCACTTATTTATCGGGCAGTTGCTAAGAAATTTCTCCATAGGCTGTTGTTCTCATCCCAAGGAACAGGATACACGAGCTATTGGGCTTTGGTGTCGATATATGGGCCACGTTGGCACTTTTCGCCAATGATCAGAAGAGGAACCCCAGAGATGCAAGTATTCCAGTTGATATGCTGAAGCTCATGGATAAGATTCTCGACTTCGGCCTTCCGCCTGCGGGAACGATGCGCCCCAAGACACCCGGAGTTCCTGCACAGATACTCACGGGCCTTGCTGTCATGAGGAATGCGTGGAATCTCAAGGACATCCCACTATACCGCAAAGCTATCCGGTATTGTACTGTAGGCGGCAGCATTCCACCAGAGCTACCAAAGCGGATTGCCACACTTATAAACCAATCATCAACGCCACAAGAAGTGGATTGGAACACATGGTCTGAGATACCCCATTCACATTGTTATGGAATCAGCTCGCTTTGATCGTTGACTGCTTTCTGACATCGAAACAACTCCTAGTCTCGGTGGCCTCCTAGATCTTCCCTTCGATTTGACCCGCATCTTCGCCGCTCTCAACGACTTTGAGAAAGCCCTTGAGAAGGAGGATTTTCAAATCTGCTTTCGTATCTGGGTAGCGCCAGTGAAGCGCACCAAGTTCGAGTCACAGGTGCATTTAAACGTGCATGACCATGATTTCATCGAAGAGCTAGCACACTCTCTGTGGCATGACCACGTCTGGGTTGAGCAAAAGTGAGTATATGCGAAAGAATGACTTGCAACTTGACGCTGACTCTTCCTGCAGGCTCATACCTAAGTTAGAAATCTGTGAAGATAGAGCGCTTGTGAGCAAAATCATCAAGACTCTAGCCGACAAGGACAAGCGTGGCACGCTGCCTGGCTCTGAAGAAGCGGCAAGGAGGGTTTTGAACACGCAGCTACAGCGGCTGTGTCTCGGTCCTATCAACTTGATGTCGCTTCAAGACCAACAAGCCGCCAACGAAGTAGACAGGTTCATCGAACTTGTCGGCGTTTGCCTCGCATCTGGCTTCACAGACGAGGCCCTCAACTTAACGCAAAACATAAAGCCGAACCCGCGTCAGCAGCAACTTGAGCGCCACCATGGGCCGGTTCACTTTATGAACCAGCCAAATCTCGCCCTCAAGCTCGTGCGCAGACTGGGCGACCTGCTGGAACTGCACAAGGCGCCGTTCATGGAGTCCCTGCGGAACGTCTTTGAGGACCTGCTCCGCAACTACGCGCTATCTCCGTTTCCAGTCTACCCGACTCGCTCGGTTGGCTGGGCACACCGGCCGAGGGGTTGCAACGCAGCCTGCGGAGCTTGCAGGGACCTGGACCTGTTCCTCACTGACCCGCAGCAGCAGGTAGGCCGGTTCTGGCTCCTCAAGAAGGCCCGGGATCACGTGGAAATGCGCTTGCCACGGGGCTTCTTCAGGCTTACGGTGGATCCCGGAAGCAAGCCGCACGCCCTCCTCGTCTATAAGATCTCACAAGACGGCGAGTTCCGCGAGGCTGTGGTCGCGTGGGAGAGGAGCGCCGGTTTCCTGCAGAACTCGACAAAAGACCTGCGAAAGGAGCATTTCCGGAAGATCCTGGGCGATGATCTTTACAGGGAGTTGGTCTTACTCGAGGGCCCTCCGGGCTCGAGTATTTCTGGCAATCCCGCTCAGAGCACTGGTGGGGTGAAGCGGGAGGCCGAAGATGAATTGTTGCCTCCTCCTAGGTCTAGGCCGTGGATGATGTGAAAGCAGTATATCTTAATAACAAACAGACGTCCCGTGACTGCACTCAGATGGCAAATATTACCGCTGTACAGTCTGCCCAGAGGCTCATCCAGGAAGTCTGAGTCTGGCCATAATGCTATCTATGCCTATCTCTCCAATCTCTGTCATCTAGAAATGTAGAATATATCCAAGCGTTCTCGTTACCATCACTCGCAGCAAGCAGAATTCTGTTACTTATATATCGAGATGAAGCATTGATTCATTGCAGATGTTGCAAGTCAGCAAATTCCGGGTGGTTACCTACTTCTGAAGAGCAAGCTTACTCCTGTATGGTAGAGCGTGACGGTTGAGAACCAAGTCCTGTTCACTAGCATTGTGGATAATTTTATAGCATTAATTAACGTTCAAAGATACTAATTACTGATTACTTCAAGGTGACCAAAAGCCATCACGAGAAACCAAACACCCTCTTCAGTTGGTCTTGGAAGGTCATCACACGGCCAGGACGCCTATCTCCTGCAAACTCGACCGCACCGTCTCCTCCACCATGGGGATTGCCCTGTGACGCATGTTCATAATGTTTTGTATGGGTCTTTCCGCTGCGCAGTCCATCAGCAGACTTAGATCCATGGACGAGATCAATAGAAGACTGGCCTCCAAGAGATCTCAACGCGGTTTTGGCTGGTGATCTCGCAGCGCCACCAGCATAGCGTTTTACGAATGGGGTGGTCACGGACATGTGTCTATCTTGGAGGCTCGAGGGAAGTAACGTCGACGACCTGTCTTGACTGGACTGGGAAACGTGGCGATCCAGATATTCTGAAGACTCTGACGGAGACTTGGCGTGCTCAACGGAAGCTGATGTGACTGTGGGTGGAGAAGTGGTTTTAGGGGGGCTAATGAAGCGAACGTGCCTGCCAGGTGAGAGGCGATCTGTTTGCAATCTCGAGGACGGGCGCTGGCCTGGTTTCTCGTCGATGAAGGTGAATGGGCGTGACATCTGGACGGCTTTGAACGCAGGTGTAGAAGGGAAATTCGTAGAGTTGAGAATGGTGCTCGACCTCGAAGGGCTAACATTCCGCTTCGGAAACGCGAAGTCTTCAGGTTGTGTGGACCGTTCCTCCGGTGCTAATGGTACTGCTGATCTTACAGGAATCGTGTGAGCCGGAACTGGAGGAGGTGAAGTGGACATTTTGGTGCCGGACTCTATATCAGAGTCTGCGACGCTGGAGTCAGGAGGTGAGAAATAGTCGTCGAGAACCGAGCTTGGACGCTCCGTACAGTCCATTTCATCTGGCCTCTGACTGGGTAGATATTGCATCCATCTAGGGATGGGCTTTGTCTCGCTCCGACGAAAGGCTGGCTCCCCGAGAGGGTCATGCATGGAGACATATATCGGCGAGGGAGTTCGGAACCCATCCTGGCGGTTCGAATCAACTGGAGACTGAAAGGTGCCGACCGGATTATTATGCTCTGATAGTTGATTTGGGGAGCTTCGTGTGTCGTATCGCTCGTCACGAGTTGTTCGGCCCATGCCTTCCTCCCACCGTCTCCTCGATAGGCCTCCATCAAATCGATCGATCCTGCGAAGAGCCATCGGAATCAGATGATCATCGTCCGTTTTCTCCCGAGAGACCTCTTGCACACATTGCCCGCAAAGCGGTATGTCATCAATCTCTCTCCCCTTGCTCCTGTCCATGCCACTTGATAGGCCCGGCTCAGTAAATTCTACATCTTCAAAAAGGTCTCCCACACGCGGGCCCTCGACAACCCTCCTGTCCCCGCAGAGTAAGCAGCCATAGCAGCTCCGATGCCAAAAGCACCACCCAAGGCTCACGCACTCATCTCCACGGAATACAACCTCGCCGCACACCTAGCAGACCGCGAGGTCCAGTAGAGCATTGTAGCACGGCTCGCAGGCCAGACGGGCGTGGGTTCCGACCACTTTTGGTTTGCTCTGAGATTCGGTGGAACTAGACCGCTGAGGGCGCCAGCAGAACGTGCAAATGAATGTCTCCGGCCTACCCGGGGAGGAGACACGTCGAGATGGGTAAGAGACGGCGCGGTTGTGAGTATTGACTACCGCGGGCTGATTAAGGTGTCCATCCCGACCAAAATGGTCAGTGTGTGATGGCAGGTCAGACATATTCAGGATAGAGGGTCGGATGTAGGAGACTTTTCGTGGATATTAAACGAATGAACTTAGATTTATCAGCGACTGAGAGAATTTGAACTGATTGATGTATGATGTTGGAGCGCGAATCTTGCTGCGTTGCTTAGGGACCCAGGGAGCAGCATGGGTGACACTCATTAGAGACGTTGGGAAAAGTGCCAAAGTAGATTATGAGGGGCTCCTTCCGACATATGGCAATTAGTACACAGAAAAGGTAGCGACGGCGGACCGATTTCTAAGGAGGCCAGAGTGAGGTCAATATCTAGGTATCGAACCTGTAGGCACTTAGAAACGTCGACTGCTTTCGAAGTAGGATATGTGAAGGTTGAACACCGTCCTGGACAACGATTAGGTCAATTTGACGCATTCAGTCACAAATCTGACAACAGCCCTCTTATGTAGAATCTCATCTATGCATTCATGCAATCTGGTCCTGCCTGTCCATATTGCTACATCTCCTTTGAAAAAAGAAGACCAAAACAAGTATAACGCCGCAAGTCCTCAGTATGCTCCTTATGACAACCCCTTTTCCTAATCAACTCGAAACTCCGTCGTAAAGCACTCCGTAAGACAGACGATGACTGTAGTGTACAAGGTGCCCTAAGCAACATCCATAGCTGAAGCTACCAGCCGCATCGCGTAACACAAAGACCCGCGGCTTTGAGCAGGCAGAAAGACTCAACCATAGCAAATGGTGAAACCGTTCAGGGTTCTTGTCTGCGGGTCTCAGCCAAGACTATCCATCAGCTTAGATACTTTGGGCTCTCATCATTCCCCCACTCATGAACAATGTGTATCTTGGTGCCTTATGTCCAGAAGACGAAAATCCAGTCTTGCGCAAATGCAGGCGGCGCTCGTATGCATACCTTGAATGCAGAAATGTACAATGCGAAGTACGATAAGCATTGAGCCACGGTTACGTTCGTCCGGGACCAGAAGCGGCAGCCGTAGCCATCAGCTGCTGTAGCGTCCGTGATATGTTTCATCCATAATATCTCTGCCTGTTCCCTGCCTTACTTGCGCTGCTTTGGAGTCGCTAGGTAGGCGAGCCGGCTCATGCTGATTCCAGCGACCTTGCGACCACCGGGTGTAGTGGCTGGGGCTCTCGGCTTGATTGTAGACCTAGCAGGCGTCTTCATCAGATTCTTGCTTGGGCTTCTGACACGTGGCTTCTGCGCCGACGCAAGTCTGGGTGCGACAAGAGCCTCGCCCTCTGGAACACGAGCAGCCTTCATCTTCTTCGCCGCGCGTTCAGCAGCCTCCCTGTCCGCCTCCTCCTCATCGTCCTCGACACGGAGGCGTTTCCTAGCACCCACGCCGTGTGGGAAAGCCTTGACGTCGAAGGGACTCTGGTGGTGGTAGGGCGGCATATTCTCCTTGCCCTTCGGGGCAGCCGTGATGGGCACGTCGGTGGATGGAAATGCACCGGGTATGGCTGGCATGATAGAAGGACGGACCTGGCGCACACTGGATTGTCCGGAGTTGGCACCGAAACCCTTAGGGGAGGAACTGCCAAATCGGATAGTGTGGTCACTGCGGAAGGTGAAGGTGCCGGGAACCGACGGTGGAGCTCGATCTGAATCCTCGGACATTTCATCGTCCATCGAGGAGATGGACTTGGTCTCGGTCGGGGGCTCGGGCAGTGGTCGGAAGCCCGACAGATCGGGGTACGAAACATGGTCAGCCGTGGCGTTGCTCATCACAGAATCGAGAGACGGGTAGTTGACCAGATTGTTGGCCGTCTTCGAGCGAGGAATACCCGACTTGACAGGAGACGGAGAGTTCTGCGCCAAAGCAGCATGCTTGGGTGCAGGGGTGAAGTGACCAGACCTGAAGCTGTTCTTGCCCGGAGTAGTCTGAGGAGCGGGAGGGAGTTCAGTTTGGGCGCGCACAGGAGCGGGTGTCTTGGACATTCCCGCAGTAGGCTTGGGAATACCAGGTCCGCGTGCGGAGCCAATGCTCTTGTGCTTGGCAAACATGGATTTGACCTTATCAAATCGACTCGGGCTTCGCAGCTTGGCTGGTGCTTCCTCCTTTGCCTCACTCGTCGAGCCCAAATCTCCGACGGTTGCAGACTTCTTTAAACCTGTCAAAGTAATCTTTGACGGGGACCTGAGCAACGACCGAGATGTTGTTGGAGTCTTAATCGAAGCTGCCCGTGCAAGGGATGCTTGGGTGGGCGACATGATGTTCGCGACAGCAGACTTGGAAAGCAAAATGCCACGAGGGCCTTTGCCAGGAGTCCTTGGACGAGGGATGTTGCTGTTATCCCACGAGATCGGCCGGTTCGTAGAGGCATCATCGTGAGCACCCTGCTTGGTACGCTTTGCTGGAGATTCTGGATCACAAGTAGGTGTGTGAACCTTCTTGGACGACTTGGATGTCGGGAGCTTGGCGGGAGTGTTGACACCTGGGGTTTCGCTATCGTCGATGTTTGCTTTCGACTGGGAGCGCTTAATGCCCTTCTTGGGTGCTGCGCCAGGGGTGGATTTGCTGGCTCGAAAAGCAGAGGGATGGTTCTCGATAGAATCCATCTTCTTGAAGTCAGCCATATGGACGGCAGAGTAGCGGCCAGCCTTGCCCTTGGGCCGGGCGATCTTGCGCGCGTTGACCTGTTCTTCCTCCACGCGTTCCTGCTCACGCTTAGCTGCGAGCTCGGCCTTGATCTTCGCGGCCTCTTCGCGGATGTCGTTCATCATACGCTTGGCCTCTGGGCCAAGAGCGGCGTCAGTTGCGCTCGGGATGGCGTGTTGCAAAGTGAATGGCGAGGAGGGGGCGTTAGTCTTGGAGGGCGTGGACTGCAGAGCGCCAACACCAATCTTATTGGAGGCTTTGGGCTTGATGTCAGTGAAGCCCAGCCGTAGGGCAGATGACGGTGCTGCCATGGTGGGGTGAACTTTGCTGGGGTGCATCTCGGACATTGGCGGCTTCATGAGGGACTTCGTGGAAGGAGTTCGGGGGTTGATGGCCGGGGAGGACATGATGGCGTTGAGACTCTGGGTGGGCTCGTCGACAGGACTCTCCTCGCGTTCGACGACTGATTCGAGGGGTGCGGAAGGCGGTGCGATGGGTTCGGCCTGCAACGCGCGTGGCTGGTGTGAGCGGTGGCGAGACTTGTTGCGGAGAAGTAGTGTTTGTTTACTTACCCTTGTAGCACTGGCCAGGCGGGCAGATCGACGTCTAGCCATGATTGATGATGGCGGTGCTGGAGGTTGTCACCAGGCGGAACAGATAAGCTTGATGGTCTCGGGAGCAATGGGCGCTGTCTCAGAAGGAACAATTGCAAGGTTGCAGGCTTGGGAATGGGAGATTGTGTGGGGGATGAAATTGAGGGTGATGTAGACTACGGTGTAGTCTAGACGCGGTTTTGACGGTTGCTGGGTGGAGCCACCTCCCCAAGTCAACAAATAATCAGGTGGTCCAAGCTCCCTGCTCGTCCGCAGCGTTCAGGTTCAGGGGTCCTTGGTCGGCGCGAGCCGATTTGCCCTTGCGGATCGACGGCGTGACATATGCACAACCGGTACAACCTCCCTTTCTATGATCGCCAGCATTGTTCATCAGTTCCTGAGTCCGCCTGGCTAGCTTCCGAGGTACACTTGTATCTTGGTGTCTCAGCCCACGTATGTCCTGATGCTCTAGCGACGAGAGATCATCAGCACCAGGAAGGACTTTCCTTAGTAGGGTCTTACGTCTTGGGAGCAGATTTAGGCCACTCGCATCAGCCATGCGACATGGCACAAGAAGAACCTGTCGACACCCAGATATGAACGAAGCTGGCGTCATGCCGCGGGATCGCAATATCGCAGGACTGCAGGACGGCCGTAGCATATGAATGTTCGACAACGCTGCCATACCTGGGGGCATCGCGGGCGAAACTATCTCCCCGGCCACGTCCCGAGCAGATATGACAGAGATGCCAGGAGAGCTCACGCCATTTATGCCAGCAGGTGGAACACGGACGAGGATGCGGCTCAAGAGCTGAGACGGCTTGGTAAGCTTGCACAGCCAGCTCTACGTCACGTAACGTCGTCGCATTCGAGCTGGCTGCATCCATCGTCGATATATTTCCGTCTACTTCGGAAATACGCAGCAGCGCCTACTTTTTGCGCCTCGCGATTAGAACTTTTCAGCGTCACCTGTGTGCTCGGATATCCCGGGCTGTTTGGAACAGTCCAACTGAACAAGGACGCCGTCATCCACTTGTTTGAGATGTCACCACCTTGTTTCGGCCAAGGTGCACATCCAAAACACCAGGAGCCCGACATAGCCCCGGCGCCCCGTTGCGGCGCCCACTCACCGGAGGCTTCGTGCGGCTAACGGCACCCAAGTGCCTCTAGGCGAGTTTTTATGCTTGTGCCAATCAACGACGGGACGAAATGATCGGACGGCAGAGCAGCCACTGAAGATCGGCTCAGTGGGCAGAGCTCTGTAAGGCTCTGCTCTTGGCATCTGGTCTTTGCCGGGAAATGGGGGGCCTGCCAAGAGCCTCACCCGTCAGAAATGGGAATAACTTCAAACTGTACGCGAATGCCTGTTCAAGCGTACGCCCCCTTCAAGCAAATGGGCGCCCTGGACCGAGATACTCTCGGCGCCGAGTTTGTCATGATGCGCAAGCGACAGCATGACTATGGCAAAACCACGGTACATCACATCACACCCCACCGGGGCAGACAAGATTGACAAGTACCCTGGGAAGTTTGTCAGCACGTCTCGAGGCTCATAGGGTGCCTTGATCAGATATCAGGCGAGGGACCACGCCCCGAATGCAGGTTTGGATGAGTCCCATCTCTGCTCTCTGTCCCTACTCTTCGTCCTAATTGTGTCTGTCATTTTCAAAGACAGCGTTGCTGTGGAACAGCATCTTCCTTTCTCTCAGTCCTTGGCTCATATCTCGTCGTTGAACGACTCCTTAGATTTTTAATTCACCCGACCAAGACTTTTCATAAGCGGTCTATCATTTATACGCTCGTGCAACCGAAAATGTTGGTCATCGGGATCATCGGTCTGCTAGGGGCTGCTGTCAACGCCTTGCCACAGACCGAAGTCATTCACACGGATGCTGTCTCTAGATCCGGGAGGAGGTTCATCAGTTAGTGCTTGGACTGCTTAAGGACTGATTAGACCTGGGCATTGTATTGACAACTTACCTGTGTAGTTCGCCGCAATGTCTACCCGAAAGTCAAGAGGGCCAATCAGATTATACCGGTCGTAGTCGGAGGGCCGCAGGATACATATGTGCCCAACGTTGTTACTGCAGCGGTCGGCGATGTTGTCCAATTTCAATTCAGTAATGGCAACCATACTGTCACTCAGAGCGCAGCGGATCAGGGATGCACTCCTCTGCAGGCCACAGTACCTACTGGTACGTTTAAGCCTGGCCCTTTTTCGATGCCACATTCAATCCTTCCGATGACATTTCAGAATCTGTCAAGCGTTGTTTTGGAACACAAATTAACATAACCCTAGCCGTACACTCCGGCCATATCCCATTCCAGGACGGGCAGCAGGACGTCGGCACTTTCAACCTCGTCGTTGCGAACACCGATCCCATGTTCCTTTACTGCGCAACCGGGCCTCACTGCCAGGAAGGACAAGTTATGGTCATTAATCCGTGAGTAATCTCCGCCCTTTGTTCGGCAACTACAAGAAGTCTTCCACTATCAGACGATCATGACTGACACCTTTCGCAGACAAACTGTGAACCAGGTTGTGGACTATGCCAAAGTGAGCCAGGCCACCACCCAAAGTACTGATGGCACTACTGTCGTGGGAGGCGCTGTCGGCAAAATCGCCCTGGGTAACGCTGCCTTCGTGCCTGCACCTGCTCAGCAAGGAGGAGCACCTCCTGGGGCAGCGCCAGCGGCCGCTCCGGCAGCAGCCCCAGCAGCAGCCCCTCCAGCTGAGGCAGCAGCTCCGGCGGCATCGCCTCCTCCAGCAGAAGCAGCTCCCCCGGCACAGGCAGCTCCGGCAGAAGCAGCTCCAGCCACACCAGCCTAAGTTGCGTGCGGCGGCGAGTACAAGAGCGTGGCCAGCTGTCTCGTTGGGATTTAGATGTCTTCGCGGCTTGGGCACTCTCAATCAGCAGTGGGCAACCACAGCCGAGTTAGCCGTCACGTTATCGACGGGTCGTGTTTTGTGAGGTCCACAAGAGTCACCCAGCGGTCCGCGTCTGGCAGTTGTGTGTTATTCGTTGTACATACATACATTTTATGTCGCATCTGAGTCCTTTAGGCCCCTTGCCGCTTTTTGTACAGGCTGGCCCTGATTTGGAACGCTCTGACACATTTGATGGATAGCTTCTGAATAGATAGTATATAATCTAAGATTTGGTTAACCGAGTGTGCTCTGTCAAAGCTAAGCTGCATTATGAGAATATCAGATAACAGGCTGGGAATGTATGTCACATTGTCAGTCCAATCTACCGCACCGAGGAACAGAGCTGTATTCAGAAATGACAAAGGGACCAAGTGTTCGGAATATGTTTCTGCCCAGATATTCTCTTACGATCTCCAGTTGCACGGATTTACGGCGTTTTCTTCAGCATAATACTCGATTAATATAGATGTCTCTCTTTCTCACTTTGCATGCCTATTCGGGTAACTAAGAAGTGCAAGGAGGCGTTGATCCGCAGTGACATTGGTCGATGATCCTACCCAAGATTGCAGGCCGCTCTTGAAGATAGCGCCGCTAGAAGCATTCTAGAAGGTGGCATTTCGGCTAGCCTCTTTCTTGTGAGGATGCCATTGCTCAACCGATCCTAATGTGCATTCGCCACAGCAATTGGCGTCCCTTAGTGCATGATGTCTTGTTATCAGATCTATCTCCTTGATATCGAGTCCCAGGCATTATTGGGGCTAGACACGGCATATGGAAGCGCAGGCTGGCCAGGATGGAGCGATAACATTTCACGATGAGACGAAATGGGTTCTGCAGGATGATGGCATCATGATGCGCGAGCACGACCTGGTGCATTCAAGAGTGCGGCGCCAATCACAGCTTGAATGCACCGCGCAGCATCTCCTGGCACCTGCGATTCTGTCACTCGGGTAGATTACCGCCTCGTTTGCAGCACGCAGGCCAGACACGCAGGCGGGCAGGCAGGCTACTGCAGCGTATGGCGACACTGCAGGACGGCTGCATCAGAAGCGACACGTGGGATTTCGCGCAGGACCTCGATCGTCGACAGGCCGGGCCCCATCGAGGCCGACAGCGACTCCATTTCGCTTCGTCGAAGATATCTACTACATATACCACCAGCAGAGAAGTTGACCTGGCTCTGGGGAGGTTCAAAGAAGCTCGAGATCCAGAAACGTGGGCCGTCGGGTGCCCATTGGCTGCGGATAGAGATGCCTTCTCGAGGCAATTAGGCGAGAGCCTAGCCTCGATTTTCCCCACACACCTGGCTGGCCTTGCTCTCTTGGTGGGCATTGGTGGCCCTGGGCCTCCGAGGAGATGCAGACTTTGACCAACTGCACGTCTGCTACAACCGTGTCAACGGGCTTTGCTCTGGCCATCCGTCCCAGCCAGCCCAGCCGGCATCCAGCCCCCTTAGACCAATTCAGTCACCGAGCAGATGCGGGCATTGACTGTCTGGTCAGACAGGATTGCATGGCTTTCGCCTTTCGCGGGGGCGCTTAAGGGCGGCAGATGCAGGTTCTCCTCCCCCTCTTGCGTCCTGCCCAGCTGCCCAACTTGCCCTCGCCAGCGCGGGGCCACGACGACGAGCTCGTGCTCTCGTGCTCGTGCTCGCTGTCCCCGACTGCAGGATGGGACCCACCACGGCCGTCCTCGTACCTGTGCGCCAGTCTCCTGACCTTCTAGCTCTTATTCTTACACAGCACTTGCCTACTCGTCTGCGGCCTCTCTCACTCATCCGCTATTGTTCCTTGAGGTGGTGCAGTGGCGGCGGGCAACCAGCTGCAACCCCAGGGGACAGGACAGCACTCACAGCTGAAACCCGATCCAGCAAGACGGTAGCCCAAGACTCTAGTCCGCAGAAGCTAGACTTTTCGATCCATCCATCGTGACGTTTAGGATCGGCGCCTTAACGCACTCCTGTCACCTCTTGCGTTCCCAGTGGGTGTAGTCAACTCGCAGGCGGTCGTGATGGTGGTGAGGACGGCAGCCTCGACATGGGCTTCGGGTGGTTCAGGGTGATATCCTCCAAGAAGCTGATTGACCGATTGACAGATTGACGGATCGTGGAGCGAGGGCTGCCGGAGGAATCCAAGCGATCTACACCCACCAGAGCTCAGAATTTTCCGCAACGCCATGCCTAACTGCCAAATAACCACAGGGATGGTTGCTGGATCTTGGTAGAAGGTGGCCAGTATTGACTGAGTGAGGCCCGGGATACTTGCACCACAAGTACTCTTCCTTGTTAGTACAGACCCCGCCTGCGACTCCCGGCCGCCTGGGCAAGGAAGGGGCCGTGAAATCTGAAATGCAGATCACACTGGACTGGGTCTCTCCCTCGCAAACCAGCCCAAGACGGCTGGACGGATGCATTCCCAGCCTCGTCTGGTCTCGAAGCAGCCTGGTGATCTTGGGGAATGCATCGCCAGCACAATGAAAAGGGCTGGTGGTGGTTTCTGCCTTGACCCCTCAGTCTGTGTGGTGCACACAGAGCGTCTGCAATGTATCCGCAGCGGAGAGCAAAGCTTCGAACACCTCGGTAAAGCACATTGTTCACACCATGATGCCGATATCGCTTACTGGCACAGACCCATCCAGGGATCTGGAACACGCCAGTGCAATCTGAGATTGACGACATTCGACATTGAAAGACGAACAGCAAAACTCTCAAAAAATCGTGACCGTAGCGAGTCAAGCACGGCATTATTCTCTCTTTGTGTTCGTTGGTACGATGACGGCGTCAAGATAGAGGCACGGTGGCCGAGGGGAGCAACATGTCTTTTGTTTACACTCCAGGATCCGGCTGCGAAGACGGTCCTCTGATCACTTCCTACCGGGGATCTCCGACTTACACAGTGTTCTTTCTCACACACATGTAACCTGCCATTCATTCCAAAGTCTCCAACCAGTAAGCATCAGCTTCATCATCGTGCATTTGCTGCTACAAGAAGCACGCGGGACGCATATAAGACTCAAGGCGAGTCAAGCACAAGGTAAGTAAGATGCAGTCGCTGGCTTACACAGATGGTCTCGAGACCAAGCGACGTCCTCCCTGCTGTCTGGCCTGCTCGGGCCGAGTGTCTCCTTGAACTGGGCGTGACGCGACTCGCGCACATCATCAATGTCGAAAGTCGAGAATCGGAGCGGGGATTTGAATGAGATGACAGATCTTGGCAACTCCAGTCAACCGGGAGATCGGTCACTGGAACGTGGCTTCATTTGGTGGTCCGACACCTCTCTCATCAGACAGACTGGTGATGATTTCGCTGCCTCGCCATCATCTTCCCCTTGAGCCAGCCACGAGGGTCAGACGCCGCAATGGCGCAGCACAGTCATACCAAAAGAGCCCACAGCCCCATCTCAGCACGAGCAAGGCCCTTGGCAGTCACTGTCACCGTAGCGTCTCGATCTTTGCGCCGAGGGGCCATGGCAGGGCGGAGAGGAGTGAGCTGAGTCTCAAAATGGATCCTCAGCTCAGGGGTGCAGGAAGGCTCCAACTTTGAACCTTGTTCCTGCTGGAGGACACTAATGGCCTGCATGCAGTGTGTCGTAGTCTTTTGGTGCTACTGATGTTTATATTGTCCATCGACAGAGCTCAATAACCCACGGGTGCACATATGTTGAGGCATATCGGTTTCCAAGGCAGCATTGTAAATCCGTGTGAGGACGGCGCTCCTCATCGGAAAGCCTTTGCGCAGAAGGCCCGGTTTCGCGCACCAAGCTTTAGGTGGGACTTCCTTACCGCAAGCTATACCTGGGTGCGCGAGGCCACGATGATAGAAAGGAGGTACAAACTTGAACCGACACGTCCGGCTCTCGGTCGACTTCCGCACCCTTATTCGTCCAACAGCAGGCCCCTGAGTGCTATAGCAGCAAGGCAGTATGGTTGGTGTGTCGGAGCGGTGCGCTTTGTCCAGGTGCGGCATCCAAGTGATGTCAACCTTGCAGGTCTGCAGGAATAGGGAGAGGGCAGCTTTCTAGGGAGCAGGAGACTTGCGCTCCAAGTACCGCCATTCTCATGACTAAAATACCCGCTCACCCCAAAATTTGCGACGGCTCCGCTCGACTTCCTCGTCCTGGAAGCCTTCTGTCTGCCTGCTTGGATGTTTCGTTCTGCCTCGACAAATTTTTCCATTGCGCTGTGTCTTCTGGACATCTCGTCACCGTGGCATCTCAGTTGCCCCAAGCCGTCGGATATCCATGGGAACCGTCACATCCAGACCTTAGAGAGCGCTGCAACCTTTGGGTGTTCTCAACGACCAGCTTCGAGACCCGACCCCAAAGTCTAACGCAATCTCCTGCAGCTCCTAGGTCCGGTCGAGCCAACGGTTCATTGACTGCCAAGTCAGGATCCCAGGTCAGCTGTTGCAGAGGCGGGACTGATCAACCACCGCCTGTCCTGTCCAGTCGTGTCCGGCCCTGTCCTGTGCTGCTGTTAGACCGATCATCATCAACACGACGACGGTCGAGGCTGGTCTCTTCCAGGCTGCGTGGAGAGCTCCAATTCGAGGGCAATTTCCAGAGTTGGAGGGGCGGGAAAAGGCCGTTGTTTCTGCGACCACTCGAAAGCAGCCCCGAGCGTGCGTGTGTCCATTGACCAGCTTCCCGAGGAGGGTCGAGGGCACATCGACTACCGGTATCGAACTGACCCCTCCTAGAACTTCCGGAGAGGGTGCTCAACGCGACTTTTATACCTGCCACACCTTTCTCGACTCAGGGTTTGTGGACCATTGCACCATTGCAAAAACCGATTCGCGTTACCTAAAGACAGGCCCACAGCGGACCAGTCGACGTAGACAAGGCTCATCACGCGCAGTGAGGGGCCCTCGTCGCACGCTAGAGGTCGGCTGCCAGGACGAGCAAGGTCAAGGTCAAAGACCGCCGCCGTGAGCCAGACCAGGGCAGGGCATAGCGGAGCAGAGCTTGGTCGGCCCAGGCGCCACGGCACGGGTCCGTGGTTGATTTCCCCCACTACAAGTGTTGCGACGTTCCATTTCAATTACGTATAAACCCTCGCCCTTCTGCCTTTTCTTTACACACACAAACTCTACGACCTGTCACCGTCATTTCCCTTATCTCTGGGCTGCCCAAAGTTGAGCTCGACAATCTGTCAAACGCTGCCCCGCGACCACGCTTTGATCCTGCAGCCGTCTGATCTCCCTGTATCCCCGGTAAGGACCAGCCTATCCTGGATGTCAATCAGGCACGAGTGCCACCAAAAAGGTCCCAGACTGCCGGATCTGCAGCTGCCCTACGACGAGGCCCGGAGCCCTGATTGGCGCCACCCCCAGATTGCTCTGAAACTTCCCCGGACATATCGCTGATCGGGCATTTCTTACCCCAGCTTTGGATATCTACCTACAGTACTCCGTACACTACACCGCCAGCCCTATCTCTACCGGCACCCTCTAAGGTTGTAGAGATAGATAACGGCCTGCCGTGTTAGGCTGTGCCCAGTGGACTATCGCCTGTCAGCCCACCTCGTACCGGGCTGTCGGTAGACAGGCCTCGAGGCTCCTCTCGCCCCGGCTCGGCAGAACTTTAGCAGTTGCAATTACCAAACTGCTATCGCCGCCTCGCTTACCGGGCCCAGTCACGTCGTCGGTGGCCGCTATCTCCTTTGTGAGGACTGAGGCGTTTGCCGTCCCTTTGCGGCAATCGTCTCCACTACCAGCCAGGGGCATGGCAACAGACAAGCCTTCTGATGATAATAAGAAAGAACCTATCAAACAGGATAGTGAAGAGTCCCCATTGGGTTCGAGCCCTGATGGAGACGGCGACGGAGAGCCGGCAGATTCGGGCGAGCAGGGCCAGGCCCTCCCCACCCCGGAGGGCCAGGCGCCCAAGCGGAAGGGAGGTCGAAAGCCGGTATGTCAACATTTCGTGGCTTTATCAATTTTGTCGGGGTGTTTTCGAATCGTCCCTTGGGAGGTGTTATGTCTGAATGGGCCGTGCTTGGATTTGTATTCGTGGCGAAGAGCTAACAGTGCTCTAGATTTACGCGACCACAGAGGAGAGGAAGCAACGAAACCGCCAGGCTCAGGCAGCTTTCCGGGAGCGGCGGACCGAGTACATCAAGCAGCTTGAGCAGACCATCAGTGTCCAGGAGCAGACACTGGCGAATCTGAATGCAGCCCACCGTACCGCCGCGGACGAATGTCTCATGCTGAGATATAAGAACTCCCTGCTTGAGCGCATACTCCTCGAAAAAGGCATTGATGTGCAAGCTGAGCTTCAGGCCAAGCATGGCAGCCCCAATTTTGGCCCAACTCACATGCCTCAGAACATAATTCAGCCGCCGCCAATATCGAGAACGTTACTGAATAGACACCACTCTCGGAGGTCTACCTCCAGCATCGCACCGAAGCTTGAGCCTGGTTACAGCACACTACCTCCGATACATGGGGGCAATCCCCCAGCGGGATCTCCTAAATCTCGGCCGACGCCTTCGTCGCATGCGGCATCTCCTACGACGACCGAGGGTTTTGGAAATTCACCGGCGTCATCTGAGAACGTCGGCCCTGGAGGCATGCGGCCTGGGATGCCGTCCGCCGGAATGAAGCAGCCAATGGGCCAAATGCCAGGCCCATCACGAATGATGCCGCCCATGCAAGGAGGCCTTGGTCAACACTCCGGACAAGGGTCACATGCAGGCAGGATGGCGGCGCCGAATGTTAGCAATGCGCCGTTCTACCAGACACCCGCGTACCAAAATCATATTGAGCAACTCGGTAAGTTGGCAACTTTCTGGCTTCAGCTTATTCCTTTCTTCCTTGTTTCGTCGAACTCTGTGGTTTCACAAGTGCTAACAGAGCCGTAGAGCAAGAATACGATGCCGCAGCTGATATGATGGACGAGGGTGGCGAGGCACCAGAAACGCCCTCCGGACCGGGTCCCTATCCCGGTGCTGGCTATGCCGCCGCCGCCGCTGCTGCTGCTGCTCAACAGCACCAAGCTATGAGCCCAACGACGACAGGGCCAATGGAGCCGAATGCCGCAACAGGGCATCCACAGGGGCATCAGCATGGACTTTCAATGACGCAACTGCTAGACCCTTCGATGGATTGGGACCCCTTCGGCTTGAGTGCCAGCATGGCTTTCCCGTCATCATTCTCCTTCGACACGAGCAACATGAGATGAGTCAAGTAATGCATCTGTGGGAACAATAATGGCGCATCGTTCAACATGCCCGAGGCGTCAGGACCAGTTGTGTCTAGCGTCCACATACCTCTTGAACAGAGAGAGAGCGATTGACAGAAGTCCACGTAAGGACGGGAGCTGAAGCAAGACAGAATCCTTCGAAATTTGACCAGGAGTGGTTGGTGCGACGAGATACGGCAAACTGCCTCGATGGCGTCGTCAATTTGTATGACATTTTAAAAACATCATTGGGCGGACAAAAAAAGTTTTTGTTTTACTTCGATACCCCCGGGAAACGCGCTGCATATAACGGTGGGACGGTTCATCTTCACATATCAAAGTTACGACCACGAAGGAACTCACGGGACTCCCAATTTACAATTTTGAGTCCACGGCCCAGCGCTCACGTGGTCCGATCGCGACTGTGGCACTCGAAAATACGGAGCAGACGGCGAATTCCTCCGCGTCGTCGTGACGGTCACCTTCGGGCGGCGTCATCTTGTGTACACTGTATATACTAAAACTTACTTCACCGCATTGGAAGGCGTGAGCCCAGAAGGGAAGGCTTTTTCTTGGGACCGAGGCGGGTCAAATTGTCCTGTCAAGTGGAACTGCAGAGGTCTGGGGGTTAAGGGTGCACCAAAAGTATCTGTTTAAAGCGACTTTTTCGTGTCAATTACTCAACACAGATCTCTAAGACTTTTTAGACGCTGTGCATTTGTGTAATGTCAGATAGTAGCAACTTCGAGGCCATTCGGTTGGCTCGGAGAGGAGCGAAATACTCGTGCATTAGACCTGAAGGCTGTTTGCTACATTTTTTCCAAGTGACAATTGGCTAAGCAATTCGCGTGCGTTGGAAGCTTTACTCAGGTCACCTAAAACTAGACTTGCCTTCGCGGACCAAGACTACTGCAGACGATGTCGCGCGTTCACGTCCCCCTGACGCCGCTCAAGTCCGATGAAGGCTCCAGCTGTTTCCTACTCTTGGTAGCGCATCTTCGTGTGGCAAAAATGCAAGGGGGATATGCTATCATCCGTTTCCAACAAGATTCTGCGGGATTACTGTGATAACCTTGAAGTGTTCACTGTTGTAACAGTCCCTTTCAGTCAAGAAAAAAATGAAATGAATTCATAATCATGGAAAGGCGTGCGACAAGACTCTGGGACAGTCAATCCTTATGCCATGGTGTTAATCTGATCATAAGCGCCACATTCTGCCACAACAAGCAGTCTGTTTAAGTCTCACCCATTCTTGACACTCGCCCGAGCCCAGCGTGCGGGTCAATTTTAATCCCAGGTGCTGCGATCATGATGCGGATCGGTCTTTCATAGAAGGAAGGTTAGTCTTCGTATTCTTCATGTGCCTCAGTCGGCGGACGGGTCCTAAAGTATGAGATCGCACGGAACGGTAAGGAGAAGGCTTGCTGCCGGTCACTACAAGCTCGAATTTGAAGATGAGAATAAGATAGCGTCTTCCTGTCTTACCCACCTCCCAGCCTCCCAGCCACCGCTCGAGTTGAAGTTGTCGGGGATCCTGACGTTGGCTGAATCACGGTATGTCAATCCAGGATTGCTTGCGGACTCAGTACTACCATCAAGATCATTCCACGGTCTCGCATATGGCCATGTCCCATTGGCAATCGCCTTTAAGAGGTCGTGCTCTGGTGGGGTATAGAAGAGGCGTGGCCGACAGGTACTTCTTTGGAAATTCGCGCCCAAGCATAAAATCAGCAGTCTTGAAGCAAGTGAAGTCCTACCAAAACTGAGCTCGATGTCAATCTTGGTCCTTGTAAAATTGACCAACTCGGCTTGATTGACGGATCTCTCGATCGGTGCCTCTGGAGAGTACTAGAACTGTTGGCTTATCATTCAGCAGCGAGCAAAGACGCCGAGAAGTTTCTTGTTACGAAATGGCTCGGTAGATTTACTTAAATGGCATCAATGTATGTAAAGGCTATTGAACAAGCATCGTACACGTCATGGATGGGGCCGAAGTGTGACGAAAGCAGGTGCTGTTCTAAGGCTTGAGGCCGCCCAGAAGACCGGAAGAGACAGATCCTCTGCTTAATGAACATTTCTTGAGTAGAATGCAGTTTTGATTGTATGCGGAGCCTAGCTTCAATTTGACGACGAGGTTGAAAATCTAAGAAGACAGAACCACATAATACTTTTTGGGGGACCTGGGGAAGTGTTTTTCGATCCACGATTATCCCATGAGGATTGGTCATTTTGGGCTAACTTTCTTGTTAATACGTTACTTTGTGCCAGATTCTTGGTTGTGTTCGCTAAAGCAAACTCCCGGAATTTGGTAGAATGTCTCGTCTTTGCGTGCCCTTGATATATTCACTTGCCACGAAGAAGTTGGGGCTCGGAGTCTGTCTCAACATCGACTTCTATTTGTCTGACAGAATCTGAGCCCAACAGTATGTCGAAGAGAATTGCTCTTTTAGGAATTTCAAGAAGTAAAGGCCGGCACTGTCTTCTCTGTTTAAGACACATTACCGCGCCTCCCCCCCCCACGCGATGGCAACATCCAGCCATGCTATTCATGTGTGGTGAGAGAGGATGGCGTATGAAATACAATATGAATAGCGTCTCGGCTTATAGACAGGCCCAACTTTCAAAAACTTCGCATACCTAGTATGAAGGGGCGACTTAGTTGATCACTAACCTCATCGCCAACCTTGGATTGAGTCACCCATACTTGATAAATTTAAGTACATATACTTAATTATCATTTAAACAGAGCCATAAGCAACCTCAAAAGCCCGACTAAGACCATCTCGCTAACGTGGATGCTATAAGTGACTACACGCTATTATGGGGTAGTGTACACCGGATCTGCCGCGGCCAGGCGACCGCGAAGATATCCATCGAGATCATCTGTGCATGCCCCCTCTGGACGTCCGGATACAGGCGCACCCTGGATCTCGTCACGGGGCGAGAAGGCGTCTCGAGCCTCGATTTAGAGAAGGACAAGGTCTTTGTACTCGAGAAGAACCCGCACCGGATTGTGTGGCTAAGACACAGAGCTTTGTTGAAATACTTTAGATTGAGTTTGATTGAATCGTGGAGGTCTCAAGGCACTACGAAGCTGAAAGTTCAGTAGAAGGCGCAGCCTAGAATGAAAGGCTTCGTGATATCCACATTACTATATGATGACTATGAGTGGACAAGACAAAGATACGCACACTACAAGCTAAACGTGTTATCATGTCTCACGAAAACAATGATTGCCTCGATTGCCTGATGCCTACCAGTCCTGTAAGTGTGCCCAATTCCAGCATCTTTCCACCCAAACAGAGTCTTAAACTGGGGCACACTGTACTGTACTGATTGGCCTATCCGAACGCTACTCGGTTCCACGGAGATCAGGGTTTCTTCCTTTTCTCACAGAGTCAATTCGACCACATCGTAGCGCCATACTTTTACTGAGAATTTTGTGATTTACATTTTGTGTGACACGTCAAGACAGCAGCACAGCATTACTCGATGTTCACCCCCACGAGATTGACTGTTTGGCCCTGGGCACTTGTCTTGTCTTGTCTCGCCTCACCTCTCGTCACCGCAGCATCACGAAACGTGGGGTGATGGGCGTTGATAACTTGCCCGCTGCACGCGCACAAACTCAAAATACCGGAGCGATGAGAGAGTTATCATACAGCGCTGTGGAATTCCCCCTCAATCTGCGATGGAACCACATAATCAGGGAAGTCTGGGGCCACGAGGAGGGAGAGGTACGAGGTGGGTACATGAGCCGTGTGCGATCGATGGCCCATCTTGGGCTGTAAGTGAGGCCAATCAGAGGCGGCGGCGGGTCCAACGTGATAAGAAGGTGGTGTGGGAGAGGGCGGAGGGTGGTGGCAGTGGGTGGGTGGTGGTGGGCTCAACAAAGTCGGGGCTAGGCAATCAGACAATCTGGAGGAGACTCGGCTAAGACAGGCACACGATGTCAGTTGACGTTGTGCACGCGCGCAATCGTTTGGCTGGCGACGGACAAAGTGGCCACTCCGTTCGGCCTGGAAGAAACGTGGTCCAGACACGTCCCGGGTTGACAGTGAAACAGGCACTTGAGATTAGGTACTATGGGCAGGACGGGCGGTCTCTCGGATTGAGGGATGAGTCGAGTCGCGTCGAGTCGACTCGACCCATGCTGGGCCGACTGTGTCCCATGCTCTCATAGCAGCAACCTGGCTTGGCGCCCTATAAGCCATAACTCTTATCTTCCTCTAGTCCAAACGACGTGTGCCCAGCTAATGACCCAGTGACCATGCAGCAGACTGAGCAAGCCATGGCGGGCTCGCGAGAGTCGCCGTGTTTCGGCGTGGACTCGCAACCCGGGAGCATGGCGCCGATCCAAGCGAGAACTAGCAGAAGGCAGCTGAAGGAGGATAAAGACACTCCGGCCGCGCGATCCGATGGGGGGGGGGCCCTCTCCAACTCGAGGTGGGTGACGTGGAGAGGAGAGCGACAAATAATGCACAACCAAGGCCAAGGCGCCTCGAGTCTTGACGCAGTCTGCATCGAGCACGCGGGGATGACCCCAGGCCTGGTGCCGGCGCTGGTGACGGTGCTGCAGCATGACAGACCCAGCAGAGGCCGTCTCAGCAAATGATCACCACGCCTGCTGGGCACATCTCCCGATGACAGGCGAAATGTTGCAGAAGAAAAAGTAACTGTCGGACAGTTGTCTGTCGCCCATCCACACAGATGCCAGATCTCACGTCCCATCCATCCCACCACGCGAGAGACAGGGAGCTGCAGAGACAACGGCTTGGCCGATCAATGACGGAAGCGGTAACGGAAATGCCGTTCAGCGAGGGTGGTCATCTTCATCAACCCGTGTCCATCAGGCACCGCATCAGCCCTGCTGCGCTACCGAGATCAGAGTAATCACAGCGCCTGAGTGAGCGACGCTCACCTTCTGAGAGACAAGTGATTAGTGCATACCTCGATTCTTGCTCGCATTACACCGTGACAATGGGTTTCACTTTGTGTGAAGTACCGACGGACTTCGAAACTCCCGAGGTCTTTGGATTCTCAGACCCCGAGGGCATACACCAGCACCGGAACAGGAACCCATCGTCAAACAGGCGACTTATACAGTAGGCTGCTGCTATCTGTCACCAGACACGCCCGCTCCCATTCCTCGTCCCCACTGCAGCCGGGGACAAGCCGGGGAAGGGGGCAAGTGGATTCCATCAGCTCCTCTCTGCCTCTGTGTTTGCTCCCCCGTTCCCCATCAGCGACCCGGGTAATAGGCGTCAGAGAAGTCGGTGACCGGGCTGATTGTCTGATTGTGTGGGTGCTGCTTGCTTCGATGTGGATCATCGTGGCCCCCATTATCGGGAACCTTCATCCATCAGGGCAGCAAACCCTAGACAGCGAGCACAAACAAGTCATTGGTTTTTTATTTTTGAACTTGAATTTAAATCAGCCAGTCCGTGAGCGACTGTCATGTCTCGCAAAAAACACACAGCCCGCGGGCCTTCTTGATGACCGAGATGCCAGAATGTTCGGCGTCTCTGCGACCGGGAGAGGAGGGGGGCAAGACAGCAAGAAGGAAGAAGAGATTACTAGAGCCACACCCAATGCCTTACGCAGTACTCTGAAATAGCCCACGGGAACATTTGAGTGAGCATGGCCGCAGTTTCGCTGGCCGTATGCGACCGTGGCCTGCCTCTGCTAAAATGGGATGCGTTCAGACTGTGGCCTATTATTACGTGCAGCACCTACTGTGGTATCTCCCTGCCCCCCCCTGGTCGGACGGAATGTATCGGCAGGGATCTCAGGTACTTCCGGGATACATGTGGCATCTTGGTTCCCTGCCATTACCGGCGTTGCCTTGCCTGATGAGCGACGAGCCCAGCAAAGCCCAGCGCCAGCGCCAGAGCCAGAGCCAGAGCGCCATGGCCATCCGGGAAGAGAACACCACTCGCTCTCACACGCACACAACGGCAAGTAGCAACCACCCTCTCACGCACACCCTGCCGCAAAGGGGGTAGCCTGGCAGCCCTGGGTGTTATTATCATCTATCTATCAGCCATGGCCAGGATTCGCGCCCTCCCTCCTCCTATCCTCTCCATCAACAACCACAACACGGAATCAACAAAGCAATTTTGCACAAGAGAGTGTCATTTCCTGTCACAGTGAAATAATCGCGTCAGCCTTGCCAGCTTGCCCACTCAGCCAGCCCTCTGATCCCCAATCGTTCTTTGTCTGAACCACCGGGTCATTGATATCAACTGCCACCAAAAGCCGCATTTGCTCTGACATCAGGTAAGTGACTCACCCACCCACTCTCTCTCGCTCGCTCACCAGCACATTGTCTACTGTCTTCTCGTCTTCGCCTCCGTCTCCTCTCCTTCCCTTTTCTTCCAAACTTCCTTCTGCATTTGCACTCGCAAATGACATCGTCGACTACACCCGCCTCGCCTCCTTCTTGACTGACCATCACGTCATCGTCGCGCAGGCATCTTGTCCCAGACGCAAATACACCTTCTCCGAAATGGCAACCATGGCATCTGCTGCTCGCGATTTTCAAGCGACCTCTGGCCGAGACAACTTAACTGCTGTAGCGGCCCAGAGTGTCCCTGTGACACGATCTCACCCTCTCCCCCTCCCCACCCCTCCGAACTCCATATCTCCCGGCTTGCGACCGCACGGCTTGCGCGCCCAGTTCCTCAGGGCCAAGCTCGAGTCCGACGTGCCCGACCTGGACCTGCACGCCGGCCAGGGCGACAACAGCGCCCAGTTTGATACTGGCGCCCACGGAAACCACGGCTCGACCCAGCACGACCCGGTCGGCGCCATCACGCCAGCTCTGCTGTCCAAGCACCATCTGCCGGACATCCTGTTGAACCACGGCCCGCTTGCGATCCGCCACATCATGGGATACCTGACCACGTCGGTCCCCGGCTTTGCAGGCATACCACCAGCCAAGGCGCGACGGCTTGTAGTAGGAGCACTGGAAGGACGAGGAAGTGGCCGCGAGGGCGGCGGTTTGGACGGTGACGTGGAATTCGAAAAGGTCGGTTGGGGTCGCTGGGACGCACGGCGCAAGGGTCAATCTCGGCGCGACTCGCAGGCTATGCATGACGCGTCTTCGTCGTACATGTCCTCGCCGTGCCTGTCAGCCATCCCCATAGCAGGCGGAGCGGCGTGGAGCAACGAGCGGACGCGTCCGGCTGCGTCGAGCCCGGAAGAATCCCTTGCCTTCTCCCACGACGACCGTGGGTTTTATATACACGATAACGATGCGGACAACATGTCCATGGATGGCCCCGCCTCTGCGTCATGCTCCGAGGCACCGGACGACGACATTGAGATGAACGACGACGACCCCGAGGACGTGACCGACGAGGAGGACTGGGCTGCCATCGGAGCCGCAGGCCTGCGCGCCCAGTCCTATTCCAGGTCGGCTCAGCCTGGGACCTTCCCTTCTCGTTTCCACAGCACGTCGTCCGGAATGGCTCGGGCACCTCAGTTGAACAACATCGACTTCGCTGCACTGGCAGCAACCTCTGACGCGCAGGAGCGAGAGGCTATCGAGGCCCTAATCCGTCTCGGTTCTGTATAAATTGTTTTTAATTGCATGGCAGCGGCGTTTCATTTCGGTTTGGCATTTTCGCGGCTGGGCGAACTGGTCGGCTTCGTATCGGAATTGGCTGGGCGCGGCCTCAAGTGCCAGTATACTCTGATCGGGGCGGCGACCTCTGCATCATCAATACTCTTTTGGCGTTTTCTTGTTGGGCCCCACGGGAGGAATGCACACATCACCACTTTATCGGACACATGGACACCTTTCTTTGGTACGGACGAACATACCTTTTCACGGTCTTGACCTGGCAACTTGTTTTCATGCCACCAAGATCATTTATACCCGACGAAAAACGAGGCTTTTTCTCGTCATATATCACTCGAAGCCTCCGACTGCAAGTCTTCAGAGTCGACTTTATTTGGGGGCGCACCACTGCAGTGGCTTGCCTCACTGAAGGCACGTTGGCTGAGCTTCGGTAGCCTCAACCCAAAACAGGGCGGATACCAATTTTTTTATCGCTCTTGATATTTGCTGTTCTCTGGAAGACTTCAACACGTCCCTCAACGAGACAGATCACATCATGCTGTCACAACAGCTATACTAGGAGCGTTGCTGGATCGATGGATGCTGAGCAGCGCGAGCGGCAAGCCTGACAATGAGAAGAAAGGTGCCAAGTTGATTGGAGAGGCACCAGTCTAATTGATGGAGATGAGAGAGGAGGGAAAGAGAGAGACAGGGGGAGATAGGGATTGACACATCGTCACGACATCAATTGGATGCGTGTGTACCGTGCAATTGATATTCAGAGGATGAAGGACAGAAACCAAAAACAGTAAAACAACTTTTTTTTTGGGCGATGGTGGATTGGTAGTTTCGGAAAAGTCTATGGAGATTTTTTCTCGCTAGGCTGAAAATGGAACTCTTGATCGCTGCCTTCCATGTGACGTTCTCCTGCACCTTTGACTGTGGATTCCCTCGTGTCATGCGGGTCCCCTTCTGCGCTTCAGATCTTGCATGCGATCTCGCGACGTGCTTGCATCTACGTCAAGCCCCAGGGATCCCCAAACTTCAACCTGGGGCCGCCCAGGCGATGCAGGAGGGCGGGACGTGATCCCCACATGCAAGTTAGGTTGTCTGATGGCATATTTGGGAGGTTGTCCTACATATCTGGGAGGTTGTCCTACATATCTGGGAGGCTATCCTACTGCTGCGTATCCCACTAATGCATATTCCGATGGAGTTCAAACCACCGGCGGCTCGTCCACATGAAGTTTCGAGGCGGAGGAGACGTGCCTCATCGTTGGCGTTGGAGTTCTCCTCATACCTTAGGACATTCACATTGGTCCGTCACAGTAGAAGAATTCACATTCACCGACCCCAGGTGCTACCATAAGCGTAGAATGCCGCAGCACCAGTCCACAGATGGAAAAGGAGTCATTGTAACGGCTAGATGGCATTGATTCGGTCACCGACCGTCATGGTCCAACTTTCTTGCGCGAAACCTGCAGCAGTCATCTCCTTCCATGTGCACCATGTACAGATTCAAGTCCGAAACGAAGAGGAGCAGACTCAACCTGTTCTCTGAGGAACTTTTTGAATCAAAAGAAAGCGCAAAGGAGTAACCAACCAGCTCGCTGGCCCCGTACCGCACTGAATCACGGCCTTGCAGTGTGCCACAAAGAAGGTCCTTGTCCGAGTGGGTAAGGGCGTGAACAAGTGAGGAGAGTAGAAGAAGAAAATCGAAGCCGTTCCCACCGACGCAGTGCCAAGACCTGTCAGCCAGACTCTTGTCTCACGCTTGGCTGCCTTTGCACGCAAACTCTTAGGCCCAGGGAAAAAAAAAAACAAGGGACTGACTGCTCGCGGCGCTGGTTCTGGGCAAAAATGCTCGTCCCGCGAGGTTCCGCCCGGCGCGCCAAGAGTGGGACGAGAATTCCTCAGAAGCCATCGAAACTATCGAGTGAGTAAACACTCGGCGCAGTGGATGGCAGTCGTGCCATGCATCTGCTCCTATCTCACACGTGTGGCTTTTGGAAGGTGTAGTTTATACCAGTTTTGGTGATGCTTGGGGAAGCTGATGTGGGAGCAAGCTGCAGCCAGCTACTAATGAGATGCACGAGAGAAACCGTGCCCAACTCACCCAGGCTCTAATAATTATGACAGAGGCAGGTGCCATTGGACATGTACTCTGGCGATTCTCTGAGTATGGAGATGATCACAATGGTACAGCAGCGACCAAGCCGTTGAGATAACCGTAGCTATTTCCAACCCGTTAGGGCAGAGGCACTTCGCCAATCAGTGTCTCATCACTTCGAAACAGGCACTCGGTTCTCAAAATAGATTCGCGATTCTGCATCCACACAGCTTGAAACCTCCTCATCAAGTCGGTCGCCGCGCGCGGTCACTGAAACACCGTCACCCGGGATCCCGAAATTCTAGGCACTTGTCAATCCAGCATCGTGAACTGCACCACCGTTAGAAGTTACACTTCTGATAAACTTCACGCTATGCACAGCCACTAGCATTCCGCGTGGTGAAGGCCAGGTGAATAAGCATGAGAGTTCCTGCCAGCCACACGTCAACTGATTTCAAGGAACCAAGGATACACAAGTAGCCAATTCTCGTGCTCAGAGAACCATCCAGGACCTCAGCCTGGTAGTGGCGAATCGATTTCGGGCGGTGCGGTAAGCTGGGCCAACGCTGCTGGCACTGCCTCTTTGCTGGCAAAGGAAAACTCAACGTCATTCGAGATTCTAAGCCATCTGGACGCGTAGCGAAGAAATTCTCTTTCTTGCTGATGGAATTACGCCTCGCTCTGTCTGCTTCACTGAAGTCGACGGGTTGGTTGAACACCCCGGTATTCCGTTCAATTTCCAATGCGACTCGTAGTGGCAGAAGAGAAGCGCAAACGGACAATTACCTGTGCCGAATCATAGTTTCCGGGTGATTGCCTTCATGCAATTCTGGCCCTGCATCCACGGATATTGCAAAACGGAGTGCAGGCGTGTTCTTGCAACAACCGTTCATGCGGCAGTGATGACAACCGGCTTTTGTCGCCTGCCCAGCTCGGGACGAGATGAACAATGGATCCCTCGCCCCCATCGACCCATTTCTGCGGTTTCTGGGCACCGTATCCCCGCCCACGTTTCCGCTGGGAGGCCAAGAGCCCTCGACACAACTGTTCCGCCAGCCAAGAAGGACGCTGCCCGTCCTAGCTCGAAAGGAGAGGATGGTGGTTGCAAGAGTTGCGTGACCGCCGAGAAACCGATTGTAGCGTAAAGGCCAGATGCCCAGTCTCCCTCCAAACCCCTGGCGCGCCCCTGGGAAGTGCTTCAGTATTCTCTGGGCAAGAGGCTAGCATTGCAATGCCCAGAGTCCTCGGACGTGAGGCAGTGCCTAATCAGCAGACACTGGCTTCGCTTGGCAATTCCGCTCCGGCCAATTCTTGGCTTATTGCCAATTGTCTGGGCAAACTTGGCCGCTATCGTCAAATCAAGGCGGCTGTCTCAAAGGAGATATCTGTATCCCAAGCATCCTTCGCATGGATGGAAGGAAGAATAGGGCAGGTCGGGGTGCATGAATGTCGATGATCGACCTATAATTACGAAATAAACCATGACCGGTCGGCAACAGTGAGGTTGGAAGCGTTGAGACACGAGAGCGAGTAATGTGACTGACTTCACCAGGCCACTTACTTTCTGCCCGGCGGCACCTGGCTGTCCGAGCCGTTGGTAGCCAGTGCAGCCAGCCAGTCTCGTCTCAGTGCATCCTCCTGAGCATGCTCCCTTTCAGCAGACCATTTCCCCCTTCTTTTTGATTCCAACCGTTGCACTGATGATGTCGAACTAGACCCTCCTTTCCTCGGTCGGGCTCGAGTGAAGACGTCAGGCGAGTCTGATGAACGGTCGGACCCAGGGTGTTGGAACAGGATCAGAGAGCAACTCGCTGCGACAAAGGGGCCACAAAACAGCGCAAGTGTGCTCTGTCGCCTGGAGCAATCTTGGCAAACGCCTAGCGTCTTGGCGAGGTCTTGGCAGGTCATGGCATGCTGCTAAGGAGTACATAGTGTTCCTGGGCCCGTGGCAGTGCTTTTGGGTTGCAAACGGCCTTGTCGGGCGTGGGGGATCTCGAGGCAGCGAGGTCGCGCGCTATCAGCACGACAATGGCTTCGGGCGGGCAGCCAATAGGCAAGGGGTAGCGGGCGTTCCCCTCCAAAGTGAGACTGGCGGAATAGCTTGGCAAACCTTTTCGTCGTGCGAGGAGAATAAGAAAGAGAGGATGTGCGCCCCTCTCCTTTTCTGGTCCCGGGCGGATCTCTTCTTCAATTCTTCGAAAGGTCAAGAGGTCAAGAGAAATCGCCAGTCCAGATATTTTCTTGGACATTCCTGCCACAAGTCCATCTCTTATCGATTGACCCGCGGCTGTCAACCCCACGTTTTTTTTTAGTGTGGAGAAGACTACAAGACCTAGCTCTTGGCAACCAATCAGTGCCAAGACCAGCATCCAACCTTGCTGAGCTGCGAGCTTGCTCCTGGCCTGACCAGTCCTCGCCCTGTCGGAACACGGCACACACACATACTGTTACAGTAAACATGTCCTCCACTCAAGACAACACAAGCGAACAGTCGCAGAGCCCCAACGCGGGTTCCGGCTCTGACGGCAACACCCCAGCATCCACTACTGCTGCATCCACCTCGTCGGCTTCCAATGCCTCCAACGCCAACGCAGATGAGAGCCTTGTCTGCCGATGGAATGCGTGCAACCAGCGTTTCAACACTGCTGAGACCCTCTACGTGAGTAAAAGAACCTGAAATAGTCTTGACAGGGTGGTCCCTACGATCCAATCTTTTATTGGACCCTTTTATGGGATAACCTCGTTATGAGATTATACTCCGGGGATGATCTCCTGTCGCGACTTGTAAAGTTAGTTATTCAGCCTAGCTAACCAGTCAAATAGGACCACATTTGTGAGAGACATGTTGGCAGGAAGAGCACCAACAACCTCAACTTGACTTGCCAGTGGAATTCGTGCCGGACCACAACGGTCAAGCGCGACCACATCACCTCTCACATCCGTGTTCACGTTCCCCTCAAGCCACACAAGTGTGACTTCTGCGGAAAGTCCTTCAAGCGTCCTCAGGATCTGAAGAAGCACGTCAAGACCCATGCCGACGACAGCGTCCTGATCAGGTCCCCCCAGGATCAGCATGGCGGCATGAACGCGTCCTATGGTCGTCCGGGAAAAGGTACAGTCGCCCCATCTCTGTTTCTCGTCGGATAAAATCGCGAGGCTAATCCGCCTCTTTAGCTCCGTCCAGCTTCTATGATCACAACGGCCATCAAATGCGTACTAACTCCGCCGCCTTTGGTCAGCCACCCCCGCATAGTTACTATGCTCACGGGGCTCCTCAGGCCTATGGCCCTCTTGGATACTACGGACAGCCTATGCCAAACCACCGTGCTGAGCCCCTTGGCTACGGTGCGGCAGCGTATGACCGCAGGCGCGGCTACGATGATCTCAATGATTTCTTTGGACACGCCAAGCGGAGGAGCCTTGACCCAGCCAACTATGCCCACGTCGGAAGGTCGCTGATGCCTCTCCACGGAGCCCTGTCTGTTCACACTGGCGGACTCGGTACCCAGTACATGACTGCTGCACCCGCTCTTCCGGCCATTGGTGGTGGCCACTCCGCACACAGCGCCATGGACCAGCACTACTACCTGCCACCCATGCCCAACCTGCGCACCAAGGGTGACCTCGAGCAGATCGACCAGATCCTGGAGCAGATGCAGAGCACCGTGTACGAGAACAGCGGCTCTCCCCCCAGCAGCCACTACCCATCCTCGTTCGACCTGCGCCACCAGTCCCCTGTCGCCAGGCCACAACCAGGTAGCGACCACTACGCGGTCTCTGCCGCGCAGCAAATGCCCTCGCCCCTGAGTGCCGTGTCCTCCACGACCGGAAACACACCAGCCCACACTCCCCCATCGAGCTCCCTCTCGTACACATCAGGCCACTCCCCAGTATCCTCCTCTGGCATGTCTCCTGGTGCTCGTCACGGCTCTTCTGCTTCTGTTGCATACCCTTCATTACCAGCCACCACCTCCTTCGGTTCTTCAACCATCAGCACTCTTGGTTCAACCTTTGGCGGCAACGACCAGCGCAGATTGTCCGGTGGCATGCTCCAGCGCGCCAGCGGCTCTCGCCGTGCGTCAGATGACTCGGACGTCGCTACCACGCCCAAGGCCGAGGCCATGTCTCCCGCCTCGACGTCAGACGACAGTGATATCAACGGCGAGCCTGAGCCATACGAGAGCTGGCTGCAGAACGTCCGTGTCATCGAGTTCCTCCGTGAGGCCATCCGTGACCGGCTTAAGCACGGACAGTACTCTGACAGCGAGGATGGCGATGACGACATGATCGATCCTTCCCTGCAGGAGGCTGACAAGGCCCCTGAGAAGTCTCTGTACCCTACCCTGCCTATGGACGTTGACGAGTGAGCGGGCTCTTTTCTACCCTTTTCATTATCTTTTCTTTTGGGAACTTGGCTCGGGTCCGGCTGCATCGTCAATGGTTAGCTACGATTAATTGCTGTTATGACCACCGTTTCGTGCGTTCAATCAGTACATAGTGTAAATGAATATGAAAAGTCGCTTTGCACTTATGAAACATGCTGTCTCAATCCCATCAGATACTGGTCGAATGCTGTGAAGAACATAATTGTGGCCATGCTCTCTTTCGACAGAACAGCTCTCTGTATGACATCGACCCGTGGCGTTCTATTACAGTTGAAGCTACGCCCTGAATATGATATGATCACATTGCCTGCAGGCTATGCTCGGTCAAGCACTGGGTTCGAGCATTGTATGATACCAGCTTGTCCCATCCCTACAAAATCAAACTACTCTGCTCCTACGATGTCAGCCGTCTATTCTGCTAGTGAAGGGCATTGCTGCATAACATACCTTATTCAGGGCTGAGCCACATCACTGCGTGCTGAGGGTGGATCGGACAGATCTTCTTTTCCGGGTTACTTTGTTTGCACCAGGAACAGCCACCATTCGTAGAACCGCATGCTCAGCCAGCGGCGCCCTGGAACATGTACCGCCTACAAGCCTGTAGAAATGCCGGGTTAGCGTCACGATCGCGCGGTGATTCACCAAGCCACTCACAGCTTTGAGCACATCCAGCTGCTCCGCCGACTGGTCAAAGACCGCCCGGTACTGCTGTAGATTGTCCCGCAGGAAGTCCTCCTTGGTGGTCCTGCCCTCGCAGATCGCCTTCATCTTGATCTCCATCTCCTTGCGCAGGAATGGCTTGCCGAGGCTCGTCTCGAAGTTCATCCTATCGAAACCCTCGATGAGAGCCACGCCGAGCTGTGTCGGTATGAAGACCTTCACGGATCTGCCGCCCCCTCCGCCCCGCGCGGCTCCGCCTCGACCTCCCCGGCCACCGCGGCTGCCTCGTCCACCTCGGCCGCCCCGTCCGCCTCGTCCTCCTCTTGTGGATGGAGCTTCTTCCTCGTTTTCTCCGTCGCCCGCTGCCGGCTGTGCTCGATCCACGGCCTGGACGTACTCTCGCACCTGGATCTTCTCAATATGCTCTGCCATTGTCGCATCTGTGCCAATGCCGTTTGCATCCATGAGAGACAGGAGATCGGCTTCAGTCAGGTATCCTGGTGGCGTCGTCTTGCCTTCGGTCATCATTGCCTCTGTAGGCTCGAACACTTCTCCCAAGGTAAAGTTTGGCAGCTCGGCGGTATTCGTCCAGTTTTCGTAGGGGTATACGTCTAGATAGTTGCGTTCCAAGACGATGACTCCGTGGGCATGGAAGCCCTCGTCCCCGTACAGTATGTCCACATCCGTAGCGGTGCCTTTTGCATCTTCGGAGCAACACGCAAGGAATCGACGGACCACAAACTCGTAGAGAGTCTTCTCTTGATCGCTCAAAATGGAAGGAGCTGCGTAAGTAATAGGGTGGATTGGAGGATGAGCCTTGTCATTGTGGCGGCCATTCCTCGGCTGTTGAAAGGAATTGTCAACCAGGTCCTGGGCGAATTGTCCCCAGCGGTTGTCCTGCGTTTGCTTCCGGACAAGTTCCCGGAGATTCATGCCTTTATCGAACTGGTCCGTCTCTGTTCTCGGGTAGCTGATGAAGCCCTTGTTGTACAGGCTCTCGGCCACAGTGAGGGCTTGTTGACCCGTCATTCGCAGGAAACGGGTTGCCATTTTCTGCAGCTCGACAGTAGTCAGGGGCAAAGGCTTCCACTTCTTGGTAGGTTTCTCCTGGACCTTGACGACCTTCGCTTTCTTTGCGCTCAGACACCTTTCGTAGAGAATCGTGACCGCAGCCCTGTCAAAGAGACGGTGGCGCTCCCAGTTGAAAGTCACGCTGAGACCGTCCTTTTTGTGTGTCACCTTGATACCCCAAAACTTTTCTGGCACAAAGTTCTGTACCTTGAAGTATCGATCTACGACGAAGCCCAGAGTAGGAAATTGACAAGACCCTGGAAGATTTAGTAGTGAACCAGAAGAAGAAAAGAATATTGAGTCGAGACGTACCGTAACTGATCATGGAGTTTTGAATGGGCCCACCAAGCGAGCGTAGACTGTTGGTGAGGAATCGAGTAAAGGCGTAACCAGTCCGTAAATCCGACTCGATTCTAGCCTGGACAGCATCCACTTGCCTCTGATCGAGATCCCTCAAACGGCGAGCCGCGTTGAGAATATGACTGGAGACGTCAGTATCCATTTCCGCTGGAAGGGTATACTGGTCGACTCACGCCCTTTCAATGTTGCTGAACTGAGCTCGTTTGACTTCAATTTGGGGATTGCCTTTCTTGGCTGCATCGCGAATTTCACCTCCGATGTGCTCCCCTTCCCGATCACAATCCGTCCAAATAAACAGGGCTCTGCAGTACTTAGCTTGCTCTTCGATATTCTTGGCGACATCACCCTTGTCCTAAGGACATTCAGTGCCACGCTTCACAAATGCATCGGCATTGGCGGTACTTACATTTGAAACAAAAGTGGTAATTGGAGCACCAAACAACGTGACGGGAGGTGGGTAGTTCCAGTTCTTGTAGCCAGAATCGAAGTCTGTGCTTGTGAGATGCCCAGTGACGGCGGTCATAGTCACGTTGCAGTTGCCCCATGGTGGGCCAAAATCGAAGTCAAAACAGTAGTTCTTGATATATTTGTTCCGAGTGTTGCGCTTGATCCAGAAATATCAGCACCGCAAGTCCCTCTGAGGTTTGCTAACAGACTCACTGTTTGGAGTTGGCCTCCCGAAAGATGGCCTGCCACGGCTTTGGATATGGACGGCTTCTCCGCCACACACAATATTCTGGGCATTTTTGACCGAGCGGTGCTGATACAGCGGTGGCGGTGCAGCAAATTTGCACTGAGAAGGACGATTGGGCAACGTTTGGACCAGCTGCTATAAGACAGCATGTTGCGTGGGCCCGTGTCTCTCAAAACGCGTCCGCATCTGAGCGATCGTGGCTTTATCAGCGCAAGAAGCTGTCAACATGACCGCTAGCTCTGAATACGCGTCGAGACGGGTCAAAGATGTCAGATATGATATTGGCCGGCCGAATTGATCGTCCAGGTCTGGGAAACGGGCACGAAGGAAACCTTCACGATTTCACGGGTGTTGCATAAACTTGATGCACTGCACCTCGGCTTGCAATTAACGAGGCGCTGCCTCCCCAAGGAGCTACTGATTGGGCGGTCCGTGCCTTGTTGCTGCCCCATGGCCCCGGACGAGCCGCTGATCCCATCATGACGCGCATATCCGAAACATTGCTTCTGGCAGCTCTATTTGTTACCCTCGACGACTTTTGAAATTCGAATACATATTGGCGTCTGTCGAGGACCTCTTTTCAACTCATCTTTAGACCAATTGATTTTATTAGACTCCTTCTACTCAATTGCATTGCACAGTATGGCAGTTCCCGCTCTGCTCAAGTTTCCAGACACTGTCGACTGGTCAAGGACAGTCGAGCCGTACATCCCTCAGCTTTATGAGCTGCCATCAAAGCTCCTGGGCGTCTTGCAGTCTCGGCAGAATGTACTCGACCTCTATCTTGAGACAAATCCACTCATTTCAGGTCTTGGTCTTTCCATCTTGTTCGGTGCCATCTTCTTGGTTGTCGCAGAAATCAACAAGAACTACTCCCAGGTCGACAGGTGTTGGAGCTTACTGCCAACTTTCTACATCGCCCATTTTGACCTTTGGGCTCGGCTTTCCGGGATCAGCTCCCAAAGAATAGATCTCATTCTCTTATTTAGCACATTGTGGAGTGTAAGATATCGCCCTCGCCCCTCCCTGAGCGGATCATGATGCTGACCGTGCCACAGATCCGTCTCACCTTTAATTACTGGCGCAGAGGAGGCTATCAGATTGGGTCTGAAGACTATAGATGGTACGTAAACCTAGACCCCCAGTCTATAACCATTCTCACATGGCCCTAGGGAGATCGTCCAGAGCAAGGTGCCAGCATGGGCTTTCACGATTTTGAACATAACCTTCATTTCCTTCATCCAAAGCGTTCTGCTGTTTGCTCTAGCAGCGCCTACCTACCCAATCCTGTTGAGCATACAGTTCCAGCCTGAGATAGCTTTGTCGGACATTGCCTTTTTGATCTTCGAAGTCGGACTTGTTACAACAGAATGGTTTGCGGATCAGCAACAGTGGGGTAAGTCAAGACCAGTACGGCAGACATCTACCAAAGCTTAGCTACTGACTCAGAACAGATTTCCAGAATGCCAAGAGGGAGTATCAAACTACTGGGAAGGTGCCACAGGGCTTCGCAGCAAATGACCTGAATCGAGGCTTTAATACTTCCGGTCTCTGGGCGTGGAGCAGGCACCCAAACTTCGCCGTTGAGCAGACTATCTGGCTCACGCTGGGCGTCTGGAGTACCTTTACAGCAGAAGTGCCGTATGCTTGGACTTTGGTACCTGGTTTCAGCCTTGTCCTCCTCTTCCAAGGGTCGACATGGCTCACGGAGCTGATCACAGCTGGCAAATACCCCGAATACAAGGAGTACCAACGGCAGGTTGGCATGTTCGCGCCAAATCTCCTCGGGTTTGGCCCTTACAACCCGCCTCCACCCCGGACCAGCGCCTTGAAGGAGAAGAAGCAGAAGTAAAGAAATGGCTGGGAAGGCCATGTCCGATTCGAGAAGAGTCGGAGCCTTCTCGAGGGTTGGGGTGACACAGACGGGTCTGATGATGTTGCGAAGAACTGCAAAGGTGGTGAACGTCTCACAGCATCGGATAATGCAGATCCATATTGGTTCTTTGACGCCAATGATATGTGGTAGACTCGACCTTACGATAATAGAATGTGCCACCAGTTCATCTTCGCGCAAACTCGCAGCACAGAGATCCCAGGTGTTTGTGTATCCCTCGGAGTTATCTATCCGCGGTGATGCTACACAACCCCCTTTGTACGACTTGGGCAACCATACGAGGCGAAATGCTTACGGGCAAGAATACATTCTCCGTTCCTGTCTTGCGAGGCACGAAGCATTGAACCGAATTTTCCATGGCTGTATGCACAAGTCTGATTTAGGGGGACGGCTTATACGGCAATCGTCCCGGAGTTTGGGTCAGTTCCAGCAATTTTAAGCCGCTGTGGGTCCCGCGGTGATCTTAAGCCAGCAAATGGTCTAGACAATCTTTTCTCGTCGATTTGAGTGATCTTTTCAAATTAGCAAGTCCCGACTGCAGTAAGCACGCGACTGTTGATCGCGAGCCTCTTTGGACGCCACTTGCAAGAATATCCGCGTCATGCGCTGTACACTAGTTTTCCGGGGATGAGTTTCCCGCGGAGGTAGTCCCAGTAGCACAATGAACACCACTGCACAGTCCCCCCTCCCATGACTCTTGTGCTCCAATACAATTGCCCGATTGCAGTGATGTTTTGAACGGCAACGGCGGAAGGCGGACATGCCGATGGGATTTCCTAGCCGCCGGGGCACATACGAATTAATCTAGCTCCTAATCTTCGGGCTCGTTGCCGTCCATTCTCACGGGCCTCAGATGTCAATATGTCATTTCGCCTGCCCCCAGTGCTGGTGGTTGCAGTCCCCACACGGCAGGGCCCGCCCTAACTGCCACACCTGCATTATTCAAGTCCCGGTCCGTGACCGTTTGAACTCGTTTCTAGAACCTCTACGATTCACGACTGCCGTTACAGATGCGCGCTCTAGCTCCAGTCGCACTGCTCTAGCGCCCAGCACGATCTCGACGTCATTCGATTACCGCAAAGGGCTCACGGCATCACGCTTGTGATGTTTTACCCGACAGCGTGCATAGTTACTGGGCTTATTCGTGTGTCGATCAAATACTCGCCCCACATAGATCTCGGGTCCACTGCATATCCCAAGGGTCCTCGTGGCACCTGGACCGCGGAAATTATTAGGCAGGGGGGTCGGCAGGACCCTGAGATCTTGAGGGCATCGCCGGAAGTGCTGACTATTAATAATAGACTGCCCTGCCCTCCGGGACTTCCAAAAATGTCTTTACTAACATCTCGCCTGTCCGTCACTTCAAGCAACAAGTTTTGTGTTTTAGAGTTCCTTTGACTGCCTTCAAGATTCCTTAGCAAAACACACATTCCAAAAACCACAAAGACAAGATGGGCAACTACGTTTCCACCGCCGAAGTCCCCCAATCCTCAGCCTCCGAATCAATGGACCTCATGAGGGCCTCAAGGTCCCGGCGAAGCTCTGTGGCTTCAGGAACATCATCTGTCGACAGCTCCAGCAGTGCTGAACGAGCTCTCCTTTCATCCACGGCAGCAACCCCTTCTTCGCCTTCCGAGCTTGATCCACTCTCGCGGTCCTTCCCCAAACCCACCGAGGACGTCAACCTAGATGAGATGCTTGCCAGAAAGCCTCTGAAGTGGACCCTTGGCCACTATGTCAAGGAGGTACCCACGCGCGAACCTTCCAAGCCAGCCGAGGACAAAGACCGACTTGCGCGGGACATGGAAGCAAAGAAGAAGGAAATGCTTGCCGCTAAGGAGGAGATGCTCAGGCTCTCTGCTGGCAAATAAGGGCTTGGAGTGAGATCCGCCCGGGACGGTTGTCGAATTACCTGCTCGGATTCCAAGACTTCGGCAGACCGCAACACCTTTTTGTCTTGTGTTAGGTTGGACGAGCGGGGAAAGCTATACGTGGGTTACATTGCGAGGCGTTGGGCGTTTAAGGTACCTGACTTGAGGAGTTGTCACGCCGTGTTGAAGGCGATCCTTTCCTGGGAGTGCATGTTGGTTGACTTCCGGTGTTGTTGGAAAGCTTGCTTTTGCGATATACCAAGTCAATTCATTTTTTGTAGCCTGATTAAAGACGTTCATTCTTGCGACACGCGCCTTTCTTCTGTACATACGCAACCGGTGCTGCACAACAGTGTCATTGTCTCTCCACATACCCTCAGTCAGAGTGGGGCCTCTCAGTGAATCCTCCCGGCCAGGGTGAAACCGTACACCACCGAGGCCGCGAAGTTAACCACATTAAGCAATGAGGAGATACCGTGAAGCGTGCCGAACTTCTTGTTCAAGGCAGTCATCTCCTGGCTATGCGGCTTTGGGTCCCAGCTTCTCTTGCCATCCTTCTCTTCCTGCTTTCTTCTCTCCACTATGCAAGCCTTTGATGCTGGCAAGAGTACAACCCAATTGGCGAGCCCAGTGATGAAGACGGTGGCAAGGGGAAGAAGGGTTCCCCATCTGTTGGCTGGATCAAATAGTCCCTGCACGCCGCCAGCGGGCCCAAATGGTCTCCCAGGTAAGGTCACCGCAAGGACGACTGGTAATGTGGTCTGCAAGCCGAAGTACCATGGAAAAGTCCTCGTTTGAAGATCTGAGAACTGAAGAATGGGGAGTGTCTTGAATTGAATGATGGTCCCTACACAAGTCTTGTCCATCGCTTATCAGGAAACTGCAATGTCACAGGGAAGGTATCGTAGCTCACATTAACTGAATTAGCTAGTTAGCAGACATGGGTAAGTTTATTGTCAGCAAAAGTATGTACTTACAGACGGTTGTCCCGAACAGAGACCCATATCTATTTGCTTTCTCAGCATTCTGCTTGCCGATTAAGTGGAGAAACACCAGCGGCAGGTAACTCACGCCAGGATATGGTACGGGGCTCCCGTGAAAATGATTGATCTTTCCGACATTTCGATAGACTATGTATGTTGAGGTTGATTGTTTTTATCGACAGACGACAGGAAAAAGTTGTCTCGCGTTTCGGAGGAGGGGGAAGTCGATTGTCTGAAGTGGTCTGTCAATGACGCCTCGGTAAAACCCAAGAGCAGACAGTGGGTCGAACAGCTGCACAGCCAAGATGCCTGCTTATCGATAAAAGCTCCTGGAAGGCAGGGACGTAAGGAGCCCACATGCCTGCGCGTTGGCAGGGGTCCAAAGTGTCAGTGGGCCCAACGCGCTCGCTGCCTGGAATCGACGTGACCTGGAACAAAAAGGACGTCAATAAATCCAAGAGCTTCCGTCGTCTTTGAGGGCGGTCGGGGGCTTCTTTCTGGTTCGTCACCGCACGTTCGTTTTTCAATCAATGCACCCAGAGCTCTCAAATTCACCATCATGGCCGACAAGGAGGCATTCGTCTACATTGTCGACGTCGGGTCGACCATGTCGAATTGCAACAATGGCCGGACCGAGTCTGATCTGGATTTCAGCATGCGCTACGTCTGGGACAAGATCACTACCACGGCCCAGGCATCGCGAAAGACTTGGAATGTGGGTGTCATTGGCTTGCGAACGGATGAGACCCGGAATGATTACCAAGATGGCGACGGCTACAACAACATCTCAGTCTTGAAGAAACTCGGTCCAATCGTGCTCTCACAGTTGAAGGAGCTGACAAATCTCATCAAACCGAGCAACACGGAGTTTGGCGATGCCATGTCTGCTATCATTGTCGCCGCCGAGATGATCGGAGAGTTGACCAAAAAGCTCAAGTACACTCGACGGATATATCTTGTCACCGACGGCCAGGGCCCCATTGATGGCGATGATGTTGAACAGATTTCCAGCCGCCTCAATGAGCTCGACATCGAGCTTGTTGTGTTAGGCGTTGACTTTGACGATCCCGAGTTTGGCTTCAAGGAGGAAGACAAGCCACAGTTAAAAGTCACAAATGAGACCATTCTCAAGTCCTTGGTGGACAAGTGCAACAATGGAACATTCGGCACACTTGCTGAGGCTGTGGAGGAGCTTGAAATGCCAAGGGTGAAGCCTGTCAGGCTGGTCAAGAGCTACGACGGGCCCCTTACTCTGGGGAATCCTCAACAATTCCCGAGCGCAACAAGCATTAATGTTGAACGATGGCCAGTGACCAAAGTCAATCGACCCGCTGCCGCTACCACGGTCACAGTGAAATCAGAGTCCGCAACACAATCAACACATACCATAGACGACGAGATGGATGGAGTGGAATACGATGACCCGCATTTCAATTCAGTGAAGCAGCACCGGACCTACAAGGTCAACGATCCCAGTGCTCCTGGTGGTAAAAGAGACGTTGAATTCGAAGAACTCAACAAGGGATATTCTTATGGAAGCACGGCGGTGTTGATCCCTGACTTCGACTGGACTCTTACCAGCCTCGAAGCCGCGAAGGATTTCTCTATCATGGGCTTCGTGAACATGAACAAGGTGCGTTAAATTAATTGAGACTACTGAGGCTCACATTCTTAACACGCCACAGGTCGAGCCATTTCTCACCTTGGGTGAGACCTCCGTTACAGTTGCCCGGCCTTTCGACGAGGAATCTAAACTCGCCCTCTCCGCACTCATCCATGCCCTTTATGAATCGGAGACCTATGCCATTGCAAGACTCGTTCCGAAGGACAACAAGGACCCTGTCATTCTACTGATGCGGCCAAGCATCGAACCCGACTTTGAGTGTTTGTACGACGCGCCTCTACCTTTCGCCGAAGATATACGGTCTTATCGTTTCCCGCCGTTGGACAAGGTCGTCACAGTTACTGGAAAGGTGCTCACAGAGCATCCTCGCCTACTTCCTGATGACAGGCTTAACCAGGCGATGAGTGATTATGTTGATGCCATGGACATCTCGGAATTCGACCACGACGGAGAAGGGTGAGTTTTCCAACCTATATCTCTTGTTTGGGGGCTAAACAAAGGTTGCAGAAATCCGACTGAGTTTGCAGCACTTCAAGATCTGTATTCGCCAATTATCCATCGTGTCAATCAGGCCGTTCGAGCTCGAGCTGTGGCTCCAGACGGAGACGTCGCCGGCATCCCTGACATTTTGAAAAAATATTCAAGGCCTCCTGAGAAGTTGGTCAAGGAAGCCGAGCCACAAATCGATGCGCTGAGAAAGGTGGCCGATCTGAAGAAAGGTATGACCCGCACTATGCAACAATGAGAGACGTTTACTCATGTTTTTACAGTGCCTCCAAAGGCGCAGAGCAAGTACAACAAAGGTGTACCGAAACCTGAAAGTGGTCGTCCCATTGAAAGTCTTGGTAATATTCACGACACGCTCGAAGCCGGTAAAAAGCGGATAGCCGAGTTGAAGAAGGGGAAATCATTGATCGACAAGGACAACTCTATCCCGACGTTCAAGCAATTGATTCGGCAATTAAATGAGGCTGAAGATGATGCTGGCGTCGAGCACGCGACCAAAGCCATGGGTGGTGTCGTGCAATCCTTAATTAGGGAGAGCATGGGAGACAAGAATTATCAACGCGCCATTGAGAATATTGGAACGCTAAGACAGGCCTGTATCGACCTCGAAGTCCCTGAACTTTACAACGACTTCTTGAGAGATCTGAAGCAGAAGATCCTGTCAAACGCGCTCGGTGAGAAGCGCGAGGACATGTGGAACGAGCTCCGCATAACTGCTCGCGGAAGTCTTGGACTCATCACCGAGAGCCAATCAGAAGTATCCAACATTACAGAAGACCAGGCTAAGCAGGTGAGAACCAAATGGAATTCTAGATCTCGCGAGCAAGCTAACGTATCGTGTTCCGCAGTTTTGGTGGGCTGGCAAGTAAACCTGTGGCAGACAATCACTCATGCAAGCAGCAAGAGATGTGGGATAGGAGAAGTCAGAGCAGGACTTGTACTTGACACTCCTGAGGTAGAGATACAAGGCTTTTGAAGACCTCATCGCCCTCAATAAACGAGTGTCTTTACAGGCGACTTCGCATATCAAAAGTTCAATGGCAGGCGCTTCTCCGCGTCAAGCCCGTTATTATCCGCGCGGCCACTGTTGCTATCCCTCGAGTCGACTTCAGCCACGCCCTCGACGATCGAGTACTTGCCTTGCGTCGGATTGCTCTGGTCAAACGCGCTCGGTAAGATAAAAATGTCTTCATCGTGGTGGTCCACTCCTTCCCCTAGACCTCTCGGCGGAGAGATGAAGCTTAAGAGAGGATAGACCACCAAAGCGACCACGAATCCAATGATAAACCCAAGCCGCGAGATTTTCATTGCGTTATTGGGCTCCCCATCAATGTTTGCGCAGCTCATGATGTAGCCGGGGAGCGCGGGTGCGATAGCCACGGCAAATGCCACGAACGCACGCCAGTTGAACCTGTACGGGGATCAGACTTGTGCTTTGAGAAAGACGCCAGAGATCACTCACCCGTTCCAGTACCAATATATGCTCTCCTCATTTCCGATGTACAGGTCCCTCATCTTGATCAGGCGCTTTCTAACGATCCAGAAATCCGCCACTAGAATACCTGAGATGGGACCATAAAACGTCCCAAAGCCTGAAAGGACCTGTGTAGACAAAACGTTAGAGTCCCATAGGCAAACTTCTCACAATAGGAGAATAGCCCACTTACCTGAATGAAGGTGGCCGCAGTCGTTGTTATTTGCCAAGGGTTGGTACATATACCCAAGCAAGCAATGATGTAGCTGCATCGTCGGATCGTGAGCCACTTTGGGCTAAAACTTGCCATGTCCCTGCCGATACACACAAGATCTTGTCAGTAGAGTTCGATTCTCATGTGCCAAAGGAATCAGGATAAAAAAACAGGCCAGAACCAGACATACATAGCAGCAGCAACGCTATTCAAAATCATGTTGACAGTAACCTGCGCCAACGCCAAAGCCGCTGAGGCAAAGAAAACCGCAGCTCGAGATCTTGCAGAGTTGTTGTAGTGCGATTGAATCTGCCGCAATAGGAGGAACGGCTGCCAGTACGCTTCTCCGAGCACATTGCTTGAAGCCGAGGTCACCAGAATTCCGAGAGCAAATGCAGCATAGATGAAAACGGGGCAGGCGACGGCTTGTGCGATCATGGATCTGCGGTTGTCGCTAGCAAAGCGACACCAAGCTGATCCACCCATAGTCACAACCGCTGTATTTCCCAAGACCGCGGTAGCACCGTATACGGAAGCCCATCCTAGACAGTGTCAATTCATGCTCAGAATGTGGCATGTCTCTTTGGAAACGGCGTCTTACCCATAGAACCTGCCAACACCGAAGGAGGTTTATAATCGCTCGCGAAGTATTGGCCACCACCGCCTGCTGTGTGGGTCGACCAAATTACAAGACCTATGATCACCATCGTGAAACCGACGAAGGAAACATGGAACGGACGATGCAGCTTCTCGGGTGGGAGCCACATAACCCCCAGGAAGACGAAGTGGTAGATAATGAAGCCAATAAAGTCTTTCAGCTCCATCGTACCATTCGCGAGGGGGTGTTCCCAATTCGCCCAACGAATTGACCACGTTCCGATCATCGTCGACATGGCTTGAGCTCCCCACCAGGCCTCAATGCCGTCCCAGACGATGGCCGGCATCACTCGGAAGAAGACTGCAAACCAGCTTCCGCGCATGCCCCAGGCTAGTCGACAGACTACGGTGTAAGTGATGTGATGGCTACCGCCAGGCCACTGTTGGAGGGTTATTGTCAATACGACAGGTCTCCAGGGGAGAGGAGGGCCATTCGATATAATCTGGCCTCGGCCAACACTTACACCGCACAGTATGCACATGATGACCAGCACAATGGGGCTGAGAATACCTGCAGCAAGTGCCTGCTTGGCACTCAAGCCGTAAGCGATGAGGGCAGAGCCTGTATTGTAATTATAAATAGCAAAACCTAGATACATTCGATTTAAGTATGAGTGATTCGTGGGCACGGTCAGATAGCATCTTGGAAAGAATGGCTTGCCTCCAGTCGCCCAGTACACAACGTACTTCCATCCGTTCCAAGTCCGCCTTGAGCTATCCATCGGAATAAGGTCGGCGTTGACCCATTGGGTAATAGCGTAGGTGTTGCCCTTCGGAGGTGGTACCTCAAGACTCCTGATGAACCGTCTGGTGGCAGAGCCTTCCGTGGCGAAGTCCATGTTTCCTGACGTGTCGCTGTTTAGCGGTGGGATTTCGAAACTGGTGAGTATGTTGACAAGGAAAGCAACAGTCGGTGACGGAAACGACGTTGCAGCCGCATGGTCCAAGTATTATACAGGCCATTAGCGGAAAGTTGCTACCCAGCGTTGCATACTTATCTGCGTCCCAAGATATCGGGTTGCTTTCTGAAGCCCTTGCCGGGCCGGGGGTGATATCATGGTTCGACTTCGAACCACAATCTGCGAAGTTTCGTATCAAACTTCTACGTCGATGATCTTCCATTGGGCCGCAGATAAGGAACAAGCCTTCTGCCTAGGAAATCTCCATCTCCAGGTTTATTGGCAGATACGCATGGTTCGCAGCCCAGGGACGCGGGGTTGGATGACAGATGCATGGGCATCGATCATAGAGATCAGGGTAACCCTGCAATGCGACAATAAACGTCGGGATATATTCAACTATCCAAATGTCTGGGCAGTGATAAGCTGTGGGATAGTCTGATAGACTAGACGATCTACTGGAAGACTCACCTATCAAAGTTGTCTCATGCTTCTCTGTCCAATCATCGGATCGCACAGACTCCCGACGTTGATGTTGAGCTGGGGAGATTGACAAGCCGTCGCTTATGGATTAGGCAAATGCAACCGAGCTCCTATCAGGCGTCAGCATTCATTGATCAAAGGAGAGCAAGGATTGTGTCGGCCCCCTGATGTATTGGATATCTTTAATCTTCAAACCTTGTCTTTTGCTTGAGATGAGCTTCATACGTTTACTTGCTTCTGGGTGCCACGATGCCGCGGGATAATCTCTATTTAAGTGGATCCTCTGCTGTACGCAGACGATCACAAGGGAAGACTGAATTGCCCAACTTACATTGTCAAACCCAGAAAAGTTCTTGCAGCCTCGAAACATCGAGTACGGACCTCATATATCATGGGGCTGATGGAATGCCGGAATGCCAGAATGCCTACCTGGCTCTGTTGGAATATCAAGTCGAGTTCAATGTCGACGAACCGTCTGGGACCACTATCAGCCTCTGTGAGCGAAGTTGCTCTGTCTACGAGGAGAGCTTTATTGCCCAAAATTGACTGCCCGGAAGCATCTCGGGAGAGAAATGGGCATTCTGGTACAAAATAGTAGGCACTGCCTACGAGTGTAGCAGCAGCCTTTTCGTAGCTGGTGAGAAATCTGCTAGCTGAGCAAGTCGAGAAAGATGGATTCCAAGCCAGCTACATGCTGTGTTGCTTGCTTGGACCTTTGTGCCTGCCAACTTGGTGGGGGAAGGGGGGAGCACGTAAAAAATCGACCGCAAACCAGGCATCCATCTCGCTTTCTTTGGTCATACTGGTCCATATGGTTTGCTTCCTCAGTCTTGGACTTCCAGCCCTTCACGACTCTAACAGGCTCTTATTTGAGGATCAGCCTTCCAGAATCCTGCCTTGATCGACCAGATTGCGCCTGAAGGTGGGAGTTCCCATCTGATGATACCGTTGTCCTTGGACAGTTTGCCAGATCTCTAACGAGTCTACTGAGCAGGGGAAAGGAAGAGAAAGAGAGAAAAAAAACGAGAGTCGATTTCCCAGACCTGAACACCTACAGACCAGGTAAGAGCAAACCACTCAAGTCCTCGCTTACTGTGGCCAAACCCCCCAAACATTCCTCGCACCTGAATAAAGAATTGATCCAAAGCCCAAACTCGACTCACAGGTACTCACGCATCGTCTCCTGAGAGATCCTTTCCACTTGCTCGGTCTGTTCCTGACATCCATTGTCGCCTAACTGGCCGAAGTTGCTTCCCAATCACGTACCAGCAATCGGCGATCCTGTTCTTGCCCAAATCAAAGCTTCTTCCTATTCCATATCCACACAGGGGTTTTTGCTTCCGAAATGGGATCGAAGGCAATAGAGAATCTTTCAAGAATGTTTGGGGACCAGAACATCTGGGAGCCACCTTCCCCATCCCCCAAGACCCCTGAACCACCTCGTGCACCACATCGTGGCAGTGGTCTTCGTACCAGGAAAAACAACCGGAAGCCCAAGGTTGTAGACCATCAGGACTCCAGCTCCTCGGACGAATACTCAGAGTTGAAGACAAGGTACTGCGCAAACGAAGATCTGCCTGATCCGAGTGCAAATTGCAACGGACGAGGTGTCAAGGACGTCACCTTCACCACCGCTAGCGGGCCTGCTACTTTCTCCGAGTCCGAGCAGGATGCGACCGCCTTACATGACTATGGCCTCAGCGAGAGGGACAAGGCTCCGAAAGGGGAGGCATTCGTTGCGTGGCAGTTCCTCATACGCTACTCTGAGATGTACGTGGGCAAGGGCAACAGGCCCAGGGTTGCGCCATATTTCGAGGAGACGGCCTTGTTTGAGAACCAGCAGTGGGACTTCTTCTATCTCTTCGAGCCCGACGAGAGGGTAGAAGATCCAGTCCTTCTCGTGCCAACCCGGCAATTAAACGCACTTCTCCACAGGATCAACAAACAGCTCAAGATCAACCTGACCGTTCCTGGTGGCGGAAACGAGACCAAGTTCTATCTGCGTTTCGGCGTTTTGGACACACCAGTCCCTCGCTACCTCGGTCGCACAGACGGTTCCGCTTCGTACAAGAAGCTCCTCAGCAGCACGCCGCAGCCCGAGGCAGAAGACGACCTCACGGGACTGACTCAGATTCAGCGCGATGAGTTTGCGGAGATCGTCAAGAAGACCAAGGAGAGTTGGCAGGGGAGTGGCAAAGGCAGGGCCAAGTCGAAGAGGAAGGCGGAGAAGCGTTTCGACGATCGAAAGCAATGGGGACGAACCACCAAACGCCTTCAGCGCTATCTGGGCTTGCGCAACAAGGCGTCTCCTATCAAGAGCTATCGAGGTACGATTTAATTTGTCTTGTCTGCCTTAGGAATAGGCTAACTTGTTGTTGATAGTGTTCACTGGGCAAGAGCAACTGCCCTTCAAGGAGTGCACGCTCGATGTCGGTGCCCCAGCCCCTTTCGACCAAGAGGGACATGTTGTTTTTGTTTGCTTCGATATCGAGACCTATGAGAAGACCCCCGGCCTTGTCACCGAGCTGGGTTTTGCCATCCTCGACACACAAAAACTCGTCGATGTTTCACCAGGTGCTGGGGCCAGGAACTGGTTCGATTTGATCCAGGGCCGCCACATTCGTATCAAGGAGTACTCCTACATGAGAAACACAGAATATGTTGACGGCTGCCCGGACAGCTTCATGTTTGGGTAAGGACGAAACTCCGCACCCATCCCTTGACAATGCCTTCAGCTAAAAACTCGTCAGAAACTCGGAGTTCGTACCTTTGACCGAGGTCCTTGGGGTAGTTGAGGACATCATGTCCCCGAAGTTGGACTCCGGAGAGCTGAGAAAGGTGGTCGTCGTCGGCCACGACGTCAAACAAGACATCCAGCACCTGAACACCCTCGACTTCGACGTTCATGCAATGGAGAACCTCTTGGAAGTCATCGACAATCAGAGTCTGCATCAACACCGAAGCAAGTTCTATAATGGCCAGTCTCTCTGCGCCATTTTGGCGGGCCTCGATATTTCATACCGATTTCTGCACAATGCGGGCAATGATGCAGTGTACACACTGCAGTCTCTCCTCTGCCTCGCTGTTCTCAAACGACAGGAGAGCCTGGTCAGAGCACTGAAGAAACAAGAATCGTACGTTTTGAGACCATTGTTTCGTGTATATCGCAACAACTGACAGAGTGCCCCAGACTTGTGACCACGGACCAGAGACCCGAACCCGAGCCCGACGCGGAAGCAGGCTGGAGCACAGGAGGCGAGGACACTGACGGCGGTTATCCTAGTGCCGCGAATCCGGGCGCAACGAGCACATACAATCAACTCTGATGTTTGTGGCCGTTATGCTCGCTGAGAGTCTTTCTTCAGAAATTGTCATCACTCAGCTCGAGGACCAGGAGAGCTCAGCAGGCGGCTCTGGTCAGGGATCATGGTAAATCAGCGCTGGCACAGCAGTGGAAACGACAACATGCTTCGATGCGCACATAATGGAAATTGGGATCTTATCGAGACCCCAAAGTTCAACCCAACATCTTTGTCGATAGTTGGACACTTTGGGCTGTGGAAGCATGCACAAAGGTGTGGTATGGCAGTTTGAGAAGTGTAGAGCAGAGAACATACGATTCTCCCCATGCCTGACTGCTGAGGCACGAGATAGACCTAGCGATGAGCTATTTTTTGACCACACCCAAGGGCCCCCTCTCCGTTCCCCGTGAGATCGAACCGTAAACGCCGTTGCTATGTGTCGCCGTAGTTTATACACCATCCGAAATATACAAGAGAAGGCTGACAGGAGCCTCCTCATCCTTAGCGCCTGAAAGAGATCATTCCCGTCATGTCGAACTCTTCTCTAGAAACTCCTTCGCCTCATTCACTTTCGTTGCCAGGTATGGACTGCCGCCTCGATCCGGGTGGTTGAGCAACATCAGTGTTCGGTGGGCCTTTCGGACCTTCTCTTTGGTGACGGCACGCTCGCTGTAGGAGTCGGTCAGCCGTTGTCTCCTGTGGATGCGCATTTCCTGGGGTGAATGGGAACTCACTTCAGAGAGAGAATCAAGCTCGCTTCCTTCTTGCTCATGCGCGGCTCGAAGCCGCCCTTGTAAAAGGCCTGGCCCATCGCGCCAACGCCACCGCGAGACCTGCGCCATGCGATCGTTGCGGCGCGACCCTGTGACATCGCTCATCAGTGAATGCGCAGGAGCCGGAAGAGGTGGGGGACATACGAAGAATGCTGCGGCAGCGATGCCGGTTCCCCACGCAAGTACTGATGCCATTTTGGTTGTTGATGGAGGGAGAGATCTGTTCTGCGGCAAGATGTCATGCTAGGAGAGAAATCCCGTCCGCAAGTACTTTTTCAACGAACCGACCGACCGACCGGCGGACCTTGGGCTTGGCTGGCCTGCCGCTGTGGCAACCCCTGCACAGAACCCACTTTAACGCCTTATCGGGGTCTTATCAGATTCTCCCCCGTCAAAATTTAGAGAAACTTTTGGGGATCGATTTCTGTAAATGCGTCCGTCTCTGAATCTTGTAGCATATCACAACAGGAGACTGTGTTTGGTCGTCCAAGATGCGGTATGCAACCCTCCTGCACCATGCTATCTTCTTCATACCTGAGCCATACTGACATTTACTGATTTACAGTATCGAAACCTGTTACTTCTGCAGGTTAGTATCTTGATCAACCTTCCGCTAAGGCGTGAATGCCCGCGATAGCATCAGCTAATCCTTCCCCCAGCCGGCCGGCGTACCCTTCCAAGGGTATCACCTTTGTCAGGAATGATGCCAAAGTCTTTCGATTCTGCGTACGTCTCCCGCGTCTCCTACAAGGAACCAAAGATCCCACCCCGGCTCACATCTCACCATGACAGCGGTCAAAATGCCACAAGAACTTCAAGATGAAGCGTAACCCCCGCAAGCTGAAGTGGACCAAGGCCTTCCGGAAGGCCGCCGGGAAGGAAATGACAGTCGACTCGACCCTCGTCTTCGGCGCACGGCGCAACGTCCCCGTCAAATACGACCGCGAGCTGGTGCAGAAGACGCTCAAGGCGATGGACCGCATCGGCGAGATCAGGAGGAGGCGTGAGCGCGTCTTCTACAAGCAGCGCATGGCCGGCAAGCGGGCACAGGAGCTCCGCGAGGCGCGCAAGCTGGTCTCGACCCACGAGCACCTGCTGCCCGTCATGCGGGCCAGCGAGCGCAAGAGGCTCGAGCAGGAGGGCGTCGTCGTCGACGAGGCCACCATCAGGGCGCAGAAGAAGAAGCGCACGGCCAAGGCGTTCGGCGGCGAGGTCAGGAGGAAGAGGCTCACGGTCGACGGCGATGTGGTGGAGGAGGTGGTCGAGCAAGTCATGGTCGACGAGGACGCTGGGGACGACGACGACCTCGACGACGACGACAACGACGACGGCGACGAGGACGATGACATGGACATGGACTGAATGTTCTGACAAGGACGAACGGCGGCATCGTGCTAATGGCATGGCGGAGTTCTGGGCGTTTATGGGGAAAAGCAAGGAATTTCATTGCTGGGCTTCACTCACAAGATTCCCTAGATTTATTGGGAGAAGCCATGAAACGGGACAGCACATATTCTCGGTACGAGCCTGGTATATCAAAATTAGAGGTGCTCAAGAGCAACGAGGCAACTGGTCGTACCAGAAGGCCGTCTGCCTAATTCCATGGTCTAAACAGTTCGTTGGGAACAGTATTTCTATGCCCAAGCCAAAATTGAATCCTGCATCGAGCACAGTCTCTGCAATGGCCTGCCCTGCAGGTTCCTGATCCGCTCGATTGCCCACCAGGACCTCACCTGGATGATGTGCTTGCACGATCTTTTGCAAACATGTGCTGGCCCAACAAACTGCTCGCCCGTCAAAGCCTAGTCTGATCGAATATAAGACGACGTTGCGAAAGAAGTGCTCAACTGTAAAGCTCTCTTGGAGCCTCAACGGAGTCCTCATGTCCCAGCTCCTAAGCCTCTCAGTCACGAGACACTTGGAGGCGTGTGAAGGCCTTGCACTGGTAGCGAGTCCAACAGATCTGTTCTCATTGGCAAAGCCAAACCCCTTATTACGAAAGATCAATGCTGGCCACAAGCGTAACATCAAATATTAAGTCCGCAGCATCAGGGACCTCGTTTTCACCCCAACAGGCACGCGATGACTCAGAACCCGTCGGGTAACCCATATATGGGCAGTCCCAGTCAGGCTCGCGACAGCCGCCGATCGAGTAGGAGGGGACTTCACATGAAGTGATGAAGCCTCTATATTTCTGTCAAGCAACACCCGGTTCACTGCGAGCCTAGTAGCTCGAAGAACACAAGGCTGCCTGACGCGACTAGCCAAGAGCAGCGAGACTCACTCCATGTCTCTGTCGTGCTGGTGATATGTCTTTGGCGGGGGCGGCAGGCTGGAGTTGATATCCTCCTTGACCTTGTCCGCAATCTCCTGCTGCTTTGTGACCTCCTCGGAGTCATCCGCTGGGGCATCCTCCGTCCAGTTCCCAGCGCCGCCTCGGGAGCTGAAGCCTGTCCTCGGCTTGCCCGCCTGAGATGCACTGACGGCAGCTTTGGTCCTCTCGACGACATCCTGCCTGTCCTGCGACTCGGCGATGGTTGGTGGCTCAGTGTAGTTTCCTGAGCCTCCCCTACCGACCCTCACATATTGAGGCGGATGAGCGGCCGCGGCTTCTGCTATTGGTGCCGCTGTAGCCTCAGACTTCTGCGACTCTGGATCCTGTAGTGGTGATGTCAGGACGAGCTGCGGGACAGACAAAGCAATCACACCAAATAAAGTCGCGCAGAGATGACTGACATGAGCGTGTTGCGCCCGTTCTGCCTCCTGAATTTCCTTCTCAGGGATGAAATTACCCGCGCCGCCGCGGCCAATGCGTCTAAATACGTCCGACATATTGCGGTCTTTGTTTTATGACTGTAACTATAGCAAATGGGGGAAATGACTGTGGACCGCTTCGCGATTTCGACGCAGACAGGCTGAGATTGAGTAAGAGACCCGTACTGCACGGCAAGGCTCCCGGATCGCATTGATGCCTAGGTAGGGACCGCTCGACGCCAGTGCCGTTCGATACTCCAAGTGTTGGGAAGCCCCGCTAACCCCTGATGATCTGTGCCTTGTGCCTACTGGAGGCCGCCTGGCCCCCCTGGCACCCGAGTGGTGGTGATTGTGCTCAGTGGGCCTGAAAGCGGGCGCGATGGCAGTCTTGAGTGGGAAATGAGAAACACTTGCCTGTCGCTGTGTCTCATCTCACTCTCTGTGCTCTCTGTGCGTGTACGCGACGATTACTCTGCCACTATGGCCCCAGTGCCTATGCACACACAGCTTCACAGCTTCGCAGCTCGCTACCTCATGCCAAGTGCCTAGCTTGAGGCCGACATCGGCTCCAAGCGAAGAGGGGACGCCGTCGAGTGCTCTGCTTTCAAGCAGCAGTGCCGTATCCCGCCATTACGGGAACCCATGGCGAATGATTCAGTGCCAGTGAATGAAAAAAAGGGCCAACCGCAGGCGGGTTCGCAGGCGGGCAGACGGGGCGCCGCGGCCCTGACTACAGGGCGAGCCGTTGCTCAGCTTTGGGTCTGTTAACATTCCTAAATGCTCTGTGCACCCATAACCGAGTGCCTGGCCACTAACCAGCCTGTAGTCCGGTCTTGGGGTCTGGAGAGATCAAGGCAATGTACCTCAGTGGTCCTTCGGTACTCGCCTGCTGGGCGGGTAAGGCTGTGCTGATCCTCATCCTCCCCCTCTATTTTAAGGCCGTCGGGAATGTCCACGCATTGGTGCACTATGCCCAAGTGGTATGCTGTGGTAATACCTCGTCGCTGAGAACGGCAATAAACAGTTACTCCTGTGCCGTCCGTTACCTTGGGGGCCGCCGCGCAACTCCTTTCTCCATCCGGTCGATACGTATACGGGCGATGTCCATGGTTATTACGAGCTCCCATTATTAGCAGCAGCTCTCCAATGCAAATCCGGCTGTCTCGGACACGGCATTTGGGGGACTGCTGATCATGAAACGTCGACGGATAACAGCGGGCACCGTCTTCCCACTTGTCAATGGAAAACACATGCTCCGTGCCGCTGGGTGGCTGTCAATCCTGGCTAGCTGGGTAGAGCTGAGTGCCACGCAATCCTGCCCAGCTGAGCTGCTAGGCCTCTCTAGTGGTGTACTGTATGTATCGTGTGGCAGCACCACCACGGTGATGGCAACAGGAGAATTGTTGGCAGCAATTCAGCAAATAATTACATGGGCTTCCCCAACTGCGGTCCCAAGCCTGGCCATCTGGCTGCAAGGGTCGAACACCGCTACCTCAGCAGAAGGATTTCGTCTCGCACAGTACAAAGTGCAGCAACGAGCCCCCGCCCGCAAGAGTTGCGGGCTGGGCGGGTCAGCTGCCGCCATCATTGGGACGTCATCCGCTGGGTGGCCGGTGGCCTTCTGAGGCGGATCTCACAGGACCTGACAGCTAATCCACTTGGTGCGGGCATCGTGAAAAGTCCCAGGCGTCCGCTTTTCTGCAAGGACTCCACGCTGGCCAGGTGCCAGGTGCCACGAGTGCCTCGTTTACCCCAGCTGTGGCGACGGGTATCGTGAACCTTGCGAGAGGGACCGAGAGGGACGTCATCGTGCGATTGGGCCCGGCGCCAGGCGTGCAGAGGAGCACCAGCCACACAGCATCCGGCTAGCTGCATCGTAGAGACTGAAGAGTCCGGTGCTTGGCCCAGAAGCAAAACAGAAACTGACATATCGGGTGTTTCCAAGCCCTCGCGCTGGGGCAAGCAAGGCCAGTAGGGCACTGTAGCGAAACAACGCACCTTCATCGCACGGGAGAAACGGTGGCTACGCTGGCACCATATTGGCAATGCGGTCTGATTAGCGTTGGTTCAACTCCTTTTTGGGTTCCCCACTAGACTGCAACGCGTTCCGCACGGTCGGCGAGACGCCTTCACAAGGGCTGACTATTGTCTGATTATGTGGCGCAAACAGATGTCCATCAGTTGGGTTTCTCGTCAGCCTTTGGCGACTCACATAGACTACATGTACCAGGTGGTCATCCTGCCATGCCCTTCTACAAGCACCCCAGGATGCCCGTCCAAGCTGTCTTTTCCCAATGGGGCCGGAAACGCTGGCGATCCGCTGGTCGGGACGACAGTCCAGGCCACCTCTTGTGTACCTGGTCCTTGAAACCGGCAAGTCCAGACCTCGACTTTATTAGAGTACCTACGTAGGCGGGCGCTGTTATTCTCCGGATGGTGTGACAAAGGAGGGGTGGGTTGAGGCAGTTGGGAACCTGACCTCAAGGGATCAGCGTTGAGCCTACACCACAACGGTCTTGGGAGAACAGGCGCCTACGCACTGGATATTGCCTCACTTCTTTGTTAGACTGCCTGTCCAGACGCCGTAGCAATGGTGAATATTCGTATACGGATAGTACGCCCCCGCCGAGCAACTCCTCACTTCACTCGCAGCGCTAGAGGCCAAACCGGCAGGTGTGCTGGGTCAGAAGCTGCGATTGGCCGTCATAAAGATTGAGGTTATAGAATCCGGCCTCCAGTTCAATCGAAACGGGCCTCCAAACACGAGGCCTATTGGTCGAGATGCCCATGGCCAGGCTGACCGGAAAGCAATTCATTTGGCGGGTTGTTTGATTGTCAGGCACAGAACTCAATGCAGTCTCATCGAGGAGGGGAAACCGGCTGTCGGGGCCGTTTCATACCAACTTGACACAAGTGGACCTAGACCACAGATCATCGATGCCGTCTTTGTGGGCTTGCGGAGAAAGAAAACCGGTCTGGCACGTTTTGGGAGCTCCATGGAAGAAGACGAAGCTTCCTTCACGAGACCAGACTAGACGCACAGTGACGAACGCATCGAGACTGGCTTGGAATCTAACACGATCCTCCGGGAGGCCAGTCGAGATACATGCTAGCTGCCAAGCGATCTTCGACTCCTTTCGTGCCGACCATCACCCGGCATAAAACTAATCCGTCCGGTGAAAGAGCCTGAGCATTGCACTGTCGAACTTCTAACTACCCAAAGAGTTCTCGCCTGAAGCTGGGGACACAGCAAGAGCGGGCGCCGTCATTCGACGCGCGAGATCGGGAACAGCAGCCAAACATTGTGCTGTCATTTGCTGGAGCACAGGTGCTACTTGGTAGCTCTTCATGCATGACTTCGCTAAGATGCTTGTCTACCGAGGCCGAGTCTGTCGAGAAATCTTGTCTGGTTCTGATCCTGATGGGACCTGGACTCGCCCCTCGCAGACAAGCCCTCAACTTCTTGACCTGTGGCTCAGAGAAGCTGTCGTGCATATGACTACCTCTTGCCCCTTCCATACATTCGAGACTGGCATGGCTTCGACAGTGACACTGCTGAATCCCACCTCACGAGCTTCTCTCAAGCACCAAAGCACCCCTCCCCCGCTCCTCATCCTGTCGATCCACCCCACTCACGATACACCATCGGCCCACTAGGCCTGCAGGTGACTGCTGTGTGCAGCACTATGTACCCTGTAGGATAGAGCTGTCACCCTTGTACCCATTCTTGGGGGAAGGGGGAGGGATGGTGGACAGAGAGTGCCCAGTCGCGCCTGTCCAAAACCATACTGTGGACAACTCTAGGCATGTAAATGTGCACGGTGTGTGTGCGGCAATCATCGCGAGAACCAAGCGCACAAAGCTGCCGGCGGGGGGATTTGTTCGCACAGTCAGTCAAGCGGCGCTCACAGTGCAGCAAAGCGGACAAGAGACCTGCTCGAGCTCTCCCTGGCTGCAGCTGCTCGTCTCCCCTGCCCTACCCATGCTGCCATGGGCGTGTGTGGTGGTATCGAGATGGTGGTACCGGGCATGGTATCTCGCTGCAGCAGGCTAGGAACAGGAGGTGGTGTGGTCGACCAGAGCACAGCGCCCAGGTGACCCGCGAGCAGATTGCCTGGAATGAGTTGGCAGGACCACCAACATGATTCAGTGTATCGGATTCTCTAATGCCCAATGAGTCTGCCGAAGACACGGCGCGAACGAGGCAGGCCCGTCGGAGCGCCCCCTGACCGTTCTATTCTGCTTAGAGCGGGCTGGCTGGCGGTAGCAGCAAATTGTCGAATGTCACACGTTCCTCGTCTGTCGCCTGGGCCTGATCCGCCAGGTCATCCATCTTATTAATGACTTTTGGCAGTGTCCGTCAAGGTACAAGGTACTGCGCCGTGCGCGGACAGGCGCGCTGGCGGGGTGGGTATCACGGTACGAGGGTGTCTGGTGTCTATCAGGAGTTGCGAGCTCCAGACCCTCGCTCCAAGGTTACCCCCTTTTACGGACACACCCCACCCAACCTCAATGATCTGCTGGGCGTCTCATGAGCTCGCAGGTGTCGGGATGATTGGAAGGTGCGTGACTGACTGCACAGCCAGCTTGCGCGCCTGCCTTACAGTAACAGTACCCAGGTAGGCAGCATGTCTCCATGTTCCTATGCTGGCAGTCTGGATGGAGGTCTGGCAGTCTGGCAGTCTGGCCAGCCTGGGTGGGCAATGCGTCTCGTCTCCTTGTCATCCACGTCCGCAAGGTCCCAAATTATTTTTTTGCTCCTTCGCCATTGCTGTAGGATCGGCAACTTTTTTCCTTCTTCTCTCTATTCTCTGTCTCTCCCAAATCCAAAAACATACAGTACACTCCTTGCCCCCCTATCGTTGCTGTTGGTACCGCTTTGCTACTTACGTTCGGACTATCTGCTTCTGCCTCAGATCCCACTCACTCCCTCGCCCGGTCGTGACCAAGGTCCAAACAACCCTGCTATCTCGGCTGCATCAAGCGTTACCTAAAGCGCAGGGAAACGAAAGTTTATCTATACATCCTGACTGTACATTCCAAGGTTCTCCAGGTAGCAGCCGCTTGGGACCCCCCAACTCGTCTCAAACGGTGCCCGTCTCGAGCCCACAAAGCCGTTCTAGCTCAGCTCACAGCTCCTCGCTCTATCTCTCTCTCCTCTCAGGATCCGGCTCCGCTTTCTGGTGCCTTCTATTCCTCCCAAGCTTGCCTGTCGATAGCCCGTTCGGTAGCGCTTATTCACGAGCCCACCCCCCTCGATCCGTCTCTTCCAACTTCTCAGGCATCCGATCCCTCATCTTTGTTCCCTGGGCCGGGTTTTGGAGAGAAGCAAGCTCCGCGAACCAGGAGGTACCCTTTTCTTGGAAGCACTGTACAACTTGTCACCTGGACACTTTTTTGCACCAAGCCACACGTTCCGAAGCAGCACCGACCAAGCAGGGGGAGAAAAAAAAGGGATCGCCAAAAACAAAAATTCCCAGCACTGCACTGCACCCTCTCACTTGCCTCGACTTTTTCCCGATCCGCGATCGATTTGTTACCCACCACGCTGAGCTGTCTTCAACTTTCCCCCAAAAATATTCCCGCAGCCACGCCACCAGCCAACACAACAAAACAAATCACGCCAGGACCACTCAATTAGCCACTTGCTGTTGCCGCTTGCTCAACAATTGGTACCAGACTCTTACAAAGGGATCACGACTTTTTATGTGGCATTCTCGGGACTGAGATCGGCAACATCGGCAATGGCCTCTTCCAAGGTAGATCAACATCAATTGCAGATAATAATGCCTGCTAGCTCCGAAAGCTGCCCCAGTTCACCAGCGCTGATCTCCGTGTTCATCAAAATCTAGGACATCGTACAAACCTCGAGACCATTGACTCACCGGCCATCGCTCTCCTCCAACTCCCTCACGGGCACGAACAATACACGACAATCTCACTCACGCACGAACTCGCACACGGTTCTCACGGGGCCGCTCAATACTGCACACCGCGTAGCACGCCGCAAGAGCGTCACAAGCAGCAACGCAAACATCGTCGCCGCTGCGGCTGCTGCTGCCGCAATCGGGGACATGAACACCAAGGTTCCGTCTCTGCCCATCAACATCGGCGCCCGGCGGATGTCCAAGTCCGGCACTGGCGGTCTGGCCTCTCCACCGGCCAGCATGCCCGCACACAAGTTTCTGAACATGGAGGTCAAGCCGGAACATCAGGACAGCGCCATTGACGACCAGGAAACTGCGTCTCCCGAAGAAGGGGACGCTTTGCAGAACGATCGCGTTCGTAGGGCTAGCGACGGCCAGCCTCAAGCCAAGGAAGGCCGGAGGTTCAACCGACCTGAACTGCGCTGCGAACACTGCGGGAAGGGATACAAGCATAGCAGTTGCCTGACCAAGCATTTGTTTGTGCCCCTGTCTTCTCCCTCTCCCACTCCTGCAACGATCCTCCCCCTGGCCGCGCACGGCGGGCCAATTGCCGGGACCATCCTCTGCCGTTGAGATGCAAGGAGGACAAAGTTTGTTGACTCGTTCTTTCCTCAGGTGGGAACACACGCCGGAATGGTCTTATACTTCCAAGCTCCTTATATCCAAGCACCAACAGGTTCAGCTCCTGGAGGCTGCTTCTGTTCTAGTTGCCATGAATGACCAGCCGCCCAGCCCTCCGGACTCTGCGCGTGAGACATCGCCATCTGTTTCTGGTGGGTCATCTGAGCAGGTCGATGGTCGCAGCTCTGCAAATACCACGCCGCCGCCCCATATGGACGGTCTGCACGCGACAGATGTGGCGAAGTATCAGTTCTCCCCCACCTCCCCATTTGGCGGCGACAACTTCCGAAGCGGGATCTCTCGGTCGCTGTACGCAGCCCCTTCGGAGAGCTCGTACGCAACAAGCGTGCCATTCGGCTCAGGGTTCGGCCATCAGTACTTGGAACCGAGTCCTCCGCCTTCTGGTTTGAGCGTCTCCGGAGAGGCAAACAACCTGGCCAGCAGGGTTGCCATGTTGAGCTGCAGTTATAACAGCAACAATGGCTCCCAGGCCGGCCAGCTGCATGACGGCGTGCCTGCAGTCCCTCCCATCCCGGCACATTTCCTGGGGCAGGCCTCCCTGGGGCAATCTCCATTCCTCAGCAGCTTCCCCAACCAGGCACCAGAGAGCTTCACTCGTGGTGACAGGCGTCGGGGCAGCGAAGATGTGAAGATGGAGTATGGTGACAATGATGACGATGCTCGGTCCCGGGCCCGCAGCGACGAATATGATGTTAACGACGGCTTCTTTGGCCGGATGGAGGAATGACCTTCAGCCGGAATAGCTGAGTCTTCTTCGTTTGCATTTGATGTGCCACGGTCTGCTGTTCGGGAATCAACTGGGATGGAGTCAGGCAGGGGTGGAGTTCTGGCCGGTATCGTTGTCGTTCTCCTTTGTATCACCTATATAAGCAATATTCGTGGACGCTTCGCTCCGCCGCGGCGGCCCTCAGCACCGAAGAGTTGGGAGACCTCGTGGACGACTCAACGGAGTTGCAACGAGGCATAACTCAACGAGGTTAAAGTGAGGGCCAGCCTGTGAGAGCGTCGAGCCGGAGGTCCCCTGTTAGTAACAAACAAATGGAATAGTCCATTGCCAAGCAAATCGGACCTCAATACCAATCAACATGATGTACCATTGAAGTGCGAGGATGTGTCGCTGAACTTTAGAAGTAGTGGGAGACAACAACCACGTTGTGGACAGGTCGCGAATCAGTCTCGCAGCCTTTTCCCGAGACACAGATGGGAGGAAGCAGACGATTTATAAGAAAAGGGAAAAGAAAGGAAAGTAAGGAGAGCAGAATGGAGAGGGAAAACTCAGGGTCCTTCTGCAGAATCTTCGCCCAGAAATTCTCCGCGCAATGGAACCTTTCCGTTTTGATGAGCTGTGGATACTTCGTGAGTTCAAGTCATGCGCCGTGACAAACGGAGAATGCCTGCCGCTAACATGACCGGAGAACGAGGGCAAGACCAAGCATCGATCACGCAGGCCCTCTCTAGGGAAAGTTCTCGATGAAAAGGAATCACAAAGAGATTGAAATGGCGCCGTGATTTGTAGAATTGGTTGGAGAGAGTTGTTGTGCAGAATTCATCAGCACAGGCAGGTGGCTGGCAGGCTAGCATAGCAGGCTAGCAGTGGAAGCTTCCGTACCTAGAGCTGCAGCTGTGTGCCTTACTGAGATCATAGTGGGGCAGTAGTTGGTTTCCCCTCGCAACGTGCGGCACCCCTGTCAAATTGCACTAGGTTTTTGAGCCGCAGAGCTCAGAGAAGCTCTCGAGAATTGTTACCTGGCTTTTTCCCTTTCGCACAACGCTTCTTGAATAACGTCCACCGAGACCTGACATCTCATCTTAAGCTCCGGCTCAGCGGAAGCCTGAGTTCTGCCCTGTTAACCTCCACAGTACCGCGCGATATCGCCGTCCTGTGGGTACCAACGACACCTGTTTACCCACCAAGCGCATGCGCAATGTCTTCGTCTAAGCAGGTTGATGCCGTCGACACGGATGCGGGAGAGGGATCGAGCTCCTCTCTCGCCGTGGCTAAGCCCGAGAGCACCGCCGCGCCGGCTGAGCGCAGGTCTACGTTGCCCCCGGTGCTGCAGTTCCCGCTCGTGGCCATCCTGAGCTTCTCTATCTCTTCGCTAGGCTACTCCTTCATCAACGAGTTCACCCAAGGAGAGCTGGCAACTATCATGCGCACGCTGGAAACGCCGCGCGAACTGGGTATTATGACGGCCTGGAGGTTGACAGAGCTGGCGCTGGGATGGTTCGCGAACTTCGATTCGATTGATCTCGCGGCGCTGAATCTGCTTTCGCACAGCCCCACTGTGAGTTTGCGCGAATCGGCCTGTCGGCATCACAAGACCTGAGACTAATCGGCGCGACAGTTCTACCTCATGGCTGCGTTCTACAATCTGAGCACAAAGACTGCGATCGCAGGCCTCACTGTGGACGTAATCGCCAGCTTCGTCCCCTTCCTGCTACTGCGCCCGCTTTCTGCCGCACACAAATCCTCGTCCTCGACGCCCAACCGCGAGATCATCGCCGACAAGCCAATCCAGGTCCTCAGCACGCTCCTCGCGAGCTTCATATACAGCGTGGTCCTTTTCCTCTCCTACAAGACCTTCCTGCCCGGCATCCTGGTCCTGTACTTCATCGGTATCCCCACCGTCGAGCCTCTCCACAGCGCCACGAGCATCTATGTATCACCACTCGCAACGACCCTGGCTCTAGCTTCTGGTATCGCCGCGCGTAGCTTCATCTTCACACCGTTGGCTGCGACGGGGCGCACGGAGGCAGACGAGAAGGCCGCGCAATTTGACCCAGTAAATGCTAGCTTGGGTGAGACGTTGTGGTGGAATATCTGGGGATACACAACACAGACCAAGGTTGGTGTTGCTAGGACAATAGTTCTCATGGTTGTCACCGGTATCAACACAACCCTCCAGGGTACACTCACCATCAGTGGAGTCGAGGCCACCGGTGCGGCAGTGTATGCATCTATCTGGGTCGTTGCTGCCTTCTTCACGGGCGTCGGCTTGGGGGCCGTGGGAGAGGTGTAAAATCGAGCAAGAAAAGTGTGTGTGTAAATTCTTGAGGGGGAAAGGCGTTGAGAAGACTTCGATGAAAGGCATGCGAAGAGAGAGAATTGGGCCAGCTTTCATTTTGAGCCATGTAAAAAGTGAAGACCAGCTGACATAGATCACCCGGGAGCATAGCGCAGGAAGCCTTCACATTTGTGAAGATCGCAGTCTCTTCGTCTAAAATAAATTTAAATGGGCATTTGCTTCTGACCCTTGGACCTGACTTCTGATCTAATGAATTCTGGCTCAGTGTAGAAGAAGCTACAAAGCTTAATAGATGCATTTACCTGGTTAGTGCATAGAGATCTGCGTTAAGTCCATGACCGGTTCTGCTTACATAATCAGCGTTGCTTTCCACACTTCACATGTCGATCAAGCTCCCAGTCACGCTGGTTTGGCGCGACTGCCAACAGACAAGGAGAAGCTGGAGCCTCATCGCAAACGCAATGCGCCATCAGCTTTCTGAGCTCATAGTCAGCTCAACGTGACCCAAAGATATGCCAAAGAATCACACGTTATCGATAGTCCACATCACGGTTTTTGAGGAAGATTCAGACGCCCAAAATGAGCGCCGTCGAAGCTGGTGTCGCGGAGATCGAAGAGGAGGAATCACTATCCCCTCGACAGAAGGCGCCCTCCATTCACGAAGCCATTGAGTCACTCGACTCCATCAACAATGGCAACCTTGGAGTTCTCGATGGGCGCGCCGACCCCGATGCGCAAGCGACCGTCACCGACTTCCTGGAGTTTACGGAACACCTGCCTGCCGATGTCATGCGCTCGCTCACCCTGATCGGCACGCTCGACCAACATCACTCGAGCGCGTCGCTCAAGCTCCACGAACTCACAAAGCTGTGGGGCCAGCTCCCAAGCTTGCCACCCGAAGAGAAGCCGCAGCCCGTGCAGCTGAGGAGCAACATATCGGATGAGCTGAACCGTGTGATGACGTCGCGCGTCTACTCGCACGCCGAGGCTGTGCGGATGGCAGAGAATGTGAACAGACACGTCAACAGGCTGACGTTGATACATGCGAAGCTGCGTAATATGCTAGAAAAATACCCCACCGATGATATGCAAAAGAGCCCGGTCGCGAGAAACAGGTCACCACTGGTCACCCGCGGAACGAAACGCCAGCCCACTGGTGCCGACCGTGGTCGCAGACCCCGCGGCCCTAGGATAACCGTTCCTGGCGATGTTCTTGCACCTTACGATGTTGGCTACGATACGAACAGCGACGAGAGTGATAGTAGTGAGGATGAGGATGAAGAGGAGGAACTCGCTGTCTCTCGGCGGACACCAGCGGCACGCGGAGGTAGCCAGAAACCACGGGGCGGCAGGAAGGCGCCTGAAAAGGCACCCAAGACCCCGAAACCGAAAACTCAAAAGGCTTCGCAAGCGCAAACCACCGGCGCTGCAAATACGCCCGCTGGACTCCCCACCCGCTCTGCGCCTGTGGTTCCCCCGCCGGAGAATGTAGTCGTTGGCAGTGAGGATGCCCCATGGTTGCAGCTGACACCATGGGAGCTTTCAAAACTTAGGAAGCGAATGAAGAAGAATTCTTCGTGGGTGCCTAGCGAGACTATGATTCACAAAGAGCTTAAAACTCTCGGTCGTGGCTATGACGGTTGGGCTACGGCAAAGAAGCAGGCCGAGGATGAGGGCCGGCCATTCGAGACGACACTCCCTCAACCAATTGTCGATGATGCGACAGGTTCCGAGCACCTTCCCATGGGGGCCGTCACTCTGGACTCCGCGATTGCTGCTGAGGATAGGAACCTCACCAACCGTGGCCACGAACTGAACAAGGCCAAGAAGATCAAGAAAGATCGCATGTCTGATATTGCGGCTAAAGAGGCCGAGGAGTCGGCAAGGAGATTCGCTCTCATGGCCAGGAACTTCCAGGTCTCCTTCCAACAACCGCAGTCTTCTGACCAAACTCCAGTGAAGGCCGCAAGCAAGAGATCACAGAGCAAGAAACGCAAGAGGGATTCTGTCACAGAGGCCGACGCTGAGAAGCCAGACACGGCAAGCTTGAAACGGTCAAAGACGGAGACACCAGTCCCAATTCCACCGCATATCAACATGCCTCGCTCCCAGCAGACGTCTGTCCCGCCTTCCCAGTTGACACCCGGCGGCTCGCAGACTTTGCAATCGACAACTCCTGTTCCCATTCCCTTACCACCGGGCCAGGAGCAATCAATCATCACGGTTGGAACTAAGTCTACGGCTGTGTCACCTGCTCCTAGTGCTGATGCGAGTACAACGACGACAATTGTGCCGACGAAGGCGCCAGCAGATGACGGTCCTCAGTCTCCTATCAAATCCACAACCCCCATTGTGCCTCCTGGAAGGGAGACGCGAGCCAGAGAAGCCAAGAATCAAGCCAAAGAGAAGGCCGCTGGACTACCTCCCATCAAGACGTCAGGCTCGCGCGGGAATACCCCGTCGGTAACGACCCCTGGACAGGATTCATCATCACGCCGACCCTCATCACGCGGCCAGCAACAAGGACAGGATACTGGCCAGCCGGCGGGCCTGGCGGCAGATAGACCCCGCCGCGCCAGCACGGCGAGGAACACACCCGCTCCGGAGCAGATGTCATCGGTGAGACAGCCCAGCAAGAGGACTAAGAGACCTGCGCCGGGCATCATCAGCCGGACAAACTCGGGCGGTAACAGCGCTATAACGAAGCGCAAAGCAGCGCCGAAGAAGTCGAAGCGCGGTGGTGCACGGAAGAAGGATGAACGTGGTGCTGGTCAAGCGTCTGCCGAAGCGGAGGCGGAGGTCGAGGTGGATGAGGATGGGAATGTCATCGACCCACACGAGCAGAGGTATTGTGTTTGCAACCGCGTTAGTTTTGGGACCATGGTGTTGTGCGAGAACGTTGATGTAAGTTGCATTCCTCCTCTCACATTGCTGATCTCGAGGAGAGGCAAGAGCATGAGCTAACGATGAACAACAGTGCCCATATGAGTGGTTCCATCTCGAGTGTCTTGGCCTGAAGACAGAAAAAAATCTGCCTAAGTTGTGGTACTGTCCAGAGTGCCGGGTTTCGCTTGGGATGGACGGGGAGAGCCGCGAGGGAAGCAAGAGAACGACGAAACGCTAGAAACGTGACAAGTTAAAGCTCCCAAACATTCATCTTGGCTCCCCTATTCACTGAGGAGGGGTACACGTTAATGCTTCCGCTTTGACAGAAGATCCGGGGCGCGCTATCAATGGCTCATGGTGGAGGAAACTCGAAGATGGCAGGAATTACTGAGGATTTTTGCACGAGTGACTCTTTGGTCCAGTCTTGGAATTGGAGGCCATTAGTATGGTGGTAGCTGACGAGGGCGATGGTGCGTGTTACATCGCAAAGGTCGAATGACTATTCGAAGCTTGCACCAGGGAATATGCAATCGTGAATTACACTCTTTCGTAGTCTGGTTCAGATGTGACTTCATTGCGGACCCACTGCAACTCGTCGGGTAGGGCCCTCCACTACAAGCGCATCGGGCCGTGCCCTGCTATGTTAACAACGGCGGAGGACCTCGATCACTCGCTACAAAACGCCTCTTAGATATCAACAATCCAAAGTTCCAGAGACACAGTCAAGTTTCACCCAAAATGTCGAACTACAACCCCGCGTATCCGAACAACGTGCAGGTCGACGCCGGCGTCAAGGAGTTCATCACGAAGTTCTACGGGGTGTCGGACACGCCGGGCAAGAACCAGGAGTGGCTCGACTTCTTCCACGACGATGCGACGCTCGTGATGGCGTTGCAGGAGGCGACTGGCAAGACGGGTGCGCTCCAAACAACCGCCCCGACCCGTTATGGGACGGAGAAACCGCTTTGCTGACACTTTTCCCGGGGGAACAGACATCCTGAAGGTGCGCGAGGGCATGTGGGAGAAGGTCCAGGCGCGGAAGCACACGGTGTTCCAGGTGTTCCCGGCGTCCTTTGGCGAGGGCAGGGGCAGCGACGACGAGGTCGAGCTGATGCTGTACGGGAACGTCGTCTACAGGTTGAAGGCGAGCCCGGACGGGGAGGACAAGGTGGACTGGGCTGGGCGCGCGAGGCTGACGAGGGCGCCTGGAGGAGGGGAGTGGAAGTTTGCATATTATCGCGTGTACCTGCAGAGGTGATGGTCCGACCGATCAACCGAAATAGGACAGCTCTGGACAACAAGGTGCTTGATTGCATATGTGCCAGGCCCTTTCGACAGCACCTTGGACCATCAATGGACGTGTTGGCCACCTAGGTACCTTGTTACAAATGCCCCCATTCCAAGGTTGCTAGTGTGGCCATGACTAGTAATTTGGTTATCCTCGTGCTGGTATCAATGGTCTTGAGTGGCTCTTATCGACCCTGATTACATACCACGGTACATATACTATCTACGTATGTGGCAGTCTATTTATTCCCCCACCATGCAGCCATGCCGGATTCGATCGCCCTCCAAAGCCCCCAAAGCAGGGGGGAAACGCGTCAGGCGGGGATCCGGAAGCAGTGTGACCACGGCAGGCGCCAGAAGCGCCCACCATTGCCCCTCCAAGCGTGTACGATGACGGTGTACCAGGTGGTCCCTCTCGAATGGCATCATACGGCGACAGAGGTGAACAGCCAACAACAAGGCATGATTATCAACCACGCTGTGCACGGGCTGGCCTCTCTCGCTCACACCGTCGGTATGCAATGCTGTGCCATGTAGGCTAGACTACGTACAGCAGCAGCAGCAGCAGAGAAAGAGAAAGAGGCTCATTGATCATCGGCCAGCACATACACACGCCAGGGCGGTCACACCCCAAATCCCCGTTCACCTCCCCCAGGGTTCGGGCCCCGAACTACCGAGTCCAGCCAGGCCTTGGGACGACGGTCAGCTGAGCAGGTAGACTACCTAGGTACCTAGGCTACAAGGAGGCAACTAGACAAGTCTGGAACTCAAGCCAAACCCCCTCTTGGGCTGAGGGGACGGCGGGACGGAGGGAGGGACAGAGGGAGAAAGCTGGACGCGAACTGAGCTTCAGCCGCTGCAGCATGACCTCGGCCGGCTGGAGGGGCAGCTACCACAGTAGACCCAGCTGTTGGGGTCCACAGTCCGTAATGTGCCTCTTGTCCAGAAGGAGAAACGGTCTCCTAACCGTCTACAGCACTATCGAGCAGGAGGCCAGACTGTTTCCGTCCACGGGCAACCGTGCAGCCAGATAACAGATAAAGGGCACCTGGGTAGTCTACATACGTAACATACCTTCCTACCTAGGTGGGAAATAAGGCAATGGGCAATGGGCATCTGAGATGACGCCTGTGGGGCTTCTGTCTCCACGAGATACCCCTGCCCGCGTGCCTGATCCCTGCCCCTGAACTGACTGTCACCCCGCCCCTCGTCGGTGTTGCAGCAGCCCCTCCAAGACAATGCCCATGCCCAGGCCCATGCCCATGCCCATGACCCCTGGCCGGTGATGACTGGCCGCCTGGGGTAGCCGGCACCGGTGCGAGACGAGGAGGCCTGGGGTCACCGCATCCTATCTACAACTCCAACTCCAGCCTGCCCTCCGTGACCTGCTCGTCCGTCTGTCCGTCTGCCCCTCCGCCCATTATCAACCCAAACCTGGTCTGTTATTCTCCATATCCTACGAGATTCGCGTTCTGCTTGTTGTTCACGATACCTATACTGCCCGTCTGCGAGTCACCCAGAGCTCCTGACGCATACCTGCCCTTCCTGTTCCTATTTCAGTTCCTGTTCCTGTTGCTGTTCTGTGCCTGAGACCTTGCTTGTACCTACTTATCTTCCATCCCTGGCCACCCAGACTCTTTGCTTCCTCCTTGCCTCACCTAGGCGTTTTAGACCTTTGACGACGGCAACGGCCATCCTACACAGCTAATACAACACGTCAGCTGGCTGTCCTCTGCCTCTGACTTTCACTCCTTTGTTTGCCACACTCCTGCTGCCAACTCGAGACTTGGGACACAGGCCTGGTCATTGTTCTAAATCAGTCACTCCTGTCTGTTTCTGCCCATCAGATATCACCCCTCCTACGCTCTCTCGTCATCGCGCCCCGTGACCACCTACTCAGCCCTGGCACGCGCTCATCTTTGTTGCTGGTCACCAGAAGCCTCCGCCCACATCGTGGTCGAGTTGCGAAGGTTCCCGGCTCTTGTCCAGAGCAGGAAACTGCTCTAGGTCTTGAAGGCCATTCGGATGCCCGGTTCGTCCCCCTCGGGCCCTCTTCACCTTTCATCCATCAACTCGTCTTCGTCGACTCTACAGCTGTACGAGCACCGTGGGCGGAGCTGATACCATGAAAGGTGCAAAGAAGGACAAGAAAAATGGAAAAGACAACGGCGGGGGCGTCGTCGCCGCGGTGACCAAGCACGCCGCCGGCAAGTTCGCGTTAGTCTGCCCCTCCACTTGCGGGCCCCTCTCTGGCAACCGTCTGCCCTGACGAAGGTCTCCCTGTGCCTCCTGCTAACGTATTGCAAGTGGTGACAGTCCCAACAAGGAGCCCACATCAGACTCTTCGTCGTCCCCAGTCCAGTCTCCAGACCTGAAACCTGCCAGCATACCTTCAAGTGGAAACACTGCACCCTCGCCGCTTTTGGACGCCGTCTCCGCCACGTCGTATACGACAAACACCACCAGGAGCACGACCGAATGGACAAAAGGGGTGTCGGGCCTGGCGGGCTCACCCGGGAACCTGATAAACCTCATGGGAGAATCACCGCCCACCGCGCCCTCTTCCTACGAGGATACACGTGGATGGTCTTCACCCCGTCCGATTTACAACGGCCAACCCGTATCTGCTTCACCCCCCGTTCAAGGCAGAAGGCCGCACAGTTTTCAAATGGACCAACATTATGCCCCATCAGAGGCGTACGCTCCGTCCGTTGCCTCATTCAGACGAAGCTCCATGCACTCTCAGACTGCCTACGCACGGGGCCCCAACAACCCGCCGCTTCCACATCAGCACCAACCCCATTTCTATGGCGCACCCGAGATAGACTTGGACTTTGGACAAGCAACTGGAATGAAGGCTGGTGAAAGGGGATATGCGTTCGGTTTCGACACATTACCAAGATTCCAGGGCACCAGCGCTCGGGGCAAAGACACAGTCGTGCTGACGGGCTATGAGGGTGGTCTCGAAGTACACTCGGCCACGAAAAACGGTGTCGAGCCTGTCGCCAGCCTGAAAGGGCTACGAGGAGGTGTGTTCTTTGCCAAGATCCTGCCTTGGACTCTGGCTGGCGAGGCATCGGACCCAAGCCCCCTAGTGGCTGTCGTTGTGCATGGGCCCGTGCTGCCACACAGCAATCCCGAAGTTAAAGTCGACGGCAATTATGCTAGTGGACAAGATCGCTCTGGGGCTGCTTCACCGGCAGGAACCGACCTAGGTCAAAAAGATGGTCTGGGCATGAGGACTGCTTCTGTCGACTTCTACCAGACCAGCGTGGATGTCTACTCGTTGAAGGACAGCAGGCGTGTCGCAACTCTGCTCGAAGGTCCAAGAATTCCTTTGAAAGTGCCCATCACGAGTCCGATTTTCCAAGCACCACTCCCCAGTGGGGCACTAAGGATCCTCGCCGATGGTGGAAACATTGTGATTGCTTCTGGTCAGACTGGTGAGAGCTGGATCTACCGTCAAGCGACCATCCCACACGAGCCAGGTGTCGAGTTCAGGTGCGTGGGTAAATTGTGGACGACCATTCAGCAGCCTCTGGTAGACCCAACACAAGAAACCGAGCGATCGCGGGCGAACGTGCAGCGTCAAGCACCGAGGGCCCCCATTATTGCCTTGAAGGGGAGATGGATCGCGTATTGCCCAGCTGCTCCGTCGTCCCAGGTGTCACTGCGAGCGACTGTACCAGTGCCAGTGCAAGGTAAAGCGCCAGGCCTTCTATCATTGACACCGCCTCAGCTGCCCAGTGTCGTTTCGGATGTCGACCTGCCAGCTGCCGACAGCATCATGAACAAACTCATGCGAGAAACCACGCAAGAAGTGATTCAAGGTGCGAAGTGGATTGGCGAGAAAGGGCTGCAAGCTTTCAGTAATTACTGGAGTAAATCCGCGATGCCTTCCCAGCAGGCTCGCTCGCCACCCGCCGCGCAGCCTTGGAACCCGCCCTACGCTCGAGCAGATCCGCCCCAGTTCCCACCGACCCACGGCACTGCGGCCCCAGCGGTCACAAAAGAGCCGGGTCTCGTATCGATTGTAGATGTTGAGACATCGCTGGCCTCGTCCTCGATACATCCAGCCACAACATTCGCAACATCAGGCTGCAGTTACCTTTCGTTTGCTCCCAATGGACTCTCGCTCTTCACAGCGAGCCCAAAGGGCGATGTGCAAATTGTATGGGATCTGATGCGCATCCAATACACGAAGTCTTCTCCGCTGCATACCTCGGCTGTACCAAGCTTTTCAAGCGGTCCTCGGGTGCGACAAATTGCTAGATTCTCGAGGATGACCGTAGCCCGCATCGTCGACGTATCATGGATGAAACCCTGCGGCGACTGCATAGCCATGGTCACAGAAAGGGGCACAGTCCATATCCTGGAGATGCCCGACAGTGCATTTGTTTGGCCACCTCCACGCCGGAGAATTCCCGCACAAGAGACGACTGCGAATGTCTCCGAGGGTGGCAGTTCTGCTGTGTCTATTGCCACCGGCGCATTCAACTCTGCTTGGGACGCTGCTCGCCCGCTGATCGACCGATCTCGCCGCAGCAGCTCGAATGCGCCCCAAACAGCCGGCTCAAAGATTGTTGGGCACGCCAACTACGGTGGCAAGATAATTGCTGCTGGCATTAGTCACTCGCTTGGAAAGACCGGAAGCGCGATCAATCAGTTCCGCCACAGCGGCGACAACCGTATATCGCTTCCGCTGAGCTCAAACGCCCCTGGTCCTTCATGTGTCATACTAGTTGCAAATGGTAAGGACCACTCGTTGTTCGTTCTCGGGGACGGGCTGGTGCGAACCTTCCCCCAGCGCCCGCGTAAGGTGCGGACTGCCGACGGAAGGCAGAATGCCACTCGGTTCAGGAGATACAAAGACTTCAAGCTCCCGACGCTGCCCGATGATCTAATTTGTCCTGCCGTCAAGCGCTTGGTCGATCCTGACGAGTATCTGGACCTCATGGACAGGGATGGTGATGGAGTCAACACGATGGTGCTTAATGCTCGGCCCAAGGTCCCGCGACGCAATGTCAGCGCAGACTCATCGATACCGCAGGCAGAAATCGAGTCCTCTGCGCCTTATCAGCCCTTCCATACCGACAGGCGTGTGGCACTCTACGAATATACCGTCGAGCAGGGAGCAAGCGCGCCTACTTCGCAGCTACCCACAGCTTCGATCCTTCTAGCCGACACTAATCAGGACAACAAAGCAGCTCGTCCTTCACCCCGGCGCAAGCAGAAACCAGCTGCGAAGGAGCCGGCGGACAGCCTGGGAGGGGCGTGGGCCTTTGGACAAGCGATCACTGCGAATAGGATCGACAGTGGCCGCCGCCACAGTAGGGAGGAAGAAGCGTTCGCCATGTCGACAGACGATGTTCGTGCGCTGCCACAGTCGGCTATGGAACGGTCTGTGATGCGCCAGCAGCGTGTCGACGACGAGGAACAGATCGTGATAACCACCAGGCGCCGGAGAGGCGGGGGCCGCCACGGAGACCTCGATGACGAGGACGGATTCTTCGAGGACGACTGCGAGGTTCTTGACTTTGCGGACCAGAGGGTCTGAAAACGGCCCAGCCCTTGTTTGACGAGATTCGCCGAGGTGGGCATCTTGAAGTCCTGATGCACACGTGAAAGGGGGGTTTTTGTTTGTTCATTGCGAGTTTAGGGCAATTCATCATTGCCCTGTCACTCCGTGACTCTGAGCTTACTTTTGAGCTTATTGTTTCTTCTGCTTGATTTGCGGTGGTTCTGGGTTGGGTTGGGCTCTTCGGGACACGGCACACATCAGGTAGATAGAGAGACATCGCCACTTGGCAGATAACAACCAAAATCAGTAAAATAAAAAAAGACCTTTGCGCAAATCCACGCGTATAGATCATATCATTGGGAGACTTTCTGATATTATAGGTATGTGCTGTTCACTTTGGTGATGGTTGAGAAGGTGTTTCTCGCTTTCATGGCTCCAGACTGCACAACGCTGGTCATCGTCCAATTCTTGCGATCACATGCGTCCGTAGCCTTCGATGCAGGTCATGGCGGAAATACATTCGCATCTTTGAAATCCTCGTGTCGGGTTTCCGACCAGACAGGGCAAAATCCTCCTCTGCCAGATGCTCTCCATACATTGACGACGCCTCATTGCCCAGCTTGCTGCCCACTCAGCACGCAGCATCTGATGTTCCAAATAGTTGGGGTGGTGTCCAGTTCTCCGGGGTTTACGTCTTCTTCTTCGCGGCGGCGGCCTTGGCCTTGGCGGCCTTCTTCTTGTTGCTCCGGATCATGACGACGCCGAGGAAGGAGCCTACGACGGCGGAAGCGAGGAGGATGAGGATGACAGGGATCCGGACGGCCCAGACGCGAGGGGGGAAGAAGTTCTGGAGGGGGTGGTCCGAGTCGACGAAGGGCTGGGAGGGGGTCGCTGTGTTAGCTATGCGCTCGAGCTGTCGAGTTTCAAGGGGATGGAGGGATTTAGTAAGTTCGGGGCGCAAACGTACCATAAACAAGGTCCAGAAGGTGTAGTAGAGGAAGACGACCGTGGCGGCCACAAGCATGGCGATGCCCACGACTTTGTCAAGCTGCGCACGTGGAGAGAGAACGGGTTAGCACATGCCAGGCTTGGAGGGCGCATCTGATGGACGAACCATTGTAGAAAATCCCGTATGATTGAAGTGGAATAGATCGGGGTGGTGAAGGAGCGTATAGAAAGGGAATGTCGAGGCTCAAAGGCACGCCTTTCTCACAGTGGTGGAAAGTAAGTAGGGAGGTTGAATTGCCCCCGGCGGTTGCTCCAGGAAGTCGAGGCACTAGGACTCGAAATTGGAGCCACGATGCAATGTCGCGCCGGCTGAACGTGCAGGAGCTCTGGCCCCCCCCCCCCCTGTCCAGCCTGTCAGCCTATGTGTCGCCCCGTCCCAGCGCCTGGAGCTGCTGCTTGCACGCACAGACCAGCCTACGCCCCCAGAAATTTGTTACCGTGCCATTAGACTGAGACCAACCACAGCCTGAACTTTGCACAACTACAAACATTCACCCAAGCTCGTCTCGTTCTTGTTGCTCTGCCGGCATCAAGAAGCGTCCATTCTTGGATGCTCGCAGCCCAGAACAACAGTGGTGATTACAACTGCGAGGCTTTCAGAAGGACGTCACCGAGAGACCCAGCTCCCACGAAGCCCCTTCAGAAAGAAGGAGGGCTTGCTGCCTTGGAATGGCGACCGAAACAGCATCGGTCGTGAGCGACCGCCATCTCGACGAGCGCTCCCCCAACCGCGTACCTCGATCGCCCCCGCGAAGGCGCCACGAAGACCACGGAGACGACGGCAGAGACGACGGCAGAGAGAGAGGGCGCGACCGTGACCATGACCAACCGCGGCGCAAAGGCGGCGACAGCTACCGGCCGGACCGGCCCAGGGCGCGAGAGCTGCCCAGGCGCGAGCGCACGCCGCCCCCCGTCCCGACCGAGGAGCAGAAGCAGGCCGCCGCCAAGGCAGAGTACGACCGCCTGATCAACGCGCGCTCAGGGGGCACCTACATCCCGCCCGCGAGGCTGCGCGCCCTGCAGGCCCAGATCACGGACAAGACGACCAAGGAGTGGCAGCGGATGGCGTGGGAGGCGCTCAAGAAGTCGATCAACGGCCTGATCAACAAGGCCAACAGCCCCAACCTGAAGCTGATCGTGCCGGAGCTGTTCAACGAGAACCTGGTCCGGGGCAGGGGCCTGTTTTGCCAGAGCATCATGAAGGCCCAGGCGGCATCTCTCCCCTTCACTCCCATCTACGCGGCGATGGTCGCCATCGTGAACACCAAGCTCCCCGCGGTCGGCGAGCTGCTGGTCAAGAGGCTGGTGCTGCGGTTCCGGAAGGCGTTTCGCAGGAACGACAAGGCGGTCTGCCTGTCGAGCACGGCATTCCTTGCGCATCTCACCAACTTCCAGGTCGTTTCTGAAAACTTGGTTGCGCAAATGCTCATTCTGTTGTTGCACAAGCCATCCGATGATAGTGTGGAGATTGCGGTCAACCTGACGAGGGAGGTTGGACAGTTCTTGGAGGAGATGAACGCCTCTATTGCCAGGGTTCTGTTTGACCAGTTCCGCAACATTCTGCATGATAGCGCCATCGAAAAACGAGTGCAATATCAGATCGAGGTCCTGTTCCAGCAGAGGAAGGACAAGTTCAAAGACAATCCGTCCGTCAAGGAAGAGCTCGACTTGGTGGAGGAAGAGGATCAAATCACGCACAACATTGACTTACAAGGAGAGCTCGATGGCCAGGACAGTCTGAACATCTTCAAATACGATCCTGAATACGAGCAGCACGAGGAGGAGTACAAGAAGCTAAAAGCCGAGATTTTGGGCGAAGGGAGCGATGATGAAGACGACAGTGACGACGAAGACGAGTCATCAGAGAGCGAAGATGAGGAGCAGAAGGCCGTCGAGATCAAGGACCAGAGTAATGCTGACCTGGTCAACTTGCGAAGAACGATTTACTTGACCCTGATGTCCTCTGCAGACTACGAGGAATCGGTTCATAAGCTCCTCCGAATCCAGATACCTATGGGCTTGGAGAAGGAAATACCGGAGATGGTAGTCGAATGCTGCAGTCAGGAGAAGACGTACACAAAATTCTACGGTGGTATTGCGGAGCGACTGGCCAAGATCAACAGGATGTGGAATGAGTTGTTCGAGGCTGCTTTCGCCGACTATTACGAGAAGATTCACCGGTACGACAGCAACAAGCTACGGAACATCGCCAGGCTCTTCGGGCATATGTTCGGCTCAGATGCTATCGGCTGGCATTGCTTGTCAATTATCCACCTCAATCAGGAGGAGACGACCTCGGCATCGCGTATCTTCATCAAGATCCTGTTTCAAGAGATTTCGGAGGAGATTGGCTTGAAGAAATTACAAGCCCGTTGCAGAGACCCGCTCCTTCAGCCGAGCCTCGAGAGCCTCTTCCCACGAGGCGAGGAACGGCGCAACATCCTCTTCGCCATCAACTACTTCACTTCCATCGGCATGGGTGCACTCACAGAGGACATGCGAGAGTATCTTCAGAGTCTGCCGCCGCCTGCACTTCCTGCGCCGATCAAGGCAGACGAATCAGACTCGGACTCGGCGTCCAGCTATTCATCTTACACGGGCTCCTCCTATTCTCGATCCCGCTCGCGCTCGCGCACGCCTCCCCGGCGGGCCATCGACCGCCGCCGTTCATACTCTCGAAGTGTGACGCCGCCCCGTCGCAACAACAGGGAGAGATCATACAGCCGAGATCGCAGCTTGACTAGGTCCATCTCAACCAGTCGCTCCCGTTCACCACCCCCCCGTCGAGATGTTCGGGATGGTGATCGCGGCCGTTCGATCACTCGCTCCCCGCCAGCCAGGGGTGCGCCAGCCAGGGACCGCTCGTACAGCCGCTCATCGCGATCCTACTCCTCAGGTAGCTCGCGCTCCCCGCCACCGAGGCGTGCCGCCCGACGGTCCGTGTCTGACTCTCGCTCTCCTCCACCGCGCAGAGCTGCACAGCGCTCGTTGTCCAGATCAGCATCCCCACCACCCGCGCGGCGTCCGGCGAACCGCTCGCTGCCTGGCTCACGCTCCCCGCCACCCCGGAGCCGTGCACCAGCGCGATCCATCTCCCGATCACCCACGCCACCTCCACGACGTCGCCCCGCGCCCAGGTCACCCTCACGGTCGCGCTCTCCGCCTCCAGCACGACGTGCAGGAGACAGCTACCGGTCACGGTCTTATAGTAGGAGTCCATCCCGGACGCGGTCTCCACCGCGACGAGGAGGAGCAGCCGCGACGCGCCAGACTCGGTCCCCATCGAGATCGGCGTCACCTCCGCGGCGCCGGGCGAGGAGGAACAGCTCGTCCGACGTGAGTGCCGCGCCAAGGGGCGAGCGGAAGAGGCGGAACAGCAGCTCAAGCGTAGAGAGCGGGCCGCGAAGGAAGTACCGCAGGGGTAGCTGAGAGCAGATTGCACAAAGGGAAGCATGGCAGATTTAATTAGGAACGTGTGGACTGGAGGTTCAAAACGCCAGAGAGTCGCTGCTTGTCGAACGAGGGACAAACACACAGCGAGTTGTGCATACCACTAAGTAAAGGCTAGGGCGCAGGAACCACAGACTGGCAATCAAAATTAATGGTTTAAGAGAAGCGTAAATCATACTCGACGTCCCGCTCTTCAATGTGCATGCATACGTGCTTCCAAACATTTCCTTAATTACCGGTCATTGATTCCGCCCTCTGCTTACGGACGTGCTCATGCTGTAATTTGCGTATGAGACGCTGCTCATCACGAGTTTTGAGTGTGCTCGTGCCAGAAAACGTTGGACGCACTAGGTGAGGGAGGGAGGAGCAGTGTGCTTCAAAAACAAATGGTGTCATTGCCTCGTCGAATGACAACCGATTCGAGAGAGAGGCCGGGCTGGCCTATAGCTGATTGAGCAGTCTCTTCCGCCTTGGTTTGCTAATCTAGGTGGGTGGATGCACATTAACAAGCGCTGGTCTGACGCTCTTCAGCTCTCTTCAGCAGTGGGATGTCTCATGCCAAACAGAGAAGACTGACTGACTGACTGGTAACGGGCGGAAGCGCCCTCGGGAACACCTTGTTGGGGGTGGAATTTTTTTTTGGTCTTTTGGTTTCGTTGATTTTCACCCAACCCTCGACCTCACCTCCGGAAGGACGGACGAGGCACTATCTCATACTCCTTCATGTTTGATGCCTCCGTGTGTATCCCGAGTCGCAGCTGAATTTGGGGCTTTGTTTATTCATAATTCCTCGAAACTTCAGCCCTATCCTCCCAAGCTGGTCAGACCCTCGTATGCTGCTGAACCATGTGGTGATATAATTTTTTTGTCTTCGGCTTGGCAATTGTTTGGAGTGATTTTCCTCTCAAGCGCCTCTGTTTCATTAGATGTAGCCGCACACCAGGTGTCCAACTTCGCCATTGATATGTGTCGTGGTATCATACCCAGTTTCTCGTATATCATACCACACCATAGATGCCGCTGAAAATGGTTGTAGATGTTCCCGCCCGAGGGATTGCGTGTTCAACCCCGCGAGGATCCGTCAATGCCTGCCATTATGACGTCCTCTCTTTTGTGATGGACCGCCCAGTCCATTGGCTCTGGGGTAGAACCGTCTACTCCGTCCACTCCGGACACTCCATTCACCTCGTTCGCTCGGTGTGGCGCGGCACCGTCGACTCCATTCGTTGCAGTTCCGCCGTGTGCAATTTCGTCCCTGCATCTCTTGCACATGCACCAGCCACCAAGACTTCCCTCGGCCCATTCCCGTCTCTTATGAACAGGCAAGTCGATGTCGCAGTAGTGATTTAGAATCTCTTCGCCGGCTTTGATGCCACCCGGCTGATTGCCCACAACCTTGCGTTCTCGTGCCCAGAGCTTCATCCTGCCACCCCATTCCCACGTCACGTTCGGGTTGCAGTCGTGGTTCGCAAGGCACCAGAAAGGGTGTACGGCCGCGACATCGGGCCGTCCATCTCGAGTGCTCTGTCTCGCCGATGCCGTGCCGCGGAACTTGGCGAAGCAGGTGTTCAGGACCCACAAATCGTATTGGGGGAGAGTCTGGTAGATGTCGATGTCCATCTTCTCGAGAATATGCAGCGGCGTCTCGACGTTGTACTTGAAAGAGAAGGGTAGGGTCCAATCCGGCGGTGGTCCGGCATTAGGCGAGATAGAAATTGCGTTGGTGTGAGGAGGAATGAAGTCGCCCCAGATGTACTTGATGTTCTTTAATTGTAGTGGGTGAACCTCCTGATGTGCCGACATAGCAAGGAGCCGAGCTAGAAGAAGGAGGTGCAGTGATGCGCTAGACTCTGCAGCGTCGGGGTCTTTGGCGATAGCATCGACATCCTTCTCACAAACGGCTGGGTGGTAGAGCTCCTGCGCTTTGTCATGGCAGAATTGGTCACAGAAGACCGTGTCGTAGCACTCGTCGCAGCTGACAGGCCCACCTTCAGCGCTCAAGGGAGGCAATTCAGTACCACAGGCGTCACACAACTGGTCCTTGAGCCTGTTGTTGGCCGTCAAGAGCGAGTATTCATTGAGCACGGTTTCTCCGGGAGCGATATCCTCCTTTGCAAATACGCCCAGCTGGTTGCAAGTAGGAATGATCTCATAGTCGTCGGTGTTGCTTGCTGAGTCGAGAAGGACGGGAAGCTCGGAAACCCGCACCTCGCACTTCGGTGCCATGCTCGCGAGCTCTTGGTTCAGAAACGACAAAGACTTGGCAGAGAACCGATCTGGCTCGTGAGTATTCCATGGATAGACCTCTCTTCGCACATGACCCCACTCGGGTAGTCGACCAACATCGACATCTTGAGTCTGGAGCCTGCGGCGAGCCACAGTCAAGATGTGGCTTTTGGTATTCAGCAGTTCCTGGTTGTTTGGCGATGCTGCGAGGCCGCGTTCACAGTAAGTCTGGGCACTGCTCAAGCAGCCACAAAGCAGCAGGCTGAGGGATATGATCTGGTAGCATCGCACAGATGCTACGGCGGCGATCTCCTGGTAGAATTCTGGGCCTTGAGGGCCGTGGCCGTTGACCATGCCGCCGGACCCTTGCCGGAGGGCGCCATGGTTCAGGACCTCGGGAAGAGCGGAGGGAGAGGACAAGTAGGGCTGGAGAGCATGAACAGCCTGGTCATGGTACTCGAAGCCTTCGTTTCGGACCTCGTCGGTCAGGAGCAAGGCGCGATAGGCATCGCCGGCGGCGAGGTCCGGGTAGCCAAGGTTGGAGTAGACGACCGCTCGTTGGAGGTAGCGGATCAGGTCATAAGGTGACTCGGCAAGAAGATCGGTCAGCTGCTCTCGGCGGTCCAAAAGGACAGAATATTCGGCGTCTTCGTCAGTGGTGTAGGAATTTGTGTTCTCGTCAGATTCCATGGTGGGGGGACTTTGCAGGGGTGTTGGAAGGGCCAGAGCGTGTCCAGACAGCTCGCATCGCGTCCTCAGCAGACAGGCGGGAGCGGCATGGACGAGGAGATTTAGGGCTGGTTATGCTCAGCAGACGGCGACAAGCTGGAGGCGAGGTTTTTGGCTTTTAGATGTATGCTCTGGGAGTGAGTCTGCGCGTGGGGCCGGCTAGGCCTTCCGGAATTGGGACAAGCAGATACGGCGAAGACACTCTAGGGACGTCAGTCAAGGTTGGCGAGGGCAAAACAAGGCCGCAATGAAGTTGTATTGTACGTACCCTCCGACTGTGTGGGTGGATAGGCAGGTTCGTGTCCAAGAGCAGGGTGCGGTAGGGCAGGAGAGGGCGGGGCAAAGGTAAGGGACTGGCCCCTGGTGGGATGTGGATGATGTGGGATGTGAGGGATATGGAGAGAAATTTTGGACCGGGCAGCAAGCACCGGGGTCGAAGAGGGTAGCGTTGGCCGACGCAGCACTCGAGTAAGTTTATATAAAAATAAGAAGGGTTCGCGAGGGTGGCAAAAGTCTGGGGAGAAGGTGGACCAGGAACACCGATGATCCAAGCGACGTGAGAGGCACTGCTGTTTATCATGAAAGGTGTGTACCAGATTTAAAGATTGAGAATTTTGAGTGGGTTGGCTTAGCTGGAAGGAGGAGGCAGCCCCTGGACGACGTCGATTTGAGTTGTCGTGAGCAGACCAAAGCACACCAGAACACACCAGAGCAGAAGGGTACAGAGGTACATGCACAGGCACAGGACAGGCGCAGGCGCAGGTGCAGGTGCAGGTGCAGGGGGAAAGCTGCTGGTCTGGCAGTCTGTCGGGCAGTCTGTCGGGCAGTCTGTCGGGCAGTCTGTCGGGCACGGTCTGGTGAGGTACCGCATGTACTGGGCTGGGCTGTACTGGGCTGGGCCAGGGGAGGGAGTTGGTCCTCTGATCTACCGAGTGCAGGACTTTTACAGCAGATACCCACCTACTTGTAGGTGCCTCCCGTAGTACAGGACCGTAGGTGGTAATTTAAGTGCCTAGAGAGGTATCTAGTGGGTGAAGGCGAAACGGCCTGAACGGGTGCAGGGCCCCCACTAATCTCAATGTCAATGTCCAATAATGGGCCATAGCAATGGCTTCATCCAAGGGCACGAGAACGATCTGGCGATGAGGCTACGCAAGGCATCGAGGCGTCATCGGGGGATCGAGAGAGGCGCTCTTGTCTGATAAGCACCCAGGGTCGTGTGGTCTCAAAAACAAAGTCAGGCGCTGGGGGGAGGAGAGGGGGGAGCAAGCTGGAGCTGGGTTCCAAGGTTGTCATTGCCTGCGCAATAGGGCGCTGGAGCTCGAAATGTTGGTCGGGGAAACGAATGGGGAAGCAGGTGACGGGTAGGGCAGGGCGCCCAGATGGGTCCAAATCCCGTCAACTGGGCGTCACCTTGCATATTCAGTCGACATTCGACGTCGTCGTCGTCGACGTCCTTCTCTGGGCTTCTTCAGTCAATAATTTTCCCACATACATCTCCAACATCTCATCTGTCATCTCGCATAACTCATCTTCCAACTCCCGTCTCCCGTCTCCCGCATCCCGCAGCCCATCTTCGATTTCCCGGCCACGGCCAAGGCCACTGCACAGTCCGACCTGCAGCTCCTTGTACGAACTTACTTACATACATACATATATACGTGCATACACAGGTTCTCACACACACACACACACACACATAACCCATACCCATGCCTTGGCCTTGGTACATATGCACCCCAACTATGTTCCATCCTGGCCGTTGTGCATGAACAAACATGTTCCACTCTACACTACCTAGCTCTGGCGGATGGATCTTCACTGTCACTCTCACACTTACCCGCACCCGCACGCACGAGGCTTGCGGCATCAAAAGAATGGTCTCAGCCGCTAGTCCCTGGGCCAGAACAGTCTGGGCCCTAGGTTACCGTGCTGGAGGAGACGACGTTCCATCCCAGCCAACCCTGGCAGGGAGTGCGAGGCTATACCGAGGCAGCTAAACCACGCCAGCCCCCAGGGATCAAGATTAGCCGCACGTAGGCGGTACTGTAGTCTGTGCTGTCTGTCCAGCCAGCCAGTCGGTGTGCTCAGCGCAGTAATTAGTCAGTGGTAGTCAGTGGTAGTCCAGCTGGCGCGCTCCGTGTGCTGTGTGTGGCATGATGATCTCCCCTCCCGGCAAGCCGGCACTGACAACGAGCTGCTCACGCGCCAGTCCAGTCAGTCACACAGACGGACACACGGAAGACATGCGCACAAACCCAAGACAGGCTGGTGGGATGGAAATGAATTGGTGCCAAGTCACAACCCCGCCAGTTTCGCAAGGACCCTTGAACAGGGAAACTCCCAATTGGGAGGGGTCGAGAGGACCCTGGATTCGGGACAAACTTTTTAAGGGTCCTCCTTCCAAGGTTCTGCTGATCCCCGGTGCAACCAGCGCATTGGTTGCGTAGCGTCGCGCTGCGTTTGTGCTGCATTGCGCCGCGGTGCTCATAAGCATATGCGCTGCAGCAGTTGTTGTCGTCCTCGCCGTCGTCGTCGGGGTAGTTGTCGTGCGACCGTCCATCTTGCTGCGGGCGGGTGCTTCAGGCTGGGTCAGATCACGATCCACGGAGGAAGCTCACCCAGCGCCGTTGTCATTGTCGGGTTCATCGGGCATCGCCATGTTTCGTGAGGCAGGGGAACGGAGTCACATGTCATGTCATATCATGGCATGGCGTGGCATGGCAGAGGGTATGCCGCCCGACCGTGTCAGGGCATTGCACGGGACTGTACGGGACTGTACTGTACATGCAGAGATGATGTGCGTCTCCTGTCTCTGTCCCTCTTGTCTCCTGTCTTTGTCCTGCTTGGCGGGACCAGGAGCCCCTGCACCTGCAAACTCCACGCCTCATCATCGGCACCAGGAGCACCCTCCGACGCTCGTCCTTGGAAAACTTTACCACCCAGGGTCCAGCTATGACGTCGTTGTGGAATGCCATGCTCAGGATACGTGCCGACCTCGTGCAACACACAATGCTTCTTCTGCATGCACGCATCGCACACATCGCACCGCACGCATTGCATCGCACACGTCGCACGCATCGATCACCGCCAGCGTCATCTTGCTCGGAACTTGAGCATCAGAGCATCGCCTGGGGATCGAATGAGTCAATGCAAGGCAACGCGAGGCAACGCGAGGCATCGCAAGTCATCGCAAAGGCATCGCAGAGCAGGCCAAGGTAGGTCAAGGCAGGGCAGGGCAGGAGAGGACAGAAAAGGACAGGACAGGACAAGACAGGGCAAAGAAAAGCAAAAAGATTGGGGGCCACCGGCTACTGTGCCCGTCCTGTCTAACATGCACTCCGGAGCCTCCACAGAATTTGCCACCGCGGTCCTCGATGCCGGCGCTTCGGGGCGGATGCACAAACCTATGCGCCTACGGATCCGCTCCATGCCTTGATGCCCGACGGGGTGTGATGCCTGCCATGCGGACGCACAACTAAACGCGATGTGATGCGGTGATTTATGTCTGTCTTTCTTTCTTGCAAGCTCCGACATTTCTTGGCCCGGGATCTCCGCATCACCATGCGCACCTGCTTCTCAAGGGCCATCCCGTCTCGTGTGATGCGAACAGCTCAGAAGCTGTCAAGGCTTGATTGACAGGCAACCGCAGCCGACGTCCGCTGGAACTCTCTAGAAACTCTGTTGCCACTGCCCAATGGGATCTCAGCAACAGCGCCAGCGCCAGCTCGTTGCAGCGCCTTGCAGGCGTCTTCCTGCGCCTAGTGATCTCCCTGGGCCAGATCACTCAGCTTGTCCACGTAGTATGCCGGCACGGCGACCGCGCCCTCTGCCTCCCAGTCCGCCTTCTTGCTGACGCCAGTCAGCACCGCCAGCGTCCCGCCCAGCTTGCCCTCGATGCCGAACTTGATGTCCGTGTCCAGTCGATCCCCGATCATGCACGTCCGGGCCCTGTCCAGGTGGAACTTGCCTTCCACGGCGTCCATCATCGCCTGGCTGGGCTTGCCCAGCGCCAGCGGCTGCTGCTTGGTCATGTTGGACAGGGGCACGAGCACTGACCCCGCCCCGGGGAAGAAGCTGTGGTTCATGGGCAGAGTGCTGTCGGTGTTGGTGGCCAGGAACCGGGCGCCACGCGCGAGGTACTGGTACGCCGTGGCCAGCTTGAGGTAGTTGACGTGGAAGTCCAGCCCCGCCAGCACCACGCCGACGTCCGGGTCCAGCAGCGACCCGTCGGCGAGCCCCGCGAAGTCGGCCTCGGTGATGTCGCGCCGGAACGTAGGGTCCGTGCCGCCCACAAAGGACACGCCCTCGGATCGCAGCTCCGTCTCGATGCCCGCCTCGCCGAGCACGAAGACCTTGTTCTTGGGCGCCGGCAGGGCCAGGATCCGGCTGATGTAGATGGCGGCCGAGTAGGCCGAACCGAAGACGTCATCTACGGACCCTGGGATTCCCTTGGACTCGAACTTCTTGAGGTACTCGGCACGCGACTTTGTGGAGTTGTTCGTCACGAAGACGGTTCGCTTACCTGCGGCATGCGTTAGCCTTGTAAGAGCCCAGGCGGCGGTGAGGGGATGTGATTAATAAAAACCAGACCTTTTGATCGCAGCAGCTGTATTGTCTCAGCGATGCCAGCGAACAAGTGATCACCCGACCAAAGAACTCCTGTACGCGCCTCGTCAGTGACTTGGCCCGCATCGAAACCCTCGATATTGAGGCTCACCGTCGCAGTCTAGCAGGAAAGTCTGGACTCATGGTAAGCATGCATTTAGACCCTGAAACTAGGGTCCTTGGAGGACAACAAATGACGCACATCAAATTTGTCGAGGAACTCGTTGATGGCGGTCCCATCGCCGGTGAGGTATTTGGGGGCTTGAGAGGGAGCCATGCTTAAATAAAGAGATCTAAGTCTATGTTTACAAGGAACGTCGCGTCTTGGACTGTCTGTCTATGTATGGAATGTT